TCCTTGGCCACCGGTGCGAAAGCACAAGCGGCGCATGCTGCGCAAGGCGGCGGGATACCCGGGATCAAGGTCAACATTGCTCCGTGGAGGGTAGGTACCGGTGCAGAAAACGGAGGAAGAGCAGCCGAGCCAGTAGTGGGCGAAGGCGCCTCCAGGCGGGAGAGGAATGATGCAGGGCCTCGCCCGAAGGCGGAACATACGCACCTGCCCTATGCGGCCAACTACCCCGATACGACGGAGTCGCAAAAGGGAACGCGAATCCCCAGCAAGAAAACCGCTGCCCCGCAAACAACAGTCAAGACAACCGGGGACATCATACATCCCCCTCCAATCACGGTGCGTCTCCCTTCGACATCACTAACACATAATGGCACCGGGGGCTCGTGTTCCCTGGTGGGCGGGTCGGTGGGACCATTATGTGCATCTCCCATTTGTAATAAAAAAAATGTTTCTCTCGAAGAAGTACCGGATGAGGAAGATGATTACAGTTATCAACAAAGTCTCAAGCCACGAGGGGAAGACCCGGTAATTCATACCGCGGAGTACCCGGAAGATTACGAGACAACTGAACTGGAACAAGAATATTACAACGACAAATGGGACCGAGGGTGGCTCAACCCACATAGTGCCGAGTGGGTAAGACGAAAAATGAGGCAAGAAAAGACCATGGAAGGAAAGCTAGCAACCCTCAAAATGTGGATACATCCCCGACGCTTAATAGAGGTAGACGAAGACCTCGTCCTGGATCTCATCGGATCCTCCTCCGAAGCCTATCGACAACGAGAACAGTGCCTTCAAAACATGCACGATCTACGAGCACCTCCCCAGTACATTCGTGGAGGAAAAGGAAGGAGCGTTAATATACAGGTGCAGCTTGAAACCCTAGACACCAGCCAAGTCCGCGCCGTCGACGCTCTGGTCGATAGCGGATGCATGGGGAGTTGCATAAACCGAACGTTCGTACAAGAACATCAAATGAACACGGTAAAATTACCCAAAGCACAAGCCGTATACAATGCGGATGGAAGCAGAAACAAAGGAGGAGACATCACGGAAGTAGTAGAATTGCGCATGACGATTGGAGACCATCACGAGAAGATCGATCTGGCCGTCGTGGATCTGGGGAACGTACAATTATTCCTAGGACACGACTGGCTCAAATGCCATAATCCAATCATCGACTGGAAAACAGGGGCGGTAACATTAGCCAGATGCGACTGCCGAAAAATACCCTTCCAGTTGCCAGACGAAGACCCGGAGCAGCAGTGGGGAACGGAAGTAGAAGAAGGGGACACGATCCTAGTCATTGACTTCGAAGAAGCTTTCCATGTACGAGCCATGGGGAGCAAGGCCAATGAGTTGGCTGCCAAGGCCAATCAAGCAAAAGAAGCCAAGTCATTCGAAGAAATAGTACCTGAACCATATCGGGAATACCGAGACGTGTTCGCCAAAGAGAACTTCGATGAGTTACCACCGCGAAAGCCATGGGACCATGCCATAGAACTAACCCCCAACGCCAACGCAAGCCTAGACTGTAAGGTCTATCCACTCAATCCTACTGAACAAGAAGAGTTGGACAAATTCCTCGACGAAAATCTGGAATCAGGAAGGATTAGACCATCCAAATCCCCGATGGCGTCACCATTCTTCTTTGTCAAAAAGAAGGACGGAAAGCTCCGACCCGTACAGGACTATCGGAAGCTAAACGAGATGACCATAAAGAATCGATATCCCCTTCCACTTATAGGGGAGTTGATGGATCAACTCAAGGACGCCAAGTATTTCACAAAATTGGACGTACGATGGGGGTATAACAACGTAAGGATCAAAGGAGGAGACGAATGGAAGGCAGCGTTTCGAACCAACCGAGGGTTGTTCGAGCCAATGGTGATGTTCTTCGGACTCACCAATTCCCCGGCAACATTCCAGTGGATGATGAACGACTTGTTCAAGGAACAAATCGCCAGAGGGGACGTCACCGTATACCTGGATGACATCCTGATTTGTACCAAGGACAAAGACAGGCATCGCAAGATTGTGCGAGAAGTCTTATCCATCCTCAGGGCAAACAACTTATTCCTCAAAGCGGAGAAGTGCGAATTCGAGGTATTGGAAACCGAATACCTCGGAGTGATCATTAGTCAAGGGTCAATTCGCATGGACCCCATCAAAGTTAAAGGAATCACGGAATGGCCCCACCCTACTAAAAAACGAGAACTCCAATCGTTTTTAGGATTCACAAACTTCTACAGAAGATTCATCCGGGATTACAGCAAACACGTGCGACCCCTAACTCAACTCACGGGAAAGACAGAGTGGACGTGGGGAATGGCGCAGGAGGATGCCTTCCGAGAAATTAAAAGGAAACTAGCGGAGGAAGTGGTATTGGCCATACCTACACGAACGGGGAGATATCGTGTAGAAGCAGACGCAAGTGAAGGAGCCATAGGAGCGGTTCTATCCCAAGAGCAAGAAGGAAAGTGGAGACCGGTGGCGTTCTTATCCAAAGCCCTAACGGTTACGGAACGAAACTACGAAATATACGACAAAGAGCTCCTGGCCATCATGTTGGCCCTAGAGGACTGGAGACACTACCTAATGGGCGCTCATCAGGAATTTGAGATCTGGACAGATCACCAAAACCTGCAGTATTTCCGCAAACCTCAAAAACTCAATCGAAGACAAGCGCGATGGGTAACAGAGCTAGCAGAATACCATTTCACGTTGCATCACAAACCAGGGACGGCTAACAAGAAGACCGACCTGTTATCCAGAAGGGCGGACCACGATCAAGGAATAGAAGATAACAGGGAAGTAGTGGTACTCAAACCGGAGATGTTCCGAGCCTTAATCATGCCGGGAGAGGAGGAAATTCACAAACGAATCCGAACGGCGCTAAGGGATGTTACCCGGTGGGACAAAGGGATTGAAGCTTCCCTTCATCATCCCAGAGGAATAACACAAAAGGAAGGGCTCATGCACTATGATGGACGGCTATATGTTCCTCGAGACGCCAAGCTACGAGGGGAGCTAATCGCCATCCATCATGACCACATCACAGCCGGACACCCTGGAATCGAAAAGACCAAGGAACTTGTACAGCGAGAGTACTGGTGGCCCAAGCTCAAAAATGACATAGAGCGATACGTAAAAGGCTGCGAAGCCTGTCAACGTACCAAGACAAGCACTCAACGATGAAGGGCACCTCTGCATCCTCACGCTGTACCTTCCAGACCATGGGAACACATTACGGTAGACATGATAGGCGAACTGCCCGACTCAAACGGGTACAACGCTATTCTAATGATAGTGGACCGCTTCTCCAAGGAAGTCATTCCGGTACCATGTTCGACTGAGCTAACCTCCACGGGATGGGCAAAGATCCTACGGGACCACGTATGGGCAAAGCATGGAATGCCACAAAAGGTGATCTCAGACAGAGGACCGCAATTTGTGTCAAAATTCATGAAGGAATTGTACGAGATGCTACACATCCAAGGAAACCCATCCACGGCGTATCATCCCCAAACCGATGGACAAACCGAACGAGCAAACCAAGAGATTGAAAAATATCTCCGCATCTTCATCAATCACCGACAGAACGATTGGAGTGAGTGGTTACCCCTCGCAGCTTTCCAGCATAACAACCGAAAGCATTCCGTGACCGGGTATTCCCCCTTCGAGGTCAATCATGGACAGAAGCCTTATCTCGTTCCCCTTACAATCAAGGAAGGAACCAATCCGGCCGCCAGGGAATTCGTGGCAGACATACAGAAAATACATGAACAAACAGCAAAGGCGTTGGAAAAAGTGGCGGAAGCCATGAAACGACAATACGACAAGCAACAACGAGCGGCAATAGAGTACCAACCAGGAGACAAAGTATGGCTGGACTCTACGAACCTATCCCTTCCTCGACCAATGAAGAAGTTAGGAGACAAACGCGTTGGACCCTTTGAAGTACTCTCCAAACATGGCGCGTCTGCATACAAGCTACGACTCCCTGCCGCGTGGAAAATCCATGACCGTTTTAACGAGAACCTTCTTACTCCATATCAGCCGCCGGAGTTCCCAAACCAAGTACAGCCGTTACCACCGCCACCAGACCTAATAGATGGACAAGAGCAGTATGAAGTGGAGGAAATCATAGACAGAAGAGAAAGAGCAAGAGGAAGGGGAAGAAGGCGTGGAACCGGAATCGAATACCTTGTCAAGTGGAAAGGGTATCCACGGGAAGAAAATTCGTGGGTAGATGAACAAGACCTAGACAACGCAAGGGACGCAATCGAGGACTTTGAACAAATATCGTTCATCACCCGACCTCCCACGGAATGGTGGGAAAACGAGGACGAATCCGACTCTTGGTCTGAACATGAATTGGTAACCGAGTCGGAAACCGACCACCCATTGGTACAGGCAATTCAAGAATACCTGATAAAACCAAACGAACCCTCTCTCGTAGGAGCCTATCTTCCAAAACCAAGTTATGTTGCAGTCGGGACGACTGCCTTAACAGGGGGGTAATATTACGATTTCACGCTTTATCTTATCTTATCGTCTTCATCGTAATCCTGCTATGCTAGTTTTCCGGACTTGATCGCATTCACCATGCGGGTATCGTGTGTTCAACGCACCGTTGCGGACACTTGTAGTATATTTAGCACAACCCAAACTGTATTTAAGTAGCACGACTGCAGGTCTTAAACCTCAGTCTCGAACTAAAGTTTATTCACCCGATAACTTAGTCTGAACTCACTCTCGCTCAACTAAGCGATAGCTCCCTTAACGCAAACCTGCGGACAACATAAAGCGCCTGACCGAAGTGCGAGTCACGCTTAGTTGTTTGATCTTGTTTGTGAAATCGGTCGCTAACACATCACATAGGTACTGGATCGTTGTACGATAGTAACGTCAGCCCCTTGCTCATAAAAGTCCTGTGTGATACTTTTAATTTTGGCAAGGGTTCAATTAAACGTGCGTTTCAAATGCAAGAAGAAAACTCACTCATGACCACTATTGCAGCAGCCAACGACAACAGCCTGGCATGAAAATCAAAAGCTGTCAGAATTCGGTGATACGCTATGCCCCTGTGTCACCCCCCAACACCCACCTTTTTGCCCTTGAAGGAGCCTCCTGTGGTGTGCTGACTCGAATGGCAGAGGTGGCCCTTGAAGATATCCTGATCTTTGAAGACCGGGATGTTGGGCTCTCCACTGTGTCCGGTGGCGAGGACGATGAACTTTGGTTTGATGATGCGGTTGGGATGGCCTACACGTGCGATGGTGACGGTCCAGAGATGTGAGGGTTCGTCGTACGTGGCGGAGGTGATGGTGCTTTGCATCCAGATGTTGAGCTCCATTGTCACTGCCTAGAGGGGGCGAGTTGAGTAGTTATTTGCGACCTTGTGGGGTAGGGACGTACATAGGCCTCGAACCAGTCGCCTAGCTTGTCCTTTGGCGTGCTGTCGAACAGTGAGTGTCGATCAATTTTACGCAGTTTTTGGACTTACAATACCGGCCAGTGTGGGGGGAACGTGACATAGGGAAGGTGATCATACCAGACTGGATCTGAGGGGGTAATTGTTAGCCTCGTCGAGGAGAGTAGAATGAATTCCTACCGTGAAGGACGAGGAAATTGTAACGTTTCCTCCAGTTGTCCCCAACTCGATCGTTCTTGCTGCTGACGGGAACGGTCAGAAATTGTCGATCGTCGGGTAAAATATAGAGAAGTATACTCAATAAGTAACGTGTTGACATTGAGCTGGCCTAGCCTTGTGCCTACCACCAAACCAGACTGTCCAGCACCTATGATGAGCACCGTTGGTTCTGCATCGATAAATTCGCGCTTCTCTGTGCGTGAGTCTTTCCAAGACTTGCGATCTGTGTTAGCTCCATGGTTGACACCGACAGGGCGCGTCTGAAAAGGGTTTCAGATCACTACAGGGTCGATGTGCCTTGTTCTTACACTGCCCCTGTGTTCTTCATATCCTTTAAACTCCTCTATTCCAGTGTAAAATGTCCTAAGAGACGAAAAATCAAAATATACAAGGTTGATGGTTGCAAAGCGCCTACTTTGCTTTCCATGCACCATCATCGGCGCCACGCATTAGCCTGAAGAAGCCTCGACCTCGGGCGATGCTCGTCTCAAACGTGAAGAAGCATTGTACCCAGGTAAAATCTAGAAAATCGTTGAGACTGGGGTTGCATGCAATACGGAATGAAAAAAAAGCGGCCACCTCGGTTGGCTCTGAGTAGAACTGGCTCGCCTTCAAGCTTGAAATTGCGGAGTCCTGAGGATTTTAGACGGTCGTTGTCATCGAGGAAATTCTTAATGACCGGGATAGTATGCAAGGTACGATTATCCCATGACAAAGACAAAAGATCACGCCAATATCCGTCAGCTAAAAAATGAGCTGTGATGGTTGTTGAGTCCTTTGCTTCTATTGCATCTGAAAGCGACTTGAACCAGTGCTTTGCAGCCTAGGATATCCGAATGAAGGAAGGATGACCAATCGATGAAAATAAGGCGTACTTACAACAGACAGCGCGGAGTCCTCTAAGTGCGAAACCTCGGGTGAGTTCTTTACATCGCTATGATACGTGTCTAGACTGGGAACGGGGTGGCGGAAGAGCGTGGGCGAGCATTCTTAGGAATCTTTTACAGCTTCTTCACCTTTATAGTAGATAACGAACACTTGGCGCGGTTCAAAGTTAACGAAACTGTACCGTTATCTTGCACTAAAAGTATACTGTTCGAAGGTTAACCGAGTTGCTTGAGCCACCCATGTGAACGCTCTTCTCCAGAGCTTGTGCAGCATCCAGATCTGGGATTGATGTGATTTGAAATTGGAACCCCACAACCCCAGAAAGGTGGAGTACTAAAAAAACAACATGGGGTAACCTTGTGTATGGTCTGCTGACTGCGGGTTCGGCATCCACGCCTGAGCCAATGTCATCACCAAGTGTGTTGTGTGTGGTCTGTCGCGTTCAAACTCGTTCGCCATCTCTGTCTATCCTCGCCTTGTCGAGCTCATTCTCTGCCTTGTCCAACCCCCTTCGGCAATCCGATGCGTCTTCCGTGAAAATGCCTGTCTCTACAAACTTGCGCTTCAACCTCACAGCTCGTCTCTATAAACTTTGCCCTACACACCGCAACCTCGTCCCCTCACAGCCACAGTATGACCGTCCCTCACAGCCACAGACGACCTCCATCATTCCCTCCTACACTGCTCCCTCCAGCCATCCCCGTGCGCACGTCACACCCATCTCCCTGCACCCACTCCCTCGGGTATGCTGCCATCCTGTTGTCCTGCCGCCCTTCCATCGTCATCATCTCAGAATGTAGAATGCACTCCTACACCGACCTCAGCTAGTATCTAGGCAATAAAGAAGAGTCTCCGTACCTCTCACATACCATCCTCAGTCCTCCTTCCACCAACACTCGATACCTCCCGAGCACCGTCCTCGATAGGATATACTGAATGTACTTTAGCCGTCAGAATGGGTAGCCAAGATGAGGTGTACGTACCATATACCAGGTTGTCGCGTACACTTCAAGGTACGAGTCTAGCCCAGGAAGTGACGGATCGACGTCGACATTGGTTGCGACGACTTGTCCGTATCGCATACATGCTTGGGGAAAGCTTCAGTCCGTGTCGTTACCGTTTCAGGCGAGCTATGCACGACGCTGGTCAGTATCTCCTTGAAGGAAATCAACAAAACGAAAGCTTACAGTCGATTTCAAGGTAAGTCTGGAACAGAAACACGTCAGACTTGGCATCGGGAGCCAATGCTCGATCCTACAATATACTATGCAACTGAGAACTCGTATGTATAGTGAAATCGAGGTTACGTATCTGTTTAGATTAACTTAGAGAGTCGCCGTCTGAAGGCTTGACTTCAAGGTCAAGGGTTCTTCAAGCCTCGATGAGCTAGCATCAAACCATCAGCTGCTAGCACCGTTCCAATAGTGAAGGGTTCTCTTACCTCGTGTGCAGCCAAATCCACGATGGAACCGAGAATGCTAGCTAGCAAAGATATGCATTAAAACGAGTCAAATGAACCAAGAAAAAGGTAGCTTATCGGACTCTCACGAGTACGTACTTTTGATCAAGCTCTCGAGCACCAAAGCACGGAAACTTTAACGCAAAGACATGCTCTCAAGCCACTGCCTCTCTTTGCTGAGATCTTTAGGGATACGGAAGGCAGAGGGACCGCATTATCTGGACAACCTGTAAGCTTGTGAAGTAGAAGAGTAACACGCTGTACATACCTAACTCTACGTGTCGTTTCCATAGAGCACATCCGAGTCGTCGCCGTGCTTCTGAATGGGATTGTCTTAGCCAGGGAGAAAGAAGCATTGGCCTGCGAAATGATGCTGTAAACGTCGGCAATGTACCTAGTACGTGGGTACACCATCAAGGCTATGTATCCGATCAGGTACCATTGCACTTGCTTGAGAACACAGATGTGCTTACCATTAGGATAGGCGCCGGTGAGCTGCCGCACAACCTCAGTGACTCGAAGAGAAGCCTACAATATGAATCCGGCATGAGCTAATAAATGGGAGTAGCAAACGGTCAACATACCTTGGGGTGTTATGCACCGCGGTATGGCGAGTTCGTTGCCGTGCTTGCATCGATGATCTAGTCAGAATAAAGATGTTAGCTTACAGTAAGTCATTTCATACGGAACACGTACCTATTATACCGCTAGACTTACTGTTGATACGGGAACCCTTGAAGATAAGTCAGTGACCTGATGACAAGGTTAGTTCTCAAACCTTGGAATAAACAAGTTAAAGCTTACCATGTGTTCAGTGCTAGGGAATGTACCCGACAACTGGGTACCCAACGAGGTGTCTGAGGAACACAACAACTCAGGGGCAAAGTGTCTCCAATCCAATAACGTCGTCATAGTCCTACAAAAAGAATAAAAGGCCATAAGTTCAAAGAAAACAATGTAGTATTGAACAACGTACAGAACGGAACCGGATTCGTAAAGATGGGGCTGTCAATGCATCGACGAAGCTAGAGTCAAAGGTTGAGATCTGGCGGTACCGGCGCATTAGCTTGCAGCCGATACATTGATGACGAGAGCCTTGGCTGGGCTTTGAATGAGCTATGGACGATGCGTGTCAGTATTAAGTTTTGAAGGGGAACCGGAAAAGAACGCTTACCAGATTACACACCAAGTCTGGAAGGGAAACACGTCAGTATGCAGGCAAGATGACGGTCTACAATCCCTTACCTTCTTGACTTGAGTCTTCGCAATGGAGGCATGTCAAGTAAACATGTACCGAGTTCAACGGCATGAAAGAGAGGCTGCACACTGTCAGACATCGGGAAAAAGCCAAGCAATCGAGCTTGAAGGGAACTCACCGTACCAGTGTACACACTGCTGATCTTGAATATTTGGCTGACTCACTATCGAGAGAAATTAGCTTGAAGATATGCATAACAATAAGCACGTACCTGCCTGTCACTGCAGGTAAATGAACCGAAGCAGGAGATGTCGTGGTTGAGCTAAGGAAATTGTCAGCCCGGGCGAAGCTAAATAAACGCTACAGCAAAAGCTTACCATATATTTGGAAGCAAACTGAGAACAAAATAGTAAGAGACCAACTAAATGATAGTGGCAAGAAGCCTACCTTTGTTGAGTGAAATGCTCGTTGGCCCATTTCATGAGCTGTCGACTGTCACTATTAGAGCTGGCATGTCGCGTTGAAGGCGTTAACTCGGGCCTACACGATGTTAGAATGAAAGAAACAAAAGGTTGAAAAGAAAGCTCACCCTCGTTCACGGTACACTTGGCAAAACCGTCGTGGTGAGGGTCAAAATGACACCCTGGGAATCAACCAATGAAGCGAAAAGGGAAATGATGGCGGTCATGAGACCAGTGCCATCGAGTACGACGAAGTCGACAGGGAGGCATACGATGGCGGGAGACGTGCCAAGGAAAGGCTCGACAATGAGAAAATAGTGGTGTGAAATGCTTGAGAGGAAGGGGGAAGAGGGGGAAAGCTAGAGAGGGAGAAAAGTGGGGATGAATGGGATGATGAGAAGAAAGGGAGAACGGACCTCGTATTTAAACCTTTCACAGAGGCCTGGAGCACAGGGAAAACACGGAAAATCCATGCCGACTAATGGAATATCGGGTGAACATCGGGCCTTAGAATCCACAACACCCGAAAATTGGAAGATCCAAAATTTAGATTGCAAGGGCAGAATGAGTTACCAGTGTCGTTATGAACGTAGTGCTCCCGATATTACGGACGAGCCAAGGTCTGACCATGTTTGAAAAAAGCTACTAGTCTGTTCTTGCTGTCCCCCCCAAGAAGAATCAATCTGGTAGAAAGATGAGCATGATTAGACGCTGAACACAAGGAGACAAAGTACGCACTCTTGAGGATTCTGACTTTCAAGTGGGTTGGGTAGCAGGTACAGGGTAGGTTCCTGATCACACGGTGACCCTGACCACGTAGTAGGGTCACCTTGAAACCAAACTAATATGGGAACTTTGAAATCCGGAAATTGGGAACTTGCGATGGAATGTTTCCGTTGTCGTCTTCAACTGGTTAGGCTGCGAGGAAAACATCTGGGCCCCGTCGTCATAGCTGTATTAATAAAAACTGAACATGGTACTATATTTTTGGGGGTCGTAAGCTTGAATAATGACACACAAACGTTAGAGAACGTACCAACTTTACAAAGCTGAATAGAATCTCGATCTCAAACACAACTACTTCCTTCCCTGAATGCCTGGAATGTTATATCCAATGATCGTAGACTGTATCCGTCCTGATAATCGGTTCTAAATCAAAATCTAATCCCAGGCGCAGTGAACAAATGAAAACTTACGCATCGGCAGTGGAGCTCCTGTTCAAGCTCAGGGTTGGCAGCAGCGACATCATGATCTGACATGTCGGTGTCTCGGTCCGACAGCTTTCATTAACATGAGACGCGTCATGTAGGGTCATATATAGCACTCAGAATCGTCGATAATCAATGCAGGTCATTTCCCATCCTCTGAGAGTGGCAAAAAACACGTAATCACGTGATGTTGATTGAACACGGGCTGTAAATAACAGAGTTACAGATACCAGGTGAAGTGAGTGGTAGATATGCCAAGTGTAGCTGAGAAGTGACGATATTGAACAATGGGACAGAGTGGCAAGAAGGGAACTGGGAACATTCCTGACTTCGGGAGAAGTGCGGACTTGGATCCGGCAACTTCCTCTTTTGCTCGTACCACCACCAACGAAGGCGTCCTCCCGTTCCCCGCTGTCAGCGTTTGTGCCGTCTTTGTGGTTCAGAGGTCGAGGATGAGGCACATGTTTTGCTGTACTGCGATGGAACTGGCGACTTACAGGATTTACGTGCCCGTTTCTTTCACAACATTTTCGCACTGGCAAGTCCTCCCCTTGCAGCTGCGCTGAAGTCCGCATCATTTGGACTCCATGTTCTCCATATCCTTCTGGATAGTGACGATAGTTGAGTCCTTACTTCTTTTGCCAAGTATGTTTTTGACGTGTTCCGAGTTATCAACTGTACACCACTGTATCATCCATAAATACTCGAATTCTGTAAACTTCCGTGTTTCGTTTCTCCATTTCGATACCCACTTGAGCACCCTGCGAAGAGTCTCTACTCCGCGAGACGCACTCAACAGTGTGATTACAACGGTATGAGCCTTTGCAGCCACAGCACATGGTTCGCCATGTCAGGGCTGTGGACCCGGCCGTTCCTTATTGGGACCTGGCGCCGGTAACACCACCACCACCTTGGTTGAGCGATCGTTCCTCTGTTCTGATAACTTCCAGTTCCGGCCTTGAAACACGGAATGATGCATTGTAGCACCACCACGAAACCCTCTCTTCAAGTCTCACGGTATTACCAACTTGGACCGGTGTTGAATTTACGAGGCGACACTTTGACAACGAGTATCTGAGGATGATATTATGTATTCGGTGGTGCGTGCTGTCCCAGCCTTAGTTTTTGCTTATTGTAATGAGAGGTTTCGTTGCAGGATCTAGACAGCAATTGATTCGGTGGACGTTGGGTTGTTTGGACGTCGATCATCTTGGCCGGCAGACATTTGGTAGGGCCTAGATATCGAATAGTCGACCTTTGGTACTTAACTCAATTCGAGGGTATGGATGCCGTGCAGAGCACGCATATCGGAAGCGTAGTTTGGTACGTGGGGTTCGTATGATCATGCATAAAGATGGCTGATAGTTTGCTAGATGTCTGTATTGTAACGACCTATGGTAAAACACTACTGGTGCTCGTTTGTTTCACTGATGTATCTTGTTACAGAGACGCTGGGGAACCGGTAGGGAGTAATTGGCTTTCCCTGAGCTGTTTGGTCGTTGATGGTCTCGATGGAGGATATTCGGTAACACGCAGGAGCTCTGATGGGAACCTTTGGGTAATTAACTGGAGGGATCGGGGCACACATAGCTCACCCACGAACTTCTATACGTTTGGTGCGTATATCTTTCCATTCTCGTGTATCTCAAGTGCTTATTCACTGCAGGTCTTCTATATACTAGCGAAACATTGTATTTTCCATTTAATTTCAGCAGTGTATGCCTATACTACGTGTCGTGTTGGCGTGATCCCCCCTCCCAACCTCCAAGCTCGACTTCTGGAGCATCAAACATTGAACGACGATCGCAAGAGGATGGTGAAGCTGTGTTCATGCGTCCTTTAATTCACAGGTGAGCAGCTATTTTCTGAGCTTAACGAATAAATTACTTACCATTCTTTGCTAGCACACTGTACATACCTCGACATATCCTGAGGAAGAATGACTGCACCGTGATGGCACCCAACCAAATAAGTGAATACAGGGTGGCCATGGGGTCATCTCCATCGCTCTAGCCTGAACTAGGGTTAGTCATTGTGGAAGGCAAGAAAATAATACTAACGGTGACCCTGATAATAGTGCCATATCCAATATAGGAACCGATTTCTCGTGCGACCTTGATCACATGGAAATAAGTATCCTCTGGGAAGATGGCAGAGCCATCTGGGCTTTGCTACTCGACTAGTGGGTGAACACCACCGAAACTGATTGAATGAGACTTACTAGACTACTCAACAACGCCATATCAATGTTTCTAAACAGAAGTAAAGATGTTGTGGTAGAGTGGTCGCCTGCTTAATGATTAGGCTGTTACTAGGAAGAATGGCTTTGCCATCAACGTGAAAACTCGCACCACAGAATCCTTCCAATTTTCAGACGGCTGCGATCACCCGTATAATTCAGGAACATCCTAGGTACACTTCACATGCATGTGTACGTCTTCATTTTTGAATTGGTGGCGTAGGTGACTAGTCGCATCCATATTCCAAGGCAAGTATTCGTTTAATTGTTGGATAATATTGAATCAATGGCAACTCACCAAGTATCAGGGCAGTGGACATGAAACATGAACCATACATCTTGTGGAGAAAGTATATCTAATGAGCTTGTCATAAAAACCGGCACTAGCGAGCTATCCATGTGGTACGTGTTAGTAAATTCTGAGCGGCATACTTGATTGATCCGTATTTTAGAATTCGTGCCAAACGGTCTAAGTATTGGATTATCTTTGTAAGATTCTCTGGTAGCCAACTACATATCTTGTAATAGTAAGGCAAATATTTGCTCTTTGAATGAGAGTAGACTCACTCATTGGTGAATAGAAGGTGTAGACTTGGATTTCATGATCTATGAATTCTTTCTTGATGTATGGCATGCCGCAGTGCATCCAGCCCTTCACTGTGCTAGTGAGTATCTCTTCAGCCCTGCAATGTCATGAGAATCAGCCGGTTATACCCAGGAAATTCTCTCAGCCATTGCTTGAAGACGGCTTCTGACATTGATTGCAATTACATGGCATATTGGATGGTTGCGCTCATGCAACTGTATAGCCCTGTATGTGATCACCCTGCTTGCACCAATATCGGCAGATCATCGTGTTTCCAGCTGCTCAAAACTCAATTGGTGTATCTTCATATGACGGCATCCTGGGATATGCACATGGAGAAGAAGGTATTTCTCATCAGTTACCCTGGAGATATATGGAAGATGTATTTTAACTTTCATCTTGAGAATTTGCATCACACCGTGTCGGAACCAATTTGCATTCTTGACAGGTACCTTGAGAAGCAGTGAATTACTCAGGAGAATTATGAATCTAAGAGACTGGACTGGAATGAGCTGAAAATTGGATCCTTTCTTGTCAATTTTGAATGAATTGAGGGTCTTGAAATATTCATGTTGGTGATAAGTCGGATGTTTACAGGTCGGTTAGAGAGAAAAATAGGGACATCATGGTTACAGGATATTCCAGTAGCATATGAAAGCTCATCCGAGCCTTCACATGCCACTGGAAGGCCTTGGAACCATGACAAATGACAGAAATATCCGAGTGTAATATGGGATTGATGCGAAATCTACGCGGTAGGCATGTGGATGCACAGCCCAGCATGTGAATGAATAGTTCTTCCGAAAGTTTTTTTTTGTTGATCTGACAAGTTACAGACCGTGGAACCGAGCTGCGAGAGTATATAAGGTTCAGAAAGCAGGTGATCGACTATTCCTGTTTCTTACCTCCGTGCTGTCATTATGCTGGGCCGTTGTGCAACTTTTTGGTGCAGCAAGGTTCTTTCTGTCATCCATATACCCTTCCACAACGTTGTTTTCTCTTGAGGGCGTGTCGTTGTCCGAGGATCGTGATGGGCGTTGAATGCTCAAAGGGGGATGTTTGGCATGGCCCTCTTCTATTCTTCATATACCGATGTCGTTTGCGCATCCTCTTCCGTCTCTCTTCCTCACTGTCCCCCCCTTCGATTGTGTGATATGCATCTTGTGTCGAGGAAGGTTTGTTTTATCCCCTTCAGGATAACTGCCGTTTGCTTACCTTTGGGGTCGTATTTAGGTCTTCCATTTGGGTATTTTTTTTTGACTAGCTCAATCTCGATTTTCCTGGATGATCACATTGGAACCTGAAAATGACGTCTACGTTCACGATGCTCAGGGTGAGTTGAACATTTCTCTTTAGTTTCTGACTGCTCATGTACTCTATCGTAGGTCTCGATCTTGTACGGTCGCGTCAATAATGCTCGAAGGCTGTGCTATGAGGAGTAAAGGGCCAGTGAGGCGATTCCGACTGCAAACATGCTAGGAAGGTGGGTGCTTCCTTGTCAAAGTTCTGTCAGTCAAACTGACGTTTCCCTGCAGATCTCGTATCAACCTCTTCAAGCCCATCCCCCACCTTCCCTTCTCTTTCAGCCCTCCTCCATTGCATCCGTTCATTTCTCTGCGTCGTAGCCCGTTTTTACTAGGCCTCAGTATTGGCTGAGGAAGCCGATTTTGCGTTGCCGCGATGTATCGATTTCCGGCAAGCGAGGTGTGTGGAGAGAGGTGGGGACGTGTCGGCAGGAGGGGCCATCCACCTGGATCACTCGGTCTTCCCTCGTCCACTGTACTGCGCCTAGTCACCACGTACCTCTTGCAGCACGACATCAATAGCGATCCCCTCCTGCTCCGTAGCGTCGTCGCCTACCTTGGGAACAGGTTAGAATTGTCTCGAGACGACGTATCGCCTTCCGGCGAGCAAGGTGTCAAGGGAGGGTGGATGTGCCTGTGAGGGAGAGGAGTTGGGAGCCGACACAGTACCGAGGTGTAGCCTCATGTAGGTGTTTACTTTATACTCATCCCTTCTCTGTTTGCTTATTCTCCTTGGAGGACTTTGTATCTTTTCTGTTCGGAGTGCTGGAACTTGGACCCTCACGTCCATCACGCATCAAGGCTGAAGCTCCAAGGTTCGAGTACAATGTTCAACGTTCAAGGCAGGGATGGTGTAACGTATTTCATGGCATTACAAAGTGTGTTCTATTCCGATCTGTATTACGTACTCTCATTGAGCTCCTCTGCTCCCTTAGAGTAACATCCATCCGTATACCAAGTGTTCATTGATGTTCATCCCAGTACCATCCTCCTTTGTGAATACCACATCTCCTCGGACCTCGATATTACTCAAAATATGCCGAATACGGGACGAGTTTTGCGTGGAGACGATGTATCGCTTTCCGGTGAGCTGCACCAGCGAGGTGTAAGGTGCTCGTGTTCTGGAGAGTTTAAATGTAAGTTTTGTATTCTTGCTCACTTTTTTGCAAGCTAATTTGCTCCAACAGATCCTTGTACTATATCCTTCGATGCTCACACGTGCATGACAACCTCGATGTTACTCTGGCCAACGACCAATGGAATTTTGCGCCGAGACGATGCATCGTGTTCCGGCGAGCAATGTGCAGAACAAGGATAGATGCATTGCCAAAGGAGGAGATTCTGCGCACGAGAAGGGAGGACGACTATACGACAATCCGCCGATCACATGCAAGGTCCGCACCCATTTACGCAGGGATGCACACGCACACCCTCCACCACTCCCACGCGCACTCTCTCACCCGCGCACCACCTCATCCCTCTCCCTGCCGCATTCAGAGTCGCCGTTTGTGTGATTTGGCGGGATTTTGCTTGTTCAAGTTGTGCTGTGGGAGAGAGTTGTTGGCAGCCGCATCAATATGATAAATGAAGCTGAAGGATGAGATCTGAGAGGGAATGGGTGATAAAGAGGTACGTGCTTGCCTGTCAAGTTGTTGATGTGACGGCTGACATTCTTCCTGCAGCATACCTACCTAACGCGTCAAGACCAAGTTCCTCAACAAGCAGGGAGTCAACCACCAGACGCCTTTGTTCACCCCCGTTTAACCCGTTGCGCCTGATTAAATAGCCGCCGTTTGAGGAGGACTCGGGGTTGGGGAACGGCGTCTTGTGGTCGACTCGTATAGCGTTGACTAGGAGTGAAAAGGTGAGCTGACATGTCTCTGTTTGTGCACCCAATGCTAACTTGCCTCTATTTCAGCTTGTTACCGTCTCCTCCAAGGTAGGTCTGTCCTATTGGGGTTAGGGTTACTCACAGCAGATCGCATTCAGGACTCTCTTATTTTTTTTTGGGCAAATCGGACCCACAACGGCGAGCCTCGGTTTCCCGTTGGAACGATTTGAACGGGAGACTACGCTTGGCCGGCGCACGAATGGGAGGAAGCCCCCTCCCGTTCGTGCATTTTTTGAATACCTTCGGGGTGGGGAAATTATGATCCTATGAGCTCCAACTGAGCTGGACTTAGGCCTTTTTTTTTCAACCACACCGGGGTATTTTTTTTTTTGGTCGAAAACTCACTTTCGATTCTCCGTCCGATCTATTTACTTTCTGTATCCTAGCAGTATCAAAATACATCCCATCTCCTTTCTCCTCTTATCGCCCCAGTCCTCGTCAAGAAATCGTCCTTTCTGTCTTTGTCCTCGTTATCTCTGATCGACGACCCTGAGTGCACCTAACTTTACATAGGCGCAAGGCCCTCTACCTGCGCTTTAATCCTCAACGCCAACCTCTTACTCCAAAACCTCACAAGCGCAAGGTTACCTCCCATAGCGTAGATCCCGGCTACATCCCGAGGTCAGTAAAGTTCATCTCATTCCAACACGACTTACGATGTCCACTATTCCTGTAAATCCCGCTCAGCTCTCCCTCAGAATCCAGACCCCACACGTCTTTCATTCGCTCAGCCTCTGAACCGAGGATCTTCACCGCCGTGGTCTTCATATTCTGATTTTTTGCTCATACTCAAGATGCAGCCAAGCTTGGTGATGAGGGTCCCTTACCTTGTATCCTGTCGCTAGAACGACGATATCCGCCTCGATCTCTGTACCATCATCAAAGACGACAGAGGTCTCCGTAAAATGACCTGCCCTTCTGTCAGTAACATTCATCGGTACTGGCGGCCGCCTTACTGATTTCGTGCCCCTGCTTCAGCTTGATCTTCCTCTCTGCGATCAGCTTGGATGCGCCAACGTCTATATCTGGGAATCCATCCCTGTCAGTCAATCATTCCATTCAGCTGACGTACTCATCTCTTACAATATCCCCCGCCCTGGGTAAAGTACTTGGTTATGAACCCGGATCCGCCGATACCTAGATTATAATATTGCGTGAGGTCAAATAAAAACGGCGGCATGGTCCTGACCATAGTCAATCTTGAACCCGACCTTCTGTAGTCCGTCGAGCGTAGGACGGTCGATCTCAGCGATCTCTTCAGTGGTGTATTTGTGCAAGATCTAAGTCGCAGGACTCGGACATCATCTTCAGAGTTATTCACTTGGCAGACGCACCTGGAACATATGGTTAGGCGTCGACGAGAACATGATATCCGCATCCTCAGTAGGAGGCCCATTCTCTTCGTACAAACCCCGGAACAACACCCCGAGCCCAGCGGCCGATGACCTAACCTCCATCAAATTTATTTCACACACTCGCATAATGAAAAACATGGCACTGACATCACATAGGTACTGGATCGCTGTACGATAGTAACGTCAGCCCCTTGCTCATAAAAGTCCTGTGCGATACTTTTAATTTTGGAAAGGGTTCAATTAAACGTGCGTTTCAAATGCAAGAAGAAAACTCACTCGTGACCACTATTGCAGCAGCCGACGACAACAGCCTGGCATGAAAATCAAAACCTGTCAGAATTCGGTGATGCGCTACTACACCCCTGTGTCGCCCCCCACCTTTTTGCCCTTGAAGGAGCCTCCTGTGGTGTGCTGACTCGAGTGACAGAGGTGGCCCTTGAAGATATTCTGATCTTTGAAGACAGGGATGTTAGGCTCTCCGCTGTGTCCGGTGGCGAGGACGATGAACTTTGGTTTGATGATGCGGTTGGGATGGCCTACACGTGCGATGGTGACGGTCCAGAGATGTGAGGGTTCGTCGTACGTGGCGGAGGTGATGGTGCTTTGCATCCAGATGTTGAGCTCCATTGTCGCTGCCTAGAAGGGGAGGGTTCAGTAGATTTTAGTGACCTCGTGGGGTAGGGACGTACATAGGCCTCGAACCAGTCGCCTAGCTTGTCCTTTGGTGTGCTGTCGAACAGTGAGTGTCAATCGAGTTTACGCAGTTATTGGGCTTACAAAACCGGCCAGTGTGGGGGGAATGTGACGTAGGGAAGGTGGTCATACCAGACTGGATCTGAGGGCGCGATTGGTTAGCCCTGTCGAGCAAAGTAGAATAAATTCTTACCGTGAAGGACGAGGAAATTGTAACGTTTCCTCCAGTTGTCCCCCACTCGATCGTTCTTGCTGCCGACGGGAACGGTCAGTAATTGTCGATCATCGGGTAAAATATAGAGAAGTATACTCGATAAGTAACGTGTCGACACTGAGCTGGCCTAGTCTGGCGCCTACGGCCAAACCAGACTGACCAGCACCTATGATGAGCACTGTTGGTTCTGCATCGATAAATTCGCGCTTCTCTGCGCGTGAGTCTTTCCAAGACTTGCGATCTGTGTTAGCTCCATGGTTGACACCGACAGGGCGCGTCTGCAAATGGTTTCAGATCACTACAGGGTCGATGTGCCTTGTTCTTACGCTGCCCCTGTGTTCTTCATATCCCTTGAGCTCCTCTATTCCAGTGTAAAATGTCCTGAGAGACGAAAAATTCAAATATGCAAGGTTGACGGTTGCAAAGCGCCTACTTTGCTTTCCATGCACCATCATCGGCGCCACGCATTAGCCTGAAGAAGCCTCGACCTCGGGCGACGTTCGTCTCAAACGTGAAGAAGCATTGTACCCAGGTAAAATCTAGAAAATCGTTGAGACTGGGGTTGCATGCAATACGGAATGAAAAAAAAGCGGCCACCTCGGTTGGCTCTGAGTAGAACTGGCTTGCCTTCAAGCTTGAAATTGCGGAGTCCTGAGGATTTTAGACGGTCGTTGTCGTCGAGGAAATTCTTAATGACCGGGATAGTATGCAAGGTACGATTATCCCATGACAAAGACAAAAGATCACGCCAATACCCGTCCGCTAAAAAATGAGCTGTGATGGTTGTTGAGTCCTTTGCTTCTATTGCATCTGAAAGCGACTTGAACCAGTGCTTTGCAGCCTATGATATCCGAATGAGGGAAGGATGACCAATCGATGTAAATGAGGCGTACTTACAACAGACGGCGTGTCCTCTATGTGCGAAACCTCGGGTGAGTTCGTTACATCGCTATGATACGTGTCTAGACTGGGAACGGGTGGCGGAAGAGCGTGGGCGAGCATTCTTAGGAATCATTCACAGCTTGTTCGCCTTTATAGTAGATAACGAAGACTTGCCGAGGTTCATAGTTCACGAAAGTGTACCTTTATCTTGCACTAAAAGTATACTGTTCGAAGGTTAACCGAGTCGCCTGAGCCACCCATGTGAACGTTCTTCTCCAGAAGCTTGTGCGGCATCCGGATCTGAGATTGATGGGATTTGAAATTGGAACCCCACAACCCCAGAAAGAAGGCGGAGTACTAAAAAAACAACGTGGGGTAACCTTGTGTATGGTCTGCTGATTGCGGGTTCGGCGTCCACGCCTGGGCCAGTGTCATCACCAAGAATAAGCCTCCTAAATCATAACTCGTAGTCGGAAGTCCGGGAGACCGTCCATGTGACCCGTGACCTTCTTAGTTTATTTCGTGATCGCGCAGTTCCCCTCTTTACTATACGATCGTTCTCCCTGGGCGCCTCTCTTCTGTGCTAAAATTCTGACAAAGACAAAAAAATTCTCCAAAATATGAAAATCGTTGACAGTTCCCCGCACTTGCAGCCTATTTTAAAACATCCCGGACCTGTTTTCAAATCGATCGTCTCTTTACGGGTTATCCCCCCTGTGGCTGGATAAAGAGATAAAGGAGCGCTAGTCGAACCTGGGATCTCTACTGTCCGCTTGCCTACTCCCCACTTCCCGCTGTCTGAAAAAATGTCGTCAACTAGCACAGCTGAGAAGCTCGAAGCTAACACCTATGAGGATGTTCATCACCGCAATCACTTTGCCAACGCCAACCAGCCGCCTCCCCCTCCGGCTATCGTGCGTCCTGCTCTCCCCAACGGTGCAGCTTTGTGAGTATCAGTCACTACCTCATCCCACTGACCCCAAGCTAATTTTTTCTTTTGCAGAGGTCTCTTCGCCTTCGGCTCAACTTGCATTGGCATTTCCCTCTACACTGCGGGCGCCAGTGGTATTTCAGTCCCCAACGCCATCGTCGGGCTCGCTCTCTTCACCGGCGGCGTCGCTCAGTACACTGGTGGTGTAGTCGAGTTCGCTAGAGGCGTCACTTTCACCGGTTCGGGTACGTTGCATCCTCTACCATGTAGTGATAATTTTTTAACGCAATCCCCCCTTGCAGTATTTTGCATCTACGGAACCTTCTGGTTGTCGTATGCCGCGGTTCTTCTTCCCAATACCGGTATTGCGGCTGCGTACGAGGCCGACACCGGTATGCTGCAAAACGCCCTAGGCATCTACTTTATCATCTGGAGCATCATCACCGTCATGTTCTTGTACGTTCTCCCAACTCCTTATCTTCATGTCTCCCTATCTCACACTCATCCACCAGGTTAACCGCTCTACGCAAAACCCTGGCACTGGTCATCCTCCTTTCCCTGCTCTCCTTGACCTTCTTGTTCTTCGGGATCACGGAATTCACGCACGGAAATTCAAGGCAAGTATACCATCCCTCCCCCGCTCCACACCCACGGTACTCATCGTCTTATTTCTTTTAGTGTCGCAAAGGCAACGGGTGTCATTGGGACTATCACAGGCTTTGGCGCTTTCTACGTCGGTCTCGGGGAACTCCTCGGAGCAGACCCGAATCCTCCCTTCCTCTTGCCCCAGGGCGTTTTCAAACACTAAAGAATCAGATGGCTGTAGTAGTTCTTCACCTAGTTACCACACACACACACATACTCAAGTCATATTTGCCCCGCTAAAGCATGGAAGCCTGTAAACTATTGCATCATTTGTAACTTATATCCATTTTCCTTCCACACACACAAGTAAAAGAGCAGATCTAGAATTAAAAGGCGTTCCCTATTGAATTTCAGTCACGGATCCCTTCGTCTGATCTTCTATACACCCGAATTCATATTCCTCCAAAGCCTGATTTTATAGTCCATGCGCAGCTGGGGGTGGCGCATAGACTTGGGCCCACGCCCACGCTATTTTCGCTACATCAAGAAGCTCCAGGGTGAGCGAGCGGTACCTTTCCCTCCAAATTCGCTCCTTCGGGCATTGCAGCACCATCCCACATAATCCGCCGAACTTTTGTGAGTAGAAGGGTACGACCTCCAGATGGGTAATCGGTATGTGGCGGCCGCTCAAAAAACTTGCAAACCTGAGGCCTGAAGTTCCAGAGCCTCCAGGTCACTTCCTCCTCTTCTCACCTTGGGGAAGAACAGAGCTAAATCGTCGACACTTCTTCTTTCGCTACCGGACGTCCAAAATAAACTATGATGCATTGTTGGAACGGGAGTACTCACCAGAAGAGCAAAGTTCGCGAGTACGAATTTCAGTGATAAATTGTTGTTCTCCTTCTCGCATGTCGTTAGGCAGAATTCTCGGAACGGAACGGGGGTATGTACTAACACCCCGTGGTGATAGAACTACCAGCGAACCTTGGTTTGGTTCATCGTCACTCGTGGTGCGTGAGTCCGCATTTCATCTCGCAACCACAAACACAAACGCCACTGAAGATGGGGAGAAAGAATACACCCGCTCCCGCGCGTTGTTGAAGAGAAAAAAGCATGCACCTCGGGGGGTTTTTTTTTACTGGGAAATTTGAAAAGTATAATGGTGTTTCAAACACTATGGAGAACGAATACGGGTACCTTTGGCGGTGGAGCGAATGGAGGTGGGGTTGGCTAGGTCTTGAGGGACAAGGTGTTTTTTGGTTTTGCCTCCGAGTTCTTCGCGTAGGCTTCTTTTGATTTGATGTGTTCTCACCCCGGAAAGCGGTGTTGACTCGAACATTACGCGGCGAAAATAGATCCTGGAAAGTTTTGAGTTGATTTCAATCGCGCTTGCAGAGGACATCAGGCCCACCTTGGCTGCTAAATATCCAACTCCAGTGTTCCCACCTGTGATGATGATGGCTATACCCAGCGAAAGTCTACGGGGAACTCGCTCTTGAGTGAGCAAGATTTGCTAGATAAACTTTGCATGGTTGCTGCCCAGTAGTAGAAAGCACATGTAGATTTATAAACCAAGCAATATTCTCTCGCTGAGTCTCACGATGCGTACTGTGCCGTCCATCAGTGAATTTCACGTCCGCAAGTGAGAGATACGGGCCGCTGAAATTGCCAAAGAGTTGCCAAGCACACGCTTCGCGGCAGTGGCGAGAGGAATTTGGATTAAGTTCCGCGAAAGCCGGTTTATCACCAGTCAGGAAGAAAGGAATGTAGATGGTCTCCGATCTAGTATTTGTTCTCCCTGCCAGCCCCTTGAAGCCTAGGCGGTTTTACTCAGAACTATATAAAGAACTATGAGATGGATGAAGCCAGACTTGTCCAATATACGCGCGAAGATGACTACGAGTAGGTAGGTTTAGCCTCCATAATGATATTTGCAATGCCGCCCCGATAAGACGGAGTAAGTATCTGTTTGCGAGTTCTGCTTTTTTCCCATCTTGATAATACTTTGTTGTAGGTCAAAGTGCAAGTACGTACACTCACGTCGTGTATGGAAGGTCAAGGTTGAGAAGGCGTGTGGTCCGGCTTTACGTTACCCGGGCCCGGTGGCCGATTTGCTCCGAACATTCATCAAGTCGACTCTTTTCCTTCTCCATGCATACAATTAATTGTACGGACCTAATGAAAGGGCCAGCACACCTGAGTTAACCTTACTCCCTGGGAAGAGATATATCAGTTCAAGCATGAAATGGCATAGTGGGCTCTTCCCGAAACTGGTTTTTCTCCCTTATTAATATTCTTTCCCTTAGGTTTACCTTCAACTTCGTGTTGTAAATTAAGCTTCAATAACGTCAGAAAACGTTCAACCCCGTTGTCATCTGGAATCCGCTTGGGATCCGCATGAGAAGCATGTTCGGCTCGTAGTGCGTTCCAAACAAAAGTCAATAGCAGGGAGGGCCACTGTGTACTACGTTTCGCTATTTACACACAACTATCGATCTCGAAGATGTCGATGAGTGCCAACCCGGTGCTGCTGTTCCTCTACAGGGCCGCCATTGCCCTAGCTGATACTTGGTCTTGCTTCTTCCCCTCTCGCAGGTGCCTGCCTGCCCCAAGAGTGCGTATTTTGTTCAACATAAGTGCCCCCCTGATCTGATCAGTGACTACCGCACAGGAAGTGGATATTGATGCCGAAACAGACGAGCAGCTGCTCGCCCGTTGCAAGTCTGTTTCTGACGAACAGTGGTCACCCTTTTCTAGTTGGGACAAATGTGCAGTGAGGCTCAGCCCTGATGTGGTCGGCAAGCTGGTTACCTGCAGCGATACGGGTTGGTCGCCAGAAGCGCAGGCTCAGGAACTTGTTCGTAATCAGACCAACATCCCGGTCCCTGCCGTCCGTCGAGTTCTCCCTATGGATGATCTCTGCGTGCTTGTTATGGACTACATACCTGGCCGCACTCTGTCGACTGTTTGGCACACCATGTCGATCTGGAAAAAAATCAGTACCGCTGTTACCTTGCGTCGATATGTTCGCGAGCTTCGCTCCATCCGTCACCCCAGGGATGACATACCTGGTCCCTTAGGAGAGGGGCGGGAGCCACTCCCATGTATCTCGTCGGTCCTCTTTACCGCAGTCGAACGGGGCCCCTTTCCCTCCCAACATGACTTCATTCAATTCTTCAACACGGCCAAGGAGAAAGCCGCCTGGCCCGGTAGTGTTGCGCCGGCGTTGCCTTCACGAAATGAGGCAGGCCCGCTGGTATTCTCACATGTTGACTTTGTCATGCGCAATCTCATGGTTGGGGATGACGGGCAACTATGGTTGATAGATTTTGGGCAGGCCGGGTTTTATCCACCATGGTTCGAATTTGTTAACATGCTGGGTGATCAATTTGTCGGTGCACAGGACCAAGAATGTGACGCTGTCTGGCGAGCGCTGATACCTTTCATATGTGATCCATACATCGAGTTGTATAACTGGATAGTCACCATACCTCCGCCCTGCTTGTAATATATATATCATATATATGCCTTCCTTCCTTGTTACACATTGAGTCCATCAGACAGTGCAGAGGGCAAATCATCAGTACTATTGTTACAAATATTCTTCCCATATGCTTTTTCTGAGAGCTATGTATCATACAATACTAGAGTCGGAGTCTAGACGCCAACATTCAGGTCCTCATTCAGCACAAAGTATTCCGCAAAGTTTAAATGGTGCTTTTTGCTTGACAGCGAGAACATACACTTCCAGGGTCCAGAATCCTGCTCTCCGGCTCGAGACGGGACAAAGCCACGAAACACCAACGTCCACTGACATCCCGCCCCTTGGCAGCTTGAAGGCGAGCGGTGTCCACACCCCCTGCCGCGAAGGTGACCAAAATCATGTCCTCCGAACTCGGGCCCGCCGGCCGATTTTCTCCGAACATTCTTTTCCATAACAATCAATTGTACGGACCTAATGAAAGGGTCAGCATACCCTGAGTCAACGACTCAACCCCACTCTCGGGGAAGAGATTTATCAGTTCAAGTGCCGGAGAGGTATAGTACTCTATTCCTAAAGCTCTCCAGGAGCCATTATTGATCTTCTCTCCCTTAGACTTTCTTTGAAGTACCTTCATGCACTCTGTAAATTCAGCTTCCATAGCGTCAAAAACACGTACAGCACCGTTGTCATCGGGAATGGATGCTCCACTGGATCCGCATGAGAATCGTGTTCGGCTCGCAAACGGCGACGTCACCAGACTTTCTGGAAGTAAGACTGAATTGTACGATTGGATCCACACGATTTACCGTGAGTATCTAACTGTATCCGGCGACCAAGGGGTTTTGAGCTCAGATCTTCTGGCGGCGCTAGCTGTGCCGTTATACCTTCCCCCCACTATCGAACTTCTTTTGATCCTCTCCGTATTGAAATGGACACCGAACCCACGTCTGTAAGTATATGTGTTTCCCAGAGCCACCCCGCTAACCACCTCTTCAGATAGCAGAACGGTGGTTCCAGTCGTTTTCGGAAGCTATACGGTCCCAAGACGCCAACGCTGTCTCTTCTTGCCTCTTCTCAGATGGATACTGGCGCGACCTTCTTACTCTGTCGTGGGATATTCGCACCTTGCATACTGCTTCGACTATCAAGACGTTCTTGGAAACAGACAGTCGCCTACAGAGCTCCGGGCTGCGTGAGTTGAAACTTGAGGGTGACCCGGTCCTTGTAGAGGCCAAGCCTGGTGAGCCCTCTTCTACACGCGTTGCGAAGTTTGTACCATATCGATACGACTAGGATTTACTTGGATACAATGTTTATTCACGTTTGAAACCGACGTCGCCCGAGGACGAGGATTCTTCCGGTTGATGCAGGACAGTCATGACAGTCTTTGGAAAGCAAAGTAAGCAGTCATTTTAGCTGTTGTTGATATTGTCCTTCGACTATCTTTCAGAACGCTTTACACCGGAATCGAAGAACTGAAGGGACATGAAGAGAGGCAGGGGAAGGTGTGTACCTTCGATGATCTTGTTTGCAAGGCAAAGTCTAAAGACTTTTGATCCAGACGCGACCTTCCAGTGTCAATTATACCAACCACACGAACCGTATTGACGACGAAGGGCCAGTAGTACTGATAGTCGGAGTGGGACAATCCGGTCTATCCCTTGGCGCACGACTTCAACAACTCAACATCAACACAGTCCTCATCGAGTAAGTCTTCCTTCTTACTTCTCCAAATCTATCCTGACAACGTGACAGCAAGAATGATAGAGTTGGTGATAATTGGCGAAAGCGGTACAAGTCTCTTGTTTTGCACGGTGGGCCCTATCTCCCCGTTACTTCCAAAGGAACGGTCTGATATGCTGCCATTGCAGATCCCGTTTGGTTCGACCACCTCCCTTATGTCCCTTTCCCCGACCACTGGCCCATATTGTGAGCCCGGCCATTCTATGGCGCGATCATAGTCGACTAACCTACATCTAGCTCACCCAAAGACAAGCTTGCAGACTGGTTCGAAGCATACGTATGTTGTCGATTTACTCCAACCATCCGAAAGTTTATGAGCGGTCTATATCTAGGCCATCATCATGAATTTGAACATCTGGACGCGGAGCTCAATCAAATCCGCCACATATGATGAGGTCTCTCACACCTGGACAGTGACGATATCCCGCATGGGCCATCCCGACCAGGTCATCAAACCGAAATTCATCGTCCTTGCAACGGGAGTCAGCGGAGAGCCAAATATCCCCACGTTCAAAGACCAAAGTGTGTTCAAAGGTCCTGTTTATCATTCTAGCCAGTTCAAGTCTGGAGAAGGATTCAAAGATAAGAAGGTGAGGATCCGATGTCTTTCTTCTTCGGAGTATTGATATTCTTATCGACAAGGCTATTGTCGTCGGGTGTTGCAATAGCGGCCACGAGTGTGTCTCACTCCTCGTACTTGTATTGCCATGGTTCTGATCATTTTTTCTAAGTATTGCTCAGACCTTGTATGAACATGGTGCAGACGTCACGATCGTACAGAGATCCAGCACCTACGTTATGTGAGTTTCCGAAGTATCGTACCTTTGCTTTTCTATTTACATAACATCTTACTAGATCCTCCACCGGTGTCGGATGCTTACTTGGCCCTTTGTATGGGGAAGACACGCCGCCAACAGAAGATGCCGATATCATTAACTTCTCGCTTCCTGTTCTCATGTATAACAACTTGCACAAGCATGCAACCGAGCAAATAGCTGAACTAGATCGCGATTTGTTGGAAGGATTGCGGAAAGCTGGGTTCAAGCTTAACACTGGTGAGCTTCCTCGGTGTTTGCCAAGTTACTTTTTCATTGATTTGACGGTTAGGTATAAACGATGCGGGATTGATGATGACATACCTGTCCAAGGGAGGGGGGTACTGTAAGAAAGCGTTTACGTTTTGTTTATGCTGTTCGTTGATCTTGTTTAGACATCGACGTTGGCGCATCGAAACTCATCGCTGAGAAGAAGATCAAAATCAAGCAGGGTCACGAAATCAGTAGGCTATGCCGTTCCACCTCAAGAGCAAACACTAACAAGAAGCAGGCCATTTTACTGAAAACACTCTTGTCTTCGACGATAGGACGGCAATCGAAGCGGATATCGTGATTTTAGCCACGGGATACCAGAATATGAAGACCACGGCCATCAGGATCCTCGGATCCGAAGCAGAACGCATCAGCGAAGTGTGGGGCCTTGATACCGAGGGAGAACTCAAGGGTATCGCGAAACCTTCTGGGCATCGTACGTCTCATGATCACTTTATTGCTCGCCAAGACTGATGTGGGGACTTTTATAGCTGGCATATACACCTTCGGAGGAAACCTTGCTCAGGCTAGGTTCATGAGTAAGCGGCTCGCGTTGAGAATCAAAGCGCAGATGGAAGGCCTCGCCCCGTTTTGATATTGATAACGAAGTATATATCTTTGGTCGAAATTCTACTTCGAAAGCCTTAGCATGTCTAAATTAAAGTTCAAGACGTGTTAACGAAGGAGAAGCTCGGAGTTCGTCTCCTAAGTCTTTGATGGTGGATACAGTACGACCACGATGACCACCGTCCAAGTGGTTGCTTGCCCAGACGAGTAACCTGGCAAGGCACTCATCCCATGCATTACTTTGAGGATATAGGCTGGCCAAGGCATAAACGAGATCATCGCGGTTGTTGTGGAGTAAAACCTGGCATACTGAACAGAGATTGTCGGAGTCGTAGATGTATGCCAGCTGGAGCTCGTGCTCCTGTAAGGTGAAGAAAGATGGCTCGGCGACAATGGTGGAGATATAAGTAATAACGATATGCTTCCAAGTTGCCATACCGTCAAGACGGATACGGTGATGTAACTTGTAGAGAATGTTCATCTCGGAACACTTGGTAAAAGATGACTGACTGCCATTGAGGACTCAGGCAATAAAGCAACAGTCTATTAGCACGGGCATGGATGTCTTGCTCAGGGCCAGCGTCGGTCTGGGTAGCAGAGAGTAGGGTTCGAACCACATTGGTTGCAAAGACTCTACCCAGGGTGCTCGTTATCTCCAAAACAACATTGTAGGGAGAAGGCATCACAAAAAGAGGCGCAAGCGTAGCCAAAGTCGCTAAGCGTATGTTCATCTCCTCGGTAGTTGATTCCAGACCAGAAAATATTCTGGTTTCAACTAGACGACATAGAGTCTGTCGAATGGTTCGCAATTCATGCGCTCGTGCACGCATTTCTTCTTCAGATCCAAGAGGAAGTTTGTGACGGCGCATGTACTGAGAGAGGCACTGCACCAACATGGAACACCATTTAAGAACGGATGGCCTACTTTCCGAGACGTCACCGGGTAGTGAAGGATCGCTGCTCTGGCGGGATACTTCACAGACTGATGATACAAATCCTAGTAGAAGCTCGAGTTGAGGAGAGATGAAGTGAAATGGGCTGCTGCCGCCTTGGATGCGGTACACGTCGAAGAGTAAATCTACCATCGACGTCACCATGTCTTTATTAGGCGCGGTGATTGTAGTCGAAGGATGATCATCTTCAAGTTCTGTTCCAAGAAGGAAAAATGAGTTGTCTTTCAGTATTTCGAACAAGGCCAACTGCATCGAACTCAGCCGGTAATTGAGGAGCTGTAATCGTGCTTGGCGCAAGAGGAGGATCCAAAGGAAAGGGGGTAGCCTTAAATCTGCCAGATGTCCCAGCAAACAACGCTTCAAGAGTCGGCGAGCTGAGGGTCCACGACCCAACACACATGTTGTGGTAGCCAGGAGTGCTGGGTGCTTGGTAAATGATAGATCGGGTGGACGGAGCATTGGGTCATCCAGTGTAATGGTTCGGTGAAAAGATCCATCACGCCCAATGGATAACTCAGCGTCGAACTGCTTCAGCTGTAGCAATGTCCTCCACATGACCTCAGCCTTTCGCTCCGCACCACAACAGGGCTCTTGCCACGATGTAGGCACGTGAGCGGGGTAACACGAGTGTATTTCCTGCACTAAATCACTGGAAAACATCTCTACGTCCAAGAGACCCTGAGGGAAGCCCGATCTGAGGCCGCTAACAGACTCAAGAGCGATCTGTCTGATCATTGGATTGGAGGAAGTAGTGTAAAGCCAGGATATACACCCGGCGTCAATTTGGTCAGCCTTATCGTGAACAGCGCTGCGTTCGGCTTCCTTCAACGACAAAGACGGTGGGAAAACAACGCGACTACGAATAAGACGATCCGTGGGAAAGATCCAACGCTTTTGCTGTCGGCAGACAGTAAGCCAGGTTGCAGTTACATGCCATAGCCTATCAACCAGCCGACGAAGAATATAGCCGTAAATGCTCAGAGGTGTCTTATACGGACACTGGTGGTATGCGATAGGTAGCAGGTTGGATATCACGTAGGCCAAATAGACAATCACTGAAATTGCGGCCACGATATAGGCTGCACTGAGCTGCAGCGACAGTAGGGAAAGGATCAGTCCGACGAGAAAAATCGCAAGGGAGAGGTGTAGCAGTACGGGAAGGCATCCTATAATCATGGGAACCTGCCACTTGTGCAGGGCTGTGTACCGAGACTGTCGTAGACGGGCGCGTTCACGGGCGGTCCCAGATGTACCCGAAACATAATGGTGCATCCACTGCTTCGCGAGAACCGCTACTAGAGCTGTAATGAGACTGAGAAGGAGGCTCGTGAACCACAAATTGTACGTCCAGACGTCGAGAATTTCTGGCGAAAACGTGTTGAAGGGCTCAATCATGGGGACGTCATCAACCGGTGTTCCCTTGGCCGTAGCACGTTGTACCGCGATGAGCTCGACCATAAGCAGAGAAGAAATCTGCGCAAAGTCCGGTTTTAGACTATCTGATGCCTGGACAACGAACGTTGTCACTACGGCAGAGAATAGACCTGCCTGTTGACCGTCAGTAAGATTTCAGTGCAGCGAGATGGTATCAGACGTACGAAAACAAGGAGAATGTCGATTGTATCTCTGTATTGCTCCATGACCTCAGCATCAGACACTGCTGCCTCGTCATTATAGGTCCTCCAGAATCTTGCATTGGGTGCCATTTCTTCTCCTACTGCATCTGCTGGATATCTCTGTTTGAAATCAAATGTCGAGTCGAAGACAAATCCTAGAAAATGTCAGTAATGAAATGGAATTAGTAAATCATTATATACGGGATACCTTGCCTGGACTTATATCGTTCGCCCATCCTCAATTTTTGGCGTAATGGCTCTTCCTGAACGCGGTGGTCATCATCACAGTGGCGAATATTGGTGCCTTTGTGCCATGCTGACCATTGGGGAAAAGAGAATTCCGGTACAGGCACCTTGACGTCGTTGAGGCTCATCGTGGAGACGAGCAACAAAAATTTGAAACTCTTATGTAACCCTAACCCTCCGTTGTCTTGGTCCTAATAAGGAAGATCCACGACCCTGTGGCTCAGGTGGCCGCGAAAGTAACTGCCGAGTACAAAACTACATGAACAGTGACAAGGATATTCATAATGATGAATAAACCATATTCGGAGAGGAATTTTATTTACAGGATACAAAGGTGCAGAACTCAACCCGCGAAGATCCTCAAAAACGTACTTGCCAGTGAACGCAACTGAGGACATGATGGATACTTACTCATCGAAAGAATGTGTATAACATCAAATACAGAGGACGTGGATCGAAAGGTCACTGGAAGGGGAGAGGTTGCAAGAGCAAAAAAATTGAAAGAACTGCCTTAATCCTATGGGAAGCAATGTATCACAATGGCCAGCAAGACATGACCTCTTGAGTGGCAATAATGGTACTATAGAAGCACCTCCAGCGAGGAACAGGCGGGTAGTGCCGTTAAGCCCATCTGGGGACTTCGACTGCGAGAGTATAGGAAGACGTCAAAAGCTTTTGTATGTTCCGGAATAGGTACGTTGAGTTAAGGACGAGAGACTGCCACATCAGATTTCTACGCCGTCGTGTGGCGGGACATCTGTAGGCAGGTGAGATAGGCGGTACGGGATGAAGGAGTGCCTTAGAGGATGTAGCAACAGAGCAAGCGATCATGTCCATTAAACAAGACTATTCGACGGCCGTGGTCACACTTTCGACACTGATGGAAAGCCGATGGCAAGACAAATAAGTTGATGCCTGATCTGCAAACGCACACGAGATCGCTGAAGTAGTCTCTCGTAATAGACAGAAGACGATAAATACCTACTGAAGGGAGAGGAGGACGGTATGCTCGCATACAAATACATCATCTCATAGCCGCGACTCCGGGATTACAGATACTTTGGAGGCCTCCTTTAAAATTTTATGGGTCTGACCTTGAGCGTCTTTCCACCGTGCGCTCATCTTATTCCTCGGAAAATAGACACCATGCTGAAAATAGATCACATTAACCCCCTTCTCCAGCGGGTCGTAGGACCGCCAAATCTTCCTGAAGTCATCTTCACGCGAATATTGGACAAGCCAGGCTTCATCCGCCCCCATGAGTTCCTTGTACTCAATCAACCCCAAGAGCCGTAAGTGGGCGAAAGCTGCGTCCCGTGTCGCCAACACAGCTATAACGATGGTGTGCTCGGCGGGTGGTGTTCCTTTCTTTATGATGATATACGAATGCATGCCGATAGTGCCCGAGTGCCAGTCGCTGGTGGCCGACCAGCCTTCCGATGTATTCATCCAATTCATGAGGATTCTCGCCAACTCGGTATCATACAGGCCTTGGCGCAGTGGGGCGCCGTCAGAATGATACAGTAAACCCCAATCGAAACGCCGCGTTGCCTTCTTAATCGCATCGAGGGCATCGATTTTTCCGTCAATCACAGGCGGCGCATCATCAGGACGTTTAGGAAATCGGGCGGTGAGCAGGGTTTTGCGTACAAAGCTGTCTACGAAAGCTGAGGCGATCCGATAATTAGGTTGAGTGCCCGTGAGTACACCCTTAGCCATCAGGGATTCTGAGAAGTAAAGTTCATCAGGAAGGATGCGAACGGGGTCCAGACTGCCAAAGAAGCGATAGCTGAGAAAGAGTATTGATCGCGATCCCTCGGAATCGGGGTTTTCCGACGGGAACGCCTGGAGCATTCTTTTGTAAGCTGGGTTGAGGCCGATCCACTGGTACAACTCCTCGACGGTACAACGTTTCCAAGCGGTAAACGACACGTGTCGGGTCTGGTCGTCAAGTAACACTGGTAATCTATCTCGTATGAACTGTCCACAAAGGCAGACTGTAGCGGGATGGCTAGGCAGCGTTAATAAAGGATGATTTACGCATTCAACTGTAACTGGCTACGTACCCACCAGATCTCAACCATATATCACCAACCACATTGGGATCCAGAACGAAATGATCGTCATTTTGGAACTTGTCGAAGAGATCCTCCACTTGGGAACGAGAAAAGTAAGGAATTCGAGTACTATTTAGGTCATTTAGAGATTCATTGAAAGAACTCATATGACATATAACCCCGAATCCCCTGACCCCCCACGTCCCTGTGGCAACAGCATGAACTTGAGGGTCTGTGTCCTTAACGACAGAAAGGGCAGTGAAAAAGTCATTGCATAAATCCGGTGAAGCGGTAGCGAGTCTGTCGATGTCATCGATTAGAAGGTAAAACTTCTCCTTGAATCCTCTCAGGTATGATATGAAGTCATGTTGGTGAGAGAATGGTTCCAAATCCTTTGGGGTGGGCTGAATGGCCCTGTAGATGGAATTCCAGAATGCCTTCGGGACATCGCTCAGCGGCAAGGGCACAGGCAAGCTGCTCTTAGTCAGTAGTGAGTGCTCCCATATTTGTCTGTGAAAGAACGTACCAAATGACCGGGTATCTGGCCTCTGCGTAATATTTGAAGTCAATCAGTCGCGTCGTCTTGCCAGACCCATCGGCACCTGTAATCAGGTAGAATTTTGGATACGTCGCATGCAAAATCTCCCGCGGTGATATTTCCTCTTTATTATCCGGTCCGACGTAATATGCTTGCGGCAAATAGCTTGTGTCTAGAGGGCGGTCAATAATCCATTCTCCCTCTGTTAGATGTCGATAGTCATTATGGTCAGAAATGCAATAACACCATTCAAATTCATTACGCACTGATATCTTTGCTCGTTGGGTCATGAGTCGAATTAGAGGTAGGCAGCAGCACTATACAGGCGAATAGATCCAAGATGTTTACCTATAAAAGAATTTGGGATCAAGGCAGCGGGAATTACGAATATGCTTTACCAATCAGCTGGTCGTTGTTGGGTGTCGTTTCTCGATGTAGTTGACTTGTGAACCCCTCTTTCAGCGCCCGACACGATTTTGAATCTCAGATTCTTCCTCTCTGCATGAAGCACTTGGACCTGGCTCGACTTCGAAACTGATTTCATGGTATGTCGTGGTAGGCTCAGCTCAATACGGTTTATGTGCTGCATGTCTAGTGTTGAGAATGCAGGTTGTCTCACTTCCATGATCAATATTGCTGTACGTGTTCTATGTAAGACAGCGATGAGCAGGCCTCTGCAATTACGCCTACATCTAGCATTATTTCCACACTAGTCGCACCTATGTACTATTTCTAATAATATCGTATAGTAACTATCCCCAAGGCCGTATTTACACGTTTTTCTTAGCCTCTGACTCCGCGATACTATTAGCCTTTTCCACCTCCTGCTGAGCGCGGCGTTGTTCCCGCCTCTCCCTTCCGCGTGTCACCATCTTCTTGGGTTCAAGTTCGGCAAACAGATACTTGCACGCGATCTCAATGGCCCAGCATCCAGCAAAGTCAACAATCATGCTTGTAGTCAATCTAACTTTGAACTGGAAGGCAACATCAGACTGGGTATGTGCAACGCTGAAGAGGAGGAGGAACACATACAGAAGTTTCCATCTCCACGATCTGGAGCCATCGGTTCAGTTCAGGCATAAAGTCAGTGGCACCAGAGAAGGCGACGGCGCTTGCAGAAACGAGTCCCCACCACAGCGCATTGTTCTCGCTAATACCTTCGCGGAATGGACGACCCTACAACCAGCGAAAAGAATTTAGCCCCGTATATACGGAAGAAAACACTGATCACGAACCTGGAAGTTGATGGCAAACGTAGAGACTTGCTGCGATAGTCCCAAGAGGTAGATGGCAGTGTTCAAAAGGCTTGGCTCGAATTTAGCCTCGAGGTCGATGGGACCACGCCTAGAATGTTGGATTAGAATTTGTACGAGCATGACACTTAGAATACTAACTCCTCGAAGGCACGCGACAGCTCTGTGATATAGACGAGCGTCGCTATGTGCAGTGCAAACTGGAGGAGGATAGACAACAGAACATAGAAATTGAAGATATTGCCCAATGGACGCTCTCGGGATAATTTATCCACCGGCTACAGCAATGCAGGTAAGTTATCACGATCTCGAGACTTGGCGCATAGACCAACCTTAGCGCGAGATATACACAGGAAGCAGACCGACATCAGCATGCCCGTGATTGTAACCTGATAGTCTCCATATTTGATTCCGTCCAGATACTGGACACTCAAACTGTACGCGGTAATCAGACAGTTCAGCGCTAGAATCTTGTACATCTGGATTGTCGCGACAAGGGTACAACGACCTTGTCGAATAATATGCGCGACTAGCAAGGAACCTATCAGCAGGGGGGGAATGCATCGAGAAAGGGAGACGTACTGGCTGATACATGAGATAGCTTCGACGTGAACGGAGCCGCACAGGAGGCGTCACCCAGTTTAATCTTAGGAACGTCATCTTCACCCTCCATTTCTGCGAGCTTGTCCGTGATACCGGCCAAATCGAACTACAAAGCCATTAAGACGATGCTCATCATCAAGACAGGACACTTTACCTTTTCCATGGGGTTTCTCTTTCGAGCAACCTGTAAATCAGCTGCGGCCTGCTGCTGAGCCTGAACGGCATCAGGGAAAAGATGCGCGATAGCAGGCGGCACAGGAGGAGGCGGTTGGTTGAACCTCGCAGATATCTTCAACTGGCTCTCATAAACCTTCTTAATACGTTCAAACTTCTGATGCTCCGCAATCTTCTGGAGGTCTTCAGGCGTCCCGTCCAACAAAGCTACACCTACATGTGCCTGCTTCAGCGCCCCAACATCGTTGGTACCGTCACCAGCCATGAGAGTGATATATCCCAGAGTTTTGAGTGTCGTGAGAATATATTCCTTTTGGGCAGGAGACACACGGGCATAGACCCATGTGTTCTGCACGAGATCCTTCCAAGCAGGACGGTTCTCATATTGCTTCATAGCAGCTCCTGTGATGCAGATATCGTACTCCTCAAACAAGGATGTATCGATAGGGTCTTCCGGATTGACGGGGATAATTTTGCTCTCGTCCACCGTACGCCATACGAGGTCTAAGAGATAGCGTGAGATTGAGGGAGAATAGACGTTTTAAGCGTTACTGACCAGTTTCATGTTCGGCATCTTCCTTCAGATCAAGGATCAGAGCCTCACGGTCAACAATTTCGACATCCCTGGCAACATGAACTGCCGTCAAAGGGTTGTCGCCGGTAATCATAACACACTGAGAAGGTAGCGTAAGTCATAGGGTACGACTCCGGAAGAAAAACATTACTCGGTGAGACGAGTCTGCCAGCATCTTGAGCACGTCAACCGCATCGGATTTCAGGGGACAATGGAAGACTAAGAAACCAGCAAAGGTGAGATTGCTTTCGACTTGTTCTCGAGGGAACTTGTTAATCTGTTCTTGCAGTGTTTAGTGAATGCCACTACCCGATCACAATGAGTCAACTTGCCTTGTCCACCGACATCGGATCCATCTCCTTCATTCCGAGCGCCAAAACACGGCTTCCGTTCCTCGTAAACCATTTATACGTGTCATCGTAGTGGTCAGGAACAGAAGAAAGCATAGTCTTGATCGTTTCGGGAGCGCCTTTGACCGCAGCTAACGTCTTACCTCCAGGAAGGCTCGAAAGAGTCGACATGCGCTTGAGGGCTGAAGAAAACTGGAATCGCCGACGAATTGCTATCTGGTGCTTGTTTCCAGCGCCCGAAGGGCCCACGATATTGCCTACGGTTTCGCATCAGACGTGGTAGAGCATTCCTTTGGTGTTACTAACCTTTGCCAAGGTCCCATGCTAGCGCTTCAAGTGTCGTCTTCTCCATAGGATCGCCAACAATAGTGCCATCATCTAACCTGACCAGAGCATGGGCCGCAGCTAAGCAGAGAATTGTTTCTCTGGAAGCTTCCTTGACACTTATGAGTTTCTTGGCATCATGTAGACTAGAAATTTGTTAGCAGTGAGAAAAAAAAAGAATTTAGTAGAAGACATACTCCACGCCAACGATACCCTCCAAAACCAGGTTCTCGGCCGTAATGGTACCAGTTTTATCAAAGCAACACACATCAACCCGGCCGGCTGCAGGTATCCGGAATGGCTCTGTGCAGAAAATAGCTACGAAAAGAATGGAAGTCAGATGCAGATGCGCGATCACTTGATTGCAACAGACCGAATTTGGAAAGCGCGACAAGAGATGTGTTTACGGCAAGGGACAACTCCATAGGCAGTTCTGGGGGTACCACGCTGGTGATAATGAGTACACAGTCCAGCAGAAGCTTTGATTTCTTGAGGTCTCTCTCGATGCCTGGTTAGAAGGTGTGAGCCAACCGGGCGTGGAGAAACACATGAAGCACAAACCTTTCACCCATACATACCAACTTGCGGCGATAGCAAAGATGAGAAGGAACCCTATAAATAAGAACGACTCCAAGTTGTTCGCAGACACGCGTTCTGTCGAAAATATCATGGTTCGGACAAGCTGTCCTTGTGATGTTCCGAACCCAGTACGGAGGACGATGCCAAGACATCCGTTGTCTGGTGTCTGGATCGGCGATTCCAGTTGTGCTGTAAACATTTATGATCAATCTGCCCACATATCAAATGGTATCGTCCGTACTGCTAGGTGTGGCTTGGAGAATCTTGGTACCACTAAACAAGACAGCATTTTTGTGATTGCCGTCGACATCTAGGTTCTCCTTGGCATCCAGAAGTTGGATGGACTCCTTCAGTAACGGGGTCGATTCCCCAGAAAGCATAGCCTCATTGACAATGCAGGTACCATGCACGAGAAGAATATCAGCCGGGACCGTTGTCTCCGTTTGCTGGCGGGCTAGGCAATGATGAGCGTTTGCTTCCCAACGAACATGACTGACGCACCAACAGACACCACATCCCCAGGAAGTAATTTATCAGTTTGTATCTCGGACCATTTCATATCTCGATAGCATTGAATGGGATAAGGGACAACTGACATCGTCCTGAACTCGGACAAGGTCCGCACTCGCTGACACAAAATTGGTCAAAGAGTTCCACGGATAAACCATATGAATGCGTACCTGCCAAACCACAGTGCATTCGAACACCACCAGCATGAACAGCGTAAAAAGACTGTAGTACCAATATTCATCTAGACACCAGAGTGCGACACAAAAGACCTGGAAGACGAAGAAAGGTGCTGTTGCGTGTTCACTAAACAGCTCCGTGAACGAAGGAATGGGAATGTCGAATTCGTTGCCTCCGTAAAGCGACTGCAGCGACTCTAATTTCTTCGATGATAGACCGGTAGGTGCCAGGAATGTCGACAAGGGTGGTTTGCTTGAGGACGGATAGGGAAGCCGCTCGAAAGTCAGAGGCGACGTTGAGCAGACATTATATGTATCTCGCTGGTAGCTGAATGTGTACGTCGAGATATCCTGGGGATCCTTCTTGTGCAAGGGAACGATTTCGCCCTTTCCACGATGTAAATGGGGAATAATGCGTATGCAGTCGGCGTCGGCCAGCGTTAATGCCTATGTAGCACCCGTTAATCGTCAAAGAAGAATGGAGCCACAGTTGCTGCGCACCTTTCTCGTTGTTATCCAAGCCCTTGCTCCGGTACTCCATTTTGTAACAAGGAAACTCAACGCATGTCCTGCACCCAAAGAAACACATGCCAGAAACGTCCACTCTTCACTCACGAGCCATTGGTCGTACTTGATGTAGTATGCGTACGCCAGAAGGGGATAGAGACACAGGAATGGAATCGTGTATATATGCGTGTACCATGGAATCGTTGCATGAAGTGTAGCCCCAGCAATATCCAGGGAATTGACCGCGATGGAGGTCCTGAAAAATAACACATAAGCGACCGTCAACGCCGTACAATAATATGCACCCACATTACAGTATAAAAGGGAAGAACAGCGGCGGCGCGTCCAAGTGCTGTACTCTGGACTGGACCACGTAGAAGGAGGAAGGGTAGACGGCTACCAAGCAGTGACACGCTTACCTGTTGACGATTTCGAATTGTTGGGGCTCGGCATCAGGGACGGGACTAGGCCGAAACTAGCCTCAAGCCGAATCGCCGCCGAAAAAGAAAAACTTACCAAAAACGAACAATGATTCTACAAAGTAACTTCACTCGAGCTGTCTGCCACAATCGAATCGTTACCATGTGGACTTTACGTATTCAATGAACTTCTAACGAGATTTCTCTCCGTTAGGCTAGCAGTATTCTATTGTCCTATGGCTTACTGTCCGAATCTGTCTCCCTGCCACTCTGGAGGCATTATAAATATACTCGATACTATGTTCACCTCCCTCTTCACAACTCTGAGGTTGCTCGGCGTACTGATATGAACTATTTCACCCCACCTTGTCGCTTTTATTTCACCTTCTCTATTGATGTGGCCGCAACTCTGGAGCTGTACTGCGACGGAGGCGACGATGCTATGCTGCAAAAGCTGTCTAGTCTAGAGAGCAGAAAGTACGCTGGTTACTGCATAGAGGTACTACCTAAGATCTTCTGCCCATTTCAGTCTAGCTGATGGGTTTGCTTGCTCTAGAAAGACCCCTCAACCGAGGGGGATATCAAATTTCATACAATCAGCATTCGACCGGTACAACAGGGCCTCACGAAGCCTTACCCTCGAGATTTTCCCCGTTCACGGCCTGCAATGTGCATTCCGATCCTACCAGAGACAGCTCATCCGCGATTCAGGACCCCTCTGAAGCTTTCGAAGCCTTTGCCCTGGAGCAACTGCTACCATCCCACCTGTTTCGATATTCGCGCGCGCGTACCGAAGGAAGTACGCAACTACCTTCAAACACCTCGACTACGGTCTCCATCCCCTGCGCTCACCAAACCTCTCTTGCAGGATGAGGAATTCTACCACCTCCTTCGGGCTGGAGTCAACGAGGATCGAATCTTGAGAATTCTCGACGGTATAGAACAGTGTCCAGACATATGCATGGACCCTCCAGACGACACTTCGGAGACTTGTAGAACCTTCCTAGCGAGGATACCAGGCATCGATGAGCTCGAAGCGGACAATGGATTTATACCAGTTCTTCGCATCGACCATATCCTGACGAATGTCCCAGAAATATCTGACCCGTCGGACCTTTGGGAAGACCGCAGTCTTTTTCGGAGGTACGCCACGATGTTCGATTCTCTCATATGTTCCTCTTGAACTGATATTTAGTTTCAGAGTTGTGCGTGAGTATCAACTTTCACGATACGGACCAGTTCTTTTGGTAAGGCCAGAGGAACCGATCCTTGATGACACTCTATCCAAGGATGATACCACTCTTGAGCCGTCTGAGGATTCTATGGAAGATTTCGGTTCTGGATCTGATTTCTCGGATACATATGGAGTTCGGTCGTTACCTGACTCGGATGAGGTTTCTCAAACACTATCCCATAGACGAAAAGGTGCGCTTTAACACTGACTTTCCAGTGCGGCATGTAATGACATTGCTTTCAAGGAAAATGGAAAATCAAGTCACCGATTAAACGGGCAATCACCAAGTTCGCTAGGCTCGTGAGGTGGTAGCAGGCCTCTAGCAAGTCATCATCGCGTCCATGACAGGCAGACTCGATATTTTACGACAACTTTCTTTCGAGATTTCCGCGCGATATCTACTATACTGGTGTTGTCGCATTGTCCATCGTCTTATCGTCGAAAGCAACGTTAGTACTTGCATCGATCTCATTGTGCCACAACACCGTCCTCGGAGACCGATGAATTTTTTGGGATAGGAGTCGCTGAACTGAGTTCTTACAATTAGCTGAATAAATACCACTACATACCCTGTTCACGTGCATGAGCAGTCGCTACGAACTTGTTGAATTTTGAGTTAGACAAATCGTCGTCTGCCGAGCCGGCAATCTCCGTGCCGAAAGAGGACTGCTGAATTAAGGTTTCAGCCACCCTTCTCTCTTCCAACGAAAATATTGTACGTCCGGCTGCATACCCTCAAGATCACCGACGATGGCGAGTACACCGTTTTTTCTTTTCCACCATGACATTCTAACGACCCAGCAATACAGCCTAAGCAAATCAGCGACATCAAGGAGTTCATTAAAATCACCCAGCGAAAGGATGCTGTCCGTGCGTGTGCTACTTTTCCGTCTTCGACTATCCTGCTAATTTGTACTCGATAGAGGCACGGATAAAAAAGACAGCTCCCAAGGTCGCTGGCGGCAAGCAACAGACCAAGTTCAAAGTCAGGTGCTCACGGTATCTCTACACACTGTCGATAGACGACCCAGAGAAGGCAGAGAAGCTCAAGCAGAGTCTTCCTCCTGGTGTGTTCGTCCGTGCCACGGTTATCCCCAATGTACTGATGACCCGCAGGTCTGACTGTCAAGGAGATCTCCCAGACACCAAAGAAGAAGTAGATTCTACTGCTTCCTTCCTTATATTCTACACGTGTATGTTGGGACGGTTTTGCAGCCGGCTGCGTCTGGGTTGTTGTATATCCGGGGAGGATATGTACGGATACACTTGTGCAGCGCGAAAACTATTGCTCTTATGCATGCTTTAATCATGACTTCCTTCCCTCAAACACGAGTGCGATAACTACTATTCGAAGCGAATGATCTTAATATGGCCAAAAATTATCTGTAGTCTCTATACAGCCTGTCCGATATCCTTGGGCTCGTGTACGCGCGAAAACGCATATCCTTGGTTATACCCAGGAGCACCAACGGAATTGTAGGTCACCAATGGTTCCGGACCGCTGATGGCCTTCCCTTTTAACGTTACTGGCGACTGCGTCTCTTGATCCTCTGCATCCTGCCGTGGGTGTGCAGCGTAGCTTGCTGCAATGAGATAGCTGTCTGTCCAGAAAGTAAGAAAGTAAGAACTTAGACAGAAAACGCGAACAGACATGCGAGGATGGCCCAGGATACCACATAGATGGCGACACCGGTGGCCTTGAATATCGCTATTCCATTCTGACACACATTCTCCGTCAACCTGTCTGTGGCTCCGTGCATACATCGTTTGATAGTCTGTGCATCTTTCGCTCGAAATAAAGAGTACAGAACCACCACGCCAGATGCGACGCTCACTGCCAGAATAATGGCGACGAAGATGCCATAGACCTGGACGGGATTTCGTTTCTTCATTGTTGCACTAATTAACCTAATAATCGCATCAGAATCCAGGTCATGCGCACAGAGAGTGAATTAAGGCATCACCCAAACAATCCAACTAAGGCAAGGAGGGAGAATACTACCGTATGGAAATATAACGCGAATGTGTCAAAAACCGCCAAGGGATGTGCATCTAAGAATTATATCAGCAGACAGAAGACGGATAGGATATGATCAAGCACACCTAGCTGGGCAACCTGCAACCAGCCAGCCGCTGCAATGACGGTCCCACCGACCATCTTAAAGAACGAGAGGACCTGAAACCCGACGTCGTTAGCTACCACCTCGGGGGGAATGAATTCCACCACGCACAGAGATACCCATCCTCAGAGAGAAATAATAAAAGAATTTGCGTAAACGAATAAGAGCCATTGAAGCTCGAAAGAAAGAGAGAAAAAGAAAAAGAAAGAGTCAAGAAGAAACAAAAGCACCAGAAGAAATCCAGCAGCGGCACAGAGCCGATAATCATATCCATACCGTCTGAGCTTTTATATATAAGTGTCTCGTTCATGGAAACGACAACGTTGATGATGACGACAACTGTATTTGCTAGTTCTGAAGCATTTTGGGAATTGATCGTTGGACTGATGCTTCATCAATATCTCTGATTCACGTTTCACAATTACACGAAAGTACCTGCTATTATGGCCGTAAGGAATACGATACTGATATGCGCAGGATGACGTGCTCACCTTGTCCGCCTCAGAAACTATTCCAGCCCGCCATCAACACACACACAATGAAGACTGTCGTTGTCCCCGCCCGGAGTGCTTTCTCTATTCTTACCGTCCATGCGGTGCAAAGATGACGACTAGTATTGATACCCGCCTCAAGATCATAGATCTCCCGCACTTGGGTATGCGACGCCATACTCAGAAGGACCTCCAAAAATCGGCTTCCATCAAGGTAGGGCAATGGAAGTAGATTGAAGAGATATAGTGAGAACGTAGCCATCTTGAGATACCTGTGTGATAATGATATCAGACAAGGCAGCGCAGATCTTGATGCGAATATACCCTTCCAACACGAATAGTATCGAGGGGAGCCATAGCGGGAACAAACTGAGCCGAGGCCTCAGTATTCCAAGTTGCACTGGAGGTATAGCAATGAATGTGCTGCAGTGCCTCCGCTTCATTGCTCTCACCTTGCTGCAAGACTTCTTTCTTGGGCCCACGCCACAATATGATTTCGTCGTCCTCCTGGCCAGGTAGTCGGACTGAGATACGCAGCAGCTGAGCTGATTCGGTTGGTCGGACACATATCATGTTCCCTTCACAACTTGAGATAGAGCCGCATCGTACACTTTCTTTGGGTTTCGTTAGAAGCGGGACAGCGTCTAGACAGCTCGTATCACTGTCGGTGGTAAAGCAGGAAAGCAGCGATACCGCAACTCTTTCTAAACAACATGACCTAGGACTCTCTGAGCAGTACTTTAGTATATGCTCAGTTTTCAAGTAGGAGAAAGTCATACCAAAAAAGGTGTCCTTGTCAACACACCACCCGTCTGAAGTGGCGGGCTGTGACGCAGCTAGGTAGGTACTCCAAACATCATCAGTTCCATTGACGCGCATATCGTCTAGCTGGGTAATGATAGACCCTTTGGGAAGGTATTCATCCAAAACTGTACCCTTATAAACTGATCGTCAACATCTACGTTGTGACCAACTGAGAAGATTTACACTTTCCACGTCCAAAACAACTCTACCGAGTCCTGATACATCTTCATAGGCGAACAACGTTAGTGAATAGTAGCTCAGCCGGAGCCATCCCAAGAAAACCAGAATGATCCAAAAAACGGCGTTGTGCCACGGGCCAGCGGCGATGATCCTAGCTCTTGATGCCGGCTTCAGTGTCTCGAGGTATGAACCAGGAAAGGACACGAATGCAGAAGGAATGATTAGGGTTAGTGCTGTGCCAACCGAATCAATGGGGACAGATTCGCTAGGACAGAGTAAGCGACGTGAGGATGGTGCAGATTAGACGGCAAACATACAGTGCACCAGAGACTGCGTGTCCAACCTCATGAATCACTTGGGTCAAAAATATCGCAAGCAATATGGGTGTGATATGACTGAAAGGAACGGTCACACCGGGAATCTATCAACTGCATTAGATGTTGCGACAGCTGAGGAAAGATAATCACAAACTATAGCTTGGACGAAACTCCCTGATCCCCTTACATCAATACGAGAAGCCTCCTGCTTGTCCCTCTTAACGACACGATGCACTTCTACGACGGAGTCACGAAGAAACGTTTCCGTGAAAAGATTTGCGCAGGTCCAAAGCAACAATCCTATAGCACATAACATTCCCAGGACCCCAAACGCGACCCCAGCATCATAGAAATATCCCAAAGCTCTGCTTGACCGTTGAAATCGTCTGGATACTAGTTTGCCGATGAGACTATCGTGGTATCGGTTCCAGGCCGACGATTCGATCTTCAGGTGAAAATACCGTGCAGTGACATGGGTACCGCCTCGCAGCTTCCTACTCGGCCGTGAGCTGCGCAGCTCAGTAGGCAGCAGCGAACCCTTTTCTGAGTTCAAGGAACGAACTATTGCATGAATGGCGGTCCAGAAGAGTAAGAGCAAGATGAGGGGGAGAGCTAACATGCAAATCGGACCGATGGGCCGCCTGATTTCTCCTTTCGTCAGCTGCAGTCACGTCCCCCTCGTCTAGCAGCCATTTTCTGGCGAGTACCACCTTATTGACACATTTACTGAAGAAGATATATGCTTACGACTACTTTACAGAGAAAATTACGTGTCTGAACTGTTAGACGGGCCACCGGTCAACGCGTCTACCACTGCCGTTCAGCCGTTCGTACGTCGCCATGCCTCTGTTCACAGAAATCGAGAGACTCAATCATTATATAAAGCAGGATTTCTGCTACTATGGCCTCAGGATGCGTTTCCTGCCCAAAATGCAGCTCTGACGTCTTTTTCACCTCTGTGGACCAACTCAATGTCCCGGTGCTTTCCCCTGCGGTATCATCACTTCTACACACCAACGACTGCCCCAGCGCTTCTGATATTCACACACTCAAAGAATCAGCACAATACATCGATGATGCCCTCGGAGTTGTCGAAGCAGATATTCGTCGTCTCTCTGACATCGTCAGTCGATTGAAGGAGAGACGGAAGCTCTTCAGAGATGCGCAAAATATGCATAATATCATTTTATCCCCAATCCGACGCCTTCATCCTGAAATACTGGTGCAGATCTTCCTCGCCACCTATCATTACCTTGGAGAGTCTGGTGTCTACGACGTTTTCGATCCCACCTCAGGTCCTTGGCTCGTTGGTCAGGTTTGCAGCAAATGGCGGGCTATTGTTGTGTCTCATTCAACCTTGTGGTCTACGATGCGGCTTCGTGCCTCATGCATTCATGGCGCAGTATAAGAGGCTGTCAAATCTCGAGAACACCGAGGCGGGTAGCAAGGTTGAAAGGTCCGATTCCGATGCTGAGCTCGGCACTGAGCCGATCCGGGCAGCATGCTCTTTCTTTCAAGTTCTGTTGTGATGATCCCATGGACAAGAATATCCCGGCGATAATGACCACACTCTTCCACTTGCTATCAAGTCATTGCACTCGCTGGGGAAACGTCACCCTCAGAATCCCAGCTCCCATCGTAGCGGCTCTGTCATCAATCCGCGGTCGCCTCCCCATGTTAACAGATCTGGAACTGACGTTCCTTGACGTTGGCGATGTTCCAACTTTCCATATTGACGCCTTTTCCATCGCGCCTCGTTTAGCTCGAGCACAGTTGATCGATTTACCAGAAGGCATCCATGTTCATTTCACAAATTCAAACCTTGTCCACTTCTCCGATTGTAGGCCCCAAAGCGCCCCAACGAATGCCTATCTACTAAATGTTATTCAGACGTCTCCTGATCTTGAAAGTTTTGAGGCCGCTCACCGCGGACTGTATGCGGCTAGTTCATCATCGCCAGTGCCCTCTACTCGAGTGGTAAACACCTCCTTGCGCAAACTTTATGCTTGTGAAGGGGGCTTCTTAGGGAGTCTTGTGCTTCCGGCACTGGAGATGGTATCAATGACGCCTTTCTCAGACGATGTGTCCTGCCCTCCGAATGCACTTCCTGGTCTTCGTACCCTATTGAATCAATCCCACTGTTCTTTAACACAACTTGCAATGTCCGATGTTACACCAGATCATCACCTCCTCGCTGTCCTCGAGCTTGTTCCAACGCTCACGTCATTGATCTTTGCACAGAGCCATGCATGGCCAAAACATTACGATGATATCTTACAAGCGCTGATATCCTGTATGAAGGCTACAGCAATCGATGATAATGGGAAGCCGTATCACCTTCTCCTTCCTCAATTGGAGAAGTTGGACTTCAGCATCATGACGAAAACACCTCAAGATTCCTGTTTCCACTGCTTTGTCAACCATGATTTTGCAGAAATGGTCATCTCAAGATGGGATACTGATGAACCATCTTTGTCCTCCGTGTCAGTGACGTTTTTTAGTCATTTGCCTTGGAATTTTCCTGGGCTGTTACCGGGCGACATAACTAACTTGAAGCGTTGCCAGATGGAGAAGCTCAGCATCGACATATCGTCTAGAAACTTTGACAATGAAGGGGACTTTTATGTATGAAAGTTTAGTATCACCTTTACACTGAAGTAATACATTAGTTACAACTATACAGTATAGCAATACACGAGCGTATATCATTCCTAATCATCGCTACGAACGAGCAGCTACAGGCAAGTGGTAAATTTTTATAGTGTATATCATACACCTAGGTTCAAGGTATTGTTGGCACCGCTGCGAGGCGCAATGGAACTAATAAACAGCACCAATTCGAGATGTTCTCGCGGGAATAGTGACTATTGGAAGCATGACCGTGAAAAGTATGGCTTCATCACCACTTTGAAATACAAGGATGAAGTGTTGGAAAGGCATTGTCGAACTACGGACAAAATCAAAAATCCTCCGACATCGGGGAATGTAACAGCACAGTATCGAAAGGAGAAAATGCACATTATTAATCCACCGCCGACGTTGAGGAACCACAATCATCACGGACGCCATCAGATGCCTCCAGCCCGTCCCTTTGATGTAACAAGGTATGGGTGCCGAACGGGCGATGTCAACGCCGACCGCACCAGAAGGGGGTCGTGCTCAACGAACTGCACCGTTACTTTTCGTCATGGGCGTGTATGATTGTGGAAGAATCAAAGAAAATTTTTTTTCGGGTGCCGGCTTTATACAGTTGGATGGCTCTCACGATCACGTGAAAAGCAATAGCTTCGGGCCGCCACCTTAGCCTGGCAAGCCGCTTTATTAGATATTCGCGGAACTCGTATCTGTATATACGCCACCTCTGCTTGACTTCTCTCGGGCTTCTATAGTCAACTTCTAGTCTTCACCAAGTAGTCGTGTAACCTGAAACTGAATCTTATGTGCTGAGCTCCGGCGAAGTCATCACAGCTTCACATGACCTTGTGTCCCCGCATGTGTAAAAACTTGCAGTTCACAGGTAAGCACAAAAAGGAACTAATGTCCACGGCAATCGCGCTAGTGATGCCCTACTAACTACATGGCTTTTATACTACCGGAATATGTAGAATGTACTAGAATAAATGAGTAATATATCACTAAGATGAGTAAGCGTCCCGGTGAATATGAGGAGAACCAGCGAGAATGTTCATGCAAGCTCGCACTTCCGAATTAGGAATCCATATTCTAACAGTATGGTCTACGGGTAATTCATCCGTGGAATGACAAGTCGTAGGACTAGCTCGAACTTAACGCCTCGCTGTCCTCATCGCTGCCCTCATCGCTGCCACTCTCATCATCGGAACTATCCTCGTCCAAAAGGTCATCTTCATCGAGCTCATCGAAATGGACGCCTGCGTCAGGGTCAGTCTCCCACTGGAACTGCGATTGATAGGATTGGCAAAAGCCCTCTAGAGCATGTTCATAGTTGATCAGCGACTCCTCGCTGATATGGTTTGATAGTTCCGCTACGAAAATTTGACCCTTGTGAGGTTCAGACGGTGTGCCAAAGGGTATGTAGAAATCCTTGTTCAGCTTGGGCGTCGTTACATCCGGGTGCCTTGAAGGGAGTCAGCGACGGTAGGAGAATAAAAACGAGCAATATACAAGGTATTCATATGTCTCGTGATGTCCTCGGGCCCATTATTGTTTTTTGGACTTTCAGATGGAAGATCATGGCAATGAACGCAGCGGAACATGACCGTGCTCGCTGGAGCAACATATCGATAGTTAGAAGGAAGCTCTCCATGATCGAACTTGAGTACACGGCGTGGGAAGGTGGCAGTCACGTAGAAGTGGCTCTGGAATATATGTTGCGCCTCAAACCCAGTCAGTATCAGTACGCGTAGGACAAGGCACAGGCATAAACTCACCAGTTCTCTCCACCGATACAAGATAAACATCTGCGAGCTTAATTCTGGCAGTTGCTCCTTTTCGCACAAGAGACAAGCAAAACGCGACGCGTCAGCGTCCATTTCTGCCACAGTCGTCGTGGCCGGATCCAGATTCACCATCTTCACGATACGCTGGACGATGCTCCTGAACTTGTCATTCTCTACGAGGTATTCCGTGGACCATGGTGCACGGACATGCCATGCCGGATAGTTGAGCCTGACGGTACGATCTTCAAGTGATGCGAACTTGTACACGGGACGAGCGCTGGCTTGCATACACTGATGCGAGAGCATCTGAGGATAGAAGAGAGGCATGACAAAAAACGTTTGGCTAGCACTTTGCCCTCTATGCCTACGTGCTGTGTCAGGGAACTCGCTACATCGGTGACAGATCACTACATTGCAAGCCAGTTGCAACTGATGAACTGTTTCGTCCCTTGTGCGCTTTGGATTAGGCTGGAGGAGTAATTTGGTTAGTTTCCTCTTAATCCGGCCTCTCCATTGCCTGCAGAGTTCCGGAAGTTGGGGAATGACCCCGGAAAAGCTTTCTTCATTGACTTCAGTGTCGGACGGGAGGTCTAGGATCTCTTTGATAGGAAGAAATTGACAGAAATCAGCCACGGAAGGGAAGAAGGTCGTTACGGGGTAATGGGCGCGGTCGTTCTTATATTGTTGAAGGATAGATACAGCGATTGGCTTGCGAGAGTTGACCAGCTTTTCATGTTCCACGGCCAGGCGATTGGCTCGCCTTAGCTCTGCCCAACTGACTAGTTCGTCCCGTATTTTAGACCATCCTGAAATAAGTATTACTTTTAGGTTCCAAAAGCTCACATGTACAACCCACCTCTTTCAGTTAATGGGGCATTCTTCTTGACCAGGGGATGACTAGCGAGGGGGTCAAGGTATGGGTGGGTTCCTTTTAGGTCTTCTTCGTAACCGAGTTCCTTGAGTTTATCATGTATCCTACAGGTGCGATTTAGCCCAGAACGAGTCAACAAGAACATGAAGTTACGCTTGTAGTCTGTCTTTCTTCCCTTGATGGATTTCGCGATAGCGCTCGTTTGCCCGTTGGAGGTTCCAAGTATGACAGATACGTGAATGCTGTCGATTTGTAAGAGGCTCCGAATTTTAGAAGATGAAATGCGACAAACCGTGAAATTAGCAGACACGAACGCAGTCTGATTCTTGATAAATTCGCTCCGTTCCCTTGAGGTATCAAATGACAGTAGTTTTGCGCACATAACATCATAATCGCGACGCAATGACCACCAGTCCCAGTCTTTAGGACTTGTATGATCGCCGCGACGATAGCCTACATTAATCTTGATGAGCGGCTAAGTATAAGCAATAAAGCATAGGTACCGGTGCGATGAGTAGGTATGAGCTTGGTTACATCTGCGACAGAAACATGCGCTGAGGGCGGCTTGGCCTGGAGTTCAAACGTTTTGATCTTTATCAATCTGTGCCATATCAGACACGATGAACAGTGGTATCATTTTTTCTTTATGCATACCTCTCAGAAGCACAAGGAGGACAGACGCGAGTCATAAGGTACATGTCCGCATTGCGGACAGTTCTGGTGCAAAACTGGATGAAATTTTTAGTAATTTGAACGGCTGGTCGGGAAGAGGATCCTACGTGACACTCTGCCATGAACGCGAGATTTACCCACGCAGGTTCCGACATGCCTAGAAACGGACCTGGAAATCCAGGAAGATTCTGACGGGCAGCCTTCCAAGCGCCTATGGATGACTTGCTCATGAGAACCTTTCGGAAGTCTTTGTTAAGACGTGAAAGGTGAAGGAGGTCTAGTGGTAAAAGAAAACTGAAGATCTGAATATATGACTATCAGAAAGCAGAAGACGTGAATAATCTCATGACGCACCTCAAGGATAATGTCCAGTGGTAGTTCCAATAGTGCCGACAGTTTTCCTCTCGTCCTGCGGCTCCCCTTGGATTTGACGAGTTGAGAAGGTCCTGGGATGCTCGCAGACTCATTGTTTGCGGTGGAAGCGGCCAAAGTTCTGCGTTTCTTACGACTCGACATAGTGGTGGTGGTAAGGTGGTAACAGGTCCAAGATGAAACAATAATAGATACACAAGTACTCTGGATCCGGCCCGGCATGTTTCCTTAACGCCATGAATTCACTTCATTTTTCGCGTCCTCCTCTCAATTTTGTAGACTCTTTCAGGACCTACGATGGCCGTAAACAAGTGCCAGTCAAAATGCGATTATGTCATTATGCTAGTGATTTGTCCATGACCTCACCTTCTCTTGTCTAGGAGCTCGTCGGAATTGGTGAATTGATCCTGTTCCGTCCTCAATAAATACACAAGGCACTTTTCGATAGCCAACGACAACACTGGCATATAAAGACATAAACATTTGAATGGTATCCATTCACATGATGTCAGCATTAGAACTAGATATTTCCTTCATTTACACATTTAAGACAGTTCAGGGTTGTTCTCAGCGAAATACTCGTGGCTATCGGCGTTGAATATGGCTTCATCTGGGTTGCTCTCAGCGAGGGACTGGGCACCAGACTGGCCATAGACGTAGTCGTCAGTACCAGCGATGATGGTGAAGTGAGAGGATTCATGGATTAGAGTTCCGCCCTAGAACAGATTAGCTGAAGCAAAGGAAGAAGATACTTAAATGCATACCATAGAATCAGTGCCAGTGGTGGGAGCATCCCAGAAGGCGCCGCAGAGATAGATGGTACCAAAGCTATCGATAACTTATGATAACTATTCACGATTGTAGACATACGGCGACTTACGAATCGGAGTACACATAGGCATAGGTGTCAGTATCGGTGCAACTACAATCGTACGTGTAGTCGGCGTAAGGGTGATCGAGCATGTTGGAGAAGTGGCTGAGGACCTCTGCGTGGCGGGACGAATTGTATTCACCAAACCATGTCGTGTAGCGAGTGGTCGAGGAAGTGTTCTCGTCGAGGTATCTATATAAATGGTTCAAGTATGAATCAGTAAACTATGCGAGAAGGCGTACGCTTGGGCATTTTCGGCATAGGTCTGAGCAGCAGCAGCGGCAGTAACGAGTGTGCTCTGCTCGGAAGTGGAGCAGCTGTTATAAGCAATCCTCTTATCTAGTTCACGGCGGGCAACGGCCAGGGTCCCAGAGAGCTTAGCACTATGTTTCTGGGCGGTCTCAGCGTTGATGGTCCTAAGTTCGTTGGTATCGGCATCGATGTAGTAGAACAACGTGGACGGCGCAATGGTGTAAGAGGTCTCTCCGGATCCAGTAAAATTGTACGCGTTGGCCACTAAAATGTAATTAGCTCGCCGCTATGATTCCTGGAACTACAACTGCGCACATGAATGATCGACAGTGACGGATTCACCCGGAGAAAGAACGGTGAAAGACTGTTCTCGGTTCTTTTTCACGACGGACAAAGGATTGTACTTGACCTTCATACCGACGAAAGACGGAGAACCTGAGGCGCTGTTGATAGCGAAGGTGTTGGTTGAAAAGGTCGGCGACAAGATACTAGAAGGGTCGTTGAGAATCTTCATGGTCGTATTACCAGTGTTGGTGAGGGTGGCTGAAACGGAAAGGTTCTCAACATCAACCACAGAATCAGCACCTGTGGTGACGGTCAGCACTATCGAAGACAAGTGATTGAAAAACCAGTACCGGATAGGGAAAGAGACAGTCCTGGAGCAGCTGAGACGACAGCCGCTGAGAGACAGAAGGCATACAAGAAAGAACGAAGAGATGGAGTGAACATGGCGATAAGGTAGACCTGCAGTGACTGTTGTAGTCTTGACCCATCTTTTATACGCTTCAGTTGTCAACAACTACGCCCATTCCGACCAGATGCCATCCGCTAAAAAGCTTCTAGTCAATGATAGGGACCCGTACACGCGACCTGTTGTCAAGGAACGATGCCAAGTCAACGGAGGCTTAGATCCCGGAGGATTGTCGATACCATCATCCTTGAATATCCTTTAATGAGTGCACACAAGCCGGCGTCCGCGATGATTCGCACACCACATGTCTTGACGCCTCAAACGGAGATGAACATATACTGTTTAGAAGATTCTGCATTATTTGTAAATGAAAAGAGATACCGACACAAGTGCACTAGAATCGCAAGAGAACTCGGACATGTCCTGTATTAAGTATGAATAAATGTCAAGCGAGGTTTACATGTGGATGGGTTGAGGCATACCAGAACATACAGCATACATTCTCTATTGGCCTGTAGAAATCCTCATGACAATGTCCAAAGTTACACCGAGGCTCTTCAAACGTTTCCATTCCCGCCTGTGAATTCAGAATGATCTGACGTCGAGAGAAAGTCCATGGTGAAAAAACTCAAACGGTGTCTCCAGTTATAGTACGGAGACGGTCGTTACGTTCTGTTCAGGAGCATCGACGACTAATAAAACTACTTCATTCCAGTATTCGGATGGGTAAAAGGCGGCCAAGACAACGAGTACCATCAGCAACGCATTCCGAAGCGAATACGTGGTGCAAGGTCGAGCAGCGCGCCCTACCGGAATGAGGTAATGCGCACCGCTAGGAGCAGGCAGTGAGAAGATTCCGGTTTATTGTCAGAGAGTCTCGTACTGGTACATGGTGGTCGAAGAGTAAGACGGAATCCTGGGAAAATTATATATTACGTATAACGGGAGGCAATCGCGCTGCGCTTCCCGATTTGTCTCTCGACGACGACGTCCAATTACCACCGATGTTCAACGGCACCGAGCCAGGAGGGCCGCCGCCTGGAAGCCCTCCTACCAGTAAGCGAGCCGTACCATACGATGCATACAAGAAATTTATGGCGATATTGTAGTGAAGTACGAGGGGCCCTGGTTCACCACGCAGCTCGTACTTTCCGGTTCGATAGGATTATGGGCGTTTCTCATATTCTCGTATTGTCGGACCCGGTGGCCTCTGTATTTTGCCCCAAGAACGAAACTGAAAGGTACTAGTTGCTGGTATCATTCTATGATAGTCAGAACTCATGGTCGTGCGCCAGGTTTCTCTCCTCACGAGGCCCACACTCACCCGGCATTCTTTGGATGGATCCTGCCCACCATACGGACGTCAGAGTTCACAGTACTGCAGATAGTCGGTCTGGATGCAGCTGTGGTGCGTGGTCATTCAGTGTTTTCGGTTCATCCCAGTTCTTGACTTCTTTCCCTAAAAGCTCCTCAACTTCTACAAAATGTCCTTCTATCTCTTCTCCATATGCTCCTTATTCGCAATCGGAATTCTCATGCCCATCAATTGGAAGGTGTGTTTCGTATGTACCTCACCGTATTCCAGCTAATCGCCTGCAGCATAACAAAGATCTGGGGGATGCTGAGGATTGGCCTGATGAAGGCGAGGATTGGTCAGGCGATGACTACAATAACGATTGGCCTTCTCTTTTACGCACCTCGTTCGCTACGACATTCAATGCCACCTTTCCTACTCAGCCGGGGAGCGATTGGCTCGACCTCCTGACCGATGCAAGTACTTATCTCTCGATACACCTCGTCTTCACCTACCTCTTCACGCTTCTCGCGCTTTATCTTACGTACAAGAACTATCGCCGTTTCATCCGTTCGCGGCAACTCTTCTCGTTGGAGCTGGTGCATTCCATACCTGCGCGTACAGTCATGATTACGAACCTCCCGTCACATCTCCAGGGGGAACGCGCTCTAGCAGAATACTTCGAAAACATGTCTCTCGCGGTCGAGAGCGTGACGGTCTGTCGCGAGGTTGGTGCTCTCAAGAAACTTTTGGATAAGCGAACTGCTGCGCTCTTGGCCCTGGAGAGAGCATGGGCGGCTTATGTTGGAAATCCTAGCTCCGTCGAAGCCTATGATCCGGAGGAAACTGTGATGCCTCTGGTTGATGTTGATGTCGAAGCACCTCAAGCACTCCCGACACGGCTTGTCGTTCCTCACCGAAAACGTCCAACGCTTCGTTTAGGCTGGTTTAAGCCCAAGGTGGATGCATTGGAATACCTGGAGACGCGTTTCAAGGAGCTTGACGAACAGGTGAAGAAGAAACGGCGAACTGGTAGGTTCAAAGCCACCCAAGCTGCCTTTGTGACATTCGAGAAAATGTCTAGTGCAGTGAGTGCATTTTCAAACTCTCGGCGGCGAAGATCCGATAGGCAGGCTCTCCGTTTCAATCACAATGTTCGCGTGAATATTTGCGAGTTGTCCATCACGCGACAACTTGAAAATATTGCATACGAACACTTGAAATGGATCGCCAGCACATTGGGTTTGCGCCGCATATGTTCTAGCAAAGATGTTAATACCGTTTCAAGCAAGTAGCCCTGCAGGTCGTCCATGCAAATAATCCATGGCAGTGTACGACGTATGCTGCTCCCGAGCCGCGTGATATTGTCTGGTCAAACATGACGCCATCTCAGGCTCACATACGGACGAGAGATGCCCTGGTGTTAGGCGCCTTAGCTCTATTGTTCTTCTTCTGGTTCTTCCCTATCACGGCACTTGCTAGTCTTCTCAGTTACGACGAAATCAAGAGGACTTTACCTTGGTTAGGCAGGCTTATTGATAGCAATGCTAAGGTGCAGGCTGTGGTACAAAACTCACTGCCGTCTGTTGCTATGATCACTCTGAATGCATTGCTACCTTTCCTGCTGGAAGGTATGTCATTGTTTTGTTAATCGTGTCGACCGTAACTTATCCTCCTTAGGGTTGACTTACCTACAGGGCTATCGCGCTCGAAGTTGGATCGAATACTCGCTGTTGAAAAAGTACTCCTACCTGCTTTTTCATACCACAAATCTAACGGAAGTTACCCAGATACTTCCTCTTTCTTCTGATCAACGTGGTGTTCATCTTCCTCCTTGCGACGACATATTGGCAACTCGTTCGAGATCTAGCCAATTACCCAGCGAAGATTCCAGAGAAATTGGCAAAAGCCCTTCAGTCGGGCAAAGCTCGGAATTTCTTCCTTTCTTATGTTATTCTACAAGGTACTTTGGATTTTTCTTCAGTCGTTCATAGTCTTGACATCCTCAAGGCCTGGGTATAATGCCGTTGCAGCTCCTAAATCTCGGTATAATTGTACCTCGATTTATTTTACGACTATTTGTTACGCGAACTCCGCGTGGTGGGTGCTTCTGGCATGTCTATCCTCATGCTTCTAATAATCCCGTAGATTTTGCGGAGCTAAATGCCCCTCCTATGATCAACTACGGCGTAGTCTATCCCCAGGCTATACTCATCTTCACTATTACGATTCTCTACAGTGTTGTACAGCCGCTTATCGTCATTTTCGGATCTGTGTACTTCGGCGTTGCCTATGTTGTTTACAAGTACAAGCTCTTGTTTGGTATGTTTCTAACCATTTCGATCATCGGCCCTGCTGACTTCTCATATGCAGTGTTCTACAAACCCTACGAGTCCCAGGGGCAGGCTTGGCCATTGACCTTCGTACGCCTGATATGGGGTGTTGTGATATTCTTGGTCTTCATGACTGGCTTCTTCATTCTTTCTAAGTCATTCGTAATGGCGTCCCTGCTCACGCCTTTGCTGGTGGGAACAGTTGTATGGTCTTGGTGGGTTGACAAGTCACTGAAGCCGTTGAGCGAGTTCGTGAGTCTGAGCTCTGTGTATGAGGTTGAGAGGGGGGAAGAGACAGCAGATGTAGTGAGATTAAGAGCAGGCCACCCGGTTACATGGTCGCAGAGGTTTGTCGTTTACTTGGTTTTACTGCATCGTGCTCATGACGTCGTATCATTTTTAGCAATTTGAATCGGAGGAGGTATGCCCAGAATGACGATACGTTGTATGTTGCGCCTGAAGACGAGCGAACGGATTATGTACGTTATCTTCGTACATTTCAATCGGACACTGTACTGACCGTCTCGTCAAGTCACAACCGCCAATGGCTAACTGGTACAGCGGTGTTCTAAAGTAAGCCGGTTTCCGGACTATCCTTGCTCTCTCCTAAACAATGTTTTATAGCACTGGCAAACGACGGTACGGGCATCCGGCACTCAATGGTGTTCTCCCCGAACCTTGGCTACCTCTCAAGAAGGGTCAAACGCTTGTCAACGGCGATCGGAGTATTACCCATCGACAAAGCCGGGATTCAAACCAAGCTGTTGTTCTGACGCTGCGCAAAAAACCGAGCAAAGTACGGCGCACAAAAGCATCCAACCCTCCCACGGAAGAGCCTTATGTCGATGGTGTGCCAGGACCGTCAGATTCGGGTGTATCGAGCAACCGCTGGGAGGATACACAGGCGCCTCCTGCGCGACGCGTGCAAACGGAGCCAGTGCCACTCTCACATCGGTTGAGCTATGATCAGGCCTCGGGGGTTATCATGCTGCCGGATGACGACCATTGGATGGGAGATGAGATTGACAGTGATGAGGAGGACTATGGGGCGGTCACTGGGGATAGTACACCCCCCGGGGCTATGAGCGAGACGGTGGCAAGGAGCCAGCCGGTACCGATGAGTCCAGGACGTTCAAGGTACGGCACGTACTTCCACCATCCAGAGCGGAGGAGGCAGCCAATACCTGGTGCTTTCCCGAGGTCGTAGGTGGTATCTTATTTCAAATTTGTATGCATGGATGGAAGGGTTGGACTGCCTTAGTACTAATTATTCTGATACCCTCGTCATACACATACTACGAGTATAATTTCATACATGAAACAAATGCTAGGAAGCACATAAGGACTATGTGTCGAAGCAATAAATGTATCTAAGTCACGAATCACGATGTAATGACTTCGAAGAGGCATCGGGGATGTTCTGTCTTCGACGCGAATGTACGAAGCTTACGGTACGGCTTGAAAGAAGGATGGATATGTATCAATTACTTCGAGTACACAAAGGGGAATCATGACAATGTCGTATATGTGCAAGGCCAGGAAGGGCGTCCTACTGGCTAAGGATAGTGCGTACAAAGGACTCATAGTTTACATTTCCATCCCTATTCGTCTGTGAGCCAAAGTAACGAATAAAGTTGGACAAGGAAAACACGTACGCTCCAATTTGTACACCCTTCAACAGCTCATCCACCTCTTCATCTGTCATTTTCTCTCCTAACTGCGTGAGGACATACCGCAGCTCACCCGCGCCGATGAAGCCATTGTGCTCTTTATCAAAGACCTGGAAACCGCGAATGAATTCCTCTGTAGGATCATCCTAATCAGCCAGAGCATATTCTAGCCGAACACTCGCAACTCACCCGGTGTACCAGCCGGCTTGAAACCGTCAGGACGGTTCAAGATAGTCAAAAATGTCTTGTAGTCGACTGTTGGTAAATGCTGGTCAGCGAAGCTGAATAATAGACAGGAGGATTGCCACACCATCTTGGGGCGCTGATGCTACGATCTCGGCAACCTCAGCCTGCGTAGGATTCTGTCCAAGTGCCCTGAGAAGGTCACCCAGCGTCTCCCTTGGTACGGCGCCCTTGCCTCGCTTGTCAAACAGCGCGAATGCCTCCTTGTATTCTGAAGAACGTTGGCGGCCTGAGTATTAGAAACAAGATGATTTGCTGACCTGCGTTGTCACTCTAAGCAGTAAAGATTGATTAGCTACGCGGCAGAGTACAAGGACAAAGGACGTACCATGATGTGTTCGTCGAAAGGAAAGGATGGATATGGTCGGTTGGAAACCGTAGAATGCTTTGTTTGGAACCCACGCCATAAGAGGCGATCAACGATCGGGACACGGACCGATGTACCAGACGCGCGTCATTCTTGCCTTTGTACCATGGTGATTATCGTCTCATCGTAGCCGTGAACCAACCGTTCACCTTTTCTTTTCAGGATGTAGACCCTCTACAAGACACTGTGCCATCTCGCTATGCGATCGAATCCGATGAAGAAGATGAATTTAATCCTCTACAACTCCGCCCATCGCAGGACGTCTCAGAACCTGTGAGCATCAAGATGGTTGGCAGTGTATCGACGGCCGGAAAGCTCATCGTTGCTTCTGGAGATGCGGGAAGGATTTGGGCACGTGGAGCCAATCTGGGAGAGCAGACAGGCGCTGTTTACGTGAATGATATCTCAGTGCGTTCAAATTTCATCTCCGTCCGGTCTGAAAATAACGGTACTTAGATGGGCCTCTGTTTCAATCCAAAATGGACAAGTGCTACAATAATCATATCAGAAGTCACGACTAGATTGCCAATATGGGCGATGAACGAATACGGGAAGCAAATCCTCGAAACGCTCAGGCCTTCAAGGTGGGAATTGACTCTCGCCTTACTTCATCCAGTATAACCGAAATTTCAGGGTTTCCCTGTTGGACATATATCCTGTGCCTTCATATATAACTTCCGAGCCGCTGACTTTCCAAAATGCGCCCATTCGGTACCTCTCCACTACTAACGTGGATCCTGTCATTGCACGTATACATTTTTACAGGCCATTCGATTTGCTCATTGGAATATACAGGCTGAGCATGCAGCAAAGTTCTCTCCGCCCAATCTCATCTCCTCTACCTCAGCTGCCTTCATGGCAAACCTGTCAATCTCCAAAGTCCAAGGCGTCTTGCTTGTTCTGCCCTACCCACGGATACCTGCTCCAGCGCCCAGAAAGCTCTCTCCGTCAAATATCGAGCAGCTTTCAGATGACTTTGCACCCTGGAACGAGGACACCATGTCTACTGCACAGACCTTGCTGTTCAAGGCTATCGATGAGAAAGCCCCAGACGCATGGGTAAACAAGTCTTCGAAGGGAACCACCATTCACACTACCAAAAGACAGAAAGGCGACATCGGCGAAGGGGGGATGTACATCTAATTGTATGCAATATGTTGTACTCGGTTTGTACAAATGACCGATGTTCCTATTTGATCAGCTGTCGAACGGAAAGTCAAATATGCTCTGCAATAGTAACAGCAGGAATGATGCGATAGAGATCGGACAGCGTTTACCTGCACAGGATCATTGGATATCACCACCAGGCACAATATCGTCTTAAATCACGAAGCAGGCTTCCAAGAGCCCTGAAGAGTGGGTTTCCTTCACAGGAATAGCCGCTAGGGTCGGCTGGAACTACAAATACGCTTGTAATGTGCCATTGTGGCCAAGAAGTAGAAGAGAAATCATCTTGATTCGCGGGTGCAGTAGCAGTTGTGAAACGGAGGCATAGTCACTAATCTACTTCAGGTCACCAGTTTCAGGTCATCCATCCAGAAACTACTTAGCTTTTGAACTCCTCGCTCGTTTCTTTGTTGATTTCATGCTCCGGTAAGTTGACCATAATGCTGATCCCTTGTTTCGTTCTCTCATCCAAAATTGATGTTAGGGCTTCTTCATCAGGGCAAATCCCGATGATGATGTAGAGGAGTCAGCCACCACTCGTAGCCGACTTGAATCGAAAAGAAGCCTGCCGGTACAGCAGGAATCGACACAGCAAGATACAGCCCTTTATCCTAACACGAATGACATTCCTAACATGTGCCCGTTCACATAAAGAGATTTGGTGCGATGGCGGATGACTCGGTTTTGGTCGGTAACGAACCTGTGGAAAGTCATTTCTCAAAGGTATTCCCGTATTCTCATACGCCAAGGTCAGAGCCAGGACTGAATTTTATCATTCACGTTCGAAATCTGGACATTCTCGTCATGTACAATATGTGTCTGCACGCGAGACGTGTGGTGAGCTCTCGTCGCTACTTCTGAACAGTTTTTTTGAGTTATTCTTAAGTTCCGTACTAGTGCAATGCCGTACAACCGTGCAGTGTCCGACGTTCGGGTGATATTGAACACACAAAGTGATTATTGTTTATCGCTGTGCATCACCTCCTTGGAATCTATTACATGCACCCGAATCAATGAGAAATACAGCGCATCTTGGTTGCCCATTTAGAACAGCGATAACTATGCTTCGCTGGCAAGATAGTCCTCTTCCTTTCTAAACTTCTGCGACAACTATTCCCTTTTTGTTAAAAATGGATCGCGATGATCCGCGATCATTGTATACCACGGTACTATTCATATGCATCCTACCGCATCTGCTCTTCCTGTGCTTGTGGGGTCATCTCGACCGTCAGCTGTAACTGACGTCACGCTAAAGAACTTCACAGCCGGGCGTTACAGCTTATGTCCACCTATAGGTGAGTTCAGCGCTTGGATCTTGCATAAATACAGCGTCTGAAGACCTTAGTCATTCAGGTTTCCACTGCACACAAAACATCCCGCGAGATAATCATATTCTCTATCTACGCTACTCTCACTCTATATCTTCCCTAACACATCACTATGCTTTCCTCTCAAGCACCAGGATACGCCAAGACCCGCCGCGATGCCCGAGATATTCCGCAACGGGACAACTGTGCCCACGATGCGGTTCCGTCCCAACGTCGGAATCCACAACCAGGCGCCCCAGTCGAGGCACCTCTTATCGATCAGCCGCGACAGCCCTACCCTCCCTACACACAATACAATCACAATTATGCGGGTCCACCCCCCTCCTACCACACCAATCCATCTGTCACATCCCTTAAAACTCCTCATCGCAAATCCCATACTGCCTATCCGACTCCACCAGATAGCCCCGAGTATACGACCTACTTGAAAGTAGATCAAACTGAGCCAGAGCGTGCGGCCTCTCTCACGTTCGATGATGTTACCAGTCAGCCGCCCCAGCGTATGGAGTCCACCCGTTCTGTCCAGACAGTTTCCACAATACGCCTTGAGGATCTTAGTATTCTCCATCCCCCACCTGGTCCCGATTCTCCTCGCCGTAATGCCTTAGTGTACGACGAAGCCGCGTATCCTACCTCCTTTTCTCCGGGTCGAAGTCCTGGAGCTGAGCTGGCTAGAATCCTAGCCACTGAAAGTGTCACGACTCTTCCGCGCTATGCTTCAATGGCACCATCTGACAGCGACCTTGCCGTTCACGAATGCAGTGGTAGCGATGTTGTCGCTGATCTTGACACTGCCCGAAACACAGCAGCAGACCTGTGGAAACGGACTATCGTATGTTCCAAATGTAATGGAACAGCTGTGTGCGGAGGAAATCAGGCAAACGCTATTTGAACTGTATTCTGAGTTAGCGACGTTAATCGCATACTTGTCTAGATACCCAAATTCTCTATCAAAGACGTCGATTTGAAGGCTACCGATACCTCTCCTTGTCCTTCGCTCGACGTGGTTCTCGTACGTTGCTGCTGGAACTGCGGTACCTATTGCCGTGGATGTCATAGAGGTCCTCAGTGTCTCTCTCCTAAGAACTGTAAGCGGCGTCGTTCTGTTGCTTCCTACGAGATCATCGCATCCATGGAAGAGGAAATCATCCACTCTGGGGGAATCTTTAAGTTCCTGACCAATATTCGTGCTTGGGAGACCCTCCACAAGGCTTTCAAGGCGCTGACGTTCTACTATGAATGTAGCTCCAAAGACAACAGCCAGTGGTATTGCGACAATCTGCTACGCCTGTCCTTGCTTCCGAGAGTCATTCAGTCTGTTTTAGAGTATCGTCAACTGAGCAATTGGCTTGGATCTCAGCACAAGCCGAATCTCTATACAGCAGTTTTTGGCTTCTTGGAGCTCTTATTGCTCAGACAGGAGGACAAGGAGCTATTCAATGAGCGGTGGTTCCGCATCAAGGACAACAGCGGTGGACTGAGGAACTGGATAGAACATGGAGGGACGATTGAATTCGAGCGGGGGGAGGATGGGGGGGTGATCAGAATTTCCTCATTCCAGGAACTCCTCCGCGAGCTCCGGAATGGACCGTGGTGGAAAGAGCTAACTAACTATACAAAGAACACGTCTCCGGACCGAGTTGGCGCTTCATATGCTCGTGATTGGCTCGTGAAGGTGGATGGCATGTTGAAGTGAGTCACTATCGCTTCTCATGACTCGAATACGGCACATGTGGATTTCCTTTCTTTCTTAGTGTATCGCGTACCTATCGAAGCCATTCTTCTTCTATCTGATTCTAACTGTATCGATACTGTGATTCTTATATGCCTCATCCCATTTTATACATCTTAGCAGTAATGATAATCGTGTACAATGCCACATCCATCGAATATGTCACTCCAGGAATAGGTAGGTACTCAAGAAGCACGAGCGCCATGTGTTCTTGTCCTGTCTTTGTTCGCTCACCCCGGGTACCAGTGATGGCAGACGAACAAAGGCTCAGGGGTTCATTTTTATACTCGAGATTTGTGGCATTGATGCAAGAAACCCTTTGCTTCCTACGCCCACCTCGCAATACCGATACGGTGTAATGTCTCTTTAAGCTCAAACCTCTATCAGTGTGCACTGACTCGTATACCGCTATAGACAACGGTCTCAATATGTCCAGGGCTCTGGTTAGAGAAGAAACCTTCGATAGAGAGATGTCACTCCGTGAGTCGCAACAGGTCCTGTTCAACGACCTGCACGCATGCCGAGCTCAGTCATTCATCAGAGATGAGGAAAACCGTCAACTGGTGCAAGTATTAGGATTGTCGTCGAGCAGTGCGCGCCGCAAAAGGTTAACAGGAGGGTTCAGATGGATGATTTACGCTTCCTTCATTTTCTTTACATGCGTGGCTGCATGGTCAATCGCAACATGGAACCCACGTTCCGAGCCTGGGTCGTTCTGATGCAAAATCGAAGGGTTGGTGGACAATCATAAGCTCAGAGACCTTGGTCCATGTGTGGTGTCGGTATTGGATTTTTTTAGGGCCGTCGAGCCCTTTTGGGAACAGTTGAGCCAAATCCTTGAAGTGGCTCGTTTCATCGCACGGATATATTTCGAAGCTCAAGACGATTGACTGCCGAGGCAAGTACTTCCACTATACACTGTCTTAAAAGTACGAAATGATTACATCTTGTTTCAGTGCGAAGTCAGAAAACATTATTTTCATATGTGTTGATATTATAATACATCTGCCACCCAGCGCTGTATATTTAGAGATTTACTGTACAACGAGAGTTAGTACTAGTGCTTATTCATGCCTTGTTTGTTTAGTGGGCTACATCTTTGAGCAGTCCTCAAAGGGAGGAAACAAATGTTTTCGAAATTGTAAGAAGACTCAAGTGAATGATTAGAGGGGCATATTATTCTGGGCTAATAAAATAGGACGCGAAGGTTGATATCATGTGATCGTGATTTTGCGGTAAAAATGCATTAGGAGCCCTGCTCAAAGACACTGGTTAATCGGCATAAGTAACGCTATCACAGGGAAGTGCGAGTTCATGGAGACGCGTCAACGTCTATGAGACAAGAGTGTCAGCACATATTTACCCAACACTAGTATCCACTGATGAGGTCAAGACAGTGCATAGACAACCAATATTTTGCGGGTTTGAATATCTGAGCTATCCCGAGGGTGATACGAGTGAGGTAGATCTATCAAGCAGGCATACACATCGCCGGTTGACAAGATAACAAGAGTACCAGGAAGAATCGGAAAGCCGGTTGTATCTGATTTGAGACACATCAAGACGCATCTCACATGTCCTTGAATGCATATGTGGTAACTACAAAGCGGAAAATACGTGCTTGATGACTTGACCGTACGATGTCAGTCTGCCTCGATAGTTCTGCGAAAGAGTGTTGAATTTCAATTGAATTTCCTTGATTAGGGAGTCGGGGTCCGGTCCGGAAGGCCGAGGTGGGCAATTTTCCTCTGCGTCATCATCTTTTACTCGCCCGTTCCTCCACTTTCCAATTTTTCTGATTCAGACAGGCGTTTAAATCAAAGCTACATCCAGGGGTCCCAAATAGAATAAAGAAACAGACGGTGCCAATGCTATTGCCGTCTGTAGGTGTCAAACAGAAATTTTCCAATCGTTTATTTTGGGCAACACGGATTCAATGGCGAACGGTCGATGGCGGATGAGTACTGAGTGGACATGGATTGGTGCCTAATTAGTTGAAGAATACTTTCCTTCGATGTCCGAGTCGCGTGTCGAAATACCGGTCTGTACATTCATGTATTCATCCTTTCGTATTCGATGCTATACGGTTCACGGACTGACACAGAATATTAGACTGCAAGAATTGAAGCATTAGCAGGTTTCTCCTTGTCGATATGTATACCAGCGGAAATAGCAAACTCCACGCACACATATATGCGGCTATATGCGTGTCCGGCGTTAAATCTCATCACTACAATGCGTCCGGGAGTCCCAGCATCGTTTGGGTTTTTGAGGGGATTCTGGTTTGTCGTGGGAGGGTCTTTCTTGCCAGTTTTCAGGTCAAGAGTAGTTTTGGAGAGATTCTCCGGTCTCGAACTGGCTTCAATGTTTACCTTTTCGTCACGACGATCAAAAAGGTATCAAGCTGGTGGTCCTATGGTGCACCCAATGTTCATTTCTGCATGAACCAACGCTTTGGAACAGATGCACTTATACATGCTCGAGGCTAACCTCGTGGTCGTTCCTGTGCAGTTCTATGTTACAAAAGACAATTCGCACAGCATAATGGACAGAAACTTGAAAGTGCATTCCGGTTCAAGCACTGTACGACGCTCCGAGTCTTGATCTTAAGAGCCCTCTTCTGCTTCTAAAATCAGGCGGCATTGTTAGCGCAATGTTCGGAAACAAGATATCTATGGCTGCACCTCTGATGTTACAGTTTACTGTCCTTTGTTGCGAAATTCTGGCCTCTTAGTGACCGGCCGAGCCTCTCGAGGCCTGCAGCGCTTCGCCAACTGCTTCATCCCTTTCGTGGCCTACCATTTCTACGGACTTTACAATATGCGTTGATAAGCAAGGTCTAGGACTTGACACACATTTTCTCTGCGGGCCTGCCGGATAACTTATGGCTCAGCATACAGTGGTTTGATGGTATCGAAAGCACCTCTGGTCTGTCTATTTCCGATCGGACCATTTTACCAAGACCCCCGACGGTGGAGAAATTGGTTTACTCCGGTCTATGCTTCAGACCTTTCTCCGTGCATATTAGTCGAATAGTAAAAAAAAAGCGTCTGATCTGTCTATTTCCGACTGAATTTGTACTTAGGTGTAACTTCCCCAACGTGGCATGGGAGAAATTGATACTTTCCATCCTACACTTCTCCGTTTGTGTCTTGGGCGACAACCATCAGGGTTAGGTATATGTGAAGGACATGAACTGCTACATGACCAATAAAGCAATGGTTCATGTTGTTTCTGGGTGGTGATTATCGTCCACGAATGCAGATGCCGCTCTTCTCTGACGTCTCCTTCCATGTTACTTTCAATCCCGACGGTGGCGGAGTATATGCTCGTATGTATATAAATCTTCTCTCACAAAAAAGTGCTCACTAAGCATCGGCAGTGGTGAAATGGTGCGACGATGGCATTAGGGTGTACTTTTGGCTCGGGACTTCAGTTCCGCCTGACGTTATGCCAGAGCGCCTGGTGCGCCAATGGCTTATGGCTAACCGAGCTTTGGTAACATGTAATTCTACGAAATATGTCCACGAACATTCGTTCACCCTTCGAGATATCAGCACATCATTGTGGTCAGTCAATTTTATTCTGGAAGGAAACAATCAGCTAAAAAGCACCAGTGTTGACCGCACGCAAGTTTGGAACAGCTCCGCGGGGATACTTGACCATAAACAGTTACACTACAGGGAGGAAATACTCGAACACTGAGGATATTCTCCAGGCCAGTAGAGCATAATTTGCCGATTGAGCGTGTGAGAGGCTCTAAACTTTGTACGTATTCCGGAATTTACCGAATTTACAGACTGAGAAATCAAAGCTTATTATCTGGGATCTTAGTCATTGTGGTCGGGTAAGTGCGCCGTGTTGCTTTTGGAAGCGGTTCCTTCTACTTCATTCCAGTATGCAATATCAATCCGGGCGTTATTATGCCTGGACCTGGTATGTCCATCGCGCACGAGGTGACTCGCAACAAAGCGTTCTCCGCTTTACGTGTTGTGCGCTCGAGCGTTACTAGTATGGGCTTTCTCGACTCTGCACGCAAATTTTCTCTGTTAGAACTTGGCACTACGATGCGTCGTTACCTCGGACGCTGCTTGGTATGAGGTGCAGGCGCCCCGAGGGCGGCTCGTTGCAAAGCCATGAAGCATGTATAACCTGGTCTCGAATATGATAGAATCGTGAGTGCAGTGGTCTATACCTTGACGACATTTCGGGTTCCCGATCCTGAGAGGAGCGGAATAACTAGTTAACAGACATGTTAGACAGTGGCCTGTGCTGGTTTGTCGCTTGGAGGACCCGACATCCGTAGAAGAATATGGAAATTCAACTAAGCGTAACTTCATGCCTAGGTATTGGTTGTCACGACGGAGAAATTCCATGTGGTCGCGTGTAGATGCGCATGCGTCGGACACGGCGGCTTCTGCACCCAACTCCACCTTTCTTTGACACCTCGATCCCTACTAGCCCGCAAGTTTGCGCTTTATGTTCTTTCGAACTTTTACGATCTCTTTGGGTAGGCGAGGCCGTATATAAACCTAGGGTACCTCTGGTACAAGAACCAGCGATCTATCGAGCAGTCTTCTCCTTCGTTAACAATGCAGCTTAAACTCACCTTACTTGCTCTTGCCTCCTCCGTCTTTGCGTCGGTCTTGCACTCGCGCGCTGAGACTGGTATCGCCTACTATGGGTTCGAAGTAGGTGCATCTGCTGGCATTTTTCAAGTATATTCTGACGGCGTTGCCCTTTAGAACAGTACCATGACTGCATGCGGCATCTATTCCAATGATACCGACTTTATCGTTGGTTTGAGCACAGACTACGTGAACTGGGAGCAAAGGGATAATTGCTTCAGAAATGTACGCCAACTGTCCGAGTCGGATCTGTGGAAGCTTATCTGATGACGCTTTGCAGGTCACTGTTTCTCTGACGGACGATCCTTCGACGTCTGTTGAGGTTATGGTCACAGATGCCTGCAAAGACTGTGGCGACTCGGCCAATATCTATCTTTCTGTCGCTGCGTTCCAAGCCTTAGGAAATTTGACAGTTGGCAGATGTATGTTTTTTTGCTCGGTTTCATGTTGTTGCCCTGGCCTGATCCTTTTCCTTCTCTAGTGAACGTTACCTGGGACTTTGTTAACTGAGCATAAGTCGTATTGTATGGGAAGCTGGAACAAGTACATACCGAAATTATCTTTGACAACACTAGGTAGTAGTAAACGGTAGCGCTTCCTATAAATAAACGGTAGCATTGGTTTACACTGATATTTGAGATTATTTCTTTTTATCGTAAGGGAAAGATTTTAAAACTTGAAGTGTGGAAAGAAATTGGAAAAAATGGTCAGTATTCGAAATAGTGAGCATCTGTACGTTCAGACCGGAATTTTCGTTGAATCTTGCTTCCAGGAAAATGGAGAGCCAAAAGTTGAGTCAAGTCATTCTTCCGACAGGTGGTTACAACTTTTGTTGAGCTAGTGAATTCTCGCAAGCTATGATTCGGTCTGCAGGACGGACCCACGAGATCTCTCAGTTTATTATATACTTTGTATCGTTAATCCTGTTCCAGATATGATATCGTGATTTCGTTTCACTAATAAAATTGCGACATATTTGGAGTGACATTAAAAGTCATTTTTGGGAGCAAACATCGTATCAGGCATGCAATGTAAAATAGTTCTCCTACCGGGCCGCACTTTCGCATCTAATTGAGGACTTGAACTAGATACATCGCCAACGGCCCTTCCTTGTGCTGCCGGTGAAGGTGAATAATAGAGCCAGGACTCCGACGTATGCTCCTTAGATCAATTCCGCTGTACTACGAGAAACAGAGCCTACTGTTGATAAAAAGGGTGATAAGAAAGAAATCGGCGCGGTAGCGTGGTCTCGGTGGTGGTCAAGGTTCTTTTTAATTGCGATAGATTGTTCGGGTCCGAGTCTGGCTTTGAAGGTCCCCAAAATCAAATCTTAACTAACCTCAGACGATGCGAAAACGTAACTAAGTGCAACTCTGTCGAACGGGGACTCTCGTCGCTTAATATATCGTGAGCTTGCTCCCATATATAGAAGACGACCGGTTACAGGTCTAGTCGCTTACTTGTCACCGACATAAACGACGGGCCGATTCAGATTGGCATCAAGATTGGACCGTCATCTTCTCACGCTTTGTCCTTTGTTTTTTGTTGTCACCCCGGAGACGGTATAAAACATGTTGGACTTAAACACGACCTCTAATAGTGCTTCCATTATCCTTCCTATTCTCCGTTCTAGTCGCTAGCAAGCTACGGCACATACGAGTCCGTGCATCTCTAGACCGTAAGCCGAATGCGCATTGCTGTCAAAAAATATTTGGAATCTGGTGTTTTTGCAGCACTCGGCACTCAGTCAGTACTCAGGCCTCAGGCAAGAGTTGGACCCGTGCCGCTTAAAGATCAGGAGCTCACTTGACCAATATGCTAGAAAGTATACAGAGTGTATATCTTATATTCCGCGAAACCCAATATTCTGCAAATAAAAACTATGCCACTGCAATAGCTACAGCAGGTGCACGCATCAGCGAGGAGCCCCACACAGTGTCATCAAGGGAAACAAGGTACTCAGCATCGAACGTCGTTATTGGTAGCTGGGGACAACGTAGCATTGATCAGAAACAGAAAACCGAAGGGTTGACGGCCTGTCGATATCTCGATAGCGACGGCGTGAAAAGGACATCACTACCATGTTCCATGATGTCGAAAACAGGGGTGGTGAGGTTACAAGAGCCATAGACCCGTTGTAGGGACTGATAATAATATGGGGCAGGAGAGCCGGTGGGCGGGGTCGTGATCATACGGCCGTTATCTTGGACACATTTATCGTTCCCTCGAGCCCTCTGTCAATGCCCAAAAGGGTGCCGTCGTCGGTGTCCCAGTCTTGTCCCACCGTCCTGCTCGTCCTCTCTTGCCGTCCTGCTTCTCCCCAGCCTGCTCTCTTTTTGCACGAGCCCTTCTACCCATCCCTCCTTGGCCCTGCATCGCAGCATGATGGTCGTCTCCGCCGCCGCCGGCGTTGTCGAGCCATTCGTCGTCGTCGTCGTCGTCGTCGTCCGTTTGCAGCCGTTATGGACTCCTACAAGCCAGATGGTGTTTGATGTTGGGCTCACAGACAAATTTAAGTTCTTGAAAGCCTACGACCCTCGCACGCATCGGCGATTTCCCCCGATGTTGATGCAGGGTGCGCTGCGTCGGTCGCAGTAGGGATGGGGGTAATAATCGTGGCCGGGGCAGGTGCCGGTGGACATCATCGTCATGGCCATCGTGGTTGATGGATAAATCGCAAGCTGCCTGCAGAGGGCTTACGCGGGTTGTGGGGAAGAATGCACACAATACGGGGCTCTTGGGGCCGCACGACGGGTGGAAAAGACCTGTAAAAAGGTAAGAATAATCAAATAAGAGAAAGTACCATTTATATGAAGGTTATGTCTGATTTGTGTTGGAGAAAGGTGTGATAGCAAGCCGAGGCGGTGGTCAAAATGCGGAAGAGGAACCACACAGCCACTCGATCGCTTGGGCGCTTTCATGGTCCGAGCGAGCGGCGAGACTGGTTTCGTCATCGGGGGAAGACGTTGAAAGCTTGCCTTCTCGTCCTGCTCTCAAACGCAAGCAATTCTTACGAACTCTTCTCGATGTTTTTGCCCGATGACTGCCCCTCGACACCGGACAGCGCGTCATCACCGGTTTTTACCACATATTTGTATCGCCGGAGATGACACGGTCAGTGGGCTGGGCTTCGACCACACAGACTATCTCTCTACATTTCTGTTAATTTCTACGCTGGGGGGAACATTATCGTCCCAAGACCCCTCGTGATTAGCGATTATTTAGGCTTGAAGGCCCGAAAATGTCATTTTCATTGACTCTGGCTTTTCATCTCCTTACGATTCTGTCTTCGTACATACTAACACGTTGGACTACGCGGACCGTCGACACCAGCCTAGCTCAAATACTTCTGCGTATAGTCTACATGACTTAACACACTCTTGATAGGCCTTCGGTTGTCTAGGGCTGTCTGCGGCGATACACCGAGGAATGTCGTATAGTGCCAATCTGTCAATTCTGGCCTTCGTCAACTTTTTCTGACTGTTGGACCACGTAGATCACGATATTCACTGAGCGACTTGCTTTGGTTCCGAGTTCTTCATGATCTGTACGGTTGAAAGGGGGCTCTTCTACGCTCTAATACATCAATTTTCAAATGGCGACATTCGACAAATGTTCTTACTCCGTGTGACACTCTCCTACGCCTAGCCTTCCTGATCTACAACTCAGCGATTCCAAGTACAGAGATAATTGGCTATCCGTTCTCCCGTTTCCGCTAGACATTCTTGGGGGGAAACTCTGGAATGATCAATCGAAGGCTCTTCTGCACCCTAGTATCCCGCTAGCTGTGTGGGGAACAACCCTTGTCTTATGCCTTGAAACAGAGCTATTTCAAGCGGACTACACGAATCTATTGACACCACCACTGATATATCATCGCGAAGACTAAAATACAGCCCTCTTACAAGGGACTGGGCCTTGTGAAGCAGGCCGACTAGTATTGAAGGAGAATTTGATCAAGAAACTGAATTGGCGAAGGTCTCGAGTCTACAGTCCCCACCTAGCTCTGGGTCCTCTTCAATGGGAATGCGTTATCTGGAACAACACGTTTATGCATCATGGCCTCTCTCTCATAATATGCGAAGGGAGTACGTGCTTCTCAGATGATTGCAAAAATGCAAAGCGAAGTAATAACGCCGTTATCGATCTTCTCAAGTATCAACTGGACCAGCTATGTACAAGTCTTCTCATCCCAGAGGACAGGAGGAGCGGGACTAGTAGAGATGTCATCTAATGGTCTCTGCCACCGCTCTCGACAAATCCCCGGAATACCATACTTCTCATACTTCTGAGGGCAATATTTATGGCTCTAGTATCTCAGCTGTTTCCTCTGTTGATGCAGGGTATCTTTTCCGACACCTGTACCTGGTCGGATTTCTACGAAAGTTAAGGTATCAATTCAAGTCATCAGTTCCCGTGTCTTTCAAGGGCTTCTGGCTGTATCAAATTGCCGTTTTACTCCCATATAATCTACAGCTTGGGAAGACGAATCGGAACATGCACTGGTCTCAGCAGAAACCTATTTCTACCGGCATCGACTAAAACAGAAGATATCGAAGCAGCCACTCCCATCCTTACGCCATGTTTACCACTTCTACCTTCAATAGACGCAGTCCCTGGCCTAATCAACAAGCAAGGATGCATCCTAGCACACGGACCTTGAAGTTTTGGAAACCACGATACCATCTTGACATGCGTCGCACTCAGTCTGTTTCATCAAGCGAGGATGGTGCTGATTCCGCAGGTCTCGAGTTATCCTTCCTAGCGAAGCCATCCCCTTGCTTGTCATTGAAGGGGATGGACTCGCAGGATCGCTATCCCCCCCGCCGGCCGATCACACAGTCAGTATCCAACCTTGCTGCACCATCCCGCGACGAGATAGACACTCCTGATAAAGACGACATGTCGGTTTCGGGCTGTTCGCATGTCGCTAGAAGTTTATCAGAGGTTGTTGAACGGGAGGTTACCACAGTTGCCAGCTCACCGAACCCTGTGTCTGCCTCGACGGTAGCCATCGGATGGGAATACCCTCGACATTCGATCCCCAGCCGTGTTGGTTTTCCCTTCCGCCAAACTTCTAGCATTGATCCCGACGCAGCGACTAATATCCCTCATATTATTGTCTCAGAGGACACATCACCAACTAGGGAGGCCACCGGTCAAGTTTCGGAGTCCAGCGAATTGATGGTCTCGCTGCAAAGCCGTACCCACGCGGGTACGTACAATTGGGCCAGGGACGAGAGAGAGTTCCTAGAATATCTTCCATGTCGCATAAACCACTATGCCAGGAAGTCCTACATGTCGGTGCTCTCATTTCGCTCGGTTTCATGACAAGTAACATCAATGTTTAGAGACGAATGGGACCCAGCGAAATTCACAGTGCCTGCTATGCTAACCGAATTCAATACAGTTAGACGTATCTTGCCTCAAACGTACGTGGATCCTCTTGCAATCTTGTCAGAATCTTGACTCGTTCTTGCACTAGCGAAGAGGAAGAGGTTCTACCTGAGGGTTGGACAAAGCATACACATTCAGATGGGAAGTCATATTTTTATCACGATAAAGATGTACGCCTTCCCACTCCGACCGCAGAATCGTCTCTAAGAACATTTATAGAAAGTAATCACCGAGGAGTGGTTGTATGACAGAGACATTGCCGAGAAGGTATCTAGATACATCGCCATACTCAACGATGCCATTTCGAAAAGGGCCGTATCATTTGGTCGTATCAAATCCTGGCATCTATATGTGGAAATCGCGGAATACGGAATACCTTCGTGGGAAGGTGATAATCGCTGTCGCTGCAAATACTACTTTGTCAACCTCGATGAAGAATGCATCTTCTGGCTCTCCAAGTTCCAACTGGATGACTATCTATGGGAGCTCAGGGGAGATATGAGCCCGGATTTCATTCGCAGTAAGTAGGAGCTTGAACAAGTTGCGTTGCGAGACTTACTTATTTTGCAAGGATTCCTACAAAGAGAATATTGGTAATTCTCTTTTCATCTTTTAGTGTTGCCGATAGTAATATTTCCTAGGAATCACCAGTATTTTTTCAGCGACATTCACCCACTTACGAAAGCGCAGTGGAGAACAGTCCAAAAATACGTCTTACTCGCAGAATCAGGTTAATTCAGTCTATTTACCCTTGTCGTTGTCGTGCAATGTGGAACTCAATTCTCTCCTACAGATGTAAACATGTCTGACACTTCAACCGTGACTTAGAGCATTGATAAACTGAAGAACATGGGCAAATCCATTGTCACAGCAGAAGGTAAGGCATCGTACTTTAGTAATGATATTTCCATCGACGGAGTCTTCGTCTCAGAATTGGATGTTTCCGAAGTGGCAGGCAAGCCTAGTCTACCATATTTGCCTGTCCTTTTCGCTGAAATCACATTCAGCGTCGTACATGATGGCTTTGTGTGAGTGTCACATTTTCTCTGTGTTTCTTAACACCAACTCATGCCAACGACCAGTACATGACCAAATTCTCAACTATTACGGTCAGCGGGATGCAAGAACCGATCGGGGTGAATCTATCTACGGAAGCAATCATGTAAATGAGCCGCGCACCGTTCCGTTCAAGATAGCGAACTCCTTGCTATTCTATGCGCCGATCAAACACTATACTTCTCTGGACAAGGTCTGGGTGGATAGGCTTATTTCAAAGGGGCCGTGGCAGCGTCTCATAGATCAGATTACGGATAAATGGCAACAACACGTCGGACTGGTGCGTATGATTCCTCGACATGCTTTAATGAAGAGTCATATGAATGTCATGATCAGGCTACAATTCTTCTCGCAGTTAACATGGCTTTTCTCGCTATACCTTCCGTCGACGAGATGGGCGCAGGTCAACAGCACCATTTTTTGGTACAGGTCCTGTGCTATTTGTCTGTCGCAAGTAGCATGGGAACTATCATCATCGGCCTTCTACTCATGAGCCACCATAATGCCATGAAATATGTCGGCGTTGACGTTGTGGTGCGCTTGGTCTCTTTGCCCTGGGTTCGGACGACGGACTCATTATCTGAATAGACATCTTTTCTTGAGCGGCATTGGCAGATGAGACTAGGGTTTGAACGATTGTCGATCGTGTATAGCATCCCCTATGCACTTCTTATGTGGGGGTGAGTTGGTGATTTCTGATTTCGTCTTCTAAACTGACCTAAGAGATTAGGATGGTATCTTTTCTAGCATCATTCTTTTTGATGTGCTTGGAATCTTCCAACCCCACTTTATTGAAGGTTTTCGTGATATTAGCGCTCCTTCTGGGAACCGTACTTTGTCTGTGGTGCATATACTTGTTCTGGGAGGGAAGCGACGAGTGGATACAGCGATGCTTTGAGCTGCAGCAAAGGTCTCTTTCCAGTTTAAAGGATAGGCTGCGTTCAATCCTGTCGTATGATCACATCCGCCGATTCCGAGATAAAATCCGAAGGGCTGCCCGTCGAACGACGGAAAGTATCTTACCTACTACCGCTGACGGAGTGGTATGAGCTGACGATAAAACAAAGTGGGTCAGAAGTTTTTTGTATCTTTCTTTTGTACTTGAAACTGTGTATATATGCCTTGGTATATTCCACATTAGATTAAGGAAGGAAGTTTGTTAGTACGATGGTTTTGTCCTGAACGGCGCGCACGGCTCCCGTTGCACTGTTGCGATATTCGTGTTAACAGCTGTCCCGTCTCCAAGTCGTGTCAGGGCGCTGATGACGTTTTATTTTTGTGGACGGATTTCGTTGAAACCCTAGTGTACTTCAGTGGTTAAGTACTAGCTGAGTAATAATTTGAGCTGGCCCGTAAGATGTTTGTTGCAGATAATCTACTGTTTTCTATCAAGGAGGTCTGCGGTCGCCTTTGGACACATCCGACTAGCACGTTCATGGCTCCGGTTGGCGTATGTACTTCACTTAGCCTTATTACAAGGAAGGAAGGAAGTTCTATCATCTGACAGTGATCCCTTACCAAGAATGAGCGTACCATCGAAGTTGTATGCATGATACATATGTTGGATAACAGGCACGTTTGAGCAGTCCATGTTTGCTTAGGAGGAGCTACTTAAATACTCTTTCGTATCCTTCGCTGCATTTTGATCCTGGACCCTGCATTTTAAGTTTTACCTTAGAAGCTAATCAGTATGTAGTATTGCCTGGTGCCTTAGGTAATCCCGCACCTTACCTTTGCACCACCACGTCTATCGTCGAAGGGCTGCTGTCTGCTCGACTTCAGCTCGAAGGGAGAACTGCGACTACCAGAAGAGATGCTGTCGGCGAGAAGACATCCGTAAATGGTCGAAATAAATAGGCACTGAGGAACTCCGGAACTCGCTCATCACCCTCCTCGGCGCCGAGGTCGCTCAAGACCACCAAGAGGATAAAGAAAGCGAGGAAATGACCATCAGGAGCAGATCTAGGCAGATGATGACAATGAAAGTAATGATCGCAACGATGAGCCGTCTTCCCTGCCGAAGACCCAGTCGCTGGTGCATATATGGCTCACATAGCTGGGTAACATTCGTTTGAAACGTACTCTTGATACCTCTGGTATCGAATCACGATCGGTATATCCAGTAGAGGTTATGGTGGTTCCCTGCTCGTGAGTGTCGCTCGTTGTGCACTGCTGATAGTGCGTGATGGCCTTGAAACAGTTACCCTCTTCGAAGGCAAACCAGTGCTGCAGTGAAAAACCGAAACGCAATGACTAAGAGAATCAGATAATCTTCTCCCGCCTTTGTTCATCTTCTTCCTGGTGTTGCCATCCTGGAGACGGTATAAATGTGCTCGATTATACATAGCCACACATCGTTTCTTCTTTACCGTCGCGACTCCCCGCCATGGCTGGCCCTCTGTTCGACACGAGATTTCAACGAACTCCACTTTATCACTATTATTTTACCTTTTCCATTGATGTGGCAGCAACTCTGGAGTTCTATTGTGACGGGGGTGACGAGGTCATGTTGCAGAAGTTGGCTGGTCTGCAGGAGCACAAATATGCTGGTTACTGTGTGAAGGCGCGCCGTTTTTCAGCTACTTGGGATCTCGTCCACTGAACAGCCCGTAGATTGACGATCCAAGCCAAGAGACACCAAAATACAAAGTTATCAACATTCGGCTAGTGCAGCAAGGCCTCACGAAGCCTCATCCTCGGAAACCAGATCATGCACGGCCTCAGATGTGCATTCCTATTTTTCCAGAGACCGCCCATCCTAGGTCAAGGGAACCCCTTAGAGTGTCGAAGCCATTGCCATGGGACCATTGCTACCATCCTACCTGCTACGACCTTTGGGCGCGCGTGCCATCCGAATCGCGAGACTATCTTTACACACCATATGTGATCTTGTCCCTTCCACTTTACAGGGCCCTCCAGGAGGATAACCTCTACGGTGAACTTCTCCGGGCTGGACTAGACGATGATAGAATCCAGCGAATTATTGATGGTCAAGAAGAGGCTCCGGACACCGACGATGTTTCAGAGACTGATAGCCAGGCCTGCCAAAAGTTCCTAGTCAAGATACCAGGCTCTGATGATCTTGGAGAAGATGGGATCTTCGTGCCGGTTATGCGTATCGATCACGTCCTGTCAAACGTCCCAGAGATATCTGATCCATCGCAGTTGTGGGGAGATGTGGATTTTTTCCGGGAGTGAGTAACTATCCCCCGTTGCTGTGAACCTTCTTAACTCTTTTTTTAACTCTTTTTTTCCAGGATCGTGCAGGAGTATCAACTCGCACGCTATGGATCGATCCTTTTCGACCCACCGCAGGTTACAGAGGTTGATGACACGTCTGTTTATAGTATCACATCGGGGGTATCTTGTTCAAGTTCGACGGAAGAACTCAGCCCTGACTCCCCAGACTCACATAAATTGGACTTGACGTCCAAGGAATTTCCCTTGGTGCCGGTGCGTAGTCGGAAAGGTGAGCATTTTTATGCTTAGGTCAGAACCTTCATTGAATTTGCGTGAAGGAAGAATCAAGTCGCTCTTCTGGTGGGCGATCATGAATCTCGCCGAGCTGGTGAAGTGGCGCAAGTTCTCTAGCAAGTGATTCGGACTGTAAGACTCACAAAATCAACTTCGTTCTATGATGTACATTGCCTTTTATCGTCAATGTTGTTGCACAAATCGCACTCTCCTTGGTGCCATTGATTATCTTGATTTCTTTCCAGTGCTAGGATTGTATGTCGAACGAGATAAATCTGACCTTGAAGGATGACCCAAGTCAATTAGTGAAGCCTCTTCAAACATCGTATCAGGTGGATGCCTCTCGTCCGATGCGCAAAGTGAATCTGTTCCCGGGCCCAAAGACCTTCACATCTAGTCGAACAAATATGGTAACGATGTCCTTATTCAGTCCATTCCTCATGCCGCTGGTGAATAAAATCTTCCGGGATATGTTCTTTCGGCTAAATTCGCCGTAATGATGATAGTGCTCAGACATCATAGGCTCGTTCAGGTCGAGAATCTGGACCTCGATGCTGATAGACGGTCGAAGCTTATCTTTCGCTCCCTCTGGAGATGGGATGCACACCGTTGCGACCAATGTTCGGCCCTTTCACAGTTTCATACCGCCATACAAGTGGCAGGAATGTCGTGACCCATCGGCATTTGCCTCATCAAATCATCATGTCCCGTGCACTCTTTTCGCGTTTTTTTCCGAATCGCATCACCGCTAACCATTCTAGTTCCCTCATTTAAACGCTTCTGTGGCAACTTCTTGTTGCTGTTTTTAACACCCAACCATATACCGTCCGTGCTTCTGATCCCATTTGCTACACGGCCACCTATAAAGATCTCTCCCTTGCTTAACCATGGTCGCTATCTGTACTTCTCTGAACCGCACAAGGCTCGGGCAGCCGTCTTCCGCTGGGTGCCTCATGACAGATTACTGACAAACCGCCTGATACGATTATATGACTAATTTTGTTATCAAGATAACCCCTTACGATGGTCGGCCTATGCTCATTGTTGAACACCCACTTTGTTACGATGTTGTCTACCTGTACGTCGCTCTTAATGCTCTGTATATGCCATGCTAACTTGTGAAACAGGTACTCATATCCCTGCTCTCCAACGGTGCCCGCAAGAGGTCTGGGAACATATCATACATTGCCTAGACGACGAGTCGGCCGCGTCCGCAGCGCGAGTTTGCTATGCTTGGACCTTCGCCTCCCGCCGATGTCTCTACCGATACCTGACCTTCACGTACCCTTCTCCCAAACTCGAAGAGACCTTGTCCACCAGTCCAGCAATCCGAGCATGCATCCGACGCCTGCGGCTGAAATGGCATGCAGACGCCAACTTTGACTGGGTGACGCTCCTTCCCCCGGAGAACATCCAATCCATTGAATTCTACTTCTACCCTGGATGTTTCGAAGAAACGTTCCCATCCCATGTAATGGACAACTTCTCCGCGTTGGCGGGTGCACGCCATATCACTATCCAGGGCCCGGACGGATACGGCCATTCGACTCTCCAGCGCTTATGCTCCTCTCCGGTTCTCAAGGAGCTTCAAATCTACTCCTCGTCAATGTGCGACCTCGAGGGCATTGATCCCGTTTGCCCATTGACGCGTCTCACTATCAATTCATGCACCAGTTCCTTCGTGTTTCGCTTCCCCATAGGCAGCTTTACTGCCTCTCTCACCCGGCTGGATGTAGCGTTTGATAGGTTCGACCGGGATGATGGAATCGATGGAGAGTCTCGATCGCTCCGTAACTTTAAGGAAGCGCTCTCGCAGCTCACGCTCCTCCGGCATCTTGTCGTTTACGCGTTACGACATATTCCTGAACCCTTCCTTGATGATGTTGTCGCGCACCTCCCTGCGCTGGAATCGTTGCACGCGACCTCGGGGTCATACAGCGCCGTCCTCTTTGACCGCCTACCTCTCACGATGCGGTGTCTGAGCCTTAAAGGAATTTGGCAAGGTTCACTACTCCCAATGGTTACCTTCATCCATTCCAGCCGTTTGCACGATGTCCTGGTATGGCCAACACGTCCGCAGAATCAAGGCTCGACTGAAAATCTACAACCCGTCCGAGATGCGTGTGAGGCTCAGAATGTACGGTTTCGAGTCATCGCCGCAAGAGACGCGTCGGCCTTCGTCGCTAATTTTCCGTATGATAATGAGGTTCGTTTTTATATCTTCTTCTTGTGCGTTAGTTAACAGATTTATAGCGTATAGAAAACCAAACACTCGTGTATAGGTGGTAATTTCTGCGCGTTCTAGCATTGCATAGAAATAACAAATCTGGGATACCATGGAACTCGCAGCGTGTACGATGCTGAATGTCATTGAACAGACAGAATCGACACATATCATGGACTTCACCTGTCTGCCACGTTGGCTGCATCCAGATCTAAGATCAGGGTACCATTGCTGGCAATATCGTGAATAGAGCGCGATATCTTTTCTGCTTTTGATAATGCGTTTGCTCAATATAAAGTCACAGTTGAAGCGTCCAACATGGCAATATCTGTGAAAGACGAGTCAGGTTTCACAATAACGGACTAAAAGATGGATTTTTGGACCCACTGCCTCTGCGCTTTCGTAAGTCAGTAAACCTCGGGCGTCTCTATCTCATCGTGGGATGATGACCCAGCAAGTCTAGACATACACTCCGTGATTGAACTGCGAGGGCGGCGGCGATCCTGAGAGCCGCCGACGATGTCCTTGCTGAGAAAGATAACCCAAAGTTGTAGATAAAAACTAACAGTGAGATCCTTCGTAACGGTGAGGAAAGAGGTGCGATGACATCATGGTACGAGCCCGACTCCGGGGAGATCATTTTCTCACGATTCCTTTCCTTTGTGTTCTCTCGTCTCTCACCGTCGCCGCTATGTCATGAGCGTCATCATTTCGCCTTTTTCATCGACATCGTTGTGTCTGGAGTTTTACTGCGGCGATTAAATGTCGCAAAAACTGGATGGTTTATGAGATAGGATATGTTAACCATTGCTTGTTGGTGCGTCTTTTGGCTGTTTGCTTCAATCTCATCAAATGAAGAGCCAATCTTTAGGTCGAGAGACAGGCTGACTCTTGAGTTGGCGAGGGCATCGTGAAAGGATATTCATTATTATTCTGGCACGACGTTTGCGCACGTGTACCAAACGAATGGCGGGACTATGCTCAGTCGCCATTTTTGACTTGGAACCTTTCTCCTTCAACACCCTCGAGGAGGATATACGCTATGGCCAACTACTGCGAGCTAGAGCCGACGATGATCATGTCCTTCAAATTCTCTGAGGTCATGAAGACACTCCAGCTGCAGATTTTCTGGACGGCGCTTCGGAGACTAAGGCTAATAAATAGTCCAGCCGGCTAGATACTATCAAGATACCGGGCCCCGATAATACTGAATAAAGATGGTGCCCGTTATACGTATCGATTACGCCCCTTCAATCGTTCCATCACAGCTATGTGGAGACGTCGGTCTTTTGCAAGAATAAGCGAATGTCGTCCACTGCTGCGAATTTTAATTCAAACCCGTGCAAGAGTATGAGCTTGCGTGAATTGGATCGATCCTTTTCAATACGCCAGAAGGTCCATAGATTGATCACGTACCTATTTTGACTTCTTGATGGTTTATATGTGCCGGTGGAATCTCGCTAAAATTTACCAGAAGAATCAAGCTCTGATTTTTCACCTGCAGAGATCTCTCACCTGCTCGAACATGATTGTTATCTGCACTCCTCTGGAACGCGCGAGGGTCAGGTAACCGGCTTCCGCTGGGTGTCTCATGACAGGTTTGTGGAGATTTTGACTAATTCTGACGCGGTTTTGTTATCAAATCGTCTTATAGTCACCCTAAGGTCATTGCTGAAAACCCACTTTGTTACGATGTTATCCAGCTGTACGTCGCTCCTAGTGCCCTATGTATTCTATGCTGAGCTGTGAAATAGATGGTCACATTGCCCACTGACGCGTCCTACTATCAATTCATGCACCAGCTCCTTTGCGTTTCGCTTGCCCATAGCCGGGGCCATAGGCAGCTTCACTACCTCTCTCACCCGACTGGATGTAGCGTTTGATGAAAATCGAAGGAAAGTCTCAATTGCTCTATAATTTCGAGGAAGCGCTCTCGTAGCTTGCACCTCTCAGGCATCTTGTGAGTTACGTGTTACGGCGTATTGCTGAGACTTTTCTTGACGTCGTAACGCGCCTCCCTGTACTGGAATCCTTGCATGAGACCTCGGGGTCATACAGCACAGCCCTCTTCGATCGTCTAGTCTATCTCTCATCATGTGGTGCTTGAGCCTCAAAGGATTTTGAAAAGATTCAAGAAGCACTGGCTCCGATGGTGACCTCTATCTACTCCAGCCGTGTGGATGACATCTTAGTATGGTCGTCGCATCCGCGGATTCGCGGTTCAATAGACAGCTTGCAATCCGTCAGAGATCCATGCATGGCTCGGGATGTACGGTTCCCAGAGGGCGTCGGCCTTCATCGCTAATATTCCGTATAATGACAAACTTCGTTTTTATATATGCTTCTTGTGCGTTAGTTAGCCGATCTATAGCGTATTAAAAATGAAAGTTTCATATATAAGCAGTAATCTACATCCAAACCTAACACACAGCGTATAACAGTAGTTACAAATCTGTGATACTGAACAGAGATTCCAAAGCTTTTTGATCTACCATTCTCCGCTGGTGGCCGTGGGCAAAATGCTGTTTCTCCCCTGCGAGACCATCCGCCAGTTCCAGTTCCAGAGGAAATCGGCGTAGTTTTTCACTAAAAGACGATATGAAACGTAAGGAATTCTTTCTGTCTGAAAAGAGATCTCTCTGGAACATTAACTTGAAGAATCGATCTATCCATTGGTCGCTGCCCTCCCAGAAGAAAAAAGTGCACCACAAACCAAGCGCAGTAATCAAAACGTACGCGAGGATCACGAAAGCTTTGAGCGATGGTGCGTTTGGAGCCTCAAAGCACATGGATAAGAAGGAGACCAAGAAAGAAGTTATCCTGAATTTCACGTTTGGTCTTAGAAGAAATTCAACAGCATCCGTCACTCACCCCCACATCAGAAGCGCATCAGGGACACTAGATATGATCGCCAACCTTTCAAACCCAAGTTTCATCTGCCAGTGCCGCTCCAGGAAAGAGATCTATCAAGTCGTGAGATATACTCCAAGATGTCCAATGTCCAAAAGCATCATGCGCACCACAACAGAAGAATCAACTTGCTTCAGGGTGGTATACTGGTGTATGAAGAAGAGACCGATGATAATGCTGCCCAGGCTAAGGACAACGGAGAAGCAGACGAGAATCTTTGTCACAGAAAATTGTTGGTTGGCACCCATATTATCGACCGAAGGTATGGCCAGAAAAGCCACGTTCACAGCTAAAAGAACCGTGGCCTGTAGGCAATTAATTAATACCTTCGTCAAATTTTGTAAGGGGTGGCAAAGAATTGTACGTACCAGTCCGTTGGACAAGTTCAGCTTGCTTATAGTCTGTTCTACGAGAACAGTCCGTTGATCCATTAGCATTCTATCGTCCCAGACCTTATTCAGAAGAGTATAGTGTTTAATCGGCGCATAGAACAGTAAGATGTTTGCTATCTTGAATGAAACGGTGAGCTGCGGTTCGAAAAAAGATATTATTTGTGTGAGCTCCTTGTTATGATCGGATCCAGAAGTAGATTCATTTCGATTGGTTCGTACATTCCGTTGATCATAATAGTTGAGAATTTGGTTATGTACTGGTCATTGGAATGAGTTGGTGTTAAGAAATACAGAGAGAAAATGTGACACTCACACAAAGCCATCATGTACGACGCTGAATGTTATTTCAGCGAAAAGATCCGGCAGATATGGTAGACTAGGCTTGCCTGCCACTTCGGAAGTATCCAATTCTGAGACGATACTCCGTTGATGGAAATGTCATTACTAAAGTACGATGCCTTACTTTCTGCTATGATAATGTTTTTGCTCATGTTCTTCAGTTTATCGATGCTCCAAGTCACAGTTGAAGTGTCAGACATGTTTACATCTGCAGGAAAGAAGAATCGAGTTTTATAACAAGGGATGGAGAGAAGGAAATAACCTGCTTTTGCGAGTAAGTCATAGTCTTTGACTGCATTCCACTGCACTTTCGTAAGTCGGTGAATGTCGCTAAAGAAATATTGATGGCTCCTAGGAGATATTACTATTTGCAACCACTAAAAGATGCAAAGAGAATTACCAATATTCTAGGAATTCTTATGAAACAAGTAAGCCTCGCGACACAACTTGTTCAAGCTCCTACTTACTGCGAATGAAATCAGGGCTCATATCTCCCCTGAGCTCCCATAGATGATCATCTAGTCGGAACTCGGAGAGCCAGAAGATACATTCCTCATCGTGGTTGACAAAGTAGTATCTGCAACGACAGCAGTTATCACCTTCCCACGAAGGCTCTTCGTATTCCACGATTTCTACATATAGATGCCAGGATTTAATGCGACCAAACGATTCGGCCCTTTTCGAAATGGCGTCGTTGAGTATGCTGATGTATCTAGATAGCTTTTCGGCAATGGCTCTGTCGTACAACCACTCCTCAGTAATTACTTTCTATAAAGGTTCTCAGAGACGATTCTGTGATCGAATTAGAGAGACATACATCGTTATCGTGATAGAAATATGGCTTCCCGTCTGAATGTGTATGCTTTGTCCAACCTTCAGGCAGAACCTTTTCCTCTCCACTAACACAACGAGTCAAAATTCTGACAAGACTGCGAGAAGATGCACGTACGTTTGGGGCGAGATACATGTACTGAATTCGGTTTGCATAGCAGGTACTGTGAATTTTGCTATGGCCAATTCATCTCTAAATACTGTTATTACTTGTCATGAAACCGAACGAAACGTGGGCACCTACATGTAGGACTTCCTGGCATAGTGGCTTATGCCACATGGAAGACATTCTTGGAACTCTTTCTCGTCCCTGGACCAATCATCTGTACACGCAAGGGTACTGCTTTGCGGCAGGACCGTCAATTCACTGGACTCCGCAACTTGACCTGTGGACTCCCTAGATGGTGATGTGTCCCCTGAGATGACAATATGTGGGATATTACTCGCAACATCGGGATCAATGCTGCCAACACCACGGGACGAAGATATTTTGCTGAAGGAATGGACATCGCAATGAGAGACTGATGCAGACTCTACAGCACTACCTTGAAGCAGGACAACTGATTGACTAGACTTCGCAACTCGAACAGCGGCATTTCTGACTTCATTGTCCGAAAACGGCGACTGTAAGAACTGGAAGGCAAAGGAATTGATGTAACTCGTGGGAAAAACTGACGCGAATGGGGACTTTGTATAGTCATCAGTGCCAATAAGTGATGAAGAGGTCTCGCTGAAGTAAAACTTGTCGCAATGAGATGGTCGGATGCCCCAAGGACCAGGCTTCGTACGAAGAGGTAGGAGAGACTGGTTCATTTGCCAGTGTGGTACCTGATATAGCAATCTCTGGGACCTTCGTAGCAGCACTGTATCAAGATGTGGCCGAGCCATGGCCCCAGCTAACGCACGCGACAACGGAGGTGAAGATTCATCAATCAATTGATCGCTGGCGACTTTGAGAATCATGCGACTGAGGACAGGCCGACTTGGAAGAGGACGGGGGAGACTCTGTGATGCATGCCGGGAAGGAGAGCTCGCCACCCATATCATCCATACCGGGCTCGGTAGAAGATGCAGTTTGATGGCTGAGCTCAGCAAAACTGCTTCGATGAGAATCTGTCGTATCCACCTCCATTCAGTCTGTGGCAATGAACTCTTGAAGGTTGACGATGTCGAGGCGCTAGACATGACGACGGAAAAGTCTGAGAGGTCAATATAATAACGACACCTTCTATTTTATGAGTGCTGGAAGGCTGTTAGACACGACCATCTTTGAGGGAAGCTCGAAGGCAACATCCGATACATTTTCCTATTCGTCTACGAAGGCTCCGGGTTGTTCGAAGACGGAACCACGAGGTCTGTGAGGTTTGAGTATAAGCATCAGTTGAATTCGGAGATTCAACTGGTTGATAAGAATAGGACAGACTGTGAAGACGCAAAATGGACGACGAAACTGCAGTACAGTTCCTCTCGTTTATAGAGGATCATGACTATGTAACGGTTGCAGGAGCTAAGGCGTAGAGTCTGCCCCCCATGTAATTGTGGATACAATGAGGGGGTGGTGTACACTTGGAACGTCCTTTCCTACTATGTATATTTAGAATCTGAGCTGTTGCTATCAGGGACAACGTGCAAACAAATGACTCCAGCGTCTCCAGCGTATTTTCATAACATCTGCATCTCGTTTGTTGCTCAAAAATTTGAACGTTCATGACGGGACCAGCACCCGTGGAACAAAGCAAGGGAAAGAGTAGGATTTTGGGAGGTGGACCATATTTTACAAGTCATTGACACATAAGTAGGACCCTCCGGAATGATAAGACGCACGCCTCCGTAGAAGGATGTCAGGTATCCGCTGAAGGTGCGATATGAGTATATTTAGACTCAATGGAACATGACGTCAGCGATGGCGACGGCATTGATAGGTACAGCGGGAAAAGATGGCAAAGGAGGATAGCTAGCTGCGACAATGCATATGGGGCTGTGAATAGCGCCACCGTCCAGTACAGGGACAGCAAGCGGAGAGATGATGATCTGAATCTGGGGGCTATGGTTCGAACACAGCGTCTATAGACTATCCTCCCACGCTCAAAGCAAGGATAATCAGAAAACGACAACGGAAGAGCAGGTTCTGATTTGGGAGTGGGACGCAGTGAGAGCATCGCAACCTTGTAGGAGAGATAGGCGGGGTAGGGAAGAGAGCGTCTGTTTCATTCCTAGTCTAGTATTAGCAGAAGCGTAAGCAGAGCATCATAAAGAGGCATTAAGGCAAGACCTACATTGCTGGCACGATTTCACTCAAGATGCCAACTCCTCTTCAAACGACCAATTATTACGTGAAGAAATGGGGTCTATACGTTGGATGATGCACGAGCAACACTCGGTTTGGTCCTCTTCTTCCTCGGCATCTAAGTCCGCCTGAGGCTTCCCAACCACACCGACACCCTCCTCACTGACCATCCTGGAGGCTCTCTGAGCCTGGTCCGGAATGAAGTAATATCTCGCTTTATTTCGCGATTCCATAGTCCTCGATGTTTTATTGTGTGACTTCCTTCCGTGTTGATAATATATGCACGGTAGGCAAGTTGTGAAGGCGAATTCGAGTCGCGTAGGAAAGGGAAAACATTCACGCCAGGATGTGGCCTTGACGATAGCGGCGTGAAAGCGGTTTGTTTATTCCACAGCGTATGGATAACGCGTATGATTGGTATCCTCCTGGGACATGCTTTACTGGCACAAAGTCGTTTGCAGCGTTATTGAGGCCTGGCACGATGAAGTGAATAAAAGCTTCCCAAAGACAAAATAGACGTACCATGTTACACACGTGTACAACAAAGGCGGGCAAAGAACCGTCGTCGCGTTGATGTTGGCACAGCGAGTAGGAGAGCTATACGTTGAAGGCAAATGACAGGACCTCAACTTCAGTTCTGAAACACTCGTTGGTACGTCGCCGTAGGTCCGTTATTACCATGAGTGCGTACTGTTGTTCTACCCGCTAGAAAATACAGCGAGCGAGAAAATGTCGCAACCGCAATCGTTGTCATCGTTGTCGAGATCAATGGCAGACGAGGTTCGGAAAATGCCGACGCTCATTTCCAGGCCTACTGTCGTGTTACATCAGCTTGAAGTTTGTGAGTTTGAACTTGTGAAGGAAGATTAGACAGTTATCGCGCACGGAAAGGTTGTGTCATATCCCTTTATGACTTTGTAGCCGGTTGAACCATTGCGTCCAGTTCAAACTGAGGACCTCTTTTGAATCTATGGTATATATTATACTCATTCAGCCTTCAGATGATGGAATTTGAAGGCAATTTTAGGAGCGGATTCAAGTTTGAGAGGGAGGCAATACTCGGGATCAAGAAGTTATAATCCTTAAGTTTATTCCCCGTATACTGAATGATTCATTAATACACAAATAGTCCACGCATCACCGATTTAATGGAACCCCGATGTGAGAAGGCTAAGATCCATTGATGGAGGCCGAAATTCATTCAACATACGCAAGCCTTAGAAGGTAAAGGAAGGAAGGAAGTCGAACGTAAAGTTAGGATACACGGAGGTTGTGTCTTCAAAGATAGTATGCAAGGCTGCAATGCCTCCACAGCGAGGTTTCTGCGTGTAGAACAATAACATGCTGTTAACGGTAATGGTAGATGCCATGGAAAAGCAGGAATATATACATATCTTTTGTTAGCGTCTCCTGGAAGAGGCTTCCAGTCCTTTAACGACAAGTCGAAAATGCAGATTACGCAGAGTTCAATAACTTCTATGACTTACCGCCAATTCGTCAGACATCTCCTGCTGCAAGGCCTCATTTTCTTCGGTGTCCTACAACCGCGCGGTATCTTGGATGCCAGTGTTCAAGCCTCACATATCCATCCTCCGGAAGGCGGAAACCGTCATCTTTCCAGGTCTTCCAAGCCTTCAGAAGCTTAATCACAGAATACGGATTCGCGGCTCAGAACGAATCCAAACTGGACATCCCCGAATGCGATATCAAGGTGCGGTACGACTTGCCGGTCTGGTTCCACAGGAACGATAAGCGCTGAAGCCTGAAGAAGCTTTCCAAGACGATCGAACTGACTCCAGGAGGATGAAAATGTTGCTGTGAGAAAGTTTTTCTTCCTGCATCAGAAAGAGAATCCCTTCGAACGAGTCACGTCCCTTCCTGGAACGTCTATGAAAAGACAGGGCCTCGCCGTTCTGCAAGAAACGGGGACGAGCGCTACAGCCAAGATACAGCCTTCCTGGAACTCAAGTGAACTAAACACCGCTTCTAAATCCAGCGCGAAGCATAACAGCGTAAAGATAAGATCAAACAGACGTAACCGAGCTGTAGGATTCAGGGAACTTTCCAGTTGCCCTGGCTTGGAAGCTGTACGTGGAGTTGTGTCCTACAGCACTGAGAAAGACAAGGATAGTTTAGACTATAAAGAGGGGCTGTGCTGACATGAGGCTGTAAGGGAATGTCCGTTCAACGTTGAGATTTTGCGGTAGTTGCCGAAATAAGACGCTCTGCGCAGCCGCAATATCCCAGCGTAATCAGGACCAAGCAAGACCGCCATTTTCCGGATTAAACGCCTCCTGCAAGGAGGGCCTAACGTAGGTGGAGCGAAGATCGAGTGAGAGTCAAGCAAAAAGTTTGGCAGAAGATTATCGACAGATCAACCCAGTTCCGATCCATTTTCTCACGCCACTCATTGGCAGGCTAACGTTACCAGTTGGGCTATCGCTATCTCAGCTCCTTGTTTTTTCCCCCTGCTGTGTCCGTTTTCTCGTAATCTGCCAATTTGCCACCCAGGGAATGCGTCAGAGATACACATGATTTTAGTATGGCTGGTCTTCATCCCGGTGGTCCCTTCCCTTTCTCCGCTTACTTTCAATGATCTCAATGCATTGCTCTCAGTTTTTCGTCCCTCCTCGTCACTGTTACTTCGATTTTTCGGTCGGCGTAACAGAAACTCTGAAGCTGTATTGTGGTGGAGAGAACGAAGATGATGAAAAGGCACTCCCCTCTGCAGGATAGGATGTACGCTGGTTACTGCCTAGATATAAGTTGTATTCTACGACCCCAGCGTCGTCAACTTAAAGGTCATGCTCTCTTAGACAGACAACGGAGTCCATCCAGATCGCAGGTCTCACACCATTAACGTGCGACCAATCCAGCCTTGATTGACTACGCCTTACCGCAAGGATCCCTATGCGCTGCCTGACGTGTGTATTCCTATCCTCCCAGAAATTGTGCGAGCCAGAGACAGACCGACTTTGCAGTTCTCAGAACCGTTGGTGTAGAGCAAATGCTACCATTTAGTCGTCTATGCACTTGTACCGACAGAACTAGGCGACTTTTCTGGGGCCCATCGTCTAGAAAGCCTACCATCTGATATCTACCAGAGTCTTTAGGAAGATTTTGACTATTCCAAACTCATCAGAGCTGGCTTAAACAACGATCGGGCTTATTGGGTTCTCGACAGCGAAGAGCAACCCAGATAGGAGGAAAAGGTCAATGAGGTCGACAACGTGTCGCAGAACCTTCATCGCAAACATTCCTGGTTCTGACGAATCTAAGGAAGATGGCACTTTCGTGCCAACTCTACGTATCGATCCTGATCTTTCGACTAATCAGAGAGATTCGGAACCATCAGAATTATACGACGCTTTTCGACGGTATGCGATTTGGACTCCGTTCTCAAATGCTAATCTATATATCTTTCCAGGATCGTTCGGAGGCATCACATTGTGTCGCTATTCACCCCTATAGAGGGTTTAGATTCTTCAGATTCTAATGGTCCTATGTTACCTTATGTCGACACTCCCCAAGAGAGCCGCCCCTCAGACGAATATACCAATTGGTGCGTGCACCTATGACCATCCTTTTTAGACCCCATGAAATCTTTGCTGGGCCGAGCCATGGTGAAGCTACTCAAGATGGGAGATAGCGATAAGCTCTCCCACCGAATGAAGATGCGGCCTGTATGACAGAAGCGTACTACTCATTTGTTTTCCGAAAGAGTATTACGGCTATCGTTATTGCACTCACATTCCTTGACTCGGAATGTGTTATACTAAGATGATCATCACATTTTGCTTAGAGTGCGAGAGGGTAATCATTGTCTACTCGCATCCTAGCGGCAGTAGTGGTGTGGTATAAAAGGCATTATTTCTCGGAGACTACGGTGAGTGTCACTATTGTATTCTGGATCACTTGGACTCTCTCTACCGTCACAGATAATTGTAAGACAAGTTCCCGGAAATCTCGCAGGAAAGGCACTGATGAATGAAATCTACCCCCGCCCCTCTGTACTCCAGTTATTGTCGGAGAATGTCTCTGGGCTCCCCAGAAAAGATACCAATACTCTTTATTCCGCCGTGAAAGATCACAGGCATTCCAACTCCATATTTTGGTCCTACGCGCATCGTTCCTTCAATCACAATTTTCCGATCGCCCAGGATTGGGAGGTATCGAGGAGTTAACTCGACCAAGAGGAAGGAATCCGTCTCCTCGCTCTCTTCATCTGCTACGGCGAACGAACCACAAGCCACCGGGCACTCCGGGTCCGCAAAGTTATTGATGAGGTATTCGCCCAACTTCTGGATGCACCATCCTGTGAATTGCCCCTCATTACCTATGATAGTGAGTGTTGCGGTTCCGCTCTCGTCCCCATCGTCGGCTTGTTTCTTGGCTTTGGCCAGCCATTCTTTCGAAGGCTGGCCGGTGACGAAGAGAGCGATCTCGGAGGCGAACCGGTGTATTGCGGATAGGAGAACCATTCTACAAATTCCTCGATGAGCACAGCTAGAGATTTGTTTGCAAGCTCGTACTTTTCTTTGATCTTGTTTGGGGGAAGATGGATCTTTGAATGCGTGGTGTCAGCTTCAATGAAGGGCCTTATATGATATCGGCAAGATTACTCTCTGATGAACTACGGGCATCGAGGGTATCTTTGAGTGGGCGTTAACGGTTGAGAAACTGTATTGACGATTCGACTTCGGGTTGTTGATTCCTTGTCGAGATCAGCCAAGACCGACAATCCCCTGTTGCCCCGCATTCCTCTCTAAAGACTAAAACAGGAATTATATTGAGTGGAGATAAAAAGCCGTATCTTTTGTCCACTAGTACTATTCTGTTTAAAAAAGTTGCGAGTCTCTGGTAGTATATCGGTTAGTACACGCGCCTGTCATATCAGACCTGAGTCTATTGTCGCGCGAAAGCTGGGTTCGACTCCCAGCCAGAGAGTCAAGTTGAAGAAAGACTTTCTTTTTACTGCAGTGCGCACGCCCCCCCCCCCAACAGGCGACCGCACAGTCCAGACTTCCTAATAGAAGGAGGCAGATTATCTGCAACAAACATTTTACCGGGCCAGCTCAAATTAATACTCAGCTAGTACTCAACCACTGAAGTATGCTAGAGGTTCATGAAATTCTTCCACAAAGTCTGAATGTTATCAGCGCTCGGACACGACTTGAAGATGGGGGGCACCGTTAACGGATACCGTAACAGGTGCAACAGGTTACGCAGAAGCTACGCAAGCCGCCCAGGAGAAAACCGCCGCACCAACGAACTTCCTTCCTTTATCTAACATGGAGCATACAAAGGAATATATACACGGGTTCAAGTACAAAAGAAAGATATAGGAAACTTCTGACCCCATTTTGTTTTATCGTCAGCTCATACCACCCCGCTAGCGGTGGTAGGTAAGATACTTTCTGTCGTTCGAAAGGCCGCCCTTCGGATTTTATCGCGGAATCGGCAGATGTTATCATACGACAGGATTGAACGCAGCGTAGCCTTTAAACTGGAAAGAGATCCGTGCTGCAGCTCAAAGCATCGCTGTATCCACTCGTCGCTTCCCTCCCAGAACAAGTATATGCACCACAGACAAAGTACGGTTCCCAGAAGGAGCGCTAATATCACGAAAACCTTCAATAAAATGGGATTGGAAGATTCCAAGCACATCAAAAAGAATGATGCTAGAAAAGATACCATCCTAATCTCCTAGGTCAGTTTAGAAGACGAAATCAGAAATCACCAACTCACCCCCACATAAGAAGTGCATAGGGGATGCTATACACGATCGACAATCGTTCAAACCCTAGTCTCATCTGCCAATGCCGCTCAAGAAAAGACGTCTATTCAGATAATGAGTTCGTCGTCCGAACCCAGGGCAAAGAGACCAAGCGCACCACAACGTCAACGCCGACATATTTCATGGCATTGTGGTGGCTCATAAGTAGAAGGCCGATGATGATAGTTCCCATGCTACTTGCGACAGACAAATAGCACAGGACCTGTACCAAAAAATGGTGCTGTTGACCTGCACCCATCTCGTCGACCGAAGGTATAGCGAGAAAAGCCATGTTAACTGCCAGAAGGATTGTAGCCTAGCCATGACATTCATACGACTCTTCATTAAAGCAATCAAAGGACCATACGCACCAGTCCGACATGTTGTTGCCATTTGTCCGTAATCTGCTCTATGAGACGCTGCCACGGCCCCTTTGAAATGAGTCTATCCACCCAGACCTTATCCAGAGAAGTATAATGTTTAATCGGCGCATAGAATAGCAAGGGGTTCGCTATCTTGAACGGAACGGTGCGCGGCTCATTTACATGATCGTTTCCGTAAATAGATTCACCCCGATCGGTTCTTGCATCCCGCTGACCGTAATAGTTGAGAATCTGGTCACGTACTGTTCGTTGGAATGAGTCGGTGCTCAGAAATAGAGAAAAATGTGACACTCACACAAAGCCATCATGTACGACGCTGAATGTGATTTCAGCGAAAAGGACAGGTAAATATGGTAGACTAGGCTTGCCTGCCACTTCGGAAACATTCAATTCTGGGACGAGAGCTCCGTTGATGGAAATCTCATTACTAAAGTACGATGCCTTACTTTCTGCTATGATAATGTTTTTGCTCATGTTCTTCAGTTTATCGATGCTCCAAGTCACAGTTGAAGTGTCAGACATGTTTACATCTGCAGGAAAGAAGAAGTGAGTTCCACATTGCACGACAAGGGTAAACAGACTGAATTAACCTGATTCCGCGAGTAAGACGTATTTTTGGACTGTCTTCCACTGCGCTTCCGTAAGTGGGTGAATGTCGCTGAAAAAATATTGGTGATTCCTGGGAAATATTACTATCGGCAACACTAAAAGATGCAAAGAGAATCACCAATATTCTTTTTGTAGGAATCCTTGCGAAATAAGTAAGTCTCGCAGCACAAATTATTCAAGCTCCTACTTACTGCGAATGAAATCTGGGTTCATATCTCCCCTGAATTCCCATAGATAATCATCCAGTGGGCACTCGGAGAGCCAGAAGATGCATTCCTCATCGTGGTTGGTAAAGTAGTATTTGCAGCGACAGCAGTTATCACCTTCCCACGAAGGTTTATCGTATTCGGCGATTTCTACATATAGATGCCAGGATTTGATGCGACCAAATGATTTAGCCCTTTTCAAAATGGCGTCACTGAGTATGCTGGTGTATCTAGATACCTTCTCGGCAATGTCTGTGTCATACAACCACTCCTGAGTGATTACTTTCTATAAAGATTCTCAGAGATGAGTCTGCGATTGAATTAAAAAGACGTACATCTTTATTGTGATAAAAATATGGCTTCCCGTCTGAATGTGTATGCTTTGTCCAACCCTCAGGCAGAACTTTCTCTCCCCTAGTGCGACAATGGGTCAAGAATCTGACAAAATTGGAAGAAGATGCACATACGTTTGAGGTGAGATGCATGTATTGAATTCGATTTGCATAGCAGGCACTGTGAATTTTGCTATGGCCCATTCATCTCTAAACACTGTTATTACTTGTCATGAAACCGAGCGAAACGAGAGCACCTACATGTAAGACTTCCTGGCGTAGTGGCTTATGCCACATGGAAGACATTCTTGGAACTCTTTCTCGTCCCTGGACCAATCATCTGTACACGCGAGGGTACTGTTTTGCGTCAGGACCATCAATTCGCTGGACTCCGCAACTCGACCAGTGGTCTCCCTAGTTGTGGGCTCCGGTATCGGTAAAGTCGGCAGATTCTGGGGGCTACATAGAACATCAGGCGTAGACAGCGATGGTTCTGCAGATCTTGGTGATGTGTCCCCTGAGACGACAATATGAGGGATAGTACTCGCAACGTCGGGATCAATGCTGCTAACACCGGGAGAAGGAGAAGTTTGGCTGAAGGAAGAATCACCACGACTGGAGATCGAATGTCGAGGGTAGTCTTGTTCGGTGACCACCATCGAGGCAGGCATAGGGTTCGGTGAGCTGGCAACTGCGGTAACCTCCCGTTCGACGATCTCTACTATACTTCTAGCGACATGCGAACAGCTCGACACCGACACGTAGTCTTTATCAGGAGTGTCTATCTCATCGCGGGATGGTGCAGCAAGGCTGGAGGCTGACTGCGTGATCGATCGACGGGGGCGATAGCGATCCTGCGAGTCGATTTCCGTCAATGACGAGCAAGGGGATGGCCTCGCGGGGAAGGATAACTCGAGACCTGCAGAATCAGCGCCATCCTCGCTTGATGAAACAGACTGAGGGCGACGCATGTCGAAACGGTTTCGTGGATTCCAAAACTTCAAGGACCATCTTCTAGGATGCACTCTTGCTCGTTGATTAGGCCAAGGACTGTGCTGCTTGGAGGTAAAAGTGGCAGACATGGCGTAAGGATGGGACTGGCTAGTTCGATGCCTTCCGTTTAACAGAAGCAGTTGCTGTTAGAAATAGGTTTCTGGAGAACGGGTGCATTTTCCGATTGGTTGTCGAAAGTTGTAGGACCTTAGTTGAAACCGCATATTGATACAGCCAGCCCAGCAGGTGGGGCCTGAAGAAGCGTATACATCTTTTCTGATCTGATGGGAGGTGCTATGTGTCAACTGAAGGATAGCCCAAGAACCCGTGGCAAGACGCATTTTGGCCAAGAACCGTAGAAGGGAATGAAATCGGACCGGGGGGGGGGGCATAAGAAGAGTCCCAAACAAAGCACAAGCGGGTTTAGGGCGGATGCATTTAGTGCTGTGGTGGCAAGACATTAATAGAGAATTTCGAGCTTAAAAAATGTGGATCCGTTCGCGATGCGAGGACTTGTGGTGTTTGGATTAGAACAGAGAACAGGAACGTGGTGGTGACTCTACCTCAGGGAACCGGAACGCCTTCCTCTTGTCATCTGTGGGATGATAAGAGTCCTTGTTTCACAGGATACACAATTAATGGCGAACTATAAGTTAAGATTCACTGTTTTCGAGATTGATGTGATTTTTGAAGGGAGGAATGGTGGTGGTGATGGTGCTACCGGTGCCAGAAGGCCAAATCGGGCGAACCGGAAAATCCGGCAATCAGCACCGCCAGCACCGTCCCACAGTTCCACCATTTCCGTGCCTCGTTTTAGTCTCACTCTCTTCAAAATCTTTCCATAGACAAACTACATTTTTGAGCAAGGCATGGTGCCTTAATGGTTCGGCTTGTTCAGGCAGGTCTTTCTAGTTTGCTACCAGCTTGAAGTTCCGGGACGTGCGTCCAATGCGTCCCATTCCTTTCCGAAGCTTGCCATCAGGAGCCGTGTACACCAGTGGTAGTACAGTGGACGTTGACGAAACGTAGAAACTTCTGAATCTATCGTTATCCAAGTACTTCCATCCAATTTCGATGCTCCGCGTGAGCCCGAGAAAGACTTTACGCGTTAAGACGAGGCCTCTATTTAAAAGGGTAGAATAGTAACCCATTTCTGTCTATCTATCTACATCGAGGAACAAGGCATATTATATACGAACTTTGGACGATCTTCACTCGACACGGTTCTAATCTTGCGCCGACAATTAGTTAGACTCCGGCAGACACGGATGGATATACAGCTCGTGTGGCTGACTAAGGGTTACACCATTGAGTTGAGCATTCATTTTTTCAACAGCTAGACGTTCCAACCTGAGTCTCCTTCCTGCTGTTTCTGACCAATATGGATATACCGTCTGTTCGTGGGGTCTGTTTCAATCAGCCTGTGACACGGTCAGAAGCCTGAGGTTGGACCAGAGTCACAATTCTTAGAACCCCTGTAGGAGAGTTCCCACGCAGACTACGGGTAAGCCGGTGAGGACTTTGGCTAGTCTTCTTGCTCATTACCGTCGCAGAAGCACCCACGAATTTACTGAACTGCGAAACGTGTAGTCAAAGATGCTTGGGAGAGAAGTCTTAGGTGATTATGCGCGATCCTTTGCTCGGTTTTCGATCTGAATGGGATCGCAAGTCAGTATACAGCACGCATAGGATAGTAGTAGATTAGTCGGGTATCTTGATGGTATAAATATATGGCAGCGTGCTGTTGGGAGCCAATATATCTCGAAAAATCATTAGCACCTTGGGTCCAGTCTGGCTGTCATGACTCATATACTCAGGTCAGAATAGCACAACAGATTCGGTGGACACTTGCATATCGTCACTCGTCTCTCACATGCCAGTTTGTCCCATTGAAAAGTTGCAACGAGGCAAATACAATTATTGAATGATCCGGGAAACTGTCCGCAGAGCATCTGAGTCCCACTGGATGACACGCCTTGAGGATATGACCAAGAGATTGCCCCGAACAGAATGGCACGCCGGGGATTGGTCAAGAGCGACAGCAGGGGTCACTGGGAGGCATCTACTAATCCTGTTCGTCCTGTCCTCTGGGATGGGAAGACTTGCATATAGTTGGCTCAACCGGCACTTTAGAAGATCGATAACGGCGTTATTACTTCGCCCTGCGTTTCACAATCATCTGAGAAGCACGTACTCCCTTCGCATGTCATAAGAGAGAGGCCATGATACATAAACGTGTTGTTCCAGATAACGAATCCCCATCGAAGGGTATCCAAAGCTAGGTGGGGACTGTAGACTCGAGACCTTCATCATTGAATTCAGTTTCTTGATCGAATTCTCTTCAATACTAGTCAGCCTGCTCCACAAGGCCCAGTCCCTTGTAAGAGGGCTGTATTTTAGTCTTCGCAATGATATATCAGTGATGGCGTTGATAGATTCGTGTAGTGGTTTTGGGATATTTCGGTTTCAAGGAATAAGACGAGCGTTATTCCCCACGCATTTAGCGGGATATTAGGGTACAGAGGAGCTTTCAATTGATCACTCCTGAGTTTCGCTCCAAGAATGTCTAGTAGAAACGGGAGAACGGATAGCCCAATTATCTCTGTACTTGGAGTCGCTGTGTTGTAGATCAGGAAGGCTAGGCGTAGGAAAGTGTCATACGGAGTAAGAACCTTTGTCGAATGTCGCCATTAGAAAATTGATCCCATTTAACTGCACATATCATGAAGAACCCAGAGCCAAAGCAAGTTGTTCAGTGAGTGTCGTGATCTGCGTGGCCCAACTGTCAGAAAAAGTTGACGAAGCCCCGAATTGACAGATTGGCACTATACGACATTCCTCGGTGTATCCAGACAGACAGCCGAAGGCCTATCGAGAGACTGTTAAGTCACGTAGATACTGTCACACACGGAAGTATTTGAGCTAGGCTGGTGTCGACGGTCTGCGTAGTCCAAGGTGTACCGTGTCAGTACGTACGGAGACAGAATCGTAGTTGATCACAGGAGGATGAAAGCCAATCAGTGAAAATGAGATTTTCGCGCATTCAGGCCTCATGCCTGGGGTCTCATCAGTTTGAATTCAAGTATACTCCCCAAGCGGCTGTAATAAGTAGTCAAGAATAAGTAGGAGTATGTTGGCTCGGCAAATGCCGAACGACCCTGGATCGGACCCTCAACTCATCATTACACGGCACGGTACAGGCGACTGTACTACCAAGTCCAATTGTCTCCCTAACTTCTAATCAATCCCCAACCCGAGCTCACGACTGACCCGAGATCTCAAGCAGTTGCAGAATGGTTCCCTATGGATGACTCGGAGGATGAAGCTGGGGCATTACTCCGATACTCACTTTACTGCTTGTGTCGTCCGGAATCCTCGGTGACCACAGGAAATACAGTATTCCTGGCTCCCGCAACCGTCATGCAGCGCCCCGAACCTGCTAAAATATCTAAAATATCAAGGAATAGTACGCGATTCGACCGAAATTGTGCCGCGGTCCTGTCCAATGAGCATCGTTACAGTTTTCTCCGATCTTCAAGCAATGCTTGCACTCAAACTTTAGGTCTCGCTACAATCGTAGTCCCATGTGCCTTCGAATAGCTTCGACCCTCCTTCGGCGAACTGTGCTGGATGTTCCTTCTGAGCGATGGTGGCTGTGTCTAACAGCTTTTCATGAAATAGAAGATGTGGTTGTCCTTCTTTCCATCGTCATGTCTAACAATTCAAGCTTCAAGCTTCAAGATCTCGTATCCGCAGACTAAATGGGCTTGGATACGACAGACTGTAATCGAAGCAGCTATGCTGAGCTTAACTGTATCGTCTACCGAGCCCGGTATGGATGATCTGGATGGCGAGCTCCCATACCCGGCACGCATCACACGATCCACCTCGTTCTCCTCCTAGTTATCCCATCCTCCATCGCGTGATCCTCAGAGTCGCCAGCGATCATTCGATCGATGAGTCTCCGCCTTCGCTCTCGCGTCCCTTCATCAGAACCATGACTTGGCCATATGTTGATACAGCGCTGTTGCGAAGGTCTCAGAGGTTGTTATACTATGCACCACACCTACAAGTGTGCCAAACTCTGCTACACCTTCACACTAAAGCTGGCCCCTGGAGCTTTCGACAGCCAGCATCGCATAACCGCAACTTTACTTGTTTTGTCAAGGGCCCCCTCATCTTTTCGCGCAGGAACTATTCATACAGAATCTCCCTTCGGATCGGATTTTTCACCTATAAGTAATGTCAATATCTATTTGTGTGCCTTCCAGTTGTTACACTCACAATTTTCGGAGACTGAAGGCAGAATGTCCCCTGCTCAGGTAGAGTCTAGGGAATCGATAGTCCTGCCGCAAAGTGATGCTCAAGCGTATACATACGATTGGTCCAGGGACGAGAAAGAGTTCGAAGAATGTCTTCCATGTGGCATAAATCACTATACCAGGAAGTACTACATGTCGGTGCTCTAGTTTCGCTCGGTTTAATGATAAGTAACAACAGTGTTTAGAGACGAATGGATCCCAGCGAAACTCACAGTGCCTGCTATGCAAACCGAATTCAATACAGTTAGACGCATCTCGCCCCAAACGTACATGCTCCTTCTCCCAATCTTGTCAGAATCTTGACTCTTTGTTGCACTAGGGGAGAGGGAGAAGTTCTGCTTAAGGGTTGGACAAAGCATACACATTCAGATGGAAAGCCATATTTTTATAACGATAAAGATGTACGTCTATCTAATTCGATCCCAGAATCGTCTCTGAGAACCTTTATAGAAAGTAATCACCGAGGAGTGGTTATATGACAGAGAAATTGCCGAGAAGGTATCTAGATACATCGCCATACTCAACGACGCCATTTTGAGGAGGGCCGAATCGTTTGGTCGCATCAAATCCTGGCATCTATATGAAGAAATCGCAGAATACGATGAACCTTCGTGGGTCGGTGATAACTGCTGTCGCTGCAAATACTACTTTGCCAATCATGATGAGGAGTCCATCTTATGGCTCTCCGGGTGCCGATTGGATGATTATATATGGGAACTCAGGGGTGAAATAAGCCCGGATTTCATTCGCAGTAAGTAGGAGCTTGAACAATTTGTGCCGCGCTGCTTACCTATTTCATAAGGATTATTACAAAGAGGATATTGGTACTTTTCTTCGCATCTTTGAGTGGTTGCCAATAGTAATATTTCCCAGGAATCATCAATATTTTTTCAGCGACATTCACCCACTTACGAAAGCGCAGTGGAATACAGTCAAAAAATACATCTTACTCGCGGAAACAGGTTGATTCTGTCTGTTTATCCTTGTCGTGCACCCACTTCTTTTTTTCTGCAGATGTAAACATGTCTGAAACTTCAACCGTGACTTGAAGGCATCGATAAACTGAAGAACATGAGCAAAAACATCATTATAGCAGAAAGTAAGGTGTCTCATTTTAGTAATGACATTTCCATCAACGGAGCCCTCGTCTCAGAATTGGATACTTCCGAAGTGGCAGGCAAGCCTAGTCAACCATATTAGCCAGTCTTTTTCGCTGAAATAACATTCAGCATCGTACATGATGGCTTTGTATGAGTGTCACATTTTTCTCTGTTTCTTAATACCAACTCATTGCAATGACCAGTACATGACCAAATTCTCAATTATTACGGTCAGCGGGATGCAAGAACCGATCGGGGTGAATCTATTTACGGAAACGATTATGCAAATGAGCCACGCACCGTTCCGTTCAGGATAGCAAACATCTTACTATTCTATGCACCGATTTAGCACTATACTTCTCTGAATAAGGTCTTTGTAGATCGAACCTTTTTACGGAGTCGAAGGACTGCTCTGGTAGAACAGACCATAAACAAGCTGAACTTGTCCAACGGACTGGTAGGTACGATTCTTTGCCATGCCTTACATGGCAATTTGACCAACGTAATTAATTGCTTACAGGCCACAGTTCTTCTGTCAGTGAATATGTCTTTTCTGGTCATACCTTCGGTCGATAATATGAGTGCGGACCAACAACTTCCTGTGACAAAGATTCTCATCTGCTTCTCCGTTGTCCTTAGCTTTGGCAGCATTATCATCGGTTTCTTCCTCATAAGCCAGCATACTGCCCTGAAGCAAACTGATCGTTACGTTGTGGTGAGGTTTCTGGACATTGGTCTGGGGTATATCTCACAGCCTGGTAGGTCTCTTTCCTGCCGCGGCACTGGCGGATGAATCTAGGGTTTGAAAGGCTGGCGATTATATCCAGCGTCCCTCAAGCGCTTCTGATATGGGGGTGAGTAACGGATCCCGTTGAATATTTTCTCAGACCAAACGAGAAAACCAGGATGACTTCTTTCTTGGTCTCGTTCTTATCCATGTGCTTTGAGGCTCCAAACCCACGCTCGCTCAAAGCTTTCGTGATCCTCGCGTACGTTTTGATCACGGTGCTTGGTTTGTGGTGCCTTTCATTGTTCTGGGAGGACAGCGACCAATGGATAAAACGATTCTTAGTGTTCCAGAGAGATCTCCTTTCGTACACAAAGAATGCCTTACGTTTCACATTGTCTCGTGAGAATCTATGCAGACTCAGGAACAAGATCTGGAGGACGAGAAGCGGCATTTTGCCTACGACCGCCAACGGAGAATAGTGGATCGAAAAACCTCGGAATCGCTGTTCGGTATCACATATTTGTAACTACTGTTGTACGGGTTTGGATATAGATTACCACCTGTACATGGCAGTTTCATTTTCTATACGCTATAGATCGGCTAACTAACGCACAAGAAGAATATATAAATACGAGCTTTGTTATCATACGGAATAGTGGCGATGAAGGCCGACGCGTACCCCCCCGCTCCATTGGGTACTCGGAATCGTATACTGTTCCGAGCCACGCATGCATCTGACAAATTGAAAGTCATCTATTGAACCGTGATTCCGAGGGTGCGACCGCCATACCAAGGTGAAAAGGTTGGAGTAGATAAGCAAAGGTCACCATCAGCGGAGCCAGTGCTTCTTTCCAAAATCCTTTGAGGCTCAGGCACCGCATAGTGAGAAGTAGACGATCAAAGAGGAAAGCGCTGTATGACCTCGAGGTCGCATGCAACGCCAGGCGCGTTATGACATCCTCAAGAAAAGGCTCGGCAATATTTTCGTAGCGCGTAAATCACAAGATGCCAGAGAGGCGTAAGCTACGAGAGCGCTTCCTTGAAGTTATAGAGCAATCGAGACTATCCGCCGATTTCATCAAGCGTTACATCCAGTCTGGTAAGAGCTCAGAGAGAAGTGAAGCTGCCTATGGGAAAACGAAATACGAAGGTGCTGATGCATGAATTGATAGTGAGACGCGTCAATAGACAGACGGGATCAATGTCCTCGAGCTCGAGGTTGCGTTTTGACGAGGAGTAGATTTGGAGCTCCTTGAGAGCCGGAGAGGAGCATGGCGCTGGAGAGTCGAATGGCCGTATTCGTCCGGGCCCGGAATGGCGATATGACGTGCACCCACCAACGCGGAGAAGTTGTCCATTACATGGGATGGGAACGTTTCTTCGAAACATCCAGGGTAGAAATAGAATTCAATGGATTGGATGCTCTCCGGATGAAGAAGCATGACCTGGTCAAAAAGCAATACTGAGAGAAAAAAGCGTGTTCTTTATTTCACAAGAGTGTAAGTACAATATCATTGGTGATACATTAAATCATGAGGATGATACAAATTTCTTGAAAACGAATGCGCGGTAGTTGCAAGTCTGTCCTGCAGACTAAATCACCATGCCTTGGTAGAGAACTTATGTCCCTTGACAAACCCTACGAGATTCGTGATTGCTCGCCGGAAGAGTGACTCGACTAGCCATTTGCCTATAAGGAAAAGATAAATGAATGCTCTGCATAAACCATATATGTACGCACCCTTCCGACTAGGTGTTGGAGCGGGTGGATTTTCTGTGTCCTCAGATTCATCAGCTAAGGATGAATCAACCGCATGGGAGTCCGGAGAATCAGAGCTCAAGTCTTCCGTCGAAGTTTCCAATGCTGCCGAAATTAAACTACACCTCACTGAAGAGTCGTCGGAAATAGGCGGATCCTCCGTCCCAAAAGCGGCTGATCCGTAGCGCGCAAGCTGATACTCTTGTACAATTCTAAAAACAAAGGAACGGTTCGGTAGAAGACATTGCAATAATTAGAGAAAGCTCACTCTTAAAAGAGACCCAGGTCTCCGCATAGTTGTGACGGATCAGAAATCTCTGGGACAAATTTAACAAAACGTGGTTGATATGCATGACAGGGTCAAAGATACGATCTTCTTCTAGTTTATCAGTCCCTGGTACCTTGGCCAGGAAAATCTGGCTCGCTTCACTCCTCGCGTCACTTTTGGTCGAAGTCTGCGAAGCGTCGTCAGGAATATCCGTGTCGGGTGCGCCTTCTTGACCGGAAAGAATTCGCAGGATTCTATCATCACTTAGTCCATCCTGGAGGAGTTGGCAGTAGTCCTCCATGACGGCTTTGTCAAACTCGAGGGTACCCTTCACATATGTTGATTGAGAATGGTCTCGCCGCTCCGCTAGCGCACGCATGCAAAGGTTGTAGCACGTGGGATGATAGCAGTTTTCCCATGACAGCGGCTTCGACACTGCCAAGGGTTCTCTTGACTTGGGATGGGCGGTTTCTGGCAGTATGGGAACGCACATAGTAGGCCGAGCAAGCTGGGATTTCCGAGAGTGAGCTTTCGTGAGTCCCTGTTGTGCCGGTCGGACTTGAAGAACATAGTATTTTGTATCCTCTTCACTTGAATCCTCGACCTGAGAATTTTTCGTTGGATGAGACTTGAGCAAGCTGCCAATCGGCCCACCTGCATGCAGTAACCAGCATGTTTCCTATCCTGCAGACTATCCAGCTTCCATAGCATATTGTCGTCTTCCCCATCACAAAACAACTCCAGAGTGGCTACTACGGAGAAGGTGAAATATGAGTGCCAAGGTGGAGCAAGTTGATTGTCCGAATCAAACAAGGGAGCAACCATGGTTGGAAAGTACGAAGGGCGAGGCTTAGGTGATGGGAGCTGAGAATATGAAGGATAAGGGAGACGCTATTAGAAATCGTTTTTGAGTCCAGCATATTTTATACCGCCTCCGGGGTGACGACAAAAAACAAACGACAAGGGACAAACGACGAAGGCGTGAGAAGAAATCTTGATGATCTGAATCGGCCCGTCAACGGCCCGTCGATTATGTGAGGAGAGGGCTTGCACTTTTGTTTTCGCAACGACCGGTTGAAATTTGACTTTGGGGGACCTTCAAAGGCACAACTCTAACCCGAACGATATATTGCAATCAAAAAAAAATACGACATTATATCAAAGAGAGTGTGTGTTATACGGGATCAGCAGGTTTACGACACAAATAATCTATATATATAGTAAAGCGAAAGTGAGAGAATTTTGTTCGTCTGTCCTGCAGAACGAATCATAACTTGCTGGAGAATTTGCGCCACTTCACCAGCTCCACGAAATTCCTCATCGCTCGCCGGAGGAGCGATTTGACTCTCCATTTTCCTTAGAGCAAAATTCAATGAAGGTTCCAGTCTGAAAGCATAGATGCTCACCTTTCCGAATAGGCTCCGACACCGGAGGAGACTCTTCGGACGTCGAGTCCAGTTCATGCGTGTCTGGGCGGTCAGAGCCGAGTTCTTCCGTCAAACTTGAGTAAGATCCCCCCGGTGTGATACTATAAGTAAATGAAAAGTCGTCCGCAACAGACGTGTCGTCAACCTCTGGCTCTTCTGGAGGGTCGAAAAGGACGGATCCATAGCGTGCGAGTTGATGCTCCTGTACGATCCTGGAAAAAAAGAGTTAAGATTGTTCGTACCAATGGAAGATATTTACTTACTCCCGGAAAAGATCGACATCCCCGCATAGCTGCGACGGATCAGATATCTCTGGAACGTTCGACAAGATGTGATTGATACGCATAACCGGTACGAAAATCCCATCTTCTTCAGGATCATCAAATTCCGGCACCTTGGCCAGGAACGTCTTGCAGGTTCGACCATCAATCTCTGAAGCGTCGTCTGTGTCCGGGGCATCTTCTTGACCATCGAGAATTCTTTGAATTCTTGCATCATCGAGTCCAGCCCGGAGAAGTTGACGATAACGCCCATCCTCCTCGAGGGCTTCGCAAAGCGATTCGGAAAACTGGGCACGAGGTGAGTCATGATAGTCCCGCCATTCGGTTCGCACGCGCGCCCAAAGATCGTAGCAAGTAGGATGGTAGCAATGGTCCCACGGCAGCAGTTTTGACAGCGTCAGAGGTTCTCTTGACTTGGGATGGGCGGTTTCCGGCAAGATAGGAACGCACATAGTGGGCCGTGCATAGTCGGGTTTCCGAGGATGAGCCTTCGTAAGGCCTTGCTGTACTGGCCGAATGCAGATAACGTGGTATTTAGGTTGCTCTTTATCCGGTTTTTCAATCTAAGTTTTATTCAGTGGGTGAAGCTCGAACAAGCCGAAGAACTACGCACCTCTAAGCATTGTCCGGCATATTTTCTATCCTGAAAACCATCCAGCCTTTTCAGCATGCCCTCGTCACCCCCATCACAGTACAACTCTAGAGTTGCCGCTACGTCGATGGAGAAGGTGAAATAATGCTCGTAAGGTGGAGCCAGTTGAAACCTTGTGTCCAAGATGTGGACAGCCATGGCGGAGAGCAGTAATAGCAAAGGGGGCGAGCGGCTACTCCTGGATCCAACATATTTATACTGTCTCCTTGGTGGCAACAAAAACAAAGGAACAAGACAAAGGCGTGGGAAGATCACCAAGTCTCGATCATCGTCTTGATCTCATTGTTGATTTTCTCGGAGTTGGTCCTTGCATTATTCTTGCACTGGTTTGTCCCTGTTTCAGCACAATGACGAACAAAGAATACCCCCACTAAGTTTGGGCCCAATGTAATCATAACGATAGCGCTCCCTCGTATAAAATGGAGAGTGACATTAGGCTCCTTGGTCATCTACCTTCTTTGCTTTCTCCTATCGCCACTTGAGCATCACCTTCCATTCACTTACAGCTAGTAGGCCTGGTGCCACCGGTATATCCCTCATTATCTTCAATGTTCTCCCGCTATGCTGTACTCTCTGAGGACTACGATCCTAACAAACTCGATAGGCCGCGCAGCCTCATCTCAAAGCCCTCCTCAGTCACCAGTAGACCACGGAAAACTCGACCTCGATTCCAACCTGGTCAAATCTGCGTTGTCAAAGAATCCACGTTCACACCTTTGTCCGAAGCTTTGGGGCAAGCCCAGGGTCCACTGGCCTTGCGGGAAGGCTCTTCGTTGACTATTAACAATGGTCGCCTCACTCCCGTTTCTTCTGGGAAGGAAAGACCCTGCATTATCATGGATCCCCCGGCTGGATTTAAGCACACTGATGGTCGTCGGAGGAAGGGCTATTTCATCTGCGTAATGGCTACGTTTGCATGTTCTGGTGGCGATTATAGACGTCTTGGAAACCTTCTCCAGCGATTTGTCGTTCCTGTGGAGCCGAACGTGCAGCTTCTCCCTGACTTAGAAATGGATGCACTGAAGACGAACCCAGCTTGGCGCCATCCTCTTCAGTGGGCAATCGCTTTTGTAATATACACGGAGCAGCCCGTTAGGCCTTTTAAGTCTCGCAGTGATGGTCGAGGCCGGCGACTCCCCAACACCGAATACAACCGACTGGCCCAGCATTGTTACAATCAGCGAAAGCGATGGCTGCGCGATACACTCGAGAATCAAGACTTGAGGCAAAAGATGTTCGAGGAACTTGTGGTGAGTCCAAATTGTCTTAACTCCCGGTGTTATGCGTTGCTAATTGGTAACAGGACTGGAAACCTGATCCACTCTTTGCCGACAACGCATCATTATACTCGTACCTTTCCGATGTGTTTGGTTTGTCTATCGACACTCTCAAATCATTATATCCAATTTCTCGTGGTGGAAGTGTTATAACGTTGGACACGATCTTCGAAAACACCGCTTCCACATATCCCACCTTTACACTTGAGGACTTCCCGCCCCTGCCCTTGAGGGTCTGTGAAGTATATTAACTGTACCCTTTCGTATGTCAAAGCTATCCGTGCTGCCCCTGTTCAAACTAACCAGCTAAACCTAGGTTAATGATATTCAGTGTACTAAATGGGAGTCAATGAACTGTGTCGGATCAGTGTATAGTAGCCCCTAATGTATCTTTACACGAACTTGTATTGAACTTCTGTAATATTGATGAATATGCCTCCACCACCGGGACCACGCTGCCGCGCCGATTTCTTTCTTACCGCCCTTTTTATCAACAGTAGATTCGGCTTCTCGTAGTACAGCGGAATCGATCTAAGCATTCTTCAGAGTCCTTCACCTTCACCGGCAGCACAAGGAAGGGCCGTTGGCGATGTATCTAGTTCAAGTCCTCAATTAGATGCGAAAGTGCGGGTGGGAGAACTATGTTACATTGCATGCCTGATACGATGTTTACCCCCAAGGATTGCCTCAATGTCGCTCCAAATATGTCGCAATTTTGTCAGTGAAGAGAGATCATGATATCATATCGCGATATATGGAACAGGATTAATGATACAAAGTATATAAGCAGAGATATCCAGTGTGTCTGTCCTGCAGACCGAATTATGACCTGCGCCAATTCACTAGCTCAACGAAACTTGTGAGTACCTGTCGGAAGAGCGACTTGGGCCTCCATTTTCCTTTCCGAACAGGCTCCGGCACCGGAGGAGACTCCTCTCGGATCGAGTCCAGGTCATGTGAGCACCGCTCAGTTCTTCGGCCAAACTTGAGCAATCTACCTCCGACGTGATACTATAAGTCCAGGAAGCGTTGTCAGGGACAGACGTGTCGTCAGCCTCTGGACCATGCAGCGGGTCGAACAGGACGGATCCATAGCGTGCGAACTGATACTCCTGCACAATCCTTGAAAAAAAAACAAAAAAAAACACAGTTAAGTAGATTCGCAGCAACGGAAGATCTTTACTTACTCCCGGAAAAGATCGACATCCCCACATAACTGTGATGGATCAGATATTTCTGGAACGTTTGACAGGACGTGATCGATACGCATAACCGGCACGAAAATCCCATCTTCTTCAGGATCATCAGATTCCGGCACCTTGGCCAGGAACGTCTTGCAAGTTCGACCATCAGTCTCTGAAGCGTCGTCTGTATCCGGGGCGTCCTCTTGACCATCAAGAATTCGCTGGATTTGTGTATCGTCTAATCTGGCTCGGAGAAGTTCACCGTAACGTACATCCTCTCGGAAGGCTATGAGAAACGCAGGGGATATCGTCACAAGTGGGGAGTCATCATAGTTCCGCCCTTCAAATGGAACACGCGCCCAAAGGTCATAGCAGGTAGGATGGTAGCAATGGTCCCATGGCAATGGCTTCGAGACTAAGTGGCGTCCTTGACCTAGGATGGGTCGTTTCCGGAAAGACAGGAAGGCACATATGAGGCCGCGCATAGTTTGGTTTCCGAGGATGAGGCTTCGTGAGTCCTTGTTGCACTGGCCGGATGTTGATGACTTTGTATTTCGGCGTCTCTCCGCTAGTTGACTTTTCAATCTACAAGTTTTTCAGTGAACAAGACCTCAAGTAAGCTGTACAACGACGCACATCCGAGCAGTAACCGGCATATTTGTGATCCTGCAGATCACTCAACTTTTGCAACATGACCTCGTCGCCTCCGTCACAGTACAACTCTAGAGTTGCCGCTACGTCGATGGAAAAAGTGAAATAACGGTAACGAGGGGGAGCCGGCCGGAACCTCATGTCATTCTTGTAGGTGGCCATGGTGTCGAGCAGTAAAGCTATTAAAGGTTAGGAGGGAACGACGAGCGGGTACGACTGGATGGAACATATTTATACGGTCTCTTGGGTGACAACAAAAGAACAAGGAAAAAAAGCGTGGGAAGATCGTTCTGGCTAACTTGAATCTCGGTCGTAGTCGCGATCTGCTTTCTTATGACTGGTAGTCTTTTATTACTGAACTCTACCCCGCTCGATATGTCGCAAACCCAAGTAAAAGTCGTGCAAACATAAACCACAATGTCGTATCAAGGAGTGTGAGTTGTACAAGATGAACTGAAGAAGGAGGGAGGTTTTTGTCCGTCTATCCTAGACGAATCATAATTTGTAGAAAACTTGCGCCATTTCACCAGCTCAACGAAATTTGTGATTACCCGCCGGAGGAGCGACTTGACTCTCCATTTACCTTGAGACTTCGTCAAATTTGAGGATTTTCTCGCGCTCAAGGTAGGCGACTGTTTTCTTTCGTCCTGCTTAAATTTGCCTTAGACTGATGACCATGCCCTAAATGGTCAGAATATACCAAGACGTCGAGGGATTATACTGGGAAATACGAACTTGTTTTCAAAGAGGAACATATTATTTAAATAAATTAAGTTTTTTAACAACTAAATATGTACGGCAGCTCGGCCACAGCAACACCATATCTAACCACCATAACCGTTAACGTTGCTTCTCTTTTCATGTCGACGGACCAACTACGCCTCGCCCCAGATGACTTTACTGAAAATAAGAGTGCTGGAGAGGAAAACCGGCACAATCACCCTGCTGCCGACTCGGCAGGATGTAGGATAGAGAGTGGCACAGGGCTTTGACTCCCGAACATGCGGCAGTATCAGCGAACGGATTGGAAATCCTAGCTCGTCGAACAAAAACATAGTCAACGATGAGTATGCCTGGTGTGTCAATGACTTCCGGTGGCATTTCATCTTCCCTCATTGTCTTTGATGTGTAGCATTGTTCATCAAAGCCAAAGCTCACCACATGTATTGGCTTTATTCGACTCGGTGTACTATGTATATGAGACTTCTCAACTCGACAATGAATGCAGCCCACTCAAACTACCATGTCTTCGTTTCTTACCAATCTCGAGGATTACCGGTACCAATCGTCTCTGGTTGACGATAATGATTTGGACCTCGACGGCATCTTCGACCAGTTTATAGAGCCAAGTGCTTTTGAAAATTGCAGCCAGCTGGACTGGGACTCCGCTCACAGTTTCTTGAACAACGTACGTTTTATTCATTGGGGTTCTTAGTAAGGTTCTGACGGTCTGCTGAATTCAGGAAGAGTATAATGGATCAGGAATGGACGTCGACAACTGTGCCGTCATTACCCCAACCTTTGACCAACCTATCTGTCCCGAGGCATCTCTTTTATCATATTCTGACGTGGCTAGTACCTGCGGTGTTGCCAACAGGTTTGACAATGACTGGTTTGACTCGCTTTGGATCCCGCCTTCCGTGACTGGGTGGCAAACACAAAACCCGATGCAAGAAATGGTAGAGGAAACGCAGACTTTGGTAGTACCCTCCGCGCCGTCTCAAAGCCTGACACCTGCCCTTGAACCTTGCACGTTCGGACGTACGAGTCCGACACCAGCAACACCTTCCTCACAAGGCTCTACTCGGCAGCTCCGTCATCGTCGCCCCGCATTTTCACCAGTGAATAAACAAACTTCCAATGAAAACGATACCACGGTTCCTTCTTTCCGATGCCCCTGGTCCGAATGTACTTCACGATTCAATTCACCCGAAGAAGCCTTCGTTCACGCCAAATTTCACCACCATCTCTATCATCCCGACAGCAAGACTCTGATATGCCCTCATCGTGACTGTACGTACACCTCTGTTCGGATCAACGACGTTAGAAGGCACTGTCAAACAGCGAGTCATGGAATGCCTCCTGCGTTCTTTTGCAGAGGATGCGAGCGCAGATTCACTCGAAAGGATGCGACTAAGCGCCATCAGCTGCAGTCGGCAAAGGACCCGTTGTGCATCGCGTACGCGGGGTCGGATAGGGGTGTTGGAATTGTAGGAGAATGTGATGGGTGGAGGAGGCAATGAGGAGTGTCACTACGAAGGCCTAGTCCAATTAGTAGTCACGAGAAAGAAAGGAAGGTGCATGATTGGAAGGATGTGTAGCGGATCATTCTTAAGCGATAATTTAAACAGTGCTTATATTACATCACAACCTCCCTATTTCTCAACGCTGAGCGCTGAATCCTTACTATAATCACCCCATGCTTTACACAAGGTCGTCGCGCGACAATAGCGGCCGGAGATGACAGTGAGGGTTGGGTACAGGTTACCAGGTAAAAAAAAAACTGGGCCGCCAGCCAAACTTCACAATTGTCGACTTCATACTTTTTTATGGCAGGCTCATGACGCTGATTAACACTGTTCAAGGATTATCATACACAAGTACGTTATTCAACTCTAAACTTCATTCCTGTCGTTCCAAACTCCCACCCACGCTGGCTCGTCCTGCCGACTCAGAAGCTGCATCGTACTTCATCACCATTCCAGGCGGCAAACCTTCCGAGATGGCCTCTAGCCTGAGCGCGTTGAGCAGGACCTGCTGAGTGATATTCACTGTCCTCACCCTTGCAGTGTTGTTTTTCACCTCTTTCCTAAAGAGCAATGGGAACTTTCGTACTACTTCGGGCAAATAGACCGGCATTCAAATGTTCACTGCACACGGGAATAAGGAAATTTTCATCGATTACTGTAGTACAAAGCAGCAGAAAAGCTAAATCGGCCATTACGGAATGATTTCGACAGCGCCACTGTTCAACCAAGCCTCGAGCTCTGCGAAGTCATCGATTTCTTCCATTTTCTCTTCGACCGTATTCTCTGTGTCATGCTCTTGTACCAGGACACTCAAGTTCTGCTGACTGCTAAAGCTATTGTCCGAAGTTATAGTTAGGTCCGGCGTAGAAGGTATAATATCAAAGCAACTGGGGTCCAAGGTGAAATCGTCATAGTCATCTTGCTTGCTCTCAGCTTTGGCCAGTTCATCATGATCAATGATAATCACTTCGTCATCAGAATCCGAGGCATGGACGAAAAGAGGGTCGTTCTGAATCGACGACCAACTCGTTTTAATAAATACATTGACAAGGATGGGAAAGGACCCACTTTCGGTGATTCATCACTGAACTTCATACGTTTCGGCACAGGACTTGGTGAGAAGCGAGGATTTAGAGGTGAAGCAGGACGTGTGCCAAAGTCGTTGTCATCAGGGAAACAACGAATCAGAGTATCAATATCAGAGTCAGCGTAGTCATCAGAGGAAGGAGTGTATTTTTGAGGAGCAGAAGTCATGATTTCATGAGGCTCGGGAAGATCGTCGTCGTCGTCTAGGTTGTACGAGATGTCGCGACACACATCTTGCAGCGGTTGAGAATCTCCGATGTCGGCGAACTTGATCTCCGGGTCAGGAGCGGCCTTTCGCTTCCGCTTCTTCAGGTCAGGAATGGGTTCTAGTTTGATCCTTTGTCCTTCAGTGAGTTTGAGGTTGTCTTGAACGTTAGTGTTCTTGTGTAAAGCCTCCAAATTTTCTAGGGTACGGTCGGGGCGCGAAGGCGTCTTCTTGGTGGTCAAGACCCTCTGCCATTGAGTACTTTGATAGGTTAGTCTGGGAAGGTCTGGGTGCGTTAGGTTTAACGCTAGAGATCAATGTTTTCGTCGTCGTCGCAGCTGTGGGCATCGTTTTCTTCGGTGGATGCAATGTGCCTTCTTTACAGCTAGAATAAAACGCATCAGAATAACAGAGTATTACCACGTCGCTGGTCATACCAAAGGTGACGACATTTGTTTCTGTCCTTGCAAGAATGGTTGCATCTAATTATTGTGTCAGCTTGCATGAAGGATGGTCAAGCGAAAAGAGGGTGACAGATAATTTCCGTTCGGTAGCTTTGGGGGCGCTTTGGAGGCATCCAGAACCGCTAAAACGCTGGAACCAGGTTTGTTCTTTTTCGCTAGCTGGGCGCTCACATCTGAGAGACAGTCCGTGATGACTATATGCGAGTTTTATGAATTACACGACGAACCTTCTTCTTTCTTGGTCAGATCTCTCACTTCCGCCTCTTCCTCCGAACTGTCGATGGCACTATCCATCAGGCCCCAAAACTCGGGATCTTGTTCATATCCCTCAATTTCTAGGTCCTATAGGAGGGGGGTAAACTGATGTTGAGGGAGCTAAATAGCACGGACGAACTAGGGTAGTTTGGGGACGAGTATTTCTGATAGGGTATTGGGATGGCGCGATGTCAGGTTTATAATCCTTGGTCACTGTAACTCCCGCTACGGATTCCTGTGTGACAATAAGCATTCACAGTTACCGACCAGTAGAGATGCCTACGGAAGATATATAGACAATGATGGACTGGCTCGGCTTTTCCAACTCTGCAGTAACTTCAAAAGTTTTGGTTTCTTTCAAGGACTTCGTTCTACGCAGAGCATCAACGGCAAGTCGTAATATAAAGGTAAAAGGGCCTACGATATACGACGGAAGTCAATCAGCTCCATATCAGAGGTAAGGGTGATAATTCGATGTCATATTGTAAACGTGTCCTTTTGGCTTCTTGGATTTTGCATGGGACGTGAAAGAATCGTCGATTAATCCGCATTCGACGGACAAGTCGACTTCTACCGGCTTTTCAGCGTCGCTTGTGCGGACTTCGATCTCTGTTATTCTCAACTTGTAGGAGGGAAATTCTCGCGCAGATGCCAACATCTCAAGGCCGAATGGAGGACGTCGATTTAATAGCTAATAAAAGGTTGAGTATATTTACAAGCTGCGAAAAAAGTGTCTTACTGCTTCGAGTCTCAGAGAATCTTGCTTTCGCAGAATATCGATTGACGTTATGCCGTGCTCCGCCAGCACCTAAGGACTGGTCAATCACACCCTTCTTAACAGACAACTTTATCTGTCACCTTTAATCTAGAGACGAGAGATTAATTGAATTTCAACGAAGCACCATATTCTTACGATTTTTCTCCGATTGACTCGATTTGACGCAGCACAACAGGCCGATCTTCCCAAGCCTTCGCAGTAAGACATCGTAATCTTTGTGTTCTGGTGAGATCTCTGAAAACAAGCTCTTTATCAGACCTACACTTCGAATCCGTGTTTCAGCTGTGCCCCACGTTTCTTCGTGATTGCCACCTCTACGACAGCTGGAACAGTCATCAGTTCGAATGTGACAGAAAGAATAGTAAATATTGCAAACCTCTGGCGATGCGCGGTATATGACGAAAAACGCTGAATGCGTCCAACTGAGGCTGGCTATCCCCTGTCTTGTACTCAGGCGAATTAAGGGAGAGACCACCCAAAACGGCCTTATGAGAACCGTTAGCAATCAAAAAACACTGCGAGAACGCCACCTACCTGGATCAGCAAGAACGTCTTGTCCGAGGTCTTCTCGACCTTCTTAACTTCAAAGCGAATGTCATTGTGTCGCCGAAGTTTATTCAGATACTGACCGATTTAAAGCATCAAAGCACTTGGAGTTGCAAGAAAATGACGGTCCTTACCGTCTTCTCGGAAGCACGGATCTTGGATTCATTTAACCTTCGTGACCTTCAGTTGGAAGCAGCGTATGTCCAAAAAATAACTTACTCTTCTGAGGCAGAAATCATCTCGAGCTACCATGCGCAGACGCCAGCTATAGTCAGGAAAGAGACAACCCCAATCGTGAACGCTTACGATATCCCGAAGACTTGGCTGTTCTGGTAGAGCAAGAATGGCCCTCATCTAGTGTTCAGGTCAATTTTACGCTCAAGGACTCTGTGTTGTAGATACTCACTGTAGCTTGACGAATGTAGAACTAGAACGAAATCAGAATCTGAGGAAGCTGAATAAGTGAATGGGTTTCACCTTACTCATAATATCCCCATATTCTGTAGAAATTAGTTGTCCATCTCCACCGTCTTCAGAACACGTAATGAGTTCAGATTCCTTCAATTTCGCTATACTCTGCATGACCAAATCATCAACGCGTTCCTCCCAAGTCTGATCTTCGCCTTTTCCGAGCGCGTAGTGTCGAGGATTCTTCTGAATTCTCTGGAATAAGAACGAATTCCGAAGCCAATCGGTGGCAGAGCTGATACTTGTGACAGTACCTAAGCCAATTTCAGAGTTAAGATGCTCAGACAAATTTACATGGAGGGAACTTTCGAGGATGGTTTTGCCTTGAACGAGCTCTCGATATTTGCTCTCAAGTTCAATCTCGCACAATATTATGGCAGTCCCTTCACTGTCTATAAAAGCGTCAGCACTTGTACGAAAACAGCAAGATACTCAGCAGTATTCACCAAACTGGGGTCGACCCTGTGACAAGCAAGTCAGGGCTGAGGCAAGATCAGACCCCGAATCAGAAAGGAAGTACTTACTGCACGACCAAGCATCTGCATTACATCAAGATCAGAGTACTCGACCGATACATTGTTTTGGAAGGTCTGGACCCCTTTGATAACAACGGTATGGGCAGCTGGACCAATGTGAAAGTAAGAATATACATGTATTGAACGCCACTTACGAAGGTTGACTCCCACAGCAAGGGTCTGGGCAGAGGTAAGGTTTCGTTACTGTAATCGAATTCAGTGGCCAGACTTACTGATGTCGCTATGACTATGCGGAGGACAGTCTTTAAAAAGAGGCCTTCAACTGCACGTCTGTCATCTAGCGACAGTCCTGCGTGATGGACGCCGATGCCATATGATGCCCATTCTGTCCATTTGAGCATAATGCGTGTATATAAATAATACCAGCTCACCTGCCAAACGCTTGTCCTGGAAAACATGTTCAACTCTGATCAGAATTGATGTCAGCTTTTATGGACTCGACACAGTAGGCCATAGGCAACCTTTCGGAATGGGTCCAAGGCAAAGATTGCTTCCTCTTTTCAGCTTCAATATAGTCTTTGAATATATGATCAGCAGTGGCGAAAACACCTGCGGAATTTCCTCGTCATACAAGAAATGGGACATAAACTGATTCGCACCTTTCCGAGTCGGACAAAAAACAAGTATAGGCTTCCCAACGGAGTGCGTTTGCAGCGTTGAGAACAATTTATAATCAAGAAGCTTGGAGAATTGAAAATCATTCTGGTTGCGTTGTCGAGGAACCCCGACAACAACCCGCTTCAGCTTACAAGGGCGGAAATCTTCACCGAACTACATGGATCTCAGCTGCGGCTCTTAAATTTGAAGAAATCGACGTACTTCGAAAACTTTTGCAGAGCTTCCATCACGTCTGGCACTCCCGATCCAAGATGCTATGTCCTGGATGTTAGGAACTGTCGCCGAGACAAGCACGAATCGGACACCGGATCCACGCAGTTTCATGCGAGAAATGACGACCTCGAGGGTGCTGCCTCTAGATTCATTGAGTATATGAACCTAAATGAAAGCTGTAACGGCGTAGGCATGAGGTCACTCGATAGAGATACCTCGTCGACCAAAAGCAACCGAATGGAAGATAAGATCCTTCCATGGTCACCCCTGGTTCAGTAGCCGTCATCAAAGAAATTCGTACGAAGCTATTGGATTCATACCAATTTCTCGTTAGACTGTCCCACTTTTCAGCCTGTCATACTATCAGTTTGGATTGGCCCTCGATGTGCCCAGAAAACCCTTTACCGTCGTGACACTGCAGATCAGTTAGCTATGTGCGATACGGGTTTGAATTCGACTAACATTATCGTGGAATTCTTTGCATCTCCCCACACGCCCTTCCCAAAGTGAACGGTATCGCCTGTCAGTTCACAACCTATTTTTGCCCATCAGCGCGCACACACGGGGGAAAAAATCTCCTCACACTTGATACCCAGTGAACTGAACTTGGTTGTCCAGTCACGATATCTCTCCGAACATAACGCCTGCAACGAAATTAGTGCATCATCTTTATCAGTAGTAAGATACCTACCTTTGTCGGTGCCATGTAGACACATTTGACTGAGTTGTCCGATGCGCTATTTGTCTCGGTCAACATTTGTATGATTGCCAATTCAAAGAGGACCGTCTTTCCGCTACCAGTAGGTGCTGTGTTTGTGTGAAATTTGTGTGCAGTGATCACGCATATAACGCTGACTTACCGCTCGCTACCTACAAGATGATTGTTTTGAGATGAGAGCTATGAAAAGACCCAGTAGACGTACTATGTTTTCGTTGCTTTGCATGAGCTAATGTACGTAAGGAATGGAAGCGTAAATGATAGTCATAAAATCTCACAGTGTCAAAACATGAGGACTGAACAGCGTTGAAAACGCCGAATTTGAATATTGCTCTATACATATCGGCTGCCATGCGATTCAGCAGATGCTCTCAGTCAGACGGTACAGAACGTACGAAGCTCCGTAACTGGTCTCAGCCGAATTCCCTTCGCGCTCTTACACGAAGGTGCCTCGCGGGCAAGATCATTTTTCGACGGTCGGCTTGCGTTCAGGGAATATGAATTTGAAGGCTGCGACAGTGGGGGCTGCTGTTGAAAGTGATAGTTCCTTGACAAATTTTGGTAGCCTTGGTGTTGATTATATTGCAGCGTTGCTAGCAAGCATGTTAGCAATCATTCTTCCATAAAGAAATGGTACTTACAAGGAACTACGTCATACTGAGGAGGGTAAGCTGCCATGGTAGGCGCGAAATTACCTTGTTCTTCGGGAAATGCTTCGTATCCATCAGCCTGCTGGTTATCCCATTTTTCATCCTCGTAGTAAGGCTGGTCAGAAGCTTGAGGGAAGGTTGGGTCGACATAGTCCTCTATTGGATCGTCGTAGTGCTGAACGTATTGTGGAGCAAAGCCATAGGTAGAATTATTCCTATTACTCCGCTCAGGCGGGGATGGAGAAGAGTTCACTACAAGATGTGAGTGTATGCAGCACAGGAATAGCGCATACACTCACTGATTTCATCGTTATAAGCATCCAACTCGGTATCGTACTCATCGTAGACGTTATTCTGATATCCCTGAGGGGCATAATAGTTCATGGGGTAGTTACCGTTCATTTCGAACGACTCAACATGGAAGAAGGAGAAAGAGAAGGGAAGGAAAGGAATCAGCGTCGGGATTGGCGGACGCGTGACGCGTCTTTACGTACCATTATCACGTGTTTTGCGTTAAACGTGACAGATCGTGACAATCCAGCCCTGAGCCCTTGTCGTACCAACTTTGAACTTGTCTACCACAAGCAACACCTTCACACGAAATGTCGTCGCAACAACTGTCCGCTGAGGAGCTGGCAAAGAAGCAGGCAGAGAAAATCGAGGAAATCATAAACTCGTGCGGCTGCTTTACATGTAATTATCATCCCAGTATCAGTGCTTCTAACCTGCATCTTTTCCGTTAGGATCCATTACTCCGACAAGTACAGCGATGATATATACGAGTATCGTCATGTCATCCTGCCAAAGCAGCTCTTCAAAATGAAAATAATACCGGAGAACTATTGGAATGCAGATCAGTCTGCTCTTCGGCTGTTGTCGGAGAAAGAGTGGAGGAATATTGGGATTACGCAGAGCCTGGGTTGGGAGCACTATGAGATTCACGGTGAGTTTCGTGATGAACCTTCGTAGCATCTCTCTAATACGAATTCCCTCAGCGCCGGAGCCTCACATCCTCCTTTTCCGTCGCCCCAAAGACTTTGTCGCGCCGACACAGCCAGCGCAGAGGCGTGCTAAGGACGCAGCGAGACGAAAGTAGATGGGGCTGTCTTCCATATCTTCTTTCTCTTCTATCAGGCTCTTCTTCTCAATCAAATCTTATATAGAATTGTCTCCTCATCGATGTCCGTATCCTGTATCCAGCTCTCGCAAATCACCCCTCTTCTTGCTCTTGTCGTTATACAATACCATTTCATCGTGTATCGTTGATCCACCGCCTGCCACTTTCACATTACTAAGTCGTTCATCATATCACTACATGTACACATTATACTGAAACAATCGACAACAACAAAACAAATAATACGGAATAGATCCCTCTACTCATATAAAAGCACCATGTCCAAAATATCCAAATCACAGTCGAGGTGCAGGAAGATCTCCCCATTGCACCATAGGCCCTAGGTCCGCTGATGGTTTCAAACCGGCTCGGAAAGCCTTCGGGTCCGTAATATATTCCACTCCTGGCCGTGGAACGTCCTCACCTTCTCCTTGAACCGGGTACTTCGCCATCAGCACCATCATAGCTCTAACCAAGTCCTGGAGACCATCTCTTCCATGTAGCGCCTGTACCCAGTGCGCTTGGAAGTCGGACACATCATGATCACCTTCGCCAAGGTCCTTCCACGCACTCTCGTCAAGGTCTGGCATTTTCGCCCGCACAATAGCTGCAAATTGCTGAGCTGCTTGTGCACTGACTTTCTGGGGACGTGGTTTCTGAGAGCGCATCTGGACCGACAGCTTTGATCGCGTCTTCGATGATGGATGAACGTTGGACATGAACAAAGAAAGAACGTCCTCCTTCGTTATATCCTTGACTAGGTCTGCGTCCTTTGTCGCTACAATCACCATGAGTACCATCACGAGGAAATCTGCGAAGACAACGTACCCCTCAAGAAGTCAAGATGTCCAGTGCTGATGTGAAGCATGAAGTTGCTACCCTCTTCCATGAGATTCTTGTGTGACTCTCGCCACTTCTTCTCCAACCCTCCCTTCTGCTCCTGGAAGACCTCCGGGGTCATATCTTCGATGTACGTCTTCATGGCTGACAAATGCGCTTCGACTCGATCCTCAAGATGTCCGGGAGTCTTCTCGCTCTGAACTACTATCCGCACACCGATATCACCACCACCTGATAGACTCCATCCCGAACATGAGACGATATAACCGAGTTGTTCCTTTGTCCGAAGGGTGTTAAATGTCGGTTCCGAAAGAATCTGGTTTAGGAGCGCAGCCACAACGCGAAGGCGCTGATTGGCGACGGAACCATAGTGGCAATAGTAAGTTAACGCAGAGTTGGATTGATTAGGATTGGGTATCGTAGATGTCCAGGTATAGTTGCACCCTATTGGATCAGTGAGTATGAAAGGCATGATAATCAAGGCATTTATACCTTCTGGTAGCAAAAGACCCCTCTCATTCAATTGAGACGGTGGTAGACCGGAAAGTCCTAGACCTTGTTCTACCACTTCAGCAATCTTAATAGCTTCCTAGAACAAGGTTCGAGAGTTGTAGGAGGATATACGCAGCACATAATCAGACTTACTTCCTTAAACATGTTGCCCGTAACTAAAATCCGGATGTTCACTTGGGAGAGAACCTTCTTGATATGGTTCTGGACCTCCTCCGGAGTGACAGCTGAACATTTGTTAGTGCCAACATCTACATGTCAGAAGACAGTAACTCAACAGGGCAGTTCCTGAAGCTTCTCATGAATGGTCCACTGCCGTTCCGTCAACATATATCGACCATAATATTCTGATAGCTGGTATGACTGTCCAAGGAAGAAGTTCTCCCATGTCTTCTTGATCTGCAGGGATACATGTCAGCAATCCAAAGGAGGTGTGTTATCAAAGACCTACTTCTTCTTTCATAACAATCAGCCGCTCAGGGTTAACAGTAATCTGCTTGACCCTCTCCAGAACGTGCTGCACCAGCACGATCACCTTGTCAGTTGTAACCGTTCATAGTAACGTAAAGACCGGAGGCATGTGTTAAGAAAGAATAGGTGATGCCAGCTAGATCAGCGTCATAGGAGAACTCGGTTAGCGAGTCGGTGACGAGGTCGGAGTACAGCCTAATTTCATTGAGACGTCATAGACAGTAACCACAAGCAGGGGAACGTACCTTGTCAGGACAGAATTACGCGGAGAGCTATTCCCATATGGACTGGAGATACCGGGGGTCAGGATGCGCCGATTTTGCAATATTTCCTATGTTACTGACCTTCGCAAGTCGATGACGACGAATCCTTTAGGTACCCAAAACCTGTCGTCCTTTTTGTGCCATAGAACGGAAAGGGGAGTCTCTCGGATTAAGTGCGGACGTCCAACAGGCTAAATATGAACCGGTGAACTCAGGGTTTTCTGGGCAAAATAGAACTGACATACCTTCGCGACTTCGCGCTTGTCCACATCCAAGTTGGTTGGGATAAATTGATTGGGACCAGGGAGGAACAGTTGTGGGATATCATTGGAGCCATTGGCCTGGAGGAAGAATTAGTTATAGCGTAATGAAATAGACCCATGATAATCACCTGTGCGATGAAATCTCTGTCAAACCGCTCAACTCTATACTCTGTGCCATACCAGGGCTCGGTTTCCCAGTGATCGCGGAATCCTAAGCTTTCTAGATCTCCTTTCTGAGCCATAAGGATCACTCTGCCATTCTCCAATCGGAAGCTTTCCAGATATTCTCGAATCTTCTCTTCACCGCCACCTTCGTGTTTGTAGTCATCCCAATCCCAAACCAATAGCGGGGCGCTCAGGAGGAGATCTCTTGGGTAGCCGCGAGCCATGCGTTCCGCAATCCGTGTGGCGTAATCATCGGGGCGTCGCTTCTCCTGAAATCTGAAACGCGTCTTTGCCAAAGTCACCAGCTCTTTCTGATGGAATGGAGCAAAGGTGGATTCACGTAGGAGTGCAAAATATTTCGCAGTAGCCAGTATGACGGAACGGTATTCCTCTGAGTTGGCATAAGCACACGACACATGAAGGAGGGGAAAGTGACGTACTGAAGCCATCAGCAGTCAAATGCACGGTTACTTTGAACATTCCGAACCCTCTTCCAAGATTCTGAGGTCCCGAGCTTAGACCCGTGATCCAGCCCTTGTTCTTGAGATACGAATGAAGAGATCCGGGGCCTTCGTGGCCAACAAAATGGGAGATGAATTCGGAAGGTTTATGACGCCAAAAGGGTACCTGGTACTCCAAATGGAACGAGAATTCCAGCGCATGTACGGTCATGATCGTTTGAACGGGTACCAGCGTCTGCAAAGAGTATCAGTAGATGTATAGAAGCAATTCGGGAAGAACCACGTACGCCTAGCTGCTCTGGCCCCATTGGATGTTCAACGAACATCGGGAGGGGATCAACACCACGGTTAGGTATCGGTGAGAACAGAGAAGAAGCGAGCAAGGAGAGTTCATCCAGGGATTCTGGAGACAATGATTGATATAAATTATCAAGGAGAAGTGGAAGACATACCTTTGCCGAGGATACAGAGATGCATCCGGCTGGCACAGTACTCCTTCGTCCACCATTCTACGACCCGTCTACGCGTCTCCTTACCAACTGCGCCGCCATCGGATTCGTTGTCACTCGAAACGGAAGCCACGGAAGGGGCTGGCGATGATATGCGGGGCGGAAGGGGCGATGGTGCAAAACTACCATTAGTCGCCGGGGCCTCAAGCTTTCCCTGCGCTTTGAGATCCTTTCCGGCTTGAGACAAGCTCTCCCGATTACCGCTCCCGAACTTCCTCCACACATGGCCTTCCTTGCTCAGATGCTTGCTGAGTTGAAACACCCTCCATATGTCACTTTGATGGTTCTTCTTGTGCTCAGAGTCCACCGCGTTGAGTTCGCGTGATGTACACGAGGGGGCAAAGAGCGGACAGTGGAAAAAACCAGAAAACCGGGCAAGTGCTCCAGCGAGGGCAGGGGTGGCCACGTTGAAGTAATAATTAGTGTTGGTAACGGATGTGTACGCATTCGAGCTACCGTTGTTCTTGGCCAGAAATTCCGAGTATTCGTTCTCTCGGGGGAATTGTTCCGTACCCTGGGTGAAATTGATATACAGAAAGATGTGAAAGAACGATGAGACGCACCATGAATAGCAGGTGCTCACAAAAATGAGCCAGTCCTGGCATGTCATCCTGGCAACAGGTCAACATAGGGCAAAGACGACCTGAACGACACTCACTGGATCTGACAGATGACCCACCGCTACGTCCAAACTCGCGGCAGCCTTGTCGGCAGTCGCATCATGAATGAGAGTGGCCTCTAGGCCGTTGTCCAAACGAATGATACGGTATTCTCTATCGTCCTGCTGTGACTTCTCTATAGGCTTGTCGTAGACGAGGAATGAAGGAATGGTTCGGGTCTGCTGGTGTTACGCGTCTCCATTCAGTGGTAGTGGAAGCCTTCCTCGAAGACAAGTATGAGAGATTCATGGAGGTCCTGAGGAAGGGAAATCGAAGGTTCAGCATAAATAACGCGGAGGATGGGTAGATGGCTTTGTTGGGGCACCACTGGTATGGTCCTCGGGTCCAATTATATAGTTGGCGAATCTTTATACGGCGAAGGCAAGAATGGAAACCGCGCTACCTGGACGGTCCTTTAATTACTAGATACGGTGCTGGCTGTCGCCGTGTCTGATGATGATGGTGGTGGTAGTAGAGATGATCTGCCGAAATTTGACGGGCGGCGACACTATTGTCCATTATTATTTATCAATTAATTAATGCGTAAAATAATACAATAATAATTCTGCCTGGTTATGTCCTGCAGACAGCACCAGATTTATGTTACAGAAAGATTGGAGCGTAGCGAAAATGTGCCCACGGGCACGCTTATGCATTTCTCTGCCGACACGGTAACAGTCCACTGCCTTCGACCGAAAGATATTACATCCTTCAATGGCATGCTCCGTAATTTCAGGATTTATAGTCCTCGAAGCTGGCCGGGAAAGGATAGATCTCCCTTGCAAACCTAGATAACACCTACTTTAGATACCATTTCCAACGCTCCATATCATACGTACGTACCTTAGCCTATGGATTTTCCAGGTACCTCGTGGTCTCCAGTTTGTATCGTTATATTGCAATGTATGCCCCGTTTCAGGTCTGGGCGGAACCGTGATGTCCTGTGGCTCAGGTGAGGATACAATGGGGCAGGCTGTCCGCATGACTGACTGCAAGACCTTGGTCAAGCGGCCATTGCGATATGCCATTACGTCGAATTTGGCATTTCTGAATGATTCTGCCAGTGGAGTAACCCGGGTAAAGGCTTGGACATGACGAGGATAAATAGTATTAATACACTTACAGCCGAAAGATGTCGTAGTGATTGTGCAATTCAGAAAAGTGGCCAGGCAGTGGAAAGATCCGGAGACGACGGGGATGAAGACAGTGTCTCCTTCTGGCTCACTCCCTTGGGCTAGAGCCCGGAAAACATAGAGAATTTCTTAATTCTGCATCTAAGTATGCGTCCATTTCGTACGGAATCAATTCTTCTTCAGGCAGGTCCGGTCCCAACGGTTCGTCCGAGTCGTCGCCCAGAGAAACTTCTTTCTCTCCCGACTTGGTCAACAGCATCAGATGAAAATATCTCTGCGATCTGAGCGTCGCCAAGACTTGTTCTTATGAGATCGCGGTAATCATCGTCTTCTAGAAGATACTAGTAGTCGTTGTTTAATTTTGTAGGTAAATATTCCGGTGTACGTGCGTAAGCGTTGCAGGTGTTGACCATTGGGCCACGTCAGGGTATCGAAGTTTCCACAAGATTCTGGAAGTGTAGATGGCCATGGTAAGTTCTGGAAGGATAAGGACACGTATACTCGGCATCGCATAGAATTGTTCGCCCTGATAAGGGTTGCTGAGACTTTCTTTCCGGTCCAATACAGGGAAGTCATTCAGCTGTAGATGATACCGTTTGAGAAGGAAATAGAAGGAACGAGTGTAGTAACCCGTTCACTTCTTGTTTTCAATGGCTCGCATAGCACGCTGCGCAACAATGTCTCCTTCATCGCAATAGGGTATCCAATGTGTCAAGTGCGAAAGTAAAGTAATACTTACCCAGGCAGCGGCGCAAAAATTGTTCGGTAGCAATACCGTCAATCACCCCGGAAGAGTAGCGGCCGACTGATGGTGTCGTCAAAATTTAACCTGCAAAAGTCCTCCTGGTATATATTGCCGACAGGAAGAAAGGATAATGCAAACCATTTGGACTCACATGACGGTGACAATCAAGAAAACAGACCGTGGGAAAATGTTGTGGCTTACCTCTACGCATGCTCCTGCTTTGGGTCTCTGTAGAAGGAAGAACAGGTGAGCGGGCTCGTCTTCACCAATCCGTAATTTTCTTTCTCATATGACACACTAGCAACCCTGAGTTTTACAATTTTGTCAGGCAAACCTGCACGGATTCTAGGCATATAACTTGAGGGATCGATATCATTTTAGCAATCGAAGCTCTGCTGCACGGGCGTGGATCGTCTTGGGATTGGCGCACTCGTTTGGACGTGAATCGCTTCTCTCGGCCGCTTTACTCAGTCTCTATCTCAGGCTCGACAACCCTTGACGCGTGTCTTCCGGTACGCATACCTGAAGGTCGAAACTGAAACTGAACGACGAGACGACTCGGAATGGCACATTTTTCCCTCCAGTTCCGTTGCTCTTGATGAAACAACTAGTTCTTTCTGCTTTTCGAGCTCTTAACGTCATCGCCACTACTTGAGAACCTCCAAAGGCCGCTTTGATCATCTGGTGACGTCGGACGAAACTTTGCGAAAGTTCTCGAAGGATTGGGCTGTGCCTGTGGGGACGGGGACAGTATGTTCCTTATCCCGAACCGGCGTGGCGCCGGTGGTTGGTATCATATGGGTGTACCCTGGCACGAAGCGACTGCAAACATGATAAACATAGGGCAGCCCAGCGTATCGCCTCGCACCGAATTACACAAGTTTTGATTTTCAAAAACGGCGACCAGGTAAATTGACAATTGGTATAGTTCCTTCACTTGAGCCTTTGTGTTTGCTTAGAATTATCTCAGCTTGTTAGAGGTGATTATAACTAGCCAAGCATCTGCTGTGACAGTTGAACAGCATTAAACCGACCTTCTGCGCGGCCTCTATCTCAGACACCCAGTAAAACTCAAAGGCTTATGCGGTGGTATCCGAATAGGTTTGCTCTTTTCCATTAGTCGGATGTTACCGTCGTTGACCAGCCATATGTATATAGGTCCCCGCCTTATCATTACGCGAATAAACCTACTATCGTTGACATCGCTAACTTGATCAACAGTGATATGCACGCCCTCTCAGAACACATGACTTCGTTTACCACCTTATGACACTTGTTTCCTTTTCTCTCATTCCGCAACCCACGCTCGACTCTACAATAACGGAGCCGACATCATTCCCCAAAACCGAATGTGCGCTGGTCGGAATCCTCTCGTACATCCTCACGTTATGTCGACAACTTGAAATTCTCACATTATCTAGATGCGAGAGCTTCTTCAAAGCAAACGCCAGATCAGAATTCTGCCGGTCCAGCGAAATCTGAGCGGATACGATTGGAGATTCAGATCCACTTGTGACGGAGCTCCATTCAGGCACGTCTCGCATCTTCATCGGAATCTTGTATCTGCGGTTGTTCAGCAATGAAATTTCAAAGAGTACGTCGCATTTGTTTCAACACCGATCTCAACCTCGCTACTGCCAGTCAGGTAGTGTTCGCCTAGCGAGCCTTCGGGTTATGTAGTCGGCACATTATGGTAACGTGAATGCTTTCATGCATAACTTATGTTTATTCTCTGTTGCTAGGGCCCCAACCTACAGGGACATCAGACACTGTCTATTGACTGCGGCGAACGCCGTCCAAAACTCGGCTCGATACATGGTGGAATGTTTAAGCGTGCGGCCTCAACTTACGCGTTCGGCAGCCTCACCTCTCCATCGTGCAGTTGGGTATTTTAGTAAGCAGAACAGGTCAGTTTTGAATTCGACGAATCAACACGTCTACGATACATATGTACCCCATGAGGAATTCCCTTACCCGCATGAGTACTGAACCTCAATTGTGTATCCTACTAGTAAAAAACCGCAAGAAGACCATCCGCCACCCCACACTACCGCTCCGTATTCTCGGATCTTCATAAGTCGATCATTGAAAAACTCAAGGCTACCGTTCCTGCCAATTTGAAACCGCTTTACCCTGCACACGACTTGCTTTACTTCAAGCTGAATTTTTGCCGATACTTTATTATGTATTATTATCAAACCGTAACCTTGGCTCAAATCTGTAATTATAAATTAGCCAACTTGAGGCGTCGAGTTTCACCGTTCCAGAGGAGTTCCTTACCAGCTGGGACATCCCTTCTCAACAGGCCAGAACCTCTTATCAAGGCTGCGATAATAATCTCCGTCGTCATCATTCCCCCCACCACATTCAGCTTCAGGATCGAAGTGATAAACCAGCCACCAGCCAATCATTCTACCGTCTTCCCATACGCGCTCCCACCTAGCGATCTTAGTACAGAAAACAGACCGCGAAAGCAGATAGTACTGACCATGCGCCAAATGGCCGTATTGGTTCGGGGGAATACGACCTTCGTTGAATGATAGAAAACGTTCTGAGCACGGGCCTCGATTTACCGCCATGGTTCTTCTTGTACTTGCTATCAAGATCATCCATCCTATAACGATGGAATAAGACGCAGATCCCAGTACATAAAGTGTACGATCAAACGGACCTTGCATCGAACAAACGTTGGCCCTCCTTCAACATACTGTCGTTAGGCACTCCATCAAGGGCACCTTCGACACCATTGAGCGCAGCCTCTTTACGGTACGCAAGCCTCAATAGATCTAATTTATTGTATGACTTTCCCGGGCGGCTCGGATTGTTCTGATTCTCAAACGTTACGTACGGTAGCGTTCCCATCTCTTGGTCAGAAAACCGAAAGTGGTTTTTCGCTGTCGGAGGTATAAGGTCGATGAGGGTTATGTACACGAACATGACGTGCACGTACCATCAGTATACTGCACGACCTTCCATCCGATCTTCTGCTTGTAGTTTGGGTCTTGTTCAGGCTTCCACTGGTTCTCACTGCGAACTAACCATGCTTCCCAGGGACTCTTTCTGGTGGTTCTTCTTAGCTTTCTCTGCTTCAGCTAAAGCCTTCTTAGTGATCTTGGGCGACCCCTGCGCCGAGGAAGGCGACACGCAGGTTCTGGACTTCGGCGAGCCCTCCGAGCCCTCGGTAGCTGGCTTTCGACGTTTCGCGGGCGTCTTCTGGACAACAGCATCGCTTTCAGTATCTAAAGTGTTCCCCTCGGACTCAGAATCAGGTGAATGCCAGTGTTTCGAGGATGTATTGTCGACGGACATTGTGGTAGAAAGATAAGGTGCGCGATTACCTAAGGTGCTAGCAATGTCACCCCACTAAGCAACATTGAATAAATAAATAAGAAAATAAAACGCGTTAAATTGAAACTGAGTGCCGAGTACAATTGATACAATGTATATGGCATAGAATTTCTAGGAAGTGAAAGTGGAATGATTGTAAGTCACTCATGCAGACCATATCACGATAGCTTGGTAGGGACCTTATGCCCTTTGACAGACTCTACGAGAGTCACTATTGCCCACCGAAAAAGCGACTTGACCTTCCATTTTCCTTGAGGCAGAATTCAACGGAAGCTCCGCTCTGAAAGTATAGATATTCACCTTTTTGAACAAGTTCCAGCATCGGAGGAGACTCGGACGTCAAATCCAGTTCATGCGCGTATGGGGAATCACTGGAGCTGAGTTCTTCCATCAAACTTGATCAAGATACCTCCGACGTGACACTATAATTCCACGAAAAGCCGTCAGGAATAAGCGTGTCGTCAACCTCTGAACCGTGCAGCGGGTCGAAAAGGACAGATCCATAGCGTGCGAACTGATACTCCTGTACGATCCTTGAAAAAAAAGAGTTAACAACGTTCCCGCCAATGTAAGTTATTGCTTACTCCTCGAAAAGATCGACATCCCCGCATAGCTGAGATGGATCAGATATTTCTGGAACGTTTGACAAGACATGGTCGATACGCATAACGGGCACGAAGATTCCATCTTCCTCAGGATCATCGGAGCCTGGTATCTTGGCCAGGAACGTCCGGCAGGTCTGATTATCAGTCTCCGAAGCGTCGTCCAAGTCTGGGCCGTCTTCTTGACCATCGAGAATTCGCTTGAATTTCTGCATCATCTAGTCCAGCTCGGAGAAGTTGACCATAACGCTCATCCTCCTTGAGGGCTTTGAAAAGCGCTACGGAAAAGTTCACACTTGGTGAGTCCTGATAGTCACGCCATTCCGATGGTACGCGTGCCCAAAGATCATAGTAGGTAGGATGGTAGCAGTTGTCCCATAACAGTGGCTTTGACACTTGAAGGGGTTCCCTCGACTTAGGATGGGCCGTGGTCGGCAAGATAGGAACACACATAGTAGGCCGCGCATAGTCAGGTTTCCGAGGGTGAGGCTTCGTAAGACCCTGCTGCACTGGCCGGATTTCGATAGCTTTGTACTTTGGTGTCTCTCCGCTTAGCTTTGGCCTTTCAACCTAGGAAATTTTCAGTGGACCAGAAGCAAGGAAGCCGCAAAAGGACGCACCTCCAAGCAATGACCGGCATACCTGCGATCCTGCATGCCTTCCAACATTCGCAACATAAATTCGTCGCCTCCGTCACAGTACAACTCTAAGGTTGCTGCTACATCGACGGAAAAAGTGAAATAGTGATCAAGAGGCGGAGCCAACTGATATCTCATGTCATGAACAGCCATATTGAGGCGCAACAAAGGCTGGGAAGTGAACGATAAGCGGGTCCGCCTGAATTGAGCATATTTATACCATCGCCTGAGTGGCAGAAGAACAAGGACAAAAAGACAAAAGTGTGGGAAGATCGTCCAATCTCGATCCCATTTGTTGATTCTAAGTAATTTCTCTGGCAGTTGATACTCCTGCACGATTCCGAAAGCGAAAGAGCGGTTCGGGAGAAGGATTGCAACCAATATCATCACTCCCGTTACAGTACGGTCGTAGAGTTCTGGCTACATCGATGGATAAGGTGAAATCATCAATCTTGATCTGCCAGAGTCGTTTATTTAGGTCCGCTTTCGCAGACCTCCACTTGACGATTTTTGAGAACGATTCACAATTTGGTTAGCCCTTCGACCTTAGATTCTACCTCATTCTATACGTCGCACTTGTAGCCGCAGAACAAATAGCAACGACATTATCACATCTTTGATAGAGAGTGCAGGAATAACAACACAAAAGAGTGTATGTGATAGAACGAAGGTAAGAGGGTTTGCGGATCTGTCCTGCAGACCGAATCACGACTTCCCAGAAGACTTGCACCACTTCACCAGCTCAACGAAACTTGTAATTGCCTCGCCGGAAGAATGACTTCACTCTCCATTTACCTTAAAGCAAAATTCAACGGAAGCTCCAGTAAGAACGTATAGATGCTTACCTTTCCGAACAGGTTCTGGCACTTGAGGGGACTCTGTACGGAGACTCAAGTTCATGCAAGTCGGGAGAATCAGTGTCTAGCTCTTCCGTAGACGTTCCAGATACCGCCGACGATAGACTATACATGATGGAAAAGTTATCGGGGTCAGTTTCATCCTCAATCGGTGGACATTCCGCCGTCTCGTAAACAACCGGCCCGTATCGTTCAAGTTGATATTCTTCTACGATTCTAGAAGCAAATCAATGGTTTAGGACAATGGCAATTCGGAGCGAAAATCGTCTACTCTTCAAAAAGATCGCGGTCTTCCCATAGCTGCGAGGGATCAGATATTTCCGGCACATTTGACAGGACATGGTCGATACGAAGGACGGGCATGAACATATCATCGTCCTTTGGTTCCTCTGAACCGGGTATGTTGGCGAGAAAGGACTGGCAAGGTTGATTATCAGTCTCCGAGGTGTCGTCTGTATCTGGAGCAGGTTCTTGACCGTCGAGAATCCGAAGAACCCGGTCCTCATCTAGTCCTGACTGAAGGAGTCGGTTGTAGCGTAAATCTTCGGCCAAAGGTTTGACAAGCTGGGGTGAGAAGCCTAGCACACGGGGCGACTGAGAATAGTCGCGCCATTCTGTCGGGACGCGGGCATAGAGGTCGTAGCGGGTGGGATGATAGCAGTTTTTCCAAGGCAATAGCTTCGACAACTCAAGAGGTTCTCTTGACCTGGGATGGGTCGTTTCCGGAAAGATAGGAATGCACATGGATGGTCGCGCATGATGAGGTTTCCGAGAGTAAGGTTTTGTGAGACCCTGTTGCACTGGTCGAATATACGCTGTATGAAATTTGTTATGCTCGTCAACCCGGCCCTCGACCTGAAGGGCAGGTTTTAGCGGGCGAGACAGAAGAAGTAATAGCATAACGTACCGCCACGCAGTAGCCCGCATATGTCTTGTCCTTCAAGCCCTCCAGTTTTTGCAGCATAACATTGTCACCTTCATCACAGTACACGTCCAGTGTTGCAGCGACATCGATGGAAAACGTAAAATAACAGCAGGGAGGTGGGACGACTTGGAGGTTCATATCAGCGGATGGAGAAAAGTTACTGGAGAGCAATGAGGATGAAGGCGAAGGGGAGCGGTGCCTACGCTATACATATTTATACTGCCCCTTTGAGTGGCAACAAATTCGAAAAGATGAAAGAAGAAACAAAAGGAGAACAAAGGGTATTAGTCGTGTGTGGGCCCTGGTCTTACCTTATTGGGACCTTCAAGCGCCGGTCTATCAATTATTGACCCTTCACTAACCTTAATTGATAAAGTACTCTCAATACTCAACTTTGCTTCCTAGTGCCGAAACAAAAGAAACTTTGTATTCTACTATGGGGACAATGAAATATTGGCGACAGGAATTCCTATATGAAGTCGAGTCGGACCCTCTACGGGCTATACTTTTTCTTCTCACCAACTTGCTCTCTACGTTGAGCGCTTTTACACTCCCTCAGCAGCTTATAGGTCTGGCGCCCACCATCACTATCTTTTCCCCCAACAATGTCTCATTATTCCGTGTTATCTAAGGATTATAACCCCCCTAATAGGCCTCGCTGCTCCATATAAATTACAAAAGAGATCGCCCACTGTAGAGGATGACGCCAAGCTGGAACTGTCTTCAATGCATACATGTCCGAGTCAGGGAGAATCTGTTCGTTTGGTTCGATGGGAACGACGAATCGCCGGAGAAGTTGCCCAAGTTCTTCATACAGGCCCTCAGACGATCCAAACGTGGCCATAAGACAGATAGAATGGCCTTGTTTCCGGGGACCCATGGAGACGTGGTCGGATGGTGATTCCATGATTATACAGGGTCTTCTTTTTGGCCCAGAAGAAACGGGGACGACCTTGCCACTTCGAGTGGTCAGTGATATACCTGTCCGAGTTTCTAGTGGGGCGCCTACGCTATTCAAAGCTTCGCAGAGAGGAGAAAAGATCGTCTCTTCGACTAGGCAGATTTGACTGCATTTGAAGGTTGGGGGATGCAGGGGAGCCTTCCGAATCCTGAGTGGCGGAGATTTCGGTGCATTGACAGTGAAGCCTTGCATCTCTCGTAACGGTAAAGGCTGTCGACTTCCCAGCGCCGAGTATGATCGATTGGCTCAGCACTGCTTCAATCAGCGGGCCCTATGGGAGCGTGATGTGCTGAAGAATCAGCATTTGAGACAGGAGGTTTACGAAGAGTTGGTGGTGAGTTCAACAGGTTCTCGAACTGATGTTATGCATTTCTAACAAGTCTCCAAGAATTGGAAGCCTGATCTAAATAATTCTGACAAAGCATCGAGGTACTCGTCGGGTTCCAATGCATCCTCGTTTTCCGTCGATAGTTTCACGTCGCTCTACACCCAACATCCTCGCTGTGGAAGTATAGCGACATTGGAAACCATATTCGAATCCGCCACGCCAACGTATCCTAGCTTCACCTTTGATGATTTCCTACCTCTTCCTTCACAGGTCTGCGCAGTACACTAAATGTACCTTTACGTTCGCCCATGTTGTTCGTGCTGTCCATTTTCCGGATAAACGATGTATAACAGATCGCTGGCTGAAAGGAATGTCGAACTTTAACAGAAGCTGGCATGGTGACGACCGCAACATGAGTATCCGTCTCCCAGACTCTGAAAAGACAAAATATGCTGGAGAGTTACGTGCAGTTCTGGCACGGATGTGTATCGAGGATACGTCGACACAAATAGTAATGAAAACCTCTTCAAAGTCTCTTATACAAGCTCTGTGCTCACGTCTAAGGAGCTGGGAGGATAGAGGCTGGATAGGAGTCACGAACAGTGATCTGCTCCGTGCCGTAGCAGCCCGCTTGCGCCTACAAGGAAGCAGGATAGTGTTCCATATGTCCGAGAACAGTGTTGACATGGTAGGCGCAAAAAGGGCTAGTGAGCTGGCTCTGGCAGGTGCCCAGAAGGACATCATCGACGAAATCGACTATGTGTTCCCCAAAAGATTTACGGTCTCCGGGGCGAAACTTAATGCTGTTTCTCAAGCGACACTGTCGGCAGGAATTCGTTTAAGAAAAAAACGGGTGACTCGACAGACTACGGAAGCAAATCTGGACATCACTAGGTGGGCAGCCAAGGTCCTGGGCGGTGTACTACCCACTGATGAAAAAATCTGGCGCTCCATGCGGAAAAAGTCTATATCGAGGAATATTAGAGAGTTCCTATGGAAAACGATGCATGGCGCCTTCAAAATAGGAAAGTACTGGGAAAACATACCAGGTTATGAGGAACGGTCAACCTGCCCCAAATGCGGAGTTGCAGAAACGATGGAACACATCCTAACAGAGTGCGCAATCCCTGGACAGCTAATAGTTTGGTCGCTAGCCGAAGAACTTTGGCGGAAGAAGAATGCCACATGGCCGGGAATATCCCTGGGTAAGGTTCTTGCCTGTGGATTATCGTGCTTCAGCAACGATAAAGGAAAGATCGTTGCTGAAAGATCGCGTCTGTACGAGATCATCGTGTCAGAATCTGCTCATCTGATCTGGAAATTTAGATGTGAACGCAGAATTCAGAGAGGAGACGACTCACCGGGGGATTGGCATAGCCCCAGAGAAATCCGTAATAGGTGGGTTCAGGCCTTGAATAATCGACTGGCACAGGACTGCATGGCAACAGACGTCGCGAGATTTGGAAACAAGGCACTGCGACGAGACCTAGTCTTGAGAACATGGAACGGTGTTCTTTTGCAAAACGATGCGTTGCCCAACGACTGGGTTGGTAATACCGAGGTTTTAGTGGGTATTGAGCCGGTGAGGAAGCGTCCGCGTGGACGCTTGCGATGAACCGGCCCGAGTCCCACACTGGTTTGGAAACCGTGCGTAAATGCATTTCCTCGGGGTGGTTCTTAGTGGGTGCGATTCCCCTCTTCATAGCGTTCAAACGGGCTGATTTGGTCGGCTGCGAATGATTCCTGCTCCACCAAAAAAAAAAAAAAAAAAAACTTTAACAGAAGCCGATCAGATTACCCGGCCTTCACCTGTACTTACCAATGAATCGGAATGATTAGTGTATATTACCACCTTTGTATTTTTGCGCTTGGAGCCTGTATTGAATCGTCACAATAACATCGTCATCACAGATAAAGTTGAGCATCTTGTCCAAACTTAACGAGGATGTAGGTACAGTCGCGGAATACTTAAGCGATGGTTGGTACTAGAAAATACCCATTATTATGCATGAAGACAGTCCACCTTCACCATTTTGACAATCTCCCAAACAACGCATGGTCGCTCCAGATGTACTGCCCATGGACATCGATCAACGTATCAAAGGAATTGTCGAATATGGTTTCAAGCTCACAAGTGTTGAACTCGCTCAGATCCCTATACGCCGCGCTGACAAGGTTCTCATGTTGCATTTCACCCACAGAACAGAGGGAAAACGTGATACCATATTAAAGGAAGTGTGACTTGGACCACAGGATTGGCGAAACAACGACATGATGTGTATGATAAAACGAAAGAGGGGAGACTCGGTCCGAATCACAAATTGTGAGAAACCCTGCTCCAGCTCGAGGAAATCTGTGAACGTCCGCCGGAAAAGCGACTTGACTCTCCATTTTCATCAAAGCAAAATCCAAGGGAAACTTGAATCTAAATACATAAATGCCCACCTTTCTGACTAGGTTCCGGCGCATGGTAAAACACCTCTGGCGATGGGTCATGTCCACGCGAGCCCCGGAGAACCAGGGCCCAACTCCTCCGTAGAAGTTCGAGATGCCGCTGACAATAGACGCTAAATCGCGGGAAAAGTTATCAGGGAGAGGTTTGTCTTCAATCAACGAACTCTCTGCTGTCTCGTAAAGCTCAAGTTGACACTCTTCTGCAATTCTAGAGGCATAATTTCACAAGAATGACAGATCATGATCTTCCTATAACTGCGAAGGATCAGATAGTCCCGGCACATCTACGGGAGGTGGCCGACACGCAGGGCGGGTATAGAGATACCATCTTGCTCCTCTGAGCCTGGTATATTGGCGAGGAACGTCTGGCTGGTTTTGATTATCAGTTTCCAACGCATCGTCCGTATCTGGAACAACTTCCTGGCCGTCAAGAATTCGAAGATCTTGGTCCTCGTCTAGTCCAGACTGAAGAAGTTAGTAGTAGCGTACATCCTCCGTCAAAGGTTCGACGAGCTGGGGAAAAAACGGGTCCTCACGCACGGTGGCTGAGGACAGTCCCGCCGTTTCGTTGGGATACGGGCATAGATATCGTAGCGGGTAGGATGGCTCCGACATTCTAGGAGTTCTCTTGACCTGAGATGGGCCATTTCCGGTGAGATGGGAATACACATGGCTGGCCATGCATAGGCTTCCAACGACAAGACATCATGACGTCTTGCTGCATGGAATTTGTTAAACTCGCCAACCCGGAACTCAACCTGAATAGCACCTTGTCAGTAAGCGAGACTGGAAGTAGAATCATAACGCACCACCACGCAACATCCTACATACATTTCATCTTTCAACCCCTTCCCGTTTTCGCAGTCATATAAAGTCGTCACTCACATCGCAGTCCAATTCGAATGCTGCGACGACATCGATTAAAAAAGCAAAATAACAGCCGTCAGGTGGGGCGGCTCGAAGCTGCAAATTAGCAGTTTTTACAACCTTGACGCAGAGTAGTAATGGTAATGAGGAAACGACCGGAAGTGGCGACGAAATCAAACATTTTCGTATCCTGAGTAGCAACGGAAAGAGAAGCAGCCGTGAGAAAAAAATGATCGTGATCGATTTGATCCGCTATTTTTGAACTTGTACTGTGACCGATACGCCCCGTTGACACTTATCCTCTGCTTGTAACCGTGGCAAGGGACTGAGACGTGGTAAGCCAGCGGTATACCGTCTTTCATCCTTCGCCTGCGATCTTCTGACCTCTGGTATGATCATGGGAAAGAGAACACAGAGGGATCCGAGTCTGACGAGTTTTTTTTAGATTGGACAGCCTATTGGATGTTTAACATGCGAACGGTCGAAGGTAGGTTTAATGTATGCAAATTGATCATAACTTAACTACAACATAGATTGCAGATCCAGGCACACGCCGTGTCGCAGGTGAGGTCAGGAGGATACTGTTGCTTGTCATCCTCGTCTCGAGGCACTTCTTCGATCCGTCCATCAATCAAGTTGGAGCTCGTACTAGTTAGGGATTTACCGAGACCACCTTCCATCCTTCGTCGAGACTCGATTCTCTGAAACTCTTATACCGAAATTCTGTTAACTCGTGTTCTACCGGTGCCTATTTATCAAGTATTTTTCTCTTTCCACGATGACTCTGCAATGTTTCCCTCCTATATTTTTGGTCTCGCTGGCTGTCTTTCTTTAATCCCATTCTCATGGGCCCATCTTCCTTTTTGTTCTCTCTCCTTTGGCGGATCCGATGTTTCTCAAGCTTTTTGTTGTGCCAGTCTGGCTTGTATCTCGACTAGATCTATGACCATTAACAGTAGAATGCCCTCCTCTTTGTTTAATGGCGTTGCGCAGTCTACACAGCGGCGTTTAGACAGATCTTGACTCATACCTTGCACGAATCACGGCGCCCTTCTATCCCTTCATGCTAGAACTGCTGGTGCCTTGATTGCGATCACAGCTTCTTTGAGGCCCACCATCAGGTGCGCTTTTGGATCATTAACTACGACGTTTCCTGCCAAGTCAGCCCTATCGTTGGTTTATTCATATTCGTACTTGTGTTCTCTTGACGTAGAATCAATAGACTTCAACTCGACGTCTTACGGCAAAGTTATAGTGCTTTGTGTCGAGAGGAGCGCGCGCCTTTTCGGATCCTTTAGCACGTGTCGCTGTCTTCTTGTACAGTTCCAGCGCACTCTCACCGCTATCTTGACCATGTAGCTTCTGTTTCTTCCTGTCTTCCGGCGTCCTATATGCAACCTGTTTAACCGTTTACATGTTAGTTTAGTATTCAAGGCATCACAATAACTATTAGTCGTCACTGGCCGCCTGTTTCTCTGAGGCGTCGGGAGCAGTTCTGATTGCTTAAATCATTCTCTTCTTGTGTATCGTAGTTTCTTTGCCACTCGTGTCCACAACCCTATAATCAACAGAAATATTACTTGATCTAACACAATATGTAATATTTATAGCAAAGACCGCTTCACTTGCACCGAGGGAGGATAAATTATGTGCTTCTTTCACGGGAGGTTGTAAGGGTCTAGTATATAGCGCGTGCATCCGAACTGACTTCTAAGGTAGGTAAGAACCATGGCCACTAATTCACTGCGTGCTGGGCTGTTGAGATAGACTTGGCCAATACATATATGGACTTGAAGACATTGATTGACATAACAGCACGGAGGCACTTCTGAATGGCGATGCTTAATCCTGTCGGCCTGTGTATTACTACACTCTGCCGAATATGTCCAACTCAACTTCTTCCGGCATCTGTATTCGGCAGCTAGCATATCTATTGGTATCAAGTTACGTTGTTGACATGGAGGTGAACATGAGCAGGGTGCATGTTTGTTGTCGAAAACACAGTAGATACCTAATACCTAATTTAAGCTGTGAACTCATGATGCAAGTTACACGGTTTACTAACCACCCAGGCATTTAAGGCATGCTCAACCATCAAATCATCACTCCCACCAGCCTGAGCTTCTTACGAGAAACTAAGATCTGCAGTAGGTTAAGACGGTTGCAAGTGCTTGTTCACGAATGGTTGATCTTTGTGAACAACTACATTGGTTGTAAAATTCATGGGATAGTTCTTCGGCATGAAGAACCAGAACCACCAACTCTTATCTCTTACCGCATGCACACAAATAAAAGCAATGATCGAAATATAAGATTTTATTAACCCGAGTCGGCACTGATATGTTGTCGATGCCGATGGTCAACTTGGCAACCAGTGCGTCACGATCATTGTCGACCTTGATCGAGCCCGTATTTGGCCTTTATAGTATACTAGTATGGAAGGTTTACACGACAGCTACTATTTTTCGAGGACAATGTTCATTCTGCATAGTTAAGGTGAGTAGCCAAGATCCACCAAAAAAGTTGACTAGACTTCTCAAGCCTTGCCCTCACCAGAGACATCGGAAATCAAACAAAAATTCTTTTCGCATCTTTATAGAAGGTGCCAAAAAGGTGGGAGAAAATCAAAGCGAACTTATTTTAGAAAAGAGTCATCTCGCACTTTCAAACGTCCCTTGAGCTTGAGGGGTGGTCTGAGCCACGTGACATCAATGATGATCCGGACACAGAGGACACGCCACTCATGGGAGATGCCAGTCTTCTTTCCGAGCTCTTCCGCGGTGTACTCGGTAATCTGGTCTCCTTGCTTGAGCGACAAGTTCCAATTTATGGTTCACTTTTCTCCATAAGCGGCTGGACCATTGGAGGGAATGAAAATTTAGTGGCTAAATCAGGAAGCTATGGGTGCCGGTTCCGTGCTCAATTTTAGTACAGGACATCTTGATACACAAGCTACACAAGCAAGCTTGAGGACAAGATAACCTGTTACGGTTTAGCAAACACCGCTCACCCCTCCTTTTACCTCCAATGATTGCCAGCCAGAAGTCTTATTGCAATATTCAAGGTGCTGTACCACGGTATGTGATAAGCCAAAAATTTCGACCCGTTCAGTGATTGACTTTTGGCGATGTTTCGTGACATTCAGTACTCTGCTTGATATCACCGGATCTTTCAAGGCATAGTATCCAATATATTCTACATCTCCGTATCACTAACACAGCAATAATATACCGTTTAATGTATGTTTTTTTTTTCAGATTGCATATAAATGCGCATATTACACCTGTTCCTACCTCACAGAACAAATGTCATCAGCATCTCCTATCTTCAGCCTGAGGGCGCAGTGCACTCATCGGGCTCAGGACAACCTGCTACCAGACTGTACTTGTACACAATTTTTTCCACTTCCATATGATCAGGTTGGATCTTGTGCATGAATCACTAGTTTTGTGTACTCATATCCTCTCCTATCAGATTCTCTGCGCCAAGTGTGGACATGGTATTCACTCACATGCAGACTATCTCTCGCGTTCTGTCCATCAATGTTCAGCGACTCAGTGTGCCGCATTTGTTCAAAGAGTGAGCCTCTCTTTACCTCAGGCAGTACCGCTAAATCATGCTATTCTAGACGGCGCTGACGCAGCAATGTACTTGTTCAATCGAAATTGATGGCCATACTTCTGTTTTAAATCCGTATCGTCTTACCACTCAACCCAGCAGCCTGGACGCTTTCATTGCCGCTAGCAATGAACGCCCTGACACTGTCCGTCAGCAATTTCAGTCTATGACATCCTCCTCTTCATACTACGGTGCTTCCCCGAGTCCATATCATTCAAGTCCCTCTCCATCCAAGTCGTATGGGCCCTTGGACTTTATTTCAGTTGGCAGTGCTCAGTTGAACAGCGCGTTCAACACCGTTTCTAATGCCCTCAGTGCTTATGATAGCATAGATCATATCCTAGCACTTGGACAACCCACTCAGGCTTCGAGTCATACCTCGTTCGATCCTGCACCCACCACACAACCACAGGCCAGAGGCCATGTGGGTGCTGTCCCACAAGCAGCGGCTTGGGAAAATGTCGACTTCGCTCAACACCAGGGGCGCGACTCTGCTGCTTCGCCGGACTCTACCCATTACCAGCGGCGTTCTCGGAATGACCGTTCTTTTATTCCCTATGTCCCTAAGGTATGATCCTGTAGCTCGGAAATCAATATGCAACATCTTTCTATGCTGTGTTATCACTGCCAGCGACAAGATCTGTAGCAGTAGTACACGGTCGCATATATTCGCTCCGTCGTCGTTATCATAGTAGATATTTAGCGATATGTAGTCGCAGCCTTAATTTCATGATCTACATTGGTGCACACTACCCACTGGTGCTTCCCCCCACAGCAGAACCAAATAAATATGGGTACTGGACTCCACAGCTGTTGAGCAGAAGTGTTCCAAAGGAGGACAAGGCGATCGATTTTCATAAGGACGCATCTGGTGGTAGGGTACTTTTTTCATTACTACACTGGATGCAAGGATGCATAATCTCCGAGACTCGACATGTCTGAACTGTTGCAGTGATGTGTCGCATACCGATATTCATTAACAATACTCGGACTGTAGAATGAGGAAACTCTGAACAAGACGTCGACCAGCTATATCGACAATGGTCCTTGACGCGGAAGCTTTACCTCCTACCACAACAGCCTTGGACTCACCGTGTGATACCTACAACATGGTGATGCAGCCGAGGCCCAGAGTCCGGACCAGAGTCAGAAGCATGCCAATCTATCAGTCTGGCGTTCGTGGCCCACATTGCCTGCAATTCGATGAGCTAGGAAAAAACCCACGCAATCTATAATCATCTTCGGGCTCCATGAGCGGTACATCAAAGAACCTTGGAGATGGCGCTTGCTTGTAAGATGCATCAGAGTCTTGATGGACCGCGGAGCGCTCTTGTTGCACGTAATATCCCGCGAGTCGGAAACCCGTTCCGGATGTTTGACATTGTATGAGAGTGTCCCAGACAATGCTGCAGTCCGGATGTCGTTCCGAGGATGGATAGTCGTTTACTGGGCCCAAGGTCGTACCATAGCTGTTACGACGGTCGAATGTGGTTATGGTGAAGAAGCTAGCCAGCCAATAACCAGCTTACAGCCGAGACAGCGCCAAAATATGACACGAACCTACCAGCCTGTATTACAGGCTCGGTCTCTATCCAGATCTCCCGTAGAATTCAGAAGAGAGAGATTACAGCATCTAAGGAACCAAGCAGATGACTCGGACAGAAGACTGAAGCAATACAGAGCGCCGTTACACAGCAAGAGAGTAAGGAACGAGTCTCTGGGTCAGAATCATTTTTCGTGACTAGTAAGGACTAGTAAGGCAGGGGGGTAGACTCGGACTGAAGCACAAAGGTAGCTCTCGAAGACTCGAACTGACAAAACGAACCACAACATTGTATTTACAAATCACCATATCACGTCGCGTGCCCCGGCAATCCCCGCTGGGACTGCTACTGCTACCAGTGCCGTGCCATTGCATGCCCGTTTTCATTACCCGCGTTATAGATGATCATTCGGCACTAAAACCTATGAGGATCTTTGAATTGAATTAAAAAAGTGTATCGGTCTACGATACATGTCTTGGCGATGCAGAAGATTTCCTCGCCTCTTGCTTGTTGCCGTCACCGATCCGCCGTCTTTAAGACGCAATAAATCTTTCCATTCTTAGAGGTAATGAATCGCATGCCTGTCAAGATTATCATCGCGTTATAAAATATCCTTGAAAGAAATTAAAATGTGCCGAATACTAGGCACATTCTTCCGCAAGGGAGAGCGACGACAGAATTAGCGATACACCGTGTATACAGCATGGTAGTCTCGAAAACGAAAGCAATAAAGTTTCATAACTTGATAAAACTTTCCTGCCATTTCACGAGCCCGACCAGCTTCGTGATCGCCCGTTTAAAGAGCGACCTCACTCTTCCTTTTCCTGCAAAGCAACAACCAAGGAAGACCCATCTCAATACACTAGACCCCTACCTTTCTGACTAGACACTGTTATTCGGGGCGCCTCCGAATCAGACAATGAGTCAGAGCCACATTGTTCGGTAGAAGCACCAGTTGAACCAAAGACGATATCAGCCTAGAATAGAATGTCGTCAGGAACAGGGCCCACCGTCAGTCACGGGCACTCCCTCCTTGGCTCTTGTAGGAGGAACGATTCGTATCGTGAACGCTGATACTCCCGCGCAATTCTAAAAGTAAACGACGGTCTATGAGGGACATTAGAGCAGGTAACAAAGGTAATCACATACCTCCAAAAGCGATCACAGTCTTCCCGCAGCTGTAACGGATTAAATATTTCTGGGACGTCTGACAGGACGTGGTCGACTCGGATATGAAGATCTAGGATAAATTTATTGTCGGGTTCAAGTTCTTCTAAATCAGGTATATCTGCTAGGAAGGTTTTATGTGTTATAGTGTTAGTCTCCAACGAGTCGTCGTTGTCGCCTATCTCTGAACTTCTTTGCTCACCGTCAATAATTCAAAACGCTGTACCGTCGTCTAACCCAGTTTGGAGGAGTTTGCAATAATATTCCTCGACGTCTTGACGGTGAGCAAAGGACTCGGCGTCCATGAGGAGTTTTCCTATGAAGCGGGTGAATGCCGTAGTTCAGGTATGTCAGAATAATCGCACAATCTCTTCGGTGTGCGAGCGTGGATGTTGTAGCAGGTGGGATGGGAACAACAACTCCATGGTAGGGCTCTGAGAGCTTTAGAGACGTCCTTGACCGGGAATGAATGATCTCTAAGCATAGAACACTTCCGTGAACAAGTTTAGGGTGAATAAAAGATCGAATACCTCTAGACCGTAACCGGTACATCCTGTTTTCCAGGCCAGGCAGTTTTCACAGCATAGCATTGTCATCCTCCCACCATAGTAATTCAACCCTACGGTTGCCGCTACACCGAATGGGAAGGAAAAATAGTAGCTCAAAGGCGGGACAAACTGCAATTTCTGATGGGCGGCCACGTTGGGGAATAGGGTTAGAGATGGGAAGACGAAGAGCAGTGACATATAAACCTGAGTATATTTGGGCGGTCTGGTGACGGCGGGGGGGGGGGGGGGGGGGGGGGGGGGGTGACAAGACTAACGAGAAACGTGATCCGCTTTCTAGACCACCGGCCCTTAATGCCTTGATGGAAACGTACTGCAACGACGGAGTGCATGTTTTCCAAGCCAAGACATTTCTCTACCTTCAAATACTAGTACCGCACTTTGAGCAAGGACAAACGGAAAAGTATCACAATGTGTCGAGAGCACGAGACAGAAAAAATTAACGATACAATCGTATACGTTACAAAAATCTTGGAAGGAAAGTGAGTTAGATTTCGCAGTCTATCCTGCGGGCCATCCACGTAAGCTTATAAGCTAAGCAAGCCTCGTGTTGGAAGATTGATTTGATGCTTCGTCTTTCTAGATTATAATGAACCAAAAGGCTCCACTTGATACGTGAATACGTACCTTTCTGGCTAGGGCATTCGAGCCGAGGGGCTTCCTCTATTTAGAGAAGGATAAGCCATGCCCAAGGATTTGGAGACGAGTAACTTCTGCAGAAGAATGGTCTGGCTCAGGTGTAGGGCCATACACGATTAGAATCCGGTCGAGAATAAGAATATCGTCCACAAGCGATGGTGCCTCTGGTGCCTAGAACTGACACGTATGGCAGAATCAGATATTCCTGGATGATTCTAAATTAGAAGAGGATTTTAGAACCGCAATTCGGAATAGATCAAGAAAGTCTACCCTTGAGAAACATCGTAATTAGCTTATGACTGAGAGGGATCAGATGTCTGTGGCGCTTTCGAGGGGACTAGATAGATGCGCAGAATCGGCACGAAGAAATTGTCTTCATAGAAAAATAATCGCCAATGACATCAAGTCAATACCATGATGTCATTGCGCTTCTTTCCTTCCTACCACCATGTCCAACATGTCTGTTAAACGCAAACGCTCGTCTCCGAAGTCTCAGAGGTCTCAGAGTCGTAAATCTCCATCGTCGAAACAGAATCCCCCAAAGGTCACCAAGAAAGATCAAGCTAAAGCCAAATCGGCCCAAAAGGCGCAGCGGAAGCAAGCATGGGATACCTGGCTTGCTCGCGAGGAGAACCAATGGTCGCCAGAGCAAGACCCTAATTATAAGCAGGAGGTCGGATGGCGGGTCATTCATTATACCGACGGTTCGTACCTCGATTCATGTAAATCTCCAATCTCATCGTCCATATAGCAAAACAATACTACCGATTCTCCGACAAAGAGATGGAGGCGCTGCCGTACACTACCTTTTAATCAGCACGATCCTAACCACCCGGGAAGATCATTCAATCGACTCGACTTGCACAGACTAGGTTATCGAAAAATGGCTGTACTCGGCGGTGTCCAAGGCGCACTCGAAGGTGCTTTTCAAGGCGAGGCTCTACAAGAGGGCAAGCGGTTATTTGATGAAAAGTTTGTATAATGGCGACCGTCTCAAGCTATGGACTGTGACGCGTCTTATGTCATAGATTGCAAGACCTTGCCAACAAGTACAAAAACAAGCACGGGGGTAAGCCAAGGCCAGAGCCAGAGACCTACACCATCATCGAGAAGAAGAATACAAAGGAGCATGATCGGCCGCCCGGCTCCTGGTATGCCTTTATTTTGTCGTAAGCATTTTTTCTAAACACCCAGTATACAGGTGGGAGCGCGTTTATGAGAACGGCAAGATGATAGGGTATTGGCTAGTCTTGCATTTTGATCCTGATGCTGATGATGAGGGTCCGGCTCCGCTCCATCCAAGTCGTGAAGAACGGTTTTGGCCTATTGAGAAGGGGTATCTCAAGTGGTAGACGTGTCAATGCATGTATAGTATCTTCCTTGGAATATGCCGCTTTTCTGTTTTCACAGAAAAAGATGTTAGATAATGCATTCACAGTCTAAACTTCCCAAGGGTTGGAGATACAGTAGTCGTTGATTGAGTTACCCATCAGCTTGACTGCAACCCGCCGGCAGCATGCCCAAGTTCATCTGCAATACGTTTTCCGGGCCTCATTCCTTTCCCTTGTAATAAAATGGAATGATGTCAGATATCATTGTAAACCAATGCTACCATTTAAACGATTTATAGGAAGGTCTGCCGTTTACTACCTAGTGTTGTCAAAGATAATTTTGGCATGTACTTGATCCAACTTCCTATACAATGCGATATGCATTCAGTCGATATAGTCCCAGGTAACATTCACTAGAGAAGGCAAAAGGATCAGACCAGGGCAACAAAGTGGACGACAAACAACGTACATCTGCCGACTTCCAATTCTCCCAAAGCTTGGAACGCAGCGACAGAGAGATACACATTGGCCGAATCACCAGTCTTTGCAGGCATCCGTGACCATAACCTCGACAGACGTCGAAGGATCGTCCGTCAGAGAAACAGTGACCTGCAAAGCATCATCAAATAACCTTCCACAGTCCCCGACAGTTGGCGTACATTTCTGAAGCAGTTTTCCCTGTTCTCCCAGTTCACGTAGTCTGTGCTCAAACCAATGACAAAGTCCGTATCATTGGCGTAGATGCCGCACGCAGTCATAGTACTGTTCTAGAGGAGAACACCATGAGAACGCACTCGAAAAAAACAGTCGATGCACCTACTTGGAACCCATAGTAGGCGATTCCAGTCTCAGAGCGTGCGTGCAAGACTGACGCAAAGACAGAGGAGGCAAGAGCAAGTATGGTGAGTTTAAGTTGCATGGTTAACGAAGGAGAGGACTCTCGATAGATCGTTGGCTCTTGCTCAAATGTACAGCAGGTTTATATACGGCCTCGCATACCTAAATTGGGTGCGAACGTTCGAAAGAACATAAGGCATAGACCTGTGTGCGGGTAGAGATGATTATGCTTCGAGATTTTCGACAAAACGGTGAAATGAATGAGTGTAAAAGCCGTGTCCCATGCGCCTACAAACGGTCAAATGGAGTCTCCTCCGACGTGACAACCAATGCATGTGCATGAAGCTGCCCTGAGTTGTACTTCGTTGGTCTTTTGGACGGCGGAATCCCCAAGCTCTTGCAAACCATCGGACTGGTATACAATGTGCCTGTTAACCAACTGTCCGCACCTCTCATATGGATCGGAGAACACCGAAATTAACGTCAAGGTATAGATCAATGCACTCGCAATTCAACCGGATTCGAGACTAGGTCATGCATACTCGGCGCGTGCGACACGGCCCTCAGGAAGTCACGCCAAGCAGTCCAAGGCAGCATGGGGCCGAAATCTCCCAGAGAAAATTGGCGTGCAAGAAAGCCCATAGCGCTCGAGTCCACTTGAACACGTAAGGCGGACAACGGTCTGTTACGAGTCACCTTATGCGCGGTGGACACCTCCACAAGGGCCAGGCATAGCAATGGTCGGATCGATGCTGGGTACTGAGAGCAAGTTTTCTGCAGTGGAAGGAGTCGTACGCGACCATGATGATGACTAAAATACCAAATAATAAGCTTTGATTTTCGAGTCGGTAAACTCGGTAAATTCCATGAGCTTCGGAATACATAGTGTTCTATAAAAGGCTACTCACTCGCTTTGTTAAACGACACTCCACCGGATAAAATCCTCAAAGTTCGAGTAGTATTTTCTTTCTTTCTTTCCCCGAGCTGTTACACGCAGTCACCGCCGATGCTATTTAGCCAAAGTTTCTAGTGTGCACTTCAAAAAGAAGACCGACTAACCACAATGTTGCGTCGGCATCTCGAAGATGAACGAATGTTCATGGCCATATTTCGTTAATTAAATGTTAGCAAAGGTCGGTTAGCCCCGCACCAGGCGCTCCGGCATAACGTCAAACGGAACTGAAGTCCCGAATCAAAAAGACACTCTAATGCCATCGTCATCCTGCTTCACTATTGTCAATGCTTAGTGAACGTCCTTCTGTGAGAGATCTGAACATACGGACGTATACTCTCTCACCGCTATCATTGAAAGCAGAAGTGCCAGATTAAATTTGAAACCCCTCGTGGCAGCTTCATTGCAGCATGTTTGGTCCCACCAAACATAGTGCTAGTGATCTTGGCACATTCGCATTTGTGGATGGCCATCCAGAATCAACTTGACGCGTCACTTAATTACTCGGATAGACATTCATTCGTTCAGAAAACATCTGATCTCGAAGGTCAGACAGAAACGGAGAAGAAAACGGAGTAAACCAATTTCCTCACCGTCGAGAGAGCTAGGCCTACAAGCAAGTGGTTCAGTCGGAGATACACAGACTAGAGGCGGTTTTTGTTACCGTTAGACCTGAATAAGGTGCAAAGCATGAACCGGAGTAAATCAGTTTCTCCACCGTCGGGCCAGCCAGACCCCGTAGATGCCTCAGTCGGAAATAGAAAGACTAAAGTTGCTTTCCTTACTATCAAACCACAAGTCACTCGGAATCTTGGCCAGAAGGACCAACCGTTGAGAAACATTCTGTACCATTCTAGACCTTGTAAATCAGCGCATGTTGCAATTTGGTAAAAAAGACACATGCTACTCTACCAAGCTGTACGACGGCGAAAGAGGCGAAGCAGATTGTATCGCCAAGTTTGTACAACTCGTCCTCGTTCTATGTTGTTGTTTGACGTTTCAAACCAAAACCTTGGAAAAATACCGCTTAACACCTCCGACACCTGTGACAATGGCACCAATGAAAGAGTCCGGACGAACAATCACAATCGCCGGAGAACCCTCCTCCACCATATAAGCCTTCCTGGCGTGTCCGTCATTATCAACTAGCACAGAAACACCTCCCAGCTGCATGTTCGAGTTGGTGATAACGAACGTCTGAACAACTGCAGAAGGTAGCGTCCTCAAACCCATCTCGATATCCGCACTCCACTTGGAGAAGATGAGCACAGTATGAACCGTCGACTTGAACAAATTGAACAAAGTTGTCCCTCCGAGCGGTGCGTCGGGTGCCCGATCTCCCGCACGCAGCGACCCTCGACCTTCATATCCAGAGTACGCATGCGCAAGGACGTCTTCAGCATCTTGTGGTTCCATGCCTCGCTCTTCCAGCACGATGCTGCTGTACCGGTAATTGATACCGTACATCTCCAGGGCAGTATTTCTCCACCGGAACCATCCTGACGCCTTCTCGTCCTCCTTTGTATCCTTGACCTGTTTTTCCTTCGCTACGGTATGTGTGTATAGCTGGGTAGTAGCGTGGAGCATTTGTGTGATGACAGGTAAGCGCTCCTCATTGTACGTCGAGAGGAGAGCAGGCGATGCGAGACCTTTGAGTACAAGAGATAATTTCCATGCGAGGTTGGACTGAATCATCATGTCAAGAGCGACGAACCGGCATTGTGGAAGGATGCTTACCGCATCCTGGACGCTGCAGTTCATACCTTGACCGCCAGTAGGCGAGTGGACGTGCGCCGAATCTTAAGGCTTTATTCAATACACGCTGGACATGTCGAAGAGCAAGCGAGCGCTTACCGCCCACAACAAAAGCGCGTCCTTCTTGAAATTTGTTGACCATACGCATGTTTGGCCTTCAAGTGCAATGGTTATTGATAATATAGGTATAGGACCTATTGAACATACCTGAAATGAGAGAGGCACGTAAACTCGCCAAACTCAAGATCATCGCGCCCGGTCTCGGCTTTGATGAACTCGATGGCCTTTACCGGATCAGCGTGATGAGTAGGGTCGAAGTTCTGGCCTGTAATTCCAATGCCAAACTTGTCGCCTGTCGGACCTAGGGGACGTGCCATGATACTATAGAAACAGTAAGAATGTGAACATAGATATATATACCTGGAAACGCACGTAAAATGGCCAGGTTTTCCCCAGATATGCCAAAACTGTGAGAAGGATAAGTATCATTCGAATGTCAAGCAAGCCGAAATGACTTACTTCGCTAGTCAATCCTTTAATTGTTACGTCTCCCCAGACCATGCCATCTGCATCGCGTGTTTCGCCTTGAAACGTTAGGCCTAGTAATTTCCTAGAATTGCCTGTACATAATCCAGTTAGAAACTGCTTCAGGATAGAGGATCGTAATACCTTTGGCACCATCTGATCCGATAAGATATTGCGCCACAACATCTTCCTTTTCTTCGGTGGCTACACCATTCCGAAAAACAACAAGTGTAGCTATAATGGCCTTTTCATCTTGTTCGATGGCCACAAGACCTTTGTTGAGCTCGACGGGAAACGCCACACTTGCTGAGATGGTCACGGAGAACGCCCTCCAGGAGGGACTGACTAAGACATGCGCCATTTGCCTGTAAAAGATTTAGAACGATACCAAAGTCGTCAAAATGGCTCACATAGGGTCGATCAGGCCATACGCCACTCTTCTCATACAAATCCCAAGTTTCGACAGGCACAGTACCACCAGGCAGTTTGTAAGCGCGCATAGTGGGGATTGGCGTAGCCAGCTTCTGGATATCGTCTATGATACCTAGGTGCTGGAATAGTTCAAAGGTCCGGGACTACAGAGATATCATCAACTACAGGAGGAAAACATCAAAAGAGCAGAGAGACGGACTTGTACCCCAAAACCCCGAGAACCGACATGAAAACTATCGGATTTGTCGACGATGCGAACTTGGATGCCACTTTGTGCCAAAGAAAGCGCTGAAACGAGCCCTGCTGGTCCGGCGCCGACCTATTGACTGAGTGAGAAAGCTAGCGTCAAACGAAATCGAGGAGACGTACAATTAGAACTGGAAGTGTCATACTGGGACTGTCCTGGTAAGTGGATGATAGAACTTCTTGGTCTAACCTGTGGAGAGGTAGAAGGAAGCGGCGTGTATCAAGTTTTGAGGAACATCATCGAGATGCCCGAGTCCTTGTGGGGTATTCTTCCCAGCGGTGTTCCCAGAGTCACATCAGAAAGATATTGGTAAGAGAGAGCGCATCACGCCCTCCCTTAACTGTGTGCTAACCATCATATATTCGATACACGGCGCTTACACTCGGTTAGAAGTTCGCGAGATAACGATTCGTGGACGAAAATGTACCGGGAAAAAACTAATTCCATCAGATACACATCAGAAGAAGACTGGTCAACTTCTATAAAGGACCACAAAGGACGAAGGATTATCCTGAATTGAAACGGCGCGGCTGACTGTCCTATAATCTGCGCTAGCACCGCAGGCCTGGACACCAGCGACATCGCCTACAAAGTTAACCTAGAAGAACGTCGGACGGCTCCTGGGATGTCCATGAGTACTTTAGCTGATACACTATATGAAAACCTTGCTCAGTATTATGAACATATCAAGGATTTTGCAAGGATTGGCACGATCGAATACGTACTATTCATCCTTCTTTCGCCGTGCTGCACCCAGTCTTCGTGATTACATCGAAGCATTATTTCTCGACATCGACCGACAATTTTGCTATTGTGCCATAAATTAACCAAGGCCAAGTGCCGTCACCGTGTTGGAAGGGAAAAGGTTGGTTGTGATTACATGAGCAACCCGAGTTCGGAAAATGATGTATCTGGGATGGACCCGAAGAATAACTTCCAAGTTCTGAGAATCAAAAATGATTGTCATGCATTACTTCAGTCTACCTACACGCCTTTCACAGATTGTACAAAATGGTACAATAATTAAAATACTTAACTGGTAATAATAATAATAGTCCAGGAGCTTGGAAAGAAATCTACGTGTATCTAGAAAGAATCAAACCTTCGCTGTGCATCCAATATGGTTGCGGAGCAAGGTTAATTTGGCTTCACGGGTGGTATTCCGTCTGTATGGCAATTGATAGCAGTCCAGATAGCCATTTAACTGGGCGGGGGTAAGATCTCCTAAATCTTGGGCTGTACGCAGTGGCGGCAACGGATGCTATATTTTCAAAGTAGATGAGCTTGGATGAGCAAGAAGATACAAAATCATGACAAACATTATCTCGCCCAGCAGGGTCTATGCCATCTACAGTGGGTACCACTATGAATGGGACTCGGCGTCCGCTCGAAGAGGACAGGTTATAGGTCTGCATGAAAGCTGGAGAAGTCAACTAACAGAGAATTTGAGACCAACTTTGGCAGCCAAGATTTCCATCCTGACAAGACGCCCCTCAACTCCATCAAGACGCTCCTCAACTCCGGTGAAACGCTCATTCAACCTCTCTTCCAACGCTTGGGCCCACACGGGCATAATGTCATCCTGACCTACTGGATGCCTCAGAATGCCACACATGTTAAAACTTGACGGAAAGCGCACCGGGACCATACGCGTTGAGGACGGAATGTCTGTACGCCGTTACTTTGGCGATATCTTCCTCAGTCGCCCTATTCACATCTCCGCGCTCTAAACAGATAGTAAACGTCAAATACAAGTGAAATGAATTTGGGTAGCCTCACCTGCAGAATGTTTTACATCCTCAAGGAAGGCGTTTGCGTCGGCGATGTCTTGTAAGGAAGGGGGATCCTCAGGCGTGGCAGGTCGGGTAACATCTCGTGCACGGCCCCGAGGGAAATTAGGAACAACAATACGATTCATGAAGGCTTGATTGAGGATGGACGGGGTTCAGAACGTTCAACGTTGTCAACTTCCAGGCTTGTATTTGCGACACTTATTGTTTGGTTGTATTGTGACATTGACATGGACCACTATTCACGCGACGCGTTCGGACGCGTCCCTCATTATCCTCGTTCCTTGCAACAAGATCAGCCGCTCCCACCACGGCAAAAGTTGAAGCAAACTCTAATGTCCTGTCTCAGTATATATATATATATGCTTTGGACAGGTTGTACAAAATAGAAGACGACCCGATTCCACAGTTGTGACTCGTACAACACTTCCTTCTGACGGGCATACCGAACTGACAGTTCCAAACGAAAGTAGAGAAACAACCGCCATGTAAATTAAACGCGCGCGTCTGGATCTGGAGCCTGAATACACAATCACAATCGACTTCGAATTTCTTTTTTCGCGAGCTCGCGAAGTTCCCGTCGAAGTATTTTGCCTGCAGGGCTAATGGAGAAACTTGAAGTCAACAATGAAGGCGACAGTATCATGATATCGACAAACCTTTTTGGAATGACGTCTATAACCACAACACCTAAAACAAATGCTTTCAGTGCGCTCGCTCGCAATGTGCCTTTTGGACTAACTAACCTCCACGTAAGTGCTTGTGGTGCGCCACCTTTGTTGCCATCCATTTCGCTACTTCCGATTCAAATGATACTTTTTGTCCGTTAGTTTTTGTTCTATCCGGGTTTGCAGGTACGACGTAAGCTCTGGATTTGAAAAATACGGATCAGCAACATAAAAATGACACGTGCGGCAATATACCTTGGTAGCTCCGTAGCTTGCGATGTATCGTACACTCCTATCACAGCGGCATCGGCGATATCAGGGTGGCCCAATAGCACACTTTCAAGCTCGGCCGGAGGCACTGGAGAAACTGGTGATTAATTGAAGCCTAAAATATCATGATACCAGCTCGCCTTGATAACCCTTGAATAAAGTTTCAGTATAGGCTAACTTTACGATGAAATGAATCGTGAAGCACCTTGTACTTGATGAGCTCTTTCACTCGATCGACGATATAATAATATCCTTCTGAATCCCGAATCGCTACGTCTCCGGTCTTGTACCATCCGTCCTCGGTCATTGAGTCTCGAGTTGCATCAGGATTGTTCAAGTACCCCTACAACAATATCAAGGAAGGGCACCAGATAGCAAGATAATAATCACCTTCATAACCATTGGTCCTCTGATCCAAAGTTCCCCGGGCTGACCCTCCTCTGCATCGACATCCCCGGCAACTAAACGGGCCTCTAGGTTTGAGTAGAGCTTCCCAATACTGCCGCATTTCCTTTCCGCATCTTCCGGGGAAAGAAAGTGTGCCGATGGTAATTCCGTCATTCCATATCCTAAGGGTATGTGGTTGTTAGAGCTTTTATCAGTACGAAACACCCCAACCTTGCACAACTGCGCAGCTTGCTCTCATCGAACGTAGCCGTTGCGTAACCTATCGAGATAGTAACTGATGAGCAAGGAAGCCCGGACTATACTCTTTCAATCTGACCTGCTTTGACAGCTCAATTCCCAAAGGGGCCGCCCCGCAGACTAACATTTTTAACGTTGAGAGGTCGAATTGTTCCACAACTGGATACGAATTTCTTTCAGAGGTCATGTGACAACTTCAATTTAACGCACCTGGGTGTCGGGAGAGGAACACTAATATGGGAGGTACAACTGTTACTGTTGTCACCTTGTATTTCTGAATATCGGAACAGAAAACGATGGGATCGAAGCGTTTTTGTATCACAACGGTCAACCCCAGTTTTTGGCTCAGGAGTACCAGCGATGTCGCACCTTCCAGAAAATCAAGAAACGAGGGAAGAGAAGACAGGGAAGCGGAATTACCGTATATATGATACATAGGGAGGAATCCTAGTATCACTGTCCCTACATCCTTGGGGTAGTTTGCTTCCCCGATATCTAACACCGCGATAATATTCCTGTGCGTTGTCTAATCTTGAAATAAGATCTCCTTGAAGATTAGTGAGACATGATTGCTTGCCTCGACACCCTATAAAAAATCTATCAGCAAGAAAGATCACCTTCAAACAAAAGTACAACCTTTGGCTTTCCTGTAGTACCCTGGATATTGTAAGTACGGGCTATAACGCTGAGGAAACGCTGCTCACGGAGCTATAGCACAGAAGCGCCGTCTCCTCCGCAAGTGGCCCATCAAAGCTCTCTTCCTTTTCCAAAGCGCCAAGACCAAGAAGTTCCTCCCATCGCGGCAGCTCGGATGCTTCGGAGTTGATTGTGGCGTCAGGTCCACCGGCCCAGCGCAAACTTTTACCAAGCATGATGACTCTCTTAACGCTCTCCTCCTCCGGCACGCCAAGCTCGTTCAGCATGGCCTTGGTCGTCGCCAATTCTTCCTCTGTGGTGAAGATCAGATGTGCATCACTGTCAGTGTATTGAAGAACCAGTTCATGGGGAGTGTAAGTCGGGTTCGCGAGTGTGCAACGTAGCCCCGCAGCCAAAGCTGCAACACGTTGTCAGTGATTCTACGTTCTATGAACGGGTAAAACATAAGAACACACCTCCAAGAATAATGATAGGATAAGCAAGACAGTTTGGCGAAAATACCAAGATGGTGTCCCCCCTCTTCGCACCGTAGCTCTTCAATCCTTGTCCGAAAGATAGACTCAGTGACCTGACTTGTCCTCGAGACAACGTTGTCCCGGATTCTGCATCGATGTAGGCTGGTAGGCTGGCATCGTACCCTCCGACGAGATTCCCATCTTTGCTCAAAAGATGTGTGAAAGCGGAGCGATTGGCGATGGGTACGAAAGGACCTGGGCTTGGGTATATCCTCATGTTAAGCAGCACTTTGTGGAAAAATAGGAAATTCTTGGCTTGACGTTATATTTAAGGGCGTGCGCATAGGTCGGCTTCAATTATCGACCGATTATTGATCTTCCCGGTCGAAGTTAATTGCACGCAGCCTGACGCGAGTAATGGAACGTATATCCGAGCGCGATCTATAGCCTAATCCCTGTAATCGTCAAAACATTCATCGTCTGCTTGACGATTCAACTCACTAAAGTAAAGAAATGCTTCGCTGGGTTGGGCTCTGTCAACGTCACAGCGTGCAGATGGCAGGACTGACATCCTGTACAACGGCCGAAGGCTCAGATTAATGTTTGCCCAGGGTCATGCGAACAAGGCACATTGTAAGGCGGAGGAACTCGGGAGATCCGATCCGATCACAACTGGATGTAGCATCGCCATAAAACTCTCACCACCTCTACCATGAATCTGATGATGCCAGGCAAGCTTTACCAACGTAATTTGCAATGCAATACTAACCACCGAGGTAACCTGAAAAAATATCGAAATCCTATTAAGGATAATGCACTATCATGCAATAAAGTAGTTACTTAGTCCAAGTAGTAATCGTCAGTGGATACTTGCTGAAGGGTCAAATCACCGTTCTGGGCGCTCTCAGTGAGATTAACAGAAAGTCCACGATAGGTCCTGAACTTGAATGCATCAGACGCAGGCTTGACCGTAAAAGGCGCCACGGAGGCTATGCCGATAGCGCTGGCCACACGCTGAAGAATCGAATTGTGATGAGATGGCCCTAGAAAAATAGAACGAAAAGGCTCACATCACTGAAATCCTGGTCAATGGCAGCGAATATGGAAACTGCGTTGCGTCAGTGGAGAAATTTCAGACGATTTAAGGTTACACCTACGTTGTCTGTTCGTAATCTCTATGTTCTTGATGTTCACCATGTGCGACGCGAGGTTCCCAACGATAGCTTCCTGTTCCGCGTCATTCCAAAGTTCCCACAGCGCTCGAGGCTGTTCCAGGTCCACTGACAGGAACAATCATCATCATCAATAAATAGGAAGCAATCATCACTATATATGAATTCAGACTTACGTTCAGTAAATTCGCTCAGATCTCTATACGCCGCGCCGACGAAATTCTCGTGGTTCACTCTGCGTTCCTCATCACACGCCTCACCACCTGCACAGCTCTCGCCATATATCCAACCAGGGTTCTCCTGATACTCCAGGGGCTCCGTACTACTCTGGTAGTTCGGACGACTACCTTGGGAAAAGAACGTTCCCCATCCATCGCGCTGGAAGTTGGCTGCTTGGAAAAGAGGGCAGTTGACGGGAAGCTGGTTATAGTTGGGTCCGAGACGATAGCGTGCAGCGTCGGGGTAAGCGAAGAGACGTGCTTGGAGAACTGGATCTGCGGAGGGTTCGATGTAGGGCACCATGTTTGAAGGAGAGAAGGAAAGCTTGCAAGAGAATTAGTATCGGAATTCAGATGACTTAACGGAGAGACGTACTTGCTCAATCTCAGCAAAGTAGTTATCCGGGTTCTTGTTTAGGACGAGCCGACCGACTTCTTGGAGAGGGTATAGTTTCTGAGGCCAAACTTTGGTGAGGTCAAGGATGTTGTAGCGAAACTCTTCAGCCTGTTCGGGAGTCATAGTTTGCTGAAGTAGCGTGAATGAGTCTTGCATGAGTGCAGAGCAAAGCTCCTTACAATGTATACAGTCCATGTAGGGTAGTCACCCGCTTCAATAGCGTCAAAAAGCTTCTGAGTGCCATAATCTGGATTGCTGCTAGCAAGTGCATTTGCGTTCTCTCTGTCGAGCGTCTAAGCGGGAAGTACCAAAAAATCGTTAAACACCGTCCAAGCACAAGCAGAGGGCCAACTAACCTTAAAACCGGTATCTCTGAGCAGAGTGGTCTTGACGTAAACAAATGTTCCGTCCGACTTTGTCCACTTGTAAGTATGTCCAGAATATCCGTGCGTATCATGATAACCGTCCGGTGTTCCACGATCTGAAAATAAGCGCATGACCTGATGTACGGACTCCGGATTCAGAGACAGATAATCCTGATTATGTGCTTGAGCATCAGAATTATTGAAGTAATCTCGGACCTACCCAAAACATATCAGGATCTTTCAAATGCGTCTGAGGGTTCCTCTTCTGAGTATGGATGAAGTGTGGGAACTTGGCACCATCGCGGATGAAGAAGACGGGTGTATCGTTGAACACCCAGTCCCAGTTCCCATTGTCTGTTCTGATCTTCGTCGAGAAACCACGGGGATCGCGAGCAGTGTCTGCACTTCCAGATTCGCCGCCAACAGTGGAGAACCGCACAGTAACATTGGCTCTTGTTCCGGGCGAAGAAAGTAGCTTGTTCGAGGTGATTGCGCTCATGTCCTGAGTTACTTCGAAGTAGCCATGAGCACCGGCACCTTTAGCATGGACCTGGAATGGCGGTGAGTTCACCGCTCAACCGTCGAGGGAATACATACGACGCGTTCGGGAATACGTTCTCGATGAAAATGAGCGAGGAGGTCGACAGCGGCGAAGTCTAGATGACATTGAGCGAGAATGATTGGTCGAATATGGTGAAGACCCACCCTGCAATAAAAGACCGCCATTCGGTCCTGCGCGACTCCACGAGTAAGGCTGATTGATGGGGGCACCATTGGAAGCCGTGAAGGTCTGGGCGCTAGATAAGAGAGGGATAGATAAAAGAGTGAATAATGTTAAACTGAGCATTGCTAGCATTAGCGAGCAAACTCTATCGAAGAGGGGGGAAGGCTTTGGCCTTTTATACTCGGGAGACGATCTTGATCCCCGGGTATCACCTAAACGTTTTGTTTTTTGACACAGGCCCGACAGCCTGAACCGTGTTTAAAATTTGTGGTGTTGGATTCGCGTAAGATGCCTACCCAAGTCAGCACTGCCGGTCGCTGTTATGGAGGTGAAAATTCGGACGGTAGAAAGATTATTATCACTCGCCTGACTGAAGCTATGAATTGGCTAGGACATCTTCGCCTCGTCATTTTCTGGCACTGTAATGGAGAAGTGATGATAGGCTCCTTGAAATTGCCAAATTCTTCAGGTCCATAACTGTGAGCGCCATCGAGCTCTTGGCGGCGGATTTTGGACGAATGAGCATTTGCCGGGGTTTCAGTGTGCTGCCTGGAAGCGACCTTGAACCACGCGCTCTGCACCATTCTCGGATTGCTTATGGCCGTGCTAAATGATTAGAAACACTAAAGAATTGACCATCGCCTTCTTCATCCTCGTTTATCCTCCCTTCCTACTGAGACCTTCGCCAGTTTTTATCTGCCGCTTCAATTGAATTTGGAAAAGGAACTTGTATGGGCGACTGCAGGAGCTAGCGCGAATTCTGACAGCTTTTGAGGCATATTTTGCGATAACGTTCGCCACCTTGAGTACCGATTGCCGTGACGAATGCTAGGAGCACCCGAAGAACTCGGGTGCTCGTTTACGTTAATTCAAAACCCGATCCGCGAGGAAAGTTCGACATTGAAGCTTGCTCCCTACAACTATTCACCCCAAAACAAGTAGGCGCACAAGCACCGCCACTCCGGAAGACCAAAGCTCGAGAGGGTAGACGGGCTATTGGTGTTTGAAAAACGATAAGCGAGATATACAGAGAAGTGAAACACTAGATACTTGCGCCACTGAAAAAAAAGCACGGTATTCCGAGTGCTGCTGTCCAAGACCATCTTTCCCAACCCTTCATCGACCTCGTGGACAATGGGTGTGCCGTACACGCAGCTGCCATGGCAGAGGCTCAGGTTTGCCTTGGGCTGAGAGCATACACACAAATTACGCATATAACCAATTTTCTCGTTCGAACAAGGTTGAATGTCAGCATCTGTATTGTCACTTTACCTACAAGTCCAGTACAATCATGGAACCAGTGCTTCGAACGATGCCTTCCACAGTTGGATAGCGTGCGCCTGGTATTTGATATGTCCCTGAGAGGACAAGTGGATCATTCATTCCTCACGTCCGCGCCTAATACACATGTCCACGCTCGGAGTAAAGCTGTCGGCTATCGAACGTTCCTGTGAGAAATTAAAACTCGACAGCGTATGTACTTACGTCTTTTAAAGATACTGCCTACAGAGCAGTGGTCCTCTCTTGAAAAGCACGCAACCAATAAATTCCAAGAGCGAGGGCTCCTCACGTCCAAGGACGCGAGAAAATCTCGTCGTTTTGGATGAGTACGGCGGAATACAATTCAATTTCAAATCCGGCAGGTATTTGCTCGCTAGTCGTTGGCGTATTGCGACTTTCAACTTCAGCGTTGGATTTAACGACGGCTGTGGACCGTACAAAGGTCACTGACCACAATCATTTGCCTGGTCTTGCCTTGAGAAATCCTTTCGGACTGCTTAGTAGTCATTCTTATTGCCGTCTGGTGGCGTAAATGAAGGACCTAACAGGATAATGGTCAAAATAAATAACTGGACCGTATCAAAGCGAAGAACCTGACCTACTAGCTGCCGCAGAGACTTTGGAAGGTGGTGATGGTGTTAAGGAAATCCCGTTCGGGCTTAGCCGAACTTGGGTTCACACGAAATTCATAGTGAAGTTACTGAAGTACAATTATGTAAGTGCTTCCTCATGACAGTGCTTGCATACCTAATACCAGGCTATCTCTTGAATCTTGATATATGTTAGCTGAAATTTTCAGTTTCTTCCTCTATAAAAGAGAGAAAAAAACATTTCGGTGAAGGACGTTAGCAGGACTCGAACCCGCAACTATAGCGCTACTTAGCCACTAATCCATTACGTCTTCGCCGCGCGAGGTACTTGAATACTGTCAAGACTTTAATAAAATGCGCCAGAAATAGAGAGAATAATACCTGCTCATGCCGCTGCTGGGCTCTTTGTTGTGTTTGGCAACATGTGTGGTTCTGACCAGCAGACAGGAGTTTGAGACGTCGACGCAAAAGATTAAAGTCCATGTCAACGGATTCAAAGACTGTATCGTATTCAAAAGGCTACCCACTGTCAATAGAAGTCCAATTCAATGGCAACCATCTTAATGGTGAGTACCACGCCGAAGATAAGCAACTTCGTCAAAGTTACCGTCACATACGTATCGACTATACCCGCCAACGAGACCAACAGACAGGTCAACTGAATGCTGACCCAAGCGCGACCATGCTCATCACAAAGTCCAACCGTCGGGTAATTTCTGCAGCCCTAACCTAAGGGAGGGCCCTCACCGCTAATATCGGGAGAAAGCATGTTCGATGAAATCAAGGAGGACATTGTTCTTGTCTCCGTTGCCACGGCTTTGCATTTCTCTCTTGCAACAAAGAGGCAAGAGTATACCGATATTCTCGTCGCTTCTGCGGTACCTCCACACTATACGGCGGTGGTGAGTCCTGGTATTAATCAAGATAGGAAGACGACACGCACAAAAGTTCTTCAGATGGAACAGGTATGGTCACGGTGGTCCCGGAAATAATCGCTCGTTGCACCCCCGGAGGGTCTTTAATGCCTTCCCATTTGACGAAATTCACTTCACAGCCAGTAAATGCAGCAAGCAAGTGACCTCCTTTCTCAAGACCAATGAGAGCATTCATCGCAGCATACACGTCCGTAAAGAAGACGATGAGTGACGCATAGGGCACTGGACTAGAAGATCATCAGTTTCTTTGCATGCGATATCAAATAATCAATGCGAACACTGAAGCGCGGTGGCGGACGGACATCACCTCGCCGAACTGCGACAAGAATGTTTGCACTAGAAGAGAGCTGGCGTCCTTGGCCTTTTTATTCCTCAGGCTTATCCACAACGCCCGTTTTGCCCCCAAATTTAGAGCAAGAGTCATCATGGGATGAAGGTTAGGCGTCTCAACCGCTATCGCAGTAAGTTTTTTCTCTTCTGCTATTGGCTGGAAATGTGACAAGAAGGTGTCGGCTTCATCCTTGTCAAAAAATTCGATGTCCTAGAGGATCCCTGAGAAAGAATCTTCGCACGAGGTGAAGGACACACCATCGTTTTTTTATTCGCGTCGTGGCGAAGACTGAGACCCCCGGAACGTTTCACGGCACGTAAAGTCGTCAAGACGTGATCCTCGACTTGATTTTTCTGAATTCCAGTTATATGTACAGTCCGGGGTGTCGTCCCTACAGGGTCAGGATCTCTGCGGAACATCACCTTTTGCTGTTGGAGAGCTTTGTACGCCTAAAGACAGATATAACAAATCATGGATATACAAATCGACAGAATTAATCACCTTGATGGCATCCGCAATATTCAAAAAATCCACGAGACCTCTGTTCTCCCTGACACCCGTGAAGCAGACGGCTCCGTACGGCGTAAAAAGATCTTGTAGCGCCTGAGAAGTCCATTCTCCCGGTATTGCGAGGCGTCTGGATGCGTGCCAAGCACCAATTCTCGCAATGATTCCTGCATCCACCACTGAACGAGATGGACCTACAAAGCTCATTTGCTCGTCCTTGTACCGTTGCGTCTGATGCCAGCGCCCTTTGCGTTCTTCAGCATCGACAGGGCGAAAAAAGCGTAGGTCCACAGAGTTTGGCGAAAAATCGATTCTTTCAATTCTATAAGCGCCTTGGTTGGAGAGGAATTCGGTGACATCGTAATTGTTGGGTAGTTGATCCACGCGGAGAACGCGTCTTCGTCTGCGTACGCTTCTACCTGTCTCAGGGCCAGATGCTCCGGCGACAAAATGTCGTCTTGCAGGTCGGGGACATGATGTGAAAAATGGTAGTACCGTCCTGGGAGAGAGAGACATCGTGAAGAATTGATTTGAGGGTTTTGCCATTTTGAGCACAAAATAATCGCATAAATAAATGGACTTAGTAACTAGCTTCCTCAAATCTTGAATACCAAGTACAATTGCGCGCGCCAAGGCTTTAAATAGCTGCAGTTGATTCATAACCGTAGATATATGGTTATTCGTACCCGTACCAATCCAGTACATAAACTCATCGTGACCTTACTCACCCGAATATTTAACGACCTTGTCTAAGCCAGCTTGTAGGGCGTTCGTTCGGTGGATTTCCTTATGGTGTCTATCCTTATGATATTAAATAAAAGGCGACGGAACCGCGACCAATGCAAATGACCATCATGTAGTCAGCTGCTAGTATGTCAAGTATACAATCCATATCGAATCATAAATATCTTCGTCTATAGTAGGTATCTGAAATCTTTGTTCTGGATATCTGTAAGGTCAAGGAAAGCCTTTGAGAGCGCACATATCAGCCAAGTCCCAAAGAAGAGATAAAGAGACGCCAATACCTTGTCAACTTTCCTCTCCTCCGTCGTTCCGTCCGCATTCACATGCGTCACATACACATCGTCGTAAGTATCGTCGTGCCGATTCATATCTCGTCGCTTATTCTCAGTGGCAAGCATAAACCGGAGAATGAGAAGAAGGATCCCAGACGCCAAGTTGCATGCCGCGAGCAAAGACCATGGAACATGATTCCTGAGGAAAGGTCATGTCCTAGCCGGGGAGCAATCAGAACTTCAAAATCGTACCTCGGCTGGTATTCCTTTTTCCATACGAAGGGGCCTGCAAAGTTACCCACACAGTATCCGATGAGGACCAGCGCATTAGTGGTTATCCCTGCGTCAGAACACCTCAATTGTACGATATACCTGGCAGGGGTGAAGGATCACTCACGTTTTGTATGTCCCGACGTTAGACCGCTTACCCATCCGAGGAAGATGGGAAATGGCGCAATGGCGAATACTAGGAGATATGGATGAATGAATCAGAACTAAAAGCAGATACTCACTTGAAACCCAATAGGAGAACAACAATCCAACCTTGTTGCTCGAAGGGAGTAGATTCACTAACAGTGCGCCCAAGATTGCGACTATATACATCAAAGCCCCAGCGTAGCCACGCCCGATGGGTTTAAGCGAAGCGAGGGTAATTCCCAGCCATATTGTCAAGACTGCGGATCGTGTTAGCTCCACAGTACGCATCTACGAAAGGTGCGTAGCCTACTTTCCACGACACCGTCTACACAGCCGATCAAAGTGGTCTGGATGTCACTAAAGCCAAACTGGTTGACGATAAGCTGCCGTTGGTTCGTAAGCTGCGCGTGGAACATGTGGATTAGTTCCTTCCAGCTTCGCGGCGTGTGATACATGACCCACCGAATTCACGATATTCCTGGGTCGGAGAAACAATAATAGATCAGCATCTCCCTAGATAGAAGAGTAGAAGATGCACGTACCCAATCGCAGCGAATAACACCATGATCCATATTTTCGGATCTTTAAACGTTTCAACAAATCTAAGTTCGCCAACTTGTGCATATGGAGCTATGATGATGGCAAAGAACAACGTACTGATCACGCTTCCATGTCTTATTTTCTACACCAGTCTGATTGACCTTGATCCTTTGTACGACTTTGACACGTTCATCCGGGGTAAGAAAACGTGCAGTAGTCGGAGAATCCGGGAAGAAGAGCCTGACGAAGAATTGAGCTGCGGTCCCGAGACCGTACCTAACAATGCCGCTCACCAGAAGATCACAGACGAGATAAGAGTGATCAGGCCGGTTATGAGCATTAACCTGCGATGATCGTTAGCGTGCCTAGCAATTAAGACCGGACGGCGTTTCCACTGACCATTGCCACGGCATGAAGCTACCCGTCTGAAGTATATGTGAGCGATCAAAAACGGGGGTGCATTAAATCCACAATACCGACCCTGGTGTGCAGAACGCCAAACGCTACGAAACCCAGGAAGATGATGGCGAAACCATTCATTAGGACTGAGTTTAGAAACGGAAATGAGAAGCCGTCGCTTGCTTGCAAAACCCGATCGATACTTACACCAATAACCGGTGCGTTTTGTCTGTTCTTCCCGCGTGTAGAACATGGAGGTCACCTAACCGACTCAATTTCGGTGCTTTTGGATTCGGAGAAGGAGGCTGCGACGTACGATCATGAACCCTGGAGTGATCGCGCCTTCACATACACCAAGGATGAACCGGACAGCAAATAGGCCACCGAACGACGAGCATGCAGTGTGGCAGATGAGAGCGATGGCCCAAATGAAGATGTTTATACTGTCGCGAATCAGAGAGCGCATGGGGGTCGGTCATAAGGTCTGCGTTACCTCATCCATCTTCCTACGGGAAATCGCTGAAGCGCAAGACTTTGGGGGTACTAGAGAGAAATGGGTGTCGGGGTCATGTAACTTCAAGGAAAGCAGGTCGTACTTCGAAGACAAGGTAGCTGAGATAAAATACAGAGCCCAGCCAGTTAAACTGCGTCTGGTTCAGGTTGGCACCCTTTCTGGAATATTTTGAGTCCTATTTCAGAGTGACGAGACTAGGTAACGTACAAAATGCCAAGAATGGAGGATTGTCCGAGCGTTGTCTTGTCCGCGAATGTCATCCTTGACAGGATTAGCCCCTTGCTACGAGTAGCACCAGTAGTAGAGACATACAGATACAGAACTGCGATGAACATCAGCTATTTGACGTTCAGAATGATGAAGCTAGTACTCACGACACATTAAAGGTAAAATATTCTTGTCAATCTTGCGCCTCAAATGAAGTCAATACGACAGAACATTTTCAATAACACAGCATACTTCAGCCTCGCAGCTTCCTTAGGATCCAAGCTGTCCGACTCCACGGCAAGCTTGGCGGCGACATCGGCCTCGGATTCGTTCACGGGTAGATGGGCGCGTTTTTCCCACTGCTCACTAGCAGTATCCATGTAGGGGATAATGGGGGGAAGGAAGAAGGGAGCGCGTGTGATGCGAGAACGAACATTTCTTTATAAATGGTTCCGTGAGGGAAGATAAAAAAAGAGGTGGTGACCCAAAAAGGGTTTGTAAATCATCTGCCACCCATGCTGATGAGCCCTGAATTCGGGTTCCCACATTACGCAATGTCGTCTTTTCGATTCCTAATGTCTGCCGATGAGAACGCGGAATACATAACAGTCCATATGGGGACCGTATCACGTTCTTGACTCCATGATTTGGAGGGGATGGAGGCTCACAGCTCCTCTTCCTAGAATATTGTATAGACGGAGGAAAACCGGAACAAGTTTGGGACGTTCTAGTGCCTTTTGTGCTGTTCAGGCGATCTTACTAGATTCTAAAGCCCTACTTGATGCAGGTCGCCAAGGATGTTTCCAATCGGGCACAACGCATGCTACTCTATGAATTCGAAGTTTCGCTGGCAATAATTTAATCTCAGAGGGTCATGTATACCGGAACAGTCCTATGGCTACAACTTTTCTCCGTGACTTGGGTCTATCCTCAAAATCGTAGTCTTCCACTCACCGCTAGTCTCGGGACGTGGTAGCCGACACCACTAGCCCGGTTGCTCCCATTTGGTACAGTTTGTGTACCGTGGACTACCATTACTCGGATTCTACGGATCTATGCTATCGTTAACGTCTCGCCCGGTGACTTCATCTTGGAATGAAGCATAGTCGTATCAAGGTTCATCTGAATGAAAGATCATTCTGTCGCCATGATTCCCTGGACGATGCAGGAGCTCGAGCTTGTCCAGACGCCATAAATCGCCTTCGAATGACGAAGATAGAGTGGTCCGCTGGACCTTTCCATGCCATTCTTTCATAAAACACGGCATGGTTGAATATCAATGACACAACGTCTGCCGTCACTAGCACCCACGAATAGTTAAAGATATGAGCATATTCTTGTCTCTGGCCCACTGATGTATCAAGAAGTTGGCGCTCGCGAACTTGTTGCAACTCGCTCCTAAGGCCGCCCGGGAATGCGAAACCTGTGCTTATCGCACCATCAAGCGCGTGTAAAATCTACTGGCAGTAAAATTGACATGTCAGCCGGACACCACCGAGCTAGTTTCATCTCCTGTAGCTGCAACACCCCGAAATCAAGCTTGTTGGCGGAGGTCAAATGCACTGTTCCCAATGCTAATTGAAAACGTTTCCATCAGGGCTATCCGTTCAATGTCATCCTCTGCATCACGCGCTGTCAGGGACAAGGTATATTGCACGATGCGGAGGGCATGTGTCAGACACCAAGACGCCGCGTCGATACCCAGTAGACGTGAACAACCGGAAGTCAATCACGCTCAGGCTCAGCAGAAAAAAACTCCGATTAATGCTGACTACTTAGGGCGTCCGAGATCGGGGGATGCACCAATAATGTCAAAAGCTTGCAAAGCACTTCAGCGCCGTCAGGTTCGTATCCAATCAGCCGGTACCGCAGCGGCTGCGGTTGAACAGTTGTTGGGGCCAATCATCAAGTACAAACCATTTTGCTAAATGAAAACTGATTTTTCGAACCGCATTTGACGACAACGAGGCAACAAAACACAGCATACATACCATTCCTACATCACGGACCGGTGACTACCGGTGATCAGATGCTAGATGATGGGTAAAATTTCGGGTTAGGTTCAAAACGATGGTTCATCAGAAAATCAACCCGCTGCTGTCGTTCTCCCTTGAGCGACGTCTGGCACCTAGGCTAATAGTAATCGAGTTGGAGAATTGATAAGTGCCTTAACTTTTGTCATTCAATAACCATGTGGGGGAAACGATATCAATTGGTAGTGCCTTAAGGTAAAAGCTACAAGGATCAACAAGTCGAATAATTACCAGCTACTGATCCTGCCATTCGTACGAACCAACGATAGCAGTCTTTCCCACGAGAGACCCTTGATTCGGCGCCAGAATGGTCATCTTACGTTGAGGAATGTCCAGCTTTGTTCTAGCAGAAGATCAGCGAAAAGCCGCTCGGGCATGTCGAAAGCGAAACGCACATCACCAGAAATCCCACCACTGTAAGGTCGAGAATCTCTTCGTCGTATCGCTCGTTCTCGTCTGGGTTGAAGGGGGATAGAAGAGCGACTACGGCGTTCAGGAGACCAGAACCCGCCTGGCTGGGGTTGACGAGTACGGGCTGGGTTTCTGAGACCACGCGTTTGGCGCCTACGGGGAGAGCGTCCGAGGGGGCCATAGTTGCTGTGAATACAAAAGATCAGGAATGTGTAACCTGGGATGAAAAGGACGAGACAAAAACCTGCACCGATCCGGTATATGGTGAGATCATCAAAACTAATGACAGAAGACGACGGAGACAGTATTATGTCTGTGAAAGTGTCCGCGTTGACCGAGGATGCTGGAATTCCTGCGGGAGGCTGTATGACTTGGCCGTACATGTATGTGTGCATCTGATAGTTGTGTACCCGTTCCCGATATCCATGATCGAGTTCGACGACCTGGGAATTGTGAGTGAAGAGAAGAACGTGAAAATAGATCGTTCGTACGCCGCCGGACTTTGGTATCTTCACCACAGTAAGCCGAGACCCGTAGGTGCGTTGCATTTCAACGTTCAGTTTCTCGTGCCCCACGACGAGAATGACGTTGACTGTTCTGTGTATTAGACATGTCCAAGTAGACAAGAATATCCCTCACTTCGGAAAGATTCTACGCAAGCTTTTATTAGTCTTTGTCGATGCTCAGCAGATGATGCGGGGCCTGAGCCCAAGGACGAAGGGGTATCAACAATGATGCCTGCGGCGCTTCCTAAAAAAAAAAGTTCACACAAATCAAACTATACACACGAGTCAACCAATATTTACCTCTGGGATCGTTGTCTTGCCGTTCCCGAACGTTCTCACCGAGGTTACGAATGAGTCTGTCCATCAAAAGAGTATTCTTCCTAGTTTCCTGATGCCCATACCAATACACAAGCGGCAGCAACGCATTTGAAGACAAAGACGTTGGCGCCGAAGTAGCAGCTGTACCGAGGATATTCGCGGGAGAAGAAGTTGGCAAGGGGCTGCTCACGGGAGCAACAGACAGAGCACCGGGCGCAGACCAGCCCCCTTCGCTCGGATCGAGGTTCACCAGAAGCGGGGTCCATCCTTGACCGGCACGAACCGCATAGTTGACCAGGATCTTGCACACACTCGTCTTGCCGGAGTTTTCGGGTCCCAGTATTAAGACACGCGGCGGTTCGGCATTGATATCCGGCTTTGAATCCGGGGGAGGTGATCCGTTGAGGGTCCCCAGCGCTCGTACCCGCATCTGTTCAAATGCGACATGAAGGTTTCCGTAGGCGTTCATTGGCGTTTCTTCAGATACATAATCCGTCGATGGATGGCCCGTGACGTGAAAATAGCAGTTAAGGACGGCATGTACCCTCTGTAAGAAAAAGAAAAAAGACTCATCTCGATGATACAGCCCTGCCAGGTGAATATCGCCCCTTTACATTCTGCACCAAAGACGTACGTCTGCCCCTCTACGAGCTCGAATCCGAATATTTCAGCGTGCCCACGCGACAGCTGGATGCCTTGTGCGGTCAGAGAAATGCGAGAAAAGCATTGGCGCGGACCTGCCTTGACTGCGAGGGAAGTACCGGGATCGAGTTCGAATCTGTACTCCGTCTCGGGCTCCAGTACCCATTCTTTGGTTTCAGGCGTGTCTTCGGGCATAATTGAAAACAGATCCCGTTCACAATGGCCGTAGAGAAACGCAGAATCAAATACACCGATTGATTTCTCAGAACTGGTAGAGAGCAAGTTGCGTCCACGAGAAATGACGTAATGTGTTCCAACACACCGTGGGAAATACAAGGGAAATACTAGTATTTTATTAACCGTGGTACAAATGAAGGTATCTAAAGTTTCGAAAGATCACGCCCCCAAACACCTCGAATGATCCAATCTATCATCAACAGTGCCCGTGTACGCACGGAAACTTGCTCGTTCCAATATATACTTCTCCACGCATACATTGCTGCCAGACCCCCCATGAACGAGTATTTGCCAAGGTCAAAGACGGCTGCGTTCCCAATATAAGCCAGGCTGCCCAAGTGCCTGTACCGGAAAGGTCCAGACAGCTTCTCTTCTGCCGCTCTGGCATCAAAGCCCTTTGTTTCAAGATCTTCTTGTTGGCGCGCGAGTTTGTGGAGCTTTTTGCCAATATATTTACCCTGCTGAGAAGCCACTTGGGCAGTCTAGAAATGAAATGAGGATGCCTTATTTTGGAATATAGACAGCGAAAAGTACCGCAGGGAGAGAAGTGATCTTGTTTCCGATGTCTTCAAGTAATCGAACCACTTCGTTGAGTGAAAGACTCTCATCCGCGTCCGTGTCGTACATCTCGAACAGCTCCCTGACCTGCGAAACGATCAGCGCCACAGAACACACTAGCCGCCGTGCGTACACACCTTAGTAACGTGATCCTCAGCCATAGGAATGCGCTGCTTTATCCTTGACACTGGACATAAAATCGTTATAATCTATACGTAAAAACGATTTCGTCCGGCGTACCCATGATCTCCCACTCCTCAAAATCGATCTTCCCATTCTTGTCGCGATCTGCATCATCTACCAGCTCCATAAAGTGACTGATAATGGACGTCTCAATCTACAAGCAGGACGGTTGGCGACCTCAAAGAGTATGAGAGATCAAGGCCTACTGTCGCACAATCACCAACAGCATACACAGTTCCTAGAGGCGCGCCTTTCACCCTAAGATGTGCATCGACCTCGATGGCCTTTTTGTGCACTTGGTTGGGTAGCAGGTCCGTTACTCGCTTCGTGAACGGGTTCATCGCTATACCTGTCGACCAAAGTACGAAATTATGGGGGATGGCGTGCTCCTCCATTTCCCCGTTGGATCCCCGTTTGCTGTAGAGAACGTATTCAGGATTGACGGCACCGACCCTTCATACAGTATTTGAATACGAAGCATGACAATAACTTAGTTAGACTGACCGCGCATTAGTAATGAGGTCGACACCATCTCTAGCAAATTTGGCTTCTGCGTAGTTGGATATAGCTTCTGAATACTGGCATGCTTTCAATAGAAAGGGATGATGGTGTAAAGAAACCACAGACCGTGTTCAGAATATGTTCCCTAGATTGAATTACATGAATGGATACTTCCTCGCGGCAAATTTTTGGAAACTAAAGATAAGGTCAGGTATAGAAATCATGGAGGCAGTTGCTGCATCGTACGAATTTCATGATATCTTCCTGGCAAAAATCGTAGATTTCCTGTATACGATGAGTATTACCATTATAAGGTCAAGGAGAACACTCTTACCGCCGCAGTTTCTACCCCAGTAGGACCGCCTCCGCAAATGACAAAACTGAGTAAACGTTTACGCTCCTCTGGAGTTGTTGTTGGCAGACTCGCCGTTTCAAAGTTGTCTGGCAGAACATGAGTTCGAGGGTAGAAGAGCAGACGTGCAGTAGTATACCCATAACGCGTCGCCGAATGCTTTGTGCATCACCAATGGTTTTGAGCTGGAAACAATGCTCCAATCCGGGCACGCCATGTGAACTTGAGGTTGATCCAACGGCAATGATAAGCTTGTCGTAACTAGTCCGTCATGAGGTCAGCGAACAAAAATAAAGTGTCTCAACGCACGGAATATATATACGACACGGTTTTCCACTAGCACTCAAGGTCTCCACCTCCAGTAGCCGTTCAGACATACTCAGATCGACCGCCTTGCCTTGTACGAAATGACCTCGAAGACGAGCAATGATCTTGCGAATGGGCTCAACCAAAGACCGCACTTGAACAGTGCCCACGGCAGCAGCTACACGACACGTAAGAAGACACCCCTACAACATAACGCGCCCGATTCACGCACAAGGAAGGAGAGGCGTAAATGTCGTGAAGGTCTCCGACGAAACAACGGTTATATTATAGTCTCCAGGGTACAGTGTTTGCAAGACGCCCATTGCCTATATCGAATTCAGCACTATGGGCGCAAATGACGGTTATGCTGACTCACCCCCCATCCTCCGCCAACAATGACAAGCTTAGGCTTCTCAGCCAGCTTCCTGTGTTCCTCGTCATCCTCATCATCGACCTGTAGGCTCACAATAGGAAGGTTATTGGGTCCACCGCGTTCCGGGTACAAAGCGAGGGGTGAACGCGGCACTCGCTCTGCGTGTTTCTCGGTGTACGTGAACGCGTCGTGGACGAAGATGCCAGCACCAATTGTCACGAGACCAAAGACCGACGACAGAATGAAGTAGCTTGTGTATTTAGCGTACTTTAGCGCTCGATGTAAAGCCCGTGGACGTTCTGTTGAGGCTTCAGCCTGAGAAGATGCATTTCTGAGAACCCAGTGCGGTATTTTGGCTGTCTTTGGGACGTATAGGCTGTGCGACGTCGTACAGCAGCGCCGTGCCAGCATTCTAGGGGAAAATATAACTTGAGCAAAGAGCGAGAGGCGACGTGGTGGTGGTAAAGAATTGAGTTGGGCGACCCCGCAATCACGGTCTTGTTGATGTCATCGGCTAAATTTACCACATCTTGTACGGTCTGTTACGGCGAACCAAATAAGAACAAGTCCACTGACCTCCAATCCGTAACGGTTTTAAACTTCTTTCTTCAACCTATAATATCCTGGCAAGCTGGGTGTTCTGGAGGATAGAGGTCTCAGTCTTTGTACTATAAAGTTTGGCCTACGAGTCCAACGACCTAAGAGTCAGCCCTATACCCTCTTGCAAATGAGACGTCATGACCTTGTGGTTAGTCGCAGAGTGCGGGTTTGCGTTAGTCACTGATAAAATCCTTCTTTTTACCATCCATGATCTTCAAATGCAATACGAGGAAGACAGAATCAAGAATCAAGAAACAGGACGTTTCGATCTTAGCAAATAGAGCAAATACCACTAACACCAGTACACAGAGCAGCAGATGAAGATGCAGGCACGTTTTCATCCTACTGCTGGCATGGACTCATGAGGAATATGGACGCGAGATAACTCGCTGGATGAGATACTTACATACATAGAACAGAACAGAATAGTATACAGGACAATCCAACCATACTCCAGCGTGCTAGGGGGTAGGATATATGTACAATCGTACAAAACGGAACCAGAAAAAAATCAATATACTGAATAATGACACATACTATCAATAGTCTTCTTCTTTGCTTCTGAGAAACATATAAGACAAGCCTGGCTCTTTCCTCCCTAATGGAACCTCATTCTTCGGTTTTCCGTCTCCGAACGTATCTTTGGCTAGGATGAACGAACTGGACCTCTCTCTCTCTACCATCTACGGTACTGTGCATCCAATGTGATAACGCAGAAGCGCGAGTTTCACTTCCCGACTCAAAGCATGTCGCTTGGGCCTAATTCCATACTTATCGAGGTAGCGATTCAGCTGGATGGGTCGGAGGTTTCGTATATCTTGGGCTGTGTCCAGCCTTGGCAGAAGTCTCTATATTTCGGAACAAGATAAGCCTGGATGAGCGGGAGACAATGTGAAATTGCGACTTTCGTGAAGAGTAGGGTCTTCCCCCGTAGGAGTAGGTACCACTTCGTAGGGCGTCAAAACGCCATCGGCACAGGTGAGATTATGTGTCTGGACGAAAGCGCAGGAAGTCAATTGACAGAAAACAAAATATTAAGTGAGAGACTCTGGCGGTCATGATTTCGATCTTGATGAGACGTCGCTCAATCCTTTCCACGGACCTCTGCAACTCCAGGACCGATGCCATTAATGACTGTAATTCCTTGATCGATGTCCTCTGTGCCCTGGCTAGTCTCGTAGTTTGGACTCAATGAAGGTGGATCGTTCAATGAAAGTAGAGTCTGGAATTTAGCCGAGGGGGGGGGGGGGCATGAGCGCTACTTGAAATCTCTGATGGCCGGCGTACGGCGCACGAACCAATGACCTCGAATCTTCCCTTAATACTCTACGCGCCAAGATATTCTGCCACAAAGTTTCAGTTAGAATTGCTCAAAAATGAAGGTACGTCCTCGAAAATGACTCGGGCCACCAGAGGGATCGATAGACGGAAGTTCAAGGAATTAGTGTAGCACCTGGATCCGAAGGATCAGTATAATACTGAAGGTAGGACTGAGTGCTTTGAACCACGGAGATGAGAGAAAGAAGTTCCGAAGATCTGACTCCAACTCGAAGAAACCAATGGCGGGGGCATGCTGGTGGGGGTTCAAGTCCTGTTGGTGCCATCCGCCAAAACGTTCTTGTTCCCTCTTCGCCGTCTGTCTAACACGATCTGAAGAAAGTTCAAGAAAACAGGCCGCATCTCCTTCCCGGGTCGCTAAGAGTGTTTTTTATCTGTAGAATAGACTTACAGACGAACGAAGCTCCTAGTCATCGTATAAGCAGTGTATCTGGCGATAGGTATCCAAAGCGTCTCCAGAAGGCTTCACCGCAGGAGCATTGGAGCAGTGTACTCAACATCGTCTTCTTCAAGCACTGATAAATGTGAATCGATAGTAACCTGTCAGGTATGTTCTAGTATAGCCAAGGGATCACGAAGATACTTCTGCGAGCGACAGGTCAGTAAGGATGAATTCGAGCGCACTGCAACAAGCGACCTTAAGTGTTCTAATGCCTGCTTACTTTGCCGTGAGGACTATGTAGGACGTGTCACGATACGCAGCCATAGCATTTATCCTTGCAGAAGTCAGGCAATCAGAAAGTTGGATGGTGAACCAGGCGGCGGAAAAGGACTTGTCCGCGGCGGTGTTCCGTTCACTTCCGCAGTTCCGACTAAGAAATTTGACCAAATCACCCCAAGCAGTCAGGCATCCCAGTCAACCGTAAAGAAGAGGAAAATAAGTATTGTTTTGATTTGAATTCGCGCAGAGTCAAAAGTGTAAGATCCAAACATCATCATGCAAGTAAGTTGTTAGGTATAGCACCGTTGAGCTCTTTTATGGTCTGTGGTCCCATTTAGTGCGTTTAATTGCCCATCTCCTTAGCGAGTTGCTCAGCCTTAGCCTTAACGTCCTCAATCGTACCAGCCTGAGAAAAGAAGCGTCTCATGAGATGAGTACTATACCGGACATACAGCGGACATACCATGTAGAAGGCAGATTCGGGGAGCGAATCGTGTGCGCCAGAAAGGATCTCCTTGAACGACCGGACAGTGTCCTTCAATGACACAAGTTTTCCCTCATAACCAGTGAAGACCTGTGCGACCTGGAAAGGTTGCGACATGAAACGCTGGATCTTACGAGCACGCTCGACCTATACGAAATACATCACTCAGAAGGGAAATCAGTGCAGATAGAACCATGACGTACGGTAAGCTTGTCCTCTTCTGACAACTCGTCCATACCCAAAATAGCGATAATATCCTGGAGCGACTTGTAGTCCTGGAGAATCTTCTGAACGGCGGTGGCAACATCGTAGTGCTCTTGTCCGACCTGTTGATAAAGGTTTTAATAGTTGGCTTAAAATGAAAGGCAGAGTACACACAATACGAGGGTCCAACATACGGGACTTGGAGTCCAGAGGGTCGACGGCAGGGTAGATACCAAGTTCAGCAATACCACGAGACAACACAGTGGTAGCGTCCAAGTGAGCGAAAGTCGTGGCCGGGGCGGGATCAGTCAAATCATCAGCAGGGACGTAGACAGCCTGGACGGAAGTGATGGAACCCTTCTTGGTGGTGGTGATACGTTCTTGCCTGAAACATAAGCTGCGTCAACGGCGAAAAAAAAGAAACAGGAGGCGTAGGACGTACATGCCACCCATATCAGTAGAGAGGGTAGGTTGGTAACCGACGGCAGAGGGGATACGACCGAGTAGGGCAGACACTTCGGAACCGGCCTGGGTGAAACGGAAAATGTTGTCAATGAAGAGCAACACATCCTGACCCTCCTCATCACGGAAGTACTCGGCGATGGTCAGACCAGTCAAAGCGACACGGGCACGGGCACCAGGGGGCTCGTTCATTTGACCGAAGACAAGAGCGACCTTAGAGTCACCCTCGAGGTTGATGACACCAGTTTCAATCATTTCGTGGTAAAGATCGTTACCCTCACGAGTACGCTCTCCGACACCTAGAATAGTGAGCATAAGCAAGAACAGCGCTTGGCAAAAAATTCCGTAAACATACCGCAGAAGATAGAGAAACCACCATGAGCCTTGGCGACGTTGTTGATGAGCTCCTGAATCAACACAGTCTTACCGACACCAGCACCTCCGAACAAACCAATCTTTCCACCACGAGCGTAGGGAGCAAGGAGATCGACGACCTTAATACCGGTTTCGAGAACCTCAGCCGTAGTGGACTGCTCGACGAAAGCGGGAGGATCGGCGTGAATCGGAGAAAGCTTCACACCCTTGATGGGACCACGTTCGTCGATGGGCTCACCAATGACGTTCATGATACGACCGAGAGTAGCAGTGCCGACGGGGACAAGGATAGGTGCGCCGGTATCGACGACCTTTTGGCCCCGAACCAAACCCTCTGTACCGTCCATGGCAATGGTACGAACCGAGTTCTCACCCAAATGGGACGCAACCTCAAGCACAAGACGACCTCCATGGAAATCCACCACCTCCAGGGCGTTGAGAATGGGGGGAAGGTTTTCAGTCTCAAACTGAACGTCGACGACGGCACCAATGACGGTTTTCACCGAGCCGATGGCACCCTTTGCCTCAGTCGCATACAGACGAGCTAGTATGAGATATTGGTATGGAAAAAAAGGGAAAAAAAGAGAGAAATAAAGAACAGACCTTGAGTTGAAGGAGCAGCCCGCTGAGGACGAGATAGCGACGAGGGCTGCTGGCGAGAGGAGCAAGAGGCAGCAACCCTGGGAAGACGGGCAGCGGTGGAGAAGAACGCGTTGGTTTTGTTGGCAGAGGAGACAGCCCGCCTGGAGAGACGGGCGACGGCGCCGCGAGAGGTGAGCATGATGATGGTTGGGGTTGAGGACGAACGGGTTCCGACACCACGTAGAAATTTAACGTTCACACACTCCGGCTCCCTCCGCACCCCGATACATTATTTAATTATTTAATTAAATTCAATAACTAAGTATTCTCAGGAAAGTCGTCGTATACATCTTCTACATACGGTGAAGCGTTCTGACTCTCGTATATCAGTTCTGCATACGCTCGCATACACTTCTGGTCCCACACCTCCTCTACGAAGGATCTCCCGGTTTCAGCTGGCAACCATTTTCGACCCATCAGCTGAGTCGGCTTTCGAGTCTTCAATGCAGCGAAAAAGCTTCCTAATGTCGGTTTCGTAGTACCATCAACCATCGGAGCCACTTGAACAGCAGGTGAAGTAGCGCGGGTAACAAAGTAGTAGACCCCGTCTCTGCACTCGAATAGAAAATCGTCCCTGTGATTACCCTCTACGCAGTACATGAGTGGACGGTAGACGGAAAGTCCGTGGGTATAACGAATCATCAGGTCAAATCGTGATTTGCTGTATAGACCTGCAGAGTTGGGAAACAGGTGATGACGTAGTGGCCAGTCTGGCCAGTCTGAAGACCATCCTGGTGGCAGTCGTTCAGGCGGTAGTCGATAACAATTGTCGAAAGCCCTTTCTCGACCGGTGAGCCAGGGCGGCAGTTTCTGGTAAGATATGGGTAAGACGTGAAGACAAAGACGGCCAGTCCGACCTTTTGCTGTATACACTTGAGTATTGTCTCTTCCTGTAATGGTTACGTGAGAGATACCCTTGCGCACGAAGAACAGGCAGCTTACAACATTATACAATCTGTCCAGAGTCGCCATCGAGCGAATAGCTACCCGGTTTGTGCTTATTCTGGATATAGCTTCTTTGACCATTCTGGCTACTTCAACCCGCTTCGATGACGATGGGAACTTTTCATAAAGACGGCGGAAGAAAGTGTCTAAGGACTCGACATGCATCTGAAAGCTAGTTTGTTCGATGGACTCGGAATAAGCAATGGGAGCGAAGGCGCACCCTATTTATCCTCTCTTTATATCGTTTGCTGGCACTCCTTGATGAGCCGGAGCCGCATCGAGCAGGGCTAGCATGTATGCTTCTAACATATTCCACAGAAAGAGCTGGCCTCCATAGAGCCCAACTTTTGGATGTCCTGGTAGTTGCGCGGAGTGAAATGGAAGACGTAGTTATAGAAGATTTCAGCATCTAAGTATTGAAAGAGTAAGCTCGGGTTACTGAGGATAGATCATACTCACCAAATGCGCTGATTCGAGAAAGTGCTACAAAAACAAGTTACTGATAACTTTGAAATTTGCGGTTAACGGTCACGGGGTCGGGGCGGCTTAGCTAAGCGGACTCATGAGCGGCAGTCGGTTCCGACTTGACTTGCAACTACCAGCCCCGCTTGCTGAACCTTGACGATACAGATGGCACCTCCGACCACTCGACGACGACCGCCGGCGGGTCGTACAGTACAGCCCTCTCCTACGAAACGACGACGAACTGCAACCCCCGGACGTCAGGCGACGCCACATGATGCAGGCGATATCATTCCAGTGCAGAAGCCCAGAGAACGAGGAAAGCTGAAGCAGATACCCGAAATGCCGATAGATATTCTGTTTGAGGTGAGTACATACGCGACAACGTGCATGGCGCCCTGTGAACGTATTCAGGTATTCTCTCACCTCGATGCCCTCGACATCATGCGCCTGTCAAGAACTACGAAAGCGTTGAGGCGTCTTCTAATGCACCGGTCAGCAATATCGATCTGGAAGGCTGCCTTGTCTCGCGATACCCTGCCTCCCTTGCCGGTCGATCTTAATGAACCACAATACGTCAACTTGGCCTTTTCTGAACACTGTCATGTACATGCTTCCTTCTCTCATATCGTCCCTTGCGAACTTAGTCATGTCATAGAACTGCTTAGCCTCAGGAAAACATATCATTCTATGGACTTTCAGAACTAGGTTATGCCCAGTGCGTGATTTCGTTGGCATTGCTTTTCTCTTCTCTGACTAGTGCCAACACCAGAATTGTCTTACGAAAGAGCATGTCCTATATTTCGTTACATACACATCTGTCACTCATCTCCGTTTTAGTTTCGTATACTCTAATGTGCTAGGTCAATTTGGACCTTCCATTCCCTTACAGCACCTCCGGATAAGCCCAGACATTCTACGCAATGATCGGACGGGTCTGTTTTCTTTGCTTTTGTTCAACCTTGGCCTCTAATGCTCTGGCAGATTTTACTTACATATTAAATCGTGAGGAAGTCCGAGCTCTTGCAGGGGATCCTGAGTTGGCAGAGGCGCCACTCGGGTTCCTTGCACCCTTGGGGGCAGGTTTCGGACAAGTCCATGAGGTCGTGCAACAAAGAATTGATTCCAATGAACCGACACGTCAGGTAAGCACACTGTCTGAATCACTGTAGAAATTAGTATTTACGCAGTGAATAGTTTGCAGAACAGTGCAGAAAAGCTGAAGCACTGCGCGCGGAAAGGATAAGGTTAGCAGAAGAAGCAGCTCGTGCTGAACGAACGCAGAAGTAAGTCAGCACGTTTTCTGTGAGCAATTTATTGTTTATCTTTTCCTAGGATTTTTGAACGACTGTATGATCTTGGTTACAAGGATGAGGTAGCATATTTAGAGGACGACGGTAAAATACTCAGCAATCATACCCTCCTCAGGACACACAAGGAATTAACAGAACGCTGTACTTTCCAATATCCCTCGCCGACGACCCTTGTTCTGACAAAATCTATAGCATGGGGTGCGATGTTACCCACTCTTCTCAATCTACTAGAAGACGCTCGCGGGAAGGTACTCAAGAAGAAACGCAAAACTATATACAAAACCAGATTAAACATCGTCTCCAACCTCGTCAAAGCCCATGCTGCCGAAAACCCCGACAAGATAACACCAAGCGCCGCGGACATCTGTGTGATACCCAAGATTAAAGCCATCCTCGAGAACAACGACGTTGAAATCTACGAGAAGGAAGAAGACTTTTCCGACCTTAAAGCCGAGCTCCCGAAGATTTCTAGAGAATGGCGACGATCAAAAGGGATGTACTCGCTATCTCTTATGCCTGGGAACAAACACGACATCTCGCGACTCTCTCTTGCGACAACGTTCTTCAAATGTCATCAATGTACAGAACCGATATCGTATCCCCGGGTGCTTGCACATAAATGTATGACTGCTCTAAGGCACGGATATCGTAATCGGTCAGACGATTTGGTGCTACTGTGCAAGGGCCTACAAGCAGAACCGTGGAACTTTGATCGCAATGGCGTTGAGTGCTATGAACTTGCAGGCGGTTGCGCCGTCGACGTCGTTCGAGCCTCTGGACTGAGAGCTGAGAAAGCTACCGTGGAGGATATGGAACGCGCGGATGTATGGTTAGAATGTATGAATTGCCGTGCTCCGGAGAGAGGGAGTGTTGTCTTTCAGTGGCGTCAGGCGGTAAGTAGTTTTGATCAGGGCTCAAGTTCGAGGGTTCATCGATCATCATTTGGGTAGATCTTGCATGGACTTCAGCACGCTGAACGTGACACTGTGGCGGTCTGGCGCGCACTAGTGAATGACAGGGACATCTATGCGGCGAGGAACGAAGAGATTATCAAGACCAAGGCACATACTTATGGCTCTGATGATTATACCTGCCGTCGATGTGATGAAAAGGTGAACCGGTCTCGGATGAGAAGCCACTGCCAGGAGAGGTTCGTCTGATTCTTTTCATTTCTCGTCGTTTCAGACGCACTAACTTTGTTTGCGACAGGCACGGAATAACGAACCCGACCAAAGACGATTTCACGCTCGACGTGGATGCCTCTATGAGCCAACAACCGTTTCCCATCCTAATTCCGCTGGTGGGATCAGCAGAACCAGAGGTTATTGACCTTTTGGATCCTGATCCTATCGTCATTTCGGATTCGGAGGACGTCGAGCCAGAGTGTATCGAGATTATGGATGATGACGATGAACCGCAAGAAGCTGGTAAGAGCAGTGTGGGTACGGAGTTGTGCGATAAAGGTGAAGAACCGACATTGATCATAGATGACGGCTAAAGGAATAAAATTTCCTACACGATGGATGTTCTTACACTACTGTATTCTCCAAATACTGTTTTGCTTATCTTCTATGGTACGTAAACATATAATATATTGCGTTTCTTCAATTATCACAATGAGTGGTACAAAAGGGCTAGTTACAACAACAACAATCAGTCCTACATCCTTGACTATCCTTGACTATAGTACATCTCTTTACACCATTGGTTCCAATATGTAGGTAGCACTCTCGCGGTTGTCGAGTGGGGATTTAAGATTTGCTCCCTCAAAAAGATCACCTCCAACCTTTAAAAATGGCCTTCAAACATTGGCCTCTTCACTGCTCGACTTTTTGAGCCTCACCCAGCTTGCCGTCGGCCCTTCGCCGGAATTGCTCTCTACATCTGCCTCAGACCCGCTCTCGTTGCCGTCCTCAGCTTCGCTCTCGGGATGCGTCTCGGACTGCGGCTCGACGGCCTGTTCCACGGTAGGAGGAGGAGGACGGACAAATGGCTGAGTAGGGAGGAGTGCATTACGCACAGAAATGAGGATGTACGGGATGTTTAACAGAGTATCCAAGATCAGAGACGGAAGAACAGAAGCTAGTTTGTACGTGTGTGCTGCAAAGGCGTATTAAGTCATATAAATGGCAGAGAAAAGAGATGTACTCACCACCAGCCCCTACTGAAAACCGTTCCCCACGAAGCCAGTTCTTTACGACCCCAAAGCAGAGATTGAAGCCCAGAAAGGACCAACCGAATTGTCCATTGCTCACGACGCCGACGATATTATCCACAAAGACTTTAACATCCGTTGGTTTACGAGCTACGCCATACCGAGCGTCATTCTGGAAATACCCGGTAAATGTCTCCCACTTGGACTTGGGTGTGATCGATTGCTGGGCCATGGCAGCGAACCCTGGACCATAAGTGATCTTCTCAGAAACGCTCCAACTTTCCATAGCCTTGTATACATCCTCCGGCGGTAAGAAGTGCGTGGGCGGCCCGACATTGAACGATCCAACATCGGCAACGACGACGCTGATGTTCCTCATGGCCTCGGTCTTGCCGGTGAGTGCAGCTACCTGTATCTCGCGACGGAGAACTTCTACTGCGCGAAGGGTACCAGCGGCGCTCATACTCTGCAAGGACGAGAAGGGGAGCCCAACACGCGCGTCTGTGGCGGGAAGACAGACGATGATGGGTTTCTTGCCTTTGGAGGGGACGTTCCGGAGGAGGGGGAGTAAAGACTGGATGACCTGTAGTGGAGTAATCTGAGTAGCTGTGAGGTAAGCAAGGTAGTCTGATTGAAGGGAGATGTGCTCAAAGGGAGCGTGGTGGGCCGGGCCGGCTAGCGAGAGGAGCGAGACAACAGCGTGGACGTATGGATGCGAGGCCGGAGATGTGAAAGGATCTCCCGGTGAATTCAGTGGGAAACGTCGGGAGAGAGCCGAGGATAATGAGCGCAAGAATACCGGTATTGTGCCGGGCTGTATATCTTCAGTAGGGAGGTAATTGCAACTGAACAGGACGTACCTCAGTAGGATCCAGCACCAAGGCCCGAACAAATCCATGGCTCTGTCGTTCAAGTAGATCCACCGCCTCCGGGGTAGAGACGCTGGCAATGACGATGTATCCTTTCCGTTCGAGGTCGCTGATGAGCGACAGGCCCAACGGAGTGTCACCACCAAGAACCACTGTAAAATGTCAGTGCTACTCGTTAAGCACTAATCTATCTACTCACCGACGACTTGGCGCTTCTCAGTCGCAAGGGCCTTCAGCCTGCGTGCACGGACCGTGCGCATGTAGACGCCACCATATCCGACTAAGAGCCCGGTACCGACGACACCAACGGCAATCCCGCCTGTCGTCCACGGATTCCGCTCGATCCAATCCGCCGTATTCTCCACCCATGTCGCAGGAGGCGGCGGTGGTGGAGGAGGAGGCGGGACCTCAAAGTCGCCTAGGCCCGGGATATGTTTAGGGATACCAGGCCCGTATCGAGTAACGTCGGTCCAGAGCTGGTTGAAGCTGTCGCGTATCCTTGGAATATCAGGCCTCGCTGCCGAAAGCGATGAGTAGAAGATCTCCTCGAGAGCGTCGAGGTAGTCTTCAATCATGTCCATGGTCCTGTCCATGGTGGCAAATTGAAGGAATATCAGCGATCGCCGGAATGAATACCGAGTCCGGCCCGTCTCCGGAACGCCGACTTGTGCTGCACTTTGTACGAGTACATTCGATGCCCCCTGTCATCCAATCAATACTCGCATATTGCAGGTTCCTTTCATGTTGGAATTCGTCCGAGAGTCCTCACAAGAGGCAGGTGTTCTCTGACATATTCCAGGTATGTACAATACCTGTGCGATTCACAATTGTACATACATTCTATAACTACCCGCTGTATTTCTACGCATTTCTAAGCTGAATATTGTAAGTTTTATGAACTGTAGATACTGTTCACCTTGTACATCTTCGTATCAGCCTCCGGCACAACATTGGACCCATAAACACTCTCCACCTTGTACATCTTAGTCGGCGGCTCCTCAGCAGCAGCAGGCGTTACTGCCACAGAAGTCGCCTTACTAGCCAAACCCGCAGCCTTCCCATCCGGAATCCTGATAAACTCCAAATTCCCATCCGTCCCCTGGCCATCAAACACGAAATATCCCTTCCGCTCAAACTGCATATAATCGCCCTTCTTCAGGTCCTTGACATTCGCATCAGCCAGAGCGGCCTCGCGGAACTCGGTTACGGGGGTGATAAAGTCGTTCACGTCGTCGTTCTCCTCGAGCTTCTTTTTGGTGATCAAGTAGTCGTAGTCAAGGAGTGTGACCGGGATCAAAGGGTTCTCAGGCGTAGGTTGAGCGAGCCAGGTGATCTTTTTCTTGGTCTTTTTGAAGTCACCCTCAAGATGAAGGTCCATTTCGATGGAAGTGACCTGGCCTGCTGCGTCGGTCGTTTTCGATCGAACGATGGCGTTGCCCCAGTCCATAAGAGTGACCTATACAACAATCAGAGAAATCAGCATAGACGATTAGGTTACTGACCTCCTCCTGGTCGTCGAACGACTGTGCGTCCTCCTGATCGATAAGGATGTTTGACGAATACACCGTCTTCTTCTCACCAACGTCAGGGTTCTTTTTGTGTTTCGGCACACTTTTCACCTCGGGCGTGCTTGGTCCGCCTTTGATGGTGACAGGGACGCTAGCGCGATATGAGCATGAGAGTGTAAAACAAACATATAAACGACATACATGTTGGCTCCGATGATTGCCCAGTGACGCGGAGCAACAGGATCGATGACTTTCTTGTTCATCGCCCAGATGGAATCCCATTCCAATGAAACTATCGCTTGGGATGGGCCTTGCAAGAGCATGAACTGGCGAAGGGCCTCAACAGTCAGTCCACGACGCCGGATACCGCGCACGGTCGGGAAACGAGGATCGTCCCATCCGCGCACCAATCCCGTATTGACGAAATGGTGCAGTTTTCGTTTCGACAGCAAGGTGTAGATGAAGTTGAGACGGCTAAAGTCCCAGATTTGGACGTTGCGGATGCCAAGTGCTTCGGTCATCCAGCGATACTGCGGGTTTCGGTCGCGGTACTCGTTTGTCCTCAGTGCATGAGTAACACCCTCGATGGAGTCTACGATAGGACACGCGAAATCGTAGGTAGGATATACTTTCCACTTATCCCTAAAGGATACATTAATATTGATCCAGGAATGTCAGTGCTTGAGGTACTCACCCAGTACGATGATGAGGCAAAGTGTTACATCTGTATATGACTGGATCCCGTAAAGCTTTGTTGTTATCGTCTACACTCAGTTTGGCTCGTAGACACCACCGAAGGCCCTCGGGGGATGCTGCGGTCATCTCGGCGAAATGCTTGAGGTTATCTTCAACGCTGTCGTCTCGATGGGCTGAGGCTATTCCCTTCATACGCTCCTCACGCATCTGCTTAAGGACTGAGTACTAATATAAGAGAAGCAAACACGTTTTCTTACCTGAGCTTGCTCGGTATCGTCGGTATAGGCTTTACCAGACTTGATGATTTGGATGGCAAAGCCATATAGGGTATCAAAGTAGTCAGAAGTGTGCGTGACCACGTCTCCTTTGATGTCGAGAAGGGAAAGATCTTCAAGGATGGTATCCTCAAACTCAGTCTGCATATATCGTTAGTATGGAACGGGAAAGGTAGATATTCTTCGTACCGTTTCCTTGCTGGGGTTAGTGTCGTCGAAACGAATGATTAACTTTCCGTTGTACATTTTGGCGAAATACTGATTCAATAGTGCAGCCTTGGCATGGCCGATGTGCAAGTAACCGCTTGGCTCGGGAGGGAAACGAGTGACTACTTCGCCCATCTTTGCACCCTCGAGACCAAGGGCAAATCCAGCTGCAACCTTGGTAGATCTAGCCTTGCTGGCTTTTGCGGCTGTCAAACCAGCGATAGCTGTTTGAGTGGATTCCAAAGACTCCAGATACGAGAACCATCGATTCAGGTGAGCGTGCTTGTTGTTCTTGAGAAGACCGATGATCTTGATGTTGCCTGACGGTTGTTAACTTTTTATTGTTGAGTGGAAGCGGCAATAGTCACCTTTCAAGGTCCCCCATAGTATCCAATCTGATGCAGTAAGGTCGTGTCCAACAAGGAAGGTCCTAAACGCAAGATGGTCGTCTAATGAATCGAGAGCAGTGATGATTTTCGGGACCGTAGTTGTAGTGAGCAAGGTCTTTGCTAGTGCAAAAAAAGTAGCTGTCTGGTAAATTTGAGTAAACTGGTGTAGAGACTAGACAGAAATTTTACCTTGGAGCTGTCTTCGGAGAGGCCACCTGCCTTGGATAATGCGTGAACGATGTCTTCTTCAACGGTGATGGTCGATCCATTCAGATCCAGGACTGGTCCAGTAACTGCCTCATCGTACACGATCTCAGCTTTTTGAGTATACGCTGCTATCGCTACTGCAGCAAAGGGGAATGGCGAAATCTTTGCCGACACGGTTAAGGTTGCCATTGATGGTGGTGGTAAATGAATGACCTTTAGTGACTCGAAGATCGGTAAAGTCGGTCCTATCGGAATAATCGGATTCCTAATTAGTGAGTCATGTTTTTTACGACATTCTATTTTAGCACACGATTCTGCTAAAACTTTTCTTTACTTCGATCCACCACCATGCCCATGCTGTCTGTACCCTCGTTTCCATTTCCGATGACTGTTACTGAACTTTTACTGTTTCTAGAGCCGACCCTTCCCAAAAGTACAGGCCGTACACCCCATTGAACCTCAAAGATCGTCAATGGCCGTCGAAAACGTTCACCAAGGCTCCCAGTTGGCTGTCGACCGATCTTCGGGATGGTAACCAGGCCCTGGCCAACCCGATGACCATCGAGCAGAAGACGACTTTCTTTAGGGAGATCGTTAAATGTGGTGTCAAGGAGGTCGAGGTCGCATACCCTGCTGCTAGCGACACTGATTTCTCCTTCGTACGAGGTCTCATCGAAAACAACGAAATTCCCGACGACGTATGGATACAAGTTAGTCCGATCTTCCATTTTTTTCGTCCTTGGATACAAGGTGTATTGAACTCATATTGAGCAAGGTCCTGACACCAGCCCGGGAAGACTTGATAAAACGCACGATTGACGCGGTCGCCGGATGCAAGCACGCCATTCTCCACATGTATAATGCAACGTCCCCCTTGTTCCGAAATGTCGTATTTCGCAATTCAAAGGAACAGACCATCGAACTTGCCGTTACTCACACCAAGATCGTCAAACAGCTGACAGAAGAGTGCACCGCAAAATATGGAACCAAGTTTCGCTACGAATACAGTCCGGAGACATTTACGCAAACAGAACCGGATTTTGCAGTGGAGATTTGTGAAGTCGTCAAAGCTGCATGGGGAAAGGCCGGTACAGATTTCGAGGACAAGATCATCTTCAATCTTCCATCAACAGTGGAGATCGCCCCCCCAAATCACTACGCCGATCAGGTAATATTTCTGATTTCCGAGGTTCGCGCACATTCCAACTGTCTTTCCAGATTGAATATTTCTGCAGCAAAATATCCGAGCGAGAGAAGATTCTGGTCAGTCTGCATCCCCATAACGATCGAGGTACGCATCCATCTCACAGCGCCATCCTTTTTCCTTATTTTCTTCCAGGCACTGGAATTGCATCGGCCGAACTTGGTTTCTTAGCTGGTGGTGACCGTATCGAGGGCTGCTTCTTCGGTAATGGAGAGCGAACGGGGAATGTCGACCTCGTTAACCTCGCCCTTAACTTGTACTCCCAAGGGATCCATCCCAATCTCGACTTCAGTGACCTACAAACTGCCATCGATGTTGTTACCCAATGCAACGACCTCCCTGTTCATCCAAGACATCCCTATGCTGGTGAACTCGTTTTCACTGCATTCTCCGGGTCACATCAGGATGCCATCAAAAAGGGGCTGGAAGCCCAGAAAATACGACACGCGGACGCCGCAGCGAAGGGTGAACCCCAGTATTGGGAGGTGCCGTACCTACCGGTTGACCCTGCAGACTTGGGCATGACCTACGAAGCTCTGATTCGTGTCAACTCGCAATCCGGCAAAGGCGGTATCGCCTACCTCATCAAACAGAATCTCCAGCTCGACCTGCCCAGGAAACTGCAAATAGCGTTCTACCAGGTCGTCCAAGAGGTCTCCGACCGCGAAGCACGCGAGATGACCGTGGATGATATAACCACCGCATTCCGAAATGCGTACCACTATGGCGGATCTAAATACAAAGGCCGTTTGTACCTACGGAACTTCAAAATTTCCACCGAGCCCAATCCAGATCCTTCCGATCACTCTGGAGATGAAGCTGAGGTGCGTAAACGGTTCGATGGTACTATATCTGTCGACGGCGTCCTACGCGTAGTGCGGGGTGACGGTAACGGACCCTTATCCGCTATCCTCGACGCTCTCCACACTTACCTACACATCGACCTTTCCGTCCGCGAATACACCGAACACACCTTAGACATCGAAGAGGGCCAAAATGCCCGTGCAGCCTCTTACATAGAGCTCGTCCCCGCCGGCGACCGCAAATCCGCACAATCATGGTGGGGTGTCGGTGTCGACTCTGATATCTCAGGCGCTGGTTTACGCGCAGTGATCAGCGCGGTGAACAACGCTATTGGGGATCGTGAGCTTCCCGAGCTCAAGTTGACGGTCGGGTTCAACGCCAAGTCAGGTCAGGAAGACGTAGCAAGTGTTATCGTCAACTCTCTCGGCTTAGAGCTCCCGCGGAGATTCCAGGCTTCGTTTTTCGAAGTCGTGCAACGTGCAGCGAGGGATGCAGGCGAAATTTCTGTGGGGGCCTTGACAGAGCTCTTCAAGACGACATATGATTATGACGTCCTGACGCCGTCCCCCAAATTCTCTGTGAATACGTTCAATCTCGAACACGTTGACGCGACCAAGCGCGTGTTGACGGGAGACTTTGTTCTATTTGGCTCTCAGAGGAAGATCAGAGGGGAGGGTAATGGGCCTTTATCGTCCTCTGTCAGTGCGCTACACTCTCACGTTGAAGGTACGCTAACTATCCGGGAATACTCGGAGCATTCGATTGGAGAGGGCGCTGAAGTCGTTGCTGCGTCGTACGTAGAGCTCTTGTATGAACTGCCGGGAGAGAAGAAGAGGAGCTCATGGGGTGTTGCAACGGATGCTGATATCACGGCTTCCGGTATCAAAGCAGTTCTCAGCGCGGCTGGAAGGCTGCAGCTGGTACCCAAAAAGGTTGTCAATGGCCATTGAGGGTGGGTTGATAGGAGAAGTTGAATATTTGTGTATTTCTTGCATATAAGACAAGAGCGCGCTCGAATGACTAGCGCCAGGAACTTCATTTTTCGTAATAAAATCAAACATAAAGGCAACTCTCTGACAACGATGATATTACATGCAGGGTCATTGGAAAAAAAAAAAAGGTAAAACCGCGTGTACAAATTATTTACTACATATCCGAAGTACTTGAACATTATGGGTATCGTCATGAATGGTCTTGGCTGATAATGCTGGTCGTGAATCGTGAATCGTCGCTAACTGTAGTCCTTAGAATGGCAAAAATATCTTCCACCAGGCAGCTTTCTTTGCACCAAGTGCAGCCTCTCCTCCCGGAGGAGGAACTGGAACTGGGACCTTGGCTTCATCGGTGCTTAGCAAGGCAATAATCGGAGTGCCAGGGGCGGCCGACGTTGTATTGGGTGAAACAGTGGTAGTATGAGCTCCAGTGCTTGGAGAGGAAGGAGTCGAACTCGACGGCGTTCCTGCAGGAGGCGTGGTGGGTGCGGGTTTGGGAAAGTCAGCTTCCTGCCACGTTCCTGGGAGAAGAGCTACGGGAAGCAACCACGTCGCACTGAGAATAACGCCATACCCTGCTGCGTATCAGTATGAGACAACAGATAGGAAGCAGCAGGACGCACCAACATCATATCCCTTGATAGTACTCCAGCTCCACGAAATAAAAGTGCCGATATACCCAAGATACGGCACAATCTTCTGCAGGAGAAGCAAGGCTGGTTGGACGGGTGGAGGCAGTAGGGAAATAGGGATATGGGTGAATAGCCAAGTCAAGGCTGCTGTGATTGTTGCAGCGCGTTTAGTCGCTTCAAGCTGCTCTTGACTAAGGATGGCGAGGACGGGCGGAGGAAGATATCTGAATCCAATAATGAGCCATGATTGTCGGGTGAAAACTGTCTGGACACGTACAGACGGTAACCCCACCACATCACTTGAACCGAAATTTTCGTGGTCGATGGAATCCAAACTCGTATGGGGGTTGCAGGTGCAGCAGGTTGGTTGCCTTCACGACTCTTCTCCTTGTCCGTACTTCCATCTGCTGGTGCGACTGCGGGCTTCTTCCACCAAGGCCATTTGCGTTGCCACAAGGCTTGCGGCCGCAAGGGGGCAGGTGGATTTGAAGCAGGGACGATGTGAGATGCTGCGATTTCAACGAGAGACTCTTCGGTGGGGAACAACGGCGAGTACATCATGATACTGTCGTCCGACCAGGTGCTGCTGTTGTCGCCTCCTGTACTACCGTCATGGCTCCTAGCACCAAAGCTCTCGAGGATACTCCAAACACTGTCGGATTCGCTTCCTTCAGCATTCATAACGTTGGGGTTGTACAACTTGGCGATAAGCTTCTTGTCCTTGATGGGAATGGCTCCAGGAGGTGGAATGGGACGACCTTCGGCATCTCGAGCCGGCGGCATAGGTTTCGGGAAAGTGCGAGAGTTACGTGGAGTAGGTGAAGGTAGAGCATCAATCATTGAACGAATTTTCTCGGCGAGAGTTGTCGGTTCATTGTCGTCGTCGCCATCATCATCATCGTCGCCAGTATCGCCTATTGCCGCTTCAGGGGTATTATCTGTGCTCTTTCGACCTATGGCGAGTTGCTTTAGGCGATCCAAAGGGCGAACTTTCTCTGCCTTTGTGGAATCGTCAGAGGAGGCAACGACCACGTTCACTGCTTGTGCTCCAACTTCTTCAGGGGACTCTGGCAATGATTCCTCCGGTTCCTGGACAGATTTGGAAGGCGTATAAGCTTGTTTCCCGCTAAGCGAATGCGTGACCTTCTGTACGGGCCCAGTGGAGGCAGTAGAGTCGGAAGAGGAAGAGGACATGAAGGGCGAGAGAGGGAAACAGTCGGGACCTTGCAATCCACTGCGGGACATGTTCTTAATGATCGAATTAACGGCAACACGTGACTCGGGGCGCGCTGCACGTTCGCAGCGGAAGAACGAATAATCCGTGTAACAGGTATCATCTATTGACAGGACGATTCAACCCAGCTATCGTCTCAAACCATCGAACGAGACTTTCCACTTTCCTGACGGAAGGATCGCTGATTCCAAGCCTCAGATCCGGTCGAAGTCTCGCATCTGCCTGGGTATACACCAAAGTTCGATAACATATCTGAAGGTTGGATTTCAGATATGGAGAGGCAGAAAGTGCAGGCGAGATTCGAGGCTCGCAAGTAGCAGTGACATCTACAGCTCACGTCAATCATAAGAAATATTCAGCGACGCGTCACTTACTTTCTAAGAAAACAATGTCACCGCGCTTCACCCTTACAGAGCCAGTCATCCCTCCCCAGATGTCAGCCACGTCTCTCCACGCAGTAAGTTTACAAATGTTTCCTTCATCGTCCCCTAGGATCATCTTAAGAATGCTAATCTCTTTACCCGCGTCAGGTCCCTTTTTTATCCTAATAGTATCAGGTCCGTCGACCTCAAGCACAGCGAGAAGAAAATTCATTTTCCTAGAACCCCCACTACGCAAGCCGTTCAATGTCACGAGAGTATGGGGATTGAAATGAAACGTCGGGAAGCGAGCTATAGATGAGGTATCCGAGTAATGACTTTCTTGCGTCTCCTGAGTCTCCAGAAGTGACGCAGATGTTTCTAGGAACGATGTAGTCGAAGTTTGTAATCTCTCCTCGCTATCTGCAGGATTCGTCGGTGGCCAGGTTATCATAGTTGATTCATCTATATCCAAATATCAATGAATTATCTCAACAATACAGTATGAACGCATACATTCATCGTCGAGCTGTTCATTATCATCCTCTTCATCCCCTCGAAATATCGTGTTTTCATATAGACGCGAGATCCGGCGATTAGTCGCGGCTTCCAGTGCTGCAGATGTCGGTGGTACATGGCCATCCAATATTGCTGCCTCGGGTGAGGGTCCTATTTGTTCCCACCGATATTCAGATTGGCATCCACGCAACTCTTGCAATGAAGGAGCGCCTAGAAATACATGGTACATGACGAAGTTAATCGATGCGCTGGCGACCCGGACCGAGCTAGACCGAGGCAAGATCGGGTGACCGTGACAGTCAGCGGTGACGTCATCGAGAAAAAGTTCGATAGGGGCCAGAAGTGAACTTGAACATAATTTCCCCCAAATCTCAAATGCACGATACTACGGAGGAATAAAACTTACATCAGGGGCAGAGCCTCAGCACCGCCACCAGCTCGCATTTACTCCCAGAATCTCTGTTGCTGTTGGAGGGAAATCCGAACTGAATCATGAAGTTCGGCCTAGCAATTCCGTGGAGATTAGCCCTAATTAGAGCTAATTGGCCACACCAAAATTCTGACTTTGAAGGGAATTTATTTCAGACGAGCCGCAATTAATATATTTATATAGAAGTTCCCCTGACTTCCGCTTCGGTCCCCGGACAAAATCTGAGAAACCATGATCCCTCGTTGACCTGACAGGTACTAACGCAGCAGGCATGAAATCTAAAGTGGTATTAATTCCCGATTTCATGATGACGACCAAATAAAATTGTCTGCAAGACTGAAACGAGAGACACTTTCCGCTGGGGTCTATGGTGTGGGTGTGTGTGAAAGGGAACCGGAGGAATGCTGATCCCAGGAGGCCCAACAGAAACGTCTAGATTCGTTATCTCACCATTCTCCACGTCGTACACCAGCCCATGGATAAATACCGCAGCCGAAGTCGTGTTGCTGTAGCGCTACATGATATCCATCAGACATCGACAGTAATCAACACTCGACATTTTATTACCAACCTCCACAATCAACTGCGATGAAGCAATGTTAGACACAGTCTCTTTGACGTTTTCTTCCACGAGCGCTCTGAGAACAGCTATAGGACGTCGTTAAATGCCGTGTAAACGACAGCTGGTATGCATGAATCTCACGTTCATGAAGTTTTGGTGGGACGTCGATGCCTCCGGGGTACTTGTTCCTGTACTCGACGATCTCTGGTCTGTCGTCGGGTTAACTACCAGGCTAACAACAACGATAGCATTTCATGCGTACCTCGTTGATTGGGCATATAATTTTCTCAAAGGGAGGATCCATTCTTGCACAGCAGCGTCAGCTACGTCCCACGGCTGAGAAGGGGGGGATGCAATGGCTGCTGATACACCACCGCAACCGTGATGGCCCATGACAATGATATGTTGGACGCCCAGACCCTCCACAGAGTATGCTAAGACTGCGTTCCTATAACGAGCATCAATATGAGTGCGACGCGTGAAGACGATGATGGACAATATCTTACGAATTCGTATCATTCTCATGGAACTGGTTTGCTATATTCCTTTCCCCAAACAACATCCCGGGGAGCGCATCAAAAATCGTTCCTTCACTGACACTGCGCCCGTCATCAATAGCGCTCTAGGACTATCAATCACCGTTGAGCATAACGTACCGACTATCAGAGCACCCGAGGAACATGAATTCTGGATCTGTTTTCCGGTCAGCCGTAAGAGAAGTTCAAAAAGGGTATTCGCGGCTACTCACGCTGTCCATTCACAGCCAAGTCTTCAAGCATTCCTGGGTATGACGACTCCATTTCTGATCGAAAATTCTCATTTCCATCCGACAATGCGTCCCAGCCATCCAGGTCGCGCACTGTGTTCCTCGTCCGCGAATATATGATGGGGTCACCCAGCGACAATGTCACACAAGCTAGTAGGAAGATGCTGGAACAGATCATGGGGGAGGAAAATGGTAAGGAAGGAGCTGCTGCCGCTTTGTTTATTAACATGGGAATCGACCTGAGAGTTACATGTTGTTGTTGTTTGCTGGCGCTTAACCACTGAGCGGTGACACCTTGATCGCAGAAGGTAGAGCCCTCCCCAGCGTAAAAGAATGGATGTCGAACCAGAGAAACATTCTAGAGTTCTGTCGCTGTTCTCATATCGCCTGTTGTAGGAGTTCTTATTGGAATCAGATGTCTGGTGGAAGATGTCTTGGTGAGAAATCTGACATTTACTGCGCACGCTGTTTACTGGAGGAGGAGGTTCTTTGTCTTCGGGAAAACGAGTGGGGTAAAATTTCTCGGCCGGACCATCGACCAGATGGTCCGGCACGTAAAATTCTGCGTTTACCCTTGGGTTTGGATACGTGCGATTGCGATTGCGAGCGAGTGAGAAGTGCTGCTAGGTGCCAATACCATTTGGTAACACAAGGACGGAAACAGCACCATAATTAGTGTAAGATTTCAACAACCACTGCGCTCGACATTAATGGGGTTTCAATAAGTACCAACTGACTCTCATTATAGTCGGGTCTATGAATAGTAAACGCACCTGTCCCTCCTTAGGTCCGTGTAGACATTTAGAATGGCAAGTCATTATCGAGTCTAACGGCCCAAAGGCGCTCCGGGTATAAAGGTGTCTCATGAAAGCAACATGATTCATTAGTACATTCGTAAACTTAATCAAACCTACCCCATTAAAGAGCCATCCTGAGAAGAGTCGGAGAGCTGCATCACCTTTATCGAGTCTGGAACATATCTCCACGTTTCTATATCGATGCCATCCATGCTTCTAAAAGGCCTGTAGCTCTTGCTGACAGGACTCGGGAAGCGAGCGATAGATGAGGTATCCGAATAATGAGTTTCTTGCATTTCCTGAGTCTCTAACAGTAACGCGGACGTTTCTAGGAACGATGTAGTCGAAGTTTGTAATCTCTCTTTGCTATCTGCAGAATTCGTCGGAGGCCAGGTTATCATGGTTGATTCATCTATATCCGAATGTCAGTAGATTGTCTCAAACGGTACAATATTAACGCGTACATTCGTCATCGAGCTGTTCATCCCCTCGAAATATCGTGTTTTCATATAGATGCGAGATCCGATGATTCGTCGCGGCTTCCAATGCTGCAGATGTCGGTGGCACGTGGGCATCCAATACTGCCGGCCCGGGTAAGGGTCCTATACGTTCCCAACGATATTCAGATTGGCGTCCATGCAACTCTTGCGATGAAGGGGTGCCTAGAAATACATGGTACATGACGAAGTTAATCGATGCGCTGGCGACCCGGACCGAGGCAAGATCGGGTGACCGTGACAGTCAACAGTGACGTCATCGAGAGAAAAGCTTGATACTAGGGGCCAGAAATGAACTTGAACACAACTTGCCCCCAAATCTAAATGTACGCTATTACAAGCAACGAATTTCCTCAAATCTAAAGTAGAATTGCTCATAATTCTCCCATAACAACCAAAAAAAACTGTCCACAAGACTGAAACGAGAGAAAATTGTCGCAAGGGTCTTACGGTGTGGGTGTGTGAAAGGGAACCGGAGGAATGCTGATCCCAGGAGGCCCAACAGAAACGCCTAGATTCGTTATCTCACCAGTTCTCCACATCATACACCAGCCCATGAATAAATACCTGCAGCCGCAGTCGCTGTTGCAGTAGCGCTACATGATATCCATCAGACATTGACAGTGATCAACACTCCACATTTTATCACCAACCTCCACAATCAACTGCGATGAAACAATGTTAGACATAGTCTCTTTGACATTCTCTTCCACGAGCGCTCTGAGAACGGCTATAGGACATCGTTAAACGCTGTGAAAACGACAGCTGATATGCATGCATCTCACGATCATGAAGTTTTGGGGAAGGGACTTTGATGCCTCCGGGGTACGCGTTCCTGTGCTCGATGATCTCCGGTCTGTCATTGGATTCACTACCCAGGCTAACAACAACGATACCGTTTCATGCGTACCTCATTGATTGGGCGTATAATTTTCTTAGAGGAAGGATCCATTCTTGCACAGCAGCGTCAGCTACATCCCACGGCTGAGAAGGGGGCGAGGAAATGGCTGCTGATACGCCACCGCAGCCGTAATGGCCCATGACGATGATATGCTGGACGCCCAGGTCCTCCACGGCGTATGATAAGGCCGCGTTCCTATAACGAGCATCATAAGTGCAACGCATGAGAATGACGGAAGATATCTTACGCATTCGCATCACTCTCATGGAACTGGTTTGCTATATTCCTTTCCGCAAACAACATCCCGGGGAGCGCATCAAAAATCGTTCCTTCACTGACACTGCGCCCGTCGTCAATAGCGTTCTAGGACTATCGATCACCGTTGAGCATAACATACCGACTATCAGAGCACCCGAGGAACATGAATTCTGGATCTGTTTTCCGATCAGCCGTGAGGGAACATTCAAAAAGCGTATTCGCGGCTACTCACGCTGTCCATTCACAGCCAAGTCTTCGAGCATTCCTGGATCTGACGACTCCATCTCTGACCGAAATTTCCCGTTTCCATCCGACAACGCGTCCCAGCCATCCAAGTCGCGCTCTATGTTCCTCGTCCGGGAACATATAATTGGGTCACCGAGCGACAAAGTCACCCAAGCTAGTAGAAAGATGCTGAAGCAGAACATGGGGCAGGAGACGGTAAGGAAGGACCGTCTACCGCATTACTTATTAATATGGGAATCGGCCTGGTAATTACATGTTGCTGCTATTTGCCGACGCTTATCCGCTGAGCGCTGATACTTTGATCACCCGGGCGGAAGACAGAACGCTCCCCGACGTAAAAAGAATGGATGTCGAACCCAGAGAAAATATTCTAGAGTTCCGCTGCTGTTCTCGTACCGCCTTCGTTGTAGCAGTTATTGTTGGAATCGGGTATCCGGTGCGCATGCAGTCCACCAACTTCTGAAAGATGTCTAGTGAGAAATCTGTCATTTACTGCGCGTGTTGTTCACTGGAGGAGGTTCTTTGTCTTCGAGAAAAGCGAGTGGCGTAAAATTTGTCGGCCGGATAAGTGACCAGATGGGCATTCGGTAGGTAGAATTCCTGGTACTTGCGAATGCGATTGCGAACGCGACATAGGCATGTTGGTAGGTGCCCATATTATTTAGTAACAAGCAGAAGGCCGGGGACGCAGCACCGTAACTTGTATAGGTTTCCAACAGCACTGCGCTTGACGTTGATGGGTTTCGTACCAACCGAGTCCCATCACAGTCGAGTCTATTAATAGTAAACGCACCTGCTCCTCCTTAGGCCCGGGCTGACATTTAGAATGAGTCTAGCAGCCCAAAAGTGATCCGGGTATAAATGTTTCATGAAAGAATCTAATATACAACATGATTCATTAGTACATTCGTAACCTTCCTTAATCAAACCTGCCCCTTTAAGGAGCCATCTCGAGAAGAGTCGGAGAGATGCATCACTTTTGTCGAGTCTGGAACATATCTCCACGTTTCTATATCGATGTCATCCATGCTTCTAGAAGGCCTGTAGCTTTTGCTGACAGGACTTATAGGGCTGATGGCCGTGACATAGCTATCGCGACGGTCGTGTGCATTCTGTCCCCGATGTGGGACTACGCCTGGTCGGGTGAGGGTAAATAAAATGGCGTTGAATATGCCTGAGCAGGCGAAACAGACGCTGCTAAAAGCCGTGGCTGCGAAGGGTACATTCGTTCCGCTGAATGCACACCAACGGACAACGGATATCGGAATAACTGTTACGATGTAAAGGGCAGGGTAACTATGCATTTTTGAGTACATGATGGTCAACTCGGAGCTTTGCTGGGAAAAACTTACAATAGCATATTCATCGCGATGGATTTCGAATGTCTTGCTGCACTGTTGCTAGTAGTGCTTAAAGTAAAGTCGTCCGCATTCACTGATCTACGTCGCAGTCGTATCTTGTATCCATCCAGGACGATAATTCCTGATGCAAGTCAACTTTGCTGCAAGTTAAAGGCAAGCGGAAAAAAAAACAAATACCTTTAATAGCCAAAGAGATGAATGCATAACATACGATATCCAAAAATACGGCAATCCAGACCCATAGATATTCCAGAGTAATTCTCTGGGTTCCGAAGTCGCTTGTTATCCAGCACCCTAGTAAGTACAACTATCAGCGAACTCGGACTTAATGGATTGCAAAAGTACCGACGCACAGTAACCAGTAGTTCCATAATAGTCCTCGTCATGGTGCATGGCTTCACTTATGCCAACAATAAGAGTCAAGAACACCCATATCGCAGCGATGACAACAAGGGCGCTTCGTGGCCGCGAATAGAACCTACAAACGAGAACCAAAAAGGTGTGGATTGCGATTGCCTACGGAGGCGTCAGCTCAGTTGGGAAAAATGGGCAGCGGGAGAATACATACCAGCGTTCTATGTATGTTGGGGGCCATTTAGTCTGTATACGTTATGCTAGAGCCAGAAACACATACGACAAGGCCACTCCGACATCTCCGAGCTGCTTAAGTATTCCTATTGGCCCGCATAATTAGGTTGGCCGAGGAAGAATTAAAAAGGGCCGTACCTTGGGTGGTGCAGAGTGTCCCCTCCGTCACGCGCTTCGATATGTATATTAGCTATTAATTCTGACGCGGCAAGGTATGACAAAGATCACATACAGCATCTACGGCCCACTTGACATTCATTACACCACCTAAAGCCCATTTAGCTCCCACGTCCACCACGCAACCGAAGAACAAGAACTCACCGATGGCTTGCACCAAGTCACATACCAGCAGGTTCACGAAGTAATAGTGAATGTGCGTGGAGACTCTCCATGTGCGAGTGGCACCTTTGTTGATGGTCGTGACAGAATACTAAACTCCACATATGATGTTTCTTGGAAGGTGCGTAACAAAAAAAGGACTCACCGCAATGTACACAAGCAACGAAAACACAGCCGTTGCTGACAGAGACGCACACACCGTTATAAGAATAATGCCCGCTCTGACCCCAGGACTAAAGGTAGAGGACATCGGGAGGATCGACCCCCAAGATGTGGTGACGATAAGGCAGAAGGAAAGAAAAACGCGCGACGCGAACCCATATAGTTCCGTTTCTCTTTAAATTCCTTTCCAAGCATCAACAGAACTCGTTATCAGTTACGCAAACCGGAGGATTTGAAATCACCACTAAGACCGCATGTGCAGAAGGTTATTTGTATATAGCCGACGATAGCGGTTGGAAAGTTTAGGTGTTATTAATTGCGAGGGAAAAGCGCCTCTTATATGGTAGGAGCACTTTCGGTGCCAGAGGGCACATATGCTTTGCTTCAACGGCACAGTCAGCACCTCAATGAAGAATGACAGAAAGAAGGACGACGCACGGATTAACCACGGCTCTCTTTACTTCAGATAATACGCCTTATTAGCCGAGGGCTCGTACACTGCCATCAGGCACAATTGCCTGCTAGTACAAAAACGGCAGCTACACAGCACTCTACCGATTGAAGCGCTTTTTGAGCGGGAGAACCGAGGTCGTATGACTGACAGGAATCATTGTTGGGAGAATGGTGAGCGCTGTAGGACTTGAACAAGCGCCGTGGTTTGCATAATTTGCCGTATACAGTCTTTGCCAGAATTGAGCGTTATTTCAATTTACGATTCACAATATGGGGTCACCGATCATGAACGCCACATCCGCGGTTCGAGGCAGGACCATCCTTGAGGCAGTCTTGTGGCCCACATTAGCAGGCTGATAAGCATTTCTCGAATACCAGATTCTTCGCGTTCCAAAAATCAGAACCCCTCAAAACACTACCATCTTATTATATCAGTTTCATTGAACAGTGGAAACTGAGAAATAGGGATTAGACCTCCGAAGATACACTCCGAGTGTTAATTATGTCCAAAGTGATAACATCTACTTCCCCCGGCCCCCCGTGAGAATGGCATTTCCATTCTTCTCCCTCAATGCTGTCTTCAGCCTGGGTTCTCGGAGAGACTGGAGGATGTCTAAAGCCAGTCTGTACGCCGGGGCTAGCGAGGGAGCCGTATAGTTCGCAGCTTCTCTGAGAGTTGGAGGGGCCTCGGTTGGGAACTAGCCCCGGTCGAGTGAGCGTGAACAGGATAACATTAAGAATACCGGATGACGAGAATAGAATACTGGCAAACGCTGTGGCGATAAAGGGCACTTTCATCCCAAAGAAAGAAAGCCAGCGGACCAGAGACATGGGAAAGATTGCAACGAGGTAGACGGCAGGGTAGCTGAGAAGACTCTTACGTTAGTACATGGGCAGCCAAAAATAGACAGCACATACAAAAGCATTCGCATGGCAATCGCGTTGGATCGTTGAGCTGAAGAGCTCATTCCTTTGGTTCCGTCGGTAACTGACTTAGTGCTACTCGCATCCGACCTCCGTCGCAGCCGTATCTTGTATCCATCCACGAGAACGATGCCTGCCAAGTGGTGGTGAGTATAAATCTATTCCAAAAAAATACACACGTACCTTTGAGAACGAGTGCTATCATAGCGTAGCACATGATGTTTACAGAGGCGGCAAACCACACCCAACCGTATTCTAGCGCGATTTGCTCAGTTCGAAACTTGCTAGTGATCCAACACCCTGTGAAGGGATATGAGGTAAAATAGCCGAGGGAATCGGCAGGCAGAGGACAAACAATACTGAGTAGGTCCGTAGTATCCTTTTCCGTGGTGTATAGCTGAGCTGACGCCAACGACGAGTCCAAGAAATGTCCATATCGTAGCGACTACGAAAGGGGCGACTTTGGGAGGTGAATAATACTTGAAAACAAGAACCAAGAAAGTGTGTATAGCGATGGACTACCGTGCGTTAGTAAAATGTCGAAGCGGTTTATAATAATGAATACCATTGTCCTGCGAAAAAAAAGTTAGACCAGACAGCGCTTGTATCAGGGAGGAAAAGATGTACGATAAGGCTACTCCAAGATCACCTAGCTGCTTGAAAATTCCTATGACATGTGAGATGAGATCCACGGCAAATATATGAGATGATAGCTCACCTTGAGCAGTACAGAACGTTCCCGCTGTCACGTTCTTAAGAAGGAAGCGTGAGACCGGTACCTCTGTAAAATTCTGTGTTACTTACTGCCTCAGCAACCCATCGAATATCCATTATCCCACCTGCCGACTTTCCAGCATCAAATAAGAGACGAGGAAAACAAACACCTACCGATAGATAGAATCAAATCGCATGCCAGGAGGTTCACGAAGTAGTAATGAATATGAGACGAGACCGCCCATCCGCGAAGTCCCCCTGGCTGAACCTTGAACGTGGAGTACTATAGGCACAGTGAGTTACACGCGCCAAATATTTATCGACGAGTCAAGCATACGCAGATAAAGGCCAAGAGTAATACTACAGCCGTAGCGGAAAGAGACGCCACCTCAATAATGAAAACAAGTCCAAGTCGCGTTCCAAAATCAAAGAGTGGGGAAGGCGTTGAAGAGCTTGACATAGATATAGACGAGGGCAAGGGGGGGAACCAAATGCCTGTTAGATGAATTTATGCCCTTTAAGCCCGCGGAACGCTGGTATCTCGATACGGTAATGACACCTAGTGATGCGCTTGATATAGAGCATCAAGTGGATGGATGGCCGATGTATGCCCATAAGTTTAAGGCAAAGCGCGTTATTGATTTCTTTTTCTTGGCTGAACAGTAGCCACAGCGCTTAAGAACACAATCCATCAGATAACGGGAAGAACAAGGACGCTTCTGATTCTGAGTCCATCTTGCATTAGATGGAGGAAAAGTGATACTTGAGAGCAGTCCCATAGTGCTATGAAACGATTGACAAGAACGGGGAGCAGGTGGGTTATGCTGGATGCGGGGCAAAATCCAACAATTGATGGGTGCCTGTAGTGCCTGTATATAGGAATCATCAGTATGTACATTGTACATTTCCTTCCAAGGCCCTTTTCTTACCCGTCTTTGATAGTAATCATTGCGTAAAGTTGGCCGCAGTAGATAAGATCCCGAGTTTCGAATATGGTCGCTTGTTATTTCAGAATCAATGACAAGAACCTTCAACCAGAAGAATCAAAAAATTGAATCAAAACCAGGTTTCCATCGATCATGTGATCAACACGTTCTATCACATCGTGACGGTGAGTGTCACGCAAGAGGTACGCAATTCGCCAATTGAAGTCCAACGAGGAGGAGGAGGCGTCGTACCCTACCTCCCGCCATCATGATGTCCAGTAGCACCTCCCCTCGTCGAAATCCAAGCTCGAGGACATATCAAGGGTCTCTGTATCAGTCTGCGTCGAGCTCTAGGCCCTTCTTAAACATGCTAAATCCAATGAGTCGACCGTATCAGGGCTATACGCAAGCAAACCAGTCGCTGCTGGAGGAAGAGGAAGAGGAAAGAAGGAGCTCAGAGGAAGAAGAGGAAGACGTGGAGGCTGGTCATAGTCAGAGCACGATATTCCAGGGAGACACCATTCCATTGTCCAAGTCACGGTCCAAGTCCAAGTCGCATGGCAAGCCTCGTGTCTCGTGGGATGCAGCCACCTCTAGAACAGATCCGTCACTGCATCCCAATATCCATCAGGAAGATAAGATCCATGACCAGGACTCGGACGACGGCGAGGTGCCGCAGAGTTTCATGATTGAGGCCACCTCGCACCGGCCGTCCAGGAAGGGCAAGGGGAAGGAGACGGGTTCTGGTTCTGGTTCTGGTTTTGTTGGAGGGCGTCAGCAACCGCTGTTCTCTATCCCTGGAAAGAAGCTGCCTCCCGTTTTGCCTACCCATGCGTCTGTGTCTGTACCCCCACGTCCTTCAGAACTGGATCCCGACGACGCTGAGGCGACGCCACGGCCTGACGATGCCTCCCCGCATTCTCCCAGACAGCCGAGGCCCATGCGGGGGCTGGACGCTTACGAACGCGCTCTATGGAATTGGGTCAACGTGTACAACCTAGATTCCTTCCTGCAAGATGTGTATTTCTACTACGAAGGCAAGGGCATATACAGCATTGCTTTGTCGAGGGGATTAAACCTACTGTAAGTACTATTACTTGTTGCCCGTCGACTCCGTTGACATTCAATAGGACTGTCGGTTTCGTCATTGGTTTCTCCACCTTCCTCCTCGGATGTATAGACTATTCTCGGATACACCCCGATAAGACCATGCGGCTGTCAGACGCCATTGTCGACCGTTGTGTATCAAAGTCAGTTTCCATTCATTCGTGTCTACTTGACTAACGCCGTTACAGCTTCTCAGGCTTTACGCTACTATTTTTCATTCTCTTTACCGCATTTTACCTCTGGCAAATCGCATCGTTTACCCTGGGTACCATGCGCCTCGTGGATATGTATAACTTTTATACTCATCTGTTAAAGATTCCAGACGTACGTTCATTTTACGTTCATCTTTCCTTGGTTAATTGGCAGTGTTGACAGGTTGACATTCAAACCATATCGTGGCCCGAGGTTGTTCGTCGCATTGGCGCTATACGCGAGGAGAATCCCCTCACAGCCATCTCCTCAAAGAGTTCTCGAAAAACCAATGATACAACCACCGCGAAACTTGACGCTCATGATATCGCGAATCGAATAATGAGGCAGGAAAATTACCTTATAGCACTCTTCAACAAGGAACTCTTGGATCTGAGAGTGCCGTGGCCTCGTTTCCTAAAACAATACATAGCCGAGGACAAGGGGAAGGGAAAGATGCTAACCCAAGCGCTTGAATGGAATCTAAGATTCTGTCTGATGGAATACCTATTCGATAAACATGGTCGTGTAAGAAAAGTGTTCCTGAAATCCAAAAATCGGACAGTTTTAATTGAAGGGCGCGTTGATCTTCAATTCATTTTCTGAAACGCGGCGCTAATGCTTGGGCTTTAGACTCAAACGTAGATTCATCTTCATGGGAATATTAAATGCCATTTTCGCTCCTTTTATCGTACTCTATCTGTTAATGTATTCATTCTTCCGGTACTTCGAGGTGGGTTATCAATCTCCCGTCACCGCCACCCACCTGATCTTCCTTTCCCAGGAATACCATAAGGATCCGTCGTCGATAGGAGGACGCCGATATACATCCTTTGCGCAATGGAAATTCAGAGAGTTCAATGAACTACCTCATTTTTTCATGCGACGACTCGACGAGAGTTGTCCCGCCGCTAGCATGTACATTGGACAGTTCCCAAACGAGAAAATGACGCTTATCATGCGGTATGCTCGGCGGCTCTAATCCATGCCCGAAGCCCCTACTAACAGCCATGTACAGTTTCGTAGCCTTCATCTCCGGTTCATTCGCGGCTGTACTCTTTTTGGCTACCGTCCTCGATCCTGATATCTTTGTTCATCTCGAGATCACGTCTCATCGTACAGTGCTGTTTTACCTCACTGTGTTTGGATCGATATTGGCTGTGGCGAGAGGGATGATACCCGAAGATAATCGAGTGTTTGACCCCGAGTTGTTGATGACGGAGGTGATCACTTATACGCACTATATGCCGGACGAGTGGAAGGATCAGTTGCATAGCAAAATGGTAGGCCTTGCGGATGGCGTCTGTCTTGCTGAACTGATCACTCGTCAATCTAGATTCACCAGGAGTTCGGCGAGCTTTACGCCATGAAAATCATAATCTTCGTGCAAGAAGTGATTTCCGTAGTCTTGACACCCTTTGTTCTGTGGTTTTCACTTCCATCCTGCGCCCCGGCCATTATCGACTTTTTCCGCGAATTTACTGTTCATGTAGATGGACGAGGGTATGTTTGTAGCTTTGCCGAGTTCAACTTTGAGAGGCACGGGAATGTCAAGGTCCGTTGGATTAGACTTAGAAGGAAATGGGCGTCTGCTGATCGCTCGGAATTCATAGTTTGGTGCACCGACGCAGAACATTGACAAACGGATGGTCTCGAACGAGGGCAAGATGGAGAAGAGTTTCCTGAATTTCAAGGTATGTTATTGTTTTAGCAACAGTCTGTGCGATTTCTTATGCATCATCAATCCAGGCTGCCAATCCAGATTGGAACCCCACAGACCCGTCAGGTTCGTTATACCTAAGCCGTATGGCAGACTTTACAACAACACATCTTCCTGGGCGTCGACGACCCGGAACTGGCATCGCCGTGCCTCTTGATCACAGCCACGGTACTGGCGAGCGTAACAAAACCGAGGTTGACCGTGCGCATGAATACGACCGCGCGCTTCGACAGAGTCAACTCGCGGCTCGACGGCGGGGCGGAAGTATGCTGAGCGCGTCCACACTGGGCGTCCCAGGTCCTTCGGGGTCGTCGATATTCGGCGGACTGTCGACGGCTCAGACGGCGGTGCTTGGAGATTCACAGGGTAGTGTGCAGGCGGAGCCGGTTCGTGAGGTGTCGAAGATTACGGAGAGTGACTTGGCTGAGGATGGAGGTGTCGGTAGTGGGTTGGGTGAGTCGTATGTTGATGGTGCGAAACGGACACGAGCATTTGGGGAAGGAGAGGAAGAGGAGGAAGGTTTGGAAGATGGGGGTGTTTTGGGACTGCTGGCTCAGATTTATGACCGGAGAGACGGCCCAACAAGGGTGCTCTGAGGTGCCTTGTATAGTCACTATATTACTATTGTACATCCCTACGCATAACACGACTATCATGTATATTACCCTCAATATCGGGATCGTTCAGATGGATATGCTTCTTGGGCAGTTTTCCCTGCTTCACTTAGCAAATTCAACATCACAAATCAGGAAGGGCACGCATATATCATTGTCAAGGATACAATTCAGTTAGGCGCATACAGTCAAGGCACTGGAAAGGAAAAGAAGTCAGTTGAATGTTTTTTAGAGGAAACAGATACAGAAACGAAGGAGTCAGACAAGTTATAATGATTCCGGATAGACGATTTCCTCAGAGGACAAGCCTCAGTAGAGGGAGTCTGTTTTGTCATCAAATGACACGAACCGGGATTTCCCAACTCACCTTAACGGTTCTTGAAGTAATCCAAAACGACATGGAGACCCTCGCTCTCAACACCATAGTCCTTGACAACAACACAGCTGCACCCAACGACCTTGCGAGGGTTACCCTCCCGGTCAATCTTGCATAAGCCGGCCCAGGTTCCCAATACCTTGGCGTCACCAACCTTGATGAGGTTGATCTTGTGCTCGGCGCAGAGAGCCTCAATGAGCTTGATGTACTCGGCTTCGGTGCAGGTCTCGACAAGGACGCAAAGGTGGGCTTGACGTTTGTCAAGGGCCTTGGCGCACTCTCGGAGACCGCGAGCCAGACCGTCGTGAACGAGAGCATTCTTCAGGACTTGCTATTGAAGTTGTGAGCGGGTTGCAATAGAACAGAGGTAAATATAGAATACACACCTGAAGAGCATCCTCAACAGAAAGCTTGCCCTTGGGCGCCTCAGCGGCGACTTCCTCGACAGGTGCGTCGACTTGAATGTCATCTCCTGCGTCAGACATCCTGAAAATAACATTTAGTACGATGTATTCATTGGAAATCCATACAGGGCACTCGCTTTTTAGTTTTGCAACAGTTGGTACAAGTAAAGAAGGTTTTTTGGATGTCTTCGTCCGCGCTCGTCGATGTGAGGAAAAATTAAGGTTCGGACAGAGATTATGTACTTAGATGTTTGCGCTCCGCTTCGCGGCTGGGACGGCACGCTCCCTCGGTCCGATCGTGATTCGTCCCTCAATACCGTGACCCACTGGCGGCTTGCGGTCCTCAAGATTCAAGAGCCTTTACGAGCAACTCAGAAACGTCTGTCTTTAAGCTTCGGGTGACGACGAAATATAATTCGACTGGTAATATCTCCATCTATCCATGTTAATTAGATACTCGTATCTAAGCCATTGGCAACGTCGTGCCGGAGTGCTTCGCCAATTAATGGCTTACGGCGAACCGACCCGGTTTGCTAACATGAACATTCGTTCATCTTCGAGATACCGGCAAAATATTGTAGTCAGCCGGCTTTCTTTTCGAAGTACACACCAGCAGACTTTGGCTACGCGAACTTTGAGGATTTTCTTCAGATCAGTTGACAAACTGAGTGCAGTAATCTTTTACATAAAGTTAGACTATCTCAAAACCGTCCAATACATCATAATCTCAGCAATAGTGCGAATATAAACCATGATATCATATCAAAGAGAGTGCGAGTTCTACGAGTCAACAGGATTAGCAATACAAGATAATGTATATACGATAAAACGAAGGTGAATATTTCATGCGTCTGTCCCGCAGACCGATTCATAACTTGTGAAAAAACCTGCGAGGCTTCACCAGCTCAGCGAGATTTGTTAGCACTCGCCGGAAGAGCGACTTGACTCTCCATTTTCCTGGAAGCAAAATTTAATGAAGGCTCCAGTCTGAAAGTATAGATGCTCACCTTTCTGGCTCACAGGCTCCGGTACCGGAGGAGACTCCTCGGGCGTCGAGTTCAGTTCATGTGTGTCCGGTGAACCAGAGCTGAGTTCTTCCGTCAAACCTGAGCAAGATATCCCTGACGTGATACTATAATTCCACGAAGCGTTGTCAGGAATAGACGTGTCGTCGACCTCCGGACCCTGCGGCGGATCGAAAAGGACAGATCCGTAGCGTGCGAGTTGATACTCCTGTACAATCCTTTGGGGGGTGGGGAAACAGTTAAGAAGATTCCCAGCAACGGAAGATGTTTACTTACTCCCGGAAAAGATCCACGTCTCCGCATAGCTGCGATGGATCAGATATCTCTGGAACATTTGAGAGGACGTGATCGATACGCATAACGGGCACAAATATTTCATCTTCTTCAGGATCATCAGAACCTGGTATCTTGGCCAGGAACGTTTGCAAGGTATGGCTATCAGTCTCTGAAACGTCGTCTGTGTCCGGGGCGTCTTCTTGACCATCAAGAATTCGCTGGATTTTTGCATCGTCTAGTCCAGCTCGGAGTAAGTCGCGGTGAAGCTCATCCTCTTCAAGGGCTTTGAAAAGCGAAACGGAAAATTTCGCACGTGGCGAGTCATGATAGTCTCGCCATTCGGATAGCACACGCGCCCAAAGATTGTAGCAGGTAGGGTGGTAGCAATCGTCCCATGGCAGTGGCTTCGACACCTTAAGAGCTTCCCTTGACCTAGGATGGGCCGTTGTTGGCAAGATAGGAACACACATAGTAGGCCGCGCATGGTCGGGGTTCCGAGGATGAGGCTTCGTGAGGCCTTGTTGTACTGGCCGAATGCTGATAACTCTGTATTTCGGAGTCTTTTCGCCAGTTGACCGTTCAACCTAAGGATTTTTCAGTGGTCCGGACACAAGTAAGCCGCAAAACGATGCACTTCCAAGCATTGACCGGCATATTGGCGATCCTGCAGACCTTCCAACTTTTGCGACATAGCTTCGTCGCCTCCGTCGCAGTACAACTCTAGAGTTGCTGCTACGTCGATGGAAAAGGTGAAATAGTGATAAGAAGGCGGAGCCAGCTGATACCTCATGTCATGAACGGCCATGGCGGGGAGCAGTAAGGTTAGGAGGAACGATGAGCGACAAAATCTGAATCGAGCATATTTATACCGTCGCCTGAGTGGCAACAAAAGAACAAGAACAAAGGCGTGGGAAGGTTCGTCAATCTCGATCATCCTCTCGAATCTCGATCTGTCATTGTTAACTTCTTGAAATTGGTCCTCGCACTTGCCTGTCTCTCTTTAACAATGCAGTAACAAAGAATGCGTTCCTTATCTGCTGGGACAATGTAACCGTGTCGGCAGATCTCCTTCTATAAAATGGGGAGGGCAATCGTTCATGGGTCTTGCACTTGCTTTCCCCGATTCCCACTCAAACATCACCTTACACTCCCTTGCAGCTGGTAGGCCTGGTGCCACCTATACATCCCTCGTTATTTTTCAATGTTCTCGCGTTATGCTGTACTCTCTGAGGACTACGATCCCAACAAACCCGCTAGGCCGCGGAGCCTTATCTCAAAACCTCCTTCAGTTACCCGCAGGCCACGGAGAGCCCCTACGACATACAGGCGTGGTCAAATCTGCCTCTTTAAATTATCCGCGTTCACACCGTTGGCGGAAGCTTTGGATAACGCTGAAGGTCCCCTGGCCCTCCGAGAAGGTTGCTCATTAACTATCCGGGATGGCTCCCCTGCAGCTGTCTCTTCCGGGAAGGAAAGACCTTGCATCATCATGGATCCTCCTGCTGGTTACAAGTCTGACAAGGGTCGTCGGAAAGGCCACTTCATCTGTGTGATGGCCACGTTCGCATCCTCTGGTGGCGATTATAAACGTTTTGGACAGCTTCTCCAGCGATTTGTCGTGCCTGTCGAACCAAATGCCCAGGTTCTTCCTGACTCAGAAATTAATGCGTTGAAGACGAACCCAGCTTGGCTCCATCCTCTACAATGGGTGATCTCTTATATAATCTTCACGGAGCAGCCCGTGAGGCTCTTTAGGGCTCGCAGTGATGGTCGAAGCCGCCAGCTTTCCAACACCGAATACAACAGACTGTCCCAATATTGCCTCGATCAGCGGGCCTTATGGCAGCACGATACAGAAGAGAATGAAAACTTAAGGCAGGAGATGTACGAGGAACTTGTAGTAAGCCCGAGTGGTTTTGAATTCCGGTGTTACGCATTGCTAACTGATAACAGGACTGGAAACCTGATCCACTCGATGCCGACAAGGCATCACTATACTCGTGTCTTTCCAACGCGTCCGGCTTATCCATCGATGGCTCCCAATCATTGTATCCAGCTTCTCGTCGTGGAAGTACTTTAACGTTGGACACGATCTTCGAAGGCACCGCTTCCACATATCCCACTTTTACACCTGAGGACTTCCCGCCCCTGCCCTCGAGGGTCTGTGAAGTATATTAACTGCACCTGTTCATACGTCAAAGCTATTCGTGTTGTCTGTTTTCAAGCTAATCGGCTGAACCTAGGTTGATTATATAGTGCACTAGTCAATGAACTGTATCGGATCAGTGTATATAGCTGCCAATGTATCTGTAGACGAACTTGTATTGAATGCCACACATATTGGGACCACGCTGTTTCGCCGTTTCTTTCTCACTACCGTTTCCATCAACAGTAGGTCGTCAGTGCGTCGAAATCAACGGAAAGAAAGTACCTAGTCCATTATTAATCTTCACCAGGACGGACAAGGATAAAAACGACCGTAGTTAGCATCTGGCACAGGCCCTCAGCTGGACGCGAAAGTTTGTTTCGCACAGTGGTATCACTTGATAGGACAAGGTCGTCTCTTAACGTCAGATTCCACGACGCTCGATATGTTGCATAGTACTGCAGCGAAAAGGTGTCAGTCATGTTTTCCAAGCCAAGACATTTCTCTACCTTCAAATAATAGTACCGTACTTTGAGCGAAGACAAATAGAAAAGCATTACGATGTGTCGAGAGCGCAAGACAGAAAAATTAACGATACAATCGCTAAGCAAGCCTCCTTGTCGCCCGTCTGAGGATTGATTTAATGGTTTGTCTTTCTGAACTATGATGACTCAAAATGCTCCTACTTGATGCGCGAGTATGTACCTTGCTGGTTGGGGCTTTCGAATCGAGAAGCCCAAGCAGCTTAAACCATCAAAGTGAAGGTGCATGCCACGGCCCTGTTAAATTCACGCACATCGAAATACAAGTCTTCCTGTGGTTTCAGAGTAAGGCCTCTCTGAGCTATGTACGACACACTCAAGAGGCCATTCGCTTGAGAGGGTCAGAAAACCGCCCAGCCAAAAACAAGTCTGATAGGTCGTTGTCGAGACGGTCTTTATTTTATCCTGTGATCAACGACTGACAAATGCTATGACCGAATGTATACTTGCATCATGATGCCTGTACTTGTTAGTTGCGAGGGAAAACCTCAGAGACTGGGGATGCATACAGGTTGGCCAGCATGATGGGATTATTAGTGTGTTGTCGCCCGATTGGGGCATGAACGCCGATGCCAAATCTAAAAATAGGCCGACCTAAAAGTTAGCCCAGAGCTGGCTCTATATTAGCTAGAACGGCATACCCCATACCAAGAGATGTAAGATGGAATTTTTCCGAGTCCAAACGGGCTATTCCACAGCGGCGTGTGCGTGTACCGAATTGACCAATCGAGGGGACTAATCCGAGCCTCGGTAATTAATATGACGAGATTTGGTTCCACGGACCTAACCTGGACCTGAGTCATCAGGGGAATTTTATGGACCTCAAACGCATAATTGTTATACCTCAGGTAGGAAGAGAGACAGATATTCCACAGCCTGGTATATCCGATTAATGTATACGCGTATACAGTATGTAACCGGGAGGGGGACAATGTTTCAATACATACAATTATTATCCATAGCGGGTTCGAGCCATGCGGCCTTTTGGGGGATTACCCCGTCTACGCAGCTCTTCGTCAATCTTCCACATTCCGCTGACAAACTCGTCTTTCGTTAGACCAGGCTGGGATCTAAGATGGCCCTGAGTACATTCCGTCCTGCGGTCTCATGAGTGGGGTCACGACTACGAAGAAGAAATGAACGCACCATATCTGCGCCAATTTGGTATCCTCCAAACGAGATTTTCTCCATATAAGCTTCACAATGTGTGGTGGGAGCGTTAGCGGGGAATCATCTTCCGAGTCAGACTCGGCAGCGGGCAGGTCGTCTGAGCCTGTTATGAGATCAACGGAAAGTCCGCGCCATCCAGCGGCCTGCCGGGACTTGCGTGGTGAGAGAAATGGTAGTGTCGGTGGAGGCTTGGCTTTACGCTGCTGGCGTGCTAGGTTTCGTTGTGAGATATTGCGGTCAAAAACTGAGGTATAGCGAGCACGAGCGGCAGGTGGTATGGGCGTGGGACGGGTAAGAGAGGGGGCAAAGGAGGTCGATGACGCACGAGACGACGGTCGTGTGGATGTAATAGAAGAGCGTGATGATGAAGCAGGCGGCGGTGGCGGCGGAGGTCGACGTGTCGTGCTCGTCGTGCTCGTCAGTGTCGATGATGCTGAGGGTGGTCTTTTGGGCAGCTTCGGCGGCGTCGGTTGTATTGGCGACACATTTTCGTATGACGAGTCGTCTATAGAGTCACCGTCGGTCGATGTCTGGCCGTCGAGAGAGACAGAATGGAAGGACGAGATGGACGACGCTGAGGTGTGTTTTGGTGGATATGTGTGTGTTACTGGGGGCTTGAGAGTGCGAGGAGGTAGAGGGGGAGCGACGTCGACGATGGGCGTGACGTCGACGACCCAGTCTTTGAGGTCGATGAGCGACGCCGACGACGGTGACGTCGACGAGGAGGCATTATTGGACAGAGACTCAAAGGCATGTATGCGGGACTGCACCGAGGTCATGGTCGCAGTCCAAGTTTGGTCACCGCTGTCTTCTTTCACCGCCACCATGTCTTCCGAATTGTATGCTGTTGCTGATTTCTGCCTCATCCCTATGAATGCCCCAGAGCCTTCAGTCAGCTATTTCTCAGCATATTCTACTGCCGTTAATGTATCCCAGGTCGCCATATTCATTGCCGAATGCCAGAGGGTCTTGGAAAAGTCTGGTCTCACATTCAAGGTGCGTTTTCCCTTTGCTTTTCAAGCTGATATTCATCAAGACGATACATTGCAGATGCAGTAAGTTATTAATATGCTCTGTTCATCGTCGTGACGTCTTTCAGCGGGTACGGAACAAACTTAGGTGCGGTATCAATCATATCTAACACCATATAACTCATATCTCCCTTAGAAGGACCCTGGTCCGACGTCTGCAAGGCCATTCATGACTGCCACGCCGCAGTGCACGCACAGGGAATCCCTCGTATCGCAACCGACATCCGTATCGGTACCAGAGTCGACCAGGAGATCGCACCTGGTACAGGAAACAAACATAAAGTCGAGAGAGTCGAACAAATATTGGCAGCGAAAGTTTGAATTGAAAACTTGAAGATGATCGAAAAGGTGTATTATGTGCGTTTGAGCTTGAGCTACCGGTCGAGTGCTAATGGTATTGCTAGAATGACATGTAAACCATTATCTGTATCTATCACACCCTTCTCCAACGAGTCTATCTTTTTGGAACCAAAGCCAAATATAACCTCCAAGTCTAGTCGCGGATCACGCGGGAATCATCTCTTGCGGGACTCACTCAATGCACCTGACGCGTCACTTAATCGATCCAATATAAGCTCTCTTATAGGAACACAAGTAGCCAGCCGAAGACAGTCGAGTTTCCGTACGATACTGATAGTGCGAATACCGATTCCTCAGTTCAAGAGGCCCGATCCAACGACGTATGTGTGTCCATTCCTAAAGATTTCATCCTTCTAAATCCTTCTTGGTCAATAAGGTGGATATTCGGGATCTTTACCGTCTACGGGCCGTGAACACCGTGCTCAACCATTTTGAATGACTCACCTTCATCGATCCGGGCTTTCTTTCCTCGATATCCATGTCACGATCCCAGCAGTGAAAGGAGTTCCTTCAACACGTTCAAGCTTCCCGTGGAAAAACTGTGTTACTGGACGTTACGACGAGCGCATCGAAATCGAGACGAGTATGTCATTGGGAGTGATCCTTACAGTTTGAATCAGAAGATCATGGAAGTGGATCAACCACAAAATCATATACGAATGCACCAAAACAGCGAAAGTAACTAAAAGATGGCAATAGAGATTCAACCGCTGCGAGCACACCAGCCTACTCCACTAATCATCTAAGTTTTCGACGCCCATGCTACACAAAAAACCCGAGTCAGCAAGCGCCCAAGTTAACAATCTAACAGTTCCTACTTACCCGTACTCATTCAATGCTGAGCTGGGGGCGTAGGCACGGCCCTTCCGAGGACAGAAGTAACACCACCAATAACAGTAGTCACACCCCCAACAACAGAAGTAACACCCCCTACAACCGAAGTGACAGCAGCGACATCAGCTTCAACAGTCTTAGCAGCCGGCAACGCGCTTGATTGAACAGTGAAGAGGCCTCCAAAATTGGCTCCCGCAACTCCTCCACCGACAGAGATGACCACGCCCTGGCGGGCTTCGAGCTCTGCCGTAGCGACTGGTACGGCAGCGGAAACGGATGCATCGACAAGGTCGCGTCCGACGGGGACAGTGGTGGCGACAACCTGTCGGGCTTCAACGACTTTGGACGCAGCACCCTCGGTATCGATGGGGAAGTCGCCCCCAAAGGGTCCCGCAATGGCGTTCTGGCGGGCTTCGAGCTCTGCTGTAGCAACTGGCACGGCAGCGGAAACGGATGCATCGACAAGGTCACGTCCGACAGGGACAGTGGTGTCGACAACGGGGACAGTGGTGGCGACAACCTCTCGGGCATCAATGACTTTGGACGCAGCAGTCTCGGTATCGACGGTGAAGTGTCCATCGAAGTTGATATCTCCACCGACAGAGATGGCAATGGTATCGCGAGCTTCGACTACAGCGCTGGCGGTAGCTACTGGTGCGGCAGTGGATTCATCACCAAGGACCCCAATAACAGAGGTCATTCCATTAATGACAGTAGTGACGACGGCCTGTCGGGCTTCGACGGCTTTGGAAGCAATGGCGGTGGCAGATGGCGCGGCGGTAGACTCATCAGCGAGGATGCCCCCGATGATGGACGTGACTCCTCCGACGACTGAAGTGACTCCCCCAACGATAGAGGTGACGGCAGCGACCTGAGCTTCGACGGCTTTGGACGCAGCAGCGTCAGTATCAACAGTGAAGTGTCCATCGAAAGTGATATCTCCACCAACAGAGATGGCGACACCATCCCGACGGTCAAGAACGGTGGTGGCGGTAGCGACTGGTTCGTCAGCGAGGATGCCGCCGACGATAGAGGTGACTCCTCCAACGACAGTAGTGACTCCCCCTACAACCGAGGTGACTCCCCCAACGACGGAAGTGACGACTGCCTGTCGGGCTTGGATAGGTTTGGTGGGGGCCGCCGGCGGGTCGACGGGGCCTTGCTCGTGCCCTTGCCTTTTCACCATGGCAGGGCTGGCCAGTCCGCCGGGGAGCTGAGCGCAGAGCAGAACAAAAGCGGATAGGATGGCGAATTTGGACATGGTGAGATGCAGGTGTGTAGTTGAGAAGTAAAAGTGAATCCGAGAGGATGTTGTTCTCCCTCTTCAACATAGACTCTTATATACGTCTAGAGGTAATTCTTGGAAAATATACTGTATGCAACGGCGTCGGGCGATCGTAAAAGTCGGCAGGCATTCTCCGGTAAGAAATTCTTGAGAGACGAAACTTTGGGAGAGAAAGAAGTTTAGACCGGGGGTTTCTCTCCGTTGCGAGTTCGGCAGTCCCCAGAATGCCTTTATAATGTTCGCATGAGGATCCGCACTCTGTCCTGCTTGTCGATCAAGTGCGAATGTAACCCGTAACTCCCGGGAAATGGTTCAGAAAATCCGTACGTGCAACAGATACGCTCGGAGGGACGCAAGACTATCATGAAAAAGCGGGCCAGACGCGACGAATAGGCGCAACTTAGAAAAGAGAATTCGATCTTGGACGAGTCTGGCCTGACGAAAAGCTCGGGCTTGAGAACTGACGGGTAACGATGGACACGGTAGCTCGGAGTATTTGTCGAGTAAAAGAGCACTGGATTACCACAAGGTGGATGACAGACCATGCATGGAATGAAGCAAGCATGGCCGGTACGTCTTCAGAGCGGAAGTTGGGTTACGATGTGTCGTTCACTTGGCGGAGATTTGATATGTCTCGAAGTTCTAGTAGAATTCTAGCCAGGCGTGTTGTCCGCATCGAAGTGTAAAATGTATCGTCGGAGCCGCCAGCAAAAGCCGAGCGCCGCCGACACATCCTTTCCTGCAAGCCACACTCTCCACAAACTGTATGGCACCTTCCATCGCTTCGGTCGACCCCCACACTGGCGTTACTGCTACACATTTTGAATCTATTTGAAACTTGGATGGAGAAACTCGGTGTTCCCATCCATCTTCGACACGTTTACGCAGGTCCCGTCACCAACGATACCTTTAGTGGTGATATGATTCCAGAGTGCGGTGGAGGACAGGTCCATGGAATCCTTGGGTGTACAGGCCACCATAATAAAGAGGAGATGAAGCCTCTGGTACCACGATAGCAGGAAAACACGTAGAGGAGGAGGAAAACCTTGACGAGACTGGTGATGGTGAGGACATCATTGACAACATGGTGGTCGGGGTTAGGGTTCTCATAAGTGATGGGCTGGAACTTAGAGCGATCTCGAAGGTGCATGGCGAAGCATTCGTACTGCAGACCGGCGGGGTTGGGATGATCGGAACGAAGTCGAGTAGGCGGCTCGTTATAGACTGATGGTCGTCTCTCTAATTACACTTGACGTTGTAAGCAAGACAGAGAGACAGGTAAATTTGAGTTTGAAATCCCAATACTGGCTAATACGGGTGCCCCGTAGCCTAAGTTATGGTGGCGACGACACCCCTAGACGCCAATGACTCAACACACAAAGATACGAGAAAACTGTACCATTAATGGACCGAAAATCCCTCCGTACACCTACTGGGGCTGGCTACGAGCAAGCGCCGCCGCGTCTCTGTACATAGATTACGGGTTGCGGTTTCGAAGAAATATTGAAATATAGAGTCAAAAAAAAGGGTGGCTGTAAAAGATCATGTGAATATCACATGAAGGTTTCGGAGCCCTCCTCAGGCAAGCCGGCTTTATTATATACTAGCGGTCGTCGGTCGACGACTATCATACCTTGCTTAAGCGGTGTTCATCCCCACCCCAAATTTGCAGAATCCAATTTATGTGAGGCACACTTTGAAAATAATCATACACCGCCATAATAATACGTACATGCCTTTAAGAGCATCGAACTGTTAGTTACCTGAACTCATCACATTTAAGCACGCACTTTCTTCGCCTCACCTTTTTCAATGTCCATAATTTTCATTGATTCGGTTAGATTCTTGCAGAGCTACCCGTTGGATGCTATCTTGAAGAGGAATATTGCATTGTTCAATGAAATAATACACTGCACTTCGATGACAGGATATCGCCGTTGACACGTTGATCTGAGTACACACCGAATGAACATACAGTTTTATTTGACTTAATGTACCCCGTAACGCTGTAAGATATCCACAATGACCGGTAGATCTAGAGGATTTAATATGTTGGTGATTTGATATCTGTTGTGAAAAGACTTCGATGTGTGATGGAAAGGGTGAAATCGTCAGCAACAAGGATTTTGATTATGTGTGGAGAATGATGTCATATCACGGGAAGACCTTGGCTTGTGTAAGCGAGGATTTTAGACCTAGAGAGACCTTGACAAGCAAGGTAACTCGCGGTACTCGTATTACCTTACTCTTCTTGCTTGCAACGTCACGCGTCAAGTGTACAGAGAGGTAGTTAGTTATAGACTTTCTTATGGGAACACGAGTAGCCAGACTTACCCACAGCTGTGATATGCCTATTTTGAAGACAACTGAGTTTGCTCAGGACACTGATGATATGAATACCGATTCCTCAAGGACCCGGCGATCCAACAATGTGTGCGTGTCCATTCTCAAAAATTTCATCCATCCAAAGTCCTTCTTGGTCAATAGAATGGTTATTCGGGATCTTTACCGTACTCAACCATTTCGAATGACTCACTTCCATTGACCGAGGCTTTCATCACAATCTCAGCGGGAGTTCCGCCAATTCGTTCAAGCTTCTGCATGGAAAGGCTGCCACTGAACGTTAGGGCAAGGCTGATGAAACCGAGACGAATAAGTCATTGGGAATGGTCCTTAACATTTGATTCAGAAGATCAGATAGGTGGATCAACCACCAAGTCATATACGAAAGCACCAAAGCAACGAAAGTAACTAAGAGATGGACAATAGAGATTCAACCGCTGCGAGTACACCAGCCTACTCCACTAATCATCTAAGTTTTCGACACCCGTGCTACACAAAAAACCCGAGTCAGCAAGCGCTCAAGTTAACCATCAAGCAATTCCTACTCACTCTTACTCATTCAATGCTGAACTGGCGGCGTAGGCACGGCTTTTCCAAGGACAGAAGTAACGCCGCCAATAACAGTAGTCACTCCCCCAACAACCGAAGTAACACCCCCTACAACCGAGGTGACAGTCTTAGCAGCCGGCAACGCGCTGGATTGAACAGTGAAGAGGCCCCCAAAATTGGCTCCTGCAACTCCTCCACCGACAGAGACGACCATACCCTGGCGGGCTTCGAGCTCTGCCGTAGCGACTGGCACGGCAGCGGAAACGGATGCGGATGCATCGACCTGGCGGGCTTCAACGACTTTGCTGCATCCAGTATCAAGATCGCAACTGTAAGGACCGGCGCCATCGGCATTTTGACGGACGGAGATGGCATTGGCATCGACTACAGCGCTGGCGGTAGCTGCTGGTATGGCAGTGGATTCATCACCAAGGACTCCAATGACAGTGGTGACGACGGCCTGTCGGGCTTCGACGATTTTGGACGCAGCAGCGTCGGTATCAACAGTGAAGTGTCCATCGAATGTGATATCTCCACCAACAGAGATGGCGACACCATCCCGGCGATCAAGAACGGCGGTGGCGGTAGCGACTGGTTCGTCAGCGAGGATGCCCCCGATGATAGAGGTGACTCCTCCAACAACACTAGTGACTCCCCCTACAACCGAGGTGACTCCCCCAACGACGGAAGTGACGACGGCTTGTCGGGCTTCGATGGGTTTGGTGGGGGCCGCCGGCGGGTCGACAGGACCTTGCTCATGCCCTTGCCTTTTCATCATGGCAGGGCTGGCCAATCCGCCAGGGAGCTGGGCGCAGAGCAGAACAAAAGCGGATAGGATGGCGAATTTGGACATGGTGAGAGGCAGCTGTGTAGTTGAGAAGTGAAGGTGAATCCTAGAGAATGTTGCTCTCCCTCCTCAACATAGAGACTCTTATATACGTCCAGAGGTCATTCTTAGAAAATAGACTATGCAACGGTGTCTCTGTAGATCGTAAGTCGGCAGGCATTCATCCTCCGGTAAGAAATTCTTTAGAAAACGAAACTTTGGATCAGGGGTTTCTCTCCGTCGCGAGTTCGGCAGTCCCCAGAGAGTTTGTACAATGTTCGCATGAGGATCCGCACTCTGTTCTGCTTGTCGGTCAAGGGCGAGTGTAACTTGCGACTCCTGAGAAGCAGTTCAACAGATCCGTAAGTGCAGCAGAGACGCTCGCAGGGACATAAGACTAGCATGGAAAAGTGGGCCAGACACGATGAACAGGCGCGACTTGAGAGAAAGAGAATTTAATCTTGTACGAGCTTGGCCTGACGAAAAGCTCTAATTTGAGAACTGACGGGTAACGATAGACACGCTTGTAACTCGGAGTATTTGTCGAGCAAAAGAGCACTGGATTACTACAAGGTGGATGACAGACCATGCATGGAATGGGGCAAACATATTCAGTACGTCTTCAGAGCGGAAGTTGAGTACGATGTATCGCTCACTTGGTGAAGATTTGTCAAGTCTCGAAATTCTTATAGAATTCTAGCCAGTCAGAAGGAGGCATGTTGTCCGTATTAAAGGGTACGATGCGTTGTCGGAGCCGCCAGCAAAAGCCGAGAAGCCTTCCACCGCCGCCGACGAATCATTTCATGCTACACTCTCCACAAAGTGTATCTTCCATCCCTTCAGCCGACCCCCACACTGGCGCCACTGCTACGCATTACTGGTCTATGTTAAACTTGGATGGGGAAAGTCGGTGTTCCCATTCTTCGACGAGTCCCTGTCACCAATGATGGTGATACGGTTCCAGAGCTGAAATGCAGGGGAGGATAAGTCCTTGGGAGTACAGGCCGACATAACAAAGCGGAGGTAGTAGTCTCCGGTACCGGGAACACGTAGAGGAACAGGAAAATCTTGTCGAGACTAGTCATGGTGAGTCGGGGTTAGCGTTCTCATAAGTGAAAGGCCGGAACTTGGAGTGATTTCGAAGCATTCGTGCTGCAGACCGACGAGGCCGGAACGAGGTTCGAGCAGGACTGGTGACCGACTCTCTAATTACACTTGACGTTGCAAGAAAGTGAAATCAGTCTTAAATCTGAGCTTGAAATTCCTGAACGGGTGGCTGTGGAGTATCACGTGAAGACTTCGGGCCGAAACTTCCGAAAGGCTTTCTTACCTGTTCTTATTCTGTATCGGAGATGGCCAATCGATCCAGTTTTCCAGTCTTCTTACTTGCAACGTCAAGGGTACAGACACAGTTACGAGTCTACAAGGTACCCGTCGCAATTGCGGAGCCTTCAATAGAAGATTACGCAAAATGCGCCTGTACTTCTGGAAACGGCTTGAATCTGGCGGTTCAGTTTTATACACAAGAGTACTGTCCTCCTCGTCCTCCCATTGCTTCCCATGGCATATCGTCGTCCCCTATGCATATTTATCTCTCTCTTGAGCCTTTTTCTCCTTGGAACACACATCATTCTCTCCTCTATAACTTATTACCTTTCCATCGACCCTAATGCCTATCTTTCCGAGGACCAAGTACCTATACTTGGGCGACACTACCGGTGGAATGCCTCAGAACATGGACAAGTTGAAAGAATCCCACGAATTCTCCACCAGACATGGCGAACAGAGACCCTTCCCGAGAAATGGAGGCCACTTTCTCAAGAATGTCGGGATTTGATGCCAGATTAGTGCGTCTCGTTGCTATGCACGCGTATTATATATGTGACTGACGGTTCTCTTAGTGAATACATGCTCTGGGCTGACGACAGAGCTCGTGATTTTATATCAGAGCATCATCCTTGGTTTTTGGATACATTCAACGATTACCGATATCCCATTCAGCGGGCAGACGCCATCCGCTATTTCATTCTTCATCACTTCGGTGGCATCTACTTGGACCTCGACATTGGATGTGAACGTCCTCTAGACCCCCTTCTGGTCTATCCTCTCATCCTTCCAGAAACAACTCCCGTGGGCATCTCGAACGACCTCATGTTCTCAGAAAAAGGTCATCCCTTCATGGCACAAGTTATACGCAGCCTCGGTACATCCGGTCGCTCATGGGTACTCAATTATCCAACTGTAATGTTCTCCACGGGACCTACGTTCCTTTCGGCCCAATACAGCATTTTCGCTTCATCCCACGCTAGTGATCCTATCCGCGTCCTCCCAAAGTCATTGTATGGAAAAAATGCGAAGGAGGGAGAGGCGCCATATTCTTTCTTTTCACATTTCTATGGAAGCAGCTGGCATGCTGGTGACGCTGCTTTCATTGGCTTCCTTGGCCATTGGGGCAAAGCATTGATGTGGTTTGGTTTGATCGTCCTCTTATTGGGATTGCCATTTATTGCGTCCCCCAGCCGTAATCAACGTAGATATAGCTTGCGGCGTATTGGAGGGTACGAAGTCCTCCTTCCTCGCTGGTCTTCAGGGACAAGCCATTGGAATTTCGGGTCTTCATCCGACAGTGATAACGACTCTCCTATCGATCAGGATGTTCTTATTTTGCAGCTCCCATTCGATGTCCGACCGAGCTCCCCAACATTATCAGATGCATCGACAGAGCTCTATGCTGGCTGTCCATACACGCTTTCCGGCGATTGCGAAACGGAGTGGTGGCACTGACTAGCCCGCGAGAAGATGTCCCTCGAACACCATTCCGCAATAGACGCCAACGTTACAGCCGTGGTGTTTTATTCTTCTTTCCCGCTATATTCACATAGTCCCAAAATATTGAGCTTGGTCTCGCCACTACATATTCAGATCCACAAAGGCCACTGCTTCTGGATAGAAATAGTCGGCGTTCCCGTTCTTCTTTGATACCTTTACGCAGTTCCCCGTCGCCAATGATACCTTTAGCAATGATTAGTAGATCCAATTCCTCACGTAAAGATACAGGGATAAACGATTGCGATACATTGCTCCAATTTATTGTTACAGTCTATTGACTTCCGAATGGGAAGCATGAGTGACTTTGACATACGGAAAGGCCCAGTCTTTAATGTATCTCACACATCCTCGAGGGCAACGGCGGGAAGTCACTAGGCGTAAAGGTAGGGCATGTAGGAGCAATGTCCTCGAAGATAGTACGCAACGTTACAGTACTTTCGCAACGAGAATGTTGCGTATAGGACGATCGGACACTGTTGATAGTGTTGATGGACAAACCAGAAGCATTGGAACAGCAAGTGTATACCGATCCTCCGTCGGTGTCATCGTCAGGTTTCCAGTTCTTAGAAAGAGCCAGTTAACAGTGAATAAAAATTTAAATCAAAACCACTCGGACTTACCACAAGTTCGTTATACATATCCTGCTTCAGATGCTCGTTTGCCTGTGTATCGCGCTCCAATAAGTCCCGCTGGTCGGAACAGTGTTGAGCCAGGCGGTTATACTCGGCACTGGAAAGTTGACGGCCTTTGCCGCTCTGAGACCTATAGAGCTTCATAGGCTGTTCCGTATATATTATATAGCAGATTGCCCATTGCCGAGGATGACGCCAAGCTGGGATCGTCTTCAGCGCACACATATCCGAGTCGGGGAGGAGTTGTTCGTTTGGTTCGACGGGAACGACAAGTCGCCGGAGAAGTTTTCCAAAACTTTTATACTGACCCTGGGAAGATCCAAATGTGGCCATCAGACAGATAAAATAGCCCTTCTTTTGATTTCGACGAGTCGAAAGATGAGAAGGGGCATCCATGATGATGCAGGGTCTTTCTATCCCGGAAGAAACGGGGACGAGTTTGCCACTTTGAATGGTCAGTGATAAGCCTAACCGAGGTTCCAGTGGTCCAAAGGAATCCTTTAAAGCAGCGCAGAGCGGCGAAAATACGGACTCTTTGACGATGCAGATTTGTCCAGGTTTGAAGGATCGGTGACTCCGGGTCGCCTTTGGGACGGTCCTAATTGAAGGGGATTTCGGTATGCTGACCTGCTTGGTGGCATCATAATCCTCGGAGAGTACAGCATAACGCGAAACTGAAGTCTGGAGAAAAGGGGACATCTCGTAGAGGCACCAGGCCTATAAGTTGCAAAAGGAGTGAGCGGGTAAAGAGAAGAAAGTTGGTGGAATGAAAGAATGTGCGGTGAATGAGACCTTCCATTTTATATGGAGAAACACCATCGTCATAGGTTCATTTTTATCATAGCAAGACAAATGGGACAAAGAGCTTTGACGCGAGAAAGGAAATGAAAGACTGGCCAAGGAACGATATGACCATTGCAAATACAAGAGCAACCAGGGCGGATCAAACTGATCAAATGGATTTTGCGATCATTTTCTCACGGTTCCTTTGTCTTCTTTTGTCTCTGTGCCACCCAGGATACCGTATAAAATGCTTGACTTAGCTGCTGCCGGCGGTCATTCCCTCCTCCCCCTCACCGTTCTCCGTCAAGGTCGTCCAAGGTACAGATATGCTGCCTCAAGTTGTCCCACCAGAACGTCATTATTTTGCCTTTTCTATCGACGTCGCTGCAACTCTGGAGTTGTACTGCGACGGGGGCGATGATTCCATGTTGGAAAAATTGGATGGCTTGAAGGATAGGATGTACGCTGGCTACTGTTTGATGGTGCGTCTTCTCTGAGGCTTTCCTTAATCACACCGACTGAAGAGCCTCATTTTAGGTCGAGGGGGAGGTTGACGAGGATAACAAATACCATGTTATCGATATTCGGCCAGTCCAACAAGGCTTCACGAAGCCTCACCCTCGGAAATCACAGCATGCGCGGCCTACCATGTGTATTCCTATCTTGCCTGAAACAGCCCATCCAAGGTCAAGGGAACCTCTCCAGCTGTCGAGGGAATTGCCTTGGGAGAATTGCTACCACCCTACCTGTTACGACATCTGCACGCGTGTACCAACTGAATGGCGGGACTACTCTCAGTCGCCATGTGCGATGCTCTCTGCCCCGCTTGTCAAAGCCATACCGCAGGATATGCGCTACGGCCGACTCCTCCGAGCTGGAGTAGACGATGATCAAGCCCTTCGGATTCTCGGCGGTCAGCAAGACGCCCCAGATGTCGACATTCCGGACGATGCGTCAGAGACCGACAGTCAAATCTGCAAGACGTTCCTGGCCAAAATACCAGGCTTCGAGAATCCTGAAGAAGATGGGACCTTTGTGCCTGTTCTACGCGTCGAACACGTCCTGTCAAACATCCCTGGGATATCTGATCCGTCGCAGCTATACGGAGATCTGGAACTCTTCCAAGAGTAAGCAAAAATCTTTCATTGTTGATTCCTCTTCTGAAATTTGGTTTTGTTTTCAGGATCGTGCAGGAGTATCAGCTTGCACGGTATGGATCGATCCTTTTCGAGCCCCCAGAGGGTCCGCACATTGACGATACCTCTGTTTCCGATAATTCTTCGATGGTGTATAGTATGATGTCGGGGCTATCTGGAACTTCGACGGAAGACCTAGAATCTGATCCTTCAGACTCACATGAACTTGATTCATTGCCCTCAGGTTCAGAAGAGCTTCCTACAGCACCAGCGTCTCGGCGGAAAGGTAGGTAATCATAGACTTAGTGTGGGGTTTCCATTGATTTTTGCTCCCCAGGAAAATGGAAAGTCAAGTCGCTGTTCCGGCGGGTGATGACGAATATCTTCGAGCTGGTGAAGTGGCGCAGGTTCTCTAGCAAGTCATGATCTGGTCCGCGGGGCAGACAGACAAATGTTCACTCCTTCGTTTTACCAAATATACATTATTTGTACCGCTAATCCTGTTCATCTACAACTCACACTCCCTTTGGTATGATATCGCGGTTTTTATTCACGCCAAAGCTATGACTTAGAGTTGGGACATATCATGCGAGGAAGAGTTCAACATTCAAGCTTCAAGGTAAAAGACTACCCCAGTCGGGTGTAAACATGAACCATTGTTAAGAAGCTCGGTTGAGAGGACCGAAATACCGAGAGGAAAAATACATGATGATGGCAAGGCTGTCGATATCGATCGAGATTGGATGATCTTCCCACGCCTTTGTCCTGTCCTTGTTCTTTGTTGTCACCCAAGAAACAGTATAAATATGCTCAATTTATACGGAACCGCTCATCGTTTTCCCCTGATCGCTGCCATTCTTTACCATGGCGAAGTTTGAAACGTCTCCACCTTGGTACTCTTATTTCACTTTTTCCATCGATGTAGCGGCCACTCTGCAGATGTACTGTGACGGAGGCGACGATGCTATGCTGCAAAAACTAGAAGGCCTGCAGGATAGGAAATATGCTGGTTATTGCTTCTACGTATGTCATTCTACGGCTCGCTTTAAGCACATCTACTGAAAAATATCTAGTACGAAGCTTCGAGTGAAGAGGACCCCAAGTATTATACTCTCCGCATCCGACCAGTGCAACAGGGCCTCACGAAGTCTCACCCAAGGAAACCTCAGCATGCGCGGCCTACGATGTGTCTTCCTATCTTGCCAACAACGGCCCATTCGAAGTTGAGAGAACCTATGGAGCTGTCCAAGTCACTGCCATGGGACAATTGCTATCATCCTACCTGCTACGATCTTTGTGCACGTATACCAGCAGAACAGAAGGACTATTCCCAAGCACCGTATGTGCGTTTTTCCCGCCAGCTGTCCAAAGCCATCGAGGAGGACGGCCGCTACAGAGACCTTCTTCAGGCTGGGGTAGATGATGATCGTGCACTCCAGATTACCGACGGTCACGAAGACGCCCCAGATACCGACGTTCCAGACAATGCTTCAGATATCGATGGTCTAGCCAGCCAGATGTTCATGGTTAAGATACCAGGGTCGTCGGAGCTCGAGGAAGAACTTATTTTCATGCCCGTTATGCGTGTCGACCCAATCCTGGCAAACGTCCCCGAAATAGGTGATCCATCGCAGCTGTTCGGAGACCTGGATCTCTTTCAAGAGTAAGTTATCCTCTCTAATTATTGCGATCCGTTTCCTCAACTGTTCCTTTTGTTTTAAGAATTGTGCAGGAATATCAGCTTGCGCGCTACGGATCAGCCCTTTTCGACTCTCCAGAGGATCCGATTGACGACTGTTCTGTTCAAGACGACTTTTCGAGTATGTATACTTCCATGTCGGTGGCATCGGTAGAATCTTGCTCGAGTTTCACGGACGAGCTCAGCTCTGATACTCCGGACTCTCACGAACTGCACTCATCGACAGAGGAATCTCGCCAGGTGCCGGTGCCTAACCGGAAAGGTGAGTATCTACACCTTTAGACCGGAGCCTCTGTTGAATTTTGCTTTAAGGAAAATGGAGAATCAAGTCGCTTTCCCGGCGGGCAATCTCAAATCTCGCTGAGGTCTTGAAGTGGCGCAAGTTATCCAACAAATCGTGATTTGGTCTGCAGGCTAGACTAGCAAAATCATACCTTCGTTTCATGAAATACATTATTATTTCGTATCGCTAATTCCTTTGTACGAGTTACACACTCTTTGATATGATATCGCAGTTTCTTTAATATTTTATGCACTCTGCTGAAGGCACTTGCAATGCATCAAACGGGGTCAAGGTCCGAGTACTGATAAGGTACCAGGGCAGGTTCGATCACTTTTGCCTGCTACCATCAGGAATCTTCAGGAATCTCTTCTCTTTGTCCTCGCTTTGTTTCTGTTTTAATCTTTTTGAATTTATTGCCACTCAAAGGGCAATATAAATATGTATAGCGTGGTCACCGGCCCTTTCACCTTCGCCCTCCGGCAACATTTTTTCATCCGCTGATATGAACCTCCAAGTCGTCCCACCAGCATGTATGTATTTCGCTTTTTCCATCGATGTCGCTGCAACATTGGGCATCTACTGTGATGGTGGTGACGACCTTATGCTTCAAAAACTGGAAGGTTTGAAGGACAGGATGTATGCAGGATACTGCGTGGCAGTGCATTTTGCTAACTACTTCCTTTGACTCGTTCACTAAGAAACCTCTCTTCAGGTTGAGGACAGGGTTGATGAGAATAACAAGTTTCACGTTACCAACATTCGACCAGTGCAACAGGGTCTCACGAAGCCTTACTCTCGGAAGCCTCGTTATGCGCAACCAGCCATGTGTATTCCTATCTTTCCGGAAACGACCCATCCCAGGTCAAGGGAACCTCTGGAATTGTCGAAGCCATTGCCTTGGAACAACTGCTACCACCCCACCTGCTATGACTTCTATGCCCATGTTCCAACGGAATGGCGTGACTATTCTTAGTCGCCACGTGTGCTAGGCTTCTCTCCCCAGCTCATCAAACCTTTGGCGGAGGATGGGCGCTACTACCGACTCCTTCAGTCTGGGCTAGATGAGGTCCAGGTTCTTCGAATTCTTGACGGTCAAGAAGATGCCCCGGATACAGTCGACTTGTCAGGTCGGCCTGACGATGAGCCTTACCAGACGTTCCTCGCCAACATACCCGGCTCTGAAGAGCCAGAGGATGATATCTTCATGCCTGTCTTGTGTATCAAACACGTCTTGTCAAACGTGACAGAAATATCTGACCCTTCGCAGCTACGGGAAGACAGGGATCTCTTTCAAGCGTAGGTGGCTTCTTCAAATCACGTCTCCCATTTTCCTGAACGACGCTTTCAGAATTGTGGAGGAGTATCAACTCGAGCGATACGGTCCGGTAGTTTACGAGACGCCAGAGTATCTGTCGATTGAGGATGAAACTCTCCCAGATAACTTTTCCATCGTGTATAGTCTAATGTCATCGGCATCTGGAAATTCCACGGAGGAGCTGGACTCTGGTTTTCCAGACTCTCACGAACTGACCTTGTCGGAAGAAGAGGCTCCCCAGGTACCGGTGCCCGGTCAGAAAGGTGAGCATCTCTACGTTCAGACCCAGAGCTTACGTTGAACGTTGCTTTAAGGCATATGGCGAGTTAAGTCGTTCTTCCGGCGAGCGATGATGAATGTCCTCGAGGTCTTGAAGCGGCGCAAATTATCCAACAACTCGTGATTTGGTCTGCAGGACAAACTAGCACAATCTTACCTTCGTTTCATCAAATACATTATTATTCTGTCTCACTGATCCTTTTGTACGAGTCACACACTCTTTGATATGATATCACGATTTCTTTTAGCGGCAGCGTGGACAAGGTTTTTCGAAATGCCTGTAACGAGAAACGTGGAGGACTCTACTTCATATTTCCCTAAATTCTAGGATTAGTTGTTTTCCCTTCTCCTCCTGACCTTCAAGAACTGGTGCCATCACACCGCTTGTTGCACGAATAACTCGTGGTCCATCGCGGGGATGCTTCCACTCGAACGACTGCACTATCTTGATGAGAAAAGCCTGGATCTCGAATACGCTAAAAACAGAGTCTAGTTCAGTGACTAGGAACATCGCTCCGCACTCACGCAAACTTCCATCTGGATTGACTTTTAGCAGGCAACGATTATCATAGAAGGTGGATTTACCCAAGGCACGACTGTGCGCCACTCACAAAGTTGCCGCTGGAAGACGGCATAAATAATTCTCATGCTCAAAACTGATACCAGCATACTCACAGATTGGAGTAAACGCCAAAAGGACTGGTGGAGCCATCTTTGTCGACATTTGTAGGGTGAATCCATCGTTCGGGAACAAAGTCATGCGCGTTATCTCCCCAAACATCCCGGAGGCTACCAAGGCATGTCAAAGACCAACAACTCGGGAACGAAATGGCTATACCGGTTGTATCCTGAGATTCGACATTCTTCAAGCCTTGAAGACTCCGCGATGGAAGCTTTTCAGGAAAGTGAAAGCACGAATAGGTAGATAACCCAGAACATGTTGTGCAAATATTTTACCCTTCGATGGAAGGCCAAATGTGCTTGTGCTATGGGTGAGTTCAAAATTCGAATGTGCATCAGAAGAAAGAGCAACAGGCATACAGAAGATTTTTGTAGGCTTGAGCCAGTGGGTTCTTTTCGCTGTCAAGTGTGCCGAACTGTCCAACTCGATCAGCACAGCCCAATGAGAAGAGTGAAAGCGCGTTGTACAAAAGTTTGCGTATAAGAAGAACACACCGTCTCCAACGTGTCGTGCGAGATGCCATCAGTAACTTCAACTGCAGTTGTTTCTTCCAAGTTTGCAATAATCTGCCGCCACTTTTCACAAAGCTAAATAATGTCACTGAGAGGTGGGTCCCAGCACGAGTGTCCGAGCACGCACATGTCCCGCACTTTCCAGAAACGCGCGTATCATTCCACGACTCTCAAGATTGCCAAACGCCGGTGTGAGAGTCTCTTGTGATTATCATCTACATGATATCAATTATCAATGAAATACATTCGTAAGGTGGTGATAGCCTACCTTGTGCCCAAGCTATTCCGTTCCCTAAGTAGATGCAGCCAAACTCGTGACGAATCTCTGTTTGCGCCACTTCATAGCCGCAGTCTGATAGATATGTTGCAAAGCCTAGAATGATACGTCAAAGATATCATTACAACAACTTGAAATGTGTGACCTTGGGGTCAGCAATCAACAGACGGTCTTCCTATCAGCAAATTTTGTTAGAATTCTATGTTCCGTCTAGTCACGTACTCCAAAGAGGGCTTTAAATCAATACGCAGCACTATATTGTTCCTGTCATCGAAATTCGAATTCGCCAACACCATGATGATAATACTCCCAAAAGTTGCCTGAAACGGGTTTCAGAAACGAGCACAAACCGATGGAAGATTTGCACACCTAAAATTTTCTTCGAAAACACAGCTGGCGGCCCTGTTATATTCGAGATCGATATTATTGACGACAGCTTTGGTGGCATTTTGATATATACGAGAATGACAATTGGAAGAGAAAGGAGGTACGGCAAGTACGGATCCATGGTTGGCGTACGGAACTTGCAGCGTTAGACTGGAGCGGCAGTTGTATGGTTCAGGACACCAAGCGACGTACCCTCCTAAAGTGCCACAGGTGATCCGAAGAGTATGCTTCCATACACCAGCTGTACCTACGGGAGATCATCATCGTCGAATCGGACCCTTGAAATGGAGTCAAGGGTTGGAAACAAGGAATTGAGTAATTACATAGGTAGAAACCCATGCTTATCAGCCGCGTTGCGGATCCAGTAGCGGCAGTTGCCGAGTCCCCGATTCTTTCCTTTTGTATGAAGAAATGGTACACTGTATCCTACGTATTCATTTAAGCTGAATTATAGAATATAGCTTGATAGAATGTTGGAAAAGTGGTGGTGCAAAAAGCTCGCTCGGCGGCTGCGCTGCCAGCTCGCATTTTGCACAATCTCAATCTAATAATTAATTTCAGTTGTGATATGCATGCACGCCCCCATTTGGACTTCTGTCCATCTCTGCAGATGCATTAGGTCTCGAGAAAGAAAATATTACCCACCACATACCTTCAACATACCTTATATCGCAGAAACATTGAACATTGAAGCTTTGATCTCGTGCCTAGGAAGCTGAATACATATTACATTGACCCAAGAGCTACTGATCAAAGTTTTCCGCGATAAATCCAGACCCTAAACGTCCTACCGTAAATGAGTATGTACTCCCTGAGAACTACACACATCTATCAGCACACATGGCCATCTGTAGCAAGAGCCCGCCATTTCTGACCGGCAGGCATAAAGGCGGTATTTACTACTATTCTCTCATTATATCCAATGTACATAATAAGTATCACAACTGGGAGAACCTTGTCAAAGATAAAGAGATATATGGACAGCGCAAGACAGCGCAGAGCGATAGCACTGAAGTAGATTTTCAATAACCTGCCGAGCAGGGTGGTAGAACAGATGGTAGTCGATGCAAGGCACCCGCAGAGCATAGGAAACAATAGCAAAGACATGAATCATTTGCGACGTGCAAGCCATGCAGTAAGAAGGTGGTGATGGATGACAGGAAGAACGTAGTTTCCGGCCAGCCAATAGGAAGCAATTCAGAAAGAGATACTTCTCAGCCACAGCGGCAACCTCCCCACAATCAAGCCGTTGCGTGCCGAATGCTCGCCCATCAAACCCAATTATCTAAGCCTACCCAGAGTATAGCCCCCGTCCAGACAGTTTGGCACTGCTCAAGACAGTTACGCCCCGATAATAACCCTCTGTCGTTTCCTCATTCTTCGGAAAGGAGGAGGAGGAGGAGTTTTTATTCTGATCACTGTCCCTAAGAAGGAAACAAACCAGAGTCCGTACTACGTGCATATTACCTACCTAATATACTACGCTACGGTACCGAAAGAATCGGGAAAGAGTGCCTGACGCGGCAGAAGCTGGACTAAATATAGACATTGAATATCGGAATAGCTTACTGGCTGGCTGCTTCCTTTTCAGGGACTGCTACGACTGCGTTGTCGTACTGCTGGAGTCGGTATATTTTTAGGTTGGAAAAAACGGTCCAAAAACGTTGCGACTTTCCATACAGTTTTTCGACTGGAAAAAAGGACATCCTGAAAACAAGATGAAAAAAGAACACTACACGGAAACCGCCTTTTCTTCAAGTTGTGCGTAAAAACAGTACAAAAAGCAAGACTTTTTCATTATCTCTTGACTCTGTTTTATGGCTGCAAGAACCAAATCCACAACATTTTAGGATAAGTTTTTCAGTCCTAACTTGAACCAACCGACCCAGCAGTATATTGGATGGCACGCAGTGATTATAGTTGTGACATAAATATTATGTACGAAGAGAGGTGTTTCCTATTAGTATTTAGGAATCTATGGAGGAAGTCGGAAAAACACATGATCCTGCCAATATTGAGCTAGAAGTACTTAACTTAGTATTTAGTGCATTTAGTCGTGATCGGAGTAACCCGTCCCTTGAGTATTGGCATCAGCGAACCTCATAGCGCTTCTCGATTGAAATCTTGAGTTAAGCTCGAAAGACCCGCCCACATCAACTGGGAGAGTCCGCATGTTCAACATCAACCGGGATGCCTGCACGCAGGGGTCAAATTCAGAATAGCAATCAACATTTGAAGGGGTTTACCACGACAGCGTAGCCTGCCATTAGCCACCTAATGAACAGTAAGCGTCACTCGAGGGATAAGAACGTGACCACGCACGCGGTGCCCATGTCCTGGAGTGCACGGTCCGCAAGACCCACGATAAAGACCATGCTGATGAGGTGTAGGCCTGTCCAAATAAATTTGAGTGACTGAGGAATATATCGCTCAAATATAGCATACTGAAAGCGCTATGGAGAAATTAGCTGTATTCAAGAGGATCTAGGTAGGCAGTAGACTCACAAAAAAAAACAGAAGGAATTATCTCGGATGAAAAGTGAAAGAGTAGGCATGATTTTTCCGGCTTGTAAAATGTCCTTGAATGCTGTCGGCCTACCTGGTTGCATAGATGGAACGGATGCGAAAAACTTGTAGAGTGAGAGAAAGAAGTAAACAGCTAAGTTTATGATCAGAACCATGTCTACGAGCTGTTGAAATTACAAGGGCATACATGAGAGCACGAGAGCCATAATCCTATCGGATTGTTACTAACAGGTTGCGGGTTAAGATAAACAAATTGAACAAACCATGCACCTAATGTTAGCTTGATTCAACTCGGAGGGGGGGTGAGTGGCTAGACAGCCAGGGACTAGTGTTTCGGGAGTGCGAGGAAGGACCGTAATACTAGAAATTTCAAATGCGACAGTACTGAAAGAGAGCTTTAACATATTTATGAGCGCAGATAAAGACAGAACGAAAGAGCCAAGCATACTAATCTATCGACTGCATTCGTTGAGAACAAGAATCAAGACCTAAAGATAGAATGAAATAGGATGAAAACTGACCAAGATAGAGCAATGATGTCAGAATCATAACTGGTATAACATCAGCATGTCAGCATTTGACAGTAGAACGGACGTTCATCACCCACCCCCCCCCCCCCCCGATTGTATCCATATAGCGCATTGACTCTGTTAAGAAGTAGACAGTCCCCAATGGCTGAAGACAGAACTGGACCGTTGCTGCAACAACATGTCTCGGTATCAAAGGAAACCCGAAGGAAGGACATTCTTACTAGCCGATAAACCAGAACCAGTGCTGACAGCTGAAGCGGAATCGGATTTTAGTTATTTTCTTTTTTTGCTTTGGAACGCCGGTGGGCTTACAACTAGAAGTTTCGTGAGTGGCCGCTGAGAAAGCGGATGCATAAGAACGTCTCACTTGGAAAGGCACAGTCTTACTGGTGTTAACTGTAACAGATGGTGGCCTCAGGAAGACAGGGAGGGGGTCAGAATGAAATGTTTGACTTTCCTGCAAGATTGATACTGTAAACCTAAATTAGAGAGATAAAATGGAGACATGCTGGATGCACATACCTCAAAGTGAACACTGTATAATAACGTATGAAACAATAGAGAACTTTCGTGAAGGTCCATCTCTCTCTGAAATGAGTTTTCAGCCCAGATTCGTCCATGAGTTACGCGTAATTCAGCCGTACTTCATTAGCATCGATACCTGTCGCCCAGAAGCGGTTAAAACGACAAAAATGATAGAGCGTTGACAAACCTCGAGGGAAACAGTCAAAGAAATATCATATACAAGCCATGTCAAAGCACTGGCTGGTACAGGTTAGTTGCTGAGTACATACAGACCAAAGATTAAAGAAATACCAGCAGCAAGATTCACGGCTTGTACATCGTCAATTTGCATGAATATGGTCGACAAGGAAGAACTAGCCGATTCCATCGTGTGAATAGCATTTCCGACAAGTCCACCAGCACGTAAATATACCCTCTACTTTGCATCAACCCCGTGTAGATTCTATTGAGACACAACAGATCCAGTAAGACCGGAAGGAGTATAGTGCTGAACGTCCAGACTATGGGATGTTGATGAAACACAGGAAACCATATGAAGAAAGCAAAGAGAATGAGCGGGAGGTGAAATTATGGGGTCTCTCATGTAAGTGATGCATCACATCATGCTGGGGTCGAACCGAGCACAGGTCAAGTGATCCGAGTCGGGAGTGCCGCAGTAGCCTTAGGTTTAAATTCGTCACGATGCCCTAGCCAGTATGCACTGTTACGAAAATTGTCAGACACATCATCAAGATCCAGGCATACGGAAGGGTCCACAGGCACGCAAACGTAAGAAGGGCAGTGAAATAGCCCCCAACTTGAAGGATTCGCAACTGGTTGAGATCCGAGTCAAGTATAAACTTTAAAGGCCGAAATACCCATGCGATATAGAGTCAAGGGTCTGGACATCCAGAATATAGAAGCAAAGCCGATTTTCGCACAGCGAATGGGAATTCAGAAGGTGAAGCCACTGGCCAGATATCCATCGTCCCCAGGTCTAATCTGATGCCACTCCGGCAAAAAGTTTGACCCCCGAGTTCAAATTTAGCCCGTGACCGTGACGCACAACCGGCTACGATTCCGAACTTGACAAAAATCACACTGTTCCTATTCGATCGGCTAAGGGACCCCACAAGTCGACATCGACCAAACTTTGGCAAGTTATTGACTCGACATGTGCTGTGGTCTCTTTCTGCTGTGTTCAGCGTCTTCATATTTTGATACCTGATGATCTTTGGGGCTGTTGTTTTCAGTTCGGGATATATACTTAGCTCGCCCTAGTAGAGAAATATAAGCAAGGTAACTAGTCTGTGCAGATTTCCAAATGGCTACATACCTGAACCCTGCTGTCTTTCTTCGCTTGCCACTCCTAACCTCCAATGGAATTACCCTGGAGGAGTTGTTGACGGTCTTGTCAGACTACTCGTTGCGTATTTTGACTACCGACCCTCTTCTCTTGGTATCTGTCATTGTCAACGGCACCATTGCGTATCATGTTCTCAGCTTTCTGTTCAGTAAGGTGTGTGATCGTGTATCGTCAGAGCCATCAGGGCATTCGTGACTGACTTCTACCTTTAGCGGCAGATCCCTGCCTTTGGTTTCCCTCACTGGCTCCCTGCTGGTCGGATTTATGGAGGCGCTCGCTTTTTCGTTGACTCTTTTACTATGCTCTCAGAAGGTTACAATGCGGTTCGCATTTTATCATTGCCTTTAATCGGCATTCATTCTGACTTAGAACGTAGAGCAAGTCTACAGTTTTCAAAATTCCCCGATGGCGGTCGTGGGTATATGTACTATCGGGGGAAGAACTTGGTAGTTTGTCCTCAATGCTCGACACTGCCGTTTCTCAATATCATCCTTTACAGTTGAAGAGTTCCATCGCTTCTCTGACAAGTCTCTATCATTACTGGAATCCGCCAAAGACGTGAGTTAATTCTGCTTTATATGCATCGTGAGCCTCATGCTCCAACAGGAACTTCAAATTCCCTACACGATGGGTTTGCCCGTGCATGATGATCCGTATCATTTGCCTATTCTACGTCACAAGGTATTCATCTACAAAACGTGGATAAGTCTAGCGGTACTGATCCCCGGAATACCTCTGTTAGCTCACCCGAAACCTAAATTATCTTGTTTCTGAAATTTTGGATGAAGCTGTTCCCGCCTTTGATGCCGTCATCGGTCAAAATTGTCCACCTGGTGTGACTTTTCCCGTGTAACTGAACTATAATGCTCATTTTTGCGATAGGGAAGATCTTACGTTGCAAAGGGCTTCACTCTGTGACAACTATAGTCGCTCAAACATTCAACCGGATTCTTGTTGGGCCGGATTTGTGTATGTATCATTTCCACTTTAATCTGTTCGTCAAGGTTTATTGACACCGACAACAGGTCGCAATGTAGACTACAACAAAATCAGCATTCAATTCGCAGTGAATACTATGGTAACAAGCACGATCATCAATCTCTTCCCCAGCTTCCTACATCCGTGAGTCGATCGTCTCGGAGTGAACTCAAGAATGACCGCCACCGTGTTTGTAGTGTCATAGGAAGACTTACCTCGAGATTTTCCTCCAATGTGCAGAAAGCCGTCTCTCAGATCGGACCCTTGGTGGCAGAACGTCGTGCGCTCATGAGTAACGGGGTCTTGATCAAAGAGGACATGGACGTAAGTGAATCAGTCAAACTTACATTGCAATCTCTCTCATATATAAGCATCTCAGACCGACTTTTTGTGGTGGTTTTTGGCGGCTGCTCAAGGTGAACAAGCTAGCACAGAAGCATTGGTCGCCAGGATACTTGTGATAAATGCTGCGACAATACATACGTCTTCCATGGTTTGTCGTTCTGTATATCCTTTTCGGAGACAAGACTAAAATCGTGCCGTCTTTCGTAGACCCTTACGCAGGCACTCATCAGTCTAGCATTACATCCCGAATGGGCCGTGAGATTACGGGAAGAAGCGACCTCTGCCTTTTCTCGCCATGGGTGGTCTAGGGATATGTTGAAGGAGCTGTCAGCCATGGACTGTTTCTTGAAGGAGTCCATGAGAATTAATGGTCTCGGTTCCAGTAAGGATCCATATCTGCTTACACGTCCTTTTATCTGACTAGTTCGTAGTGGGATTTCCTCGCAAAGCCATGGAAACGCTACGATTCTCAGATGGAACTATTATTCCAGCCGGTTGTCTTGTCTCGCCGGCATTTGGCGCTCATTTCGATTCGGCCTACTATCAAGATCCTTTAACGTTCGACCCGATGAGATTCATGGAAGGAACCTCTGCACGTAAGGCCTATGCAGGAGGGATGGTTCACACGAGTAGTCACTACCTTCCTTTTGGTCACGGCAAACATACTTGGTTGGTTTGCTACTCATCATTCTAATCTCAATGACTGATGTCTCAACATAGTGTGCGTATTCGTATTTCAAAAGTCCTATGCTATGCATGCGGCCGCTAATCATCTTTGCTTCATAGCCCGGCCGTTTTGTTGCGTCCCACCTGCTGAAGACATTTATGGCCCACATCCTGATGAACTATGAAATTAGCTTAGTAGACGGCCAGCGTCCCAAAGATCTTTGGTTCGGGATGCACTGCGTTCCCAACACATCATTCAGGTATGTGTATTCATCCGAGTAAATAAGTAGTGGCATCTTACCATTCCTTCCAGCTTCACGTTTAGACGTCTCTGTGCCGCTCCAGGAGACGAACTTTGACTTTGTAAACTTTGGTAGCCCATTCGTCACTGAGGGTATTTTATGAATCGATATGTATTGATCTATGGAATTAAATAATCCCCTCTCGATGGCTTGTATATAGAAATATAGCTTTGTATCTACTTCCAAAGTCCTAGCGCGGCACGGATTGGCGAGACAGGTAAGATCTCACAGCTACCAAGGCCGGCTCTCACGGCCCAGTCAATGTATAATGGAAAGGAAATGACCGACCAGGAAAAGACCCAAGCGAAACTAATAATATAAGACACCTTTGTCGATGGTCTTTTCCCCAATCGACCTGTGAGGTCAATGACAAAGTCCTCGGCTACTATAGCCACAACCTGTACAATGAAGAACGGAAAGGATGCCCCAAAATGCTTTCTTCCTACCATTGCGTCCCCGAAGGAATGCATCGCGCCAGAAACGAAGAATCCGACGGACAGCTGGGTAAATGACGAGATCCAGGTTCCTTTCTCGAATCCGGAGGCTTGAACCACCACCTTCCCAATCGGCGAGAGATACTGCTCATTATTGAGTATTTGTTTACACGAGTAACAGAATGCACCCATTCGTCTCATCATCTGATGCCATGTCCGACTAGCGAAAAAAAGGGACCAGAGATATGGAAGGCATCACAAAGACCGACAACGTACCCCCAAAATTTCCGCACGGTATACGCATCGCTCCATCTTCCATAGGGATCAGGCCAATCCGCCGCCGTTGAGAGACCAAGCGCCACACTTATAGCACTGATAAAATAATACTGTATGCGTACACCCGCATAAGGTGTCGACATCCACGCAACAATTTTAGGCAACGGTATAAAAATCCTTGAGATGTAATTGACGCGTTCTCAAGCTCCGCCACTGAACCCGAAAACAATGGGTTGGTGTGAATGAACGACTAAGCAGCATCTATGATCAAGAAAGATCCAATGGCACGCAGGACTCGCGAAATGATAAAGGAGCCTCGTTTCATGGTAGGCCGGTCAGGGTCGTGGGGCGTCTGCGAAGAGGCCTTCAGCAAGCTACGGTCGAAAAGCGAATGACAAGAACGAACTTGATAATTCCAGCCAATGCCGCGGGGTGAGTGTATGATACATCCAGCCCAGTATACTCTTTTGAGAAGGGGACGCGTGCGAGGATCATCAATATCTGTCAAGTGACGATACTGCCGAATAGGCTCAACAATAAGGAGAAGATGCAAAGCCGTAAAGAACTGGCCACCAATCGTCGAACCCATTGAATAGTTCTGCAGTTTATCTCCAGTGGTGTATTGAAGGCCTTTGTAGCAGAGCAGAGCAAAACCAGCGAAAAAGATGATACGTGTTCGCTTGGACAGCCCAAAGCCAAGACAAGCGCCAAAAGTACGTCCGGCAGCACAAGGAACGTGACGAAAGGGAATGGCAGTCGTTTTTCATCAGAGGGCATGGTCTTAGCGTGCTCTGACTGGTAGGAAGATGAAAGACTCGATATCAGACCACTAACGGAAAAATAACAGAATCAAAAGTTCGCGTGAGGCATAGCGGGGAACCCGGCCCACGGTTCCGGTTTTATGCGCTCGTTCTGGAGACAGCGTCCAAAGGGTGCACCGAAAGATCGGTACTTGTCATACCTCGAAGCATAGCTTGGAAGGTGGAAGACAACGAGTCTCCAATACTGTGTCTTTGCAGTCGTATGTTTCTTCTTCGTCTCACCACATACCTACGGCTTCGTTCAAATGATACAATACCTCAGCAGTGGAGGCGGAACAAACCACAGGTGGAGATAGGAAATTCAACACGCTTCCAAGATTACTTATATGACTTGGGCATAAACAGATCACACCCCCACCTTTTCCTTGAAACAACAGAGTTCTTCCAGTCGGAGTAGTCACAGGGTTAAATTTTGCGCGTAACATGAAGAAGGATATCTGATATTATGTACGAGCCAGAGGAATATTTTCGAACCGGACTATGATCCATGGTCTTAAGAATCGCAGCCAGGGAAACCGGGCAAAAGAACTAGAACCAGAACCAGAGCGTAGTCCGACCTCGTATGCCCGTATTATCGCCCACCGGTTAGCTATCCATGCAACGATGTTCGGAGAACACAACAACCCCTGCGGATATGACTGACGCCGTTCCAAGCTGAGCATCAGAAAGAGAAAATGTGAATTAACACGCTTAAACGTTTGACCCGAAAAAGAATACAAGAGCACAAAGAAATTGCGAGCATATGAAGGTACCACGTGGAACGCCAGGCTGAAGGGGCCCGAGGGGAACACAGGCGACCTCAGGGTTTGTGTTGAAAAATTTTCAAGTTGACGAAAACAAGACAAGTTTCAGTTCCATCCAATCTCACGAGGAGAACGTATGATGCATGCGGCTCAGTAGGCCTTTCGTAGAGTCCGAGACGAGCGTTTTCGTGGATCATTAGTACTTCTGTAAAGCGGCGGTAAAGAACTGTCCACCAAAGGTAGGTCCCATTGCATAGTGCCGCGTCTTATCTGGGCCAGTGGAATACTGTAAGTCTCTGTAAGTCAACGCAACGAAAGGCAGGAAGGAGACAATTCGCGCCCATTGGGACAGCCCTGTGGCGAGGACAGCCGCCAGAAAGAAGTCGGGAAGTACCAGAGACTTCAACAAAGGAAATGGAGGTCGAGCATTATACGTATTCATGGCTTGACTTAAGGTCGATGGCAAGGACCAGTACGGTGGTTTTTCTTTGCCATTGCGTGAGAAACTTCCTCGGCATCCACCCGTAGTAAGGTGAGTCGCAGTCGAAAGCATTAAGTACCAAGAGGTTGAAAGGTGAGTCGATTCATTACCAGACGGTGTATTAGTGCCACGAATAAATTCACATTCGAAGTAATTAGTCTAGAAGGTATTGGTAAAAAAGTTATCCGCAAGAAAGAAAGAAATTTCGACCAAGTTTGATGATGAAGGAAAACAGTGTTGGCTTACCTACTATATCACACCTCTATCCATCTCCATAACAGTAGCCTAATCCATCATAGGCACGCGCATATATGCATCGGATCTTGGCGAATCGAATATCCATCGCCTAAGAATCACCGTAGTCAATTTTGACTTTTGAAGGTCTCCTGGAGCTGGACATGTCCCGAGCTTCCGGGATCTCACAGCGTGAAGACTCGGTACTTTGGATCAGTATAAGGAGTGTTCTATAACAGTTGTTAACCAAAATGAGAGATGCATATTTCAAAGACGCCTCTTGCATTGACAATGATGATGTTATCTTGACTACACATCGCTGAAAAACGTTCTGCTCCAAGGACAGTGGGGACCGCCCTGACCCGAAATGGCAGCGACGTCCTGACTTCTTCTTGGAATATCCGGCTATCCGAGGGAATTACAGTCTCATCGATTACGAACATGGTAGGGTTCTCTTGATTGACTGGAGGCCGAAGTCTGTCGTTGGGATTGCCATATTGCAAGGGACATCCACTGCCCAGTTCTCGCTTCAAAGTCATCTGATTGAAATCATATACATCGATTTCCTCCTTGTCGACATCAAAAGCGACGAATCTGGATCCAAACGTATTGCAAGGCCATACATGGGACACGTTAGCCTGGTTCCAACAATCAAAGATACGCGTGCCCTTCGGACCCCAAGCTGACCATTCAACTTCCTGTGTTCCTGTGAGAAAGTGGTGTAATTGTGCTAGCATTGTCCGCCGCGGAATAAAGATCATAATATGGTCTCCTTGTTCAGTGATAAGTGCCACGGGATACAGAATTTCATCAGGATGAATATGAAATGGGATGGAATCATCCTGATTCGGCCAGGCAGGTGAAGGGTCACACCTGATTGCGAGACCCACGATCGTATTTGAAGGATGCAGGTTTGGAAGGCGAAGAGCAAGACAGCGAGTCACATCATTGACGCATGTCTGTTCAGACGATTCCGCAATGAAGTCCACGACGAGCAAGCGCAGCTTTGTGTCGTTAGACATGGAAATCACGACATGTTTTTCAGTCAAAAACGCAAATGAGTCGATCTCATCTCCAGTGAGGTACTAGTTCGGTGATCCATCAGCGAATCAAGCAGAATACCACGGCCAAGACATACCAGCTCTTTGCGACCAGTCTTCCAGTTCCAGACAACGAGTGCTTTCGTTGTAATGCCGCGGAACTCGACACCTAGGTGATCACCAGATATCTGTATGGTGAGTGACGTTCCGTCTTGCGGGAATTTCTGCGCATGTTTGAGGATGGGTACGGAGGCGAGTTCATGCACTTTTCCACTGGACATGCACCAAAGATGCAATTGGAAGGATGGATTGGGAGTTCGCCCCCTGATCAAAGAAATCAATGTCTGGTGAAAAAGAGCATACAGAGTGCTGACCACCGCGGCGACTCAATGAGAACTAGCAAGTTTTGCGAGGGATCCATTCCAAAGTCACGTATACGCAAGCCGGATAATGAAATCGACCATTCCTTTCGCTCGATGGAACGGCTCGATGAGGGCAATCGAGTAAAGATGAGACTTCCTGATCCATTATGTTGTGCTAGAACATTGCCGAAGAGCTCCCAAACATGACCTTGAAGATTTGGAATACTGTCACTCCAAGTACCGTTGAGACTGTTCCACGCATGGTTATGTTTACGCAACTGATCAAGGCGATCGGCCGAAGGTGGAGCAGCTGCATAGTCAACATGCCCATGGAGAGCGAGCTCAATAGTGTATTCAAGAGTGACGGTTTCGGTTATCAAGGCCAAGAAACGCTGACTGACCTAGGCTGCGGTGAGGTCGAAAGCACAAGTATATAGACTGGACGTTACCTGCTTGCAGGTCATGAGACTGCGAGCATCAAGAAAGCTGAATACAACAAGAAAGAGCTCGGTAGGAAATTCTGGCATCGGTATGATGAATCAGATGATGGTCGAAAACAAAGGAACCAGCGGTGTTTGCCGTTGCGTGAGAACTTTCGGCATCATCCGTGGCAAGGACCCTGAACCAACCTTTCACCACCGCCAACATGTCGCTACCCGTGCACTCAGTGTCAATCGACTACAACGAAGAGAAAAGTGCGTTATATCCTCCATAGGACACGATTTTTATGCTAACCGGCTTTTCAGCACTGATCAAATCTTTTCTGAGTACCTTCAAATGTCAGGACAAGGACATTACGAGCGGAGTTGCCGACATCGACATTGACGACCAGGATGCTTCGACGTCAGAGACAAGGGATATCAAGTATATCAATCAACTGGTGCGCCGAAACGACGTGTTTGACGCGTTTTGCTGACCGTGTCACTAGCAACGAATCGCGAACCGCGACCAACAAATGCTAGTCATTGACCTGGAAGACCTTCATACAGTACGCGTCAAAAAAACCTTTCCCTTGACCTACTCTGACTCTTCTCTCTTCCTAGCAAGATCCAGAACTGGTTCAGCGCATTCGGGGCAATACGCGACGATACGTCAGCCTGTTCAGCGAGGTCGTCGACCAAATCATGCCTCTCCCCACAAAGGATATCAGCGACTACGATGAAGTTATTGACGTCATCTTACACCAGAGGAGAGAGAGAAATGCCCAGATGGAAGGAGGGCAGGACGGTTTTCCCGAACACTTGTTGCGACGATAGTGCGTTCACTGCCACTTGAGTCTGTGTTTCATTCTGACGCGCCTTTTCAAGTAACCTATACTTCCAACCCCTCCGGAGTGACGTTGCAATCGCTGTTCGCGAAGTACGTGGCTCCCAGCTAGGTCGACTCATCACTGTTCGGGGAATAGTCACCCGCGTGTCCGAAGTCAAGCCCCTCCTTCAAGTGAACGCGTATACCTGTGACGTCTGCGGGTCTGAAACGTTCCAAGACATCTCCAACAAGACATTCCAGCCTATTGCAGATTGTGAGAATGTCAATGAGTGCAAGAAAAACGGCATCAAAGGCTCGCTTCACATGCAGACGCGTGCATGCCGCTTCAGCCCCTTCCAAGAGGTCAAAATACAGGAAATGGCCGATCAAGTTCCCGTCGGACACATACCTAGGTCTATGACGGTCCATGTTCACGGTAATTTGACACGGATGATGAATCCTGGCGATGTTGTTCACCTGGGCGGAATTTTCCTCCCCATTCCTTACACCGGCTTTCAGGCCATCCGCGCGGGCCTCCTCACCGATACTTACCTCGAGGTACACCATATTTACCAACTCAAGAAACAGTATCACGATATGGAAACCACCCCCGAAATCCAAGCCGAGATTCACGAGCTGACTAGGGACCCAGCGCTGTACAGTCGACTAGCAATGAGCATTGCACCGGAAATATATGGCCACGAGGATGTGAAGAAGGCTCTCCTACTTCTTCTGGTGGGAGGCAGCACAAAGGAGACCCAGGACGGCATGAAGATCAGAGGAGACCTCAACATTTGTTTGATGGGAGATCCCGGTGTTGCTAAATCACAGCTACTGAAGTTCATTTCCAAAATTGCTCCTAGAGGTGTTTATACTACTGGTAAAGGTTCTTCGGGCGTCGGCTTGACCGCAGCCGTAATGCGAGATCCCGTCACCGATGAGATGGTTTTGGGTAGGTGCTTTGCATTGTTTTAGTAAAAGGTATTATTGACGCATTCTCCGAACAGAGGGCGGTGCATTGGTTCTTGCTGACAACGGAATATGTTGCATCGATGAATTCGATAAAATGGAGGAAGCTGACCGGACAGCCATCCACGAAGTCATGGAACAACAAACGATCTCGATCTCAAAAGCCGGTATATCGACGACTCTAAATGCGCGGACATCAATATTAGCCGCTGCCAATCCTCTATATGGGCGGTACAATCCCAAAGTATCCCCAGTGGAAAACATCAACCTTCCCGCCGCGCTTTTGTCTCGTTTCGACCTTCTTTTCCTCATTCTTGACAAGCCATCCCGAGATGAAGATGAACGACTAGCTCAGCACGTCACGTACGTGCATATGTATAACAAACATCCCGAATTAGATCATGAACCAGTGGACCCCAATATTATGAGGTATGACTGATCTTGACGCCATAAACGTTTTCTTATCACATCATTAGACATTACATTGCCCAAGCCCGGACCATCCGTCCCACCGTTTCAGCGCAGGTGTCCAAACATGTCGTGGATTCATACGTCCGCCTGCGTAAAATGTCCAAAGATGACGAAGCACAAAACAAATCGCACACCTACACGTCGGCACGAACTCTCCTCGGTATCTTGCGTCTCTCACAGGCTCTCGCTCGTTTGAGGACATCATCTGTCGTTGACTACTCTGACGTCGACGAGGCGCTGCGGTTGATGGAGTGCAGTAAGGAGAGTCTGTACGAAGATGACGAGCAAGAGCGGGAGCCAGACAAGTCGGCTGTCAGTCAGATATACCGACTCATCAAGAGTATGAAGGACAATATCGATGATGACGAGCACTCGCCGGTCAAGAAGCGGAGGACAGCGAAGAGGATAGGGAGAGGCCCTGGCGGTGAGCGGGACATGGATGTTGATGAACCCGAGTCTGGTCCGGTATTGTCAATGGTAGATGTCCGTGCACGAGTAACGACTGCCGGATACACGGAAGCGCAACTGGTGGAAACGATAGATAAGGTTGGTGTGGATTCTGGTGTAGTCGGTATTATGACACTGATCATTTCTTTGCAGTACGAAGAGCTTGGCGTGTTGGCAAGGGTATCGAATGGTGCGAAACTCATGATCATGGCATGATTCATTGTACTTTTCTGGTTCTCAGTCTGTTCCTTATCCTCTTGTTTGCGCCGTAGTTTCTGTAGTATATATCTATATATTGATGTTGTATTTCAGTTTCGTATCGTCTCCTGGGGAACTACCTTGGCGGCAGCCAACATTTTCAAGTCAGTGTTATTGAGAATGGCTGCATGCTCGACCCCCCCTTTTTTAAGACTGAGATAACATGTCAAGTTAACGCTTTAGGCTTGAAAGATTGTCGTATGCGGCTGCCGGCAGTGTACATGACCGTGTACGTGGAGACTAGCCACGTGCACTGCATCAGTGGCTGTGCTACACACTTGACTGCATAGTATTACTTGCTCTCTTTCCTTTTCTTTCCCCTCAACAATGCGGCTGCCATGGTCGCTGCTGGCCTTGTCTACGTATTATTCCTCTAGCTTTGCCCTTCTATCTACCACACCACAATACGACACCCACAACTACTATGTCCTCGAGCACGACCCGCGCATTTCATCGCTGGACGATGTATCACGCCTACTTGGAGTCCAAGTCGTAGAGCCTGTCGGAGAGCTCGAAAATATTTGGTTGGTTAGAGCAGAGATACTCCAGAGGCAGTTGGGTAGCAGAGAGATTGACGAGGACCACATTCTGGAGAGGTATAAGCAGCTCCGTCGTGCTGCCGGAGATTCGTCGGTATCCCGTCGGTCAAGTACGGTGTCTTCTGTGCGACATTTGTCTCGACAAGAGCCTCGCCAACGTGTTAAGCGAGCACCACCGCCCATCAGACCACCTCCAGAAACTTCTGCACAGAATGTTGCTCAACGTTTGGGCATAGAAGATCCGCTCTTCGACCAGCAATGGCACCTGGTGAACGACGAACATCCAGAGCATTCGATGAATCCTGTACCGGTGTGGGATATGGGGATTACAGGGAAAGGCGTCATCACTTCCCTCGTAGATGATGGATTGGACTATGATCATGATGACTTGAAAGACAATTTCGTACGTCGTCAATCCTCGTTAACCGTTCTCGTACTCACCTTGCTTTTCACTCAGGATGCTGTCAACTCGTATGATTTCAACGACCACCAAGACCTTCCAACACCAAAACTCATAGACGACCACCATGGCACACGGTGTGCCGGACAAGTTGCTGCGGGGAAGAACAATGCATGTGGTCTCGGTATTGCTTATGATGCCAAGGTTGCGGGTGTTCGTATCCTGTCCGGACCAATCTCCGACGTCGACGAAGCGAAGGCACTCAACTACGGTTACCAAAATGTATCAATATACAGTTGCAGTTGGGGACCCCCGGACAACGGTCAGGCTATGGAAGGGCCTTCCTATCTCATTCAAAAGGCGGTGCTCAATGGTATCAACAAGGGCAGAGACGGCAAAGGCTCTATCTTTGTTTTCGCTAGTGGCAACGGTGCAGATCATGGCGACCAATGTAATTTCGATGGCTATACGAACAGTATCTATTCGGTTACCGTATCTGCCATCGACTACATGGGACTTCATCCATATTACTCGGAACCCTGTGCAGCGAATATGATCGTTGCTTATAGTTCGGGGTCCGGGAAGCACATAGTACGTTCACGTCAATTTCCCGTGTACTCAAAACTTATCGTACAGCAAGGTAACTACCGACAAAGGCCAAGGCACGTGTGCGACCAGTCACGGTGGAACCTCAGCTGCAGCACCGAACGCGGCAGGTGTGTTCACTCTAGCCATAGAAGCCAGGTATACTGGTTTTGATCACTTCCTTTGGCTTCTTCTGATATACATCATAGGCCTGAACTCACTTGGCGTGACATTCAACATCTTTGTGTCGAGACAGCGCGCATGGTTAACGAAGACGACGAAGACTGGGAGACAACAGCAACAGGACATAAATATAGCTATAAGTATGGCTTCGGGGCGTTGGATGCATACCTCTATGTCAAGGCTGCACAGGACTGGGAGCTGGTAAAGCCGCAGGCGTGGATTAAGACGCATACTGTGCAGCTGGAAAACGGCACGATGACAGAAGAAGGCGAATATTTTGGAGGCCAGTTCATCGGCGAGGGCGGAGTGACAAGTACAATCACGGTGACGGAGGATATGGTGCAACAACACAATTTTGAGAAGCTCGAGCACATCGACGTCAAAGTCTGGATTTCCCATCGTCGCCGGGGTGATGTTGAAGTAGAGATAGTGAGCCCGAATGGGATCAAAAGCATGTTGGGAGGAAAGCGTAAGAAGGATTCAGATCACACAGGATACCCTGGATGGAGATTTATGACGATAAAGCACTGGTGAGTGTCTTCTTGTGATGAAGGCGCAGACAGTGACAGTGCTCGCAGGGGAGAAAATCCCATTGGCGATTGGACCATCAGGGTTTCTGACCAAGGGAATCCTGAGAATAACGGTAGTTTCCTAGGATGGAATATGATGTTCTGGGGTTCCGCGATGGATGCTGCTCGAGCAACACCTTACGAACTTCCAACTGAAGTGACCACGTTTCCCCCAACGGAGGATGCAGACGTCGATCTTCCTCCTACGACCACCAAGATATACGACAAACCTACCGTTCCTCCGCAGTCAACGCCGACATCTACCACATCCGAAAGTGCTAGTGCTTTAAGCACCCCAACAGTTGACGAAGGCTGGTTCAATGGCCTGTCGAACCTTGTGTCGCATCCCAAGTGGTTCTTTGGCGCTATTGGAGCTGTCGCCGTCTTTGGCATCGGTGCTTTGATATTTTTATGGCGACGTAGGCGTGCCGCGCGCGCAGCCCGGAATGCCGACTATTCCACCATCCCAGGCAACGAAGATCTACAGATGAGCACAGTTGGGTCGTCATCACATCGACCACGGACAACCAAAGAGCTATATGATGCGTTTGGAGAGGTGTCAGATGATGAGGATGCTGACGAGGAGACTCACTTGCGTGGAGGGCATCCATTATCTGAAGGAATTGGTTTCCATTCAGGTTTCCTGGATGATGACGAGCCTGCATCTGCTGGTGGGTCAGGACTTCAACAAAAGTATCGTGACAATCCTGAAGATGAGAGTCGAGTCGATCTAACGGAGAAGGAAAGGAAGCGTTCTTCCGAAAGATCGGCACCCACCAGCCCGAGTCTCAGCGGAGATGGTAGTTGGCAGCATACCAGCGAAGCATGATACCTTTCCCATACTGGAAAACCTATTTACGCATAGAGGATTGTGATATTGGTTTGCATGTTATTCATTCATAATATCTTTTCGTTCTCTTCTCTTGGGGCGAGACTTGTAATACTAGGAAAACATATGCACGGATGGAACGGTCTACCAGGGCAATTGCAAGGTAGAAGCACTGCGCTACATATCTTCTGCACGGTCAGGTCCTGGCCGTGGCCTTTTATGATGCGATAGTCGTTTTTGCCGGTCATGTGGAAATATTTGGCGTCCATCACAGATAGGATGAACCGGCAGTACTGGACCGAATCTTATTCCGCGTGGATTCCCAATTGGCCTATCGATGCCTGTCGGATAGCAGCCGGGTTCACCGTGTATGGTTCCAACAGTTTGACTAGTTCCTTTACCTTTTACAGCCCTTTACTATTCGAGATCGAGTCTTGATCGAGACGATCGCGATAAGTGCGCTATTTTTACCGCGGGCATCGTATTCATATTACCGTTTCACCACGGTCACTTATCTTGCCTGGTGCCATGTGGTCATTCCGCATGCTGGTCGGCACAGATATATATATTACACTCTAATGTGTTTCTCAGGGTTTACTTACTCACCATGCCAGCGGAAACCACCAAGAGCTTCGGTGGCAGCGTTTCTGTCACCCAGGAAGATGCTCGCAACGACTTGAAAGTGCACTGGTTCCGTAGCACTATATTTCAGATTATCGTCGTTGGCGGGGTATTTTTCTGTGTGAGCATTCTCAATTTGCTATCGTGGCGAAGACTTATTTAACTGGTTTTTCTACCATTTAGGCTCCTGTATGTTCCTGCTTTCATTTCTCACCTATCGAATTTATATGGCGTGATAGGGAATGTACAATGCCCTGAGTTCATTGGGAGCTGGTGGTCTCGCTACGCCGTGGTACGCCAACGCCACCGCTGCTGCTGGCTATGGTTCGTCATCGTCCAAGTCCCCCGGTCGTGCGATAATAATATGTTTACTTCATGTTAGTGTTCATGGCGGTCCTCTGTATAGTCGGTGGGATTGTCGTTAGTAAGATCGGCGTTCGATGGGCTCTTCTAGTAAGCGTGTTCCTCTCCTGGATCTTTGCAGTATATAACTAAGTGTTCATGAGATTTCTAGCACTGGTGATATAGTGTCAGTCGAAGACGTAATTTATGCTCTGGACATTCGATTAAACGTACCCCTAGTTACGCCGGAAGTCTTTATCTCAACTCAAAGAACGGGACGCAATGGTTTTTGATGTTCGGAAAGTCCGCCTTATTGTGCAGCTGTCATAATTGACTTATCATTCTATAGGCTCCATTCTTTCTGGAATGACAGATGGACTCATGTACTCGGTGGAAGGTCCCATTATCACCTGTGCGCTTTGCTTAGCATGTTTTCTCTACGAACATCACTAAAGTTTATCTCGCGAATTATAGCCTACCCTGAGGAAGACAGGCGAGGGCGTATGCTCGGTCTATGGGTGTTTATGCGCAACGCCGCGCCCGTCATTGGTGGAGCCATCATCTTTGGACTGAACTCTAGTATCGACTCGACTGGTGCCGTTTCTTTGAAAACATACCTTGTCATTATTGGTATCATGTGCGCAGGGCCGTTCATCGCCCTTTTGTTATCAAATCCCGAGCAGGTGCAACGGAAGGACGGCGTCAAGATTGCATTGAGGAGAACCGGGTGGATCCAAACTTTCACAGAGTAAAGCAATGCTTCATCTCATCACCTGAAGGTTCTCACATTGGAATTCTATAGATGGTTCAACGTCGTCTCCAACAGAAACGTGAATTGGCTCTTTCTCGTGTATTCTGCACTCTCACTTTTCGCCCTTTGTAGATGCTACTTTTGTGTCCGCTTTTCTTCACATCCTGGTTTTACGGTTCATACATCGGCACCCTGCAAACACAGTTCTTCAATGTCCGAACCAGAGCGCTCTGTGCCTTCGTTATCCCTTGGGGTGATATTGCCGGAGGCTTCATGATCGGATACTTCCTTGACAACAAACGTTTCACAGTGAAACAGCGAGCGCGGTGGAGTTTCATCGCCTTGATGGTCTTAAATCTGGCTCTCTGGTTAATTATAATCTTCCCATCTCACGCGCCACCCACTGACAGATTTTCACAGGGTATGGGCAGCCATTGTTACCAAACAGTTGGAAGACCAGCAACCGGAAATCGACTGGACTTCAGGGTCTTTCTTTGGCAGGACGTTCACCTTGTTCCTACTTTTCGACCTAGCCACTATGGCGACCCAAACCAGTTTGTACTGGATTATTTCACATAGTAGGTATTCAGTTCGTCTCTCATCTCTTTATTCATTTCATTCCCTAGTGTCTAACGATTTTATATCCCTCTCCTACATGACGGGAACGCTTCGAGGTGTTGAATGCGCAGGCCAAGCCGTCGCGTATGGTATCAAGTCTAGTAACACAACCGATTGGCTGTCCATTGGACTTAACGTTGGACTGAGTAAGTTCCCTCTACTTTGATGTCAAACAATTTAAATCTTAACCGTCCACAGTTGTTTTTTCGTTACCATTTGCATGGACGGTCATCCGTAAGATCGGCGTTACCGAATTTGACATTGTTCGGATTGCTGGAGCGGAATCAGCAGTAGACTCAAAGAGCTTGTCTGATGATGAAAAAGATAATGTATGACGGTAGTTAGTGGCCACAGTACCCTGTATGACGAAGGAGATGTGCATTCCATTTATTGTGTACGATAAATTACCATAAAACATGTAGATAGAAAGTAGAACGAGAAGATCAGGCCATCGGTGAGTAAGCACGTAACTCGTAAACCTTGTCACCTCGGACGTTGTTCCAGGTTTCAATCATGAAGTCCAGCGTCGGAGACGATGGTTCAATGAGTCTCTTCCGCGTCTCTCTTTCCTCCTGGACATCACCAAGATTACCTAGAAACGGCTGTACGAGGTCCACAAACGCTAGATAGGCACCGCGATCATCACACAGATTGACGCGCTTGAGGTCTTTTAGAAGTGGTCCCTTCTGAAGTGTCAGCAAGGCATAACAACGGGGCCTTTGGTCTACGGACCTCATTTGTGATAACGACCATGAGGTCGTCGCCTCCGTCTCCCTCGCTTAGTCGCAGGAATAGACGGTATTGATACTCTAAAGACTGATCGTCGATGTCACATGCTATGCATCCCTTGCGCGTTGGCGGAAGGCTAGAATCAACGTCAGTATACAAATTCAGAACAAGCACAGATAGCTTACTCTTTGCTACACCTCGTACATCTTGTAATGACACAATCTTGGAGCAGTTTTGGGGAAAAGCTGAGGGCTTTGGCCTTCAGGCGGAATCTATAGGGACACTTGGCACAAGCCTGCATCTCCGAAATTGTAGCTCTTTGATAACCTTCGAACTCCCCGCCGAACTCATGGTGGCTTCCGGTAAGCTTCTTTGCTTGCCTTAATGAAGAATATCAGCAATGTTCCATTAAGCGTGAGATAAAGAGGCGGCATACCCCATTGAACTCGTAGCTTCAGATTTGTTGGTTAGTTCACCCGTTTCTTCCATTGTCGCACCCCCAGTACTCGACTGGACTTCAGTCATAACTGCTGTCGACACGGGCTTAGGAGTAGGTTCGCCTTTCTTAGTGTCCGAATCGTTAGTAGACTTGTTGCTAATATCCATCTTTCGCCTAGTTTGCGCCCATATCAGCATCAGCACGAAGAACAGCGGATGAAAAGCATACTCCAATAACCGCGTTTTCATCTCCATGTGAATAGGATTTCCATCGATCAGCTTTACAATAAGACGCTGGTCACCACCCAAAAGTCCCTGGAAGATCTTTTCGCTATATGACTTCCTCAAGCGCAAATTCTTGATCGACAAGATCGTCCCAACTTCAAACCTTTTGGCCATTTCAATCTGCCCTTCGGTCAACTTGATCCGGATAATGCAGTGCTCTAGACCGGCGGCCCAAGGTCCGTCCAGGCAGGGAAGAATATCAAGGCGAGTATAGTCCGAAACGTATATGAATGATTCATGCGTGAAGGTTGCGTGAATGAGCTACTATCCTTGTAAGTCATAATAGACACAAAGAAATATATCCGAACCTCGACGATACAACTGAAGAATTCATCAGGTTTTGCTTCTTGTATTAAACCATACGTGGGCTGGGGCTCTCCGGTATCAATGCTGCTCTGCCAGCGTTTCTTGCGTCTGAAAGATGACATCGGTCAAGAAGGCAACCTGTCTACAAGGGTGAGGCTTACTCTAAAAACGCTCGTAGATGTGCATTGTGTTCGGCGGCTTTCTCGTCGAGTGGGGCGATCTTTGCCTCCTGCATTTTTGCCTCGAGATATCCCCCTTTGCTAGTGATCATCCGTACGTTCTTCATGCCGTAAATTTCTCCGGCTTGCATCGACTTCCCAAGTTCGCGCGCGCCATCCCACATCTCGATCTTTAAGACGGTTTCCGCCAGGGCTTTTGAGGGACACCATTTGTATTGCACTGATGTGAGTTGCTCATTCTTGGTGTAGTCCGTAACGTAAAGATCATATGGTTGATTGGCTGCTTCGCTGGCATATCCATAGAGCACCTAAAAACTTGTCAGCGAGATTCAACCGAAGGACAGATATAACTACTTCGACTATACAATCAAAATAACCCCTTGGAGGAACATCAGGACCTGCATCGCAAATGAGCCTATGTTGTCGCTTGGATGTTTCAGCAGTAAAAATTTCGTTGCTGGGAATCCCTCCGCCAATTTGATGGATGGTGCCTAAATCTTCACGTCTCTTCTCCAAAACTGCGCGCCACCAAGTCGTAAGTTTAGAGCAATATGCAATTTCTTGTGGCTGGGCATTATAGAAAGGAGAAAATCGAACGCCTCGACCACCCTCTGCCAGACTTATAGAAAGAGGTGCATCTTCTCGGTTGTGATCTATCTTTCCTGTTTCTGGCTTGTACACGGCCCACCGAAGCTTGCCATGATATCCTGTAGCGGTTGTATTGCTCCCATATTCTTTCAGCTATGCCGATCTCAGTTATGCGTAGAAGTGAAATATAAATATATCATTACCTTGACATCTTGAAGAATGACCACATCATTTACCTCAGGGCGCGGGAGCCACTGTTCGTAGGTCTTCGTAAAACAGTTGACTGAGTATTTCTGCGGATGCGTTAGACTGCCATCTTCAAGTGAGCAGATGCTCGGATCGACAATCGTAACGGAACAAGACCAATCTGCAATAGTTGTATCAGTGTGAAGATACGGTGGAACGGTGGAAAGCAACGGTGTACCTCCGGTACCAGAGGATGACCTGGATGGATACCTTAGAGAAGATACGACGCCTATGACACTATGCGTCCCCTTTGTTGCTTGCTTCAAGGCTGTGTATCGGTTCTAAGTTAAAATAGTTCATTACAGAACAATGATAACCCAAACGAATCGCTTACGCCGCCAAAATACAGCCCGGCGACCATAGCCAGGAGATTCTCTATTGGCGCTTTGGCAGCTCTTCGTGAGTCGGGTGATGTCTCTGGCACAATAAATCTTTGCGTCAGTTTTAGTTTCCCTTGAAAAGTACGGAAGCTTGACCTCGAGAGATATTGGTATCGACAGTCGAAGTCAGTTCCAAAGAAGCTACCTTGGGACTATCGGATTGAACAACATTGACGCTAGGTGCTTTGATAGATGATTCAGGCTTCGAAGACAAGGTCATAGACGCATCGGTGTGTGTCGCCGGGTTTGTCGTTTCGGCCTTCACCTCAGAAGCCTGTCGATCATGTCGCTGTTGCGCTCTCAGAGCCTTTCTTTCTTTCTTCGATAACTTTTTAGGTTCCTTAGGCTCAGTCGATTCCGCAACCACGTCGAGTTTAAGTTTCTTCACAGGAACTGGTGTGTCGACTGAGACAGTCGATGCACGCGAGCGTTTTCTTCCAGCGAGAGGTGTAGGTGTTTCAAAGACAATGAGCTTAGGTGTCTAAACACGATGTCAGATCTCTTATGCGAAAGAACTTGATTGTGTTAACCTTCGGAGTTGAAGGAAGGTCTGCTTGAGAAGCTGGCGTACCGAACCTATCCCAGTTCGTATTGATGGAAGGCGGGGCAGCTGATAAAGATGAGTGCTTAGGAGATGCCACAATAACAAGGAAGTCTCACGTTTCCACAGCCAGGTATCAACAACGCGTTCATCTTTCTTTGCACCCCCGCGTGGCTTGACCTTCAGATGAATACCTGTTGTATATTCCAACCGTATCGGAAGCGACCGTTGAATACTAGATTTCTCTACGTCGGTACGAACAGTCACTCCCTCCAAAGCAAGCCACAGCTCGTCCTTTGCGCGAATTTCAAGTCCCTGCATAGAAATGGCGTTGAAGCACTCTCCTGCAAGGACGACTTCGAAACACGCGTCGGTTTCGCTCCTCGGACTTGCACAGGTTTTGAAAAACATCCTCTTCCTACTCGTATGGTTCCATACCATGAAGACGGTCCCCAATACATAACCAGAGTCGTCTGGGTCGTTTTGCAGATCCGTTGCAAATCTCCGCAACGATGGATCATCGAATAATGATGAATTACGCTGAGGTCCTATTGGCGTGAGGGGCAGCTCGACTGAGTGCTTCATGGTGACTCCGAGGCAACGAAATTGGGGACGAGGAAAAGGTCATGGATACACTTAATGGAAGGCAAATAAGAGTAAGCAATTCGCGTCGATCACCTGACTGAATTGGCGGGCCGTACGGGCCGATGCATTTATTTTTCATGTGCAAGGCTGTTTTTTCATGAACTCGCTTCGCCATTTCGGTGATTTCGGCCTATGGAAATTGTCGTCAAATGACGAAACAGAAAGCGTATACTGGATTTAACGAGACGCCACTAATTGTACAAACTTCAGATACTTTAGTATCAATTCTCTTCCGTCAATGGATCTTATTCTTCGTCCTTAGGTTCTGATGACACAGAAGGAGGAAAATAACCTGGAAGCAACTCCCTAGAAGAAAGTCGGCCACGGTCAGTGCAACCAGTACAAAAGTGCGCTCACCTATACACATCCCGATCTTTGTTACTCCACACTACGAATATAACCCGTTCCAACTAATACAGAAAATGAGCCTCTGTCGGGTCAGATTGGAGATTCAAGACCAACCGTCGATCTAGGCTCCGTTGTCACAAACTCGCGAACCTCCTTCAACGCGATATGGGTGGCATCCTCGATGGGATAACCGTATATGCCAGTGGATATTGAAGGAAAAGCCTGAAAACTAGGTCAGGACTCGCATCTAGTGGAACGATAATGGCGCACGATATGTTTCAGGGAGTTCTTCGCAGCAAGCTCTAAGCTGGTCCTGTAGCACGACGCCAGCTGCTCTGCCTTTGTCTCTATGTCCTTTGAAGAGTATATCGGTCCAACGGTGTGTATGACGTGCTTTCTATGGATAGTTCGTTGCAGAATGTATGCAGTAGAGAGGATGGTACTGACGATGGAAGCTTGTATCCTTTCGTGATCTTCGATTCGCCTGTTTCGCAGCCATTCAAGCCTCCACCTATATGCAAGATAAAGATCGCCATCAGCAGCAATACGGAACTTAGGGGACGCAACGTACATTCTTCTAATAGACCCCTGCCTGCCACAGCATGGATGGCTCCATCCACTGATTACACGATGTCAGCCATGTACCAGAATCATTCAAACGTCACAATACCGCCGCCACCGCCTGTAAGAGAAGTATAATGAGAGCTCGTGCGACTACGAAATCGTACATGACCTACCCAGGAGACTTTTGTTGGCTGCGTTCACAATCGAGTCAACAGAAAGTTTCGTTATATCTCCCTGGCTGTGAATCATCGTTCGTTGTCGCCATTTGACCCTTCGAGGCCGAAAGTACGCACAAAAGAGATATCTTATCGAGTAAAGCGGGATCAACGGGGTATTTTGGCTTCTCCGCGGCCTTGATTACAGCCTGTTTGAATAACTGGGCCAGAGTTGGGATCTTTTCGATACCGATAGGCATGTCTTCTGCGTCTGTATCGGATCCGTCACTGGTCGAGGGCGAGCGAGACATGAAGGTCGTGAGTCAAGGTGCTTTCCCTTTTTGGAACCACTAGCCTCTCCTCTTACCACCATGTCACTCATAGGGTGCACTCCAGCCTCGAAAGGCAGCTGAGCTGATTTTCTTCCTGTAAATAAGTAAAGGTATACTGAACTATATGTCAATTTATTCTACCTCTCATCAAGACCCCATTTCTTTATTAAACATCATCAATATGACTGCGAGTCAACTGTCTCTGCGCTCTTGTACACAACCGACAAGCCCTTCTCGCAGAGTTCCTTCCACTGATTCAAAAGCATCTGGTTATGCTCAATATCCAGCGGTCCTTCCAACCAGATCTCCCGTAGCAACGCACACGGAACTCCCAGAGTCGACATTCTTTTAGCACGACGCGGAGTGCCAGTTGTCCTACCCGCCGACCCCGTTCTCCTCGACCAAATCAACGACAAAAGCCCACTCATCGTCTCGTCGCCATCTGCCAACGTCGAACGATGCAAGTCGATCGTTTGCAATTTCGGCAATACATTGGTTCCTTTGCCTCCTCGCTGGGAATACACAAGATTCTTGAAGAACGCAGAGGGGATATCGTCGGCGCCGGTAATCAGGTTTTCAAGCTGCGGGAGGGTTCGTAGGAAGTGCGCAAAGTCCTGACAGTCTTGTGCACGGGATAATCGGCAGCTGGTATCAAGTGTGGTGATAGGATAAGCAGCCGCAGCTGGGAATACTGGGCCTGCAGTGGGAACGAGGGACATGCGCAACGTCTCGAGCGCCGGTACTTCAGCGCAACCCATGAACTGGGCGGCGCTCCCGCGGCCGTGGTCAATGGAGAAACGTTCAGTAATGCCAAGGTTTCGTAGATTCCGAAGAACGACCGTGTCATTGGTCTTCGACTTGTCGCATTGGATCTCGAGGCTTTCGATTAAGGGCATAGATCTCAGCGACAAAAGGTGGTCATCGCTTGTCCCATCTAGAGCCTCAAACTTGAGTACGCGTTCTCCGTCGAGAGCAAAGGCTCTGAATGGTTGGTCGACACCCGTCGCGTGCAGCTCTCGTAGCTGCGAAGCCATGGAAAACGCGTCGATAGCTGCTGATCCTTCCAATACTGGACCTCTGATACAGACTGAAAGACGATTTAGTCCTCCCATAAATCCCTTATAAGGAGACAATGCCTGGAACGATTCGTATGGCATGTCAAAATCGACCTCTCGCCAGCGGGACGCTGTAGGTACCAGCATCCAAAACAACTGATCTTTAGAGATATCCCGTGCACTACTAATTCTCAAAGAAAGCGGGTGATCGAGTGCGCGTCCCAAGCATAGGCCTAGCATGAACGAACGCATGACATCGTTGGCCACATCGGTGACAGCAGAAAACGATAGGGAGATGCGAGACCACACCTCCGGTGTTTGCATTGCAACTCTCCTCCACTCTCTGCATACTTGTGACAAGGTCCACGGACATGACCTCGAATCCAAAGAGTTTGTTTCTGTGGGCTGGGAGTCAACACAGTACTTGAATATCCTTCTCAGGAGGTCCTCGTTGAGTTTGCGACTGGAATGAAGCAATGACTGAGCATCGGTAATATTCGAAGTAGCCTGATCCCTTTCTTTGACCAAAAAGTCCAGAGCGTCTTTCATCGCTTTGATTCGTCGATCCAGGTCAGCAACGACAGCGTCGCCCCTTTGAACTATGGATAGTAGACCTTCTTCCTCTGTCTTAGAAGGCGGCGCGTTGGATTGTAGCAGCACCTCGACATTTCTGCTGCGGACTGGATGTGTCAAGTCAGGGATGAATGCTACAAGTTCCGCGTCGAACCGCGATTTGTCCGTTGGAATGCTGATGAACATGGAGGTGAGCCTGTCTATAGATCAATATCAAATATCATATGGAAATAACAGTAAATTTGCCTTGCTTGAGGCCTTTCGGGAGGAAAATATGCCTGACACAAGAACGAGTGAGAAACACGAAAGAGATTCGGAAATATCAAATTCAACTTAGTATCACGTGGACTTCCTTCTTGCGTTACACAGCCACTGATCGGACCCTGGACCCAGGAACCAGATCTTAGAAGTTAGATCGACGTAGGCGGTCATGGGCGGTGAACGAGCAAAAGAGCATCAAGTTGTACCACGATAAAAGACAGCTGGAAAACAAGACAAAAGATAACTATTTTCTCCCAAATTATTCTAGTCCTCCTGCTCGTCAATATCCATCTTCGACGATAAAATCCTTTCGACAGTCGTCTGCCCGCTGGGGCCTGCATGCGCAGACGTAAGACCAGCAGCAAGAATTCCAACCATTCCCGTGCCGAGCTTCTCGTCAGGGTCGCGATTGTTCTCATGATTACGCCGGCCACCCTCTCCCTCATCATCAGAGTCGGACAGCTCTCCGTCTGTCTGCCTCCTGGAATCTAACAGTCTCCGATGTCGACGAACATCGGGAGGTATAAGTTCGTCGTCGTCATCCATATCCTCATCATGAGGTAAAGACGGTATATCAGTGGGTCTAGGTGAGTACTCTACTTCGGCACCCGGGTTTGTGGCTCACCTTGCATCTGCACGCTCGGAGGACCACCCATATGCCTCAGATTTTCAAATACAATTCGCTTAACCCTATCCAAATATGTACGCGTATTGAGGTCGTCTGCGTTCGAAGGCTTGACATTCAATTGGTATTCCGGACCGAAGTACTCATAATACTCGTTCACCGGGATTTCTATCAATGGTGAGACATGATAGATAGATAGAACATTTTTAACGTACCAGGACCCAACTCCACGCCTACCGCTATGCCGGTTTCGTAAGCCCACGCCCGACTCACATTTCGCATAGTGTATCCTCCACCCCCAACGAGAAGTAACGGCCTATTAAACGACTTTACGAATTTTACACAGTTGGCATGTCCTTGGCATCTTGTTTAGTATTATGCAAAATGTAGGGAAGTATCACACCTTTCATTGAGAGATTGAAGCTCCCCAGTTTATCGCCGGACAGGGAATCGGTCCCACACTGCAACACTATCGCCGAGGGATCAAATGTTTCTATGACTTTCCTAATCACCTACTCCTGATTATGAAAGTGCATTGATCTTCAATGACTGGAGAACTCACTGGCTCAAATACCGACTTGTAATTCTCATCCGAAATACCGTCCCTCAACGGGAAGTTCATGGCGTGGTATTTCCCTTTCTGGACGCCGATGTCCTGTAGATCGCATGACGGTTGTCATATGTCCCGAAGTCGATTCATTAAACTGTAACACTCACCCTGAGCTCTCCTGTTCCCGGGAAGAACTCGCCATACTTATGGAAGCTGCACGTCATGACACGGTCGGTGATATAAAACGCTTCCTCCACACCATCACCATGGTGTACATCAATGTCGATGTATAACACACGTTGATGGTATCTGAACATGGCCCTAAGTCAGAAAGAGGGAAAACATACGCACTACATACCTTAATAGTTCGAGAATACCCAACACTATATCTATAGCGGATCTTCGATTTCGGGAGAGACTCACTCAAAAACGAGACACGCACCGTTCACGTAACAAAATCCACTGGCCTCGCCTTTCTTGGCATGGTGTAGACCTCCGGCCCAATTAATAGCTATATCGCACTTGTCCCGACTAAGCCGAGCAGCGCCCTCTGTTTTGAGTGAGTATACTAAGCGATAACTCGAACGCCACGTAAGCGGACTCACCCATAGAGCCACCCGCAGATATCGAGCAATAGTCAAAAAGCCCATCAAAGATTGGACAATCATCCCAAACATTGACTGTATTTGCTTATTCGTCAGCAGTCCCAGTAAAATAGATTTTGAAAATGATCCCAACATTTGTGCTGCTGCTTAACAAACGACTTCATGTTGCTAGGTGTAACGCGGTTGAGGAAGTCAATATATTCATCAGAATGAAACTGCGTCATTTCGCGCTTTGAAGCTGGCTTTGCCCGCTGGGGTTATTCAGGTGAGGAACCGTTGCCAACCAAGCAATTCGGAAAAGTAGCGACGTACGAAAATTTCCATTTTCTTATAGAGACCGTAGTTCATCACCAGTGAATGGCACATTCGCACCCTGGTAGGCTTCATCCTGTATACAAATCCAGTCAGTATGAAGTCGTCTCATGTTTCTAGGCACTGACGGATGACCCGGACCATAGTGAAACCCCCCAATGTCGGAATCAAAAAAGTAGCACTGCGGCAATTAGTAGCATAAGTCAGAAGAAAGGTATTCTAGCATGCTTATAAGCAGAGGAGCGTACGACGCGTTTCTTCTGTGTTTCACCGGTCAAAGACTCCATGTTCGAAGTATCAGGGAAGAAGAGTTACTAATCAACACGCGGAATCAGAATCGAGCAACAATGAAATGCCGACGAAGCGGCCTAAATAAAATCATGTCTGCCACTTTATGCCGGAGTCTATATATTCGTTAGGCGCATGCAGGTCAGAATATATCGCAACTATCCACTTGACGACTCAACAATTGAATAACATATCCGATAATATATTGAAACAGCCCGCGAAGGCAGCGCTGGCCTACCGGTCAATCTATGAGAGGTCTTTTTGTTTGGCCTATTTATAACCCTCCCATCAATTGCTCCAACCTAACTTCACTGCTTGATTTGCGCTTCTATGCAATTCGAGTCAATGGAAACTCTTTCGTGACTATCTATCTATCAATTACGGAGCACCAGCTCCTGATCGCATATTCATTCCCAAGATTTACAGTATACTAACGAATTAAACACATAAATATTATGATTAACACACCTTCAAGTCGGTATCTGGGTCTGGTAGCCATTCATAAAAACCCTTAGAAGTGCTCCGGAACACCTCCAACCCGCCTCCCAACGAAACACCACTTGCCCTCAATCTCAAAATCCCCCATTGCACCCACCAATTATCGGCGTCATCTTCCGCATCATACGAAAACATGTGTTTGATCTCCAGCCACCATTCAGATTCCTCAATGTTAAGAGCATCAGCAGCCGAAAGTACACTTAATCCGGCGTCTCGCTTCGCCCTCATGGTCTCATCCCGCATGATCTGTTCCTCTCCAGGAGGGAGCGTCAAAAAGGAAAGCAGTTCCTTCTCTCTCTGCATGACGAAACTACACCGTGAATGACGCAAATCTTGGAAAGCTTCCAGAAAGACGGGGATCTGATCACTTGAGCGCAGGTGAGAGAACAGTCTTCCAAGCATAGCGCCATCTTCGGCACACATGGCATAACTCTGGACTGCTCCGGGCTAACAGCGCAGATGAGAAGGAAGTTAAACGGAGTATAAGGAGTATTACCAAGACGGGATGTGCCGCATCGCCGATTACCACTAAGCGCCCACTGACCCATTCGTCGAGGAGCGGACGGTCAATTATTGGGACGTACGTCGATGAAGTCGCCATTTTTGCGAGTTTATGTAGCCTATTATAGGTAATTTGAAGCCTGGCCGAGGCGATAATGATGTGAATTCTACCTTTCGTCCGCCGTTGAAACGAAATCTTGAAGATCTCGGCATTCAGTCAACAAGCGCTCCTTTGCTGGACCGAACACCAGCATGGAATAGGCGCCGTCTCCTCCCTGGAACAAGGTGTGAAAGGGAAAAACCGCCACTAGAGGATGCGAGACTCACTGTTGGATAAATGACAGAAGAGTACCCATTGCCACACCAGTTGGCCATCGTAACCTGTTCGAAAGAGAAGAGAGTAAGTTCTAACTGGTAAAATTGCGCAGCGCATAACATTACAGGCTCATCATAGAGGTAGGCAAGGTCTGGGTCATTGATAATGCTGTTCCGATGTATTGTGGCGCTGGGAGCAATCAGATATAAAATACATCATCAAGCAAAGAACACTTACCTGAACAACGACATCCCGCTGTTTGGCTCTGAGCCCCTCGGAAATACGCGGCGCGTTATCCCGGATGGACCATCCGCACCCACAATGACATCCCCCTGCAGGACTTTGCCAGAATGCAGGGTTACACGGCCGTTCGCGGGATCGACGTTTGTCGCTACAGTATTGAAATGAAATTCTGTTCCGCGACTAACAGCAACGTCATAGAGGAGCTGTAGAAGCGCAGAATACTAAGATGCGGTGATATTCAGACAGATCCGGTGGAGAGTAAACCCGTTAGTGAACGCACATGCACAGTGAGAAATTCGCCCTTTGTCTCTTTCAGGACTTCAACATCCCAGACATGTTCTCCAAGTAGTTCACCAGTCTCATCTGTTACAACCATCAGGGATGGTCCGACAGGGAGAAGGGTAACGCACAAATGTACAGCCGTAGAGCTCGTGAGGTCGCGGCGATTTTCTTTACTTCTTGCTCAAGACCCCAATGATAAAGTATTTTGGAAAAGTTTGGTGCCATCCGGATCCCACCATCTGCCTTGTTCTTTATCAGCACCTGGCTGGGCACAATTCGTGCGTACTCACTCCTTGTTCTAAAGAACTACGTTTCTCCACAACAACAACCTTGTGGCCGACGGAGCTCAAGGCCAGCGCTGCTGTCAGCCCCGCTATGCCGCCTCCAATGATAACGAAATCGATGGGTAATTCGACCTGTGATCGTGGAGATGTCAAGTAGTTCAACCCTAGCCGTAGAATCTGGGACCGCACCATTTACAATAGTCCTTTTTGCTGGTCGATGCCTCGTATCTGAGTACTATTAAAGCTCTGAAAAATCGGCAGTGGGGTGTGGGGGAAAGAATATAAGGCTTGCTAGAAAGGGATGCTTCTTCTATCAGACCTAAGGCATGAATAGATAGATGAAGGTTGGCCAAGGAAGCACGAGGGCTTCGAACATGATGCAATTGAATATCAGCGATGTTCCCGGTCAAATCGCAACAGCTATAAAAGTTCCGTGTCCACAAGTCGAAAAAAAGCACTTTTTCTGTTGGAAAGAGCCATATTTGAAGGTACGGATGCGAGTAAAATACGTAGAACTGAGTGTATTACAGAGGAGGGAAATCGGTAAGACTTCGTTGAATGGAGCGGAGCTTCCCGGCACGGTGCGGCATCGGTGCCACCGATCACCTCCGATCACCTCTCATTTCTTTTCATAACCGCAACTTGTCAGGGATGGGTGCGCCCCGGAATCTAGACTCATCGATTTCCATGTACTAAGAAGACCTCGCAGGTATAACACTATGGATAGTACCACCTTCTGCATGTGCAGCTAAACTAAGGCGTATCATGAACGTCCGCCCGGGACCGCCTGCCACATCGATATCGTCTTCATCCTATCCGAGATTCCACCCACATATAACCTTGCTATCCCTTCCTGCGGATTCCCCTATTTCTGTCTCTGCCTTGAGAGATGCTATATCCAGTATCCAGCAGTCTCTTGACATAACATTCAAATCAATCGACATCGGGACGCACTTCTTTCGATCAGTTTATATTGCCGTGCAATTGACGCCAGAGCTCACGGAAATACACACGCACGTACACAAGAAGGTCGGCGTGGAACCAAGGACGCCAAAGTATCCACATGTGTCGTTGTGCTACATCACAGACGAAGATGCGCAGCATGGAGAGAGGAGAGCTTTTTATCAGGCAATTGAAAGCAAGATTCGAAAGGAGGGTGATGGTGGGAGCCTTGACTGTGGGGAGCTCACCGAAGAATGGATCAGTGGATTTGTAGCCAGTGAAATTTGGATCGCAGAATGCAACGGTCCAATTGAGGACTGGAAGATTCTGGACAAAATTCCATTACACTGAGTATGTCTGACCGTCACAGCACCCAAAAATACTCTTGTCATTATTTTTCAAAGCTCGTAAGGGTTGAGCGTTTCTTTTCCTCATTCTATAAATAATTTGACTTGAACGCTCCAAGGTTAGCTTCAACGTAACTCGGAAATATATAAACCGGCGGATATTTTTATCTTAACCTGCACAGTCGGAGTGCGCCCCTAATCGATCGATCGCGATAACCATGCGAATCGCCTTATCAACATAAAGATAACATTCCTAGCCCTCTAACTCGAACCGCCACGTATCTTCCGACGGAATGCAGCAAGCAGTCGACCGCAACAAGCTTATAGTCTTGTTTGGTACTTAACTAGACGGGGCGATAAATTTGACTGGGAAGAAGCCGCATATCCTCCTTAGGCGCCGACTGTTTTCCTCACATAGGCGCGTCGCCCTCAAAGTTGCTTGGGCCGAACCCTAATCGCCAGTAACAAAGATTTTGACGAGCTTCTAGATCGATATGAGCAGGGAAAGTCCTTCCTATACACAGGGTGCGACACATGATACCTTCCGTATCTACGAAGTGAGGTTCAAGTAGCACTTTATTTTTGTCCGCTCAATTGCTGCTAGATGGCTACAAGACATCTTTGATGTCCTGCTGGTGATACAATTTACAGGCGCGCGCCTTGCCCCGTCTTGGATGTTTATCTGATCGCCGCCTAGACGACGAAAAACTCCCACTCAAACAGTCACAAAACCGGAGCACACCAGAGCGTTTGAAGAAGGTAGAACACCGCCCGAGATGTCATCGCTGTTAGCTTCGACCTTTCAAAAGCATCCATATTTAGCGACTACGACTAGTATATCTCAAAAATCTCCCGCCAGGTCACGTCAGGCATTTGGATTTACCGACTGGGATAACATCGGTTGGTACCATTTCGCTGCTGGGATTGTTATCCGTCCAATATACAAGTGCTGGATATTCGTAACAACTCGATATAAGTTATGAGTGCTAGATATTACCTCGGTCCTCTATGTAGTTGTTTGGGTATCAATGATAAAAATACGCTACTTTACACCATGAAATACAGAATCGGAATCACGATGGTCCTCAATAAAATTAATACCTTTTCGAGGACCAGCATCAGCGTCCCAATTACTATAACCCTCAAGAGCCTCATGTATTCTAGGAGATACAGGCGGCTTCGACGAATGTATAGGGCTCATAACGGTTCCGTGACTCTCGCTGTCTCGCTCGTCGGAGTTCGTGAGACCGCGAATTGGTACGATTCCTGGTCGAGTGACGGAGAAGAGGATGACGTTGAATAGTCCGGAGCACGAAAAACAAACGCTTGCAAAAGCGGTGGCGCTGAAGGGTACTTGCGTCCCTCCGAATTCAAGCCACCGGACAACTGAAACGGGGGTAACGGTGATGATATAGACGGCCGGGTAGCTAAAGAATGGTGTCAGATGTGCGTGGACCTGGTTCGGCAGACACTCACAACAGCATCTGCACTGCGAGGTGCTTGGTCCGTTGGGCTGTAGGATTGTTGACGCGATGGAATGTTTCCACGATGGCCGACCTGTGTCTGAAGCTAATCTTGTGTCCGTTGACAACGATGAGGCCTAGTAAATTCTTCAATCAATTTGCAAAGTCCCCAAGTGAACGGCGGCGTCTGTACCTCTGATCATCAATGCGATCAAAATGTAGCACACGATATTCAGGACAGCCGCGGTCCAAACCCAGAGATACTCCAGCGTGATCCTCTCTGTGTCAAAATCGTCAGTAATCCAACACCCTGAAGAAATAAGATCAACGCGGCCTAGAAGAAGTAAAGCTTGACAAAAGCACTCACAATACCGCGTACTTCCATAATAGTCGTCTCCACGATGAACTCCTGCGCTTATCCCGATAATTAAAGCAATAAATATCCAGATCCCAGCTATGACATATAGAGCAAGTTCTGGCCGCAAATAAAACCTGAACACGAGAACCAAAGAAGTATGAATAGCGATGGACTAGGTTCATTAGTCTTGGTTGTCACTGGATGGAAGCAGGTGCCCACCAAGGTCCTGGGAAATATGATAAGAACAGCACAAGCAAGGTTGGACCGACGTACGACAAAGCCACTCCCACATCCCCTATCTGTTTCATCATTCCTGAGCATAAATCAGAATTGTGCGAGAAGTAGGGAGAGACATTTTGCTCACCTTGGGCAGTACAAAGAGACCCTTCTGTCACTCGCTACGATGCGGTTCAGTATTGGTGAACTCGCGTTAAAACGGGACCACGCACAGAGTCAACAGCCCATTTAGCATTCATTATAGAGCCTATCACGGCTGCTCAACACCAACATGTGATGGAAAGAATTTGAGCACACCTATGGCTTGGATGAAATCGCAGACCAAGAGGTTTACAAAATAGTAATGGATGTGCGTCGAGACATGCCATTTTCGAGTTGCGCCTCTTTGAACCGTCACAACTGAATACTAAGCACAAGATCCACCGGTAAGAATCGAGTAGGCATCATCCATAACTTCTTGGCCTACCCCGATAAGTGTCAAGAGCGAAGACACCGCTGTTGCCGACAGACACGCGAAAACAACAATTATGATGAGCCCAGTTCGTACACCAGAATCGAAAGTGGTATCCAAAGAGGACATCCTGCCGCAGGGGCAGATGTCGAGAGGACGAACAAAACAGGGGAAAGAGGAAAGCGCACAAAGAGCTCGAGGGCGTCCAAAGACTCGCAAAGAACGTTGCACAATGTTTTAAATGACCGCTGATCTGGCGGATATATTGGAAATCATTGAATTGCGTGCATGGCTCGTTGCCACCCAACGTATGTACCTGCGCGGGCCCTGATTGAATACAGATGCTGTGTATTTGCATTCTTGAGGCGGCGGTTTGTGATCCATGTGGCCAAGCCCAGAAACGCAGTGGTGTGCATTCCTTCGGTGCAGAACTCGAAACAAAGTCCGCACGCAAGAAGGTCGGAAACAAGCTGCGTATAGCGCAACGTAGATAGAGACTTGGTGAACAACACTTGGAGCCCTAGACCACGTACGACCGATACGCGTTAGATACTGCGTATGTATCAGTATGCCCGGTATGGCTAACGACACAATCATGTAAGAGCATGACAGGTCACTAGGTGCGAACACGAGTGATTGCCCTGCCCTGCCCTGCCGCCCCGAGTGATGAGCCAACCCCTCAGAGGCTCTCAGAGGGTTTCAACTTTCCACGCCAAATTCGGAGAACGAGACCATCACGATCCCTGATACGTAATGATTGCTGATGAGGACTCCTTCAGACGAGTATCACCCATCTCCCCCGCGGCCAGCAGCTCGTGAAGGGCGGAGATAACAGTTTCTATTTAGTATTTGCAGAGATGATGGGCGCCGGGCCTCTCACGCACTGTAAAGGGACACTTGCCACCGTCCCTGGGTCCAGAAAGTCCTCTTATCCACGAGCACGTGTTGATCTTGGTCGACATTCAGTGAACGCGACTGCGCGGAGAACGTATCCACACGTACTTCAATATCAATCAACATGCACTTGTCGTCAAACTTCCGTCAGTGAACCTTGAAGATGCGATCTAGTCAGCTTAGAAATCACACATGATATTTTTCCAATACTGCTTGAGAATCTTCTCACTGTAGGACAGTGCGTTATAACGGGGACATAGGAAAGCCAATCGTCGGTGGGTCAGCTTGGTGATGCTGCGGCACACTGTAAGCGACGAGGTTCCCAGGCTTAGCAGAGTCCGCGGTTTAGTATGGCATTAGAAACGAGGTTCCCTGTCGTCTCTGAGTCAGGATATACAACAGGGCTTTAAAAATAAAGGACTTTGGCCTCACCTGACGAAAATAAAGCACCCAGAGCTACTACCGCATTTCTGCAGTTATTCGCCATATGATTTAAATGTTATGACGATGATGCAGATTAAGTGCGGTAAACTTAAAAGGCTTCGTCATGCTTGTCACGGTCTTACATCCTTGGGATAACCGCTCTTCAAGAATTGTAAGCGCCCAATGTCACCGCTCTAACATCAAGCCACGATTACCCTGCTAGGGCCTAGTATACAGTCCCAGATCCTGGTTTACCGCCCCATAGGATGGGCATGAAGGGAATAAGACACAACCCGTTCAGTCTGTGTACGTCGACGTAAAGGTAAAAAGGAAACAAAGGAAAGGAGCAATATGGTAAAGAACGGGTTCGGAGCCGGTTGATTCCGGCGGCTCGCAGTGTACAGCCACCAGTATAAGTACAGGGAAATATTAGACTCAGGAATATCGCTAATGGTCTACGAGGTCAGACAAATATTGCTGCCAGCTTACCTTTTCTATCTGTTAGACGTCACATGTAATTAGGAGTGGTCCTTAGCTTTTGATTCAAGCGACGAGAACATTTGACATTAGTGGATCAACCACTGGGTGCATCGAAACAAGAACAGTAATGAAAACGCACAACAGCGATACAGCAGAAACTGAGCATACCAACCTACCCCGTCCAAGTACCGAAGTTCTCGCTACACCAAACCACAGGTCAGTAAAAAATTCGACTTGACTAACAAACAGTCACTACTTACTCGTATTTTCCCTCAACGTTCACAGCTCGGGTGACGGCGTGGGTGCGACTTTGCCAACGACAGAGGTAACACCGCCGATGACGGTGGTTACACCACTAACAACAGAAGTGACTCCCCCTACGACAGAAGTGACTCCTCCAACGACAGACGTGACGGATGCCTGTCGGGCTTCAAGAGCTTTGGAAGCAATCGCGGTAGCGGATGGCGCCGCGGAGGATTCATCAGCAAGGATGCCTCCGATAATGGAGGTGACTCCTCCGACGACACTAGTGACTCCCCCTACAACTGACGTGACTCCTCCAACGACGGAAGTGACGACTGCCTGTCGAGCGTCAATAGCTTTCGACGCGGGTAGCGCGCTGGATTGAACAGTAAAGTGGCCCCCAAAGTTGACATCTCCACCAACAGAGACGATAATATTATCTCGAGCTTCAAGATTTTCCACGGCACTGGCCGTAGCAGCTGGTGCAGAAGCAGAGGCGGATTCATCGGCGAGGATGCCCCCAATGATGGAGGTAACTCCTCCAACAACAGAGGTGACGACAGCTTGTCGGGCTTCGAGTTCTTGGGGCAAAATCACAGCACTGGCCGTAATGGATGGCACGGGAGCACCGGTTTCATCAGCGAGGATGCCCCCGATGACGGAAGTGACCTCGCCAACTAAGGAGATGACAATATCCTGGATATCGACACCCTGGCGGGCTTCGAGATCTTCGGCTACAGCGCTGGCTGTAGCTGCTGGTACAGAAGCGGAGGCGGATTCATCGGCGAGGATGCCCCCGATGATAGAGGTGACTCCTCCAACAACACTAGTGACTCCCCCTACAACCGAAGTGACTCCTCCAACGACGGAAGTGACGACAGCCTGTCGAGCGTCGATGATATTGGTTGGGGCCACGTCGACAGGCCTAGGGAGGCCCTGCTCTTGTCTTTTCATCATGGCAGGGCCGGCCAGTCCTTCAGGGAGGTGAGCGCAGAGCAGGACTAGAGCGGACAAGATGGCGAATTTGGACATGGTGGGAAGCAGGTGTGCAATCGAAAAGTGGGTGATAGCTGAAGAGTGAAGTCGGTGACTCTGAGAGCTGCTGTTCTCCCTTCAAACTAGGGACTCTTATATACGTCCTGAGGCAGTCAAGAAAATTCTGGTAAAATAGACTCCATGTGACGGCGTCTCTATGGATGGCAAAGTCGGCAGTCATCTCCGGTAGGAGAACCTTGGAAGAACGGGAGAGAAAGGAATTTCGACCGGGAGTTTCTCTCCGACGCGTTTTCGGCAGTCCCCAGGATGCTTCAACAGTGTCCGCATGAAGATCCGCGTTTTATTAAACAAGTGCGATGGTAAGGGGAAGGACTTAGGCCTTTGAATAGTCATAACTGCCGGGAAATGGTTCAGAACATCTGTGCGCGCAGCAGAGATACGCTTGGAAGGACGCACAATATTTGCCCAATTGTAGCATATTAAAGGAGACTGAACGTGATGAGTAAAGGCGACTCGAAAAAAAGAATTTGACCTTTTACGAGCTCGAACGACAACTTGACGAAAGGCTCTCGCTGCAGGACCGACGGGTAACGATGGCTAAGCTTATTCTTCGGAGTATTGTGTTGAGTAAGACAGCGCAGAATTACCACGAGATGAGCAACAGACCACTGTAAGAGGCAGGCATGTCGAATACGTTTTCAGTGCGGAGGTTAGCTATGATGCATTACTCACATGGCAAAGAATTGTTAGGTCTCGAAAACCTAGTAGAATTCTAGCCAGTAAGAAGCATGCGTGCTGTCTGTACATGTATTAAAGGGTACGTTGCGTCGTCGGAGCCGTCAGCAAAAGCCGGTAAGTTTTCGTTGATGGAGGGCACTACTTAGTAAGAAGAGACGGCGAAATACCATCAGGACTGAGAAGAGGCGCGTCCAGACTCCCATAACAGACAAAAGGTGCTGGAATAGCGCAGCTGAAAATTCCCTAGTTTTTGTGAAAACTTATACGGGCAACTTTCCTGGAGTGGTGTCAAAGCGTTGGTCGTGAAGCTGGTCTTAGGCGCAATAAGGGCATCCAATGAGCGAGTGACGGGATCGCGCCGTAATGATGACTGAACATTAGTGAGTCGTAAGCCGGGCTGAGCTTAAAACACAGTCCTTCGGCGGATACCGCTCTTGCTTACCAGGTTGCAAGCGGATATTAAGAGATTTGGCCCTCTGTTATGTTGAGAAGAGTTCGTTGCGCTTTCCTCGGATTCATGACAGAAAACAGCAAAAATAAGGTTGCTATTAGTAGATCTATACATATCTGACGGTCCTTAGTATGCAAAATACCTGGTTAGCTTAGGCCTACCGTTGACCTAGATCTTCCAGCCATGAAATAGTATGGAGGGACAAGAAGTCGCTCAGCAGCTGCATTGCGATTCCTCCGGGTTCTGGTCTGCGGCTGTTGTCGTAATCTCAATTTCTGTGCACGTACATTAGCGGGACAAGCCTATCAAACAAACGAGACTAGAACTTACTTGTGTTAGCCTCCGGCTTCTCTTCCTTCTCTTTACCAGGCAGCGACATGGCTATCTTTTTGAACAGACTTTTTACATTGTGGCCTGCTTTAGCGGATGTCTCCATGAATAACACATCAAGCTCGGTTGCTTTCGCCGTGGCCTCTTCAAGCGTTACTTCCCTAGCAAAAGTCAGATCAAGAACGTGAGCAGTAGTCGGGACATACCGTTTGTCTGACAAGTCAGCCTTGTTACCAACTAACACGACTATCACATCCTTGCCTCGTTCTGAGCGTACGTCCTCTATCCATTTTGTCGTCGATAGAAAGGATGGTCGGTCTATCAACCTATTTCTATAAGTGCGTCGAAGCTGCTGGACCATCGCGACGTACTTGTTATATCAAAGACAATAATTGCCACTGAGGAATCACGAATATACGACGGTATCAATGAACGGAAGCGTTCCTGTCGTGAATCTCAGTTCGACGCTCAGCCGTGACGACGCGTTCATCGCACCTGACCAGCCGTGTCCCACAGTTGCAGCCTTACTGTCCGGTCCTCGAGATACATAGTTTTGCTGAGGAAGTCGATACCAATTGTCGCCTGGTACGTGTTGTCGAAGGTGTCGTACATGAATCTAACCGTGTCTCAGTGCCTGAGAGCAGCCTATAGAGTCTTCGCGACATACCGAGTGATAAGACTAGTCTTTCCGACACTTTGGTCGCCCAGTAGCACAATTTTGGTTCGCTTGGGAGGAGAGGAAGAGAATTCGGAGGTTGTTGGAGACGCCATGGTGGTTGCTGGTCAGCACTGGCCGTAGTGGCTGTGCTAAAATTGGAACTGCATTCTTGACCGCCACCTTGCCGCCGCTTATCCATCACGATTCTGTCAGAATTCGTCGAACAGTTTCAATGAGTGTGCTGCCGGCGCAGAAAGACACGTAATGCTTATTTCTGAAAGGGCCATCATTAACCGGAACCTGTTCTGTAGCCAACGGCGATGACCTCCCATTCGAGTTGGTGGAAGATATTATCGAAAATATTCGCGACGATGTAGCATCCCTGCGCGTCTCGTCGCTCGTTTCCAAAGCCTGGCGTGCTGCTTCCCTTCGCCACCTCTTTTCAGTGGCGGACTTCTCCCTGGAAAAAGATTTCACCCGCTGGCGCGACATCGGCGCGTCAATGGCACATGTCCCTATGTATGTCCAACAGGTCAACTTCGAACCCGGAGGCCGTTTCAGGGAGCAAAGCATTCGCAATCTGAAGGCGAAATATCCCGGAGAGGAGGGCATGACCGATATCATGCTCGAATTTCTCGTGCAGGAACACGAACATTCAAGCTCCACCTCCTGATATTCGCCTCCCTCTTATGCCTCGAGCAACCAAGTTCTTGTGGTCTACTATGATGACCAACCCCATTCACTTGACGCCTCAAACCAAACTTTTCCTCTCCACCTTCCCAGCAGTCACCGAACTCGATCTCCAGGGCGTGTTTCCTAGCACCGTTGAAGCCAAGCAGTTTCTCAGCATGTTCAAACACATCCAGTCCTTCAAAACGGCTTCTATTGATATTGAACGTGTTTCTGCGAATGCAGGCGCTTTCACAGGAGATATGACGGACCTACGAATCTTATCTCTTCAAGATTGCAGATTGGCTCGTGGATGAAGTTTTTGAAATATCGCGTCCTACTAGGCTTCAGCATATATCTTACGAATTCGACATGCCCTTCTCTCCCAAGACATTCATTTGTCTCCTAGACATGGCAGCTGATTCTTTGGAGTACATGTCCCTTTGGCTCCAAGCTGGCTGGACAAAGCTCCCTCCTTTCAAGAAAAGAGCATTCCCGTCCCTTCGGTCACTGAAGTTTGCCGTAATCAGTTTGGAGGCGGATGAACCACTCTTTCAGCTGACCTGGTGTGCAGCTGCAATGCAGCTGTTTCCTGCCGCCCCAGGACTGACAACACTAAGCATTGATGTCTTCGCAGACGAACCCCAAGAACTGACCGATATCTTGAAGAAAAGCTTTCCTTTCAAGTGGAGGTTGTTCGCCGAAATTGTTTTGCGACTGTACCCAAATCTGCGAAAATTTGTAATTCTCATATCAATGCCATACAATTTCGGGGAGGTTATGGGAAAGCTGGAGTTGTCAACAAAGAAGGTCCTTAAAGGGCTAGGGGAGCGAGTAACAATTGAATGGGGTAAGGATCCATCTCCTCGTCGCAAATTTGCTGTGCTGACATATATGGTATACTTCAGTGGATGAAGGTCCTAAGCCACAGGAGCCATAGATCTCTACCGACAAGTCTCGCTTACCGTGGAGCACGCTATAACAGGCTACATATACCAAGTTTCTTGCTGCGATATGAAAATATTCACCTTGGAAACGCGTTCTCTTGGACGTGACACTGTCATGTGATAGCGTGACGTAGCGCGACTGAAAATACTGAAAAATAATTTCAGAATTTCTTTCCCCAGGTTCTCGGTGTCGCGACATCGCAGTTTTCATCATAAACTTCGAAGACTTCGGATATAAAATGGTGATACAGTTTTTGAAATTACAAGGCCTTGGTATCTCCTTGCTCAGCACCTGATTCCGCCACAACTTTTGTCCGTTCGTCCCCACGGTCGATAATCGACTCTAGGTGCTCGAGAGCCGCCTACACCCCAAGCGAAATGGGAAAAATGGTGCGAAAATGGATCAATATGGTTGATAACGAGAATCATTGATAAAATCGCTCCTCACCCTCCCGACCTCACTGAGCTCCTGCTCTTCCGTTCCATCAAAGACTTCGAATTCATCAGCATCGACGAAAGCCTCGTCGTCTTCATCGTCGGAGGGTGATGGTTCATCGGGATGCAGCGAGGCACAGAGGGACAGTGCTTCGAAAATCTCATTCACTAAGAAAAAAAATGTAAGACACCATTCAGTAAACACGGCAAGCAAACGTACGCGACCCGCTATCCTTCGGAACAATCGTAAGTTCTCTCATTACGTCTTCTCCATCTCCCTCTTCCTCCACCGCCCCGACAAGACCAAATTTATCGTCCAGCTGGCAATAAATCCCGCCCTCTGCTCTTGATATCGCATGCAGAGTGATGGCAGGATACTCGATCTGCCAGCCCTGAGCATTTTCACCATCTTCAACAAACGCTAACACAGAATCGATCACGTAGAGTGTGCCCTGCCGCCATTCTGCTTTGTCCTCCAGAGGGGCCTCAAACCGGACTTGCACCTCTTTCTGCTGGTGCCGGAGCACAGGGGGGATTTCGGAGAAGTTCTGGGGAGTAGATGAGACGATGGTTGCATGCTCTTGCGGCGTAGAGAAATTTGGAAGAGTAGAAGTCAGATGAACGGCCATGGTATGTGTTGGGAAGAAGAAAACGAGATTGATTAAATTATTTAATTTTTGATTAGATTGATTCCGTTCATGCCGAAGTCGATGCCGCGTAGCACCGCCACCCAACACGTTTTATTCTTCACTTTTCTTTCGAGGTAGCATTGAAAGGAAGGTATCCGCCGGGTTTTGTTGGCTACTCCGGTAGAGTAAGCCCCCCCTCAAAGTGCATCCTGCTATCTTCCATGGAATTTTTGCCGGGCGAAGGGTGGGCTTCGGCTTTGAGCTGCCATGTCTTCTATATACTCTAGCCTCCCATGCATCTCCGAGTCTCGGACGGCAGCAACAAGTGTGGCTACCGTTATAAGTACCCGTCAGTCTTAAACAGTCAAAATGTACACTGTGGAGCCACCGCATGGACTTAGGAATGATTAGGTTGGAGAACGACACCTTCTCCGAGACTCCGATACTTCGCATATCCTTGAACTATCGCTTACCTTCCTCTATACTGACAAGGTCTACGTTCTACGCTTTATCTACGTTAGACCTTCCGCTCTCTTCTGCAACTACTTGGATGAAAAAATCGAGGGAAAATACAAGTAAGAACCTAGCCTGTGGTTTAGATGCATCGCCTGGGTGTTCATCCGTAACAAAAAAAGGTGAAGCTTAGCCGGGTAATAATCATGGCTTTTGCTAGCTGATCTGCAAAAGGATATCTGCATCTATGCATTAGTCACAGGCAATATATCAAACTACGCATGTACCGCGGTTAGTGCACGAAAAATGATCTACTGAGTGGTCTACGCAATCCGGACCACACCCACTGGCATCCTACTCTTTTTCAGCTACATCATTCTCAACTTGTAACGCAGGCACTTCGACCGTCGATATCGGTCCCGTGAACCAATTTCTCCCGCCATATTTCGGAAAGTAAAAATAGACGATCGCAAGTATCAAAACACCGCCTGAAAGGTCTGGCCTAAAACGCGCTGGATCGTAATCTTATTAGAAGTAACCTACCTTGTACTACGACAGCATAGTTCATGTTACCTACTCCGGGAGAAGGAGTAGCAGGAAACATAAACACGACAGCCATGAAAGTCATCCAGGCGACGGCAACCGCAGTAATTGGGAGACTCTGGAGATCTGTTAATCACGTTTAACGAGTAAGCTTAAAATGACTTACCAAAGGACCTAACCGAAAAGGACCTGGCTTGATTCTCTTGCCTCCAAGAAACCTCGCTGACAACGGGATACAAAATGATAGGTATTGGGCAGTCACGGAGAGTAAGAAGATCGCTCCAATGGCATTGCTACCTGTGAATGCAAGGCATCCGAGTAGGAGGGACCAACATGTTCCAAACCAGATGGCATGGGTCGGTATCCTAGTTTGGGGATCGACGTAGTACACCCACCGGGACAGCGGGAGACCTCCGTCTTGAGAGAAGGCAAAGATCTTGTTACTTGCAGTCAGTGCGAGTGAATGCGACGCAAAGTGAAAGCTTTGCTACCTGCCTCGAGGCTGTCATCGTCTACATCCAAGTCAACGTGAGTACTTGGGCTGAGCATACTGCGTCCACATACTTGATTCGTACCCATGGCAAACCTGGGGATCGGCATCAGATGAGAGGATAACAAGTGTATTTGAGATGTTTACTGTGTCAAGATGACGAACGACCACACGACAAGAGTGCCGGTCTTCCCGAAGGAATTGAACAATATCTAATCAGCCATTAATTCATCGGTTAGCAAGCCGTCTTCTATAGGACCCGTTGAATACCTACCGTGGCCATGGGCTGACCGATGGGACTATCAATGATACTTTGGTAATCTTGACCCATACAGAAGACTAGCGCGATATTCATTGCTTTGTAACAAGGTTCGTAAGCTGCCGGCACCGTGGTAAGTCAATCGCAGAAACCTACCCCAGCCGAAGACGGTAGCAGAGAAGATGGAGCAAATTATAGTCATTGGAACGGCTATGCTAGCATTGGCTGCTTCCTCACTCATATGGACGGGAGCATCATAGCATCCTATAGTCAATCAGCCAAGAGGGAATTTTCACAAGAAACATGACGCACCAGCACCCCATAAGGGGGTTAAAAAGCTAAGGATAAACGCGAATCCATTCGGCCATCCAGATACTAGTTGACATTATAAGCCAATGAAATTTCCCGCGTGAAAACGAACCGTTGGTAAAGTCCTCAAAAGCAAATTTTGCATCGTTTCTGAATTCCTCGGGAGTTGCCACTGGAAGGCCTATGATAACTACGCAGAACAACCTGTAATATAGAGATTTATCAGTAGACGAGTAGGAACATAGAAAGAGGCTAACAGAACATTAATTATCACTACAGCCGTTTGCAATCTAGCCATAATACTCGAGTTGAGGGTGCATATCAGGCAATGACCAAGGATGAGGGCGCAGTATAAACCGCTTTATAGGCTCGTCAAGTCCGTTAGGTGGTGATCAGGTAATAGCTCACAAGGTTTGAGGCATAGTCGCCCGAAATTTGAGGTCGGACCCAATACTGACTGCCGCCATAATTTGTATGGCACATCCCCAGCTAATACTTGTATTACTAGCCACATTACTGATAGTGTTGGAATCTATCTCGAGTTAACACAGGCCACCGGATATAGGATTGAGGACCTACACCCTACGATCCAACATAAAAAGCCACGCCATTTCTCCAACGAGAACATAAACGTCCAGTAATAAAGTCCACCAGATGTTGGCGCTGCAGACGCTATGTCTCCAATGGCGAGGGTAATTGTAGCAATGAATATCGAACAGACAGTCCACTGTAAGAAAACGAATCATTATTCTAATTACTGCGTGTAACTAAGGGAGACTCACTCCCCAGACCATCGCAAAAGCGCCTCCATTGGGGATGGAGAAAATTAGCACAGATCTGTGTAGTGAATGAGGATGCTATCTTGTATTACTAGATAAAACCCACTGACGAGAAGGAAGGCACGATCCCAATAAGGCCGAAAGCAAATCCGAAAATTTCTAGCGGTTTGAAGTGTCTCTTGAGCTCTGATCAGAGAAGGGTGTGGGCTAGGATGGGTACGTAGCATAGTTGGTCTACCTTGTTTATATCCAAGACGAGCAAGAAGTCCCTCGTCACTCTCTGCCGTCGAAAGGGAAATCGTCTCTGTGGTTTTATCTTCCTCCGATAGCATGATAGTAATGAGACTTCGGAGTCACAAAACAAACGGTCCTCAGTCATCTATAGGACGCTCAGGACCAGCTTTATGAGATGATAGAACCATGATCACTGGGAACGAAGAGTCAGTGCCACAGATCCGATATCCATGGCGGAGATTAGCTAGCTCCGGGAGCATCGTTGTAATACAAAATATATGAATAGTGATTGGTCGCGTTAAAATCTGGGGAAAAGCCTATGCATTCATAATTGAGACGCACGAGGCCAGGCCCCAGGAGAATGGCCTGTGTAACATGCCAAAAACATCCGCGAATTCAGGCAAAGCGTTACGTACGATGATGATTCTTCAGATCTGGGTATTATTTCATCCGATTTGTGGTATGCACAACACCTCCCGGGTTCTCAACGTTAGTCGGACCCAATCCCCACATTGCAGCCCTTTATGGTTTATAGCCATGTTATACAATTTAGCTGGCAGATGCCAGAGCCGGTTGACCAGATATCGAGACATATTCTGAGGTAGGACTAGCCATCATAGGTCAGGATACAGATATACCACCCGGGTGCCTGAGTTATGAAGTAGCCCGCAGAAAAATTTTCTCCACACTGTTGCTCTGTCTTGAGAATTTTGCTTGGAAAGGTAGAAGTCAGATGATATGGGTTGGGAAGAAGAAAACAAGGTTGACTACATCATTGAATTTCAAATTTGACCGTCGTTAAGCATTCACGCCGAAGTCAATCCCGCGTAGCACCGCCACCAACGCATTTCAAGCTTTGATTCTTCTTTTCAAGTAGCATTGGAAGGAAAGTATCCCCCGTTGCTGGAAACTCCGGGAGAGTAAAACACCATTAAAAGTGCATCCTGTTAACTTCCTAAAATCGAAATTTTTCGCCGGGCGAAGGGGCTTATGCTCTGAGCTGCCATGTCAATCCAAGTATACAGTATACGGTAGCCTCTCATACATCTCTCCGACAGCAGTAACAGGTGTGGCTGCCGTTATAACTACCGTTCAGCCTTAAGTAGTCAAGACATACACCGCGGACGGATTCTCATATCATATGAAAACATTGAACACACGTATCATTTGGGATAAGTCATTGGCAACGTATCCAACTACGCATGTATAACGGTCGATCCACAAAAAATGAACCACTCGGTCAGCGCAATTCGGACCACATCCACTAGCATCTTACTCTTTTTCGACTACATCATTCTCAACTTGTAATGCGGGCATTTCGACCGTTGATATCGGCCCTGTGAACCAATTTCTCCCGCCATATTTTGGAAAGTAAAAATAGACGATCGCAAGGATCAGGACACCGCCTGCAAGGTCTGTTTTAACGTGATGGATTGTAATATTAGAAGTAACCTACCTTGTACTACGACTGCATAGTTCATGCTACCTACCCCAGGAGAGGGGGAAGCAGGAAACATGAACACGACAGTCATGAAGGTCATCCAAACGACAGCAACCGCAGTAATTGGGAGACTCTGGAATCTGTTAATCGCCTCTAACGAGTAAGCTTAGAACGACTGACCAAAGGACCTAGCCGAAAAGGACCTGGCTTGATTCTCTTGCCTCCAAGAAACCTCGCTGACAACGGGATACAAAATGACACATATTGTGCAGTCACGGAGAGTAAGAAGACCGCCTCGATGGTATTATTACCAGTGAACGCAAGGCATCCGAGTAGGAGGGACCAACATGTTCCAAACCAGATGGCATGAGTTGGTATCCGAGTTTGGGGATCGACGTAGTATACCCATCGGGACAGAGGAAGACCCCCGTCTCGAGAGAAGGCAAATATCTTAATTGATACCGACAGTCAATGCGAGTAAATGGGACGGGAAGTGAAAGCTTTTCTACCTGCCTCGAGGTTGTCATCATCTATGTCCAAGTCAGTATAGTATCTGGTGCCAGCATACCGCGTCCACATACTTGATTTGTCCCAATGGCAAACCTAGGGATCGGCATCAGATGAGGAGATAACACGTGGAGTTGAGATGTTTACTGTGTGAAGATAACAAATGACCACACGACGAGGGTGCCGGTCTTCCCGAAGGAATTGAACAATATCTAATCAGCCATTAATTTATCGGTTAGCAAGCCGTCTTCTATAGGACCCGCTGAATACCTACTGTGGCCATGGGCTGACCGATGGGACTATCAATGATACTCTGGTAATCTTGACCCATACAGAAGACTAGCACGATATTCATTGCTTGGTAACGAAGGTTCGTGAGCTGCCAGCGCGGTGGTAATTCGATGACAGAAACCTACCCCAGCCAAAAATGGTGGCAGAGAAGATGGAGCAAATTATAGCCATTGGAACGGCTATGCTGGCATTAGCTGCTTCCTCACTCATGTGGACGGGAGCATCAAACGCTCCTACAGTATATCAGCAAGAAAAGGGATTTTCATGAGAAAAAGAACGCACCAACGCCCCATAAAGGGGTTAAAAAGCTAAGGACAAACGCAAAGCCGTTGGGCCATCCGGATACTGATTAAAGTCGTGAGCTAATGAAGACTTCCAGTATGAGAACTGACCGTTGGTGAAGTCCTCGAAAGCAAATTTTGCGTCGTTTCTGAATTCCTCAGGTGTTGCTACTGGAAGACCTATGATAACTACGCAGAACAACCTGTAATATAGAGATTTATCAGTAGACGAGTAGGAACATAGAAAGAGGCTAACAGAACGTTGATTATTACCAAGGCAGTTTGCAATCTAGCCATGATACTTGAGTTGAAGGTACATATCAGGCAATGACAAAGGACGAGAGCACAATATAAACCACTGTATAGGCTCGTCAAGTCCGTCAGGTGGTGATCAGGTAATAACTCACAAAGTTTGAGGTATAGTCGCCTCAAAAGCGAGATCAGACCCAATACTCACTGCCGCCATAATTTGCACGGCACAACCCCAGTTGACACTCGTAACGCCAGCCACATTACTGATAGTGTTGGAATCTATCTCGAGTTAACGCAGGCCACCGAATATAAGATAGAGGACCTACATCCTACGATCCAACATAAAAAGCCACGCCATTTCTCTGGCGAGAACATGAACGTCCAGTAATAAAGTCCGCCGGACGTTGGTGCAGCAGACGCTATGTCTCCAACAGCGAGGGCGATTGCAGCAATGAATATCGAACAGACAGTCCACTATAAGCAAAGGATCGTTCCAATTACTGCGTGTAGATGAGGGAGACTCACACCCCAGACCATCGCAAAAGCGCCTCCATTGGGGATGGAGAAGATTAGCACAGATCTGTATGCAGTGAAAACGAACATTAATTGATATCCCGAGATAAAAAACCCACTGACGAGAAAGAAGGTACGATCCCAATAAGACTGAAAGCAAATCCGAAAATCTCTAGCGGTCTGAAGTGTCTCTTGAGCTCTGAATAGAGAAGGGCGTAAGTCAGGATTGACACGTAGTGAAGTTGGCCTACCTTGTTTATAACCAAGACGAGCAAGAAGTCCTTCGTCACTGTCTAGTGTCGAAAGGGAAATCGTCTCCGTGGTCTGATCTTTCTCCGATAGCATGGCAACAATGAGAATCCACTAGTGACATCAGTCATTTATAGGAAGCTCGGAGTCCAATATTATGAGATGATAGAACCATGGTCACTGGGAGCGGAGAGTCAGTGCCACAGATCCGATATCCATGGCAATCATTGGCTAGCCCCGCGGTGTCGTTATAAGAAAATATGTGATTGGTCGCATTGAAATCTAGAGAATAGACTGTGTGACATGCCAAAAGTATCCGGGATTTTAGGTAAAGCGTTACGTGCGATGATGATTCTTTGGGTTTGCGTATTTCATCCGATTTGCGGTATGCACAACATCTCCTAGGTTCTCGACTGTTAGTCTGACCCGATTCTGACATCCGAAGCTTATCTGTACCGCTTGTTCCTCTAGGCATTATAGGTGAGAGTACAAATATATAGGTACCTCAGCAACATACCTGTCCGCAAGAACGGTATCTCCCCAATGTTTCTCTGGCTCGGGATTCTGTTCAAGGCCCATGGTAAGCAAACTGTATTTTAGTTTGACAACCTATTGACTTTCACTCACGTTATTCTTGGTCTCTTTCGCAGTCACATCGACCGTCGAGACGGGTCTTGTGCACCAGTACATTCCGTCATATCTCGGAAAGTAAAAATAGATGGCGGCAAGGATTAGGACACCCGTCGAGAGAGTAGAAAGCCTCCATCTCGGGAGAAGGCAAAATATGTGGTTCTGAGCACAAATGCGGGCGAGACGGGGAAAGCAAGATGTTTAAGCTGCCTGTCGAGAACATTGACGCCGCGTGATACCAGCATGCGGACTTACGTTACCTACACCATTGGCAAACCTAATTGTTGATATCAGATGAGATGATAAGGGTTCATAGACTCAGTAGATTTACTGCGCCAAGATGATGAACGACCTACAATCAAAGTTCCGATCTTTCCGAAGGAGTTGAAAAATATCTATGAGTAGATTCGCTACGTTCGCAGTTTGTGAAGTCATTGATTACGCACATAAGCCATCCAGAAGCCAAGGTTTCGAGAGTGATGGGGGGACAAAACCACTGTAGTACTTATCCGACCGATAGCATGAGTGAAGTAGGCCTATTGGATCCGATATCAGTGGAGGCGGTTTGCTGGTCGAGATGAGGACTCAGACTTCTGTTGTTCTCGGGTGAGTGCCACGATGTTTGAGTGTATCGGGGAAATACATACTGTGATACAATAAGCCGTAATGTAAAGAGAAACGACAGCTCCTCAGCGCCTCGCGCTTTTTGTAACATGGTGGTGGTGTTACCGGCGCCAGGTCCCAATAAGGAACGGCCGGGTCCACAGCCCTGACATAGCGAACCATGCGCTGTGGCTGCCAGCAACTACGCGTCGACCATCACATGATCTTATCGAGGCTTCCCTTCCTGAGCCTCTCATCATTGACACTATCGCTCTGTCCGAGAGTCGTCCTAGTCATCTATCCTTCCTACCTCCTCGTTTTCTTTTGCAGATGAATTGGTCTTTCTTCTTCTCGAGCGATGCCTCCAAAGAGCATGAAACTGAAGTCGCCAGCGTGTTGTGGTCTCCAAAGGTTACCGACGACCTGCAGGTCAACAGGCCAGTTCTACAACGAAAACTGGACGCAAGGAGTATTGCTGTCATGGTTGAGAGAGGTAGAAGACTTGGTTCGGGATGTACACTCATCTCTGGGCTTCTGTCCTCGGCCAACGAGATCTTGGTTGCAGCTATCCGAAGGTATCTGAATAACACTCGTCAGACATAGCCACTTTTCTCCGTCCTAGGTTCACAGTAATGCAGAAGAACAAGAGGAGGGCTGTCAGAGCTTCCAGTATCTCGTCGAGGGGAGGGGCTCCTAGAACACTATTCTTCTCGTCTCCTCGTCTCCCGACCACGTCCCGTAACGAATGCGTCATGCGAGCCGACCCTTCCTTAGCGAGAGCGCGACCGAAGATGGCCAGGGCGACGCGACTCCAACAAGAATCATAAGAATCCGTGCTGCATTCCTTCATTGCGAATGTTACCTCCGTCGTTAGTCCATCACCATCGTCGTATCCTACCGTTATTGGGGGCGTCACCTCCACCGTTGCCAAGACTGGCACTTCGTCTTCTAGTTCGTCTTCTACCATATGCAGCGAATTTAGGGAGTGGTTATATACGCTCAACGAGGCTCAAGCTGAACACAGGACCGGTGACCTGACCCGCTGCCGCGGTTGCTCAAGCACTGGCTGACCAGTGTGAATTAGAGCATTCTGGCTCCTCTTTACGGAGGTGCTTAATTTACTTTCAAATTGGTGACTACGGTGCCAAATCGACCGCTCTGACAAACAGTTTTGGCCCTTGACGTTGTTCCCATATCGACCATGGTGCAGATGTGGACTGACGAGATTTGTACGTTCTCGTCCTATGTGTTCCTGTGGATGCGTATGCTTATAGGGGCTAAATGATAGCCGGATACGACGCGAGAGCTCTTCCGTAACCACATTCTATACAGATGGTGTGAAAATCCATAGAGAGCTTGGATACGATTATATAAAGCTTGAGTGTTCCTACTCTTACATTGAATGTGGCATGTGTTTACTTCGTCGTCATACGCTGCGCCAACCCAGTGTTCAATTCTAGGACGGAGTTCTTTACGAACTGCGATTCCACTGGAAGCGTCGAAGAAAACTGAGTGCTCAGTATTTCGCAGCTGCTTTGGATGTACCACCGAATGATTTGTTCATACATGACTTGCGCCAACTACCGCAGGGTATGTTCGAGTCTTTCAATGAATCTCCAATTCATGTGTTATTCATTCGTAATATAATATCAATATTCACATTGTAACGTTGTGCATGAATATTGAACGATCCGGTTAGAATACGAGGTTGGCCGGGCCCGATATATGCTGAAGTTGAGACCTCATCTGCTAGGACCTTATCGTCTTTTCATCTGGACCATCCTTGACATGTGCCGGAGGTACTTCGACCGTTGAGACCGGTCCTTTGAACCAATACACTCCGCCATATCTAGGGCAGTAGAAATAGATGACGGAAAGCACCAAAACGCCACCTGCAAGACCTCCGTCAACGCACCAAATCTCATCAGAAGAAGCTGACCTTGCACAACGACTGTGTAGTTCATATTGCCGACGCCGGGAGAGGGAGTAAGAGGAAACATAAACACGACAGTCATGAAAGCCATCCAGATGACGGCAACCGCTGTAACCGGGAGACTCTAGGTTACAGAGATTGTATTAATCACTATCGGCCGATATGCGAACGGAAAATGGCTGACCCAAAAACCTAGTCGGAAAGGGCCTGGTTTCGAAGTTTTGCCGCCGAGAAACCTCGCAGACATCGGTATAGAATATGACACGTATTGTCCAGTAATTACGAGCGAAAAGACTGCTCCGATAGCATTCTCACCAGCGAAGGCGAGAATTCCGAGGAGAAGGGACAAGAAAGTCCCAAACCACACAGCGTGTGATGGGGTCCGAGTTTGAGGATTGACGTAGTAAATCCATCGAGAGAGAGGTAAGCCTCCATCTCGGGAGAAGGCAAAAATCTGTAATTCGGAGCATCAGCACGTTTGGGACGGGAGAAACCAAGTTACCTGTCGAGAGCATGTGGTCAACTATACACCCGTCAGTTTAGAGGCCGCGTGACACCATCTCGGGGGCTTACTATGCCTGCACCGATGGCGAACCTAATCGTTGATATCAGATGGTATGATAAGAATTCTTGGACTCGGGATATTTACTGTGCCAAGATGATGAACGACCATATAATGAGAGTTCCGGTCCTTCCAAAGGAGTTGAAAAATATCTACCAGTAGATTCGTTACATGTGCAACATGGCTTAAATGGGAATGTTACTCACAGTGGCCATAGGTTGGCCAATGGGGCTATCAATGATACTTTGGTAATCCCGTCCCATGCAGAAGACCAGTGAGATGTTCATGGCTTCGTAGTAAAGGCTCATTAGCTGTCAAGGAACGACGGTGGTATAGTGGCAGGGAAATTTTACCCCAGCCGAGAATAGTAGCAGAGAAGGTGGAGAAAATGATAGCCATTGGAACGGCTACGCTGGCATTGGTTGCTTCCTCACTCATATGGACGGGAGCATCAAAGCATCCTATATATATCAGTTAATGAGACAGTTGCACCACAAGTAGGACGCACCAACGCCCCATAAAGGAGTTAGAAAACTAAGTATGAACGCAAATCCGTTGGGCCATCCGGACACTGGTTGATATAATGAGCCAATGAAGATTCCCTGCGCGAAAACCGACCATTAGTGAAGTCTCCAAAGGCAAATTTTGCGTCGTTTTTGAATTCCCTGGGAGTCGCTGCTGGAAGACCTATGATAATTGCGAAGCACAGACTGGAACAAGAGGAGTTTTGGGGACCAAAAGATTGAAAATAAAAAGCAACGTACAAAACATTGAGTAATACGAAGAAGATTTGAAAACGAGCCATAAATCTAGGGTTTATGCTACATATCAGGGCATGACAGAGGAGAAGCGCGCAATATAGTCCACTGCCATATGGATTTTCGTCAGGCCCTTAAGTCAGTGAATTGAGAGATAACGCACAAAGTCTGGGAAATGGTTGCTTCAAAAGTCCGATTGGATCCGATACTAACCGCCGCCATGATTTGTAGAGCACATCCCCAGTCAATGCTCGCAACGCTAGCCACATTACTGATGGTATTGGAATCTACTTCAAGTTAGTGCCAGCTGGTTGCAACGACAATTCAAACCATACATCCCACAATCCAACATAGAAAACAACGCCATTTCTCCGACGAGAACATGAACGTCCAGTAATAGAGTCCGCCAGATGTTGGTGCAGCAGATGCTAAGTCTCCCATGGCGAGGCCAATTGCAACAATGAATATGGAACAGACAGTCCACTAGTGGTGAAGCGTCAGAGTCTTTGATATTTCCTGTAAAAGAGTGTTACTTACTCCCCAGACCATCGCGAACGCGCCTCCATTAGGGAGGGAGTAGATAAGAACAGATCTACGTGATACATGAGATAGCCGTCCATAACTAGAATCCATAGACAGAACGTACGACAACGCAGGTGCGATGCCAATAATGCTGAAAGCGATCCCAAAAATCTCTAGTGGTTTGAATTGTCTCTTGAGCTCTGGATTAAACATCGGTAGGGATCAGTATATAGCGACGAGGGAATTCTGAAGCACCTTGTTTATACCCAAGGCTAGCGAGTAAACCCTCATCATTGTCCAAGCCTGTTGAAAGAGAAAGCGTTTCCGTGCGGTTATCTGGGTTATCCTTCTCGGGCATGATAGACAAGACTGAAGGGTCACAGGGCAGACGAGCTTTCACGTCCTTATTTATATAAGTTCAAGGTGCGACGTGATGAGAAGATAAATCAATATTTGTCCGACCAGCAGTCGAAGCGAAGAGGCTTATTGAACCCGATATCAGTGGAGGTGATTTAGCCCCGGAAGTGCCGTCATACTAGATTTCAGGATATGTAATTGGCGGAGATAAAGGCTTGGATCTGTTCTCTGTGAATTGCCAGGGTATCCATGATTAAAGGCGTCACATTTACAGAGGCAGAACATACTGTGATACACTGGGCCCTTCGTCTTCATATCTGGTTATTTCTTCATTGCCAATCTATGAAATTCCCTCCACCTCTCTTCTCATCCGTGGATCCAGCCGAGTGCTCGTCCTTTAGTCTCCCACTCGCTCTTGAAGGTCCTCATGTCGTTTATGGGGGGAGCTCGCGGTCCAGTTGGGGAGTTTTGTGCTTCGGATGACGAAGTTTATGTATACTTCGTCTATGAAATTTCATATGAAGCGACGATAGGACATCGATGTGAAACCATCGATATCACAAGGGCTTCAAAGGTGGCGATTCTGAAGGCGACTTCGAGTCGATTGAGCTCCATCATTCATTTCAATAATTCGGACGGTCCGGTCAATGTCCGAGGTAGACTAGAATTAGTCCATCCTAGACGTTATCCTTGTCAAGACATCCATGTTACCTGACATTCAGACTCGCTATCGAAATTACCTCGAGAATCGCTGACTCCAGTGAGCCTCAATATTGCAGGTCACGGACTATTATATGGTCGGTTGAGCCAAAAACGTTGAACTTTCGATCTGTGCTCTGAACAATGACGCTCCATGATTATGTTTACAGACGAGAAAATACATACAGCGGTACAGCAAACCATTCTTCTTCCAATTCTATCAATCATCCTCGATTCATTGTGTTCCCGGCACCTCTCGGGTTCTCATCAGTGAACCTAGCCCAATTCTCATCTTTAAGCCTCTTCTCTTCTGCTTTTGCTTCTCCTTCAACCATGCCATCCATTTCGGAATCCATTGTTAGTTGCTCGGATGATGTTGGTGTATTTTCCGAGCCAGGTCTGGGAAGCATATATCATTATAAAGGATGGAAAGCCATAGCAACCGACGCACCCTCCTCCAGAAAGGATATTACCTCGCTGTCTCTCTACCTCAAGATACTGGTCGATAGTCATTGTCGGCAAGTTGTATCCCGGTCCGAAAACTTGTGCCTGATGGCGAGCACGATCAGACGCGCCGGAAGGGAGAATGGTGAATGGTCGAAGAGGCTACATAGCATAGTTAGTGTGATACGTTCAAGTTCGGTGGATATGCAGACCTTTCCTGTAGGATCCAGCAACGGTCCGCCACTCGGATTAGGTTTCGGGGCATCCAACTTCCACATGTCCTCGTCCTGCCTCTCCTTCTCTTTATTCCTTGAATCGCTATCGTTGGGCCTTGGTGAGTATGGAAGTGGTGGAGGTGCTGTCTTCAAAAGCTGCAGTTCTGTATCGATATGGGCGAGCTGAGTCTTGGAAAGAGAGAAGAAAAGACGTAAGAGCAGAAGGGTTGTTTCTCGCAGCACTTCGTCATCTTCATCATCGTCTCCAGAGGTAGTTGCAGAAGGCATGAGGGAAATTGATGAGGATAAAATCGGTGGTGCCAGACGCTGATTCTTCAGTGGGCCGCTGCCTTCTGCGTTTGCGAATGACCTAAACGAACGTAAGCGTCGATATATGCATTACAAGAGTAGCACACCTCTATTCTTGTACGCAAATCCTTCTCATGGCGGTACTGCTGTATCTTCTGCTCTCGCTTGCTTGCAGCGTTGGCGCTGTTACGTGAAAACAGCTTCGAGTCTCCTTCTGTAACTATTCCGTAATTCTCCAAGCTTGAGCAGTACGTTTCATAGTGACTCTTGATAATGCAAGTCAGGTCGTTTCAAAGAAAATACAGAAAGAGACATACTTGAGCTTGGATAATGGAAACAAACCGATCTTCCCGCTCCGTCGTCCGTACGCGACCCTGTACTTCCGCACACACGTAGGGCACGGTGAGGTAGATCAGATTCTGCGTGGAGATGTCCTCAAGTGTTTCGTTGCTGCTGAAAAGGGCGAGGTCGGCTATTCGAGCTTGAATTTCGCGGAGATCCTCTATGCATGACTTGACGATATCCTACAAGAACATTATTTTGGGTTCGGTCCAAGGATGCTGAAAATAAACACCTGTGTTGAGTCTTCAATGGTGGGAAGGTCGTAGGCATCGGATGCCGTGGTGAGTACTCGGGCGTATAGCTGGGGCAAAGGTGTGGTCATAGTAGCTAGGTAAGAGACAGCCTCGATCAAAGCTACTCAAGTAATCGCCACGATCACGGAAGCAATGAGGAAGTTCACTTCCAAAAAATTTTCTATACGACATTTGTTACATATACCAAGATAGATGTACTAGATACATTTAGGCCCAATGTTGAAGAGCTTGTACAGGTTTTATACTACGTGTCCGTCGTTTCAATAATATCGGACAAGAACGTCCATAGCGACTCCGTGTTCTTATAGTCATGATGCGTGATGCTGACGAGCCATCGTTCTTTCTTGACCGAATCCAACAACAACCTCTCTTCAGACCCCGGGCGGTAATGCGATGCCCATTCTGACCAGATCGAAAAGGCTTCATCCTTGAGAGGTTGTAAGGACTTTGCCGAGCTCATTAACAAATGGACATACCTTCCACGAAAGGAACGATTCGCGTTCAATAATCGTCGTCTGTATGATCTCTTGGCCCGTAAAGACGCCCCAAGTTACCGCATTTCGTCCATCATCAGGTATATTGCCTCGGTAGTCTCCCTAAGACAATCTTCAGCGATATCCAAGCCAGCGAGCTTCGACCTACCGTCGAGTTACCAGCAAACCAGTGTACCCACCCTTTCCCGTTATCTGTTACTTTCTTCTCGATGAGGTCCAGGTCATCTTCAGTGCAAAAGAACTCCACAAATCCTTTCTGAAATACGAATCCAGCACGAGGGCCCCATCCGAATATCTCATCGCTCGATGGCGCACCATCAACGGCGGGTTGCGATCCCACTGTCCACCAGCAACGTTTTGTGAGTTTCTCCAAGTGTGGAAGAATTGTCAGCGATTCAGGAGAAAGTGGCGTGGGCGAGAATGGCGTCGTTGGTATCTTCGAATGTATATGATCCAAGAATATTGTAGTTAGGTCGTCAATAGTCTGCGGGTGTCTCCAAGGGCCCAAAGTCTAGTATAAGGCTCAAAACAAGGCTTCTTACATTTCACTATTTCATAACTCACTATATTTCCGACGTTGCCGTATGGATCTTGATCGCCATACGCCGGACTCTTGAAGTCACCGAAACGACCGTTGGGGAAGTCATCCCATGTAGCGGCATTGTTCAACTCTCCGCTACCAGCTTCGCCATCGGTGGTGGATATAGTAGCCAATCCGTACTTTGCCGCCCGGCTTGCGGAAGAGGGTGTGACAGATCTACCGTCATCGTGGGGGCCTTGCTATTGTTGAGACGTCAGGAAATTTCTAAAAACAAGGGAAAAGACAACTACCTCGATTAACTTATTGTAAGCGGGAGGGATGGTGCCAGCCCACTGCAACGACTCTAGGACGCGCTGTACACTTTTTTCAAGGTTAAGGGTACTAAAGTGCACGCCAGGAACCTTTCCTTCAGACGTCAGTCGTCGTATCATGTTGACGGCTAGCTTAACACCATAATCTTTAACAAGTTGGTCGTCATGCTGCTATATGATTATAATTTCTCTGGTGCTGAACAAGTGGGTACACACCTTAATGGGATCCAGATCTGACATGATAAACGACGGCACACTTGTCCCACAAAGTTTGATTAGCCGTAAGAAAGATGAATAGGTTTGAATCGGCATGATGCCCGGGATGATTGGCACGTTAATACCTACGCTGCCTCAGCTTTAAATCTCAAAAAGAATGTCAGACAAGGACAGAGACCTTTCGCCCGAACTTTCTTCTCCCACCGAAGGAATTGGTCTACATCGTAGAAAAGTTGAGTGACAATGAAATCGGCTCCAGCGTCTACTTTTGCTTTCAGATACTCAATTTCGGCATCCTCATCATGGAGGCTGTCAGGGTGTCGATCCGGGTACGCTGCAGGCATCATTCAGAAGGGAAAGAAACGCCAGGAAAGATCTGACCAGCAACGCCAACGCAAAATTGCGACGAAAATTGAGGCGACGAACGAATATAGGAAACAAGATCAATACCGCGTTGAAAGCGAGGATCTATAGGAATCCACTCCTCCTTCCCCCTCGGTGGATCTGCTCATCGATTAAATTTGACGTGACACTCCAGGGTCGTACATGACGTACCGCCGCGCAAAGCCAGTATGTTTTCAATCTTCCTGTTCTTCGCGGCCTAGTATCGTGTTAATTTTGAGGGAAATTGTAAAAAAAAAGCATGGTGCATACTGCCAATGCATCATCCACCATCCCTTGCATCATATTCGTACATGTAAGGTGAAGGATGGTGTCGATATGGTATTCTGTCTGTGCCAAGCCTGCGAGATCCAGACTGCGATCTCTGGTACTACCTCCAGCTCCCCAAGTAATGCTGACTGCCATAGGCCTCAAATTTGACAGTCTGGATATGCGAGAAAGGAGGTTCTCGAATCCCTGTTAAGACCGTACAAGTCAGTTCCTAGCGATGGCGGATAAGGAGAGGACCATGACTTGATCCGTTCTCGGTGGAAAGAACTCGAAGAAATAGAATGGATGAGGTCCATCGTGCGCTGTTATTTTGTCAATGATTTTCATCCTTATGATGATGGTGGTCAGAAAATAGGGTGTATCGCTGTAATAGAAATGTTTTCCCACGTACGTTACATATATCACGTGATCAGCCACAGCTTCTTCCTGTCAGTGTCACGGACTGCACGAAGGCTTCCTTTGTTCAGGTGTTGCCTTTGTTTGCTTCCGGTATCTGTATGATGTATCGATAACGTCCTTGACGGCGCTTGATGTGCATCTTGCCTTTGTTTTCTTCTCAAATCTGTCCTTCTCCTTCGATCTGGACCATTCGCCATGAATATCGCTTTGCACTATCTTCCAACGACCGTCAATGCATGGGACGTGACCAGAGCACTGGCCGAGGTCCTTCATTCCGACGAGTTTCACCCTGTACACGAGAATGAACGTCCGCTCAACTTCAAGGTTGAGCTGAACCCGAGTAAAATGGGCGGTGTTCGCAACGACGGTACCGGCATATTACAACTTCCCACAGAGGCCATTGGCCGAAAGTTCCTGGGATGGGCAAAGGAGACTCCTATACGGATTGAAAACAAGAAAATTAGGGTGTACCCGAAGGGCCATGCCCGCAACTATGTCGCCTTAACGCTGCAAAGGACGCCCTTTGTCAATCCCGATATCGAAGAGGAGTGGGAGGATAAGTGCAGGCAACTGGATCTGAGGATCCGTATTGACGCCGTTCAATTCGGCGCGTATTATCGCCCTTCGTATCCCACTTCCCCCAAACAGCGGCTTGCATCGCGTGCGTACTCGATTGAGTGGGAGCGTGACTACGCAATGAACAGTGCCGCTTGGTTGAAGTTCGAATACAAGCACAAGCTGATTCGTATCACTGTCAGTCACTCTCAAATTTATAATACCGTGACCATCCATAGATCTGATATCGTCCTTAAGCTTGGAAACGAAACCACAGAGAATGAAGGACAGACAATTGCCATCAGTTTCTCCAGCATCAACAAGATAGCCATCGGTTATGATGGCAAACCTTGTACGCCCTTTTAAAGGCCGGGCCCCCTAGTGTAATAATTCTCATATTTCTCTTAGATATATGCTTCGACACCATAACACCTCCCGTTTTTGAAGCCATCGAGTTACATAGGTCGTTGACAGGCGACGACAGGATGGATAATAGAAAGTACAAGCACCGCATCGATTCTCTCCATCCAGGGCATGCAAGCATCGCACCATATGCCCAACATCTACGATTACTTCTTTACAATGATCCGAATTGCGATGTCATCGAGACATTCAAGAACCTCTGCGCCGTAGCCGGGATAGCGACCAATCTTATCATCTCTTTCACACGACCCTGGAACCTAGAAGCTTCCAAGCAGGGTTTCTTCGAGCAAAAGCGACTCTGGAAGCTGCGAAAACACATTCAGGCCTTTAGTTGGCCCATCGCGTTCCAACTAGAGTTATTACTTCACAACTGTCTGCTCCTCACACCCGATGTTGAAGCCCTCATACCCCTTGTGAAAGAAGCCTGTCGCCAGCATCCTAGTCAGAATGATGACTACGTTGGCAGTCTCTTGCGGAGCTATGTCGAAGCTCTAGATAATCGTGATGCTCGCGAATCTCCCCTGAACTGCTTCAACCGTGTCAAACGGGAATTCTTGTACCACAAACAAAAACTTTCCTCGGGACATTTCTTGTGCTGCCATGTCACTTTTTCACCCACTCGCATAATTCTGGAAGGCCCTTACGCTACCCAATCCAACCGGATTATCAGAAAGTATGCCGGATATGACGATCATTTTATTCGTGTGGATTTTCGTGATGAAGATAGACTGTCATATCGGTGGGATCGCGCCGTTGATGGAGCGTCTTTCGTTCGCAAGCGAGTGGGTGACACCTTGAAGCAAGGTTTCGAGCTGGGTGGTCGAAACTTTGAATTCCTGGCCTACTCTTCTTCAGCACTACGTGAGCATGCAGTATGGTTCATCAATCCCTTCCGATACCAGGACCCGGACACTAAAGATATAATTCATGTTGACGCAGAGTACATTCGGCAGTCTATCGGAGACTTTAAGGGCACAGAGCTTATGACACAGCCCTCCAAGTGGGCAGCGAGGATTGGTCAGGCTTTCACTGCAACAGATCCTTCCGTCAAAGTCAAGCGTCATGAATGGACAGAGATGCCTGATATGGGAACAAAAGAGAATTTGGCCAAAGGTCAATACTTGCATACTGATGGCGCGGGCACAATATCCAAGTCTCTGGGAGATGAGATCTGGGCATGTCTTTGCAAAGGCCGACGAGATCACGGTGAAAAGGCTGTTCAGCCTTCTGTCGTGAGTGTCCTACTGCTAGTTTTATGATGGTGCAGTGCTGAATGACGCCGGAAGTATCAAATACGTTTCATGGGATACAAAGGCGTCGTTGCAGTTGATCCTGAACTTGACCACGACCCTAACGGCATCAGGATGAAGCTGAGGCCTACTATGAGAAAATTCGAAGACCCTCGATCGACGGAAGCAGACATAGAGATTGCTCGGGCTTTCGATAGGCCTAATACTTCCTACCTCAACAGGTCAGAAATTTCTCTGTAGCTTTCGATCACCGGATGCTGACACCCTACATTGAGGCCGTTGGTAATGATATTGGAGGACAAGCAAGTTAGAAGGGATAGTCTCCAGGAATTGCAGGATAACGCGGTCGCTGATATTTTGACCGCCGATGACTCGATGGCCAGCTTCATCGCTATTCTCAAGGATCACTCCTTAGGCTCCCAATATCGATTATCATATATACTTGAAAAGATTTCTGCCCTAGGCTTTGATCTTCACCCCCAGGGACGTACTCCTAGCATCGATACACCCTTCTTGGAACAACTACGTCAAGTAACAAAAATCGACCTATTGCGAGAAATCAAACATTCAGCCAGAATCAAAATTCCTGAAAGCTATCTGCTAGTCGGCGTGCCAGATGAGGGGCCTGCGTACGAACAAAACGGTTATAAGGATGTTTTCACCTTGAAACAAAATGAAATATATGGTCAGCCACTGATATTTGCGCGCGCGCGTTGATATTCATCTTGTTCTACATTACAGCTTGCGTCCAGAAACATCCCGGAGAAGAACCAGAGTGGATTGTCGGTCCTTGCACCATATCTCGCAGCCCAGTGGTTCATCCAGGGGACAGTAAGTACCTATCAATGCTTCAGCGACATTTTCTGATACCGATCAATAATAGTACAGCAAGTTATAGGCGTCAAGCCCAAGGATAACATGTTCTGTGCGTTTCGCCATATCCGCAACGCGGTCGTCCTCCCATCCGTCGGTAGGTGCCTTCTGGTCGGGCCGATACCAGTATCTGATAAACTCTGTAGGTGAGAGATCCTTGGCGTCAAAACTTGGTGGTGGTGACTTGGACGGGTTCGTCGCGATCTTTCCAGAACTTTGTTATTACTAATCGCTACCTATAACCAGCGATATCTACGACGTTATCCCCAACTCAGATCTCATACCTCCAGTGATTAATGAAGCGGCGTCTTATGCTAGCGCAGGGACTTATGTCGCTCGGGATGAAAACGGTGAACCGAGAGAATGTGATGTTAATGACATCGCCGATTTCATCGTTGAATACATCAACTCAGATGTTCTGGTGTGTTTTCGTCTCGACAGGAAAGTTATCCGTCTGTTAAACTTTCCTACAGGGTCTATTGTCAGATAGATTGCTCGTTATAGCGGGTGCGCTTATCAAAGATATACCTACCATGTTATCTAACCTTCTTCGCATAACATAGATCAGTCGTCTGTAAGTATATTTCACGTGTTCGACCGTTGCCGCCCGCTTACCTTTATCTCAGGAGGGAATTTATGACAAAGACTGTGAATGGTTAGCAGGACTTTGCGCTCAGGTCGGTTAGGCGTAGTCATTTAAGAGTCCTACTAAGACTGTTTGTAGGCCGTCGACTATCCCAAGCAAGGGATTCCCGTTGACATTGATGATGACAACCTACCGCGCACGCTTATTCGATGCAAACCTGACTGGCATGCTGCTGAGGTGGTCGATCCGCGCTCGACAGACTATTATGAATCAACCCGGGCCCTTGGACACATGTTCCGCTCTATTAAATGGACGAATCCTGAGGCACTGCCCTCTGACACGCCTACCTCAGGTAAACACCTATCCACGGACCCATTGTCGAAAGCACTCCAGACTTACATTCAGCACCAAATTTGGCCATACATTGAACCTGACGGCATGTCTCCTGAAACGGCAAGTCTCTTCCGCCAGTATGAAAGTGAATTACGGTACATCAGCGCCACGCACACGCTCTCGAACACACCGGGGATCAGATTGTTGGAAGCCGAAATCGTCGTGGGGACGATTCTAGCCAAGTGCACGCAAAAGAGGTGGAGGAAAGATCGTACGTGGCGCATGCGCGGTCACGCTTCGCAGTTGATGAAGGACGTGAAACAAGGCTTGATGCGTCTCACCGACGTTCAGCTTGAACTGAAGGAGGTAATACCCACAGAGACGTACCGTGACGCACTTGAACGTGCATGGCTTGCCTGGGACTATAGCCTTCGGCATTCGGACGAATTTGGGGCGAAGAGCTTTGGGTTGATTGTGTTGGGAGTGATATTTGAATGTCTTGAGAAGCTCAATGTCGACATCAATCCTGCTTCTGCATGAAAGCTCTCACTGTATCTGTAGTCTCGTATGATTTGGTTGTATTCAGACTTCTATACCGCTTCGCTATCGTCAATCGTGTGTAATCAAGTGTTTCCTGGACTGAACTGCGTCTTGAGACCCCACATACCCCACAATGCTTTTGTGTCAGTTCCAGGATGCCAAAGCCCCCACGTAATAGCGTAATGGTTAAGGACCAGATCCAGTTCTTCCACCTCGTCCAGGAACTCGAGAGTTGATATCCTGCATATTGATGAGCCAAGGGAGTAATGTCTGGCAAAGGTAGAAATTCACCTATTCAATTCTGTTTGTTCGATGTATTGAAGCCGGATGTCTCGAAGTGTAAGTGCCCGAGCGGCTGTATATCCAATGCTGGTGAAACGAGTGGGAAGCGTTTCAACGGTGGAATATGGTTCTGCCCCGGGAAGAGAGACATTGCGTGCCTGGAAGAAGTATCATTAACGTTTGGACACAGATATATAAAAACAACGTTACCTTGAGGTTGTCAACCATAACGCGTCCAAAAGAGTCTTGAAGACCAAACATTTCATATACGATAGTTCCAAGAAGACCGTTGTCGCCAGACTGGGAGAAGTAATGCAAGAACCACTTGAGAAGAGACGAGGAGGTGGATGGTGACATGTATACAAGAACACATTCGAAAAGTAAAAGTGTCGGGAGTGAGGGCGAGAGCAGAGGTTTCGAGTTTTGTGTTAGAAGAAGACCCAAGGTCTCTTGCGGGGAGAGTCTAAGGTCGGCAGGTAAAAGGTGGTACTTGGAAGCATGGAGAGCAGTTCCTCCACCAGCTGACGCAGGGTAAATATGTTACAGAATGCGATAATGCATAGGACCCACTGACAGACTTTAACATCAGCTGGGTTGCCCAAGACAGCGCTCAACTGTTTACTCTTCCGGATCGCCATCGCTTTCTTACTTGTTATTTCAGGGAAGTCAATCTCTATATAGGTCGATAGGGCATCCTTCTGAGGGCCTGCCTACTGACCGATCTTTAAGCATACAAACTTCGTCAAAATGTCTCTCACGTACCGCAATTCGCCAATATCGCGTATCACTGCCCGCCCCAAGGCTCACAATCTGGCATTGTTTCCCTTCATCGTGGGACAGAGAGAGCCACTGATTGACAAGATCATCGATGGCAGCAGTGCGAACGTACGTTCCAATATTGATCAGAGGTGGCCGAGCAGGGTGGGAAGCGAGCACGAGGAACAAAGTATTGAATGTATGGATCGCTAAGATATTGCTTTTGAACTGCTGATAGCTTGGCGAGCGCAGCATCCGAGTCGGTGGAACGTATTGAGGAGTCTGCATCGGTGGAAGGTGGTGGAAACATAGATCGTCCAAATTTGGTCATCTCCGCCCTCGAGAGTGTTTCTTATGAGATAATCTATCTGACCATGTAAACAAGATGCAGACCTGTGGTATTTAATTAGAAAACTCGATTCCAGATGCTAAATTCCCCCGGTTTTGATCACTCACAAGACCCAAATACGACAAATAAGTTTAGAGAATTATCCACCTAAATAATATTATGACAGCGACCGAGCAGGTGTCCGTTTGCGTTTCAATATATGTAAATCACTACCGTTCCTTTCTCCTCCACTAGCTCTCGCCATATCGCATCTGCATCTGTCGGAATTTCATCCACAAGTTTCCGAGGCGTCTCGAGAGCATAACCTCCAATCTCTTCGTCGTTTCCAGTATCAAACACAAATTCTGATGGTTTTATGTCCTGCATCCACTTGAATACGTTTGTAGAAGTGCCGCTCTTGATACTGATCCTCATCTTCTTCTTCAGACAGATCCTCTTTGCTGCGTTTTAAAGGTCTGATACAATCAGAGGAAGAGGAAGCAGACGATGTAGTAAGGGCGGGAACGCGGGAATCCGATTTCCCTGAAGCAAACTGCGGTAGATCACGGTAACTTTCCGGCAGCTCTCGACCAAAGTCTCCTGGCCGGCTCCCTTCGTAGAACTTGAGTGGCACCAGAGCATATGCTCCCCGAAATAATCGTAGGAGTTTTAATACTATAGTTAAGTAGACGGGTGCTTCAATTTCATAGCCGCTGTAGCGAGAAGCAAGCGCCGCCACGAAGAATGGGTTCGCTCTCGATGTAACCACAAGATCATTGAATGGGTCAGCGAAGGAGACAATTTCCCCAGAGGAAGATTTGCCAAATATCGGGCCACTCAGGCAAAGAGGTATTATGGTGTATTCATACTCATTCGCAAGAGGACACACCTGGGACGCAAATTAGACACTCGTGTGGAAAAGGACGTTGAAGTCTACCTCATAAAAGGGTATGCGGCTAGGAGCATTCCTCTTGAGGTTGCGATTGTAGCAGTCAACGATACGGTCAAGGGTTTCTCCCGTGGGAGCCAAAAGCCAATGAGACTCTTTGAACGAATCGAGCAAGGAATAATTCACTATAAAACATTTAGAAGCAGTCGGAATGGCTGTTAAAGGGACATACACCGCAAAGTGTTATCGTCCGTCTCAAAATACGCGTTGATGTCACCGCGCTGAAGACCCCAAGCATGTTCTAGGCCATCAAGCTAAGCAGAATATTCAGAAAAGGATGCCACCATAACCAAGGAGGGCTTCACTTCTCGAGCAAAGGATGTGGACTGGATAAGCGGTTGAGACGCTAGTAGATACGGCGACGATGCAGTAGCCTTAAGGAGTTCGAGAGGAAGACGTTCCGGCATAGCGTTATACGAGGAAGAAGAGGCAAGGAATGGTGGATGGCGTAGATTGACAGGATTCAAATTAAGGGATGTAACGATAAACAGTTAACTGTGCCATGATCATGTGATCATCTTTCAACGATCAGCCAGATCGGCCACTGACAACATCTCTGAGGCCAAAGACAGTGAACAGTGAAATGTCAAATGGATGTCTTCGAATAAATCTTCCGGGGGGTCCGAGCGTAGGAGCATGTTCCATAGGAAGGTCATCGACCACGGTTTGGCAATCGGACATGAATGCGTCTGCAATGGCGGGAAATGCTGTCTGCTGTCTGCTGTACATCTCCTGATTCCATGGCGTAGAGGATCAAGGGCTCTGTTGCGTCGAACTCGGCATACTCGCCCATGCGACGATGGAAGTTACTTACATAGGAGGGAGATATCCACGTGCTTCAAATAGCTATCAACAGTTTTTGAAAATTCGCCCTTCGTACAGCCACCACGTGAATCCCAAAAGAGGATAATGGCACTTGAGCCTACGCGTGCCACGAGTCAGCTCGTCTTGACCATGTCTGCCACTTTCCACCATCCTGCGATTCTGCTCCGTCACTGCGCACGCCAGCCCCAGCCAGCCCCTTCCAGGACCGCCGACTTCCTCCTCAGGATCACGATTCACGAAGCCAATCAAGTCGGGCCAGTCCCAGTCCAGCGCGCCAACATGCGCTCTGCAACGTTTACACGCCGCCGCCTCCCGTACCTCCATCACACCGTCAACCAGGGGGTGATTTTGTTCAACAGGGGTGATGCTCCTTTGCTTATAGATAGTATATCTTAGCTAGTGTTTCGATGACTCGGCTTAAAGCCGCGCGCCACGCCAGTCAAGCCGAACGAAGTCACGCCGATGTTGCCGAATGACTTCGGCAAAGTCACACCACAGTACCGGCTCGGCGCGGCTTAGCGCGACTTGAAGTTGCCCGAGCTTCGACTTGAGTAAAAAATACCGAAATGCTATTTTAGGTCGACTTTAATTTTTCCCGCAGTTTCTCCGAAAATTTCTGGACTATTACGTTACCTGAAAATCTACTGATGAGCCATTTACCTAAAGGAAATGCATGAAGTCATAGCTTGACCGGCTGGAGCGGCGTGACGGCAACTTGGCTTCGAAGCTATCAAAAATTATGACTTGGTGAAGCCGTTGAAGCCGAAGCCGAATGAAGTCGCGCCGAGCTGCGCCAAGTCACGTCATCGAAACACTAATCTTAGCTAGGTTGAATAAATACTCTTACTTTTTACTACAAGTCCTGTTGTATATGATTTAAATCTTCTGTAAATTGGTAAAAATTCATCCTAAATTCAGCATTGTTATAATTCCTACTAAGTCAAAATTTTGAATGAGTGGCTTGCACGCGTGGAGGACCGAATCCACGTGGATAGCGCCTCAGCCGAACCAGCTCATTGCGTGACTTCCTTTTCAGGTTGTCACATCACGGTAACGGAGGGCGAATTTGAGGCAACTTGCTATCAACAGTTTGTCAGCACCGCCACCTCGGCTTCTAAGTTTCTCTACTCCCTTCATGGCTGCTCTCGCTGCGTCAGTCTTTTGCTTTTTCGGTATCGCTCTCCACTAAAACGATTCACTAGGCTACTTCCAAAACCTGTTTATGAGGCCGTCGTCTCTGACGATGAGGAGGACATCGTTCGGCCGTCTGCCCCTTCACAGTCGCAACAAGTAATCTCTACACGCATTCCCGTTCCGCCGTATGGACAGCGCAAAGGATGGAAACCCACTAGACCGGAGGATTACGGTATGTTGCACTTTTTGGTGATTTTCTCGTACTCATAATCCGCCAGGCGATGGCGGTGCGTATCCGGAGTGTCATGTAGCACAATATCCATTGGAGATGGGCCGGAAGAAGGTGCGTTTCTGCCCTTTGTTACGAAATAATATTTCTCATCTCGTTCAGGCTTCATCAGGGAACACACTAGCATTACAGGTCGACAGTGAAGGCAACGTTCGTTACGATGCAATTGCCCACCAAGGACAACGACCCGACAAGCACATTCAATCTCAATTCAAAGACCTTGTTCCCTCTTCTCCACCGAAAAGACCTTGAAGACTCAGACCGCACAATGGACCGCCCTTCTGAAGAGGAAGTCCAGGCGACTGCCGACAAAACGCGTGCGGCCCTTGAAAAGCTCGTCAACGGAAAAATCAAAGCTGCACAACCTAAAAACTGTTCCAGATAGTCAAGGGAGACGTCAGTTCATACGTTACACACCGGGACAAGCAAAATGGAGATGGCTTGAAGCAAGCGGATAATAAAGATGTCGGAAATTGTAGAGGATCCTCTGGAACCGCCCCGCTTCAAACACAAGAAGATTCCTAGAGGGCCCTCCCAGTCCTCCTCCCCCAGTATTGAGGAGTCCACCTAGGAAAGCCACCGCTGCTGAGCAAAAGGAGTGGATGATACCGCCATGTATATCAAACTGGAAGAACAACAAGGGTTTCACTATTCCACTTGGATAAGCGATTAGGCTGCAGATGGCAGAGGTCTACAAGACTGTTCGTATACTATACTGTTCATTTCATCTCTTGGCTAATCCCACTTAGATTCATATCAATGACAACTTCGCCAAGTTTTCAGAAGCACTGTTTGTTGCCGACCGACATGCACGCGAGGAAGTCCGGCAGCGGTCGCTCATGCAGCAGAAACTGATGCAGAAAGAGAAAGCCTCGAAGGAAGAGAACTTGCGTATGCTGGCACAACGTGCTCGAGAGGAACGTGGCTGGTGTTGCTACCCAAACCAACCTGCTCAGGGCCAGGCGGCCTATGAAAGCCTCTCTGGCCAACTATGGAAGCGACAGCGACTAGCGATTCCGACTCTAATGATAGTGCTGAGGACGAAGACTGCCCGAAGAATACGTGACGAGATGCGGCAGGAAAAGAGACGGGAACGAGAGCGGGAGATGAGGATGAACAACATGGGTGCAGAGCAACGCGCTAAAGCAGCTTGCTCGTCAGCAGAATCGGGATATATCGGAGAAGGTCGCTCTCGGTCTTGCAAAGCCGACATTGTCCAAAGAGTCTATGCTGGATTCACGGTTATTCAACCAAGAGTCTTTGTCGGGAAGCTTCGCTGACGACGATGCGTACAATCTCTACGACAAACCTCTGTTCCATGGCTCTACCGCGGCTGCAGGCGATATACAAAGCTCGAGGCAACATTGCAGAGGGCAACGATGACTCGTTCGGTGGTGGTACTGATGAGGGCATTGGGAAGGCTTTGGACAATGATCGGTTTGGCCTGGGTCAAGTGCGGGTTGGGTTTGAAGGTGCTAACGAACAAGAAGTTCGGGAAGGCCCGGTGCAGTTCGAGAAGGATACCGGTGATGTGTTTGGTCTCAACCAGTTCTTGGATGAAGCGAAGACTGGTAAAAAGAGGGGGCTGGATACTACAGCGTAAGTGGTAATAGCAGTAGGTTTCTGAGCTATGCTAACATTTTCTTTTGATAGTGGTGGGATCTAGAAAGCGGCAACAGCTGGAGAAGGCTTCGGAGAGGGAGTAACTGTATTTTTCGACCTGATGTAGTTTTAGTTTTTCTATTAGTACGTTTATTCTCCTTCGCATACACATTAGCCCATTATTTTATCAAGGTATATCTGTTTCAAGTACATGCAATCAGTCATAAGCTGCTTCGTGAAGGGCTTCCATTTTCTGCCCTGTAGTATCATATGATAGACCACTTCAGTTATCCTCGAAGGGTTTGAGCCCCCAACCACAAGCAGCTCTCTTGGTTTCTGGCAAACTGAAGAATTCGTAAAAATCCATCTGAATGGCTTGGCGCAAAGCTCTGGCGGAATTTGGTGCAACGGTGCGCTCAACGTAACACCTCTCTTCCTATGACCATTGACACATGGGTCGATGAGCGGGCATGCGCCTCGCATCGGTTTGCTGCTGGATGGCTTTGAAGGTGACTATGTTGCCTTTTGGTCTGGCGATATCGGGAAATGTTGACGAACGATACTGTGTCATTGGGCGGCTTTGCGGTGACCGTTGTTGATCTGAAAAGCTGACCTAGACCCGTAGCCGAGAAGAGTTTATGATGAATTGTCTCTGGTAATATGCTAAACACAAGGACAGGGTCTGCTGTAGTACCAGGGCTTGAACATCAGGCACTACGTGAAGGACGTTCCCTAGCTGGATGGAGTAGCTTGTCGCCTGTATGTTACGGGGCGTAGAAGGCGCAGCAGTTGACTCGATTTGTAAATCGTTGTCGATAAGTGTGATCTCTAGAAAAGAGCTGAGAAACTTGTAACCTAAGGGCAGAGTTGCACCTTACCATTGCCATCATAGTTGTCCGTTTCCAATAAGTGAAGTGATTCGGAGGTCAAAGCCTTCACTCCGAATGGGCATCTCTGGAGTGTGAAAAGGATTCTTCATCACATCGTCGGCGTACGCTTCGTGAACTTTCTGCAATATTGATTCCGCTGAGAGCTCTGCCAGGGATGTCAAAAGAACAAATTTCGTTCCTAGGCCATGTTAGGAGCGTGTAAAGTAGTAGTACGGAAACGTACCTGTAGCCGTGAGTAATATTGTCATCTTGAAGGACTCTCCTTCGATAACCTGAGCACCTGAACTTGGTCCCATCGGTGATAGACGACTTGTAATAGCGTGGATACCGTGCAGTGTACCGGCGAGGACGAGGTACTCATTAGATGTCAGCTGGGCCTAGGCCATCTACCGAAGAATGAGCATAATTGAACAATGCTAACGACCGGTATCCCGACCTGCAAAGTTTCTTTGGTACACAAGGCCTCCTGCTTTGTTGATGACCTATATAGGCGACGTTCCGACAGCCATTCGCCAATAGAGAGGGAACACGTACCCAGAGCCCGAAGATGGCCATGATGGTGAGACGCCAAGGGCATGAGCGTGAGTACGTTATTTTGCTTCCTCCCTCTCCAGCGCCATGAAGGCCGTCCACCTTCTGACGCCCTCACTATGGCTGTTGCTTTCTTCTTCTGACGCCGTTGCCGTCGTTCCAGGTGTCTACGTTGGGCGAACGGGCATTGACAGAGCTCTCTACCGATGACATATCGATATTGGTCTCTACACCCGACCCTCTCAAAAACCTGGACCCGTCAAGTTCCTTCTTCGCATTTATCGAAGATACTGATACCCCGTGCACGTATGTTGGCTGGGAATACAGTCCGAGGACTCTCACCGACATTCATACAGCGGATACAGACAACAACACATTAGTCAGGAACTACATCAAGACCACACTCGAGGCTCTCAATTGGCACGTCGAGGAGGACGAATTCACTGGACAGACACCCATAGGTGAAAAAAGGTTCACGAATCTCATTGCGACAAAGGACCCAACAGCTCCACGCCGGGTCATTCTGTCGGCGCACTTTGACAGCAAATATTTTCCTTCATACCCTGCGAATCAGGTCTGTGCTTCTCCATCTTAGTACCCTAGGATCTGACGGGGACGCAGTTCGTAGGAGCAACTGATTCTGCTGCACCATGCGCTATGATGCTCGACCTCGCTGGGGCGTTGAATCCGCTTCTGGATAGTCGGCAACAGAGGCTGGAAGAAGGCACCGAAGATGATGAAGATGTCGCTGATATTACTCTGCAACTCGTGTTCTTCGATGGGGAAGAAGCCTTTGTAGCCTGGACAGATACTGATTCAATTTATGGTGCGAGGTGTGTTGTTCATGTTTCAAAATTAATCCCTTTGGATGTGTCTGACGTCGTACAGACATCTAGCGGAGAAATGGGAGACAACATACGTCCTGCCTCATTCAAAACGACGTCTCCTTGGTCCACAAATGACTGAGATGCACGGCATAGAGCACCTCATTTTACTCGACCTCCTTGGTGCACCGCAGCCCAAGATAAGGTCCTACTTTACTGAGACTGGGTGGCTCTTTGATGCAATGGCATCTGCAGAGCAAAGACTGGGTGATCATGGTTTCTTCCAGTATGATGATTACTCCGGCATGGCTCCTGGACATTGGGCTTCATATTTTACGCCGAGAAATGGGGCAGAGAAGAATCTGGGGAACATGGGAGACGACCATGTTCCTTTTTTGCATCGAGGTATCAGTGTTCTGCATGTAATTGCAGAACCGTTTCCTCGTGTCTGGCACACTTTGCGGGTAAAGACTCGTCTGGCACTCACTTCTTTTTGACTAATTCCTCATCAAAGGACGATGCATCTGCACTTGACCTACCGACAATGCGCCGATGGAATCTCATACTGCGTGTCTTCATGTGTGAATATTTGAATCTTCGGCCCGACGATTTGAAAAGTAGGGAACGAAGCTATGTCTCACGTTCTGATTCTGAACTGGTGAGTTCCTTGGTTATTGTTGTTTCTCTGCAATTCAGTTATCCGCTAGTAGATATCGTGAATGGATCAAGATACATTATCAAGCATTCTAGAGGATCTGGAGTGTATAATACAGAGTGTTGCAATCCAGAAAACGCAGAAAACAGCAGAGCAACAGTAAGCATACGTCGGAAGCATCAGCGGATAGAAAGTCTCAGCCACGAAGGAGATCCTTGTAGTGTTTGATAAGCTTTGAAGCGTCAGTCGCGAGCTGTAGAAGAATGAGCGTTGTACGTTGGTAAATTGCGTATTCGCATGTACTTCTTCATTTTGCCGACTTTTTTTCACTTGTCCGTGAGCATTTCTTAGGAATTGTTGTAGAGCTTGTTCCTTTCTTGAAGGGTTAGATTTCACTAAAAAGCATCAGACGGCGGGTATGAAAAAGGAAGAATTAACTGACGCATTTCGCCAGCGGCTTCGAGGGCTTGGCGACGACGAACGAACAAATCGTCCTTAACCGGGGGACATATTTCCAGTAGCTTAACAAGGGCTTCCTGAAGAAAGATGTCAGACGAGAAACATGAAGCCGACAGCAGCAGGTTAGTCAAACATTGCTATCTTCTCCAAATTGGTCAAGACCTTTGGTATACTTCTCGTAAGATATCTCTTGCTGTTTCATTACAGTGACCTGAGCCTTCAGTTCTTCCCTAGAGAACAATGCAGATGATGCCGTCACGGAAAATGTGGGCTACTCACAGGTAAGCGACGCCGTCTCTTGATGTCTCCTCAGCCGTCTTGCGCGCCAATGCATACAGTGCCTTCTTTTGCCCATCGAAAGCGACCGACCGAGCAGAATTTTTCTTTGCCTGCTGTTCTGTATGACAGATTAGAGAACAGAGAGCTCATTGCTTTCAGACGCACTCTTGTATGCCTGTAGAAACTTAGCCATTCTATAATATCACGATCCAGTCATGGAGCGAACATAAAGGTTAACAGCACACTCACGATTTGGCATCGTCATCCGAGTTTTCAATGTCATCGTCGTCCTGTCTTCTACTGCGAGAGGCTCCAGTGAAACCAAAGCTGTCGTCGTCGTCGCTATTTTCATTAACAAAGGATGTCGGCGCTGTGAGGCGAGTAGGCCGGGCTTCTAAACAAATAGAATGAGTAGAAATGACGGCGCACAAAAGAGCAACGCACTGGGAGTACGTGGCATATTTGTTGGTGAGGGTTGGCTGGAAAGAGGTCCCTAACAGTGACGCGACGCGTTTGTTTACCCGACGGATATACCCGAGGGGCTTTCGGCAAACAGACACCTACCGTCCTACTCTGACGTCGAAATTCTGTGTTCAGCTCTTTTCTGCTGAAATATGGATTGGTGCCTACATTCACATATATGTCGCCAAACTCTCTCTCAATAACTATCCCTACAGCATCGAACTCAACATACATCAGCGAATTCTCTCCGACATTGCTTCGAGCGTCGGGGAAACAGACGACGACTACCGCTATGCCGCGACCCTCATTGCTTCGAACGTCCAGACCAGAGTAGCATGAGAAGAAACCCGACCATGTTTTCAACGGCTACTCCAAGCCAAACGGAAAAGTGGAAGAGGAAACGAAAGACAGGGTGTTACTGGTCCGTCACAGCTCTACCCGTAGGATCCATCCCAAGGCTAATATATGTTTCTAGACTACGTCCAGGGTTCATTGCCACATCGCTTTTGGGGAACTGATTTTCAATTTTCCCGAATCTCACATTGCCGAGAGAATAGGGACCATACTACCAGTGCTCATCGACGTTCTTCGAGATGTACCCTACATAGATTTTGACCGTTGTCTTTCGTGGGAAGGTGCGGACAATATCCAGAAGTTTCTAAGGCTCCTGTTAACGTGGTTTCAGACTGGTCACTTCCTGATCAACTAGGTGTTTTCAACAGTCTCAGCGTTGCTGCGGGTGTCAGGATTGCATCCACAGTACAGTGATTCAGCAACTGGCGCCATTGTTGCATTCATTTCGGATATTCAAGCAAAGATATCAACTACTGCCCGTAAGTTTAGGACCAGGTTCCTTCTTCCGCTTTTGCTCCTCATACGTTTCAACAGCTTCGGATATCTTCACGCAACTAGCTCCAGCTTTACATGGCCTCTATCGTGCAATTAGCTCTACATCATTCGCCTGGAGCACTTCACAATGGCAACAGTTGAGAGAAACCCTTGCAGTCCTATGCTCTGTGGACAATATCGACCGTTTGAATCGACTCTTCGGAGACATAGTCAATGAAGACGTGGTCGACGTCGACACTCAACACTTCATCGAGACATTTTCAGCTCGTTACCTCTCTCGCTGGACGACCTCTCAGTGGTTATTTCATAGTCTGCTGCGTACTAGAGACCTCTTGGACCGTATTGGCTCAGGTCCAAGCACCACCGCAAACTGGCCCCATTGGTAATTCCACAGAAGCAGTAGCAGGCGAACAAGGCTTGGAATTCGTTAATGAAGCGGAGCGCCATCGACTTGGACATCACTGAGGAGGCCACAGTCGCCACTCTGAAGTCAACTATCCACTATGCAATGCAATACTTTAACGATTTACTGATTCAGATTGAGGATATGGATACTGATCCTCCACCTGATACGTATGCATGGGAGACCATGTCGGAAAGTTTGGTGCGAGATTTTCAGCTGCCTTCGAAATTGCTTTTAATCCCACTTCAGAAACTGGCTTCCGTTTGCTCCGTGGCTCTTCACGAACTCGACGAGGAATTGTATTCGCGACTTTTGCTATTGCTCAGCGAGGAATCGCCAATCTTTGACAATCTTGTCCAAGAGGCTGCGTTGAAAGCGACGACTGTCCTTGTTCAGAAGTAGGTACCATTCCTCCGTTTGAAAGTCTTTCGGCGATTGAACGGTTTTGAAGCTTCCCTGAAATTGCTGCCCGGATGGCAGCACATTTGCGACGCTTTGTTACTGCTCCCCTGTCAATATTTGAATTTGAGTTTGCTTCAGAGACCAGAGCTCCTCCCCCTTTGGCAGCCGCAGCGAAGTGTCCTTGCTCAGTGCATCAAGGTAATGTACCCTTTACTATGTATGACGCATTATTATAATTTCCCTGACGCGTCTCTTTCAGTTGGCTCCTGGTGACGATCTTATCATGTCGAACATGTATTCCCTCTTGAATTACATAGCTGCAACGAGCAAGGAAATATATGAAAGCTCTAGCAATTCTCAGATATTCAATAACCCCCTTTACTCTGGGCAAGATCAAGGTACACTACACTCCGTGGAAACTGGACTTCATGGGCTGTCGGATGATGAGAAGAGGGTTGTGGGTATCAGTACAATATCTGTTGTGACTCGATTGGCGCTCGAGTTCCGTATGGAGGAGGTAGCTTGCTAGTTTATACCTTTCTCGCATTCTACTAACATTCAAATCCACGCGCAGGTCACGCGTCTTACCATATCGATGCTTTTGCAACGTCTTCGATCAGCGGAACCAACTATGGAGGCAGCGATCGCATATAATCTTGTTGATTTGGCATTGTCTGCTCCCTGAGACTGCATTTGTGGATATCATACATGTCTTCTCGACTATTAATCGTTCTGCCAATCCGGATGATCCCAGGTTTTCGAACAACATGGTGATTCATTTCAGCGTTATCTTCTAAGTCATAGGACTGATTGATTTATAGGTACTCGCGGCACAAACGAGGCTGGCCCAGGAATTGCATCGTCGTCCTGAACTCTATGATGTTTACTTAGCAGAGCTACTTACCCTTTTCGCCGGACAAGGGTGTCGCTATCCAGAACGTAAAGATTGCGAACCATCACGTTAAGGTCCTGAGTTAATTTTCAGTCTTTGGTCTTCAAATGCTAATGTCCATGTAGACCGATGATATGATTGAGCAGCTAGCGTCTTTGTTATTGCCTATCGATGCCCTTCTATCTCATAGCGACTTCAATCCTCATGTTGACGCATCGCCGGCAGTTGTTGCCCTATTCCGAAACATGTGGTTCCTTTGCATTCTATTCCACTTCACAACCGACGACGCTATAGATTCGAATGCTATGGCATGGAAAAAGCCGGCAATGGCTCGTATCGCTATCAAGACGCCCGCTACGGTAGTCGAAGAATCTCAGGATGCTGTGGCCAGTGATGTCGAGTACAACTCAGTGATCCGTCAGGAGTATGCACATACGGTACTACTTTTTTCCCAGTATTGTGTTGGAACGTTACCCACATATTTGCAGGTGATTCTCAAGCATAAAACATCTCTTACCAGACATATACCACTTCGAACTAGTGATATACGCTCACTATCGTCGGGGCAGATCGTTTTCTTGTTGACAATGCACGATATGGAGACTATGCGGTCTGCGGCAGGATTGACGTCATCCCTGGTCACCTATTTTGTCAATGATAGCCTTAATCGGCATGTAGGGCTTAGCTCATGCATGGACTCCATTGCAGAGAAGGTGCTTCAACACCTCGCCTTACCACGCACTCTTTAACACATGCTTTTAGGTCATTCGAGGTTGTATCAATGACTTGAACGCCCAAGCAGCTCAACAGGCCCTTCCCGAAGCACTATCATCTGAGTTGCGCGCCTTGCTATTGTGCAGCACTCATCCAGTAGCCAGAGCAAGAGACATCGCATTCAAGTTTCTCAATCGGCTTATATCATCTTTTCCGTCCCTCATGTGTGATCCACCTCTTGTATTCGCGATTCTGGAGGTTCTCACACTATTACGCCGATCTTGCGAGAATGAGTTTACTGACGAGGTATGATTTTGTTCGGCAATAAAACTTTACGCTCACAAAACCAACAATGCAGTACAACCCAGTCTACGAATACAATTCTACACGTGCACAGATTACTCTCCAACTCACCGACAGTTATCAGGTCCGAAACGAAATATTAGCACAGCTGCATAGGAACGCAAACAACTGGTTCGAGTTGGCGCTTGGACGTGCCCCAGTCGAGCTACAGTCAACATTACAAAAATATCTAGCAGTACACCAATCAAATTCCGGAACCGACGGTGCCGAGCTAGGGGCTTCTATCGCTGAACAATTCGGGAAAGCAATCGGTCCTGTGCAGCGCCAATTGGGCAAGTTCGCTAATTCTCCCTTGTTTACGTGCTAATCCGTCCACAGTCTCGCTTTCAGCACTTTCAAATAGAACCTTAGACAAGGCTAACATATTAGCGAGCCAAATCGCGAGCAGAGGTTACTTTGCCGGTGAGGCAGCTGGTATCCGGTTGGCGAGTCGATCAGGCAAGGATAACTATATACTCGTCATTTTCAACTAACTATTTGTTAGGTGCCGACAGACTGGAGAAACTGCCTCCTCAGTTGGCCCCGTCTGGCGAAATACTTGCACTCAAAGAGAAATTAGCACATATGATGGAGGAAATACGAGGCAAAACAAGCTCCTTGACAGTTCAAGATTTGAAGCGCCTGTTGTTCCGATGCACTGCTATGATCATTTCCCTGTCAAATGTAAGCCTACATCAAGGATGACTTGTACGGTCTCCCTCAAACTCTAATCACAGTGCGATTATGAGTTGCTTCATTACTTGGTTGCACTTCCGTTTGCAGTTGCTACCCCGGCTGCCATTTCCACAGGCATTGAAGTCTGGACGTGGGTTATCGCAGAGAACAACGATATCGAGGTTGCTCTCATGAGCGAAGTTTTGTCTGCTTGGTCCTCTACTATCCGGCAAGAAAAGGGTATCTTTTCAACGTCTTTGAAGTAGGTTGTTTTGCCCTCTTCCTGTGTTTCTCTGATTCACTCTCTGCATAGCTACGGTGATCCGTTCTATCAGCCGGTCAATTATAGCCCCACTGAGAAGGGAGAAATCGATCGTGGGATGCTAAACGCTCGACGGTTACTTATACCTCATGCATTGGTCTTGCAAATGCTCTTCAGTCGTTTGCAGGCTGCCCGATACCGCCGGCCTGGAGTTATGTTTTTGATCCAACATCTTGTCTTGTTGTCAGCAAGAGCACACAAAACCATGAGGTAGGCGAATAACCGTGTAGTCGCGGGTTTACTCACATTCTTATCTTAGTACTCATGCATTGGCGCGAGAAGTTCGGTTTTCTTTCTTGCTTTTCGGATTCGAAACACTTAAGAGTTCTCATCTGGACTCATTTTGTGAAAACGAAATGCGTGAGAACTTGTATTCTGCTGCTTATTCATGGTTCGCAGTACGGCCTCAGTATGAATCTACGATATCTTCAACAGCAGCGAATACTGACTTTAACCGATAGATGGACGTACGGTGCCAATCGAGTACAGATTGATGCTGATGTCAAGGTGCTCTCTGAGTTTTTATCATATCTTCAAACGGATTCTGTCCGAGCGTCTGCTGTCATCTCAAGTTTATCGCCAGCTCAGACGCCATCTCGAAGTACATGTACGTGTCACTGCTACTTCCACTGGTGAATAGACATTGAAGCATTCAAAAGACTATACAAATAGGGCTCCGTACAATTAACCAGCCTCTAAAGCTCCTGGTTGAGAGCGAGATTTATCGACTTCACGTCTGGGCTAATCCTACCAACGACCTCCGTAGGGGTACCGACCAGATAATATCATCCGAGCGAACTTTATTAGATGTTGGTGTTCTACACTTTAGATCTGGGCCATATGTTCTTAACAACCCTACGTAGAATGCATGGATTCAAATCCTTCGGACGACATGGAAGATCGACCCTGCTATTGCAGTGTACATGACCGAACGTTTCAAGCTTCCTATTCTTCGTAGTGAAGTCGGACGACTTGTCAAGTCAAGCACTATCGATGTTCTTGACATACCGGAAGCTCTACCATTCCTTGTAGAAGATAGGGTGGATCCTGCCGTACGCCGAGATCTTAGAGTGAGCTGGTTTATAAGTTCTTTTCTGGCTTCCTTTATCCTGATTGCTTGAGCAGTATCTTTTACTATGGGCGCCTGTTCCTCCAGTAATAGCAAACACGTTCTTCGAGCGACGATACAACAGTGACCCGATGGTTTTGCAATATGCCCACCGGGTTCTAGAGCAACATCCTGTGGAGCTCACGTTCTTTTTCGTCCCTCAGGTAGTTCAGGCGCTTCGTTATGATGATCTAGGTTCGTCCTATCTCACGCAATTGGACTTCACGTTCATTTCATTACAAAGGATACGTTGCACGATTCATATTTGAGACTGCAAAAATATCGCAGCTCTTCTGTCATCAAATTATCTGGAATATGAAGGCCAATTGCTTCAAGGATGATGCTGGTGAATTGGTCAGTTATCCGTCCACTGCCATCTCTGTTTAATGCTCAATCAGGTTTTAGGAGGATCCCTTGAAGCCTACTCTTGACTCAATGACGAATCTCGTCGTCGAATCTTTGTCCGGGGAAGCTCGAGAATTCTATGACCGCGAATTTGGCTTCTTCCATGAGGTAACGTCGATATCCGGAAAACTCAAGCCCTTTATCAAGAAAACCAAACCTGAAAAGAAGGTGTGTTTGAATCGCGTGTATATGCATATCACAATTGTAACTGGACCTAGGCCAAAATTGACGAGGAGATGGGAAAGATTGTTGTCGCCGTCGGAGTGTACCTGCCCAGTAATCCTGACGGGAAAGTCGTTGATATCGACAAGAAATCTGGACGACCTCTGCAGAGTCACGCTAAGGTAAAAGTTCTTCTATTATATCGCTTCTCTGCTTATCTGGTCCCATAGGCGCCCTTTATGGCCACTTTTAAAGTCAGGAAAGAAAGGGTAACAGTCAACACCGATCCTGACTCACTTCTCGATGGCGAGGGTGGAGGCACCGAAGTCCGCACCGAATACGATGTGTGGCAACAAGCCATCTTCAAAGTCGGGGATGATTGCCGTCAAGACGTGCTCGCATTACAGATCATAGCCATGTTCAAAAACATTTTCACTAGTGTTGGTTTGACCCTGTATCTGTACCCTTATCGGGTGACAGCTACCGCCCCTGGAGTCAGTCTATTTCTCTCCTGAGTTGAATTCCCAATTTGCTGATCTGCGGCGTAGTGTGGCGTTATTGACGTCGTACCTAATGCTACCTCTCGGGACGAGATGGGCCGTGCAAAAGTTAATGACTTGCTTGACTTTTTCGTTCGCCAAGTATGGCGGTCAGGATACGATCGCGTTCCAGAAAGCGCGTATGAACTTTATACAGTCCTATGGCTGCGTATTCCGTTGCGTGCTATATCTTGCAAATCAAGGATCGGCATAATGGAAACATCATGATTGACGGAGAAGGTCATATAGTGCATATCGGTAAGGGCTTCTATGAAAGTATGTTGACTGCAGCAAGCTGACGGATATTTATGCGCTAGATTTTGGGTTCTTGTTCGACATAGATATGTATTTCCTTCAAATTTGTACCATCTGGTCTAAACTAACCATGTTATTCTTCGCCTTTACGTCCAGGAGTAAGCAGCTCCTCCATACCGTCTATTCGCTATTCACCGTTCATTTCAGGGTGTCAAATTCGAGCCGCACTCGTTCAAACTAAATCATGAGATGGTAGTACTAATGGGCGGAAGATACTCACAAGGATACCAACTCTTCCAGCATCTCACTGTCAAGGCGTTCCTCGCCATTCGACCGCACGCCGAGCAGCTGATAAGCACCGTCCAGCTTATGCTCGACACGGGCTTCCCGTCGTTCAAAGGCGAGGGCACGATCAGGCGTTTGCGCGATAGGTTTGCGTTGACGCTGAATGAGCGGCAGGCGGCGGAGCATATGATGGCTGTGGTGAGGAATGCCCATGAGAATGTGAGGAGTACGGCATACGATGAATTCCAGAGGGTACGTTGCTCCGGTCTTGATGATGATATATATTCTGATCCTTTTGGTAGCTTCAAAATGGTCAGTTAAAGATGCACATGGATGTTGTCCTTGACTTATGCTCCGTTTTAGGCATTCCTTACAAGTAATAGGTATCATCGACATTGGGACTTTTCTTTCTTGTTTTGGAATCTGGTTTTCTGCACAAGCACGTACTTACTATTCAATGCAATCCATCCCTTCAATAATATTTACACACACTATGATACAACCTAAAACGATACTCTAGCTAGACTGAAGAAAGCTAGCACTGTTTGACAATAGCACGGTACATATGACATCAACAAAGCACGACGAAAGAAAGTTGAAAGCAAGAATCAGAAATGTCCGTCCGTGTGTCCCTATTCCTTGTCCGAGTTGCGATCATCAAGATGGCCGCCGTCCACTTTGCCAATTATGATATAATCCTGGCGTAGCCTCCTCGTACGCTTGATCGCCCTGGAGTGGTTCCTCGTCTTTCTCCGATCGTCTCGAATACGACGACAAAGACGTAGCTCTCGATGGGGTCTCTTTCTTGGGTGGTTTGATCCTGATAGTCGGAGCTCCCGGTTGGACAGAGAGTCTGCGGCTTGGAGGCGCCGATACGCTATCGTGACTGCTGGCTTTCCCAGCCGCTCTTGTTCTTCGCGAAAAGCTGAGTGCCGGTGTGAGAGAAAATGTTATAATAGAAGCAAATCAAGGCGAAAAGGCCCTCACCCTGAAGATCCTCCTGTATCGTCTCTACCATATCACCCAGCTCGAGGACCTCTAGCGCCCGCATGACATCGGCGGCAGAGATGCTCTTGTGCTGCTTTGACATCGCGACATCGTAGGCCCTGCAGCGCAGTCAGTGTGGGGATCCGGGTTCGTAGTTTGATTGCGGGGGATACTTGCGTTCCAGCTGGGGGGAATTTCAAAGGGGTGGATCAGTCGATACGCGTCCGAAGTAGAAATAGATAGGCGCACCTAGGTGGTTGATGAACACCGTCGAGCCCTTGACGAGGGCAAGGATCGTGTCCTTGGGCAGCTTCGCAGTTGTCAGGGAGCTAAGTAGTGGCCGGATTCGAATTTCACATGCGAGTCGACAGCGACGGGGACAGGGGAACGTACCGCTGATCTTGCGATACTCGTTACCAGGCTCTTTGGCAGCTCAAAGTTATCGAGCCCCTCGGTGACGAGCTCCTGCTGTGCTTGGGCGGATACGATCCCAGAGATTGAAATGAGGTCGACTTGGGATTTTCGAGGCATGGAAGGGGGAGGCTGCAAGGAGATAGATGCCGTTTCATTATGACAACTCCATGCTGCCCAGCGACAGCCATCAACGCGCTCGGTCGCTTGGAAAAAAATCAGAGGTTGTACCAGGAAAGCTGGGATTTTATTTACCGATGTCGTCCCTGAGGAGGATCCTGGTAGGGACCGTGCATGTGCAGAAAACTATGTAAAACTTAATAACTACATGTATGTAATCCTTAGAGTTGCTAGTTCGGCTGCGATAACGTGACGGCAGGACGTATCCTAAAATATATCTAACCTAAGGCACTAGTATCACTCGTTGGGAATAGAAAGATAAGACCGAAATGCCTGACCGGACTGAAGAGGAAAGCACTTTTGAGTAATCTGACTTTGATCGAAAGGATACAAAACATACCAAGGTCATAGTATATCGAATGTCGAATGTCGAGTTCCATGAAAAAGTGGATGAACATAGGGAAAGCTGCCTAATTCTCCGGTACATCTGTTACCTAAGAAATCCTCAGCATCCGAGAACTCTTCAAACTCCTCATCTATCTTGCATGCTAGCATCCATATCCTGCATACTAGCATCCAAATCCGCTGATTCCTCCTCTTCCTCCTGCTCTTCCTCCTCTATCATGGACGGCGGTCCATCAGAAAGCATAGAATCCTCTTCCCCATCATCTGCCTCATCAAGCTACTGAACTTCATTCACAAGACGAACCGACGACGAGGAAAGCATACGCACCTCTCGTTTCTCCTCCTGCTGGGTCTTGACACAACCGATAGGTACGATAGTCCCGAAACCTCGGTTACGAATATTGCTATCCTATCCCGGAGTAAGCAAGAAATACACACAACCAGGAAGGGAGCGTACTAATTCCTCGAGCTCGCGTTCCTCTTCACTCAGTTCGTCCATCTCGCGTTGCAAGTCGCGATAATCCTTCATACGTCCGTAGATGGCCTCATAGCCAACGGTACGTAGCTGTATAGGCCGGATCCTAGGCACTGGAGGCAACAAGTGCGGGAACCTGGGATCCCGGGGGAGAACCGTAGGTGTCGCTACCGACATTTTAGCTGACCATGGCCGTCAAGAGACAAAAACGTGCTGAGCCAGTGAGCATATTCCCGATATGGGCAAAGGTTCCAGTGAGCTGTCACAAATACAAAACTGCTAACGCTACTAGTTTGAACTCGCTACTTAGATTGTCCCCTTCGGGGTGACATACGAAAAAATTGGAACGATACAGAGAAGATTAGCATGGCCCCTGCACAAGGATGACACGCTTTCCCGGAGTGGTAGATCTACGGATCTCAATATTTATTTTGTTCGTTCCAGCATGAAAGTTTCATTCAGGGACCAACTTCCAATGAATTCCATTTTTTGTTTCCTTGAATTTGGCCCTTGCGTTCATGTACTCAGCTTAATTTTCTTGCCTTTAGAAACTTGAAACTACGTATATTTAAGTCCTTCCAATAGCAAGTCGTTCTGCAACAGTACAACCCCAAGTATTATCCCTCGCCGTAGCCTTTCGAAGTTTCCCTTTTACTCAGCTTCTCATCGTTCTCCCGATTCCTTGCAGTTGCATTAGTCTTGTGATTTCATAGACCTGTTGTGCCGCACGAGCACGCTTTTCAAGCACCGCTTTTCTCTCGATGACTATCATGTACTATGCTTCAAAGTGCTATCTTCAGCCGCCTTCATGGCATAAGTCGTCTTTCTCCCAGCTCTCAGGAAGAATGCGAGGCCTTCCTCGACCGTGCGGTGCTCATGCTTTATGTCTCGAAGGATCTCGCGACTGCCCTTAGTTGGCAGGCTGAAATTTCAGGTGCTCTCAACATAGAATGTCCGCGAAGGCTATTTTATTATAACTGAGGCAGGTAGTGACTTGGAGACGTCTTCTCGGGTGACGATGGAAAACCAGAAGGATATCAAAGTGCAAGGGGTACTTCAAGGATTGAAACAATCCGTGGCCCCCAAACGTTTTATGTCATCTACCGTCACCGGCCGGCGGCCACATCACGCCGACTTACACGACGATTTCCAATGCGCATTTATTGCTATTTCGAAAAAGGATGAGATTCTCAAAAAAGAAAAAAAAGGTTTTGACGCGACTGATACCTGCCCGATCCTGCCCGATCTCACCCACACCATCTGAGACAACCTACGACGTCAATCATCATAACCCTCTGAGTGCGGGCTCGGAGGTGTTTTAACAGGGGCCAAAACTTTTTGATTCTTTTCAGGAATCCCATCATTTTTCGAAATTGCTATAATCCATCGTCGGTAAACCCATCAAGCCCAAGTCGGCTTTGGGTCCGCCGCTTACAGATGTCACGTTACGAGCACTATAACAGCTGGCGTACGGGATCGTGAATTCTGCTCTCTAGGAAAACGGAGAGTCGAGTCGCTCCTCAAGCGAAAAATCCCCAAATTAATCTCGTTGAGTTTGTTAAGGTGTCATGATCAGTGTAGTTTCCCGGGGCCTTCAGTGTAGTCTGCAGGACAGACCGCAAAATCATCCTCACCTCCGTTTTCGTGAATCTTACCTTGGATCAGGATGACGCTTGCAAGTAGATCCGACCTGGTGATACGGGGTCACCGATCAATATCGATCAATGGTCATCAAATTCCTCAATATTCTTTGCTATCGCTCGTTGATTCCAATGAGAGCGCCTATCACTAGCTGGGCGTCTGAATCACTGCGCCCCCCGCGGAGTTTGAAACCAAACTCAGTGCTTATCGCCTCATCCTCGTGTTCATAGTGAGGTTTAGAAGCAGATACTGCGTCCTACTGGTGAGTACCGTTTGACGATAGTGATATTTGCTCATCCCTTTTGTAGATGTCACCTCGAATATGCTTGGGCTGCGGCTGTCCCAACCATTATACTCCTTCCACAACTTTGTCCGACGAACAAACGGATGCTGGGCCTACATTTGACAACCTTTTGCGTTCCAATGACCCTCCCTCACCATCTGAAGAATGCGAATTGCGGGATAATATATCAATCGGAGAAGCACATGTTGCCGCGATTGACGATCATGTCGCTGCTCTGAAGAAGCTCCGACAGGCGCTTTCCAGTCAGCTTGCCTCGATTGGTGCTGAATTGGAAGGCCTTGACGGCGAACGTGGAAAGGCGGTAGCTCGCATAGCAGAACGCAAACGCATTCTCTCCCCAGTCCGTCGCCTACCCCCAGAGATCCTGTTCAAAATATTTTTCAGTACAATCATCTTTCCCATGCCGCGATCCCTATCCCGAAGAGTTAGACACTGGTGGGATTTTCATCCCAGCGAGAGTGCTTTGTGGTCAGTCGAGCTCGTGTGTAAAACATGGCGCCACGTCGTCCTTGACTTCCCCCAGCTTTGGTCGAGAATTAATATATTCATTAGTGGCGTCAACTTTTCGCCTGAAAACTTTCGCTACGTGCGAAAACTGGCTCGGCAGGTTGCACGAACACGAAGTCATCCATTATCAATCCTGATATGCGCAGAAGCTCGCCAGGAGTCGGCGTTTTCCAGATCTTTGCCGCTCCAGCTTTCCACGCTCTTGTTCTCCATGCAAGATCGAATACAATCTCTCTATCTCTTTTTACCTGCCCCATTGTTCACTTCTTTGGCAACTCTACAACTTTGCATGCCTCAGAAAACTCACTCTCCTCTGCACGAATGGTGAAGAGTTCCGAGGGTTATTTCGCACGGAACTATTTGGAGACACACCACTCTTGAATACTCTTGATACCGTGGATATAGGGAACGTTCTTATTCTCCGTTTGCCCTACCGTCAGATCACCCATTATTCCACTTACCACGTCCTCTGTGATCGTTCGCCCGGACCTTCGACGTATTATATCCTCCCGCTTTTGTTGGAGGCAGAAGATCTGGAAGCATGTGATTTGAGATGTGAAGAAATGCTCCAGATAGCCAAGACTGCAGACTATTCACGGTCTTGTTCAAAGCTTCAAACTTTGACCTTAAGCTCGTGGGCATCCCAATACCCTAGGTCTGTTCTTGCTCGGCTTCTTAGTGCCCTCGCATTGCCTCGCCTGTCTACTCTCACAGTGCACTGCTGTGTGGATGAAGGACATGTGCGCGATACCATGGAAACGTTTACAGCCGTCCGGGGGGCGGTATGTCGATCACAGTCGCCTTTGACCACATTTCACTTCATCCACGGAAATATAGACGGAGAGGATCTTCTCGCCCTCTTTCGTAGTGCTTCATCTACCCTTCAAGAAGTCAAGCTCCTTGACGTCGGTCCTCTGGCCTTGACAGATGACATCCTTACCCCTCTGGTGACATCTTACCCGGGTAATGTTCTCCTGCCGAGACTGCATACCCTGCATATCAGCGGCGAAATGAAGTTTGACGTCAATCTTTTTGTGAAAATGGTGAAGTCGCGTTGGACGTACGAAGGTCCTTCTTTCCAGTGTTTGCAAACGATCGAGCTGTGCCGATCATTAAATATTGAAGATGACAGGGAAGAGGAAGAACTTGGTCGCACATCAGCCTTGTCTAAGCTGGAGGAATACCGTGCTGAAGGATTGAAATTATCTTACAACATTCTTTGAGTCTGTGACAGGTTCGTCCGTAACTGTTCTGCAGATGATAAGCTTACGCATTGCAGCATACACCATTCTCCCATTCGGGCTACTTTTTCCATCTCATGTGCACGTAATAATTCTCTGCTTGTTGGTCAAAGAATACATGTCTCTTATCGAGCCCTATTGCGTAGCTTGAGCGGTTTGGCACGGTTGTTGTAAGTGTTCATGTCGGTCATTGGCCAGTAACCCGACGTAAATACAAAATATGCAAAGCGACCCTTCGGTGAAACTGCAGGGCTCCTTTGAGTCCAGCATTGAATTTCTGTCAACGGCCTAAAATCCTTCTACACGCAACGTTCTCGTAGTGGAAGCATTGCAACGTTGCAGACAATCTTCCGAGTTGAAAATAAGATACCCAAGTATCCTAGCTTCACGCCTGAAGACTTCCCGCCTCTGTTCCCAAGCAGTATACTAACTATGTCCTACTGTATGTCCAAATCGTTCTTACTGTGCGTATCCGCTGCCCATGCGACCTATCTAGTACCGATAAATTGGATAAGCGTATATATATAATATGAAAGACTTTCATGAGTAGTGAACCCATAAGAATGGAAACCACTATATGATGCCCTTACCGCTATCGATATATTATGAGGGCCTTCTTTATGTCCTGCGATTTCGTCGATACTAACACTGTTTTTTTCTTAGCGACAGGTCAGTCGCTTTGTGTTGATTCCTCAATACCCGCAAACTTCAAATCAAAGCCATTCAACTATTTATCAAACTAGAGACAGAAGACAGGTTACATTCAATTAAAGATCTTGTGTATATATTTTCTGTGAATGTAAAGATAAAGCATCAAGGTAAAGGAATGATATCCGAAGATAGTTGCTCGAGCACCTATGCAGTCGGGACGGTAATAGCTCCCCAAGGAGCATCGCCGTACTTGCCTACAACCGTAGCACCGCTCCAAGTGCTATCATCGGTCGCGGGAAGCTGGAATCCAGTAGGCAGACTGGTGGATGCCTTCCAGGTAGTATCCGTGACGTAGGAAGCCGAGGTCCCGTCGTTATACGCTACTAGGATGGTAGCAATGACACCAGCCGGACCACCAGTGTTCTCTCCATCGACTGCGAACACGTTCTGGTTGGGGTCCAGTTGGGGTACGGAGTACGCTTGGGCAACGTTGAAGTCAGTGCCCGAACCGAGGGACTGGCCGTTGGCGTAGAGAGTGTAAGCGTTATCGCTGTGAAGGATTGATCAATTACCGCCAGTCAAAGGGTGAGTCAAAAGACCTACACAGTGATGACTACCTTCGCACACACCGCGCCCTTGCCATACGGGGAAGTGATGGTCTTCCTGAAAGCCCTGTGCCCGACCGGCGCGTTTCCCGCCGAGTCGGTCTCGCCTGTCCAAATCCAGTTGCTCTGGGTCATATCAAGCGCGGGAGGAAGCGCGGTCTGGCCCCAGGGAGATACACCTTCCTGGCCCTGCCCAACTGCTGCAATCCATGTCGAGTCATCCAAGCTCGGGTTCTCGAATCCAGCTGGGGGAGCGGACCTGAGGGTCTTCCAGGACGCGTCGGTGACAAAGGTCTCTGTGGTGCCGTCGGCGTAGTCAACGAGGACGGTAGCGATCAGACCGGCAGGTCCTCCAGTGTTGGTACCATTGACGGTGATGACGTTGTCCGATTCTGGGTTGAGACCGACGGTGTACACCTGTGCGGCTGAGAAAGATGCTCCTGAGCCGATTTCAGCGCCGTTGACGTACAGTGTGTGGAGATTGTCGCTGGAGAAAATTCTTAGGAAATCTGAAAGTAATTCAAAAAAACCGAACCTACGTAGCAAGGAGGATTGTCGCGCATACCGGGCACTTGGTGCTGGTGTGAGGGATAGTCTTGCGGAAGGGACGAGAACCGACGGGCGCGTCCCCACCTGCGCTGGCCTCTTCTCCAGTCCAAATCCAGTTGGAGTTGGCTAGAGTAAGAGGCTGGGCTGCGGCGCGCGCTGCGAGAGACGCGCTTTCAGCAGCCACCGCACCGGCAACGAGACCTGAAAAATGAGTGAGTACGGGATCATAGTGTAGGCCGCAAAGAAATACGCACCTCTTTCCGATGCAGGGAAGGCAGTCGTGAAGACCGCGGAAAGAACGACGGGCAAGAGCAAGAGAACTATGGAAACGATATGAGCGGGAAGAAGGAAAGAAAAGAGAAGGCCTAATAAGCTTGCAAGCTAACCTCGGGCGAACATTAGAGAGAGAAGTATCTACCTGTCGGTGGATGATTAGACTGTGCATTACCGCCTTGCTTTTATAGCAAATAACACGTCGAACATGAAAACCATAATGACATCTTGGCAATTCAGCAGCATAGTAAAATTCTGACAGACGGAATCGAAGAAGAAACAAGTGCCGCGAGAAGTTTTAATTCCCTAACATAACGGAGGACTGGTGACTTTATGTTGAAGGTTCAGATTTTTAGAAGGGAATAAGATGTAATGATGATGGATCCCTCAGCTGTCGAGTAGAGAAGCACAGACACCAGACATCCAAGATGCTTCTGTAACACAGCATGTAGCCAAGAAACTTTAGAAGATAATACACAGTGAACTGCAGGCGACTGCAGTACGACTTAGGCGCGTGTTAGGAAACCGAACAAAACAGCATTGCATGTAGACAGCAATCATTACTTCTAAAAAGTTAGCATCAGTGATGGCAGAAGCATCCCAGGCCTAAGCACTCAAGTTGATCACAAATGACCGAACACATGATTGAAATTTCGCTGTATGAATAAATTGAGTTGAGTTGATGTCGCCGAAGAACCAAAAATGAAACGCTCAGAAGCATTGCCCAAACGCTTCGACGAAAATTTTCGGTGTCTTTGACAAGTCTATTGTTTATGACATGTGGTTCTTGGTCTACGGATTAGTCAGACTGAGAGCTGTATAGAATGGGAAAGGACGAGTAAACTTGGATGTTGAATTGAATTAGAAGGGCTGACAGCAAGCAGGCTATAAGGAGCAACCGGAATATGATACGTTTGGTATGGTACGCATCAAGGACTCGGTGCTTCTGCTCTGAGTACGATGTCAAATATCGGACAGTGATATTGTCGTCGTGATGGTCAGACTCAGTCGAAGTTAATCACGGGATCGTGCAGTCCCAGTCGTGAAATGTTTGCACTTGATTGTCCAGTCTTTTTCTTACCATCATCATGGCAGCCTAGTCTCAGTCTGCACAATCCTATCGTCAACTCCTCCTCCTCCTCCGCCTCTGCGGAAACGATGGCTATTCTGTGTGAAATCCAGCACCAGTTTAACTAACTGAAGGTCAAGATCGACGGCATGAACACACGCGTTCTCGCCTCAGAAGATTTTGTAATGAAGTGGCCCTAGTAGGCCGTACAATGCAGTGGACACAGGGAGAGAGCCTTTTTGTTACCCTCCATCGACTTTTATCGAAACTTGTCAGTCAACAGGTGCGTGCATCTGTTAGGCACTAATGCATATAGTCAGCTTTCTTCTAGATAACGAATTCAAAGCGGCTTCAGCCCTTCTTGGCGCACCTCCACTACCTGCTGATGTGCGGACACTGAAAGCTTGGATCAGGCATATGGGCGTACTACAGCAAAGTCCTTTTCATTTGATTACAGCTTGTTTTGGATTCGTATCCAGAAATCACACCGATTCATTAAAAAACCACGCCATATTCCATGATTCATCCCACCACATGGTGCCTTCTCTTCCATGTCTGCCACATCCCTTATGGGTCAGGCTATGAGTGCATTTCGCATACTGAAAGGGTGTTAACGTTGGTCTCCGAAACATGTGACTACTACTAACCTTGTCCCTTGCCATCCATCGCGCAACCAGTAGCCCTTCCTCTCCGTGTTCATCTTGGACAGCCCTAAATGCCGCTTTCACTTTTCCTTCATACTCGTCAGACCAAACCCAATAGCGTTCATCCGTGAAGCCGTCTTCTCTTTGCGTGAAAAATGGTCCATACTCTGGGGTTGATCGCCCTACTACGGGGCAGGTATCCAACAGCTGTCTTAGTGCCGTTATTGAGCCAGATGAGAGTTCCGTTTCCGTGGTTTCCGGACGGGGTGGGTACTTTTCTTCATAACAGCGACTTTCGACCGCGTCTTCCATCGCTTTAGCTGTCCCAAGTGAATTGGCGCCATAAAGCTGGCAGGCGCACGAATAGGATTCATTCCAGAACCAGTCAGGTATAATACTTTTCGCGTGTTGGATTCGCTGCGCAACGGTCATACCCCGGTGCTCTCGCTCCAGCTTTGAGATGGCGTGTCTCAAACCCGGGTAGTTGACTGCCCATTCTGATTCCTTGCAGAACGCAAGGTAGGAGGGCGGAACATTAGATATCTTCTCTCCTTTGTGTCTGCCGAAGGTAAACGTATATTCCGTAGAAGAGGAGGTTGCAGGTGTTGGTGTTGGTACCGGCACAAGGACCCAATAAGGAACGGCCGGGTCCACAGCCCAAACATGGCAAGCCATGCGCTGTGGCCACGAAGGCTCATACCGTTGTGATCACACTGTTGAGTGCGTCGCGCGGAGTAGAGGCACGACGTGGGGAATATATATATATACATAATGCAATCAATCAAGGTCTATATAGAGGTACAGCACCGAAGATACGGAAAACATCAAAAACAGGAGCTTTAGGCATGGAGGTTAATGGTGAGGCTGAGTTGTTTCAGACCGATCGTCAATAGAATTTTCCTAAACTGTGAACTGTAAACTTTGTAAATCCTGAGATAAAGTGCATGTTCGGGCTGAATTGAATCTCTTTGAAATTGCATTGAAATGATTGCATAAAATATTGTGTACACAACTCTAACGTCTAATAACTAATCTAACAATACATATAGAATGCCCATTAATCCTCATACGCCCTCCAGGTATCGACACGCATCAGCCATTTTGGAAGAAACAGAAGCAATCTGTCGATGAAGCAGTTAGTAAGAGCAACAGCGGCAGTCAAAAGAAGCCCACATTAGCAGTGTTAAACGGTTGGAAGTGGTTCCCAGGGATGTCAAACACCTTCACGGAGGAAGGAGTCAGCGTATCCCAACCAACCGTAGCATTCTTCGCGTCGCTCCGGTCAGCAAGCCATCTCGGAACATCAGCGACTCCCTCGGGATTGAAGCCTTCACTGGATCGGAGCAGGACAATAGGAGGGCATACGCCCTGTGTCGCGCGAGGGTCGTAATCCTTAAGTATCGCAGCGTTCATGGCAAACTGCTTCTTGACTAGCTGGCCGACTTCAGAGGCACTGCTCCGAGAATCGAGTTGCACTGCGGCAGCGATCAGGTCTTTCGAAAGAGGGACGTGGTTGATGGGGTTGGGAGAGTCGATGAGAAGGATGCCCTTCACAATGATGCCTTGTTTCTGGAGTTGAAGAGCGGTCTCATAGGCAGCCACACCACCGAACGACCATCCTGTGAAGAAAAAATGAGATTATGACCAAGGAAAAGAGGAGAGAAGCTTACCTCCGAGCAAGAGTGGTCCCTTGGAAACTTGAGAGATGACCTTGGCGTACGCCTGGGACATTTCGACCACATTCTCCCAAGGCTGCGATGAAATGAAGTGCGGATTGTGAATCCCATAGATGGACCGAGCTAACGGCTGAAGGCGGGAGTAGTAATTGACTAAACCGCTACCGTCGTGGATCAAGAAAAGAGGAAGAGCGCCGTTGCCGGAATGGGTTTGGATAGAGGATGGAAGGGATTCGAGTCGTAGACTCTTGACAAGGTGAGACGCACTAGCATTGTCGCCATCCAGGTTCTTCGACACAGAGATCGCCACCACCTTCTTCGCCGCCTGACGATGACGTTGTAGGTAGTCTTGAACAGAGCGAACCGTATTGCAGGTCGTGAAGAAATCGCTTGGAAGATCTAGTCCCAGCTCACTCTTCAGCGAATGAAGTGCCTCAATCGAGGTCAGCGAATCCAAACCGAGTTGCTCAAAGTCAATGTCATCCTTGATGTCATCGACACTGATGTCCAAAACCGTGGCAAGAACACCCTTAATGTCGGTCTCGTCGTCGACGGATAACTGGGTGGGCTCTGGGAGCTGATCTTCCGAGAAGAGCGTCGCTGGTGATGACGGAACACTGGTCGCGACACGAATAGTCGGAGACGACGGGATACTCGTAGCATGTGCCGGTCGGTTAGCCGCGACTTCACGAATGATATCCCCAGTCGTTCGGCAAGACGTCAGAGAGTGAGCGGAGAGATTGTACTCTGAGAAGGATTGTTGGAGCCGTGCAAAGATTTCGATGGACATGAGGGAGTCGACACCAATGGCTTCGAGATCTGTGGTAGTGGAAACGGAGGAAGGGCTGACGTCGCAAGTCTCGGCCACGATTGTGAGGACAGTGGACTCAACATTAGGCCCCTCCGGCTCGGAAGAACGGTGATGGTGTACAGTAGGACGACGAGCAGCAGCAGGAGCGGCAGGCTTAGGAGAGGGTTTGAGCACGGACGATTGAAGAGGCTTTCCTGCAGCTCTCGCAAGGAGGCGCGAAAACGCGTTGAGTTTAAGCCGCCGGAATTGCATACCTTTCATACAGGCCACAACCCGAGAAGGTTCTCCCTTTTGGCACGCCCACGCCTCTGCAAGAATCGCACCCTCGTTCTCCACCCACACGTTGCTGCAGTACACGACATATTCCGCGTTCGTATCGATGAATTCAGGAATGACCTTGACAGAGCCAACTTCGGTGCAGATAAACGCGTCATTCCGTTCACCCTGCATATTCGCCACGAAACCTGCCACATGAAGTAAAGTATCCATGAACACCGGGTGCACGACGTATGGTCCTTTATCGTGATCGCGGGGAAGACGAACTTGCGCGCATCCTTCCATATGACTAGCATCGATCGTGAGGGACTGCATGGTATGATACTCCTTGGAATAGTCGACCACGCGCTGGAACAATCCCTCGTACACTGTCCTCGTCGAGAACGTTTCCTGCTGTGAGCCGGGCTTCGTGACCGCAGCGATGTGGCGGTTGATGGTAGGAAGGGCACGAGTGAATTTGGTGAGGGTGGCAGCTGCAGACTGGAGACGGAATTCGCCATGAGCATGCGAGGTCTGCTCATTCGAACCTTCTACTCGCGAGCTGACGCTGAAAGTGCCTGCGTCCCCGGTCAAAGTGATCACCGTCACGACAACGCGTGCGATGGACTCGTCATATACCAAACCGTGCATGAACTTGATAGCCCGGAGGATCGCCTGCTTGTCAATAGACTCAGAACCCAGATGAATACGAGTCAAGTCGATGCCAGCAAACAACTGTTCCAGATACACAGAAGCAGGACACAAAGCTATCCCTGCAACCCGATGTCCCGTAATTGAGCTCGCCAATTGACTGATAGGCGTCTCAAAGATGGACGTAAACCCGTTCGCTGGAGACGGCTCCTGGACCCATTCATGTAGAAGGGCTGAATTGGAGATAGTCCGCTTTGCAGGAACTTCCACTCGAGAAACCTTCTCAACAGCTGCCTCCTCTTTGAAAGTGACCCAGAATCTCGACGACGCAAAGGGATACGACGGGAGACTAATGCACGACACATCAGGTACATGAGAGAACGTCTCTCTCCATGCAACGGGCACATTCGCTTGGTAGAGCTGAGCCAGAGTCGCCGTGAGCGTTGACCACGGGTCCTGCTGCTTTCGGATCGAACCAAGAAGTAGAGGTGCGCCAAGAGGTGCTGTGATCGCCTTGATCATCGGGAGGCATGTAGTATGGGGACCAATTTCCAGCCACGCATCAATTTTGGAGCACTCGGGTAGCGCCATCAACGCGTGAATCCCACGATCGAATTGGACTGGCTCGGCACAATGCCTGGAGAAATACTGTGCGTCGAAAACGGACGCGTCACCAGGGTGCACAACATCACCATGGACATTGGAGATGATGGGGATCGTTGGAGCTCTAAGAGTCACGTTCAGGGCAACTGCGTCGAGATCGTCAAGAATGGGCGCCATCGCCATGCTATGGTATCCAAATGGAACAGTCAGAAGAACGTTCTTGCAGTGGACTTCGGCATCCAAGTGCTCCTTCAATGCACGAAGCTGCTCCAATGGTCCAGACACAACGCAATCAACGGGACTGTTGAAGCACGCAATGCTCAGTTTATCGAAAGCGGTCGCCTTCAAGATCTCCTGAAGTAATGATTGCGCTAGATTGACGGCAATCATGCTGGTTGACGAGACCGCGCATTTCGTGACCATAAGACGCACACGGTGGGCAATGATGGTAAGAGCACCCCGCAACGATATGACATTGGCAATGACGAGCGCTGCATATTCCCCGAGACTGTGAAAGCATTAGCGTTGTCAAACATTGAGATGGAATCTAACATACCTGTGACCAACCACAGCCGTCGGTTTCACGCCCCATGACATCCACAGTTTAGCAAGCGCATACTCCAATGCGAAGATAGCCGTTTGATAGGCCTCAAATTCTTCCGTCTCCGTTAAACCCGTGCCGTCGGGTCCAGGAGCAATGATAGGCAATACACCGCAAAATCCGGATGCAGTAAGGAATGAATGGCATTCGTCAATGTGAGATTTGAAGATCGGCGATGAATCGTAAAGGGACACGCCCCATCTCAACGTACTGAGCGCCTTGTCCAGAGAACACGAAAACGACCTTTCCATCTTGAGAGGAAGACTGAACAGATTTAGCTTTCTGCAGTTTCTCAATAAGCTCGTCCCTCGTAGAGGCAGCCACAGCAGTGCGATGCTCATAAAGCTGGCGACGACTCGTGGACGTGTAAGCGATATCCGCTAGTCTGAAGTCGGCGCTCTCCGAACTCTGGAGCCAGCTGATATACTTTGCTCGGAGTTTCTCCAGAGCAGGTGTCAGTCTTTGCAGACAGACCGAAGACGAGAGGGAATAGGTTCAAGTTGAACAGGCGAAGGACGAGCAAACTCCTCCACCAACGTGGCAGTGTTCGACCCCGCAGCACCGAAGTTATTCAACATGCGCCAATCTCGTCTGACCGCCGGGAGAAGGCTCCCAAGCAGTATGGACCCTGTCGATGATGGTGTTATCTGATTCTAATGGGGCAATGCGCGGATTTAGATCATGAAGGGAGATAAGACGGGGGATGGTACGGTGCGCCATCATGAGAAGTATCTTCGCAAGTCCTGCAGCACCAGATGCCGCCTCCAGATGCCCAATGTTTGCCTTCACGGACGTGATATGCAATGGATTCTTCGCACCGCGCTTCTGCGCAAATACACCACGGATGCTCTCAAGCTCATTTGGATCTCCAGCTTGAGTTCCCGTTCCGTGAGCTTCGACAACATTAATTCGGTTTACGTCGACGCCCGTGTTCTCCAGCAGCTGTTTGAAGAGTGTGATCTGGGTGGGAGCATGAGGATGAGTGATCGAGTGAGCCAGACCACTCTGGTTGACTTCGATGCCTCGGATGACACCCCAAATGTTGTCGTTCTCGGCGATAGCGTCGGACAGACGCTTCAAGACGAATATCCCGCAACCTTCACTTCGGGAATACCCATCGGCGGATGCATCGAATGCTTTGCATTGTCCAGTTGGGCTCAGGAAATGGCCTCGATCGAGTCCCAGGAACATCTAGAATCACAGAACATGAGTTAAAGTATAGAACTACAAGAAGAATGACTCACGTCTGGACTGGCGATCACATTAACGCCGCCAACAATCGCCGCATTGCAGTCTCCGTTCATGAGCGCACGCGCTCCTTGATATACAGCGACACCGGATGACGAGCATGCGGTATCTACGACGATAGACGGACCGCTAAGCTGCATCGAATAAGACAGACGTCCACTCAGAAACGCTTTTAAAGTGCCTATTCACGCGATGTAAGCAAATAATGGCCAGAAACTACAAGTGAGACACAAAGCTCACCAGTGCTATAGTACACGTCGATGTCGTCGCGTAGATTCTGCAAATAATCGTGGGTGGCTACACCAATGTAACATCCGAAAGTATCTGGATTGAATGAAGGAGTCGCATTGGGAACATAGCCGGCATCTTCCAGTGCCTCGTAAGTGGTGTGAAGCAGGACTCGCTGTTGAGGATCCATGCTCTTCGCCTCCCTGGGACTGATCTTGAAGAACCGGTTATCAAATTCATCAGCACCTTCGATGAAGTTACCGGTGTGAGCCTTCATCTGCCGCTTCGGATTCTTCGCCTCATTGTAGTCCGATACTTTGAACCGGTTCTCTGGGACCTTAAAGAATCATCCAGATGTCAGCGAATGACGATGAAAATGGAAACAAAGTTTAACTACCTCGCTAATCGTGTTGATACCTTGTTCCAATACTTCCCAGAGCTTAGAGACGTTGGGAGCTCCCGGCATATTGACGGCCATTCCAACGATAGCAATAGCTTCCTGCTTGCCTTTCGATTGACGCGGGGTCTTCGCGTCCAACGCCGTAAGATCGAGAAGTTTTACGCGTTCTTTGCGTAACACCCTTTCAAGACCACGACAGAGACCTGTTCCAGGCCCGACGTTAAGCAGGCGTACAGATGCATCCTCAGGAAGGTCTCTGAGAGCACCGGATGTCACTAGGTCCCAGTTGACAGGCTGCGAAATGACCATGTCCACAACGAGCTCAACAAGCGACCCAGTCATATCCTTCTTCAATGCCTCCCCTGTGAATGTGGACCGGAAGGGAACATGGATGTCTGTGATTTGCGGGAATTGAATGCCCCTCCGAACAACGTCAGCGAGGATCTCATCCCGTGCTCCCGCCACATGAAGTGGCGCATGGTACAAGGTGTCGAGCGTCGTCTTATGCACAACAATACTAGCTCCGGACGAGTGTGCTGTAACATACTCCGAAAATGCGGACAGTGTATCAGGACGGCCTGATATAGTGACAGAATTAGCATCCATTGTTGCTGTGACATAAAGAGGGGATGGTTCAGCGACGGTCTGCTTGAATGATCAGTAAGGGGAATTTTTTAAAAATAGTGCAAAGGATCTGACCTTTGCAAAATCTGAGATCGCCACCTCTGCATCTTGTTTGCTCAATCCAAGGAACACAAGGCTCCAAGGAGAAGAGTATATGGCTTCAGGGAACGGACCCGAAAGTGTCGCGCGGCGGAAAATTTGGGCACGTACACCAATCCATATGGCCAGGCGATATGCTTCTACGGCCGTAGAGAGGAAAGAGACACTGGAAAACGAGGTAGCGACGACGGCGGCGGGCAATATCCCTGATGAAAATCCGAGGATGCCGACACCATGGACAGAGTTGGATTTCAAAACGTCGCTGAACGGGGTGAGAGACCCGTTGGAAGCAACTGAGGCGTCAATGTATGCTAGGTAGCGCAGCGTCTGTAAGAGGAAGAGTGTTGTGCCAGAAATGACTGCATTATGGAGATACCGTTCGGTGGGTAGAGCAAGGATGGACTCTTTCGTCTGGAAGTCTGACAGATCGATGTTAACTTGAGAGAGCTCTGTCGAAGAAAGCGTCTTCAATTCGGCATGGAGGGTCGCGTGGCATGCAGCAAGGAGAACGGAGCCTGAGGGAGAAGAGGCGTCGAGGAGAGCCTGCTGGCGCGCCTGAGGAGAGTTGGCGGCAGCAGTGCCTTGACCACCAAAGACAGGAATGTCAATACAAAAGGTGGTGGAGGCCATGTCTAAGGGCGCAATGGTGAAGGTTCCAGAAGCGAGGACATAAGCTCTTTATTAGCTGAAGATTTAAAAAAGGAAAACCAGATAAGCGGATGTATGCAAGTCCGACTGAAGGCCTGAATCACCGAGCTTGGCTGTTACACATAGACAGCCATCAGAGTGGGGCTTCATGAGTGTAACCTCGTTGATCCGTCCAGCTGAAGATATCCGTACCTCGTCCTTCGACTGTCGCCTGCAAGTTTCAGGCAATAATCTTCGGTCTTCAGTGAGCAAGCTAGAGAATTCTCGTGCCAGAATGCGTCCCTTTTTCGAGATTCTACGCGGCTCTGTACGTCGGAATTCGAACCCCACAAATATCTCCGACGGTACCTAGATGTATATAAGTATTTACCCGTGAATAGCGCACTTGAAACGTACTGGAAGCGTCGCAGAGACAAAAGACGCGCTTGGCATAGGCACGTTGTGTGATTGTCATGAAGGTCGTCGTTGGGACTGAAGAAAACGCGTCTACTCTGAAAGTTTCCCACGCCATGTCAAAATAGGCGTTGCCTTTTTCGTGCATCTGTCGATCCTTCATCATCAACTTCAAGCCTCGACCGGAGAGCCCGACCAGTCGATTCTTCTGACAGGCTGGTTATGCATGCCAATGGTTTTCGTATAACACTGAAATTCCTCGAAATTTGATATCCGTCAATCCATCTTCTGATGGCAGCACTATTAGCCCTTGTTCATCGGGGCAAAAATCCAGTGTCACCCCACTGTAGCCGCATGGATATTGGCGCGCGAATGCGGGGGTGGATATAATGTTTTGATGCATCACCGCCTTGAACCCTAGATCGGTATACCCCACCGCTATGTCCTTTTCGTTCCTTGCCGCTAGCCGAACTAGTCGCACCATCGAACAGGCCTTCAGAGTCGGAATTGATCGCAACTGCCGCAATACCCCGGGCGTCGATTTGCGCCATCTAACCGAACCATTTCTGGCCCTCCGAAGCGGATAAAAGCGCCTGTTCTGGTTAGTTCTATTTTGCAACAGCTACAGTGCCTTATACATCTTAATCTTTGTAACTTTGTTCATATAAGTGTCGATTGCAATGGCTGTCGGACTATTCTATCGAAAGCTTATAATGCTGCTAGATGCCGAAGAGCATGGAGGTAACTGCCTGTTCTTCATGCGCTTGGCAAAAAGATTCGAAATTCAAAACTTCTTCTAGCAGGGACTAGCAGGGACCGTAAACCTAGGCCGTCGAATGTTTTGACTATCTCCTCCCTAGAAAGGTGACAAATTATCTGTATTCCGTCCGTTATACTACTGAATTGTCTTCAGAAGACTCCTACTATGTTCACCTTTCTACGAAGTTTAACAGTTAAGCGCCCCACCTCGCTTACCGGTTTGGCTGATCGAAATGATCAATGACCTTCCCAGTGGCCCTGATCTCGCCTCATACTTTGGACAGAACAGTAGTGTGTCAAACATGATTTGTGTGTTTATTCCCCTTGCTCTCTAATATCGGTGATATGATTGGGTAGAAATAAGCGCTATATCCAAGTCGCTTGGAATAACACCTTTCGGTGGCGCATGATAAGAAAGCAGCACCCTGGGCGCCTCTTTGTATTAAAAAAAGATGGCACGCTTGCACAGCTGCCTAGGCTGTGGCCTCCGACGTCCCCGAGAGAAGCAATGAGTCCTCCGAATTGTGCTATGCAGTCAGTGTCCTACTGTGATTTCTCTGTCATCACCGCATCCAAATCACAGATGGTGAGCGCCACGATAACTCACATCAGGAAGCTATTTTTAGACCAGCGACATCTCACCATGTCAAGAGCTTAGGATCTAGATAGTCAGAACAGGTGAGCATCGCAGCGTTCCGCGACGCGGTTCAAACGTTTGTACTATTACTCAATCGAGTTGGTAGGGCTATGTATCATGCGAAAGTATCGTTATCACCGTGCATTGAACACATATTGCTATGGCTTTCCACCGTGGGACAACCTCGGGTTTCTCTCCTTTCTCCCAACAAGCATGCGCACTGCCACTAAATTATTGAAGCATTGGCCCATCGTAAAAACCGCGTATTTTTACTGAATGAAAAATTCGAAAACTGTTGGCGGCTCGCTAGGCGGTGTTCTGACAGCTCGATTGCCTGTGATCGCAGGAATGCATGATCATCATACCCAAAATATTAACAATGGCAGGCTGCGAGAATCTATCTAGAGAGTGATATCTAGATGATGAACGAAACCCATTCAGTTGTTTTCAAAACGCTGGGTAGCAGACACTCTTCTATGCTAAACATATCATATCGGTGATATAGCGACCACAGAGATGTCTCCCAGGAGAATGGCGTCTGGAACAGAGCATGCTACGTTTCCGATACCCTCATTCTAGATGCCGGGAAGATTCATATTGCCAACACATCTGCTATCAGGTCGTCGCGATGCCGAGAAAAGCCGTGAGTTCTCGAACTGTGTAGGCAATTTATTATATCTAGCTACCATCTTTCTGGCCCTCTTCAAGAGTGAGTCGCCCCCGTGGCGTTATGGGAAAAATACTCAAAATTTGGCATCTCTGAACTTTGCCCCGTCGCATTTGCTGCTTTGCCGACAGCTCGCCTTTACGCTCTTGACAATTGAATAACATACAACCATGCATGCTACTTAGGACCTTATGCGTAGCTCGTGTACGTATCCACTCTTGGCATCTTGCAACTCATGACCCCGAAACTTTCTCAAGAAAATGGATTGTTCTGTCTTCCAGAACTACTTCAAGCGCTACTGAGCGTTTTATTGGGGACCTATGCTTGGCATGATCGTACCTCTATGTTTGATCAGGACATTATCATGGAAGCCGGAGAATTGTCGTCCTGGACTTCTCGTCTTTCAATTTCCCCTGGGGGTCAGCTTCGTCGTTCTGATCGACCTAAATATTACGCGAGGTAAACAGCTTCGATCCGCGCGAGTGGACGCTCATCTCATGCATTTCAGCGTCCCTCCACACTTCAATTATGTTCCAACCATATGCGTTCATAAACCCGGAACCGCGTTAAAGATGATCTGTTGGCCTGGAGAAGAGGGGGACATCAGAATGGCACGAAATGCGGCGTTTTCCAGCGTTTTCGAGTTATTTTTGCTACCGAACATATAGGAACATTGTTCTACATTGCCAGCTTTTGAAATCCTAGACATCTCATTGGTCGATACTCTCTGATGCTCCCTTACCCCGTTTCGACTGCGCAGCCGCTTGGAGCCTTAGTACGAACACGTGATGCACGGCGAACCCTCCTGAGCCACGTGGATCGTCGTTCCGAGGCCTCCGAATGTCAAGATTCGATCATCCGCCCTACAACAACAGCATCGTCATAGTATTTTTTCCCAATATGCAATACCTGCCTCCGCTTCTCCCGCTTCCTTGATGAGTTTAGTATCTTACAACGAATGCCATTACGGAAGTCGGCAAAAACAGCCGTCTAGTAGTAAGCAGGGGTTGTGACTTGTTGCAATCTTATAAAGGACATGGCGTTATTCTTCATTCCTCGCTCTCGATTTTTCTCGGGATGGTTGGTCTTAGCCTGTTTGTCCTGGGCGCGCTCCTCCCGTTGCTTTCTCGTGCAGCCGTCACCGAAACGACCTTTGCGGCTTCTAATGGCGCTCCCATAGCCCAGCCGTATGCGTGGTCGCGGGCAGGTCCTAGTGGGCCACTGTTATTGCAAGGTCACTATATTGATCGTCGTTACGTCTCCCTCAGCTGACCAAAAATATGCTGCTAGATTTTGCCTCTATCGATCTGCTCGCCCACTTCGACCGTGAACGCATTCCAGAGCGCGTCGTGAGTTCGCTTGTACGGCGTTCTAACGCGATGGACTAACCGGATCCTAGGTCCATGCTAAGGGTGCAGGCGCACACGGGTACTTCGAGGTAACGCACGACATGAGCAACGTCACGTCGAGCAAATTTCTTTCAACCCCCGGAACGCGAGCCAATGTCACAGTACGTTTCTCCACTGTCGGCGGCGAAGTCGGCAGCGCAGACACCGCTCGAGATCCCCGTGGATTTTCCACAAAGATCCGGACCGATGAAGGCAACTGGGATTGGGTATTCAATGATACACCTGTCTTCTTCATCAGGGATGGCGCTAAGTTCCCTCATTTTATTCACACACAAAAACGGAACCCCCAAACACATCTGAAAGATGCTGACATGTTTTGGGTGCGCCGTTTCATTCCCAGATTGTTCCCGTTCTGATGCAAGATCAGGATTATCTATCTCTAAACCCCGAGTCTATTCTCCAGGTCATGTATTTGTTCTCTGACCGGGGGACCCCGGACGGCTTCCACAATATGCATGGATATTCGGGGCATACCTATAAGTGGACAAAGTCGGATGGTACTTTCTATTATGTGAAGACATCGATCCTCAGGGACACCGGATTTAAGGTGAATGCGACATGCTGGATAAGGGATTTCGCGTTTCAAGCTCATGCATTTGTAGACCCTCGACAGAGTTACTGCAGGGAATTTGGCAGGGAGTAACCCTGATTACGGTACACAGCTACTCTTTGAGGCGATTGAAGCCGGTGACTATCCCACATACACCGTATACATTGTAAGCAGTTCACTCTATACCCTTCTTGGTTTTGTTCAAATCTCCTCAGCAAACCATGACCCCCGAACAAGCCGAGGGGTTCCGTTACAACATCCTCGACCTGACCAAGGTGTGGCCGCAGGCCATATATCCTTTCCAGGAAGTTGGAAAGCTAGTTCTCAACAGGAATCCTGAGAACTATTTCGCAGAGATCGAACAGGTATTCAGTTTTGCCACCATCTGACCCAATCTTCGGGTTCTGACCTATTTCTAGCTTTCCTTCGCACCGTCGAATATGATCCCATACATTGAGCCGTCGGCAGACCCTGTTCTACAGGCACGTATGTTCTCATACCCAGACACAGCACGGCATCGTCTCGGGCCAAACTTCGAACAGCTTCCAGTCAACTGCCCACTCTTTGTACCGGCGAATTTCCAGCGGGACGGATGGGGAACGATCTTCAATCAAGGCAGCAGACCTAACTACCAAAGCAGCATACAACCCTTGACATACCAGGAGAACCCCGGATGGATCTATGGAGAGGGCTGCACGGGAGGAGAGAGTTGCGATTATGAACGCAGGCGAAATCACGAGAATTTCGTTGGTGCAGCATATCGTGATCTTAGCCAATTCACCGAACGTGAGTGTTTCGTCATCTTATGTCTCCTTACAGCGGCAGGCTCATGTTATTGTCTTCTTGTGTCTGCTAATAGTCGATTTGGAGCAGCCTCGGGGTCTTTGGGCATACATCTGGAATGATACGCAACGTGCTGCCACTGTTGGGAACCTAGCAGCACACATGGCCAACATTAAGAACGTTACGATAGCGAACAGACAAAGTTCGTGTGCTATTTCCATTATCACTCCCATCATCTTGACACTCCACTAGTTTCCATTTTCACCGCCGTTAACAAGACACTTGGAGATGTGGGTGTTTGGTTCGTGAAGATTTTGAAATGCTCATCATTTGTTCTTGTGTAGAGTGTTGCAAGTGCTCTTGGCCTTCCCCCCGTGGACCCTTTAGTGGTCAAGAATGTCTCCGAAGCCGTAAAATTCAGAGCCTATATTGGGTATTCCGTTAATATGACGGCAACAGAAGGGACCTCCAGCCTCCAGGAGATATCATATGACGATTATTACAGAGACTGATGGAGATACTTTTCTGGGACTTGGAGAAAATATGTTTCGCGTTATTATAAGCGCGGATGTTTGGATAGTCAGGTTACAGTATTGCTACTTACGTTTTGAATACGGACCGATAGGGCCGGGTACGGCATTCTCCGACTTTTAGGGCTTTTCTTTGTTCCTTCATCCAGCCACCTAATACACGCTTTTATCGCCTTTAAACCATTCCGAATGCGCATTAACTTGTCAACTGGGATAACTGTGGAGGCTGAGTTGACATCGCCGTCAGGTACCGGTCCAAGCCACGCTAATGGTGGAAATAATTTGGCGATATTCCTTCATCCATGGCCGTGGCTAGGAGGCTGTATGCAGGATCCGTATGTTGCATTTCAAACTAACAAATCTAGGCTAACTTCCTTAGGAAGAGTCGTATCCTTGTTGATGGATGTCTTTGAAGCGCACAGGTCTCATTATTATCTCTTGCGCTACAACTCTCGAGGAGTCGGCAAGTCTTCAGGCTGGCCGTCATTGACCGGTTTAAGTGAAGGAGAGGACCTAAGAGCACTCGTGCAATGGGCGCTTGGAACCGTTGGGAATATCAAATCCCTCGTCATTGTGGTATGAGCTGAATCTAAAGTACATCACTTATACAGAGTTGAATTTCATCACAGGGTTATTCTCATGGCTCGCTCATTGCCTCTCTGCATCCCACACTACCCTCAACCTCAACCAAAGTTTCTCACATCCTTTTGTCTTATCCACTCGGGCCCAGAGGGTGGCTGACAGCTTTCCGTTCCAGTACATATGATTCAGCCTTGAAGGATCTTCTCTCCAGTCCAGAAGCTCGTGCACTTGTTGTATTCGGAGATCAAGACGACTTTACCAGTGCCTCAAAGTACGAGCGCTGGACTGAGGAATTGCGGACGTTAACTGGAACCGATGCCCAACGTTTAGAGATTGTTCGCGTTGATGGTGCTTCACATTTCTGGAGAGGCCGGGATGAACGTGTCCTTACTGCTGCGGTGGAGCGATGGTTGCAGGGGCGACAGTAAATTCCGTAAGTTTGAGTAGGTCGGAATCTGAATCCTATCCACGGCTGCTCACCAGTAAATCAATGCGCTATTATAGCGGCTGTCTATACAAGTGTAAGACTTAAAAGCATCCTCTTATTATATCTTACGAGGATTGTCATGAGCCATATCTTCAATACATTCTTGTGTAACGAGTTCAGCTGATTTTGATTACTTATTTAAAAATCATCAGAACTAGACCTGGATATCGAATGATGAGCCCATTTACATTCATCATCTGAAGGCCGACATTCGGTTCTTCGAAGGCATGACCTCAGTTTCTGTTCAAACTCTAAAGTAGAAACATGTTCGACTCTGTCATTATATCCTATATCTTGAGAATGCATGAACTATGAAGACCTTCAAGCTACCCACGAACCATGTGGAACAGACTTGTTGAATGTCGTCATAACCACCGGCCTGCGGCGGCGATACCGCGGATAAACCCGACTAGGGCAAAGCGACGTCGTTACGTGCAACACCCATCCGTATACCATCAGTTCCTTTTCGTTCTTCTTTTTCTAAACGTCACGACCTTTCCTTTTGACCGTCTTGTGCTCTACAGGACTCAGAGGATTTTTATTTTATTTTATTCAGGTCGTAAACCAGTCGGCTTCAGTCCGTCCACTCATTATTCGTCGCTCTTTACACCTATCCGACATCGAAACCCCTTTATCATGCCAGCAATTGCCGTTCGAGATGAAAATTCTGCAGCGATGTCGAGTTCGTCTTCTCTTCGCCCAATTTATATTGCTGGGTTTGTTGTAGTGGGTGTACTCCTGCTCGGCGTGGCTCTGTGGCTCGCCATTAGAAGATATCGACGACGGGCCCAAGCAAAGAGGGAAGAAAACCTTGGAGCTGCGTTCTTATCTGTCAAAGGTCTCGTCAGAGACGGTGATGTCCCCACTGAAAAGGCCCCCCTTCCCGAGTCAGTCTTCGGTTCCTTCGTTTGTGTTGAAATTATGCTTATGTATTCTCGGTTAGAAACCTACAAGCCATCCAAGGCTCTACGTTCTCTCGCGAGCAGCTCACTCCTTCTGTAGTCCTACCGGACAAAGTGTTGACATCAAACCGTCCTGCACCAGTACAGGAGACTACTCAAGATATCCTTGAATTCCACCGACAATCGGGCAATTTTCCGCGCCCTTTCTCCCCCAAACCCTTTGCGTTTGCGTTGACAGCTGCAGCCCCCAATCCCCGCGGTTCTGTCATACAATTAAATCGTTCATCAATGATCCGAAATTCTTTCATGAGCACTGCTAGTACAGTCAGCCGCTTTTCAGTTATATCTTCCAGCTCTTCAGTTGATTCATCCCCCACCACTGGCACAACTCGTAAAATTCGTCAACTGTTTAATCCCATCCTCCCCGATGAACTAGTCACTACTCTCGGCGAGCGGTTAACAGTCGTACAATCATTCGACGACGGCTGGTGTGTCGTTGGAAGGGAGAGCACCTCGAATTTCAATAACGCTAAATCTCTCTTCAAATCTCCGAGTGCTCAAGCGGAGCCTAACGTGGAGCTTGGTGTTGTTCCTGCATGGTGCTTCATCAAGCCCGTCAAGGGTCTTAAGGCTGAGCGACCCGTCCGAAGCACTAGTCTTGGAATCACTGTGCAGATGGAGGGTCCAGCGTTCTCTTCTCGAGAAGAGATCATTTCTTGGTCTAATTTCTAGATTCCTTCATATTATTTATCCTTGATCTAACCTGAAGTACATACCTCGTTTCTTAGATTAAGACCCCCTTTCCGATCGCTTGCCACTCATTCCCGGCGCACAACCTCTCTTGCTGGTATCGAAGCGGTTGTGCTCGTACATACCCCCGCCGTATTGTCGAAATCGTTACTAGCTTGCTACTTTTCTTATTCTTCCATTCTGCCAGTGGCAGTCGATTACCTCACTCGAGAGTTTTTTGTATTCAATTTGTTGTAGCTCTAGTAGTGTCCGCGCCTCGAGCACGGGAGTTCAAACGTTCGCCCATGCTATGTTCATGTCATTCTCACACTTGGAGCATTCAATTCGAATATGGCTAAAAAAAATACAGCGTATGCACTGGATCCGCGAAACATGAACAGTCGGTAATTGCCGCTCCCGACGCGTTTCCGTTCTACTGCCTCTGAAGATACGCGTTAGCGCGCATACCAGCCTTGAAACATGAAAGCCCGCGGGAGCTTCCACTGGTTTTCTGAAGTTCGAACGGTTTCATCTATTGCATCATGACTCCTTGGCAATCGTATCTAGCACCACCACCATCTTCGTATCAATGAATAATTCCAGTTCCAAAAATTCCACGCAGCCGAGTCCGAGTCGGCGTTGAAACTCAGCAGCAGCCACTGTAAAATACCGAGTCTCGGACTCCCAGTGGGGACGGAGAAGCATTGGTTGGTCCGGGCTTGAGATATGTTTGTCATGGAAGCAAAGCTGATCTCATCCTCCAGTCACGATTCCGCTCTAGACAGGTTTGGAGGTATGCCTTGATTCTCAAGCAAAATTCACTGACCTGCTGGTTCATTTTAGATTTGATCTACTGGAGAGTCTCTTGGCGACTGGATGAGGTATCAAGTTAGAAGCAGACGTCCACCAATAGAAAAACACTTGACTCCAAGCCATCGCAAGGTGCAGAGAGTGAATCCGACCGAGTATTCTTCCATACTATCAGATCTCCGAGTCTTGACTATTCCAATGAGTACACGATTAGATGGAGACCGATGACCCACCGACCATTAGCCACGATAATAATCCTTGTTTGCAAGATTTTCACCGTTGTTATTCCTTGACTACCATCAAATATAGTTAAGGTGGGTACATTTTTATCGAGGACTGTATGACGAACATCATTTGGGGACCTAGACGGCAAAAAGTGTACCGTGCTGAAAGGAACCATAGCTGTGATGGTCCTTTGGTACTGTTCAGCACTAGTTGCAGCGTTGGTAAGTCTTAATCCCCAGTTAGAAAAGAATATGACACCTTTGACCATCACAGAAAGCAAGATAACTCATCCCTTATCGATGGAAAGCATCTACGATACATCCGCAGGATACCATACTGGTCTACTTCAGGATATTTCTGTTGCTAGAACTGACACTTGCTTACAAGTGAGTTGCATGATCACAAATCCAATCAGCGAGGTTGGGCACTCACCTTTTAGGAAGATCGTTAAGGCGGCTTGCGATTTGTGGTGGCGACAGGTAAGTATTTGTCCGAAGAGAGGAATTAATCAACATATCAGCTCTGGGAGGTGCTTTCTCAATTACAATCTCTTCTTCTCAGAGATGAAAGACGCGATTTCCGGCCCGACCCGAATTGTCTCATTATTGCATGCGAGGAATATTCTGCTGTAGACATCTTCTATAAGCCGTTTCGAAATATTCGTGATATTAGAGTCACTGATACAACTGCGTTTACAAAATGATTGTCGATGTTCCTACACTTGCTGAAAGCCGAGAGAATGAATGATACAAAGCTAATAAGAAAGAGTTTCCACGATAGCATCAAAAACCCGGAGCGCATCAGGGATAACGAATTTCTCATATTGAAGTGCCACAGGAGTGCTGTTGGTGTAACATCCAGTCAGCACTTGATATAAAGAGAAGAGGATGATACTCACTCCCATCCCGTAACTCGTTTGACTGGTGCGTCGAGCTTTAAGAAGCATCGTTGCTGTACTTGGGCACAGATTTCCGCGCCGACACCCCCGGTCATCCCAGCTTCATGCACGACTACCAGTCTTCCTGTGCGATTCACGCTCTCAATTACCGTCTCAATATCCCAAGGGAGTATTGTCCGTAAATCGATGAGCTCCACCTGAGCTTTGCGTAACGCGGCAGGAGCATGCTGTTCCATCTCCGGTGTTGGGGATGCGAGCATATGCATCGCGGTCTCGCAGTGATACACTGGTGTACCCCACGTCAACAATGTCAAATCTGAACCGCGAATAAGCGTTTCGGCGCGTCCAACGGGAAGGGTGAAGTCGTCCGTAGGTACTTGCTCGATGGCAGAACGATAGAGAATCTTAGGCTCCATGAAGATGACAGGGTTAGGGTCGCGGATAGAACTGAGAAGAAGACCTTTGGCTTGGATAGGAGAGCGAGGGATGATGAGTTTGAGACCGGCCGCACCCATAAAGAAACCTTCCGGAGACTGAGAATGATAAAGTCCTCCATGACCAACTGCCATGGTAGGTGCACGGACAGTGAGCCCGCCTACGTTATATGACCCACCAGAACGATAGCGGATCTTGGCAGCTTCGTTCACGAGCTGATCAAATGCAGGATATATGTAGTCAGCAAACTGGATCTCTGCGATGGCAGTATGGCCCATCAGCGCCATGCCTATGCCGAACCCTACGATGCCCTGTTCAGTCAAGGGGGTATTGAAGACTCGTTCACGACCAAATTCTTCTGCTAGACCCTAAAGACCTCAATGGAAATGGGTAAGGAGAAGTGGCGTAGTCGCAAGGAACTCACCATCGTGCATCTAAATACACCACCAAACGCGACATCTTCGCCGAACACAACAGCGTGGTCATCCTTTGACATGGCAATGCTAGACCTCCGTTGGTAGGAGCTCTCTACAGGAGACAAGATTATCATACCTCATCGCGTCCCGGACAGCCTGGTATAGATTCATCTTGCGCGTCTCTCTGCCACCAATGATATTCCGCGACGGTCCAGAGCCGTCTTCATCGGTCCACACGAGCCCAGGGGTACGAATCGCCAAATCTCGCGTAGGCCGGAGCAATGATGATGTAGCTATTGAAGGTAGATGCCCACCAGCAGGAGGGGGTTCCACTACAGCTTCGGTAGAGTAACGTCGCCAGAGTCGTCCACGTCGTGATAGACAGCGAGCTAAGGCATTGACCCTGGTGTTGGTGAGCATGAGAGATGATGGTGGCGAGAATGAAGAAGATCCGAGCCTGGTATCGTCATCATGTGTGATAGCAAATATGTCCCTTGCTATTTGATCAACTTTGGCCGGAGACCATTGTGCCCTCCAGCTCGTCGCCTGCCGTCGTCGTTGATGGAAAGCGAATCGACCTTCGTCGCTCCCGAGGGCGTGTACTCCATCATCGAGGAACACAAGCCTTTCTTCCTGGTCGCTCACGTTAATCCCCCGGCTTCTCCATTTCCCACTCGTGTATCCACCATTGTTGTTCGTTATCCTACTGCCAAGCACGCGGGGAGTGCGCCAGGATTTGCTCAGCTGCTCAGTGGGAATAAGGATAAGGATACGAGGAACGTGAAGGACAAGGGCCGAGAGGACTGGTCATAGCCAATCAAGCAGTGATACTGGGGACGACGACGGATCGCCTCCGCTAGGAGGTCCTGACTTGCCTGTGAATCCAACGATACCCCATGAGCACCATGCCCTGTTCTCTCACTCAGGGCTGGCAAAGAAGAAGCATGTCGGAAGGCCAAAACATAATATCCGGACAACCTCCTCGACGTTCATTACTCGGGCAGACGTTCCCAAGGCGCTACAGTCCAAGCAGGGCGACATGACATTTCTCTTCTATAATACTGGAAAGAGCTTTTTGTGGGTGGAGACTGGATCCAAGAGCAAGGTGTGGCTGCCATTCACCTGTCCTGCCTTTCATTGACGTTATTTCTTTGGATTCTCTCTAGGAACCGCTGGCGAGAGTAACGTTCTCCGCCTTTCCCACTTGTCATGATGTAAACACTTTGACAGCTTCGCCCGAGTGTCTCGACGTGATTATTGGCTTCAGCACCGGCGATCTCATATGGTTGGGTAAATTATTCATATCTCTCTGCCAACTAATTGTGTACTAACTATCATCGCCTAGATCCCATTTCTTCCAGGTATTCTCGTCTGAACAAGCAGGTATTTTTAGTCCAATCAGTATCTTTCAGTGCACTGAACTCCTTTTCACAGGGTTGTATATCGAACTCCCCTTGCACTGCCGTCCGATGGGTACCATCTTCATCTACGCTGTTTCTTGTATCACATGCAGACGGCACAATCGTTGTCTACGACAGGGAACGAGACGATGGAACTTTCAAGCCCCAAGAGCCTGTGGTTCAGAGCGGTTCTTCGGGATCAGGGTCGCTACCTTCGTCGGACGATAACACTTCGCAGAAAGATTGGGATCCTATAGATAACATATTTGTGACCATCCCACCCTGGCATCCGGTGACCGGTGGCGCTGGGTTGAAAAACGAGAGGGAGAGGGAGAAGGCTGTCAAGAACCCCGTGAGCCATTGGAAGGTATCCAGAAAGAGTGTCGTGGGTACGTGGTTTTGTTTATCATTTCAAATCTCCTATAACGTATTCCTATGTAGATTTTGCCTTCTCTCCTGACGTCAAGTATGTGGGTGCCATCTCAGAAGACGGGTGTTTGAGGGTAATCGATGCATTGGCCGAACAGTAAGTGACAAAGGCTGATGAATTGACGGAGAATAATTCTCGTCAGACTAGTCGACTGCTATGCGTCCTATTTTGGTGCGCTAACATGCATTGCGTGGTCTCCGGATGGCAGGTTCATTTTGGTAAGTTTCGAGGTTCCTCCAGGACTGTCTGAATCTCATCCTACTGCAGACGGGCGGTCAAGACGACCTGTTGACTATATTCTCACCTTGGGAACAGCGAGTAATTGCACGATGCCAAGGACATTCGTCGTTTGTAACTGCTGTTGCATTCGATGACCTGCGTTGTGACGGACGGACATACCGATTCGGTAGCGTGGGCGAAGACAACAAACTCATATTGTGGGATTTCTCGAGTGGCGCCCTTCATCGACCTAAATTCCAGGCAACCCATCATCAGCGGGTATCAATGTCATCCACCATTTCGCTTGCTTTTAAACGCGATAGATCCGCATTGTATCTACCCTCGCCTACCGAGGATAAACCTTATCCTCGTTACCATCCTGCACCCTCGCGGAATGAGATTGCTGTCGTACAGCCTGTCTTGGTTTGTGGGTCTGTTTCTGGCATCGTCCTTGCCCTGACGCTCGTCGCTAGGTGAAACAGGTCGAAGGCGAGCTATTGGCAGACGTGGCATTTCTTCCGAGATCATTAATGACGGCGACAAAATCTGGTCATGTCAAGCTTTGGATACGACCACTTGCGCTGCGACCACGGCATTTGAAGCCCCACCGCACACGTACGATATCTATGGACATGGATTAAGTTTAAAAACTGGTGTACCAATGGCTAACTTATTCCTGTTTTTGTTGGACGTTATATAAAAGGACTCCGGCGTGTTACATTATACCACTTCTCATTTAGAGGAAGGATAGAACAAGATGCGATACAAGATGAACATTTATTGCTGTAGCTCAACTATCCACCGGGTAACATGTCCTGCATCCAACAACGCAGCCTCCCAGTACATGAGGAATCGTCGCTCTCTCCACATATCCAACCCATACCGGTCTATGAATGCGATCCTCTCTGCTCTATCCTCTACTAATCTCTCTGCCTGAGTTACTAAGGGAGTCCGCGTATCTCTCAGAGATATTGACAACAGATTTGATCCTGGCTGGCGCACAAACAGAGAGGACACCGGTGAGAGAGACGAGAAGTGGCGTAGAAGTACGCAAGGGAAGAGAACATAGAATGAAGTTCTTGCTCATCCAGGCTGTGTGGGGCGAAATGGTTGTGAATTCGATCGTTGTCGTACTTCCGACAGCGAGAGACTTGATGTACGAAGCAATAGATGACTCCATTTCAGAGTGAGGAACCACGTCGAGGTGAAGCATTGAGGGTCCTTTTGATAACAAGAGCAGAGGAGGAGCTTTATTTGCCAAGTTCAGGTGAAATGAGCGCATATAGTCAGAGTTTGGTCACCTTTCGACGCCTATAACCAATCAGTCTATCAAAGATATACCAAAATTGACGATGTCTACCATGGAATAGAGAAAATGATCCTTCAAGAGCCACGCCATTGTTTTGGTCGACCACGTCGGTTCAACGTGCAGTCCGATCGTCCATCCGTACACCTTCGAGCGTTCACGAAACATGTCCGAAAGATCTGCTCTAGGATTACGCATTTCAATAGCTCCAGTCTTGACCTTCTCTACCAGAGCGCCCAGAGAGACTTCCATTCGTCGGTCCTTCCAGTTGACTGTGTATTTGATTGACTGTGAACGGTTACGTGTTGGAATGACGACGGTCGAGAGAGCTTTAAGGTGAATATTTCCCTTGGACTTGTACGTTCGCTTTGATACGAAGGATATCGTGACAAAAAGCAGAAGGCAAAGTACAGACAGGAGAGAAAGAAGTGCATGTCGATTCTCAAAGCAATACTGGGTGGAGAAGACGCGCAGAAGAGAATCGGCAGGGAGTAAGTCGCGGAAATTCAAGTATCTATATTGATGACGGGATATGAGCCGATGAAACGCGTCAGTTGACAGCAGGTGTGAGCGAAGGGCCAGCATGGTGGTTGGAAGAGAGAGAAACGGAGAATGCCGAGCTCACCCATTTTTAACTCATAGTTGGGGAGAAGGGCAAAACGCTCATGTCTGTCTCGTGCAGAAGCAATCGGATCGGCAAGCTGTGGCCCTGAACGTGAACGTTGAATGATCCTGAACGATTCATGTCGTCTTCCGTCGCCCGCTAGACTGGTGACTGTCTCTCTAATCACACTTGACGTTGCAAGCAAAAAAACGTCAAGTGTACAGAGAAACGGTTACGAGTCTAGTCGCCTGCCTCCTCACACCGACATATCGCAACGATACCCAATGCACATCTAGTTCATCATCTGCAAACCCAACGAGTTCAAGTCGGTTTTAGTCCGTCCCTTGCTGATAGCGCGCTAGTAAGTACGAGCCCCGCATAGGAGCGAAGAGCGCATGAGATCATGAAGAGTGTGTATCCTCTGTTGTCTTTGCATGATACCCGTGCTGAAGAGGAGTAGACCCATTCATGGATAGGAACAAATGCGCCGAGTTCTTGCTAGGGTACATGTGCCTGAAGGCGCAGGATTCTCCAGGACTGGTTACGCAACAAGGACGTGACTAGGAATGTAGACGTCTTTATCGGCGTGGCAGATGGGAGTATTGATTTGGAAGAGCTGAGCAAGATACTAGAGCGACGACCATGAGATGTCCTGTCTCGACCATTCTGCTGCGATCTTTGATATTTCTCACTCAGTATCTCGATATTTGGCCAGGTCCGATACTTCTCAGCATACGATAAACATCACACCTTTTCCGTAACAACTCGAGCCCCCACACTCAAACAGCCATCGACAAGAAAACCATGCAAGAAGTTCGGTAGTAGCGAACGTAAAAGATGTGATGATTGTCGATATCAAGGAGGAAGACATTATTCGAGGTCCTCATCTGTGAATCAGGTATTCCTTGGTACGCTATGACCAGACTGAGCAAACACGGTGTTACTGCGATCGTATGGTTGGAACATAAGAGTAGTTCAAAGATTGCCTTGGTGATGGTGAAGATGCCAGTGTACGAAGTCTGATACCGGTATGAGAAACCTGAAGCCTCATGTGTAGAATTTGGCCACCACGCCCAGCTATCCTTATATCCGATGCATAGATCACTAGTAAACTCAGTTACTATTAGGTTGAAATGCCGGTGCTTCTAGCGATTGCATAGTTGAAGTATGGGTATAGATAGAGCTAACTAGATCGCAATATCATATACTTCTAGTACTTCAATCAGGGTGGTTCGCAGAGGCTACCGGAGCATTGGTTCGTGTCGCGAAACGACTAAGGCTCTGCACGTAGACAGAAGCTAGCTAGAAGCACACAGCTGGTGACTCTCGGAACAGATCCTTCGGAACTATCCAGTAGCGGCAGTTGCCGGGTCCCCGATTCTTTCCTTTTTGTATGAAGAAACGGTTTGTAAATTAATCTGCGTGAACGTGCTTGTTCAAGCTGAAACATATAATACAGTTTGATTGATTTAAACTGGAAGTGTGGTGGTGCAAAAAAGCTCGCATTTTGCACAATCTAACATCTAATCCGAGCTGTGATAATAATGTATGTTATGCTTTTGCTCTCCATTCGAATTTCTGTCCATCCCTGCATATGCATTAGGTCTTGAAAATGAAAATATTTCCTACTGCATACCTTGTACTATGCAAATCAAGTTGGAGGCTACTGCAACCATAGCAAGTCCAAATCCTCAATCAATTTTATGAATTCAAAAGTATCATAGATGGATGAAAGGCAACTAAAGGTACACATGCAGCGTGTAGCCGACACCGTAGCAACTCCCCTCGTCACCTGCATCCCACTCAGACATCGATGCCACTCTGAATATCTTGCCTAACCCACGCGCACTCAAAGGTAACTCTACTCCATGCTCCCTGTATGCTAAAATGCTGGTCTTAGCCAAGTAGATCATCAGTAACGACGTATCGTCGCAGGTTCTTGATCGTTGTGTGCCTACGCAAATATCACTACAACAACAAACTGATTAGTAGGAAACAACGTACTTGAGTGATACCAGACACGAAGTCAAATCGTGTTCTGGAACTGAACCTAAAAAGAAAAAGAATCATGTTAAAGGATGGCAATGAAAAGAAAGGCATCTGCGACACCATAACAGTTCGTCGATCAATAGGGAGACACCCCTTCTCGGAATTTGCAGCACCATGGAGATGCACCAAACACGACTACAGGGAAAGACTTAGCATAAATGGAACGAACGGCCAGACGAAAGATGCAGCGGCATGCCAACACAACAGTAACATAAAAAGGCTGCAAACCCGGGAACACCTGTTAATATACACAGATGGATCACAGCGGGACGTACGGGGAAAGAGGCGAGTAGGAGCAGGAGTAGTGGGATTCAGAGACGGGACACAGGCCTTCGAGCTCAGCATGGGGCTGGGAGAGAAAGCAGAGGTCTATGATGGGGAGATGGCAGCCCTTGCGATGGGAGCGACAAAAGCGACGAACCACGCAAAAGAAGATGAAGAAATAAAGCACTTACACTTCTTCGCGGACAACGCATCAGCAGTCGATGCGATATTCGACACCCTACCCAAGACCGGACAAGAATTCTCGATAGTCTTTCATCGTCGAATACGGCAATTCCTCGACAGCAACCCTTCACATACAGTCGAAATCTCATGGTGTCCAGGCCACAAGGATATCGTAGGGAATGAGCGAGCAGACTACCTAGCGAAAAGAGGAGCAGAAAAGTCAGTGGAGATGATGAGCAAAACAAGAGCTAACGCCAAAAGGGAAGCGAAAGCAAAGACATTGGAGGAATGAAAGAAACTGTGGGAGGCCAGTCCGAAACGGGGGCGATACGCAGCAAATAGACTCCCGCCATCGCTAAAGCCAACACGTCACTTCTTGGACCTTGCGCAAAAGAGGGAGACGTACAGCCGAGTCCTACAATGCAGAACCGGACATGGATACATAGGCGAGCTCTACCAGACACGAACATATCATTCGCGAGTGCCCACTCTATGAGACAGAGCGAGGAACACTCCGAAAAGTGTCGAGGTCCCTATACCTGCCAGACATTCTGGGCACCAGAGACGGAATTTCAGCCCTGAGTGAATTCATTGAGAAGACGGGTGCATTCACTAGGGCAGGAGAACCACGAAACCCTAGGCCGGCCCCAGTAATGGAGGAGGAAGAAGATGAACTTGAAGGAGACTGGTGGAAGAAAGAAGAAGACGACTCAGAAGACGAGCACGGTTAGTCACCGCACTCCTGCCACATCACGAGAGCATTACCTACATGACACACACACACGAAACGCTCGCAAATCATCACACGGCCATGGCCAAGCGCAGAACCAACTCAATTAGCCCAATCAGGGCGCAAAAACACCACAAAGTCCGTTACTCTACTCCACAACAGACGTCGAAACATCAGGAGAAAGCAGAGGAATGAGCGGAGGAAATGGAACAAGAGGGAAGGAAGTTGCCTGAGGACCTATACCTCCACCGCGTCTAGTTAGTGTACTTGTTGCGGTTAACGAAATGCAGAGTTCAAAGAAAAAGAAAAAAAGACCAATAGGGAGAAGTCGGAAAGACAGAATTTTTCAGCCACAGTGGCAATCACTTTCAGCCACCCGGCATGCCAGCCGTAGCATGCCGCATGCTCGCCAATCACCGCAAATTAGCTAAGCCAACCCGGAGTATAGCCCCTGTCCAGACAGTTTGGCACCCTCTGTCGTTTCCTCATTCTTCGGAAAGAATCGGGGACGACGGACAAACAAGTACAAATCGTATTCACTCCGTTCTTGCTCGTACTTAAACTGTCATGGGATCTAATGGTATCTCGATTGGGCCCCGCGCGCTCATATTTCTCTCAGAACTCCAGGAATATTCATTTTAGTCTAGTCGTTGTGGTGCTTTTCACGAAGGTCCGGATCCCTGATACCTAATATCTGCTCGATTTCTTCTGAAGTCCTCCCGCTCGCTATCACCATCGGACGGGAAACCGGGTTAGCAAAAAGTGGGCACCCCTACGGGTCCTGGAGTATTATTTGATGAATATTTTCCTGCGTTTGATAGGGTTCAGAGTCCAATGATCAGAGCTACGCCAATAGTCATGTTTTGCGGATAGCAGCAAGGACAGATACTAAATACATTTAGAGTATAGTGTTAAGCTGCACGGATCAAATGAGATTATTCTGATGGGTCCCCACGCTGCCGCAGGTGCGCTTGCTCCATTTCATTTCATTTAAAATCTTCAGCTAATATAGAGCTTATGTCCTCGCTACTAGAACCTTCACCATTGGGTCCGTAAGACATGGCCTCCACCACCTTTTGTATTGACATTCCTGTCTTTGGTGGTCAAGGCACTGCTGCCGCCAACTCTCCTCAGGCGCGCCAGCAGGCTCTCCTCGATGCCTCTTCTCCTTCAGGCTCCGTTCTCCTTGCTGCATGCCATGCGGCCCTCCATACCGAATTGAAGACGCTTTCTTCGACAGAGCTCTCTCAAGTTAACATCGATCTGTCAGACTTCCAGACGAAAGAGTCCATCCTTGCTCTACCCACCGAACGGTATCTCCATAATGCAGTCATTTCTGGCACAACACTCTTCCTCTTACAGACGCTGCGCTACCTAGCATACATTGACGCCTCAGTTGCTTCCAACGGGTCTCTCACCCCGTTCAGCGACGTTTTGAAATCCAACTCTGTCCATGGTGTCGGCATCCTCGGATTTTCATCAGGGATATTGCCCGCCGCCGTCGTCGCTACCTCGTTTTCCAGTGTCTCTTTCCTCTCTACGGCCGTAGAAGCATATCGCCTGGCCATATGGATTGGTGTACGTGCCCAAATTTTCCGCCGCGCGACACTTTCGGGTCCGTTCCCTGAAGCCATATACTCTTCTCCTTGGAGCCTTGTGTTCCTTGGATTGAGCAAACAAGATGCAGAGGTGGCGATCTCAGATTTTGCAAAGGTCAGATCCTTTGCACTATTTTTAAAAAATTCCCCTTACTGATCATTCAAGCAGACCGTCGCTGAACCATCCCCTCTTTATGTCACAGCAACAATGGATGCTAATTCTGTCACTATATCAGGCCGTCCTGATACACTGTCCGCATTTTCGGAGTATGTTACAGCACACTCGTCCGGAGCTAGTATTGTTGTGCATAAGACGACGCTCGACACCTTGTACCATGCGCCACTTCATGTGGCGGGAGCACGGGATGAGATCCTCGCTGACGTTGTTCGGAGGGGCATTCAATTCCCGCAAATCACAGACATCCATGTTCCCTTCCGGTCCACATTCACAGGGGAGGCATTGAAGAAGGATATGACTGGGTCGCTTGTTGAGCTCGTTGTGGACATGGTCATTTCGCAACCTGTCAACTGGGACCTAGTGACATCCGGTGCTCTCAGAGACCTTCCCGAGGATGCATCTCTGCGGCTGCTTAACGTCGGGCCTGGAACAGGTCTCTGTCGTGGTCTTGAAAGGGTGTTACGCAAAGAACGCGTAAAACTTCTCGATCTTACGGCGTTGGACGCGAAGACCCCGCGTCAATTGAAAGGCAAGCAGGAAGCTATTGCTATCGTTGGAATGGCCGTCAATATGCCGGGAGCTCCCAACGTCTCTAAGCTCTGGGAAGTATTGGAGCAAGGTATCAACACGATTAGCGAGGTAGTTAAACTTTGTTTCCATTTTCATCGTCATTCGCTGACATCTGGATGATTCTTTAAGGTCCCAGAGAACCGGTTCAAAGTATCGGACTATAACGAGGCGAAGAATCCGAAGCGGCAGATGAAGGCTCACACCGGTAACTTCATCGAAGGTGCTGATGAATTCGATAACCGGTTCTTCAAGATCAGTCCCAGGGAGGCGAAGAGCATGGATCCTCAACAGCGGGTCCTGCTTCACACCACTTACGAGGCACTGGAAGATGCCGGCTATGTTCCCAATGCGACTCCTTCATTCAAGCCGGATACTTTCGGATGTTACATTGGTGTAGCCAACTATGATTACTTGCAGAATCTACGTGACGATATTGACGAGTACTATAGCACTGGTTAGCTCTTTTGCTCGGGTTTGTGCGCCATCATTTGCTTACCCTGTATGAATAGGCACTTTGAAAGCGTTCTTGAGTGGACGTCTGTCTTATTCGATGCAGCTTAGCGGTCCGTCTATCGTCGTAGATACCGCATGCTCATCATCCGGTGTCGCTGTATATCAAGGAGCGCGTGCGCTCATGAACGGGGATTGCAATGCGGCGATTGTTGGCGGCGTTAACGTGATCGCTAGTCCAGACGTGAGTCATTCTACTCATAGTTCTATACTTTAACTCATGTTCTGTGATTCTAGATGTTCCTGGGACTCGATCGAGGCCATTTCCTGAGCCCTACTGGACAATGCAAAGCATTTGATGCATCCGCCGATGGGTATTCCCGAAGTGAAGGTTGCGGGATATTCGTCTTGAAGCGTCTGTCCGACGCTATCGCCGAGAACGACAACATTTGGGGTGTCATCCGAGGCATCGAAGTCAACCAAAGTGGCCTTGCTCATTCGATCACTCATCCTCATGCTCCCACCCAGATCACACTCTTCAAACAGCTGCTGGAGAACACGGGCGTCGACGCAAACCGAATCAATGTTGTCGAAGCTCACGGAACGGGAACTCAAGCTGGAGATCCAAATGAGCTTGAGAGTATCCGTGGTGTATTTGCACAGAAGCGCGGCGCGAAGAATCTACTGCATATCACGTCCGTGAAGGCAAACATTGGACATCTGGAGGCGGCATCTGGTGCTGCAGGACTTGCGAAGATACTTCTCATGATGGCGCACCGTACCATCCCCCGTCTTATCTCCCTTCATGATCTAAATCCGCGCATTGCCCCATTAGAATCAGATAACACCATCATCGACAGGGTCCATACTGCTTGGGAGCCTTCTCCCGGCGGTCAGACGAGATTGGCGCTGTTGAATAACTTCGGTGCTGCGGGGTCGAACACTGCCACGTTGGTGGAGGAGTTTGCTCGTCCTTCGCCTGTTCAACTTGAACCTATTCCTCTCGTCTTCGGTCTGTCTGCAAAAACTGACACCGCTCTGGAGAAACTCCGAGCAAAGTATATCAGCTGGCTCCAGAGTTCGGAGAGCGCCGACTTCAGACTAGCGGATATTGCTTACACGTCCACGAGTCGTCGCCAGCTTTATGAGCATCGCACTGCTGTGGCTGCCTCTACGAGGGACGAGCTTATTGAGAAACTGCAGAAAGCTAAATCTGTTCAGTCTTCCTCTCAAGATGGAAAGGTCGTTTTCGTGTTCTCTGGACAAGGCGCTCAGTACGTTGAGATGGGGCGTGTCCTTTACGATTCATCGCCGATCTTCAAATCTCACATTGACGAATGCCATTCATTCCTTACTGCATCCGGATTTTGCGGTGTATTGCCTATCATTGCTCCTGGACCCGACGGCACGGGTTTAACGGAGACGGAAGAATTTGAGGCCTATCAAACGGCTATCTTCGCATTGGAGTATGCGCTTGCTAAACTGTGGATGTCATGGGGCGTGAAACCGACGGCTGTGGTTGGTCACAGGTATGTTAGATTCCATCTCAATGTTTGACAACGCTAATGCTTTCACAGTCTCGGGGAATATGCAGCGCTCGTCATTGCCAATGTCATATCGTTGCGGGGTGCTCTTACCATCATTGCCCACCGTGTGCGTCTTATGGTCACGAAATGTGCGGTCTCGTCAACCAGCATGATTGCCGTCAATCTAGCGCAATCATTACTTCAGGAGATCTTGAAGGCGACCGCTTTCGATAAACTGAGCATTGCGTGCTTCAACAGTCCCGTTGATTGTGTCGTGTCTGGACCATTGGAGCAGCTTCGTGCATTGAAGGAGCACTTGGATGCCGAAGTCCACTGCAAGAACGTTCTTCTTACTGTTCCATTTGGATACCATAGCATGGCGATGGCGCCCATTCTTGACGATCTCGACGCAGTTGCCCTGAACGTGACTTAGAGCTCCAACGATCCCCATCATCTCCAATGTCCATGGTGATGTTGTGCACCCTGGTGACGCGTCCGTTTTCGACGCACAGTATTTCTCCAGACATTGTGCCGAGCCGGTCCAATTCGATCGTGGAATTCACGCGTTAATGGCGCTACCCGAGTGCTCTAAAATTGACGCGTGGTTGGAAATTGGTCCCCATACTACATGCCTCCCGATGATCAAGGCGATCACAGCACCTCTTGGCGCACCTCTACTTCTTGGTTCGATCCGAAAGCAGCAGGACCCGTGGTCAACGCTCACGGCGACTCTGGCTCAGCTCTACCAAGCGAATGTGCCCGTTGCATGGAGAGAGACGTTCTCTCATGTACCTGATGTGTCGTGCATTAGTCTCCCGTCGTATCCTTTTGCGTTGTCGAGATTCTGGGTCACTTTCAAAGAGGAGGCGGCTGTTGAAAAGGTTTCTCGAGTGGAAGTTCATGCAAAGCGGACTATGTCCAATTCTGCCCTTCTGCATGAATGGGTCCAGGAGCCGTCTCCGACGAACGGGTTTACGTCCATCTTTGAGACGCTTATCAGTCAATTGGCGAGCTCAATTACGGGACATCGGGTTGCAGGGATAGCTTTGTGTCCTGCTTCCGTGTATCTGGAACAGTTGTTTGCTGGCATCGACTTGACTCGTATTCATCTGGGTTCTGAGTCTATTGACAAGCAGGCGATCCTCCGGGCTATCAAGTTCATGCACGGTTTGGTATATGACGAGTCCATCGCACGCGTTGTCGTGACGGTGATCACTTTGACCGGGGACGCAGGCACTTTCAGCGTCAGCTCGCGAGTAGAAGGTTCGAATGAGCAGACCTCGCATGCTCATGGCGAATTCCGTCTCCAGTCTGCAGCTGCCACCCTCACCAAATTCACTCGTGCCCTTCCTACCATCAACCGCCACATCGCTGCGGTCACGAAGCCCGGCTCACAGCAGGAAACGTTCTCGACGAGGACAGTGTACGAGGGATTGTTCCAGCGCGTGGTCGACTATTCCAAGGAGTATCATACCATGCAGTCCCTCACGATCGATGCTAGTCATATGGAAGGATGCGCGCAAGTTCGTCTTCCCCGCGATCACGATAAAGGACCATACGTCGTGCACCCGGTGTTCATGGATACTTTACTTCATGTGGCAGGTTTCGTGGCGAATATGCAGGGTGAACGGAATGACGCGTTTATCTGCACCGAAGTTGGCTCTGTCAAGGTCATTCCTGAATTCATCGATACGAACGCGGAATATGTCGTGTACTGCAGCAACGTGTGGGTGGAGAACGAGGGTGCGATTCTTGCAGAGGCGTGGGCGTGCCAAAAGGGAGAACCTTCTCGGGTTGTGGCCTGTATGAAAGGTATGCAATTCCGGCGGCTTAAACTCAACGCGTTTTCGCGCCTCCTTGCGAGAGCTGCAGGAAAGCCTCTTCAATCGTCCGTGCTCAAACCCTCTCCTAAGCCTGCCGCTCCTGCTGCTGCTCGTCGTCCTACTGTACACCATCACCGTTCTTCCGAGCCGGAGGGGCCTAATGTTGAGTCCACTGTCCTCACAATCGTGGCCGAGACTTGCGACGTCAGCCCTTCCTCCGTTTCCACTACCACAGATCTCGAAGCCATTGGTGTCGACTCCCTCATGTCCATCGAAATCTTTGCACGGCTCCAACAATCCTTCTCAGAGTACAATCTCTCCGCTCACTCTCTGACGTCTTGCCGAACGACTGGGGATATCATTCGTGAAGTCGCGGCTAACCGACCGGCACATGCTACGAGTATCCCGTCGTCTCCGACTATTCGTGTCGTGACCAGTGCTCCGTCATTACCAGCGACGCTCCTTTCGGACGATCAGCTTCCAGAGCCCACCCAGTTATCCGTCGACGACGAGACCGACATTAAGGGTGTTCTTGCCACGGTTTTGGACATCAGTGTCGATGACATCAAGGATGACATTGACTTTGAGCAACTCGGTTTGGATTCGCTGACCTCGATCGAGGCACTTCATTTGCTGAAGAGCGAGCTGGGGCTAGATCTTCCAAGCGACTTCTTCACGACCTGCAATACGGTTCGCTCTGTTCAAGACTACCTACAACGTCATCGTCAGGCGGCGAAGAAGTTGGTGGCGATCTCTGTGTCGAAGAACTTGGATAGCGATAATGCTAGTGCGTCTCACCTTGTCAAGAGTCTACAACTCGAATCTCTCCCATCCTCCATCCAAACCCATTCCGGCAACGGCGCTCTTCCTCTTTTCTTGATCCACGACGGTAGCGGTTTAGTCAATTACTACTCCCGCCTTCAGCCGTTAGCTCGGTCCATCTATGGGATTCACAATCCGCACTTCATTTCATCGCAGCCTTGGGAGAATGTGGTCGAAATGTCCCAGGCGTACGCCAAGGTCATCTCTCAAGTTTCCAAGGGACCACTCTTGCTCGGAGGTAAGCTTCTCTCCTCTTTTCCTTGGTCATAATCTCATTTTTTCTTCACAGGATGGTCGTTCGGTGGTGTGGCTGCCTATGAGACCGCTCTTCAACTCCAGAAACAAGGCATCATTGTGAAGGGCATCCTTCTCATCGACTCTCCCAACCCCATCAACCACGTCCCTCTTTCGAAAGACCTGATCGCTGCTGCAGTGCAGTTTGATTCTCGGAGCAGTGCCTCCGAAGTCAGCCAGCTAATCAAGAAGCAGTTCGCCATGAACGCTGCGATGCTTAAGGATTACGACCCTTGTGCGACACAGGGCGTATGTCCTCCTATTGTTCTGCTCCGATCCAGTGAAGGCTCCAATCCCGAGGGAGTTGCTGATGTTCCGAGATGGCTTGTTGATCAGAGCGACGCGAAGAATGCTACCGTCGGTTGGGATACGCTGACTCCTTCCCCCGTGGAGGTGTTCAAACCTTTAGTAATTCGATTGGCTATTGTATCGGATACGGGGATATTGTATGAGTACTTAAGATGAGCAAGTAACAAGCAACTAGAGCTATAATCTGCTGGGTATCAAATCGACTTCGAGGATGTCTAAGTTGATTTCGATTGCAAGACAACCAAGAAACCAGGTATATCTTAAATATATGCGAATAGATCAAACAGAGGGACTCCCCTCTCTATCTTTCTTCTTCCAAGTTTTGAAGAGCGCGGCTCCAAGGGACTTGCCTAGTGCTAATGCCAAAGGCACGGGCACTGCGTTTCCAATTTGGCGATACTGCTATATAGAAGAATGTCAGAAAATAGAGACTAAGCGCGCACGTAAGTGGCATACATCATCAATCATGCTTTGCGAGTTGGCCTTGTTGATTGAACAAAAAGTGTAGTTGTCGGGGAATCCTTGGGCTCGGGCAGCCTCTCGAACGCTGATAATTCTTTTTTGCTACATTTTGCGTCAGTGTATCTTGGATTGTGATTGTATCGGATACACACGTGAGGATGTAGCAATACGCTATGCTTGCTGTTAGGCGATACGAGGGTCATCGCAGTGCGGAAGTACCCGTTTCCATTAAGCCGTCCATAAAACACTGGCAGAATGTGTTAATAACAGGTCATTGTCAAGATGATTGGTCCCACCGTATTTGGAATTTATCATATGCTTCGAACACAGACGATGATTCATATCTGGATACAAGTAAAAGGACTTGATATGTGGGAGGACAAGGAGATACTCACCTTTCTGATTTGCATTTGGTTTCAACGGAACAGAGGTGGAGCTGTAAAAAGAAATTAGCTGAGTCCAAGAAAAACGGGGGAAAACCTACGCTTCCACAACCCGCTGTGAAAAGGTTTTGGTGTGATGATCATTGACTGTGGGCATGTTTGCCTGGCGCATCCATCGTTGATATGCGTTCCTTGGCGAGAATATATATTCAGCATTATCAATGCCTGGTTTTCTGTGAGTAACACTTGTGACAGCCAAAATCTGTTTGATCCCAATATCGATCCTGCACTGAGTCTCTTTCTTTGTGTCATCGCTCGAATGGATAATCTTGTGCGGGTTGATCCTGTAAAGATTGTGTAAGCTTGAACATAATACTGAAAAGCTCATACTAACCAATCCCAGGGAGGCTATATGTTTGAATCAGAAAATACAAGCATTAGGCATATGAAAAAGCACTGACAAGATCCCCAATAGCTTCGTCAACGGTCATCGGTTTTAGAGGCGCACACTGATGGTCGTCTTCTGGGTTTCGAGACCTTGTTGCACGAGACAGCGATTCCCCTTCAAAACTGGGTAACTTCCACCTAAATGCTAGCCTTTGGAAAGCGTGGGTTGGAATGGGAAATTCAGGTAAGGGCAACCCTCGTTGGGCTCCCCAGATGAGAATCCGGTTGCGCTGTTGAGGAGCACCGTATGCGCCGGCCTGAAGAATCTTTACGCGCACCTGATACCTTCAACGTGCTTAAATATAATCTACGAACTGAAGAAAAGTCGAAATTTACCCTAACGATGTCAGAATCCTGAGGATGAGCTTAAGAACCCCCATTTCCATCCCACCAACTAAGGAGCGACCATGTGAGGCGGATTGTGCTCCCAGTCGAGCCGTCAACATGCCCGCAACATTTTCTAAAAGAAAATATCGAGGTTTGTACCATTCTGTATAAGCCAGCATAACCATTGGTAACGTCGATCTGATATCGTCCGGTTTCTGACCGAATTCACTTAGATGCGACTGCGTAGAGATATGAATGCGACTTACTGGGTTATGATTCGCCTTACTGAAAGACTGGCAGGGCGGACCTGTAGAATATTGAATCAGTACAGTTTCATGCCTCCAAGTGTTAAAGTCCAAGTCAGCACCTCCATAGATGAACTCAACTTCGTCTTTCTTTGGCATGTTCTCCAAGTATGTGCCGTCGTAAGATTTAAGTTTACGAGGGTACTTTCCGTGTTCGGTTTGCACAGCATGATCCAAAAGGATGTTCGCATCTTGATCGTAGACAATAGTATCAGGATGATTACACCTAGGTAGGGATGGCAATGAGGCAACAAAAAGAACGTGACAGCAGCTAGCATACTTGTATGTCTGGGCAGCCGATGGTGAAAGCTCAACAGCCCATTTCGTTTCAACGAAACCTGAAAACATCATGCCCGTGCCCAGTCCACCAGCACCTACGAAAGCGCCATGAAAACTCGAATTATGAAATTACACTAGGCTCACCACTGAAGAGTTCCAAACCACGAAGGGGAGAGTTTCGATCCCGTAGTCGTCGTGTATCGCGGAGTTCCTGCTCGTGGTCGTCAAAACAGCCATGTTTGCATTTTTTCCACGACTTTATAGAAAGGGGTATGAGTCCCCCTTCGGAATCTTCAACTTGATTCAAGTAAAAGTGGTCATCGTGCTTGATCCATGATCTGATAGCTGCCTCATTGACCAAGTGCTTGACAAAACAAAGGCCTTGTAACTGCCTGACGGCTACGGACTGCGTCCTCTGGCTCATGAATAATTGACGCTAAACAGAAAGTTACCGTCAACAAACATTCGCGTAAAGAGAGGTATGGCTTAGTCGCACCTCCTCTTGATTGGGGTCTGTCGTAGACTCATGGTCATTGTAGCGACCGAGATACACGACCTTCACTTCTTCCTTGTCGATATTGATAGAGCGTACTTGTCCAATACTCAAAAGCAGGACATCAGGGTCTTCATTGCGGACATATACGCAGTCGTGAATGTGGTAGTCTATCCCGTAATGGGTGACACCACCTTTGGTAGGGCTAGCCATTCCATGAGCATCTTCTCGGGCTTTGAGCGCGCATGGATAGCATTTGAGGTGCGGAGGCTGATATGACGTTGCATCCAGCACCTCCTCAATAGATGGAAGATCTGTAAATTCATGTTGCTTATTGTCCCAGACAAGACTGGGATCATAAAACATCGTCAAAAGAGGTGCATTCATCACGGAAAGAAGTTCATACCTGCAAAAATAATCCGTGGACTCGGGATCGCCGTCATCGAGGTACTCATTGTCACGTTCCCCTAGCATCTTGACATCCACTCTTCGGATGATGGATGCGATAGGACTGTCATCGCATGTCTTCATCTGAAAAAGGGCCTTCGAATGAGCAACTTCTTTCATTAGTGTTCTGCTGCCGTGTTCAGACCAATGCCCGTGAAACTTCTTAGTCTTGTCCTCTTCATCGTAGAAGAAATAACAAATACGACAGAACCTAGTACGCAGCGTACATGTCAATCCTCGAAGTCTTGGATGAGGGGTACTAACCAGTATCGATTTCCGAAGGTATTCTTCGATAGCGGAGGAAGAGATTTACCATCCTCGGCTCTCTTCTCACCATCGTCAGTACTAGGCTTTGCATTGGAGGATGAGATGTTCGGCGGCAGGACCATGATAACGTCTCCTGCCTATGAAGAACAGATGAGACAGGAAGAGAGAAGAAGAAATGACGAACCTGATACTCCACGCCATCGAGATGTACAGTAGCATAATGATGCTTGGCGATTCGCTCTCCCCAGATGATCTTTTCAGGATTGTCATAGTGGAGTTTAACATTCTCTTCAACTTCCTTAAGCGGCGCTTCATCTTGCTCCAGCGTCCCCGCAACTTCCATCCTGTTTCGGCGGTAAAGCTTTTCAGCTATAGAGCCCACAATGGGCGTAACGACCGTTGTTGCCCTGCGCATGAGAACAGCTTTCTCCTTGTTTGAAGGCAATTTGCGGGGTTCGGGCGATTTCTTTTTCGCTTTGGACCTCGGAAACGACGTTGTCGAAGAGGGTGTCATCGCTCTGTCGCTAAGAGATTCGGACGTTTCATCAGAAGAAGGCGTGTCGATAGATGCGTAGGATGAATCTCCGTCGTCAAAAAGTTCGATACTCGTGCCAGCGGCTTCAAAGAAGTGCTTGATGAGGGGCACTGTTTTGAGGCGTTCATCGGCATTTGCACATATAACGGGTAGCGTGCCGATTAAATATGGAATCTGAAAGGTTAATGAGAAGTTGAGATTACAAAAAGGTTGTAGTCCACAAACCGTGTCGTCAGATACTACATCACCAATATTTATATCACGCCCAATGACAGCCTGAGATGAGACACACTCTGTGCTCTCATGTATATCGCCCAAAGAAGTGACAAAGTCTTCGTACGTAGCCCTTCTATCTTGCAATGCATGAGAAGCCACTTGATGGGCGACGCGATGTTTCACAAAAAAGTCGCGGAAAAAAGGTGCATAAATGTCGGAAGGTACATGCAGGATATACCATGCCATGTCTGTACAGATATATATGTTCCTAGAATGCTCAGGTCAGATAACAAAGACACGTGAAGATTAGTATATTAACCCGTCTAGCTGTTGCGTTTTCTCGGAAAAGTGATGAACATTGAAGTCCAAGATACACCCCAATCGCAAGCGCATAACCGACTCTCCCTCATCTAGGTCCGAAAGATGATCAATGTCATCTTCAGGACCTTCGACCTCCTTAGCTCTGACAATCCCGCTTGCACGGAACGTTCGTGTTGCTTTGTTCTTGCCTTTTTTCCCACTCTTAAGAGGAAGAGTAAGCGTGTTAAGTGCTTCGATGCCGACGATATTTTGCTGATCGTCGTATATAACAAAATCATCCAGAATTCGAACAGGTACATCGTTGTCGCTTTGGTCACAGTCGGGTTCTATTTCGCCGGGAATGGCGATCCCATCTGTTTCGTCAAATTCTTCGTCTTGAAATTGATATGTCGTAGCGCTTGCATCAAGGACGTTCATCTGATATAGGTCCCGTTGCAGGTTGTCGTCTATTTATATGAGGTAAGAATAGGCCGATGCGAGAAATGCGACAGCGCACTCAAAGTTGTTCCCGACATGGTGGCCGCTGTCGATGGGCCTGCTCCATTGTTGTTAAAGAAGTCCGAAACCGTAGGAGACAGGCGGAGCCCTTGCCCTCGTGTGTGAAACTGTATGACCACTTCATGATGAACCACTAGCATATTATATTCACAGACTCACGTCAAAATCAGAAACAGTCGGAGATTGTCGTAGCCCAAAAACTGTAGACATCTAGAAACGCGTTGAGTTATCTATGGCGCCGCAACAAGGAATACACACTCTAGCTAACTCTTCGTCATCGAAAGCGGGTGACTCTACGCGTCTTTTTTTCTTTGGAGAAGCATTTGGTGATTGAAAAATGGTTCTCATTGGTGAGCTAGGAGGGCTAGACCTGATTTCGGGAGATCTCTTCCCCAACCTTGTGGCTTGAAGTCGACCTCGACGTGGGCTAGCCGATGTTGGGGTTGCTGGCTGGGACCGTGAGGGGAGCTCTACGTAAGGAATGAGGCGGGGCCTGCCCATTGTCAACTACTGCAGCAGAGCAAGCCTCGCACAAGGTTCGTCGTAAAAGAACAAGGGCAAAATTCAAACCGCGACACCCGATGAATGCATGTTTTACACGAACCACCACGAACCACCAACACCATTCCGTCCTTGCTCTTTACGACTCGACGGCTCCTCATGACCTTCGCCTTGGATGTACACGAAGATAGAAGGAAATTGTCCCCTTTGCATAAAGTTGCGATTGATCTCTGCGTCGTCGATGCAATGACAAGCATCGTTGGCATTTCTCACGGTGCCATGAAGTACACAACGCCACCATCATGTCAGAGATGATGCATCTGATGTCCAGTGCTAAGAGGCGGGCAGACCAGATGGAAGCAGAGGCGAGCGACATTGCGTCGGAAATCGGGTACATAGGAGGTACGTGTCATTCATTCTCTCCTCCTTACCACTGCTGATAGTTACGCAGTATTCGTATAATGAATCATTTTTAAAAAATCACCTATTGATGGGAACAACGCCCCCGGTTCATGCTAGAGCCCAGGAGTTTCCGGGACTGGTTACGCAGGACAAGGACGTAACTCAAATTGTAGACCTCTCCTTCGCTATGGCAGATGGAAGTGCTGATTGGAAGAGCTGTGCATGAGTGATGCTATAAATCACCCTCGTCTTAAAGCGTCGACCGTTCTCCTGGGATCTAGGATATTTCTCCTTCACCACTTTCCGAATCCTAGAAAGCCTTCACCAAATTCTCTTGTGCCCTTCCTACCAGGACTCGATCGAGGCCATTTCCTGAGCCCAACTGGACAATGCAAAGCATTCGATGCATTCGCTTCCCGAAGTGAAGGTTGCGGGATATTCGTCTTGAAGCGTCTGTCCGACACTATTGCCGAAAACGACAACATTTGGCGTCTCATCCGAGGCATCGAAGTCAACCAGAGTGGTCTGGCTCACTCAATCACTCGTCCTCATGCTCCCACCCAGATCACGCTCTTCAAACAGCTATTGGAGAACACGGGCGTCGACGCCAACAGAATCAATGTCGTCGAAACGTTTACGTCCATCTTTGAGACGCTTATCAGTCAATTGGCGAGCTCAATTATGGGACATCGGGTTGCAGGGATAGCTTTATGTCCTGCTTCCGTGTATCTGGAACAGTTGTTTGCTGGCATCGACTTGACTCGTATTCATCTGGGTTCTGAGTCTAATGACAAACAGGCGATCCTCCGGGCTATCAAGTTCATGCACGGTTTGGTATATGACGAGTCCATTACGCGCATTGTCGTGACGGTGATCACTTTGACCGGGGACGCGGGCACTTTCAGCGTCAGCTCGCGAGCAGAAGGTTCGAATGAGCAGATCTCGCATGCCCATGACGAATTCCGTCTCCAGTCTGCAGCTGCCACCCTCACCAAATTCACTCGTGCCCTTCCTACCATCAACCGCTACATCGCTGCGGTCACGAAGTCCAGCTCACAGCAGAAAACGTTCTCGACGAGGACGGTCTACGACGGATTGTTCCAGCGTGTGGTCGACTATTCCAGGGAATATCATACTATGCAGTCCCTCATGATTGATGCCAGCCATATGGAAGGATGCGCACGAGTTCGCCTTCCCCGCGATCATGACAAAGGACCATGCGTCGTGCACCCGGTGTTCATGGATAACTTCATGTAGCAGGTTTCGTAGCGAATATGCAGGGCGAACGGAATGAGCGTTTTCTTACACCGACGTTGGTTCTGTCAAGGTCATTCCTGAATTCGTCGAGACAGATGGCATGTCGAGACATTGATGTCGACATCGCGGCTAATTTCTCCGTTGCTGGCTCGAAGATTCACCTGCATCAGCAAGTGTCCATTAGCGGAACGTCTGATTCGGATGATTTTCGCCTATACTCATCACGCGTCTATCCATTGTTCTCTGTAGTATTCACTTTATACCAATCTCTCTCTAAGGCGGCGCTACTTCGCTGATGAAATTCCTATGGGAAACAGAGCAATGAATGTGATGGGGAGTAACATACTGGGTACCTGAAGTATGTTCCCGCAATCGCGAAATTTATCCAGCCAGCGCTTTGGTATATAAATCCCACTACGGGAAGTGAGTGTTGACTTGGAAGATGCATCTGCTGGCTTTCCTGTCTCTAGGTGCAGTTCTGCATTCCGCGTTCGCTGCTGTTCCTGAATGGGGTCAATGTGGCGGTATCGGATGGACAGGAGAGACCAGTTCGTGCTTTCACAATCATTCAGAATATCGGACATAAGTTGATTCCATAATGATAGCTTGCATTAGTGGTACAGTTTGTACAGTTCTCAATGATTGGTATTACCAATGTCTGCCCGGAACGGCCACTTCAACAACCATTTCTTCTACTTCTCACACAACTGCCACTGCTACTTCGACTACGGTTTCCGCGCCATCTTCTACCGGTTTTGTGACAACCTCCGGCACACAGTTCCGTCTCAACGGTGCCAAATTCACTGTTATTGGGTAAGGTTTACATCGCCAGTGTGATCAGTGATGTTTTAATGTAAATCTTGACAGCGCCAACTCGTACTGGGTCGGGCTGATGGGCTATAGTACTTCTGATATGAATGTAGCCTTCGCAGACATCGCGGCTACAGGTGCCACCGTCGTCCGTACATTGTAAGCTTGCGTAGAGGATATTACGATGTTCTTAACGAGCATTGCACTTCTAGGGGCTTCAATGAGGTAACAACTCCTAACGGGATTTATTACCAGAGTTGGTCCGGAAGTACACCAACCGTCAACACTGGTCCTACAGGTCTTCAAAACTTTGGTGCGTCCAGGCATGGCCGAAATAAAGAACATCTAACCCATGGTCTACTTAGATGCTGTCGTCGCTGCTGCTGCTGCGCACGGTATAAAGCTTATTGTTACTTTGTCTGCTCTTATTTTTTTCTTACAATAAGAATTTTGCGTGATTTCGTTTATTAGAACGAACAACTGGTAAAGGTGCTGCCATAAAGTCCTTCCATACTAACGGCGCATCCTAGGTCCGACTATGGAGGAATGGACGTATACGTTAACCAAATCCTCGGACCTGGCTCTGCGCACGATTTATTCTATACCGACTGTGGTGTCATAGTAAGTGATCTCAGAATTGCTAATTTTTATTGTCACTGTTTGAACATGTATCTGAAGTCTGCTTACATGTACTATGTCAAGACATTCGTCTCGCGCTACGTGAACGAACCTACTATTTTAGCCTGGGAACTTGCAAATGAACCTAGGTGCAGGGGAAGTACTGGGTACGCTTACTATGAAAGTTGAATATCCTGGAATTCTGGCCGCTGAACATCTATGTTTGTGAATAGGGCGACTTCTGGATCGTGTACTACAACGACCATCACAAAATGGGCTGCGATGATTTCAACGTACATCAAGTCGATCGATCCTAACCATCTAGTCGCGATAGGAGACGAGGGATTCTATAACGAACCTAATGCACCGACTTATCCATATCAGTACGCGCTTTTTATCGAATTACGTTCCTACGTAAACTAAACTAATACTTTTGGTTTCAGAGGTAGCGAAGGCATCGACTTTGATGCAAATTTGGCCATTAGTAGCATTGATTTCGGTACATTCCACGTGCGTGCCTTTATCGAGAGAATACCTGAGCTCTCTTGCTCAAATTTTGCGTTTCTAGTCCTATCCTGTACGTCCATTTCCTCTAACAGTGACCACGACTCGGTGTCATAAGATAACAGATGAGCTGGGGTCAAACCAGCGACCCTCAGGGATGGGGCACACAATGGATCGCTGATCATGCAACCTCAATGACCGCTGCAGGAAAGCCTGTGATCATGGAGGAGTTTGGAGTTACCACCAATCAAGCTACTGTTTATGACGCCTGGTATCAGGAAATTGTCTCTTCGGGTCTCACTGGTGCTCTTATCTGGTAAGAAGCGGTCTCTTTCACGTTGTGAAAAAATTTAAGCCTTTGCAGGCAAGCTGGTTCTTACTTATCATCGTACGTTCTGCGTCGAAAATTTCGATGGAATTACTCGGACTAAACTCGATTGACATAGTGGGGCTACTCCGGACGACGGATACGCCATTTATCCTGACGATCCCGTATATGCCCTGGAAACCTCTTATGCGGCTGCATTGAAAGCGCGAGCGTAAAGTAAGGTAAAATGGTTCTGCTTTGAATATAGTTGAATGTAGCCCAGTGAATGGTATAACACTGTTTTCATGACTGAACCTGACACAACGACTTCTGGAAATATAATTTGAAGCACTTCAGTGCTGCTTCATGGAATCAATTGCAACGGCCGTCAATAAAATAGGCCGCGGAGATACTTGACAAAGTGCGTCGGTGGAGTAACGGGGCATAATGTATGAAGCCATTACGCCTGAGAGAGCCAGTTCAAGATATTCTAAAATCAAATAATGTTACAGACGAGAACTTACAAAACAAATAAGATAGATATGAGAAATGAGACTTATCATCACTCCATCATCTTATCATCGTCTTGCGGCACCTCAGGACGGTGAAGGCCGACAGTATCATCCAACCCCTTTGCATCTTTCCTGAGCTCCTCCTCCTCGAGTGCGACGGTATCCTGCAGCTCCTCTTCCTCGTCTTCTTCCTGTTCTTCATCAACAATTTCTTCTTCCTCAGCTATTTCTTCTTCCTCCTCTTCCACCACCTCTTGGTCCACATCCATAGCTATGGGACCCGTTGATATTGATTCAGAAGGAGGAGTTTCTAACGGTGTCGACGTGAATGGCGTAGTGGCTTTCTCCTTGCCTTTGATTTTGATAGTAGGTACGGTTGGCGCCGGAGCAGAGACAGACCCTACTAGCTTGATACCTGGTGTAGTGCGGGGAACCGGAGCGACAGAGGATGTAGCTCGTTTAGTCTTATCGGTTTTGCTGAGCTCGCGGTATACTAAAACCTCGACATTGTCAGAGATTACGACAGAAATGGGAGAAGACGGAAGCATACCTTGCAGTTCCTCCTGAAGATTCTGCACTAGATCACCCAGCTCCATGACTTCGAGGGCACGAAGGACGTCCGTTGCGCTAATACTCTTGTGTTGCTTCGATAGAGCAACGTCATGAGCACTAAAGAGGATGAGATACGAGAAAACGCGTGAGAATTAGTGTACTTACGTAGCAGCTACAAATGCGAGCCCCAGTCAGGACGCGTCGTTGGACCGTGTCAGGTAACGTACCGAGATAGTTAATGAATACTGTTGATCCTTTCACAAGCGATAGAATCGTTTCCTTCTGGAGCTTAGCATTTTCAGGAATCTGTCACGAGGAAATTCACTAAGCAAAGAGACAAGTGAAAGTGGGTAGCCAGACTAACCGCCGACCGCGCAATTTTGGTTATCAAGCTCTTCGGGAGTTCAAAGTTCTCGATACCGTCGGAAACGGCATCCTGCTGGGCCTGAGCGGTGATGGAGCTCGTGTTTGTTTCTTTGCGTGGCATGATGGAGGATCGGGAGAGGAAGTAAAAACGGGAGAGTTTTGTCCTGATGCCAAGTACCTATCTCGTGCGATGTAATATTCTGGTTAACATTTAATCAGGGCACTATAGCCAAGTGGTTACGGCGACAGATTCGAATCATTTGTCTAATCTGTTTCACTATGTGAGCGCAGGTTCAAATCCTGCTGGTGTCGCTTTTGCAGACTTGGCTATCTTTGTATTTTTTTCCTCTTTGTTTAGTGGCGAGCAGCGAGCGCTTGGCACTACATACAGCTATGTTCGAATACAGTTGCGTGGAGGATGTAATGTCGAACACAGAGCCGTGGCCCGTCGTTTTTTATTTGAAGATGCGACCCCAAACGCCATGTGATTCTCAAATTGGGTATCTATTCGGTTATTCAATTGACCTCCGATCCGGCCACGCATCAGGGCATTTAAATATCAGACATGATGCTTCTGAACTATAAAGGTCGGCGCCGAAAAGTTTTCGTAGGCACGTAGAATGACTTCCTACAACTCCCCCTTTCCTGATGTTCCTATCGTCAATCGCTCCCTTTTCACCCATCTTCTGCACAAGAGCAAGGATAGTAAACTCATCGGTGGTCACCCCGCTGATTTACCTGTCTTCATCGACTCTGCTACTGGGACTGTTTTAACTCGAAGGAAACTGCGCTCCCTGTGTCTTTCTCTTGGATACGGTCTTCGACATCACGGTACGAAACGAGGGGATACGGTTCTTGTGTTCTCGCCCAATGCACTCTCTTATCCTGTCGTCCTTCTCGGTGGTGCGTCCTCCACGCGTAGATAGCGCTTATATCGACTGAAGCCTGCTGCAGCAATCTCCGCCGGTCTGAGGTGCACGCTGGCTAATAACGCTTACACTAGCCATGAGCTTGCACATCAGTACACGGATAGCCGGGCACGGCTGATATTTGCGCCCGAAGACAGCCTGCCTGTTGTACGCGCGATGTTCGAGGAAATTGGTGTGGGAGCTGATGAAGCCACTGCGAGGATTATCGTTCTTGGAAGGGGACTAAAGTGGGCGGGTGGTCCAGATGCTCCCCGTACATCTTTAATGCACATGGAAGATTTGCTCGGAATCGGCTCGCTGGAAGGGGAGGAGAAATTTGATGGGAAGCGTGCGCATGAGACTGCCCTGTTGTGTTATAGTTCAGTAAGCATCGACCTTCCATTACGGCATTCAGTTTAATCTCAACGATGAAACAGGGAACAACCGGTAAACCGAAGGTGCGTCTTGTCCCTTGATGTGCATTTCATCACATACTAAAGATCCGGTAGGGTGTTGAGGTAAGCCCAGGCCTTTTCATATCTCTGCAATCGTAGCTATCATCAAGTTCAGACTTGATCGCTCTTTCGCTACCTCGCATTCTTCTTTCCAACGACTTATTGATTCAATAAATATGTTGTGGACTAACTCCTTTCTCAGACTACACACCAAAATCTTACTTCGGAGATCGACATGCTGGCCGCAGTGTGGGCTCATGGTTCTGGGAACATGCATCTCGGTTTCCTACCTATGTATCATATCTACGGCGCTGTCATCATCCTCTTTCTCACACAAAAACTCGGTCATACTAGCGTCATCCAAGAGCGCTTTGACCCACTGCGATTTTGCCAAGACATTCAGAAATACAAGATTCAAATTGTCATGCTTGTTCCACCCATAGCAGTATTCCTCTCTCGGCATCCATGTAAGGTCGTCCTGTTAACCCCAAAATTGCAGGGTCTCACTCATCTCTATAGTGGTGGAGAAATTCGACTTTTCGTCGTTGAAGTTGTTGACATCTGGAGCTGCTCCGTTGGGCCCTGAATTGACGAACCAGGTGGGTGGCGAAAGAGACCCATCTCGGCCTTCTTCGTTGAAATCATATGCAGGTCACCGCTCGACTTCCGTCGCTCAACGTGAATGGGTCGGTTATACAAGGTTTCGGCATGACTGAACTTTCACCCGTAACACATCTACTACCCGTAGCCGATGCAGTACGAAAGGCAGGGAGCATAGGCTTGCTCCTACCTAATCTGCAATCCAGAATTGTTGACGAAGATGGTCGTGATGCTCAGACAGGAGAGATGTGGATCAAAGGGCCTACGGTGATGAAGGGATACATCAACAATCCGACCGCGACTACGAACACCATTACGAAGGACGGGTGGTTAAAGACAGGTGACATTGCTATCAGGGATGATGAGGGATATTTCTTCATCGTCGATAGAGTGAAAGAATTGATCAAGTATAAGGTGAGGTTTGGCTTCATTAGGAAGTCTCGAGGTCGGACTGACTTCCACAATACAACCAGGGATTCCAAGGCAAGTTTTGCACCGAAAATCGTGTCCATTAGCTAAATCTATAGTATTACTCTCAGTTCCTCCGGCAGAGCTAGAGAGTGTACTTCTCAGTCATCCGGGAGTGGCTGATGTAGCTGTAATTGGTATTGAAGACGCCGCACAGGCTACCGAGCTACCGAGGTAATTCCTTAACCCTTACCCCGCGTATTCTATTTAATACCCACGCCAGGGCATATGTCGTACCCACGCACCCCGAAGAACTGAGGACCGACGCGCAAAAGGTGGAATTGGGGGCGAAGATAGCCAAATGGATGGAGTCCAAAGTGGCTAAGCATAAGTATTTGCGTGGAGGTACGTTTCCAAAGCCTCCACTCGTATTTGTCATGAGTGACGTTTATCATAGGCGTTTTGACAATCGATGTTATACCTAAAAGGTGAGTGTACGATGATTGTACGATGCACCCGTTGATATGGATACCTGCTTAGTGCTGCGGGGAAGATTCTTCGACGGCAGCTGCGTGATCTGGCGAAGAAGGAGGTACGGAGTCGGCTGTGATACCTATATTCTTGGCTCCTCTGGGTACTGTATAACATGTTAATTAGTCTCCGTTTTGGATGAGTCACTTTGAGTGTTATGCGCGCGCGAAAGTCACCAGCAAATGCAATGGGTCTTGCTATAATGGCAGAAATACGAGGAATATCGATGTAGCGTGCGAGTTACTACTATTTGATATATAAGTGAATTCTCAACTCTCGATTTTCCATAAATCAGTTCCGGTTCCTCGTCTCTTCATTTACAGGGTAACTGAGTCTCTCTTCGCTGTGGCTCCATATATGGCAATTTTGCGGGTGGCTGTGCTTCAGCCAGTCAACAGGAATACAAAACCGTTAGACCTACCTCAGACCAACTGTACTATTCATTGTCCCCTTCGGGGTGACATACGAAAAAATTGGAACGATACAGAGAAGATTAGCATGGCCCCTGCACAAGGATGACACGCTTTCCCGGAGTGGTAGATCTACGGATCTCAATATTTATTTTATTCATTTCATGCTTTTTTCCTATACTAGTGTTAATAGTTATGCACAAACGCTCCTGTGTGTTCTAACTTCTAGCTTCTCCCTTACATTACCGGTTACACACTAGGGTTGGGCACGAAACCCTAGGTTTTGATACACCTGGGTTTATTCCCGGTAAGTTACCAGTAACTTACCCCCCTCGCCGGAGGGGTTTTTGTCGAGGTAACTTACCTGTCATGTGACAGGTAGTTGAGCAGAAATCAGTACTATTACATGCATATTTCAATTTATATCATATATTTACAGATGAGTGGTCTTTACAATTGAATTACTGCATTATATCAAGAAAATGTGTAAAAACACGAAGACAAAGGTTTTGGAAAAATTCGGCAATTGCAGCGCGTTAGTCATGTGATAATGCACGTGATAAAGTTTGTTTTTTTATTTTTTATTTATTTTAATCTATATTTCGAAACCGCAACCCGTAATCTATGTGCAGAGACGCGGCGGCGCTTGCTCATAGCCAGCCCCAGTAGCTACTGTAGGTACACAAGGGGATTTTCAGACCTTTAATGGTATAGATTTCTCGTGTCTTTATGTGTTGAGTCCTTGGTATCCAGGGGGGTTGACGCCACCATAACTCAGGCTATGGGGCACGGGTTTGTGTGCATACATGATAAAGTAAGTAACCGTAACTTACGAGTCCCAAGGGCCGAATCATCCTTGGTAAAAAGCTTAAGCACTAGCCCGTCTGGTACCACAAACTCAATCTCTGTTCCGCCTTGTAGGGCTTCAACACTAATATGATGATGATAAGAGTCTTAAGATCGACAGATTGGAGAAGAATTGCGGATCGATAGCTGGAGGCTTCAGCCGGTTACTCGATTATAAAAAGCTATACGATGCTGAACGCTGGCATCCTACATCCCTTGAACGGGCGTCCGAGCTTAGGCTGAAATGTTGGCACAGGGAACGACCGCTGTAAAAAGATACTCTGCGGGATGAGTTAGAGTATGATTCACGTTGGCTTAGAGATTGCGACTCACTCTCGTTATGTATAATTCTCGTGCTTGAAGTATCGATGGGATACCTAGTAAAAGTCTTGTTAACACTACGTATTACATGCGCCGTACCTTTTGGGGGCATGCTCGAGTCGCGGTGAGTTATCCATCTATCGCCTCTGACTGCCATGAAAGAGAGGTTTGGTACATCCATATGATATAGAGCGTGTTGAAGATGATTACTTGGTCGTAATAAGATTTCTCGGCGTAAAAGCGTAGCCCCCTGTTTCCGGCCGTCTGATGTTAACTCTTTGGGCGCAAATAGTAGGCTCTTGATTTTAGCACATGTAAAGGAACGCAACGGGTACGTGGCATAGCTGTGAATCCAACAGTCTTCTCACAAGTCGTGGGTAGTCGCCGCCATTATTATCCTTAATCCAGCTTCTCTCTGGCACGTTAAGGCAAGGAATGCTGCATTGGCTGAATAACCATCCAATGGTTATTCGCCTTGCACTTCTCTTCGGGTGCCTACTGACGTCTCACATCCACAAGCCTCTGCTTATAGAGGGCTGTCAACGTCCGCACCCACGCGTGCATATCACTCGGCATGACCTTCGATTCTAAGATGGTTCTCAGCACGAAACCAGACATATAAGACATGTTGTCTTCAAGACTAACCGCCCCGGATCCTAGCCAGACCGATGAAGCTAAACATCATCCTCTCCGTCTACATCCACCTCTTGGCCGCTTCCGCAGCTCTGATATGCGAATACTGCTTCTGTTTTGAGGACGCTGCAAATATCGGCCTCCCAATCCTGACCAGTCAGTAGTGCGCCGTGTCTTTCTCGCGAGAATACGAGTGCTCACTCCATCACGGAAGCCAAGGGAGCATGCGATAGCTTTCAGACCTTAACGGGATGCGAAACGAAATTGGTCCTTTGCCTTGATGGCATCGCTTCGGAGAAAAATGCCACCGACATCCAGTAAGTTTTTTGAACATTTACTGCTTGACCTCTGTATCCTTACAGGTTTTCAGGGCAGAGAGTAACTGATATCGAGGGAAGAACGCTGTGTTGGATCTTCTCGAATGGGCGCACAAGTTGTGAAATGAGAAGGGTGGCAATGTTTGGTCGTACACTTCGCTGTTTTCAGCTATCCGACCAAGCAATCTATATGGGTAGTCTATATGAGAAATATTCAATACAAAATGGGAAAAACAGGAACGTTCTAAGACGTCTATAGACACGGTTTTTGGACGTTCAGGATTTCCTCACGAAAGGGGCGGGGAAAGACCAAAAATTCAGGCTGTCATGAATCAAGTCCCTACTCTCGTCTGCGTTTCCCTCAAGTCTCGGTTCGGTAGGCACATCCTCGTAGATGTCCTAGAAGGGAAGCGGTAGATTTCAAGACAGGTTTCTTCCTCCTCCTGGGATGGAAGACGAAGAATCCTGGCTTCAAACGTTCGTTACGCATGTGCAAGCTGGATTTGAGTCTTCCTATGTTCCGTCAAAAGGTGCATGAAGTCGCAAAGGTGGCTGATAGAATTTGTCCAGATGCATATATAATGGAAAATAGCGGCCTGCAACACTACAGAGATCTAGTTAGAGACAAGTGGCCATCGCCAAATATACCAGCACATATGCTCACCCTTGCCGTGGAGTCCCCGAAATTATTGCTTCAAATTTCTGCCTTCCGATGATACGTGAAAAAGTATGAGTCTTCGGGCTCGCAGAATCGTCCCTGGAAGGTATTGTTACGATAGGGGTATGTAGCAGTCGTATGGCGCACGGCGCGCCTCCAAGAGACGTCACCGAGGCGAATAGAGGAAACAGAAGTCGTAGTCGCGGTAAGATACGAGTTCCGCGAGCATATAATAAAGCCGGACATAGTCGTGGTCATGGTTGTAGCAGATCACGATCAACTGAACACGGTCTTGTCCTCCTTGCTCTCGACCAATCGACTTCATGACAAACTCAAATATTCTTCAACAACGTCGTACACAGAGATCAATGATTTCCCACAACTGACGGTCACCGTCTCAACGCCGTCTATTGGACCCTGGTTGGACATCCGCCATACGAAATACCAACATCTACATGCATATATGCACAGGGAGAACGGTGCTTGTTCCATTCGCTACTATTGCTGTCATCGTGAACCTAGAATGCACCACGTATCGATAAGGTCGGAGTTTTCGAGCCATGTCGATTGTTGCCGTCTGCAAACACATCCCTTGTGGCACATGGGCGGCATATGCTCAACTCGGGTCTTCACACACCACCACGATGCCATCTTTGGCCGATGAGCTCGCCGACTACGAAGTCAAGCGCAATGAATTGATATCCAAAGACCGATCTCTTCGCCTGGACGTTCTGGATCAAGATAAGCTATCCGCCCTCGAGATACAGGCGGACCGCTTGATTCGTGGCATTCGTGCTGCCGAGGCCGAGTCGGTATGGAGTGCAGATTATCCATCGATACCGCATCCATTCCCTGGCATGGAATTTCTGACTGGTAGGCTGATCTTTGGACCTTTATCCTGGGATTTCACTTATACATGTCTGCAGGAAGGAGTATCATTATCCAAACTGAAATATTCAAAATTCTGTGCAAGGTACGCGTAATATTTCATCTACGGTGACGGTATCTCTTACGCTTCGTCTAGATGCCCAAAGGCGCGCTTTTGCATATCCATCTCGACGCGACGGTAAACGCCTCATTCCTGTACGACCTTGGACTGCAAGAACCGTCAATTCACATTCAAGTTCCCCAAGTTATCAATGCTCAAACTCTAAACACCGTGCTCCCAAAGTTCAAGGCGCTTCCCATAGAGCTGCACAACAACGAAGCATTATCCCTTACTTCACCATCCTACGTCCCAGACACCTGGGTTTCTCTTTCCCAGGCCAGAGAACAGTTCGACTCAGTGCTAGGAGGTCCAGATGGATTTGATCAATGGGTTCTTGGCTGTTTGACGATCAATCCTGCAGAGGCATATGGAACACATAATACCATTACCAAGGTCCGTCATCTATTACATCGAGAGAGTCTGACTTTTCTTATCTTATCCTTGTAGATATGGCAAAAATTTGGGAGCACATTTCGTGTTGCCGACGTAGGCTCCTCTTCTCCTCTTCGTCTCGAATGTTTTGAGATTTTATTTTAGGGCCTTATACATTACGTGCCGATTTTTACCAAGTATATTCGCGAGTTCATCCGGAGCTCCATAGAAGACGGGATTTTGTATGCCGAGCCGAGGGTCAATTTTTGGATCAAGTACGTGTCCATACAGAGTAACATAGGTCGTTCACGGAGCCCCGTTCACAGGAACATGGTCAATGCCGACGGCGTTGAGAATGTGTCGCATAGAGAGCTTCTCATGATCTTCGAGTCGGTCCTGGAGGAGAGCATTGCCGACTTGAAGGCTCAAGGAAGAGAAGACGAGTTTGTTGGAGCAAAAGTTCGTCTCCTTTGCTTTCGGACGAGCTTAAACTGGACTTTGCCATGCAGATCATCTACACCACCCTCCGTTTCCTCGAACCAGACGAGCTGGATTGGTATTTTGAAGATTGTATTGCGCTCAAAAAAGAGTTTCCGCACTTGATCGCAGGTATACTCTATTTTCCGTTTAGTACCACACACTGACTCGCGTTATCCCAGGCTTCGATCTTGTTGGAGATGAGAACGTCTTATACCCGTTGTCATATTACACAGAAAAGCTGTTAAACTTTCGTCATATGCAGAAGGCTGCTGGCGTCGATATCCCGTTTATTCTTCACGCTGGAGAGACTCTTGGTGATGGTTCCAAAGCTGACATGAATCTCTACGATGCTATTCTGCTGGGAACGAAAAGGATTGGACATGGGTAATATCACGCCTTATCGGATTTTTGATGTACTCACCCATGTCCTGTAGATTTTCTTTAGTTAAGCACCCTGAGCTGATGAAAATATGTAAAGAGAAGAATATCGCGCTTGAAGTGTGCCCGATCTCGTAGGCGCCTTCTTTTTATACTTCGATGCTCTAGCTAATACATGCATACCTCCCAGAAATGAAATTCTGGTGACGTCCCGTGCGACTTCTTTCGTCCACCTTCATCTGACTGCGTCTCGCAGAGACTGACATCCTCGATGCCCATGCATCCGCTTCCGATTCTTCTCAACCACGGGATAGCCGTGGCGCTTTGCTCCGATGATCCCTCGGTCTTCGGTAACATGGGACTGTCTTTTGATTTCTTTCAGGTATGGCTTTCAAGGTATATTACCCCGCAATGCGTTGACTTTTTCCTGGAGGTGCTTGTATCAAGCGAAGTTACTGGTCTTATCCAGCTAGGCGCTATGGCTAGAGATAGCATCAAGGTACTTCAAATATCTTTTAGCATGGATCTCCTCTTGACGGGAAGAACTCTAGCACTCCATGCTCGAATCGGACCGGAAGGTGATCGCACTTGAGAAATGGCATAGGCAGTGGCAGAAGTTCCTAGAGTATGTTGTGTCTACGGCGTAGATTCTGATCAATTTTATGGTAGGGTCTGCCGTTATATTCGTTGTATTGGGGTGCTGATCCCGCTATCTTAGAGGATATAGTCACTTTCATGTAAGCTTGGCTATAGGTTTGCCACCCACGAATTGTACGAACACAACGAAGCGTCAAGCTCAAAGTCAACCGCAGCTTTCTCAACCTGAATTGACACAGATCTGGTTCGATAACTTCTCTCAGGATTTAAGACTTTCATCTCGTTCAAGAATAACATCTGATTTGTACGAAAACTACGAAGTGACGTATTCACTATTTAACCTCTCCATGAAGTATTCGGCTCGCTGCAACTGGCAACGGCCGCCTTAGTTCAGTTAGGAACACAAACAAGCACGCCACAACTGTTGGTTTGGCAGACTGCGAAAGCGTGAGCTTCGGAATGTATCTATTCGAAATCACTACTCACTGCCTTGAGACTCCTGGAAGGCGCAGGAGTGTCCGACACCATATTCGTTAGAACCGTTACATGCGTCAACTGTGAAAGCATCATGGTCAGCGAACATTGTCATAGCCGCGAAGGAGTTCGATGCATACCATCGTTAGCTGCGATGGCGTTTGCCTGTCCTGCGAAGAGGAGCACGGCAGCCAATGCCATGGCGGTCAACTTGCTTTGGAACATCATTTTGGATGTGAATGGATGGTTGAATGGTATGCAGGCGGTGGTTATCTCTGTGAGAGTGTGGTTGTGGGATGTACTAGGACCAGAATTGACTGGCTTTTATAGGCGCGGTATGCAACCTGTGTTTTCCAAGTTCCACAAGGTAAGGAGCGGGGCCCTTGCATGGACGTTTCAAGAGTGACAAACGCGTCCCGAAATACCTTCTCAGTTCCATGGCCTGATGGCAGGTAACTGGTCCGACGGCGAGTTATAATTAGTCTCAATATCAGATTTTGGTGGCGCAGCGCTCAGCATTGGTTGCATAGGTTTTCAGCGCGAATTTGTTGAAACTATCAGAATATGGTCCGTTTATTGAGTAGGTCAAAGTAGACCAGAGTATCATGGATTCCTGAGACAAGGATCAGCTTTTGACATCTTGTTTCAGCCTATCAGGAATCATGGAACGATGGCCGCTTACTTCTGCAGAGATGCCGCAGCAGATGATTCTACCTACATGGACTTCTAACCCGGTAAGACTGATTTTTGTTGTGGTCTCATTAACTTTTCTTTGGAGCTAGAGGCCCGGAGCTATCAAAGATTACAGTCAGCATTTTACTGCCGTAGCAGATTCCTGATGCCAGCTGTCTGCTTCGATGCAACCAGTCCTTCCAGCGCTGATTTGCAAGTAAAAATATGGATTAATTTCTGTTAAGAACTCCATATAGACAAAAAGATATCTGACACTCCGCATTGCTATGACTCTGACATTGAATTGTTTTGACTTCTGTGGAGTCCAGAATGTCGTCTCGTCGCAACTCATATAGGCTATGTCCATCTGGTCACGTCCCATGGGATACAGTTCTCCTTGAAACCCTCTCTCGAATAGATTTCTTCGGTGTGAGAGCTCCACCTATTGAAACTCATAAAAAGTTTACAAGGGTAAGAATAGTTCTAGAAAGGCGTTCACCTATAAAACCTTGCCTAAGTTATCTTTATCTATCCAACAACCTCCTTCCACACAGATATTACCGCTCACAGTCAACCACTAATCTTGCCCATCCTCTTTCGAAAATGATGTTCAAATTCGCCTCCATTGCCATGATCGCCTTAACGGCCATGTTCCTATCCGCAGGACAAGTCAATGCCATTGCAGACAACGACGGTAGGCTTTGCACTCACATATATGAGTTCTATATTCACTTTTACCGCGCTAGTCGACGCGTGCAACGGTTCCAATGACTACGAAGTGGGACACTCATGCGCGTTTGCTGAATCTCAAGGCAGTAAGTCTACATCTTTTAAGTTTTGCATCCATATAGATTGATCTTACTGATTATTCTTTATTAGCCTGTCAGACTAACGCGTGCGGCAACTTGATCTGCATCCCCAATTAAGAGAAGTCGGAAGTCTTGTCGAGTTGAAGGTCTAGGATTCTAGGAAATGAAATCAGATACTTCTTCGTAGTACTTGCTAGCCATATTTCCAAATTTCAACCGGCATTAAGTTACCATTCTTCTGCTTGCTCTCAGACGTCTCGCGTTTCTGAACGCGTTAGATTCTATAAATATCTTTGAATTTTCGCGATCGGCAAACATAAGGCCGAGTACACCCGAGTTGGCCTAGAACGTCCATGCTAAGGTCTTCCTCCTTCAACATCACCACCACCTTCCAAAGGTCCCTGCGGCGACTAGCTGGTCAGTTTCTTTGCTTTTTTTTTTTCTGGTTTAATCATTTATTTTTTCTACAGCAGGACCTCAGCGTCACCACACAACTATAACTGCGACTCCCGTAGAGCTTCACTATACTGAGCTTATACCACCAAATGGCAATAAGACTGACCGAGCACTCGTTATACTTCATGGCTTATTGTATGGGATCTGCTATATATTGTTACGGGTAGCATCTGATGCCTTGACAGCGGTTCCAAACGGAACTGGACATCTCTCACCAAAGCCTTCCTGCGCGACCTGAATCGACCTGTATATGCTTTGGTCCGTTTATTTCCCCGCTGTAGCTTTCAGAGAACTATAAGATCTTCCAGGACCTTCGCAATCACGGAACGTCGCCGCATGCCTTGCCTATGACCCACTCCGCCATGGCTTCGGACGTCCTCCACTTCATCTCGAAACACCATTTAACAAATGTATCCTTGCTGGGGCACTCCATGTACGGCCCTGGTGCCATCTTGCATCCAAACTTCTAATGTCTTGTAGGGGAGGTAAAGTTGCTGCCGCCGTAGCATTGGATCCCAATCTCGGAGCGTCGACGCTTTCTCACCTTATTTCCGTGGACATAACACCCGCCAGAGGAAATCTCTCCAATGAGTTCCAATCGTATGTTGAGGTTATGAAGAGGATTGAGGCCATGAAGGTGAAAACACGGAAGGAAGCTGTCGAGATTTTGCATGAAACAGAGAAGGTTTGCCTTTTCAGCGCTTCGCCATCGTTTTTTGGTTGACATCTGTATAGGACCCAAGTATCGTCATGTTCCTACTCACAAATCTTGTAGTGCCTCCACACACTTCACATGAGCATACACATTTTCGAATTCCGATAAACATCCTTGGGAATTCGATTCAAGATATTGGGTCGTTCCCTTATGAAAGCGGAGAACGGCGGTGGGACGGAAAGGCCTTGTTTATTAAAGGGGCGAAGAGCGCGTAAGTCTAGACGCATGGGTCTGCCTTGGTATAAGTCTGACATATATACAAGCTACATCAATCGGCATAATATCCCGATCGCCAAATCGTTCTTCCCTAACATGGTGCTCGAAACGTTGGACGCTGGCCATTGGGGTGCGTTATGGCTTGTCACTGCAATCTTCCCTGACTAATGAACATTTTTTCTAGTTCATGCTGAGCAGTAAGTTGTATGTCGTGCTTTTTGGCAAAAGCTAATGTTTTCCCATCCAGGCCGATGGAGTTTAAGAAACTCGTCACAAATTTCATATCATAGAAGGGTAGACGCCGAGGTTTTCCAAGAAGGACATGCTAGAGCATATCATATCCTTTATGTAGACATAGAAACGCAATTGGCACTGCTTGATCCTGTGAAAACAGGCGACCCGTCATATATCGTATGTGCCGATGCCTCTTTTCATCTGGCTTCTAAAAACGCGTCAACTCACTGAGCGGCTTCGAAAATGGTCACGGTCAAGTTCGGGTCGCAAATCGTTATGTAAAACTCTAAAAGAACAAGAGCAGGAATAATCGCACCCTGTGCAATCTGTATAGCATACTAACCATATGCAAAGATCCTATATACCATAAATATACGTTTTACATACTTATCATAAAACATGCCATTCGCCTTGCACCTCAACACTACAGCTTCACCGTTACAAGAATGCTCCAACTTTGATAGGTTTGCGAACTGCGGCAGAATTACCTTCGGCGAACTTGTATGCCACACGGAACTTTTTCTCAACGATTTTATTATTCGTACCTCCAACTCCACCGGCTGGGGCAGTAATCAGCCGTCCGAAGAAGTCGGTTGGCGGCTAGCGGAGGTAGATTCAAGACAATGTAAGGCGTAGATCGAGAACAACATAACATACCCGGTCTGCGATATCGACCTCCAATCTGGTCCGTTTCGTGGGACGACCAGCACTTGGATCAGATGGCTGATCATCTGTTTTCGCCTTTGATCTGTGTTCGGTGTGTTAGTAGCTCTCCAAAGAGTGGTAATGGCAAGTACTGACGTTTTGTCGAACAAGTTGGCGTGCTTCCCCTTCTTTCCCTTTTCAACAATGTCGGTTTGCATAGCGGTCAATTCAGCATCAACCTATCCGGTATCAGAATGCTAGTATAGAATGTATTAACTTGCCCTAACCTCTTGAGCAACGAGATGTCGCACAGCATAACGCGAGACAGCGATATCTGCTGTACGTTTCCCGTCGTATGTGACAAAAACATCTATAGGCCTTGCGGAAGTAGAATTCGACATTAATATACATATTTTCGTCGGAGAGGCTGACTAGCTCACGGGTCTAGTCGATAGGTCAATTGGCCATCTTCTGCTCTTTCTTGCACGAAGCGTAGTTCTAGCCTCGTCATAATCCGAACGAGTCTCGATAGCAGTGCTCGCTCCTCAGGCTTGATGAATTGAGAGTTAACCTGACGGTGGCTTGTAGATTGAGTTTGTAATGACAAGGATGCAAACTTACCGGACGCAAAGGCGGAGATATAATCCTATTTAAGAGCGGAGCGAATTCTAATTGCATGATAGGAGTGTGAACAAGATGACGGAAATCTCCTCCAAGACGAGTGCTGGCTGTGTGTAGACCCCGTCCTAAAGACTTATAGATCTCCTCATTGGCTTTGGTAGTTTGCACATTCTGATTCACAGGTCAACATGGATACGGCCAACCGAACACCTGATAATTGGCGCACCTCCCAATCTAATTGGTCCCTTTCAACCCGTGGACCACCTCGTTCTTGAAACAAGGGATAGAACGGAACGAGGGTATACGGCAAGTACTGGCTCAGCGCAAATTCTCCCTCTGAGTACATCGCCGCAGACAAACAGTCAAAAGTCATCAGCCATTCATTTGCTTTTTCATACCGAGAGAAATCGGCATCATGCTGACGAAGATTGGCGTAGTGAGAAAAACAGCCTGTATGTCAGTATTAGTTTAATCCTTCATGGAGTACTTAAAAAATGGTTACCGATAGCAATGTTGGAATCTCTGCCGCAGGAGTCAACGACACGACTGAGACGTCCAACGTAACGAGATTCTTCTTCATCTCCCATGCCGAGCTCCTTTACACGTCGTTTTGACAAGGGACTGAAAAGATCAGTCAAGACAGAGATGATCGACATCTCGGCTTCTTTCATCCCAACAGTAGCTTTGCGAATGACGTCCTCTGTCACAGCTTCCCTACGGGTTTTGATGAACTGTGACAATGTCAGAGACATCGCTTCTGTAAGGCCGTCCACGCACCTGAAGAGTGTTGATGCATCCTCTTAGGTCGCCTCTGGCAATTCCTACAAGTGCAGAAAGTGCTCGGGTATCGGCTCGAAGCCCCTCGAGCTCACAGACCTGTCGAAGTCGCTTTACGGTGTGCACATCTGCTGGTTTTTGCAGTCTAATCTGATAGGCATGTGGGCGTAGTTTCGCGAGTGACGATGCATTGATATCGTTGCAGATACATATGATTGGGCGCAATATAGGCCGTTTGGCATTTGGATCCCGCTGTTGTCCTGCGCGCGCTAGCCAAATGGTTAGTTAAGTAATGATGACAAATAGATTTCCCACCTTTCCTCCGTGGTTTGTCAAAAGTTAATTGAATAAGTTTGTAGATGAAACTCGACGTCTATGGGCAGCTTTTAGAAGGACACGGATCTGAGCACAGAGAAAAAATCCCTGACATTCTCCCCTGCACCCGTGGCCCCGTCAATTTCATCAATGACGACTAGTACCGGTTTTGAACTGCCGACAGTGGAACCAGATTCAAGAGTAGGTCGTATTCGATCGTCGACAATTTGTCCAGAACGAGCGTCACTGCAAGTCATTTGGTCCAAGGGAAAAAATGTGTACGAGTTAGTCAGGCTATCATACCTAGCATTAATTTCCACAACTTCATACCCGGCTTGACGGGCAATGACATGAGCCATTGTAGTCTTTCCTAACCCTGGAGGACCGGATAATAACAGGATCTATGCCATGCGTCAAAAAACGGTCATAGGCGAAAGCGCGGAGCAGACCTTTTCTTTGGGACGATGATACTCGTCTTCGAAGTCGACGTTCTCGTCACCATCTCGTGCGCGCCTCTTTCCCTTGCTCTTTCCAAATACACACCAATCCCACTGCTTCACCCAAGATAATACCTCTCTGGCCACGCGTTCGTTCCCCATGAGGTCTGTGAATCGCTGAGGTCGATAACGGTCTACCCAGAGCGTGTGCTCGCTGGCGTGACTCGCGTGAGAGGGTCGCTGGCTGGGAAAGACGGTCTATTGAGATTTTTTGGTCGTTCCAATTGGTACACTCACCGCTCGCTGAGTTCTATCGCCTTGTCCCTGGAAATATTATCGAGAAGTCGGTGTATGGGCACGTCAAGCAGGTTACCCATTCCCTTGGTGGACAAACCCGTCGTTTTCTAGCAACGATGGTCAGTTAAATGCGGGTCGAAACATCTGGCCACTTACTCGCGTGTCTCGAGAAGGTTTATATTTGCGCCTGATAAAGGCTGTCCGACCGTCAAATGTTCTTGCCTTGAGAGTGAATTTTGATGTGGATTGGTCGAAACGAGGGAAAGGTGTAGTGCTTTCCGAAAACGTAAGGGGAATGCCAGAAGCTTCGGAGAGTGTCAGATCATCATCTTAATAATCAGGATTGTGAGGTTTTCTGAAAGTGTACAAGACACAGGCCGCACCTTGTGAGCTCAAGCTGTTAGATAAAAGTCCATTCGAAATGAACGGATCTGGTACTCTTTAGCAAAACGAAATAGAAAGAGACTATAACGCACCAGATAGCAAGTTGATATCATTGGTAGAAGACAGAAGTCCGGTAGACTGGAACACTGACGACTCTGATTGTAGTGAGGTACTCGCACCTAGACGCAATTAGACAACTAAAGAGAAACGGGCTGTTATGATGACACACCGGTCCTAACAACGTCCAAGAGAGACTCCACATCCTTCAACGTGTCAATGTTAACAACCAAATCTTGTAAACCACCTTCTGCACTCGATTCCGTAGCTGGCAGTGACGTCTCCACCGTTGATGTGGCAAACGTGGTTATGGCGGGAACTCGTGGAGACGAAGGACCGGCAGTTGGAGTCTCGCTTTCATCAGTAAGAATACTTGCCGTGTTCGACAAGCTCAGAAGGCCATTGGGTATGAAGGAGGCTGCAGACGCCATGGTGGAGGAAAACGACGCGCCTGTCACGCGTTTGTCACAGGAAGCACGGGTACACGGAAGCAATTGCCGGATTTGTGCCATTGCACCCTTCACCTACCGTAACCCTTCACCAGTGTCGCTAGCATCTGTTATGTCTCAGCCAGTATTTTTGGAACAGCCGACTGTCGAATCGACAGAGCAATCGAACCAAGGAATTCCTCCAGGTGTATTGGAAGCTCTACAAGGTCGGTCCAGTCGACCAAGGCCGCCACTTAGGCTGTTTGCAACCTTCGAGAATGGCGTCTCCGATGTTTCGCACAAGCACTATGCTATCGGCGATTACCCAGATATGTTGACAAATAAATACCAGCTCATATGCCCTAGGGACGAATGTCGCAGTATCATTCTGAGGGAAGGGGTTGCTCGTCTTGAAGAACGGGATACTGTCCAGGTCATCCGAGTCGACTTCTGCAACCTTGAGGACTGCTGACTAGTTCATAGATGCAACCCAGCCATTTGGAGTTACATCCGTTGATGATCCCGATCCCAGAGGCTCCTGAAAAATCATCTTGGTGGCTCGTTGGACCGACACCGATGGAGTTTGATAATATCGGATTCTCGAAAGCTGTTGATTCTGTACCGCTCTCTCCGAATGGTGAGCGAACCAAACCCAAACGAGTATTCATTTGCTTATCTCCCCCCCTCAGGCAAGAAGATTAAATTGCTTTCATGCGCTGAATGCGATCTTGGTCCAATGGGTTGGTGTGAGGAGGGCGGAAAAGAGTTCTGGCTTTCATGCTCCCGCGTCGGATACAGATATATCGAGTGAAACGATATGTTTTGGTATGATTACCTTTAACTCGCTGTGTCCTGTGCGCTCATTCTCTCCTCAAAAAGACCGGTCTGTTTTTACTTACCTACTATCGAATCAACGCTGTCTCAATAGGTGTGCTACTTCTTACTTGTCTCTGTTGGCCTCATGGTCCTATTCAATTTCAGTCATATATGCAACTCCTTGAATGTATCTATATTGCGATAAATGATAGTGTTCTGCTGCGTATTATGACAAAGTGTACCTGATGGCAAGTGCTATATCGTACAATATGGCGGCCCAGGTCCGGGTCCATGTTTGGACTGACTCATTCTTCGCTCTGAAATCAAGGTGAGGAATGCAATCAAGCTATGAGAACCTGTTTGGGTTTAATGTCGTGGTTGCGGAAACGTGGGTGCTACATACTTATATCCCCGTTTCCTCGAGCTGAAGCACGCCTGGCAGATGACGAGATACATGGAAGTTCATGAGCAGCGCCATTTGTTACGAGCCCTCCAAGCATCTATTTTCTTCTTTAGATTGATGCTCTCTTTGTTCTTGAAGATGAATATCGGCCATGGGAGGCTGAAAATCCCTCTACGGTAGACTTCAAGGAGCAGAAAAGTCACTAAACACCGTGGTAAGTTCATTTGGGCCACACCATCCAAGAAAATACTCGATTGAGCACGCACAGATTATCTCCGTGTCATGGGCGAGATCATGGGATGGAAAATCCAGATAATGGTGCCCCAACGGTCCTATTGCAGGGACAAACTTCTTGGGGGCATCTGGATGGTAGGAGCAGTTGAAATAAAATCGTCCCTTCGTCGTATCCGAATCGACATCGTAGAGCTGTACAGAACATTCTATGACGATGTGACACGACTGGAACACAAGTTGCCTACCGTCAGAGAGTCCGCCCCAACTATCCAAAAGTACTCAGTGTCAAATCGAGTAGGGATACGAATCACACCGTCTCTGACAATTTACTGTGGGTTTGAATATTTGAAAACTTATGAATGCCACTCACTCGACCGCCGATTCCATGTCTTGAACGTCGTCCTGGTCGATGACTGCAGATACGTTATACAACCTTTGAAAGTTGAATAGCATCGAGGGATTGGGTTTCACCCAGACTATTTTCGAGATTGCTTTTCCCTGCGGATTTTTCAGGAGGACCACAAGCTTGTCTTGATCTTCCGTGTGATGCACAGTCACGATGTTGTACATTAAATCCCCGGTGTCAACGTCGATCAAGGGACTTTGGAAAAAGTCGGAATTTGCGAACTTTAACAACATCGAGGGAGCTGTGGGACACGATGAGAGGAATGCGAGGATAGAATGCGATTGTCCAGGCATTTTTAAATTCGCAAAGTAGAAAAGGTGTCGTGAGAAGCACCAGGTTATAGCCCTTGTGATTTCTTGTCCATTGTCCACTTTTCAGGCTTATGCGAGTAAACACAATTTCTGGATTCCGGGAGCTGTTGAGTATATAATTACATGTTTCTATGTTGTCACCTGCGACCAATGTTCCTGCATTCCTTATTAATACTGTACCGAGCGTAATCACATGTGGCGTCAGTGACAAGAGAACATCGTAGGGAAGAGATGGTTTGGGATTCAACAGCGCTGAGCGAACCGCCTCAAAGTCTGAGAATGGAAATTGCCGACGGTCCCGCCCGATAGTCACGTGAGGTTTGGACAACACTGTTTGTGCATGTTGTTCGCCTGCCACCGACTCGTTGTTGTGGACGACATTCTGTACGCTATTTCGCCTTTCGCTCACCTGCACCAGTCCAACGGAGCGTGTGCTGATCCCGTTCAAGCCATCGCTTTGCATGGTCGTCGGTTCTTGTTATGGCCCAACGTCGTCCCTCGCCCCAGACAGTGAACTCGTCGTCGGTCAGTTCACCCCCTCTGGCGCGAAAAAAGTACCCTCTGCGATTGTCTCCCAGCTCCCGGAGGCGGAACAACCATTTGCATTTGGATCCATCCATCGGTCATAAACCACTGCGCGGCTCGACATCATCTACAGAGTCACGTCCTGTTTTGGTCCCTTTGCAGCCCAATCTTCGCCGTCTGCCTTCTCGTGTATTCACCAGCCAGAAGGGCGCTCCAGAAATGCATATCGTGAGTCAAGCAGATGCTTGCGTAGGTTCGAAACGGAAACGCGTCGCGACTAGCAATGAAAACGCGCAAAACGGCGGTCGTCCGACGCGTGGCTCGGGGGTGCTGAAGAGACTCAGGAGCAGCTCTGGGCGTCGAAGGAAGTTTACCAGCGACGAGAGCGATGCTAGCTCTATGGAGATTGACAGCGCCGCCCCATGGTCCTTATCACGTAATTCAGATTCCGAAAGCGGCGAAGAAGAACAGAATGTTGAAGTTGATGATGACAGCGAGGAGTCCAGTACGTGTGCCGTATCCGTTTCCCATGAAGACTACAAACTCACTCTGACCTATCTAGCCGATGATCATCTTATCAACTCTGCACCACCTAACCAACTACTTCGCCTTCGCAAAGATGAACTGATGCGGCTATATACCCTCACTGGTCTATCTGAAGATGCAGAACAACTGACCAAATCCGACATTGTCGACTACATCATCGCGGCTCGAGATGACATCGTATCGTTACCTCCATCCTCTCCTCCTGGGCACGGCAATTCAAGTGACTATTCATCTGATGAAGGCAACGCCGCTGAAAATGAAGTGGACGACGCCCGAGGACTACCTTATGTCCCGATCGGAAATCTTCGTCGTCGCGCTACAACAAATGACTTAGGAAAGAGTCGAGGCAGAACCCTCAAAGGCAGAAGTTTGTCCATGGGCACGTTCCAAGGGGACGTCGCGATCAATGCTTCATCGCATTCGTACAGAAGGAATTCTAGAAAAGGTAGCGGTGGATCTTCCGGAAGTAATGCTACACGGTAAGAATCTTAACTCTTTTTAATAACATCTCTGACAGTTCTTCAGCAGGCGCACTACTTCGAGTCGTTCATCACCTCTTGCGTCCACATCCTCATCTGTGCAGACCCCTCCCGTGACTCGTCTACGCTCACGCAAAGTTTCCGCTGAAGCTACGTCACAGGGTTTGGCTTCTATACCAGCGCCTGTACGCAGTCAAAGATCAAGCAAAGGGAAGGGTAAGCAGGTCGAATTCGATGCCCATACCACACAATCCCAACCCAAGTCGTCATTGGACGAAGAAAGCGATCTGACTGAGCTAGAGGAACTAGAAGCTCGCTTGAGTGCCCGCCCCGAACCCAGTCCTCGTCGGTTGAGAAGCAAGGATAAGGAGAGGGAGCGTGAAAAGGATACAGGAACCCTGGATGCACGGAGAGTGACTCCTATGCGTAAGGCGAAGGGTCGGATAATGAGTCTAAAGGAATCTGAAGATGAGGCGGAGGAGGCGGAGGAGGAGGAGGAGGAGGAGGAGGAGGAGGAGGAGGAGGAGGCAGTCCCTGATATCAGTGTGAGTGATGATGATGTAGAGACGGAGGAAGTGGATGAACTTATTTCCACTGCCTCTCCTTCACCTGCACCCTCTCGCGGGCGAAGAACGCCTCTACGGCGTCGTCTTCGCTCTGGACATGGTCAAGAGGGCTCTGCTAGCGACGGGGATGACGAAGACGACGCTGAGGGGGAAGAGGATATCAATGAAGCAGAGGAGGATGCTGATGAAGAATCGGGCGCTGAGGAGGAAGGGGAAGAAGATGCCGAAGGAGAAGATGACGACGAAATCACCATAGCCGTTGAGCCCCGAAGATTACGCAATGGGAAAATTGTAGGCGAGGAGGAAGAAGACATGGATGTTGATTCTTCGGTAGAAGATAATGAGGCTCAGGACCTTGATGTCGAAGATGTTGACATAGATGCTGAAGGTGACACCGAGGAGGAGGAGGAGGAGAGGGAGGAAGAAGATGGCGAGGATGGTGAGGAGGAGGATGACGGTAATCCTCTTGTTATTACAATTTACACGACAAGTTCTAACCTATTTCTTAGTCGATCTTACTATCGCTACAACAAAAACCCTTGTTCGTCTTCGGCGAAACGACCTCGTGCGCCTGTGTGAAGTCCGTGACTTAGAGCCTGTAGGCACTAAACCCCAGCTTGCAGAGGCACTCCTCCAATGGCGGGATAGGCAAGCGATCTCATCAAGATCTTCTTCCGGTACCGTACGCCCACCGTCAACTATCAAACGGCGGCGACGTAGGCCCAACAGTTCTGACACCGTCTCTTCGCCTATTCTCCTTCGCTCTGAACGTGTTCATACCGACGAACCGCGTACTCCGCAAGTGTCCCAAGAGCCTGAGCTGGAGTTGGACCTTGGTACACTTGGTCTGGAGGACCGGGAGATACCCCCTGACAAGCTTCAGAAATTGGAAAAGATAGGTAGCGGTGGGTTCAAGGATGTTTTCATAGGCAAGTTTAAGGGTAGGAAAATTGCTATATCAGAATTCCGAGGACAGCTCACTGCCAGTAAGTCACTATCAGTAAGTTTTCTGCGACGTACTGACCTTGTACTAGTGGATATCAAGGAATTGAAATTGCTTGGAGGCTTCGACCATCCGAACATCGTTCGTTTCGTATGTTAACTGTCATGTTACTGCGTATTATATACTGATTATTATCAACAGCTAGGTGTCAGCGTTCCAGAGAATACCAAGGAGGTTCCGGTTATGATGATCAGCGAGCTTTGTTCGAACGGTGATCTTTTTGATTACATTCGTAATGTCCACCCACCTTCCTTGCATAAAGTTGTAAGTGTTGTGTTTTCCCCATACTTAACCAAAGCGTTGAATATGTTCAATAGCTGGTTATGATGTTAGACATCGCTCGCGGTCTAGAATATCTCCATCTCAGAAAGCCTTCTGTCATCCATCGTGACTGCAAATCCTCGAACATTCTCATCACATCGAAAGGAATAGCTAAGATTGCTGACTTTGGTCTAGCGAAGGTCAAACAATCTACGCGATCCATGGTTCGGAGCCTAGTCGGCACGGTCAATTGGCAGGCCCCAGAGCTGTGGCATGCCCATCCCAAGTATAATCATAAAGTCGATGTCTTTTCTTGTGCCATGGTGTATTGGGAGATGCTCCAGTGGCATCAGCCGACCAAGAAATTCCCCTGGGAGGTACTCATCGCTTTGATCGACGCGTTGTCCGCTCGTACTGAATGCATCACTTAGGGCATGAATGAACACGCAATCTACGAGATTGTAGGAACAAAACGCCAGCGGTATGTTTTATGGTGCTGCTCTACTCAGCCTTTACCTAATGATGTAATCGACAGTCCTTCATTATCCGGTCTTCGAAAACAGTGGTGCCCTGATATCGTCAATCTCATCGAACGTATGTGGGCCCACGAACACGAGAAACGCCCGACCATGTCTGAAGTTGTTTTGGAACTCGAAGATATGGTTAAGCGATGGTAGCGCATAGACATGACACCCTTTCGACAATTCATTATTCCCCTCTCCCATGACGATCGGTAGAATAGGTTCGAATTCCTCGCCATGGCCAGTTTCTCTTTATAATTCACTATACAACTTTCACGTCTATTGCTCCAATGTTCAATATCACCACACTTGCATCTGTATCTTTTAGTCTACGACAGAATGTCGAATCAAGTCATATAGCTCTCCTGATAGTTCGTTTTCAATACCAAGCTGCTTGCAAATGTTCTTTGATGGGATCTCTGGACGTTCTACTCGTAATGTACATGTCCCCAATTATCCGTAATCGGCGGAAATATGTTTTTGTCACTTCGACGAATTTTCCTTTCATAATTGAATACAACTAATAGACTACTAAGACGTTGTGGTCCTGAGAGACAACTCCTGACATGCATCGGCGAGATGCCAGAAGTGCGCTAAGCCAGAATGATCAAACTATAAGCTACTACAAGGCCGTGTTAGTTTTTTAGTAGTCCTATTGCAACAAATGATACAGAAAGTAATACTATATGCTACGATCTCTCTGCCATAAATCTTGATACTTTCTTGAACGGTTTGGGTTCTCCGACCGGTTGACTACCAGATGGATTAGTTTCTTTCACCAGGGAAGACACAGGTACTACGGTAGGCGGCCTTTGAGGACGAGATGACTCTCGCCTCGGAGGCTGCGATGACTCCCTTACTGCAGACGACACCACCATCGGGCGTGATGTTGGTGCAGGTTGAGGCTGCGGGAAAGAGGGCGACTCTACAATCATGGACATCACGTCTCCTGCAGGAAAAGACGGTGAGTCTATGACCGTGGCAGAGGGAGGAACATTTTTAATAGCAGGTGGGAGTTTGGGCGACGACCTCGCTACATTCGATACAGGTGTGGATGAATCACTCTGAGACGAAGGCGTAGCTGGTCTCCCAGCCTGTGACCGTGCTGCCTTAAACTTTGATGGTTTCGTTTTTGGTAGGAGTGGGGGAAGATTTTCGGGGAGGATAGAGTCATTTGTACTACTCTGCACCTTGCTCGGACCGGCGTTATACGCTTCGCCCTTCTCAAGAAGTCGGATGATTTCTTGGGCCTCCTCGTTGTCTCCTTCGCTGTCGCTCTCCGTTCCCACGAGCCGGTTCTCTGAGTCGAGTTTTCCCACGCGAATGGCGTTCCGTAGGGTCTCGGCGCCTGAAGCAGGGAGGATGGAAGCGCCGAGAGACTGGGAGGTGGGAGACAAGGATGATGAGGGGGCAGAAGCGCCATAGGAGGATGCGAGTCGTTCAGATTTGAAATGGGATAATGGCGTTTTCTTCTTGGGCGCGGAACTGCTTGGTTGCTCCTGATGGATATTATGATTTCAATGAGTGAAGGCAACATGATAAACTCAGCCTGACCTCTTCGTCTTCTTCATGTGTGTGTGACCGCATGGCAAGAGAGACATCGCGGCCAATGGTCTCTCGTTTCTTGTGGTACTCCAAGGCAATTTCGCGCTGGTGTTGAGCATAGTCCATGTCGAAACCCTCTTCCACATCTTCATCTGCATCAGAAGGATTATCCGATGACGACCCGCCTTCAGATAGTGGAGGCTCGGATTCGTCATCGGAGTCAGCCAGATTTTGGGGCGTCTCTGGAGGTGAGTTTGACTGGCCAGGCGGTCGCTCAACAACCGACATCTTCATGGGGAGAGTGCTATCATTGAATTTTGAAAGCAGTGTGGGTCGTTTGGTCGAAGTCAGTCTTCCTTGAGCCACGTCGCCCCATTCATGCTCCACATTCTCTTCCTCCTTGTCGTCCTCCTTCTCGGGTACAGCAAACGTAACTGTCTTCTGAGGTCCTTTCTTCGTCCTTGCCTTTTCCTTTCGCAAATCTTCTGCCTCTTTCTCAGCTTTCTCTTTTTCTTCCTTCTCCCTGGCCGCTGCCATGTTACGCAACAGCGCTTTCCCCATCTTCTTCTGCATTTCCCGCGTTTGGGCAAAATTCTTAACTCCTTCACGGCCGGCTTCCTTCATGTTCTGAAGAGCCTCGCGTCGTCGTTCTTTTTCTGCCTCGTTTGATTTTCGCTCCAGCATTTCCTCCTCCGCCTCGAGCATATCCAATACACGGTTCCGTTCGCGTTTTCGGACTTCAACTTCTGCAGGAGACAGCGAAGACAGTGGAATGAGATCAGGTTCAGCAAATGGCTTGTTCGAAGATGATCCGATCTCGAAGTCAGGCTCGTTAATATCGATAATGGGGAGGCCTTCTTCATTTACATGCTGTATGGCTGTTCATTAGTAGTCATATCACACCATTCAGCGAGAACATACCTCACCCCCACGGTTTATATTCAAGGGATCCTTTGCAGCATCCATCCCTCCTGAGAACTCAGTTAGTTTCTCAGAAAGCCGCTGAAGGGCCTCCGGGGAGATGTTTTTGTCGGCGCCTGGTTCGATAGTATTGAATAGTGCACGAAGAGCTGGATACAGGTCAGCAGAGTATAAAATTGCAGACAGAAGATGGTGTTGAACCTTCAGGACCACCCTCAGCTACATGTTTGGCGGATGTCATGATGGTATAGGTAGTGGAAGAGAGGAAGCGCGAATTGCTTAATGTGGCCCGAAGGTCGGAGTCCGGCCCGATCCTCCCGCAATCCAAGCACGTCCAAATACTTTGTTCCCACCCTCCTCAACGCCAACGAAAAATCTCGCCGTCGTCGTCGACATCATCAAGACCCAAAACTATCCATCATGTCGGTGAGTAAGGCATCCTTTCATGCGATTAGGCCAGACCATGTCATTTTGGGTGGAAAAATGATGTGGAATGGGATGGATTGAAGGATTCAAACTTGGATGACGTTTGGCAGAGGAGGCATTTTGCTGATATTCTGTGTCCAGGAATCTAACTTCAAGCGCTTCGTCGAGGTGGGCCGTGGTGCGTCTGATTAGACTTATATTTTATGAACGTTGTTTTGATGATCCTGCTAGTGGTCTTGCTCAAGTCGGGCCCCAGCGCTGGTAAGATTGCAGTCATCGCTGAAATAATTGACCACAACCGGGTGCGTCGTGTTCCTATCCCAACTTTACGATGACGCTCATATGACGCGTATACAGGCAATAATCGATGGCCCTACCACCTCCGTTCCCCGCCAGGCTTTCCCCTACAAGCACCTTACCCTAACGCCCCACAAACTCACCAAACTTCCCCGTGGCGCAGGATCAGGTATCATCAAAAAGCAGCTTGAGAAAGAAGCCACCGTAGCCAAGTGGGAAGGCAGCAAGTGGGCGACGAAGCGTGCAGCGCTTGAGCAGAGGCGGAAGCTCAATGACTTTGGACGGTTCGAGGTGCAGCTGTTGAAGAAGCAGAGACGGGATCTCGTCAGGAAGGCCTTGGCAAAGAAGGCATAGATGTTGATTTGTATGATTTATGCATCCATGCTTTATCCATGTTCATGCTGCGCTTTCCAATGCTACCTCTGAGTTTGGCGTGATTTCGGTTACTCGTAAAAGAGGGTTCAATTGTGGTAGCACGATGTGGAGTTTCCTTATTTCACGCAAGCAGTCGGCATCGCCATTGCTCATCGGGGAATGCTTTCGCTGGAATTTCGTGGTATGTATTTCAGTATTTGAAGATCAGAAATATTATGGGTTATAATGAATGTGCTTCTCGTGTGGGACGTATGTATGAGATGTCTAAGAGGTATTCGGGTGCCGTTGACACACGCTACAGTGACTCTGAGATCCACTTTGTACATGCGATCTACAAGTAGACACTGCACATTTTCTTGCCATTCATCATCAAGGTTGGTAGTCCAAAAGTGAACTTTCCAATGTATCCCATATTACATTAAGACGAAGATAGGTGGCCATAAAGCTCTAGACAGTGTGGTATACACGTATGGATAGAATCACAGTGCTCGTTGTCGCATACGGCTGCTAACAGTCCTCAAGCCAGCATACACTTTTCCGGGTGGAGATCCCAGAATAAGCGAGACAATAGCATCCCGGGCAACTTTGATATTTTGAAAGGATCCCATGATGTGAATTTTTCTACCAAATATGACTGAATTGAGTGTGACCAAAAGTATGCAGGGACTATACATACGTGTCTGCTAGAACTATACGTGTTCTACTAGCATTTTCGATTGTGAATTTTGTTTTGCCGTCTTGGCCCGCGATTCGGCCTGCAGGGTAGAAGGATGAGGACAGCAGAATTGGAATCGAGGAAGATTCCCACCAATGGCTCGTGAGAGATGGTCTCCGTGCAGGGTTTTCACATCCTTGATCTCAAACGAGTCGAGGTAGAGGTCATCAAGACGAAGAAGAGCGATAGCATCCTAACATAGCTTCAACAAGATGATCGCAGAAGATTGCCAGTACCCGTACATTAACATCGAATCCTAGCGCATAGGCTTTGACAAAGTCGGCGCCCTTCTGTATTGCCCCAATATCCTTGGTATGTTTTGATGTCTGCAGTCAAGATCAAGGATTGTTCGATAGAGAACCAGAACCGACTCACTCGTGCCTCGACACATCTACGTTGCACATTCATCCGTACTTGTAGTCCCAGAATTTCGGTAAGGGGCCCAAATATCAATACCCAGTCCTTTTTGAGTGGTGTCATCCGGTGTGGCGGTATAGGTATCCGCCTCGTTTCTGACTTGAGAGTTGTTCTATCGGCATTGGCAGGTAATGGCTCAAATGTTGGTGCTGCTGTGTGTTGGACTATGGGGGTGGAGTCGACGTCAATCATCAGCTCGTCATCGTCTGCTGCGACTGGGACGGGTCGAGCGTCGGGCATATCCTGGTCGGCACCTGCAGCCTTGGACTTTTTTCTGCCTATTTTTCGTCGGTTCTTTTTAGGTACAGCTGAGGTAGATGAGGAGGGTTGGCTTGCGTGAGTTGCAACCATTGCAAGCGAGGCGTCCGGCTGAATGTGTTCTGGTCCCTTTAAGTTCAACGTGCAGTGATGGAAAAAAATTAGGCGGCTTGGCTTCGGTGTTACATTCAAACAAATGACATCACGGGGATACAAACTCCTCAACACTTCAACCGCGTCTCTTGTTTTCCTACCACTACCTACTCGTAACAATTTTCGTAATATCGGATGGCTATATCTCGACGTCTCTTATACGCGATATATTTTCTGTCTTTGGCGTTCTTCACTAGCACTCTAGCGGCTGAATCTGCCTGGAATGGACATACCACGCCAGGATCAACCACTCCTGCTGCTTTCAGTTCTTTCTACATCCCGCCCGGCTCGAAATCTTATGATTCATCATCTCCAATGATTCTTTATCGTGGACACTGGACGGAATCCTTTCATGGCGACCATCACAGAGGATCTATCCGGACGACGAATGATAAACGCGCTGAAATCACATTTTCATTCACTGGTACAGGAGTCGAATGGTTTGGAACTGTTGGTAGGCATCACGGCACTCACGATGTTTATCTGGACGGAGTATTAGTGCAACAGCTCGATTCTTGGAGCCCTGTGTCGAGGAAGGGTCAAAGGATATTCAGCATATTCGATCTCGCGCCAGGGAAGCACATCCTGAAAGTCAAGAATATCGCTAAAGGGCTTAATCACGGTTCCCGTTCTGTTATGGATATCAACGCCTTCGTCGTTACTCAGAAATCTTTCTCGTCATCGTCGGCTACACCATCTGTACAGCATAACCTTCTCACACCTTCGCCTTTTCTTACCTTGATGGAAGACGCGCCGTCCATTACATCCTGGAAGCTCACTCAAAAGGGTTTGACTGGTGTCCATGCTATGCAACTGGCAGTAATCTCCAATACGCACGCGATCGTCATCGACAAAGTCGAACACAATCCTCTAGTTGTTGATGGCCACCCTGCTTGGGGCGCACTTCTCAATCTCGATAATCACTCTATCAAGCCTCTTCGCTTGAAGTCGAATTCCTTCTGCGCAGGTGGTACCTTCCTTCGTAACGGCGAACTGATCAACGTTGGCGGCAATCCGGTTGTTGAGGATCGCACTTCTGCTGCGGATTTCGGCGACGTCAATGGATTGCAAGCTATTCGTCGTTTCAAACCTTGTGATCACGAGTCTATAGACAACTGCGATATCCTCGAGGATCATTCTCGCCTTCGAATGGCCAGTTCCCGATGGTACAATACTGTTATTCGCATTTCGGACGGATCCGCCATGATAATCGGAGGTTCGAAGAAAGGTGGATGGATCAATAACGCAACCGTGAACAATCCCACCTTTGAGTTTTGGCCTCCAAAATCTATACACGGATCTCGTGGCATGCCGATTCATTCCCAGTTCCTTGTCGACACTCTCAACTCCAACTTATTTCCCATCGCGTTTTCTCTCCCAGACGGCAGAGTATTCATCGCAGCTAATCGTGACGCCATGATTTATGACTGGAAGACCAATAGGGAGCAGAGGCTTCCTCAGATTCCTAACGGCGTTCGAGTTACCTATCCCATGGCTGGTACTGGCTTGCTTCTTCCTTTGTCAAGTCAGAATGATTATACTCCGGAGATTCTTCTGTGCGGTGGATCCACCATCGATGATCATAAGGCTGCATACGGCATCTCTTCGCAAGATCCGGCCTCTTCGCAGTGCTCCCGGATGGTTCTTACGGACGAAGGGATCTCTGCAGGCTGGCAAGTCGAACTTATGCCTGAAGCTCGTCTCATGCCGGATGCTGTGCTCCTTCCTACAGGTCAGATTGTCATTGTCAACGGCGCTGGTTCCGGAATAGCCGGCTACGGCAACACTTTGGATCAAGTTGGAGCTTCCAACGCAGATCACCCAATCTTATCCCCCATCCTATATGATCCCCTTGCCAAACCTGGCGAAAGGTTTTCATCCGTTGGCGTGACAAGCGACATTGCGCGGCTCTATCATAGCGTGGCTACATTGACGCCATCCGGTAGTGTCCTAATTGCAGGAAGTAATCCAAACTTGGATCGCAGCGACGTGAAGTATGGGACGGAGTATAGGACAGAGTGGCTCAATCCGCCATACATGAATGGCCCCAGACCGTCTATCGACCAAATGCCGGGGCAGATACACTACGGCCAAAAGATTCGCTTGCGTGTCACTTTCCCAATCACAGGAACTATACAAGGTACGCGTGTTCCATCTATGCATGTATATGTCTTTTGACGCCTATAAATTGGAATGCAGTTGTACTAATGGATCTCGGATATGTGACGCATTCGGTTCATGCAAATAGCCGACTAGTATATCTGGAGGCGGCTATGGAAGGCGAATACCTTGTTGTCACCGGTCCTCCGAGGGAGGAGATATATCCTCCTGGTCCTGGTTGGATATACGTGCTTGACGATGGCGTTCCGAGCAAGGGCCGAAAGATCATAGTGGGTGATGGCAAAGATCCGCATTTCGACAAAGACGCGCTGGAATAGTAAGTCACTGTGCTCGTTGATTCCCAGTATTTTTCTTACGAGATATTTCATCAGCGTCTTGAGACACACAAAGAGCGTTTAAACGTTTAAGCATAATGGAATATCCCCTTTCATCTTGTTTTCATTTGCATTCTAGTCTTCGACCTTTTTTACTATACCGTTTCGCATTGCTATACCCTAGCCATACACTTTACCACTAAAGTAAACCCTCTAACCAACTAACCATGTAGTATACAGTTTTCTAGTTGACTTTGAACCAATCAGAGGTGGTGGTGGTGGTGGTGTTACCGGCGCCAGGTCCCAATAAGGAACGGCCGGGTCCACAGCCCTGACATGGCGAACCATGCGCTGTGGCTGCGAAGGCTCATACCGTTGTAATCACACTATTGAGTGCGTCTCGCGGAGTAGAGACTCTTCGCAGGGTACACGATTGAATGAAAAGTGATGGGGATGAGACAGAACATAGATAACAAAGCACAATCGAGCACGTAGAACCAGCTCATGAGACATGCGCATCAGTAATGACGGTGAAAGAACATGTGAACAAATGTGAAATACGTAACGGGAGAGTGAGACATGGTGCACGGACCATGGGGTGTATGGAAAGTTACAAGTCAGCAGCAATGAGAAGATATCGAGCACAATGGGGGCGTACGATTCATCCACCAAGGAACAAAGAGCCACAAACTGTAGGAACGAAACGCAAGCATCAGGTGAGCACAACAAACAAGGTCCGCTATTTCGCAGAACAGCGTGCCTGCAGCGATGCTCGAGCCTTAGCCCATGAAAACGATGAAACGGGAACCAAGAACGACGAAACAGGCAAGCTCCTTCGAAAAAGAGACTGCCTTTGCGAACGAAACACCGAGTACCACCAGACTGGTGAGATCCTTCGCGAAGGACACCACCAGCGGACAACAACCGAGTACCACTGCACAGGTGAGATCCTTCGGAAAGGACCCCATCTGCGGACGTAACCACTGCACAGGCGAGATCCTTCGCAAAGGACACCTCCTGTGGACGTAACCACTGCACAGGTGAGATCCTTCGTAAAGGACTCTATCTGCGGACGTAACAACGGAGCATCGGTGCACAGGTGGGATGTTTCGCAAAGTAGGAATGAGGGAAGAGTTATGGCCTAAGAAGCAAGGAGCGGAATCCGGACGCGCGACGGCAGAGGCAAAGAAGCATCTGGAAAGCGGATAAACGTGTCCGTACCAACGTATCCAGCACCGATGCAGCAGATTTTCTTGACTTGGACGGGAGCCATGATGAGAGAAGGACGGAAACAAGTAGGTGCAGAGTACATCGATGCCCTGCATGTATGCGCCATAGGATGCAGCTTTGAAGCAGTTAACGACCAGAACAGGTTGTCGAGATATTCCTGCTTTGGGGAGGGTAGCCATCATCGTTTACAGAGGGGGATTTCGCGTTCTCGGTGTTCGGAGACCGGCGAGTAGTCAGAGAAGAGACAGTAGACTTGGTTGCGAGGCAATGGTGCTGAAGGCTCCACAGACATTGTTAACGAACAAACTCTCCTTGGATTCGTTGCTTCGTCACTGGAGGACCCGTTCTTGCCGTACTTGATGGTCTTCCTCTCGACGAATTATTATTACGAATCTGGACGGAGATTTCCCTCAAGGGCTCCCGTTCCTCTCTAAGTCTTCTCGTGCCCGCCCATGGCTGCTCGTCCGCCTGCACGATGCTACTCCTTCCTCCCAACCCATCTCCACATCTCCCTCCGCCCCAAACTATCTTGTTGATGTGTTGTTCGAGTCCCGCTCAAGAGAAGCTGCTACCATTAGAGCGAGGGAAGGTCTTTAGAGTGCGCGTGTCATCGGGTGAGGAAAGCCTTTGCTAGGTGAACTGGCCAGGAGGATTAGTTGTTGAGAGAGGCTTCGTGTGCGCGTGCTCGGGTCGATGCAGAGTCCTCGATGACGGGGAGAAGATGGTGGTGGTGGTGCAGTGGTAAACGGCAAAGAAAGTTTATGTGGTGTATTCTCAAATCGGTAGATGAGAGGTCGGCAATTCGGCACAGGAAATTTAAGAAAACTTGTACTCCGCTTTCTTGCTTCCATCTGTCTTTTGCGTTCTCGTCGTGCCTTGCGTTGTGCATGTTTTGTCGCCGGCGTGGCCTTTCTCTATTTCGGTACTACGCCACTAACGCACGGGCGAGAGTAAAATCTGAGCTTTTAATCTTCAAGCCAACATTTGGCAGGGCACCTACGGACGCGGGGAAACCGGGGCCTCTAACTCATCAGAAATTCGAAACCTCGAATAATATGACATCGAATGTTATTGAACCGACCGTGGCGGTCAAGGAGCTCGGGGCCGTCGAGATCCAGGTCGAGCACTCAAAGGAGACTCCAATGGACTTTGAGGCAACTCAAGTCACGAAGGAGATTCAAGCTGAAACTTTGAACGGTGTTTCGATGGACGTGGGGAAGGATCCAGCAGAAACTATGGATACCGAGAGTCATGTGGGGCACGTTAGGACTGTCGAGGAACTAGGAGACGAGCCGGCTGTTGGGCCACCTCCGACCAAAAAAGTGCGGGTTGATAAGCAGAGCAGCAAGAAGGCCGACAAGAAGATGCGAAGGTTACGCAAAACCATGCCAGAGCATTGCTCCCCTGAGGATGTCCAGTGGCAAGATATTGTGACGCTTTTGGGAAAGGACGTCGTGGATCGTGCGATAGAATCAGAGACCGAGTTCTCTTCGCCATTCGAGAAATTTGAGGAGCTTGAAGTGAAGGTTGTTCATATGTGCTCTAATGGTACGTGGTTTGCACTTCGTTTAGATTATCGATTCTGAACCTTTCAACCGGTAGCAACTTCGTTGGCTCTTGCACCCGAATCAAAAGGCCGACCGTGGGTATTGGTTATACCCTTCTGTTTCCCTGGTGAAACAGTTCGTGTCAAGGTACATCGTCACGAGAGAATGCACTCGCTTTGCGACCTCCTGGAAGTTGTGGAACCCAAATTGGAGATCAGGGATGAGAGTTTGGTCAAGTGTAAGTATTTCAGGACGTGCGGAGGGTGTCAGAGTCAGGTGAGAATGGTTTTTGGGCATTCACTGGTATCGCCGTCTGAGCCGTGATACAGATGGTTTCTTATGAGAATCAACTGAAATTCAAAAGAGACGTCGTGATCAACGCGTACAAAAAATATTCAAGTAAGTTATCGCGTCGTAATTGCTACACAATATCTCATGCTACTATAGAACTCCCTGATTCTGAGGTGCCTGAAATTCTGCCGACGATCGGCTCGCCTTTGCAGTACGGATACAGGACGAAAATTACCCCGCATTTCCAATTGAAATCGAATGGCACCCCCGGTGATCCCTTTTGTATTGGTTTCAATGATGCCTCCAGACCGCGTGTGGTTGACATTGAGGTAAGTGGAAGTTTGATATACGGTCTCGTAATTGACCTTTCTTCTCAGGAATGTCCAATAGCTACTCCCATTTTGAACGAGACATTACCTATTGCTCGAAAGAAAATTCATGAGTGTGTTTTCATCCGTTTCCAGCCTGGAGTATCCAAGCTAACGTTCTTATCAGCACTCTTTCAACGTTCAAGAAAGGCTCAACCCTACTCTTGCGGGAGTCTCTAAAAACCGATGTGCCTCTTCCCTTATCTTCATCCTTGACACCTGATGAGCTCGCCGATGCGATGAACACCAAGATCTGCATTACGAATAATAATGCTTCAGTGCGAGAACGTGTGGACAACACATTTTTCGAATTTAACGGAGGATCATTCTTCCAAAACAACAATTCCATCCTTCCCACCTTCACAGAATATATTCGCGAAGCCATCTTTCCTCCTGACATCGTCTCGAAGCCGACTCACCTTATCGATACTTACTGCGGAGCGGGCTTATTCGCCATTACTCTGGCGCCCCACTTCGATATCGTCTCAGGTATAGAACTCTCTGCAGACTCGATAATGTACGCCAAGCGTAATGCACGACTCAACAACATTCCGTCGACGAAGTGTTCCTTCAGAAAAGGTGACGCGGCAAATATTTTTGACGTCGTCAAAGAATTCCCACCGGAACATACAGCGGTGGTTATCGATCCACCTCGAAAGGGTACAGATATGAATTTTATCAATCAACTGGTTGGCTTTCTTCCGCAGACGGTGGTGTATGTGAGCTGTAATGTCCATACGCAGGCGAGAGATATTGGGCTGCTCTTGAGGGCAGTGGAATTTGATTCGAGAGGGAAAAAGTATGTGTTGGAGAGCCTCCGTGGATTCGATCTGTTTCCTCAGACTTCGCATGTGGAGTCTGTAGCAGTGCTCAGGCTTTGCAATAAAGAACGTTAAGCACCTGAGGTGTTCTTGTCTTCCTTGTTTGCGCCTGATGAAACCCCGATAAGTCCGAGAGGAACCGAGAATAGCCGAGAGTGTCTGATAAGATAAAAAAATTTTGAAGAAAGTTTTCCCTGGCGATCGAAGCAAATTCATTCTGTCACCCACCATAATCTCCCACTTCCGCCCGACTCGTTTTGCACTCGAAGCGAAATGTCTCTCTGGAAATCTGTCGGTAATTGCATCCTAGAGGGTGTTTCGAGTGTTCCGGATCTCGATGTGCGCATGCTACTGAACGTTTTGTGAGTTGCTTGAAATTCTGACTCGATTTCTAGGCATCAAAGCTCACTATTACACTTGCTGACTCCCTGAAACCTGTGCCAGATAATGAATCATTGGTTTTTGGAGCTGTGAGCTTCTCTTCAACTTCAGCAAGAATATCATACCCAATTATCCTTACTCTTAGGTCACCACCGACCATATGCTGGTTGTCAGTTTCGAACCTTCAACGGGATGGTCCGTACCTGAAATAAAACCGTATGCGCCTCTCAGTTTGGATCCGATGAGCTCTTGCTTCCAGTACTGTACAAACCTCTTTGAGGGAATGAAGGTGTGTTAAACAGTGCATCTTACAAACGTACTGGTTTACTGACCCGGAGTCCTCAAACTGCAGGCTTACATGGGGCCAGACGGGAAGCCTCGTTTGTTTAGGCCAGACAAAAATATGGCACGTCTCGCGAGGTCTGCCGAGCGTGTTGCTTTACCCGTACGTCGTATCCCGTCCAAGTCGGAGATGAAATCTGCCACTGACTTGGGCTTGTGGCTCAGCCATTCAACACAGACGCTCTCCTGACATTGATCAAACGCCTAGTCATGGTTGAAAAGCGTTGGATACCCACTGCGGAAGGACACAGCTTGTATATCCGTCCTACTATCATTGGAACGCGTGCTGCTTTGGGTGTTGCCGCTTCCGATCAAGCGCTTCTCTACGTGATCCTGTCCCCTACGGGTCCCTACTTCCGTACGGGCCCCAAACCACTTTCCCTTCTTGTTGTGAACGAGAACGTGCGCGCTTGGCCTGGAGGAACAGGTGGCCACAAGCTCGGATTGAACTACGCGCCTGGGTTCCTTCCTCAGCGTATTGCCGCGAAGAAAGGTTACGATCAGATCCTATGGCTCCTTGGAGACGCAGTCACTGAGGCAGGCGCTATGAACTTCTTTGTTGTCATCAAGCGGGACGACGAAGATGGCGTGGACGTCGCCACTCCAGAGTTGGACGGTACAATTCTTCCTGGAGTAACCCGTATGTCCGTTTTGGAGCTCATGCAGGCACATAATGACGGCCGGACGAATTTGAACGGATTGCCTAAGCTCCATACACAGGAGAGAAAGGTAACTATGTCTGAGTTGAAGAAGTTGAGTGAAGAAGGCAAGCTACTGGAGGCGTTTGGAGTGGGGACGGCGGTCATTGTGGCACCTGTTGGGAAGATTGGCTATGAAGATGGTGATTTGACGTTGCCAGCCCACGAAAAAGGGTTAGGACCAGTAGGAGGCGCACTCTGGCGCAGACTGGTAGATATTCAGGAGGGCCGAGTGCAGTGGGAGAACTGGGGAGTTCTTTGCGAAGATGCTTAGAGTCGTATCGACAACTATATCTATAAAAAATCTTATTTGTTCATCTGTAATGTTTAGCGCCCTAGCCAATGGTTCAGGAATGGATTCTTCGATGTCTCAAAACGAGATCTACATGCGGAGATTGTCGCGATGTAACTTTGAGTTCCGAACTGACTTTCACCTCCGCGACCCACCTCTTTCCAAAACGATCAATCATGCATCTACTTAGTTGGCCTCGTTTATGTTGACACATCACAGCGGGCGAGTTGGAAGAGGCTCTGCATGGTACGTAGTCAATATCCCCTTATTGCCGTGTTTTCAAGTTGCATACCTTGTGGTACAACGGATCCGGTACCTTAGCAATGCCTTCGGATTCTTAATGAAGCTGTAATGATTGCCGTCGAAGATTTCCTTACTTGAGAGGATTCCACTGCTCCAGTCGCCTGATGAATAATAAATATCGTGTTTGACGCGACCATGTTCTGGGAACACGGTTTCCCAGCTTCTATACGGCGCGATCAGAAAATTTTTGGCTTGTTCTTTTGGTCCCTACTCCAGCTGTGGGAATATTTACTATCTGCGGCGTGGCGGCGGCAGATTCAGTAATCACTTATTGTAAACGACGATCCGGGCTTATCGTCAATTGATAGCGACATCCATAAACTTTGTCGACGATGTTCAACGGTACCGGTGTCGTACACTCTAATGCTTAGCAACGGCCTACAACAACATAATTTATCCAAAACGGTACACGCAGTTGCCCTTTTAACCCGGGCGAAGTTGGCCTTCAAGTTCAGAAGAATCCGTTTTTCAGTTTCTGTATTTATTTAACCGCAACAAGGACACTCGATTATTGGTTTTGCCCTTAGGTCCCTCCTTCTCTTTTGATCAGAGTCCATTTTCTGGGCCATCCAGTTTCTGCGGGTGTTTCGGTGTGTGATTTGGACGTGTAATACATAGCCGGCTCCGACAGGACCTGATCATCATCAAAGGATACTTTTAGGGCACTCAGGATACACAGTATAAACTGGTACACTAGCCATCAGCGCAAGTAACAACTTTTTCTCGTCACCAGTTGATTATGAATCTCCTATCACAAGCGAAACTTCTTTCTGATTCGTTCGAAATCGAAGAGACAAGGCTGGGAATGTACACACCGGTTTGTACGGGAATGTTCAGGGAGCCTGAAGGCCATGTTCAACAGCTCGAGAAGACAGCGAAAAGGCTGTCCTATCTGATTGTATATCTTGAACTGGTGTGCCCAATTTTGGTGTGCTCTATTATTGGTTTTCGCCTCCCTGGGTTCCACGCCTTTCTCGTGTTTATAGCGGGATTTCATTCCTTCGTGAGCTCTATAGCTTGTACCCCCGCTCCCTCAGGCTTCCACAAGGATACACCTTGTCCCCCATCTGCTCTCACATACACATAAAAATGGTGCACTCCTCCCAGACACCGGTGTTAGACGCTGTACGTTCTTTGGTAGTTGCTTATGCGTCTTCCTCGGGTTCAGCGTCCTTTACTAACGAACGATAAAACTCTCATAGTCTACAAAGCCTTTACTCCCTCCTCCGCAACGCCCAAGGCGTCGAGTACGCTCCATGGTATTAACTGTCTACTCGGACCAGAGTAGCTAAGGGTCAGTTCTCACTCGGTTTCTTAGCCAGCACAACGACCCAGTCGACACACAACTCCCGCTGATGAATTCCCTCCGTGGTTGGATGACATCGACATCGACACAGCGAAATCCAGGGTGCTCATCTTGTACATGGTAATACCAATTAATTATTCTCAGTGGTTCATCTCAATCATTTCTAATAGAGGGTTATTTTCTCGACGGACTATCATGGACAATGGGTTGAATATGCCCTATCAGATTCCAACTGACTTCGAAAAGATGCGCGTCTGGGAGACCAGATCTTTACATTTCCATTTGCAAGGCGTCGCCACAAGCCTGTGTGCTGGCTAGGTCCCCTTCAGGCTTAGCTACACACCATCACATTCTTCGACCATTTCATTTGCAAAACTCTCATCTTCATCGGCTTGTAAAAGGTCCAACAAATTTTGGTCAATTCTTTGATTGCTTTGTGAATTATCCCATCCACTTCCACACACGGACACCACCTTTCCGCTCATCACCATCACCTTCCCAAAACCGACCTCGATGCCATACCTCCTCATAACCCTTTCCAATCAATAGGTCCTTCACGCCTTCTTCTCTCAGCAAAGCGCCAAAAAAGATTAGGTGGCGGGGCCATTCGTGGGCCCAGGGGAATGCGTCGGCGGTCGAAGCGCCTGCAGGCGAAGCGGGAAATGGAGAGGCAGGAAATGTTGGATCGACCGCAGGCGGAAAGCGTTCCATAAAATATTGGTAAGGGAAAGAAAAAAAAATATCTGTCTGGTCACGATATGTAGATAGATCTTGCTTTCTGTTTTCCCAGTTTAGTTACAGTTAATACACCATTAAATTACTCACCCGAGTGGAGGCTCACAACCCAATGCCCACATTCCCCCATTCTCAAGCTCTTTGCGATGAATATACGCTTGACCAGGCAAGGAATGGCAAGGCATCAATATTCCGATGCTCCCACCTTGGAGCTCATTGGTGGGTATGCTCCTGATGTAGGATGTGGCACTAATTGGACCACTGCAGTATAATAATACGACGTAGGCCGCAGTTGGCATAGGAACGAGGAGAATCGCGAGAAATTTTTTGCGAACTGGTGGGAGATACGTAGTTATTGATGCACGAGGCTTGGGTTTCGCCCTTACAGTCGTCGCGGATAGATCGACCAAAGACTGAGAAGCCAGTACGTGAAGGATAGGAAGTAACGGATGGATGAAACGCCACTCTTTGTGCCCTGCGAAAGAATAGACGCCTATCGTCCACGCCACCATTTTCCGCATGGTCCTCGTAGCCGTGTTGCTTTCACTCCCTTGTGTCCACAAGCCGTGGATAGTGAACGGCAATGAAGTGGTACAAAGTATCGGAAGGGCTTGAGAGAGGTAGTAATGCCATGGATTTCCACCATAGAATAAGGCAACGCCAGACAGATTTGTGATGAGGAAGTTCGCTGGAGCGAAAGTAAATTTGCCGTAATATACCCAGTCCAGCCCGACGACAGACGTCAAAACAAGCGTTCTATGGTTCTTGGTGTTAAAAAAGGCTTCGGGGTCAGTGCACGAAGCTTACCCTATAACAATAGCGTCACAAAGAAGAAAGAGTAAAGTCCGCCGGTAGCCCCGAAGAGCCCAAACCAAGTTGGAAAATAGATAGATCCAAATCACTGCGTTCGTCGGCCGGATCGCACAAGCAAGAGCTGCGAACACAAGACTTTTCCGTATCTTTGATCTGGACCATATGAATGTAGAGATGATTTGCAATAGTCTCAAAGTACCTGTTGTATATCAGCTGGGGGCTTAATCTTGTGCTGGCATCCCAAGGGTAGTATGAGAAGGCGATGGTCGTCAAGGATGTCTCAAACGAGTTCGAAAACGACCGTGAGAGCGAGAGGGCGTGAAAGAACGAAGTGAGCGACAAGAACAACTGGAACGTGCCTTAGTACCGGGGCAGAAAGAAGAAGAGAAAGCTTACGGAAGTAGACACATACCGCTCCCCAATTGTTCGTCGAGTCAGAGAACAGATCCAGATGTCAGTGCCTGCCGCTAGTGTCCCGTGCAAGATACGCGGCCCAATGATCTAAGTCAATTCCATAAAATAGGGGAATCGAAGCCATTATGTGCAGCATACCAGCAGGAAGTCACCCCAGGGTCTGATTTCATGTATACCGGTGACCTTTAACGCCCAGTAAATAGGTACGTTCAAAGCCGGGTACAGGATGCTTCGGATGGGGAATGGGTTTAGCCACTCCCATGTAAGATTCCCGTACCCAAATACGATATTATGTGCTGGTTCAAGAGCTTGAAAGTATTCGTCTGGTTGAAAGAAAGTTCGAGTACACAGTGCTATTACTAGTCGCACAGTCAAAGCATAGAAAGTCACAAGCATACGGAAGGAAGTTCAAAGTGGCAAAAAACGGTAATTCGGGCCGGATCTTGTTTGTCTGCAACCCGATGGCCCAAGCACACGAATTGAGTACAAGTCCGACGCAGCACGTCACCTTCTGCCTCCGACACTGAGCGCTCTACATGGACTCGATACGTGTTTCCAAGGTACTGTCCACTGCATAAATATATTCACTGTTCTCTAACAAACTCGTCTAGGTTGAACATGTCGCTTGTACTAAGTCCGGATCCACTTTGACCGGCACGATTCATCTTACGGCGCACCACCTCATCTTTCAGTACGACGAAGACAAAGAGAAGGAACTTTGGGTGGGATATTGTTCTACTGTTTTTGACTGCGTACTTACTATATCTCAGGTTCCCTATCCCCTGATATCACTTGTTACGTGCCTCCCCCAGACTATACAGGGTCAATGTCCTTTGACATTTAATTCACGAACTTTTGAGACATTTACGGTGTCTTTTATGAGGGAGTCTGATGCCATTGATGTCTTCGAAAGTGTGAAAGAGCTCACCGTAGCAAGTGCGTCGAACGTGCTTCTTTCCACATGGCTCCCGTACTGATTACAATCAGCATCTGTCCAGCAACTATACGCATTTTTTTACATCCCCAAACCTCCATTCCCGCGAACAGATGGGTGGTCTTTGTATTCCTCGCGAGAAGAGTTTGGCCGCATGGGTGTCGGGACCCGATCCAAGGCTTGGAGATTCACGGACATCAACAAAGACTACTCTGTGGGTAGTTTGAATGTTTCTCCCGATATCACATATAGATGACCCTCAGTACACCTAGTTTTGCTCTACATATCCTGCCAGGCTAGTCGTCCCGACAAGGATCAGCGACACGACTCTCCAATATGCGTCGAAGTATAGGAGCAAATGTCGAATACCAGTCCTCAGCTATCTTCACTGGTCGAATTACGTGAGGCGACTGGCTTCCCTTCCTTTATTATCTCTCATATTACTTGGTATGGGCACAGGGAAGCATAACTCGGTCGAGTCAACCTATGGTTGGAATCACGCAGAACCGATCCATTCAAGACGAGAAGCTAATAGAGGCAATCTTCCACTCACATCATTCACCTGAATCTCGGGCATCAAAGGCCCCAGTTTATGGTGCAATGACAACCAATCTTATAATTGATGCGCGTCCTACGACTAATGCTGTCGCAAATACTGCCAAGGGTGCTGGTACAGAGAATATGGACCATTACAAAGAAGGAAAGAAGGTCTATCTTGGAATTGATCATATCCACACAATGCGAGAGTCTCTGGCAAAAGTCGTGGAGGCATTGCGGGAAGCCGAAACCACTCTAGCTAGTATCAGCACCGATCTCTCGAGCCAGGTTGCGGGGATATCTGTTTTGGACAGACAAGCTCTCCGTCGTTCTGGTTGGTTGCGTCATATATCGGCCATATTGGAGGGTACAGCTGTGATTACTCGAAACGTCCACGTTAACTCCTCTCATGTTTTGATTCATTGCTCCGATGGATGGGATCGCACCTCACAACTCTCCTCGCTTGCTCAACTCTGCCTAGATCCTTTCTACCGCACCATTCGTGGATTTGAAATCCTCGTGGAAAAGGACTGGTTGTCATACGGACATAAATTTTTAGATCGATGCGGCCACCTCTCCTCCGATAAATTTTTCATTTCAACGCTTGAAAACACGAATACTGGTAGTGGCGCAGACGCAGCGCAAGCATTTTTAGCCTCAATGCAAAACCGATTTGCGTCGCAGAATCACATCAAAGAAACTAGCCCGGTGTTCCATCAGTTCTTGGAGTCGGTCAGACAAATTCAGCGCCAGTTCCCGGAACGTTTTGAATTCAACGAACGATTCCTTCATCAGCTCTACTACCACCTTTATTCATGTCAATTCGGAACTTTCCTTTTCAACTGCGAGAGGGAGCGTCGCATGGGAGATGGTGATGGGCCACCACCTTGCGAACGTACGGTCAGTGTTTGGGATTTCTTCAATTCTCCTAGTGAGATGGAGCAAAATCGGAACGCCGCATATGATCCTTCCTTGGATGACCCTATGAATCGAAGCCCGAAATCGGACATGGGTGTTCTCCTTCCCAATCCTAAGGATGTCAGGTTTTGGCATGAGCTTTACGGGCGTACAGACGAAGAAATGAATGGTCGACTGGTTACGGTACAGGCGTTGGGGGTAGAGGCGACTGTTGAAAGTAGCCAGGATAATCCAATTCAAAGGACCAATACCCCGTCCTTCATTCCACTCCCGCCCTCCCCGTCCAAATCACCTGCGCACTCTTTGGCACCGTCTCGCTCAACGAGCATATCTGTCGCACCACGAAGCATATCACCGATCCCATCGTCTTCTGCTCCGACTATGGAGTCACACCCCCTTCCTGGACCTCCATCTCGGGTGGACAGCTTCAAACCCTTCGGTGCATCCACATCTGCCATCTCCATGAAACCCGCCAATTCCTCTACAACCTCTACCTCCTCTTCAAATCGCGTAACACCAAAGCCACCCGATTTCTTTGGGAGTGGCGGGGTAAAATCCGTATGGGGGAAGCTTTCATCGAATGCTTCCGCGGCATTCTCAGCGGTGCAGGAGGCTTATGTGGGACTATCCCAGGATCCCCGACGGGACGATACGAAGACGGAGGAATTACGTGGCAGGGATAATCTCAATGCTTGGGGAGAATCGGTACCGAGCCAATTAATGGGTAGCAACACAATCAATCCTTGGTCGACGATACCTTCAAGTGCGTCTTCGCCCACCCTTCCTTCGCCATTCGATAACCCTTGGACTTCCACTCGTGGGTCTCCATTGAAAGAACCAGAAACCTTCTCAGAATTATTGAACACGGGTTCTCTTCCCTTAGACCCTACTGTTTCCCCTGCTTTACGCTCTCCACATCCTCGCGGTGTCGACGAGAACCTTGATAGGCTAACCTTGACCGAATCGTCACTGAAAGCCCAAGAGACACCTCCACAAACGCCAGGAAGCAGTAATACAGATCCCCTCGGCGTTGGTTTATTCTAGTTTTCGAACCGATAATCATGACTTTTTTTATCATGGTAAAGCATGATCATTTTACATTAGGATTGTTAGGCACCTGTTGTAATATGAGGATTTAGAATATTTATTTGTGCCATCCAATCTTATGAGCGTTATCTCTTTCGTCAATGGAAAAACAGTCTGTCTCGTCATGGTATCTAACATGGCTTCGAGGGTTGGTACACCTGTACTCTCTTTTTAGGTCGCTGTATTGGTTCCCGTCTCGGATATACGGTCCGCAATTTACCCGGGTCCCGAATCAATATTTTTCGTAACTTTGCATTTTGACCTTGGACGACATGAACTCCTTCCCTTGATGATGAACATGGTATACATATGGCGCTCCGCCTGCCTGCGGGTTGTCTCACCTAACAACTACCGCGTCTTCAGTACCAGCTCACCTTGGAATGCCGCCAAAAATGTACCAATTCACATGGAGGATTTTGCTTGCGACGCCATACGGTAAACCTTGTACTCTGAGAGTAAGGATCGTGATAATTGAAGTCATACTTGTAGCAACTTCTCAATAATAGCACACATCGGTGAGCTGGTGTTAGCTTACGGCCTTACCGAGCGAAATGATGATGCTCACGTCCAGATCACGGAAAATCAACGCTTGCCGATAGGTGTGTTCTCGTATAATCCTTGTTTCCTTGACTAACATGATTTAATAGGCTTTTAGAGGTTCCCGTTTCCCCACTATGCACTGGAATTTTGTCTCCTTACGTGACCTCCCCAGCTGACCGACACGATTCAAAAGAAGCGGACAGGGAAGAATGAGCAGGTTTTAGACAAGCTGAAGGTGGAGAGGGAGAGAGGAATCACTGGTGCTGTCAGTTTTTCTTCTAGCAATCAGTAGGCTTACTATTTGCGCGTCCAGTAAAAGCCCAAACCGCCAGCATGTTCCATAAACATGAAGAAAAGATGCATTTGTTGAACCTTATCGATACTCCAGTGAGGTATTTCGACTACCCTGTTCTTCACTTCGCTGAAACTTTCCAAGGGACACGTAGATTTCGCGTGGGAGGTCTCTCGGTCGTTGGCTGCGTGTCAAGGAGCTTTGTTGCTGGTATAAACTACATCCGTTGTCCAACATCTTTTTGTCTCAGAGGCTTCCAGGTTGATGCTAGTCAGGGAGTTCAAGCACAATCAATATCTGTATTTCATATAGCAAAAGAACGAGGGCTCAAGATTATCCCTATTCTAAATAAGGTGAGGGCTTTGCCTTGGTTGTGAATTTGTACCGACAATAAGACCCATAGATCGACCTGCCTGCCGCACAGCCGGAGCTCATGGCTGCACAAATGGAAGCCGCCTTTGGCATTGACCCGACAGAGATTCTTCATATATCGGCCAAGACGGGGCGAGGAGTAGAGGAAGTCTTGAAGGCTGTTATTGAACGGATACTCCCACCAACGGGTGATCAAAATGCGCCGCTGAAAACGTTTCTTTTTGATTCTCTGTGTGTGTTTCCTTGCTCTCAAGGGCTCGCACAGCGTATTGAGCATTTTCAGGTATGATCGTTACAGAGGTGTCATTTCCTTAATCAGCGTACAGGGAGGAATTATACGGAAAGGTGACCATCTCATCAGCCTACCTGCCTTTTCACTGGTCTGAAGCTGTCTAGGCGACAGAATAGCTTCATGTCACACACGGAAAAGATACGATATCACAGAAATAGGGATAATGCATCCTGAAGAAGTCCCCACAAACAGTCTTTATCCCGGACAGGTAGGGTATGTTGCTTGCAACATGAAGGAATCATCGGAAGGTTAGTGATGTCAATATAATGCCTGTCGTTGCTGGCATCTTATTCAAGAGTAGCTCACATCGGTGACACGCTACATCGCCTTGGCACACCCGTTGAGCCTATGCCTGGTTTCAAGCCATCAAAAGCTATGGTTTATGCTGGGGTTTTCCCAGTAGACAGTAACGACTTCCCTAAGCTTGAAGAATCCATCAAGCGGGTACTTATGTCTTCCTCCATATAAATTCTCCGCTATTCCACTGACACTCTGAATCTCCTAGCTTACTCTTACCGACCGAAGCATTACCATACAACGTGAATCTTCCTCTGCTCTAGGACAGGGCTGTCGTCTGGGCTTCTTGGGAACCCTGCACATGGACGTATTTCGGCAACGTCTGGAGGATGAGTACGACGCAAATATCATCATTACGGCCCCAACAGTGCCGTTCAAGATAATCCCGACAAAGGGCAGCGACTACTTTATCAGTAACCCGACGGAGTTCCCAGACATTGCTGAAAGCATGGGCAAGGTCAAGGAAGTGCAAGAGCCGGTTGTTAGTGCCAGTATAATTGCTCCGGAAGGTAAGAATGCCTCCTTGCAAACCGACGAACCCCCACTCCGAGCTAACAGTTCACTCTAGAATACTTTGGAGAGATCACGGACTTGTGCTTTACCCATCGAGCTGAGAGCCTAGATCACAGGTATCTGGATACTGGTTCGGGTATTGCGTCGTCGAGGATCATCATTACATGCATTATGCCTCTAAGCGAGATTGTAACCGATTTTTTCGATCAGCTGAAAAGTCGGACATCTGGGTTCGCCAGTTTTGAGTGCGCGCATCTTCTACTTCAAATTCAGCTCAATTTTGACCTCGCAATTTTCTTTAGTTATGAGGATGCTGGATATCAAAAGAGTGATTTGGCCAAGGTGAGAGGACTGAAAGCGCCGCCACAAATGTGGGCTTATATCAATTCCACAGATGGTCTTCTTGCTGAACGGCAAGCCCGTCGATGCCCTTGCCCTTATTGTACATAAATCTGCACAGGACAAAATTGGTCGTGCTTGGGTTAAGAAACTTCGTGAGTCCTCAATACATTACTGATGTACATTATGGCTCAAGCTGGAACAGATAAAGTGATTCCTCGGCAGCTCTTCGAAGTCCCCATTCAAGCGGCGATCGGTAAAAAAGTAATCGCCCGGGAGACCCTCTCTGCGATGAGAGCCGATGTCACTGCAGGGTTGTACGGAGGTGCGTCGTAGTGCTTATTAACGAGGCCGTCGAAGAGCTGACATTGGGTAGGCCATTATGAACGGAAACTAAAGCATCTGGAGAACCAAAAGGAAGGGAAGCGCAGAATGAAGAAGGTCGGAACCGTAGAGCTTCCACAAGAGGCCTTCTTTGATATTCTCAAGAAATAGTCGGATGGTATACAACACTAGCACTACTCTAATTATACTGATATAGGATGACTGGCTGTTGTAATATATCGCCGGATCTATAGCACTGTATCTTCGTCGTCGTAGGTTTCTGTGAGGAGCCTAGGAGGTCGAATGAGTAATAGACGCCAATACAAAAACAAAGGCTGACCGATATATTGATGAAGGTGGATGATCGCCACTGGGAAGAGAGTCAATATGCGTCATACTCGTGATATGTAACTCACTGACTCGTTCGTGATATATGCATCAACTAATTCGGGGCAAACATAATCATAGAACGGGTTCACAACATCCACCTTATCAACCAAATCACCCTCCTCAAACCCAAGAACCTTACTGGGGTCGGAGAAATCCAAAGCTCCGTATTCATGGTAGAGATTCCAAAGTGGGGTTACTTTGAATTGCCCTGCACAGACGACAACCGGGGTGCTATGTGCTCGCGCAGCGGTGGCAGCTATTTGTGCACCAGATGTGGCAAACATGCCACCGTTTGCAAGGATTGCATGAGCACCGAGAATGACTTTATTGACTCGAGACATTAGGGCAAAGATTGATGAATCGGGGACGAGGAATGTTGAGATGCCTGCAGACGAGAGGGATGCAGCTAAATCACGGCCGCCATAACTAGAAAACGAAGTCAGTGAAGCGAACTTTCGCAGAAGGCCTGGTACGGACGTAGGTGCTGTCTCGGCAACTATCACAGTATATTTTCGATAATGTGCAGCAGTCTTGAAGAAGGTCTCTACAGTCTTCGATGCGCCGAGAGTGAGAATGATTTCGCTGGAAGCAGGTTAGTGTCGCGACGCGCATGGAACGATGTCCTTACTCTGAATGTACATGATCTTTGGCATTTTTGGACACGTTATCGTACACAGTTTCCAGCTCGTCAAATATGTCTTGGATGGCCTCCATGAGGACAGGTTTCAGTCCTCGTGCGAATGAATCGGGATCAGTTGGGTCATCTTCCTTGAGCGTGCCCTTCTTCTCTGCTTTTGTGACGGTAATATGCTTCCGCGGCTGCCCTTGCAGAACGAATTTCGCTATTGAAAATGATTCTGGTATAGAGGTTGTTGTTCCTTTTGTAGCAGTATGGTATTCCTCTCGAATATGATGCAGAACCTTTCGTACGGTATTACCAACGGAGTGTTCTATGGTGAATGAATTTAATAAAACTCGGTGGAATGAAACAAAAACGCACACACCTTTTGGCTGCGCCTCCACAAGTCTTCGGCCCACAGAACGAATGATATCAACGAGTTGTTCAAAATTGGAGAATCGTGCTTTTGCGACAACTTGGCGTATTACAAGCAGGGTCTCAAGGGCCGATGCGCGTGAACCGACGACTTGTCTGTTGAATCATGAGAGAGAAACACACTTGTTTTCTATTAGCACTGACCGCCGTCGTAGCCGTAGTGCAAGACTTTCGACGATGCGTTGGTCGGCGGCATCGGAAGTCATCGTGGGGGATGTGCAGAACGTTGAGGACGAGTCAGTTTTCGGCTATCCCCGTTTGGTATGGACCCGATTGAGGCACCAACGACATCATACACCGTATCATTGGGTAGACACGCGTCAGGGAGGCAGCTCAACCTCCCTGTCCCGAACCATCATCATCCTTGCCAATGCCGCCTCAAGTGGATCTCATCGTCACATTCAGGGCGTCACAGAAAATCGCCCTGTCGAAGCAGCAAATACGCGACAACGCCCAGAAAGCAGAGCAACAGTATGCCCGCCTCCTTGAGACATTGAGGTACGGTGGTCTTCGAGCAGTATCCAGGAGGGGAGAGGCCCTCGGGCACTTGCTTATCTTTGTATACTGTCCTGATGGCTTGGTCAAGAACCTAGTCAAGAGAGAGCGGTATGTCAATTCATCCTTCGTGGCCATTCAGCGTGGTGCCCATTGACTATCAGCCATTCGGATTTTCTCTCTGGCCTTCCGACGACACCTATCAAATCTGGCACCCAGTTACCGCCGCTGAGCATTTCGGACCGCCTTCGTCTGGTGCATTCATACATAACGTCGATGCCTATTGACGGCGGTTTGGGAATCACACCAGGAACCTCACAATGGGATCTCGTAGAGTCTGTTATGTGCTTGCATGACCAAACCTTCAACGACCAATGGAAGCATACGTGGAAGAGCCGAAAGATTGCTTCGGTCTCAGACGATAGAATACGGGATCAAGTACGTCTTCATTACTAGCAAGTCAACTCAGCTGACTTACTTTAGTTTGGCGATTCTGTGGCTCTCTACTTCTCTTTCCTCCACTCGTACACTCGCGCCCTTATAATTCCGGCTATCCTTGGTGTTGCCTTCTATTTCTTTGGCTCGCCTTATTCGCCTATGTACTCCACCTTACTCCTCCTTTGGTCAGTTACGTTCGTCGAATGGTGGCGTGTCCAGGAGCGCATTGTCTCCCTCCGCTTCGGAACACGAGGTTCCTTCCGTGTGGAAAAACGGCGTGCCCAGTACAATCCCAATTTTTCGTGGTGGAAGCGAGAACTTCGAATGCTTGCAAGCCTTCCGGTGGTCTTACTATTTGCTGGTGTTCTTGTTGTCCTCTTGACAGCGATATTCGTGTTTGAAGCTTTTGTCACGCAGTTGTATACAGGCCCAGGACACAAGTACATTGTAAGTCGGATGTATATGCTGATGACTTGTTAAACCAACTTCCTTTTAGAGTCTCAGCCCTACCATCTTATTTGCGATTTTAGTCCCACGTTTACTGGACGTCTATCAAGTGATAGCCTCAAAGTTCACAGACTGGGAAAACCATGCACATCATTCTTCATATATCTCTTCACTCAGTCTAAAAACCTTTGTCCTGACTGCCCTTGTTGCATACCTCGGTCTCGCCTTGAGCGCCTTCGTCTACGTGCCGTTTGGTGAAGGCGTTATGCGTGTTGTACAGTCGTCGATCTTCTACACTCACGGTACTCCCGCGGATTCACCCGACAAACCGACCGCAGGCATTTGGGAGGTCGATGCTACCACAGCTGGTCGCAAACTCAACCCAGGACGCCTCCGCGATCAAATGTTCGCGTTTACAGTGACTAACCAGGTTGTAAACACGTTCATGGAAATTGGGTTGCCATTTGTTCTCCGGGCTGTTGAAAAATACAGAAACGGGAAAAAAACCAATTCGGGAACGTCATCTCCAAAGGGCAAAAAGAAAGTGGTGTTCGAAGATGAGAAGGAAAAGGGAGGTGAGGAAGAAAGAGAATTCTTGGAAAGGGTCCGCAGCGAAGTCGCTTTACCCGAATATGACATCTTCGGAGATTACAATGAAATGGTGATTCAGTTTGGCTACGTTGCGTTATGGTCGACGATATGGCCTTTGGCCCCTTGTAAGCTGTAAAATCTTGGCAAAGATCTGATGCTAACTCCTCATTCTAGTGATGGCACTGGTCAACAACTTTTTCGAGCTTCGATCGGATGCTTTCAAAATCATTACTCACGTCCGCAGACCCATTCCCTCGAGGGTTGACACGATCGGACCCTGGCTTGACGCGCTCACTTTCCTCGCCTGGCTAGCGTCATTGACCAATGCATCGCTGGTGTATCTGTTCTGCCCCAGATCACAGGTCTATTGTAATACGACGACGTCCTCGTCAATCGAAAAGGTCAGCCAAGAGCTCTTCTCTGCTGGTGTTGCTGGGATCGAAGGGCAGGCCGCGACGATGGATCTACTGAAAACTGCATTGTTGGTTGCTTTTGCTGCTTCCCATGGATATATACTCCTGCGTGTCGTCGTTCGACATGTGGTTGAGAGAATAGTCTGGAAGGCCAGTGAGGAAGTGAAAGAGAGGGAGAGGGAAGAAAGGGAAATCAAGGAGTCGTTTTTACGGGGTACTGCCGAAAAGGGTGAAGACGATTTGGGAGAGGTGAAGAGTGGTGATGCTGATGTTGACGAGGTGTTCTGGAATCATGATGAAGGACTGCAGGAGATTCAGAGAATATCGAAAGAGGCATGAACAGGAATGTACATGTAGGTTTTTGTCTTGGCACACATATATACGACGCCGCTTATCGCTTCTATGGACTTCAATGATATGTAAGGAACACAAGGAGACTTTCAAATAGCAGGACAGTGTAAGTGAGTCCATAAAGGAGCCGATGTTTATTTCTCAAGATAAGACAGAACGCCCGTCGTCCTCGAATCATATAGTACATGAACAACACAACCACATCGTGTAAGATCCTTTGTATCCATCATTCTTTCCTTCGCGCGACGCGCCGAGCATTGCTCTAGCTTCTTTGTTATTTATCTGTCTCATCTATCCACTGTTGTACTACCTACACTAAAGCTGACTGTCTCACGGAGAGCTTATCATGACAGATCAGTGATTCTGAATGTCCTCGCTACGATGGACTGTGAAAAGCTACGCAAGGTCTCCAGAAACATATACTTGCTAGGCATCCTAATGACGAAAGAGGTCATAGAAGTGTTGGCATCATCCTTAGCTTCAAGTTAAGAAAAGTCGGATACACTCACGAAGACCGGCAACCTAGAACGGCCGCTCATACGAACTGCACTGGATGAGGAAGAGCTCACACTAGAAGACTGGTTGGGTGATCATAACTTGGAGCGAGGGGAGGGTCCGGCGGTTAAACAATAGTAACGATAATAGGGGAAAGACGACAATGCTGACAGACTTCAAGTTCGAGAACACCAAAGGAACACTCTCCGTGCACACAAACCCGTGCGTAGCCCAAGTTATGGCGACCTCGACCCCCTTGGGTACCAAAAACTCAAGACACGAAGACACGAGAAAACTATGACTGAAAATCCCTCTACATACCTACTGTAACTACTGGGATGGGCCACGAGCAAGCGCCACCGTTTCTCTGTACATAGATTACGGGTTGTGGATTCGAAATACAGATCCAAAAAAAACGATTCCTACCACGCGGCCCAACCTTATTCCCGTTACGAGTTACAAAGTAGTAGGTTGTACAAAGTCGCACTTAGTGGCAGCAAGAACGAGAACATTAGTACATACTAGTACATCACTGTGACCTCCAATTTACATCCTACACGCGGAAGCTGAGCTTCCCAATTACATTAACACGCAACACCATACTTGGGCTTCCGAGAGAGGTAGCTGCTGGGGAGCTTGTCGCTCTAGCGTAGATTGTCGAGTTCCCTCATTCTGGTCCGTGCACTGTTGTTCTCGAGACCTGCGATCAGCTTCTTGCTGCTCCCTTTTGTGGCGTTCGTCTTCTTCTCGCTTTAACCTTGCTCGTTCCCGGTCAGCCTCTGCTGCAAGAAGAGTAGCAATTCTATCCTGCTCCCTTCTCTCTCGATCGTATTGCTCTTGCGCAATGCGACGAGCTTCCGCCTCATTAGAAAGCCGAGCTTGTTCAAGGTCAGCTTCATGCTGCTCCCTTCTGTGATGTTCGTCTTCTTCTCGCTTTAACCTTTCTCTTTCTCGCTCAGCCGCTGCTGCAAGAAGAGTAGCAATTCTATCCCTCTCCCTTCTCTCTCGGTCGTATTGCTCTTGCGCAATACGACGAGCTTCCGCCTCATTAAGTCGAGCCTGTTCAAGGTCAGCTTCATGCTGCTCCCTTCTGTGACGTTCATCTTCTTCTCGCTTTAACCTTTCTCTTTCTCGCTCAGCCGCTGCTGCAAGAAGTGTAGCAATTCTATCCCTCTCCCTTCTCTCTCGATTGTGTTGCTCTTGCGCAATGCGACGAGCTTCTGCTTCATTAAGTCGAGCCTGTTCAAGGTCAGCTTCTTGCTGCTCCCTTCTCTCTCGTTCCTCTTCTTGCATCCTCCACTGGGCTACTCGCTCTAACCTTGCTCGTTCTCGCTCAGCCTCTGCTGCAAGAAGAGTAGCAATTCTATCTCTCTCCCTTCTCTCTCGATTGTGTTGCTCTTGCGCAATGCGGCGAGCTTCCGCCTCGTTAAGGCGAACCTGTTCAAGGTAATCGGTGCCTTGAGAGACGTCCACCCCTGGGTTTTGGTGCTGGGGTACAGTAGCCTGAGGTTGAGGCGGAGCTGGAGCTGGAGCAGGCTCATCACCATATATACCTCCGTGCGCAGTAGTCATATGGTCGTAGATTTGGTCTGCATTGAAAGCTCTCGTGCAACACCAACAAATATGAGCTCCGCATCTAGAAAGACTGGTCAGCTCAAATGAGTAAATAGAGGAAGTGGACACGAACGGGCATGTCATATGATTGCATCCTTCCGTCTTCTCTAGGAGGCGTGAGCACGTCGGACATTTCTTGATACTACGCTGCTGCAAAAGCCATGCCTCACTCATTCGTTCCTGCTCTGCCGGGTTATTATGAATACGAGCATCTTCACAGCTCAATCTTTCATGCGAATCTTCGCCACACGAAGAACATATCTCTGAGAAGCAAGATGGGCATCGTAAAACAGACATCGCTTCCGACCTGCGGTATATCTGTGTACAATCCGGTGTCTTGCAGTACCTGAACTCCTGCGGATGTCTGTCAACATGCGTCGTGAAAACAGTTTCTAGAAGGCGGTTGAAGGCAGCCTGTGGAAGGAACTTTTGAATGACAGGGATGGAGATGGGTGTTCCGCATTTTGATTCGTCCCCCATGCATACAAGTGGAAAAATTCTGGTCTCGGCGGCAGAGGTGAGGAAGTGGCGAATACAACCTGTGCAGTAGACATGCTCGCATACCAATTGAAACGGCGTCGAAACATCATCGTAACATATGGGACATGTATGGGATCCGGGTGCGACGTCCACATTGATAGACTTGAGGGACTCGGTGACATGATTGTCAAGATGGAGCCGGACCTCCTCGCCTCCTCTTACTGTGATGGCAGCAGAACGAATATCCAGCGCCACGTTGTCTTCACCAAAAACCTCCCTCATCGCTGCAAGACCAGTCCGGACAAAGTAACCAACCGAGGGACGTCGCAATGTTACAGAAAATTCCAGAGACGCAAGGCGTTCCAACTCCTCCATAACAATTGTCTTGGCCTTTTCCACCGCCCTCGGCTCTCCATACAGCTTGAGCGTCCGCTTCCGAGAATCCGAGCGTAAAAAGGCGCCTGCTTCAGTGATCCTCTGCATTAATGGGGCTTGAGGAAAAGCTAGATGGTCGTGCCAACGGTCGATCTTTTCACCAGCAGCTAAACTTTCGACACGGACTTTGAGTGCACCAAGGGCAGCCTTGATCGTCCCTGACACCTGGATGCGGTAGTTCCCGCCGTTGAGCTCGTGAATAATGATGTTACAGGCTTTACGATCTTTGATGTTCTTTTGAAGCTCCTTCCAAAGATTTTCTTGCGCATGATACTGTCCGGATGGGATGGTAAGGTTGTAAAGTGCTTGAGCAGAGATTCGGAGCCAAAACACGGAGTTGCAGATAAAACTGAAACGTCGGTCCAGGAGAGCATCATGAACCTTCTTTGCGTTATCCCACGTATTGAAGCGGGCACGAATTGAAAGCACCCCAGCTTCATTATCACCTCGAGAGGTAACATCGAAAGATTGCATTTCGATGCCCTCCATTTGATTGATATGCAGCCGTAGAGAGCGAATCGCTGAATCTACGTCGAAGCTATGAGGTTTGAGAGCACGAATTTCATGACTCTGAGCGAAGTCAATCACAATGGAGGGAGGGACAACATCAGGCAGGTTACTGATCTTGATAGTGTTTGGTCGGAAGCTGGGCACAATACGACCTGGGGGGAGTTGGTTCATTTCCACCTGCACCCGCCGTCCGGCACATATACGACCGTCGAGTTCCCTCACTTTAGTGCGACAGAAATTTATATCAGGATATTCGGCAACGTAACGGACGGAAGGTGCGCGGCACGAGATTGTCAACGTATTCTTGTCCCTTGGTGTCAGAGCACCCATTGCACCAGGTGCATTGAATATCCCGACTTCAAACTCCAGCCTCTCGTGTCTGAATTCGAAACCTTCAAGACCGGCAGCTAACGATTGCGCAACATCTGCGTTCGTAATGATATCTGCTTCCTTCTTCCCGCGTCTCCCAGGGGTGTCCTTCACAGATACGATGTGAAACTCAGACATATCAAGACCTTGTTGGGTAAACAGGGCTGCAATTTCTTCCTGGCTGGCGTCGCTGGGGATATTTTTGACGCGAACTTTGCAGGATTCAAAGCCCGTAATGGTGTTCTCGATGGAGAGACCCGAACTGAATGTGACGATCGAACTGGCGAGGACGACACGCTGCATAGTAACCTGAGCATCAGTGGAACGACGCTGTTGATCGATGCGCCGCTGTTCCTCTTCTTGCCGACGTCGTTGTTCTTCTCTCCTCCGTTGAGCCTCTTCCTGCTGTTGTCTTGCTTTCTCCTCTCTTCGACGTTGTTCTTCCGCCCTTTTGCGCTGTTCTTCTTCCCTTTTGCGCCGCTGTTCCTCTTCTTGCCGGCGTCGTTGTTCTTCTTTCTTCCGTCGAGCCTCTTCCTGCCGTTGCCTTGCTTCTTCCTCTCGTCGACGCTGCTCTTCCTCCCTTTTCCTTTGTTCTTCTTCCTTTTTCCGTTGCTCTTCCTCTTGCCGACGTCGTTCTTCTTCCTGCCGTTGCCTTGTTTCTTCCTCTCTTCGACGCTGCTCTTCCTCCCTTTTGCGTTGTTCTTCCCTTTCACGTTGCTCCTCTTCTTCCCGACGTCGTTCTTCTTCTCTCCTCCGCCGAGCCTCTTCCTGTCGTTGTCTTGCTTCCTCCTCTCGTCGACGTTGCTCTTCCTCCCTTTTGTGCTGTTCTTCTTCTTGTTTTCTTCGCGCCTCTTCTGTGCGTCGTCTAACCTCCTCCTGGCGACGTTCCTGCTCTTCTTTGCGCCGTTTTTGTTGTGCCTTTCGCCGACCCTCCTCCTCTGCCTTTCGCCTTCGGCCCTCTTGTTTCTTCCGTTCTTCAGCTTCGCGAGTCGATCTTGCTTGTTCCATTTCAGGCTCTCTCACATGCGTCCCTTCGGGCTCCAGCAATCGAAGTCTTTCCATCTCGACGCGTCTCTGGAGTTCGACGACTTTCTGGACCTGTCCTGATAAATGAATAATAACGCGATTAAAGTAGTCGTATCATACCCCAGTATTACGGATGTTACGTCGAGGCTCCAGATTGATTGAAGTGTTAGTTTGGCCTTCCACGTTACTGGCCTGAATGATTTCTCAAGATTAATATCACGACTCGCGCTAGAAAACAGGAAGGCCACCTCGGGATCACGGACAAGTCTGCATCGCTCCCCTTGTAGACGATGTCCTGGACACGGTGTTCCGTTTTTCACGTTACAATATTGCAGCGTTCTCGAGGTGTTGGGGCTTGATTGCTCATCGACAACGGGAAGAATTGCAAGCTCTTCCTTCTGCCTCCTTTCCAATTCGAGCTCCAGTTTGATTCTTTCAGTCTCTATGCGTCGTCCTTCAGCTGCTTGGACCTGTACGCAAGACTTAGTGATTGAGACCAACATAATTATTTACATACCTCAGGATCATGAGCATACCAGCATTTCTCGCCTTTGGCACAGGATCCGCTCTTCCACGAATAGCATGGTTGCTCGCCTTTCTTTGTACGACGAGAACTTGACGCTTGCTGTCCACTTTCTTCCTTCTGCTGCCGATCAGGGCTAGCTAAAGCGTCTGATGATAGACTTTCCACCTCGTCTGCCTTAATAATTGGATTACATGATGTTACGGCCCGCGTTGGAAAGAGAAAGAGAAAGATACGCACTAGCTCGGAAAGATTGAACTGCTCTCCTTGCTCACAATTTCCTTTCTGTGGCAGAGAGGACGATATTGTGTCCTTGGAAATGCGGCCTTCTGGTGGGCTGAGATTAGGTTGAGCATCAACGTTGTGGATGACACGATGATTGGAGCTGTCGTTATTCGATGTACGACCCCGCCGTTTCTTCCTTTTGTTGTTGACAGCTGTGCTTGGTGTCTCCTGCCATAAGGACCGCTGTGAGTAAAAGGCGACGTGAAAACATGTCAGCAAGGCCTACAGAACTTCCACCAGAGTGCTGCATCCTACAGCGTGTCCCATTCTTGCAGTTTCCTTGGAGAAAAAGACGGCATACTGTAGAGTTTGGGGCAGACATGACGGTGCGAAAGCCGTTCCACGGCGCTAATCTTGAGCCTTCATGCATCAAAGAAGCCCGGACTTCCTCCGGTCCCAGCAAAGTCGATGCATTAGAATGAAGAGCATTGAACCTAGACCTAGAACAGATGACTAGCTCCTTTCATTAATGCCAGTCGGTGTTGCGCCTTGTGTATCATGGTTGCAGGAGCAGGAAGGAAGCTGAAGGAAGGAGTCCTTCAGATTGCCTTCAGATGTCAAAAAGGGTTCGGACCGGACTTGAACGGGCTGGGCGCCTTGTTTATTATGTAACGAAACCAATGGTTAGGCAGGCGAGGCCCGGTTAGGCCTTGCCAGGTTTTGTATCTAGAATCTTGGGAATGTATGTTTTAGGGCGATATATGCGAGCTTTCTCGAAGCGCCTTCAAATTCATGCTGTTATGGATCTCATGCACTTTTCCGACTTGAGTATGAGTCAACACATGCCTGCTCTCGGCCTTCTCGGTCTTGACCTCGGCCTACCAGAATCTTCTCTTATTTTCTTTTACTTTCTCTATTCTTCTTGCTGATACTAGAATACTACGGAACATTGTAGAATTATAATGACTCAATGCCTTACTAGTAGGATATAAATATTGTCTTTACCATGGTATTAGAATCTTAAGCTAATTTTACTCATCTTCGAAGTCCACTTAACTGTGTGAACTGAGCATCTCTGATCGGTTATGCCAAGCGCTTGCCAATCAATTGCTTGCCGACTACGCCTACACAGCTGGCTGGTGACTATTTTGGGGTGGTCAAAATGCGTGCAAAATGCATGAAAATGGTATAAAGTTTTGGCACCGGATTTTGCCGCATGAAAATCAATAATTTTAACTAAGCAATATACAACTAAATTATATAATCTTGCTGGTGTTTAATCCCCGGGGAATATAATCATTTTGCAGTAGCTAGAATGAAAGCAATGTTATAAATTCACGCGCACTTTGAAAACCTATTGTTTTGCCATCTGGCAAAATGCAGGATGTGATCCGCATTTTGGCTGATCCGGAATGCCTTATATAGACTTCTGACAAAATTCAGCCTTTTGCTGTCAGAAGTCTATATAAGGCATTCCGGATCAGCCAAAATGCGGATCACATCCTGCATTTTGCCAGATGGCAAAACAATAGGTTTTCAAAGTGCGCGTGAATTTATAACATTGCTTTCATTCTAGCTACTGCAAAATGATTATATTCCCCGGGGATTAAACACCAGCAAGATTATATAATTTAGTTGTATATTGCTTAGTTAAAATTATTGATTTTCATGCGGCAAAATCCAGTGCCAAAACTTTATACCATTTTCATGCATTTTGCATGCATTTTGACCACCCCAAAATAGTCACCAGCCAGCTGTGCTAGTGCTTTTCGGAAACCCAGTCAGTTACGCCTAGCGCTTGCTGATGCCCTCATTAACTATGCCTAGCGCTTGTTAGCACCCTTACGGATCCCTCTTGGTGGTTGGAACTCAGCTTACGGACATCCTCGCTCATGACCTGGGTTTTACTCGAGTACTCATTACTTTGTGTATTAGCTCAAAATACCCTGATTCTTAACACATGCACTGTCAACATCTCGAGAGAAGTTGCGTAAAGTCTGCAGTTTTCAGAAATTTAGACCACCTCTTCCAATAAAGCCAGATGCGTCTGCTGGCATACATGAAGCTCAGAGTTGTTGTTAGACCTGGCTAGTGGTCTTTGGGACTGGTGCCATTCTAAAGATTACATGAGTCGGTTGTGAGATAATGTACAAATCTGTTGAAAGTCATGTCGATTTTGCACCCACTGTGCGATGCAATCATACTCTATAAGAATTCAGAAAGTGTGGTGACGATTAAAAAGATTCCAATGATGAAAGCAATTTATTATACTCAATTGTCCTAAATCAAGCCTATCAACAAATTCAATCAAGCCTCTCCTGTCATCTGGTAAGATTGTGACCTTGTAGGCCTGTTCAATTCTCTCGAAATCAAGATGCTGAAAGAGACTTCCAAGCGGGAAGATGGGACTTGTTTCCATAATATGAGAACTCTCAAGACTGTGATCTGAAAAACCAGGGAGTGCGTTAGTTGTGAATGAAGCGACATTATAGTTCCAGGGTCTGCCACAGGTAATCCTGATCTAAAAGGGACTACGATCAGAGGATCATCATCACGAGATGCAACGAGGGCTGCGAAAGGGTCAGAGGAGTTTTGAGTATTGGGCCTGATAGCTATAGCCACAACGACATCTGCCTTGTGCTTGGTGGCTGATCGGCTCCAGGCTTCTACCTCCTTGATTAGTGCGGGCTAAGTTTCCAGGCAAGTTTCGTTCTGGTAGGTGACCTCGATGACGATAGGTACCAGGCAAGGGCGATTCCGAAGTAGGAGTAGTATATGTGGTATTTCAAGTCGGCCTGTGCAAGGACAAAGTAGTAGAGATAGTGATTGAGCCATCTGGCTCCTTTATCATCTTGCGATGATCTTCATCTGGACGAATAATACTGTGGAGGGGCGATGCACCCTGCGCAGGATGGAATAAGCGACTGGAAGCCAAATTGAAGCCATGCCCACCGTTGAAATGACAGATCCAAAGACGTCCCCTTCCTCATGCTTATCACCACCCCCAAGTACTTCGCCATGGTATCAATGAACTTTAGTCCCAGACAATTCGAAATCATTCTCGTGAGCTTGCCAGCCATGAATTGGTGTACACAGAAGGGGTCCCCGTATATGTGCATGTATCCCGTCTCAAGGTCGCAAGAAATCTGATATCTGCCTTTACGTCTGTCACTCCGGCTTCGAACACAGACTCTCGGATGGGCTGGGGAACCTCCTAGGGGCCTTCTCCCTTGACATCTTGATAGTGCTCGATAGTCTGCTGAAAAGCGGACGAGAATTGTTTGACTTTGTCCTTTATATCTGGCTCAAGAGTGGAGAAGTCCTGTAGATCCGGATCAAAGCAGTCTAAATCAACCTCTGTGCCCCTAGACAGTACTTTGACCTCGGCCTTGGCTCCTAGGGTTTTTTCTGCCACAAACATCTCTTGGTGGTACTCGTTGGGGTGTAGGTATCGAATGAAGCTCGGGTTGAGGATAGCAGTGTATGAACCGGAAGTGATTGACTATGAAACAGTATATAGTGTCAAGTGAGTGTGTGGAGGTGATGGAGCAGGACAGAAATGTTTCTGACGCAATAAATAAGGGAGTCTATTTCTGGACCGATTATCCCGCTCTTTGCTTTTCAGCCACCATCATGGCTCCCTATCATCCTGCACCCTCAACCACTCGTAAAACCCAATACAGGACGCCGTACTCTCGTAGGATTTTTTTTTTACATTACCTTACACTATGTGACCGGTGTTTCTCTTCCAGCTATCAAACCATACAAATGATCATCCAGTGATCACCTCTGCAGTACAACCGCAACAAGCCTGGACCCTGACAAAGTGCCCCACCAGAATCTCATTCTCACCGAATCTTGAATAACTGGTACCAACGACCACCTATTCTTGATCCTATCTATGAGAGCCCTCCTCACCTGTAGCTACTACTTTGATGCATCAAACACTGTTAGTTAACAGTTAATTGTGATACATCAGGAGTGTCAGTTTACATCCAGCCCATATACAGTAATTCCATCAGGATGACAAAGTGGCTTAATAAGCTTCCCAATCTGTGTCAATGATAGCATCATTAGAAAAGAGGGCAATTCCGGAAATTGAACCCGGGACCTCAAAAATAAATCCAATAATATCACATGACTTTCTCAAGAAGGCATGCTAACCACTACACCATACTGGCATTATATATATATCTTTTCATCTCTATATATACCCTCTCTCCCTTAACATTTATGACCTCATACAGTTATTTACTGGTCATTGCAACACCATGGTTCAATGAAACACTTAGCCTCTTGCTCTCCCTCCCTTCATCCTTCATCATTAATTTGTATTACATTGCTGATGTGTATTGTATCTTCATGTTCTACAGTAATTCTTCATATATGACATGGATAATATTTCGAGAAATTGAGGCTTCTGTTCTAAAAATATCTATTTTCTCATGAACTCAAAATCTGACCCAGAAATGTGTGTCCTCTATCTGAATGTAATCACCCACAAAGGCCTCAATAATGTTAATGACCTTCTGAAGAACCTGTATGACAAGTTTGAGACTAGGTGCCCATTATCTGAGAAGTCTAGGGCATAGATAAAAGTGTGGTTCTGCTAAGCTATTGCCTTTGATGGACAGTCTGACAGTCCAATGCGCCTATTATTGCCCCATTGCCTCCAAATTTTATTTCTCCTCTTGCTCAATTTTTTACTATGCCTGGACATGCTAAATCAAACTTGAAAAAGTGCCAGATTACTCACAAATGCCATGACCAGCTAATGGAAAAGACAGTCATTGCACACAAGAATGAGCTTGCCAAACTACCTGGTGCTCCTCAGAAAGATGCAAGAAAAATCTGCAAAGATTTCGAGGCTATATATCAGAGGGAGACTGGAAAGGAGATCTCACTTTCTTATAGCACTCGAGTGATTCCAAGTTGCTGACTAATGAGGTTTGGATACATGGGCCAGACTGTTTCAATGACTCAAAATAGCCCAGAATACCCACGCCACAATAATGCTGTGAAAGTGGACTTGTACCCGCACCTTTGAGCATCTTTTTTTTACTGTATCTTATTGTTGCATAGTATTACACATTCTTACATTCAAACCTAGTCAAAATTCCCAACCAATTGGAACCTACAGTAAATATCCAATTTTGCTGTTTCATTGACCGGTAAATAACTGTATTGATGCCCTCCCTTTGCTCCGCTCTGGTGCGCTCTTTTGCCTTTTTAGGCTCCCCAAATCAGCCCATCAATTTTGGCTGGATCCAGTGGCAGTGCCGCATTTTTAATACCCAAAATAGGGGCCATTTTCCGGTCAAAACAGCTATTTGGGCTATTCTCAGGCTACTGGCTGGGCCAGGGGATGGCACTATAATCTGTATAGACATAAACAACGTAAAATAGAGCCCTCTAATGATACATAGGAGCCCTGGATAGTGGGATAAAAGGGTAATATAATGAAAATCGCATAAATATTCGCTTTTGGGGGCTGCTGCATGCATTGGATCGGCTTGAGGACTTCACCAATCGATTCCCTGACCTTGAAAACACCCAAACGAGCCCTCCACAGTACTTTTGGCACACTTTATTCCTGGAGATAAACGAAAATATTCGCTTTTTAGGGTGCAGCATGCTCCAGATCGCTTTGAAAACATTACCAGTCGATTCCTATGCTATAAAAACCCTAGAATACATCCTCCTTCGTAATATAGGTCCAGTATAATACAGTATAAAAGGGGGTATTAGGGGGCATACATCGCTTATTTTGTTTTTCGCACTTCGGATGGCCTGGGGAGCATCACCAATGGCTTCCCTGATATTAAAAACCCCAAAACGACTCCAGCCTTCATTTATAGGGTCTCAAAAACGACAGAAATAATGATATTACAGTTTAGGAGGAGCACATGTAATAAATCCTATTTCTGGGCTTCGGACCACTTCGGAGTTTTGTCTATTGTGTTTATTGACCTAAATAACACTCAAATGACCCCACAGGACAAAGGAAACCATCAGAAATACGTGATAAAAAGAGTAATAGGGGGATGGAGGAGACATACCTTATATTTCGCATTTCTAATAGTTAGGGAGGGTATTCTTGTTATATAACAGACTGTATATATTGTACAATGTTGTGTACGAAGCCCCATGGATATCCGAAATGTATTGAATGAGATATGAGCAGATCATTCTGTAAAACAGGAGGAGCACATCCCATATTTCGATGTTCTGCTCATTCTATGGCCTGGGGACTATCAGATTCGGATTCCTTGACCCAAAAAACAGTAGGGGCACCTATCATCCATGGTATTCAGATGTTCAAACTCCGAAGTACAAAATGTTCTCTCATTTGTTACTTATATTGTCCTGTAGCTACATATGGCTGTATGTGTTATCTGGGTAGAATGGCTCCTATGGATGATAAGTGCCCCTACTGTTTTTTGGGTCAAGGAATCCGAATCTGATAGTCCCCAGGCCATAGAATGAGCAGAACATCGAAATATGGGATGTGCTCCTCCTGTTTTACAGAATGATCTGCTCATATCTCATTCAATACATTTCGGATATCCATGGGGCTTCGTACACAACATTGTACAATATATACAGTCTGTTATATAACAAGAATACCCTCCCTAACTATTAGAAATGCGAAATATAAGGTATGTCTCCTCCATCCCCCTATTACTCTTTTTATCACGTATTTCTGATGGTTTCCTTTGTCCTGTGGGGTCATTTGAGTGTTATTTAGGTCAATAAACACAATAGACAAAACTCCGAAGTGGTCCGAAGCCCAGAAATAGGATTTATTACATGTGCTCCTCCTAAACTGTAATATCATTATTTCTGTCGTTTTTGAGACCCTATAAATGAAGGCTGGAGTCGTTTTGGGGTTTTTAATATCAGGGAAGCCATTGGTGATGCTCCCCAGGCCATCCGAAGTGCGAAAAACAAAATAAGCGATGTATGCCCCCTAATACCCCCTTTTATACTGTATTATACTGGACCTATATTATGAAGGAGGATGTATTCTAGGGTTTTTATAGCATAGGAATCGACTGGTAATGTTTTCAAAGCGATCTGGAGCATGCTGCACCCTAAAAAGCGAATATTTTCGTTTATCTCCAGGAATAAAGTGTGCCAAAAGTACTGTGGAGGGCTCGTTTGGGTGTTTTCAAGGTCAGGGAATCGATTGGTGAAGTCCTCAAGCCGATCCAATGCATGCAGCAGCCCCCAAAAGCGAATATTTATGCGATTTTCATTATATTACCCTTTTATCCCACTATCCAGGGCTCCTATGTATCATTAGAGGGCTCTATTTTACGTTGTTTATGTCTATACAGATTATAGTGCCATCCCCTGGCCCAGCCAGTAGCCTGAGAATAGCCCAAATAGCTGTTTTGACCGGAAAATGGCCCCTATTTTGGGTATTAAAAATGCGGCACTGCCACTGGATCCAGCCAAAATTGATGGGCTGATTTGGGGAGCCTAAAAAGGCAAAAGAGCGCACCAGAGCGGAGCAAAGGGAGGGCATCAATATGAGGTCATAAATGTTAAGGGAGGGAGGGTATATATAGAGATGAAAAGATATATATATAGTGCCAGTATGGTGTAGTGGTTAGCATGCCTCCTTGAGAAAGTCATGTGATATTATTGGATTTATTTTTGAGGTCCCGGGTTCAATTTCCGGAATTGCCCTCTTTTCTAATGATGCTATCATTGACACAGATTGGGAAGATTATTAAGCCACTTTGTCATCCTGATGGAATTACTGTATATGGGCTGGATGTAAACTGACACTCCTGATGTATCATAATTAACTATCAACTAACACCTTTCAAACAGAAATCTAGCAGATCAGGCTGCCCTCCTAACTGGCGGAGGCAAGAGGTATTGTTTGACTTTGAAGATTCTTTTCATGCACCAGAGGAGAGGGAGGAAGATGATGATGAGGACAACGACGTGCCGTTTCCCTGGGAGGACGAGCAGACACTCATAGATGAACTCTCACGTGATGGGTGAGTATCGATGCGCATATAATCAGTTTTTTATTCATTCTCAATGCCCCCAAAGTGGTGGCGAACCAGACGACGACGAAGTTCTCAGGCTCATCGATTCGCTCCAAACCTCCTTTACGTGCTACTCCAATACCCTTGTTGACGACATCGCACAGACCCTTGTTCCTGCTGTCAGACGTGTCAAGGAAGCCCATCATATTCTCAACACCCATGTCGATGAGGATTTCGGGAAGGGATTGTGGGAGTTCCATGACGCGTGTAAAAAGATAGAAGTAGCGATGTTGAAGGATGCGAATAAGGTGAAGGAGGAGTATGAAGCTGTGCAGGTGAGCTAGGCTTCCATGTTTTAATACTTTCTTTTCAATGTTTGTCTTCCCAGGTACACATCGCGGATATCATGGCCAAACTTGAGGATGCATATGCCCAAAGGGACCAGCTCTGGGTCGACTTTGAGGTCAAGTTCAATGGGATTGGTACACTCAACCTCGTCTCTTCACGTGTTCTCCTTTTCGAACTTGTTACAGTGGACCCAACGATTGACATGCTCAAAGACCTTCCCGTCAGAATGGAACGTGCTATCTCCGAGGTCGATAAACAGAGCAAGAAACTAAATAAGGACGATGTTGGACCGGAGCAGACTCTAAAGGACCTCTTAACAAAACTGACTTGATTAATGCTTACTTGGACCTGCTTGCAGACAATGCCCTACTCTTTGCCTATGTATTTAGCCTCCATTCCTTACTGCGGCTCCGATATGCTTCTGAACCTCTCTGCTTATAGAATGTACTAATTGATTCGTGATTGGCTTCTTGTACCTTGTTATAATGTCTTCATTCTCGAACAGTGAAGCTTCTCCCATGCTTTCTGTCAGCCCTTAGTCCCGAGACGGACATCAGGCTGTCAAATGTGTTGCGCTCGTTAATGATGGGTGGGACAGCAGCCTCACGAGGAATACATGAATACTTGGAACATCCCTAGATCATGAAATATCAGCTATCGTTATTTAACGGTCAGAAGATCGAAAGTCGTTACTTGGTGTCTTATCAATAAGGCTAGGCATTTGGTGAGGAGGGCAATGTTAGCTGGTGTCGCCGGTGGTACCAGCTCCGTTGGACCTGCTTCTATTCTGACGTTATCCTACTCTTTGGCTCCAGAGAAATTTGCCTTTGGCCATCGCACCTTGCTGCGGCTCCGAAATGCTTTTGAAGCTCATGGTTGGATTTTTTACCTTGTCAAATGGTCTTGGTATGTCTTACTAGTAAATCTCTGATCAACTTAGGTTTGCCAACCTCCTTTTCTTCGTGGTTGTCTCTCTGGGTGGGAATTCTCTCCTCCCTGGATTTGAGTAGCCTCTGCATGTGTTGCAAGACATTGCATATCGTCCAGAGGGCTTATTTTGGGATGACTTGCAGAACGCCTGCAGCTGGATGGTTCGTTGATATGATTGCTGCGCTGTGCGCATTAGCATTGACATTGGCTGGTCTTTCTACCGGCACTGGTAGATTTCTTTCCATTAGTGAGCATCATGACTGCTGTACCGTCTTTGCTGCAGAAATTGCACTGTTTGGATAACCATGATGTTCAAGGCTCTGAATCAGCTGGCAGAGGGTATCTGGACTCTCACATACACATGCTTTTTTCACACTGCCCACACTAGGACTGTGACGCTATGCATCGAGGCCAGATGCATAGTATATTATCAAGATATATAGATTGTACCCATGTAGTTTTAGTGTCTTGTGGACATCGATATATTATATCCAGGTTTGTGCATGATGCACGCAGTCCAATATGATACTGGTGAGTACATCTGTTAGTGCTCTATGCCATTCTCTCCTCCCACTTGCCACGTATCCACTACACTACAACAAATTGACATCAACCCCAATGCAATGACCCATCCTCATGACCCTTCTTCAGTTGGTCATTCCCTCCCGATATTGCATCATCCCCCACCACTCAACGACATCTACCTGTTCCCGCTGCATTGGTCTCTCAATGGCTAGTGAACGTGTGTTGTTGGAAAGTAGAAGAGGACGTTTCTTCCTGTCTGGTGTGAGGAGGGAGTGAGTATGCCTGGAGACTGCGTGAAATTTTGAAGTATGACCCCACCCCATCCTGGTGTGTAGGTGTCCAAGTCTTGGCCGGAGACAACAGAATGTCTTCAGGCAAGCAAGACGTCTAGGCCTAAATGATGTATTCAAAGCCAGCGAACACACCCATGGCGAAACTTTGCATGGGTAGGGATGGCAGGTAGTCTTAGGAGAGGCTGGTTTTGCCTCGACGTCATGTATTGATGTCCGGCGAGCAAGGGCATGGCGTTGGGGTATTGTTGGGGATACAAGGAGTATAGGACTAAGGTGAACTGGACATAGTACACGTGTCACACGGTGTTGACTGTCCTCATTACTGATTGAGATCCTTCGTGTCGAGGCTGTTATTGTACACCTCGCACCCCAGCCTCTCCCTGGACGATGACTTTTGCGTCGACACGATGTATTGACGTCCGGCGAACAAGCGCACAGTGTCATGGCACTGGTCGGAATTTTGGAATAGATTATGGGTCTGAATTCGGGGGCTCTTATTAGAGATGGTTTGGCACTATGCGGTGTGAATTTTTCAACGTACAAATGATCTACGAGGTATATGACTGGTACATCAGTATTTTGTAGATGAATCTGATGTAAGCACCATCAAAGAAGCAGACGTGTCACGCAAGCACTTTGTAACATATTAGTAGGACTTACGTAGATCAACCCGACGAGGAATCGTCACTTTTGGTGTTTCCTTACATGTTTTGAGTCAGGTGCATTACCAATGAAAAGGTTGACCCCTCAAGAAAGGGATAGCGATGGGATTCAAGGATGTGATTCAGGACAAGATTCAGCAAGGTCGTACTCGCCTTGGCACATGGCGGGCACTTGTTATGTAAGGTCACGACACCCGATGTGAGACGTAATCGGGGGATCTCGACTCTTCAATCATCCTCCACCCATTAACCGTTTTCGCAGACTCATGACAACATTCTCTGCTATTCAGATGAAATCATGCCTGCTTCAAATGGCTGTTCATATCTTTCGACGTCAGGCGGAAGTCCTATGGTCTTACATCAGGATTTAAGTAACATGAGAACAACCAAGCGAACGTATGTCGATTTGTTTCCGTGTGCCAGACTGGATGATTTAGTAAGTAGTTACTTTACAGCATCGAGTGCCCTACGTTTTCTGCAACTTGTTTGGCCTTCAGACACCTTGATATCGACGCGTGTATGACATATACCCAGCTGATCTCCCATGTAGACTGAGGTAGACCGTCCCTCCCTCCCATCAATAGACCATTTTTGACCTTTTCCATCAGGAATACCCAGTATTTACCGGTATTACTAGGGTATTCCTCAGTAATACCAGGTATTCACTGGTATCCGGTGGTATTCATCAGGATTTCCCGACCTGGTATATACCGGTGAAGAGGCTGGCTGTGGGCACCTGTGGAATAGTGAGCGGGCTAAAAGGCGAACCTCAAAAACCCACACACACACTCACACAACTACACAAACTACAATCACCCTCGTAAGTTCTAGGGGGAGCGATTATTCCTAATGCGATCCGACTATACTTCAATATCTCGAAGAGTTTCTCTTATTCTCAGCGCTCTTAGCGAAGCTAAGCTTTCTCTAATGAATTCCTAAGTCTAGGAACTTTTTACAGGAAGGTCGTTCACTGGCGTGATGCAACCTTCAAGGCAGATTTGAGTTATAATACACAAGGGACACTGATCCCAACAGAAACAGAGGCAATACACACCGAAACTTTAGTGAGCTTGCTAAAAGAACACCACAGGCAAGCACTGACTTAGCCCGCTCGCTACACAACTGTATGTAGGGGTTCTCCAACTAACTCCCGCAGGTTATCTCAACTCAAGAACACTTCAGAAGTGCTCGGAAAACAGATTCAGAAACAGAACTTCGAACAGAACTGACACGGAACAGACTGAAACAGAACAGAACAGAACAGAACAGATCTCAGATTTCCACTTCAACACATTCTCTGAACAGACTTATCACACTTAACAGAACAGAAACAGCGTCACTGATTCGTATTCACTCTGACTAAGTTCTCAAAAGTCTTATCAAAAGGGTATCTCGTATTTCTCTGAGTGAGCTCGCTAATTCTACGCACAGCTTGAAGTCACAAACTGATCCTTTGTTACAGTACTGCCTTCAACGCGTGCACAGGAACTCAGGGGCTTGAAACTTGCCTCTACCTACTGTAACCAGCCTACTTATACTACAGGGGAATTAGAATTATAAACGTCGTGCAGTATCCAGACTCCTACATGTGTAGCACATTGCCACCGCCGCCTTACTGAGCATCCGAGTCGGACTTCCCAGTTTTAGTCTCATTTCTATAGTGAGCTCGCTAAACGCGTGCCAAGAGGTGCTCTCCTGACACCCGCGGGCTCGTTCTCTAGCGACCGACAGGTCTAGGCGCACGGAACTATCAGTTCTGGCGTATGTTGTTCAGGCCTTCTTTCTTGGATTCACAGAGGCTTCTCGTAGACACGGCAACAAGTGAGTCTTCGAACAATGGGACTCAGAACAATGGAACGCGGGCTCGCGGACTTCGGCCGAAGCCCATTGCCCAAGCTCGTGCCGGTGATATCTGTCAGCTCGCTTAAGGATTTCCCTGGATTTTCAGGTACGGCACGTCACAGTTAGCGAGCACGCTAAGTGTTCTTGGTGCCAGTGCAATCTTCAAGGTTTTATCTAGCTCCCGCGAGTGTGCTTGTAAGTTAGAGCCTAAGGCATTGGGTATAGGGTTTGGCCTTCTCATCACGCATGCCCGTCAGGTACAGTGCTGTGACTAAGTCCTGTTTAGAATCCCGTTGCTTCTTATGCCATAAGTTATATTCCATATCATTGCACCGCGTAGCATTAGTGTCGACATGTAGTTTTAGTCCGCTCGCTCACTATTTCTCAGTATGCGTGTAAAACACTCTAGATTGCAAAATTACATGCGTAAATAGGCTGCAGTCGCAACACTGGTACTGCCTGACAAATGGTATTCCACCCATACCTGTAAATACTTGTCCATACTTGCAAATACCTCCATCCCAATCGCGATCATCGATCCATGTTTCTGGGGTGTCCTGGGTCCCAACCGTCTATTAACAGTAACACATGAGTTAAGCCTACGGTCATGGGTCTATCCCAGAGAGGCCAATATAAGCAAGTCGAATGCCCCTCTTACCTTGACTGCCAGTCAAACATCTCTCTCCAGTTCATGGTTCATCTATATAACACTCAAAGTCTTCCAATCATACACAAGGCCAGTTAAGTTTATTTTTTCCCACCTAGCGACACATATACGATGCCCATAATGCCTCCACTACATTTCCATTACATATTCATGACGAGTTACGGCCTCAACCAATAACACGACCCCATCTCCCGCCAAGCCCCCAAAAGCGTCCCATAGTGATCGAGCTGTTTCCTCCCGACCCGTCCTTCGATAGAAGTGGAGATGAACACACACCTCAGCACCAGCCTTACCACCTAACCGTCTCATAATGAGCGTATCCATGTCCCGTAAACCTTGCACAATATCTGGGGACACCTTGAACTCCCGATGGCCCGATAGGAGGTGGAGGTGGAGATGGATTGATTGCAGTCGGCGTGAATTGCAGTGACACAAAGAACGCCAAAGGTAGAGCAGTTCATTGCTATCCTCTGTGATAGCCACCGAAATGCTGACATGCTGCAGTGCGACACATGAATACAGGTCTAGGTTGATATCCCAGTATTCCGAATGGTGATCTGTAGCACAGTAATGTTAAATACTTGGTTTTCAGATATGAAGAAGAACCCATACTCAATACGAGAGTCAGCACCTGCAGTGAAGCCGCACTGGCGTCGATAATGTCAATGCCCGACCACCAGCCCCGATTTCCTGTCATACCTAATGTCAGTTCTTGCAAGTTGCGCATGCTGACTAACCATTGTCCCCCCTGATCTGCATTCAGCACGTGCCGTGTGTCCAGATGCAGAACCGACAACATCTGTGGCAGATGGAGAAGACTCAGTTCCGATTCCGCTGGGGCGGTAGTACTTGGTGTGAACTCCGTCTCCTCACCATGGATCCTGAAGTATATGACGTTAGGCACCGCCAGCAACAGGCAATCCAACACCGCGAAAGACAGTGTACAGTCCACCAGGTCCAGTTCCTGCACTCCAAGCATGGAAGACAAGCGGATGGGTTGATCTAGCCACACGCGTTTCAAGCAGAGCGTGTGTATGTTCAATAGAAGCACCATCACTCTCATCAACTCCTTGGAGCGCAAAAAGTCGGCACACCATTGCAAGTCCCGAACTGCTCGTCGATCACTTTGGTGTCCCGGCGCACTGAAACGCTTCACAGCAGCCTCTGGAGAGTGGCTGCTGTGGTGGGAGTCGTGAATTAGGATGGTTTTCGCTGACAATTTGTGCGCCAAACCATAGAAACGTCGACATACCCCTGCGAGCTCTTCCGTCCATCTGGGGTCGTCCAAGATCACAGCCTCGGCAAATATTAGTGACAAAACATCGTCGGGAACCTGCCCTGTTGTTAGCACACAAGCATGAACCTCCAATGCCAGGACCTGCTCATGTCGATAATGGTTGTGCTATTGAGGATGGCTCCCGACTTGTTAGCATTGGCACATTGTTATTCGATCTCCACTACACTGACCAGTTCTATCAGAACAGCCATCTGCTGGGATGAATGTCCGATGTGGAGAGGTCACGCCGTTCAGGAAGGGGGTGATCCAAACATGGAGCTCAGTGAAATTGGTGTCGTGGTTCCTGGCGACACACCTAGATTCTTCCACAGCACCAGTCCTCACAAGTCAGATCTACGATAGGCACATTCCAAAAGAGAGTACCTGGTTGAATTGGCTTTCAAACGCTCGCTAATTGCTGATGCTATCAAACCTGTATTTTTTGTTCAGACGTCATCTGCTAGCCCTTCAAATCCAACGACGGAATATGCGCCAGAGGTGCCCTCGTCTAGTTGTGACTTTTCCAACTTGACCAACATGTACGACGATGGTATTTTGGGGGTTCTTGGGGACAGAACCAATGTATACAATGACAGTAATGGTGCGGCCCCAACCGACAACCGACGTGCCCTGTTCAGCCAGCAATGTTCACTCGTTGCAGATCCATCACCAAAATCTCTGTGGGAACAGCCACCACAGGTGGACGAACGAGCCATGTGACTAGTGCGTATCCACGCTCATGCCGCTGGTATGTCTCCGTTCCTTCCCCCCGACCGTCATTCATGAGTATCCAGCACGTATTGCAGGAAGCATCATGGGAGGCTGAGCAACACCCACCCGGCAAGCTATTTGATTGGGTTCCAACGGTACGATGGCAGCCCCATGTGCACACTGATGGCGGAAGTACCTCCCCGTTGGTGATCACAGAGGGGAATGGCCCACAATATAGGATCAACAGTCGGATGGCAACGTGAACGGCAACCAGATCTGAATCGCTCATACGTACACCCCCACCTAGGAGATGGCAAAACTGAACAACCTGCAGCCCCCAGGACCCTCGATACGGTACACCCTGCATGCCAGTCCACGCGTCAGCCCCCGCCTCCAAACCTCTCTCGACGGCTGAGGTTATTTCACTGTTGAATATGTTGGCACCCACTCTCAGTCGTCTCCAATCAACACCCAAAATAGTACCCATGAATAACCCATAATCATAGACTGCAGGAGCATTCATTAATTAAAGGGATGATTACACTGACCGGACAGAGACATCATGGCAACATTTTGACAGAACAGAGGTACAGATAGCCATCGAAAAGTCATATCATAATTAAACCAAGTAGGTTAAGTGATGTATTTGACACTGGCTGACGTCGACGTTTGGCCTGGACCGGGGGCAGAGACGCAGGAACGGAGAAAGTGGAGCAACGACGCATCGACGTGATTTGGACCAAAAAGGTGGGCAAGGTAGGAAGGAGGGTTTTACTGTCAGGCGCGAAAGTGAACAGGGTTTTTGTGGACACTCGTATTGCAGGCAGCCGATGAGTCTCCAGTATAGTTGTGTAACCCTGGTTGATCCGTCCTCTTTTGCTGAAATTGCCACATTTCCAATATCTTGAAGGGAGATCTACTCCATGAGTCATGCCAAAGATGGGCCGACAATGTCATGCCCATCTCCATCTCCACAACATGTCTGTTCAGCGGGCGGCATGGCCAAGTCGTAGAGTGAGAGAGAGGTTGCGAAGGAACATTACGATATTGGGACACTCCAGAAAAGGTTGCCGGTGGAATGAATAAAGAAGGAAGCCACAGATTTATGTGCTGTTATGGCTTAATGGTTAGCATTGGTGAAGTGTTTCCTGGTATTACCTTTTCTGACTGAGAGTTCAATCCTCACAGGTTGCAATTCTTTTTGTGCCCCAATTATTTACTTCGCTCGATGTTCCCTACTTAAAGTACTCATACTTACTACGATTCATAATGGTGTTTATTATCTTTATCATTCTGTTCGACAATCAGCGCTTGGACAGCGACCCCCGGCCCAAACCGGCTGCTTTCCAACGGAACAGTCCGCAGAAGGAGCTCTTCCCAAGTCCTGGGATAAAATGCCGGCATTCATTTTTCTCTGCTGTCCACAATTCTTCCAGTCCTGGTTTGTTTAACCCCTCCAGGCACCTATGCCCTCGTCTCCTCCTCCCAATCCCGTAGGAACTCCTGAGGATGAAGGATTCAGCGATGAGATGGAGCCCGTTAGAGTTGCAATCCGGGCACTGGTCCAGGTAAATACTGCGCCCTAACTATCACTGGTTTCCGTGAGACTAACATTGACTTTCTGGCAGGCCAATCACGACCTCGTGCATCGCTTGCACCAACTCGAGACATCTCAGAATGATCTCTGGGACCATGCCAAGAGGGCGGAGGCTGTAAATCAGCAACTGGTTCGTTCCTGCGTCATGTTGCAGATATCATGGTGTTGAACCTTCATAGGACTCATTCCTCCAGGATGAGCTGCAATGTCCCTGCTGTAACCGTATCATGTGGATCCCATATCAGTGAGTTGTTTACATCTTTTTCGTAGCTACGTGTGGCTGATAGGCATGGGGACGCTCGTTGTGCAGAATGCAGTGCGGTCATAGTGCCTGTTTCCATTGCTGCACATCATGGTACCAGCACCAGCACACGACGTTCGAGAGAGATCATCCAGGCTACAATCCCAGAGCTCCCGTATCACCCTCCTTCCTGTTTGACCCTCTGGCCACTAGCCGTCACGTGGAGCTCTGGGAATTCGCCGCACTGGTGTTTCTTCTCCTTCATCCACCAACGACCCGTCCTCAGTATACGTGTCCGTGTTGCCCAAGGGAGCTGACCATCCCTCCCATCGAGAATCGTCCTCTCAGGAACATTGTCTATGCCTGGGCACAACATCGAGGGCTGCGCACACCTCCGCCTGTTCTCCGGAGTGACTGGGGCATACCCCTCAACCACCGTGAGGACCAGTGGCCCTTCCTACTATGTTACTTGCACTTTGTATCCCGGTCCTGAAACGTGCATGTAATTCCCTTAAAAAAATTCAACATCGGTCTTGATTACTCCCATAGGCATGCCTCTGTCTTAGCGACGAGATGACTGTGGCGTTCTGTCCTGGAAGACTGCTTACACGAGGCGCTTCTAATACTAGGGACGGTGCAGGAAATAGTGAAATACAATCTGTAATAGATATGCCAATAGCATGCCCTTTATCTCCACCTCAGCCCTGTGCCCGGTGCTATGCTTCTTAAATTTGCAGCACCATATTGAAGTACTGTTCTAGTTCACTGCTCCCCAACATGCACTTCTTAACATCTGTCTTTTGTCGTCATCCAACGGCTCTGATCAGCCGGCCCAGTCCCTCAGAGCATCCATCTGGGGAGGATTGTGAGTACCACCATTCTTTTCTCTGCCCTAACGCTGGACGAAAACTCGTCGCTAAAGAGGATCCGCTGACATTGTCATGGATTTTTGAGGATCCTTGTGACCCTCGAGACTCTCTGCTCACCCGTCCCCATCGTTCTAGTGACTTTGGTGCCTGGCTGGTCCTCCCTGTCTAGCCGACTGTGTCAGGCATTGAATCGAGAGAAGGAGACCGTGCACCGTTATCAGGAGGATGCTGATTTTCTCTGGGGTGAACTTCATCGAGCGAGCGAGCACATCGCTTCTCTCGAGTGGCGTCTGACGATGCAGATTGCCTATACACGAGCAGTATGTAACCAGATCCTCTTTGATAGACCTTTCCCTCATCGCAGGGACTTGCAGCTCACCCGTCGACGCAGGAATGCTGCTTGCCATGCGGGTCGCACAGAAGAGGAATTAAGGCACATCGAGGAACAGCGCACCTGTGATGAAGGCATGTTCGATGCGCAATGGGAGGAAAACCGTGCGTTGAGGTTTCGTCTGGCAAGGCTGGAATTGCGCGAGGTCCTGTCCGGCACTGCTGAGGACAATAATCGCCAGGTACAAACATCAACGAATCGCCTGGGCTGGCTGACGATTCATCCTAGGGTCAAACATGGGAGGAGTCACTCACCTGTGAGTTCTGTTACGGTACTCTCTGCTGCACGCTTGCGTACAACAGTTTTTCTTTACATCCAGAACTTTTGACTTACAATGCTCTTCAGGTTACGAGAGTGTGGTCATAGCTTTTGTGTGCCTTGTCTATGGGTGTGGTTCAAGAGAGAATTGTCATCGCACCCCGACATTCTCAGGCAACCTACTTGTCCTGAATGTCATGTGAAGGTGCTCTACCACCCAACGATAGACTATCGCCTGCAAAACGTTGCTTCTCAGCTCTCTCGGGTTTTCCCTCAGAGTGATTGTGAGGGTGGTTTGGCTCACAAGTTAGGATATCGGGGGTCTACAAGCTGGGATGACTTTGACGCACAGCTCCGCAAGCTGGTAGAAGACGGAGTAGAGCTGAGGTAGTGTTCAGATTATCATGCAATTAGAACGAACAAGTACCGCTATGGTGGCACATTAATTACATTGACTTGACAAATTGTTAGACATTACATTGGAGCTGCTATTCTACCATAACATGATACCTGTTTCTTCACATTCATTACGAGTGACTTAGAGGCAGCCCCTCCTCATTCTCCTCCCACATCGTCAGGTCGCTGAATATACTGGGACGATTAGTTAGCAGCGTCTCGTGGCGAGGTGCCGGACCATTAAAAGGTGGTGGATGGGCCAGGACTCTTGGCAAGATTGGCACATGCCTGAAATTCATGAAGAAGCTGTCGATGTAGAAAGTAGTTGCTGTGTGTTCCATCTGCAAGAATTGTTGCTCGTCATAGTGAGCTCATTCTTCCCAAAGTCTGGAAGGGCAATTAGGCCATGAACACATGACCCGGCAGAGAGCACAGACATATGGAGCACGCTCCATCCATACCAGATTCCCCAACCCTTGGTTTGCATCCCCCATGCTCACTATCCAGGCCAAATTGACCTCAAGCTTCAGAAAGCACAGACCTAAGAGACGTCTGTGAGACTGCTCTGCCTGCGCTGTTCTCTCTGATCCTGTTAGCAACCGATTCCACAAACAAGATCAAACAACTCAGCATGACTCGCACTTCGGTCAGGCACTTTATGTTGTCCGCAGGTTTGCGTTAAGGGAGCTATCGCTTAGTTGAGCGAGAGTGAGTTCAGACTAAGTTATCAGGTGAATAAACTTTAGTTCGAGACTGAGGTTTAAGACCTGCAGCCGAGCTGCTTAAATACAGTTTGGGTCGTGCTAAATATACTACAAGTGTCTGCAACGGTGCGTTATACATATGGGACCCTCATGGGTGAATGCGATCAAGTCCGGAGAATTAGCATAGCGAGATTATGAGGAAGCCGATAAGATAAGATAGAGCACAAAATCGTAATATTACCCCCCTGTTAAGGCAGTCGTCCCGACTGCAAGTGGATTTGATTTGGGAAGGTAGGCTCCCACTAGAGACGGTGCATTTGGCTTTATCAGGTATTCTTGTATGGCCTGTACCAATGGGTGGTCGACTTCCGATTCGGTGACTGACTCTGTTTCGGACCATGAGTCTGATTCGTCTTCCTCCTCCCACCAGCTTGCGGGTGGTCGAGTGATAAACAAAACTTGTTCGAAGTCTTCGATTGCGTCTCGGGCATTGTCCAGATCTTGTTCGTCTACCCAAGAGTTTTCCTCCCTTGGATAACCTTTCCACTTGACTAGGTATTCAATGCCAGTGCGTCGTCTTCGTCCCCTCCCTGTAGCTCTTTCCCTTCGATCTACGATCTCTTCTACCTCATATTGTTCTTGGCCGTCAATGAGGTCCGGGGGCGGTGCTGTGGGCTGTATTTGGATTGGGAACTCCGGCGGATGGTAAGGAGTAAGGAGGTTCTCGTTAAAATGGTCATGGATTTTCCACGAGGAAGGAAGGCGTAGTTTATATGCTGACGCGCCATGTTTTGACAATACTTCGAATGGTCCAACTCGTTTGTCTCCCAGCTTTTTCATTGGTCGAGGGAGATGAAGGTTGGTGGAGTCTAACCATACTTTGTCTCCTGGTTTATAGTCCATAGCTGGTTGTTGATGTTTGTCATATTGCTTTTTCATGGTTTCGGCTGCCTTTTCTAATGCCTTCGCTGTCTGTTCATGAACCTTTTGTATGTTGGCTACAAAGTCTCTGGCCGCTGGGTTCGTTCCTTCTTTTATTGTGAGTGGCACAAGGTGGGGTTTCTGCCCATGATTGATTTCGAAGGGGGAATATCCCGTCGCGGAGTGCTTTCGGTTATTGTGCTGAAACGCCTGCGAGCGGTAGCCATTCGCTCCAATCATTTTGCCGATGGTTGATGAAAATACGGAGGTACTTTTCAATTTCTTGATTGGCCCTCTCTGTTTGCCCATCGGTTTGGGGGTGATAGGCCGTGGACGGGTTGCCTTGAATATGCAGCATTTCGTAAAGTTCTTTCATAAACTTGGACACAAATTGGGGTCCCCTGTCCGAGATTACTTTCTGAGGCATTCCATGCTTGGCCCAGACGTGATCTCTAAGGATCTTGGCCCATCCCGCCGAGGTTAACTCTGTGGAGCATGGTACTGGGATGACTTCCTTGGAAAATCAGTCTACGATCATGAGGATAGCGTTGTACCCATTCGAGTCGGGTAACTCGCTAATCATATCAACCGTAATGTGCTCCCATGGTCGTGTGGGTATGGCATGTGGGTGTAAAGGTGCTCGTTTCTTTTGCGTGCTCGTCTTGGTTCGTTGGCAAGCCTCGCAGCCTTTTACATAGTGTTCCACGTCCTTTTTGAGCTTCGGCCACCAGTACTCTCTTTGCACGAGCTCTTTGGTTTTTTCAATTCCGGGGTGTCCGGCTGTGATGTGATCATGGTGGATAGCGATTAATTCCCCTCGTAGCCTCGCGTCTCGGGGGACATATAGCCGTCCATCATAGTGCATTAGTCCGTCCTTTTGGATTATCCCTCGGGGATGATGAATAGATGCCTCAATTCCCTTGTCCCATCTGGTGTTGTCCCTTAGCGCCGTTCGGATATGTTTGTGAATTTCTTCTTCTCCCGGCATGATTAAGGCTCGGAACACCTCTGGCTTGAGTACTACCACTTCCTTATTGTCCTCTCCTCCTTGGTCATGGTCTGCCCTTCTGGATAGCAGGTCGGCCTTCTTGTTGGCTGTCCCTGGTTTGTGGTGTAGCGTGAAGTGGTACTCCACCAACTCGGTCACCCACCATGCCTGTCTTCGGTTGAGCTTTTGGGGTTTTCGGAAGTACTGCAGGTTTTGATGATCCGTCCAGATCTCAAATTCCTGATGAGCGCCCATTAGATAGTGCCTCCAGTCCTCGAGGGCTAGCATGATTGCTAGGAGTTCCTTGTCATAAATCTCATAATTCCGCTCCGTGACCGTTAAGGCTTTGGATAGGAATGCCACCGGTCTCCACTTTCCGTCTTGTTCTTGTGATAGAACTGCTCCTATAGCTCCTTCACTTGCGTCGGCTTCCACACGGTATTTTCCTGATCGTGTGGGTATCGCCAGTACTACTTCTTCCGCTAGCTTCCTTTTGATCTCTTGGAAGGCCCTCTCTTGCGCTGCTCCCCATGTCCACTCCGCTTTTCCAGTGAGTTGAGTTAGGGGTCATACGTGTTTGCTGTAATCTCGGATGAACCTTCAGTAGAAGTTGGTGAACCCCAGGAAGGATTGTAGTTCCCGCTTCTTTGTGGGTTGAGGCCACTCCGTGATTCCTTTGACTTTGACTGGGTCCATGCAAACGGAGCCTTGACTGATGATTACTCCAAGGTATTCCGTTTCCAATACCTTGAATTCACATTTTTCTGCTTTTAGGAAAAGATTATTGGCTCATAGGATGGCCAGAACTTCCCACACAACCTTGCGATGTCTGTCCTTGTTTTTGGTGCAGATCAGGATGTCGTCTAGGTACACGGTGACATCTCCTTGTGCGATCTGTTCTTTGAACAGGTCATTCATCATCCACTGAAAGGTGGCTGGTGAGTTGGTGAGTCCGAAGAACATTACCATGGGCTCAAAGAGTCCCCGGTTTGTTCGGAATGCGGCCTTCCACTCATCCCCGGCTTTGATTCGTACGTTGTTGTACCCCCATCGGACATCTAGCTTGGTGAAATACTTGGCATCTTTGAGTTGATCCATTAACTCCCCAATGAGCGGAAGGGGGTACCGGTTCTTGATGGTCATTTCGTTTAACTTGCGATAGTCTTGGACGGGTCACAGCTTTCCATCCTTTTTCTTGATGAAAAAGAAGGGGGATGCCATCGGGGATTTGGATGGTCTAATCCTTCCTGATTCCAGATTTTCGTCAAGGAATTTATCCAACTCCTCTTGTTCGGTTGGATTAAGCGGATAGACTTTACAGTCCAGGCTAGCATTAGCATTAGGGAGAAGCTCGATAGTGTGGTCCCACGGTTTCCACGGGGGTAGTTCATCAAAGTTTTCCTTTGTGAACACATCTCGGAATTCCCGGTAATGTTCCGGTACTATTTCTTCGAAGGTTTTCGCCTCCTTTGCTTGATTGGCTTTGGCGGCTAGTTCGTTTGCTTTGCTCCCCATGGCGCGGACGTGGAAGGCTTCTTCGAAGTCTATTACAAGGATGGTGTCCCCTTCTTCTACCTCCGTGCCCCAGGACTGTTCTGGATCTTCGTCAGGTAACAGGAAGGGTATTTTGCGACAGGCGCATCTGGCTAATGTTACGGTTCCTGTTTTCCAGTCGATGATGGGATTATGGCATTTGAGCCAGTCATGTCCTAGGAACATTGGTACGTTCCCTAGGTCTACGACGGCTAAATCAATTTTTTCGCTATGATCCCCAATAGTCATGCGTAGTTCCACTATTTCCGTGATGTCTCCTCCTTTGTTTCTGCTGCCGTCGGCATTGTACACTGCCTGCGCTTTGGGCAGTTTTACCATGTTCATTTGTTGTTCTTGTACAAAGGTTCAGTTTATGCAGCTCCCAGTGCATCCGCTGTCGACCAGGGCGTCGACCGCTTGGACCTGAGAGGTATCTAGGGTTTCTAGTTGGACGCGGATTTTTACACTTCTCCCTTTGCCTCCTCGGATATATTGCGGGGGAACGCGTAGGTCCTGCATGTTTTGTAGACATTGTTCTCGTTGTCTATAGGTCTCTTTGGAAGATCCAATGAGGTCCAAGATGAGGTCCTCATCTACTTCGATGAGTCGCCTCGGGTGCACCCACATCCAGAGGGTGGCGAGCTTCCCTTCCATCGTCTTTTCTTGCCTCATTTTTCGTCTCACCCATTCGGCACTGTGCGGTTTGAGCCACCCTCTGTCCCATTTGTCGTCATAGTACTCTTCTTCTAGTTCGGTTACCTCGTAGTCTTCCGGGTACTCCTCGGTGTGGATCACCGGGTCTTCCCCTCGTGTCTTGAGGCTTTGTTGATAGCTGTAGTCGTCTTCCTCATCGGGCACTTCTTCAATGGAAACAGTTTTTTTATTACAAATAGGAGTTTCACATAATGGTCCCACCGACCCTGCCCACCGGGGAACACGGGCCCCCGGTGCCATTATGTGTTAGTGACGAAGGGGGTAAGCACACCTGATAGGGAAGTTCGGGGTCCCTGGGCGTCTTGACTGTTCTTTGCGGGGCAGCGGTTTTGTTGCTGGGGATTCAGCGTTCCCTCTTGCGGCTCCGTCGTGTCGGGGTAGCTGGCCGCATAGGGCAGGTGTGTACGTTCCGCCTTCGGGCTGGGTCCTGCATCGTTCCTGCTCCCGCCTGGAGGCACTCCTGCCCACTACTGGCTCGGCCGCTCTTCCTCCGTTTCCTGCGCCGGTGCCTACCCTCCACGGAGCGATGTTGACCTTGATCCCGTGTGTCCTGCCGCCTTGCACAGCGTCCGCCGCTTGTGCTTTCGCACCGGTGGCCAAGGATCTTGAGTGGGGTTCTTCTTCGAGCACGGTGGAAATCCCCTGTACACCGTTGCTTTTATGCGACTTGCGAATTTCATTTTGTGATTGCATGAAAATATAATCATTGCCTCGAGGTACTACATGCGGTATATTAGTCCTGACCTGCGGGATTCTGTGATGCACCACTAAATGAAATCATGTCCTTTGCCGACGTGCGTTTGTCGCTTATGCCGCCGGCTCGTCTTTTACCTCCTCGATCTTTGAGGCCTCTGCTTCTTCATCCTTGACTACTTGCTGGTACATGGCGCGAATTTGGGCTCGGGAGAACTTGGGCTGGTGTTTGACGAGCCAAGTGCCTTCGTCTTTGGGGCACTTGTTGTCTTGCTTCCAATGTCCCTTGTGACCGCAGCGGAAGCATCATCCTTCCTTGCGCAGTCAATCTATTTCCATCGGTTGTCCTTGCCCCCCTGTACGTGGTTCCTGTTCCCGTCTTCTTATCACCCTGGGAATTTCCTGGAACTTCCTGGCTTTTCCCAGTTCCCTTGTTTTGTTGACCCTGTGCTCCCTGGTTTCTGCCGGCGTCTTCCGCTAATCCCACACGGTAGTTGTAGTCCATTTGTTCCACTCGGAACTTCCACTCTGCATATGTGCGCGGTAATGCAGTTCCGGTTGCGTGTATCGCTGTTTTGATGTTCTTTCGAATGGCGGGTTTGAGGATCTCGATCATGTACTCTTCATTGTGGCATTTTCCGGATTCCTTGGCTAACCGCTCGAAGTCCCGGAAGAATTCTTTTGCCGATTTATACGTGTTTTGTCAGATACGTTTGAACTCCTGTAATTTGAGTTCTACTTCCGCGTCGGTTCGGAATTGGTCTTCGATGATCTGCCTAAACGTCTGCCATGCTGGATATCACAAATATCCACACGTTTCATCATAATATTCGTCCCTTGCGTGATTCCACCAGTGCAGGGCCTTGTCTGCGAGTCGGAATGTGCAGAACACAACCCGATTGGGGCTTTGTCCATGCGCGTTCATGGTAAATTGTTGCGGAAATACATTGAAGTAGTCCTCGCACTGGTTGAGGAATCGGTCCACATCGCTGGACTCCCCTTTGAACTTCTCGGGTGGTTCCGCCAGCTGTGGCTTTACCTGTCCCCATGGGTTCATGTTTGCTACTCCAACAATGAATGGAGGGGGCATGTTAGGTGGCTGGACAGGGTCTGCGGGTATGGGGATTGCCGCGGGGCATGGTAATGATCGTAATGCGGGGTTGTGATGTGGTGAGAGAGGTCCTTGTGGAGCTGGTGCAGGGGCCGCAGGAGGGGCTGCTGCTGCTGCACCCACGCTTCCTGGGGTCCCTGCTGCCAGCGAATAATCGACTAGGGTCAACGTACCCTGTCCTTCGGAGAATGGATAGGTGGTTTAAATCCACCGTGCTTCCGCTCGATGCTTCTGATGGGGCTGGTACCTGGTACCGTTCTCTGGGGTCCATGTAGTCATCCGGGTGTACTTGGTTCCACAGAATGTTCGTGTGGAAAATGGTTTCTCAGTAAATCACCTGGGCCCCAATCGTCAAATTCTTTTCCTTCTGGAAGTACCTCCCCTGTGGTGAACTGTTCCATGATAGCTCTCGTGGTAACTTCCTTTCGGTCCAATGCAACATTTCCAAATAAGTCATATTTTCTAGCTCGGCCTCAGTAGGTTCCCGAGCTAGATCCTTCCACTGAACTCTGGTATGACGTCCTCCTCTCCGTATTCTCCGACTCGATGCTGCTGCTGTAAATCAAAGTCCGCCCTATTCCAGGGTTCTCGTAGATTTCTCCTTCTTCTAAATCCGATTGGTCAGACTCGCTCAAAAGGCTCCGTGCTTCCTGTGACGATTCGGTTCCAGTTTCGAATGATTCTTGCCCACTCGTTGACCCTGAGAATGACTTGATCGAAGTCTGGTCTTCGGGGCCTGTCCCATACCCAGGGTGCAACGAAAGGGATGGGGGCCGCATGGGGGTGTTCTGGTGCGAGTGGATAGATGGCATAGGGGACAATGGAGGCAGGGGCTTCGACGCCTTCATACATGAGCCACGTGTCAGCGTAGTCCTGTACTTGTCGGCATACATCACAGCTGGCGTCGGCATCGTATGTGGGTCTGCAGTGGTCGAGCTCGGTAGTTGCGTCCCCGGCCCGGTCGTTGATGATGTTTGGGGTGTTTGGGCGGGTGACGAGATTGAGGTAGCTACCTTCATCGTCTGATGAGTCGTCACGGGCATAGTAGTTGCCCCATGTTTCTCCTCTGGAGTCCAGCCTTGGAGGGGACCAGTTGTTGCGCGGCCCTGGGAGCTCGTCGCTACTGTCGTCTTCCTCCGAATCACTTCTTTCCTCAGCTGGACTGCTTCCAGCTCCATCTTCAGTCGCTCCTCTTTCTCCCAGATGGTATCTAAGCCCTCTCTGATAGAGGCGCTGTCCGTATGAATCATATCCAGGGTTGGCAGGCTGAGTTTTCTGTTGATGTGGGGGAGGGGGCATCCCAGGGATCACTTCCTTCGCTTTCCCTTTCGCTTTCCTCCTCGGTAATGGGAGAGAGAACACGCTGGTCCATCCCCCTTTCAGTAGACTCCTCGCTCTTCTTCTTCTTCAACGACTGGGCCTCTTTGTGTGGGCCATCCTTCCATCTCGGTGTCGGACTCACTGGACTCAGTCTGTGTCGGAGTCTTCTGTGATCCACTCGTCGTCGGTGATGAAGATGAAGTGGATGATGGGTTCGGGCCTGTCGTCGACATAGTTGGGAGGGGGTGTGTGCGGTCATCTAGCCTCCGGGTTGGGGGCTTCGACGGGGAGAGTTTCTTCAGAGACTGGCTCCTGGGTTCTTTGGTATTCGTATCCATATAGGAATGCAAGGTAGGCTACTGGCAATGAAGCCTTGTAGTCCAAAGAGGTCGGTGAGATACTGTTCAACGGGGTTCATTCGTTACTGTTCAACGTGGTTGTTGTTGAAGAGTAGGAAAGTCTCAAACTAATTGTTAGCGACCGATTCCACAAACAAGATCAAACAACTCAGCATGACTCGCACTTCGGTCAGGCGTTGTATGTTGTCCGCAGGTTTGTGTTAAGGGAGCTATCGCTTAGTTGAGCGAGAGTGAGTTCAGACTAAGTTATCGGGTGAATAAACTTTAGTTCAAGACTGAGGTTTAAGACCTGCAGTCGAGCTGCTTAAATACAGTTTGGGTCGTGCTAAATATACTACAAGTGTCTGCAACGGTGCGTTATACATACGGGACCCTCATGGGTGAATGCAATCAAGTCCGGAGAATTAGCATAGTGAGATTATGAGGAAGCCAATAAGATAAGATAGAGCGCGAAATCGTAATAGATCCTGCATGCAAGCGAGCATCCAAAGACATCATTTCAATGCGAAAGCCAACCTCCGACAGTTCCCATAGTATCGCTTGGATGTCGTTGTCGTCTAGGTCCCGAACTGCATTTGCCTGCCCAAGTAGGGTTCTGACAGCTCGGGGTAGCAATACTAATCTCCTCCTCACAACCTGTTAAAAACATGGACACACGTGTTCATGGCGTTTGGCTTCACGATCATTCACGGCAGCACTATCCGCTGGGATGTTGGAACTTTCCAGCAGCCAGTCAAACTGCAGAACGGTGCACCAGGTTTGATGAGGGAGCAAAGGGGGATTGAATGGCGGTGTGAGGAGAGCAAAAACTCCAGATTGTAGACGTAACCAGCCAGACAACAAAGTCTGAAGTTTCTCCACACTTTGCACAGTCACGAAGAGTTCTAGTCGAGGAAACGCATAGCCTGCGGCGGGGACCTGGGAACGTTCAGGTGCCGTGTTCGCTGCCATCAGTCCCTGGCACCAGGCTACATGCAGAGGCAGCAAGAGGCGATGTTCGAGGATCGCCGCACCTTCACAAGGTGAGCAATTTGCGGGGCGATCCTTCTTGCGCCTGTGTCCCCTCTGGTGCTCATCTAAGGGATAGGTTCTTCAGTACAAGCACAACGACATGGGCTAGCCAAACTCACATGGCTTATATCTCTCCGAGGATGTCCTGCTGGCGTTGGGCACTGCTGGCACACTTGTGTGTACTCCTGGGGTCCAAAAAAAAGGATTCGGGCTGGAGAAATGACTCTGTGTGAAGGTGTCTATGGCCTGGTATTTCAGCTCATTGGATGCAGCCCCAACATATACCTTGCGCAGGTGGAGGGGGCAAGGGTGAAGATTGACGTGCTCCTCGCGCAGGAACACATCAACTACCTGATCGATTCGTGTAAATGGAATCACCAACACGGATCGTAGCAACCAAACTGGAATCCCTGCTTTGTGGAATTCCTGAGCAGTGAGGGTACTGGTAGTGAAAGCGCCAACGAGGTCGGAATGCACTTTCCAAATTGTCAGAGTGGGAGAGGATATGCGCAGCATGAAGATCATATAGTAATCCATGTATGCTTGCAATTTGAGAGCAACCCATTGTGTCTCTGCCACACAGAGATGCAGTCGTTCAAACGTGAGAGGGAGAGACTGTAAGTGCTGCAAGAACATTTGCAGAAGGCTGCGTAGGTGCTTGACATCCTCATCTTCTTTTACTCGACACAGTCAGCGACCTTTGTATGACAAGCTCACATGCCTGCTGGAATGCTTGGTACTGTGTCCTGCACCAGAGACCAGGACCTTGGATCATGCACAAAACGTCGCATTCCTCGAAATCGCCACGATGTGGTAGGGAGTACAGTGGTTGTTGAGACTGCATCGTGGGAGTCTGCCAGAGCTTTTCGAATACAGGTGAGGTGGGGGCGACGAGCGATATACGGTTGAGGCCAGCAGCATGGGTCATCGTCACCATAGCGATAGTCTTCGTGCATCACCACAACCCTGTTTCGCACCCAAAGGTGGGGCCCAAATCTGCGGTACATTTGGTGTTGTGATGAGGAGATCTTCAAGTTCATGGTAAACAGCACCACAGAGGCCGTCCCAAGCTCGCAAAGCTGTATCGCCTGATAAATATATATGTCTGAGTTCCCAGGATCCAATTGTACCCACCATCACCTGGCAAGCTTTTGTGCAATAGCCGCTCGCGTTGGGATTCAAGTGTGTTGAAATCATCAGTTTCCTTGGCCATGAGATAGGCGTGCCTAGTGTGCTAGATTTAGAAGACAAGTGTCCAACGGACGATGCTGACACACGTTAGACATCTCCGCTTGACTATAATTCAAACTCCGTGAGACTCCCCCAGTAGCCCCGGGTTGCCTGTCTGTCCATGCCGCTGGTCGGCCTCCAGCTCAGACATGCTTTTCCAGAATGCTGAAATGCCTGCTCAACGGCCAGTCCCTTGCGATGTGTTCACTGACATCGATAATCACCATTTTCTTGAGCATTCGTGACTCTCTTGTACTACAGGCTTTTTGCTATTGTATTTACATCCAGGAGCCATAAAATTGTTAGTAAGTCTTGGTTGGAATATCTAGAATGAGTTTTCTAAGTTCTGTATGACCACTATTGAGCTGGGACTCTTACCTCGCTCAGGTGGGTTAGCCCACCATCGCTCCAATCACCGCGCCATTACATTTCCATCGCTGTTGAGCTCTCTTCCGGTCCCGGCCCCCCATTCATTTCAGCATCGAAAGTGTTGGGCAAACCGTCGTCAGATGTGACCGTGTCGCCTCTGACCTCGGGACCTGACAGCCACCAGTGGTGCCATTGGGACGACCAATTGCTGTGGTCGACGTCGAGAGCATCTGGCAAGCCACTGGCAGCGCTCTCAACCAGGTAGTTGCGAATGAGAATGGCAAGGACTTCCTTATTGCAATTCATGCATGTCAATTTGGGACTGGTCCGTCCCTCTTCAGGCTCAGCGCCTTCCATGAAACGGGTGGTCAATGTGTGAAACCATTCCTTCAGGCAGGGGGTGTGGAAGGTGTGACCACACGAGAGTCTGTGGGGGCCCAATCGCATTCAAGATATAAACCTCTAAGAGAGGTAACGGGATATCACTCACAGGGAAGCATCTGTGATCGGCAAGGTACACATAGAGCAAAGAAGGCACTCTAAAGCATGGTTTCGTTTCTGTGAGAGGGTGTGAAATCCTTGTCGCCAAGCAAAACCCAACCTTACAACTCTTTGAATGCTTCGAGCCGTCAAGTTCTGCTTGTGTACAGCGCCGGGAAGTAAACTTTCCTGTTGTAGTGCTTCGATCTCCTCCTTGAGGTCATCAATCTCTGCTTGACCTCTGAGGTACATCTGGTCTCAGGCTGCCAGTGAGTGTTCGTTATCATCGCATGGAAAGGAACTTACAGTGCGTTGGAGGGCTTGCCAGGTCAAAGCATCATCCCGCACTACGAGGAGGTGTCTACGAGCGTGTTCGAGATCCCCAAGTGCAACAGCCCGCTGGTGCTCTGCATAGATCACGTTCTGTGAAGACGCTTCACAACAAGCCTTTGTCCTGTTCACCAATGACCTACCCATTGCATTTGCTCTACCTCGTCGGCTATGAGGCGCAGAGCGATTGAAGAATGCGTCTGTATGTCGTTGTGGCTAGCAGAGCCTTTGCTAGGTGTTGGGTCATTGTATTCATTATCCATAGTTGTGCACGAGGTGGGGGCAAGAGCTAAGCTGGTGGCAGCGAGAGTTCGCATGAAAAAAAGCACGCAAAAGAGCCCAAAGAAGAGAAGCCGCAGAAGTACTTCCTTTCTATGAGAAGCCAGGGCAGAATGTTCATCTATGTTGGTTACTGTTAGCGACCGATTTCACAAACAAGATCAAACAACTAAGCGTGACTCGCACTTCGGTCAGGCACTTTATGTTGTCCGCAGGTTTGCGTTAAGGGAGCAATCGCTTAGTTGAGCGAGAGTGAGTTCAGACTAAGTTATCGGGTGAATAAACTTTAGTTCAAGACTGAGGTTTAAGACCTGCAGTCGAGCTGCTTAAATACAGTTTGGGTTGTGCTAAATATACTACAAGTGTCTGCAACGGTGCGTTATACATATGGGACCCTCATGGGTGAATGCGATCAAGTCCGGAGAATTAGCATAGCGAGATTACGAGGAAGCCAATAAGATAAGATAGAGCACGAAATCGTAATATTACCCCCCTGTTAAGGCAGTCGTCCCGACTACAAGTGGATTTGATTTGGGAAGGTAGGCTCCCACTAGAGACGGTGCATTTGGCTTTATCAGGTATTCTTGTATGGCCTGTACCAATGGATGGTCGACTTCTGATTCGGTTACAGAATCAGTTTCTGACCATGAGGCTGATTCGTCGCTGCCTTCCCACCATTCTGCAGGTGGTCGTGTTATGAACGAGACTTGTTCAAAGTCTTCGATCGCCTCTCTTGCATTGTCCAATTCCTGTTCGTCAACCCAGGAGTTCTCTTCACGTGGGTAACCTTTCCACTTAATAAGGTATTCCATCTTCGTGTGCCGCCGTCTTCCTCTTCTTACCATGCGCTCTCTTCGGTCTACTGATTTCTTCCACTTCATACTGTTCTTGTCCGTCTACAAGGTCCGGTGGCAGGAGCTAAGGGCTGTACTTGGATTGGGAACTCCGGCGGGTGATAAGGGGTGAGAAGGTTTTCATTGAAACGGTCGTGGATTTTCAATGAAGAGGGAAGGCGCAGTTTGTACGCCGAAGCGCTGTGTTTGGACAGTACTTCGAACAGTCCTGACTCAGTTTGTCTCCCAGCTTCTTCATTGGTCGAGGGAGATGTAAATTGGTGGAGTCCAACCATACCTTGTCCCCTGGTTGGTATTCCACTGCCGGTCATTGGTGTTTGTCGTACTGTCGTTTCATGGTCTCGGCCGCCTTTTCTAAAGCTTTGGCGGTCTGTTCGTGTACTTTTATGTCTGCCACAAAGTCCCTGGCTGCTGGATTTGTTCCTTCCTTTATTGTGAGCAGTGCGAGATGAGGTTTTTGCCCATGATTGATTTCAAAAGGAGAATACCCTGTGGTGGAGTGCTTCCAATTGTTATGTTGGAAGGCTGCGAGCGGTAACCATTCGCTCCAATCATTTTGTTGATGATTGATAAAGATGTGAAGGTACTTCTCGATCTCTTGATTCGCCCTCTCCATCTGTCCATCAGTTTGTGGATGATATGCCGTGGATGGGTTTCCTTGTATGTGCAGCATTTCGTATAGTTCCTTCATGAATTTGGACACAAATTGGGGCCCTCTGTCTGAGATCACTTTTTGTGGCATTCCGTGCTTCGCCCACACATGGTCTCTGAGGATTTTGGCCCACCCCGCAGAGGTTAGTTTGGTGGAGCATGGGACGGGAATAACCTCCTTTGAGAATCGGTCTACAATCATGAGGATTGCGTTGTAGCCATTGGAATCGGGTAGTTTGCTGATCATGTCTACGGTGATATGTTCCCATGGTCGTGTCGGCATGGTGTGTGGATGGAGGGGCGCTCTTTTCCTTTGAGTGCTTGTTTTGGTTCTTTGACAAGCCTTGCATCCCTTTACGTATCTTTCCACATCTTGTTTCAACTTGGGCCACCAATAGTTGCGTTGGACGAGCTCTTTGGTTTTTTCGACTCCCGGATGTCTGGCCGTGATGTGATCATGGTGAATGGCGATGAGTTCCCCTCGTAGTTTAGTGTCTCGGGGAACATACAGTTGCTCGTCATAGTACATCAGGCCTTCTTTCTGGGTGATTCCTCTGGGATGGTGAAGGGACGCTTCTATTCCTTTGTCCCACCTGGTTACGTCTCACAATGCCATTCGTATCTTCTTGTGTATTTCCTCCTCCTCAGGCATGATGAGGGCCCGGAACATTTCTGGTTTAAGGACAACCATCTCGTCATTGTCGTTTCCTCCTTGGTCGTGGTCCGCTCTTCGGGACAGTAAGTCTGCCTTCTTGTTTGCTGTCCCTGGTTTGTGGTGTAGCGTGAAATGATATTCCGCTAACTCTGTCACCCATCTAGCTTGGCGACGATTGAGCTTTTGGGGCTTTCGGAAGTACTGTAAATTTTAGTGATCCGTCCACACTTCGAAGTCTTGGTAGGCTCCCATGAGGTAGTGTCTCCAGTCTTCTAGGGCGAGCATGATGGCCAAAAGCTCTTTGTCGTAGATTTCGTAGTTTCGCTCCGTGACTGTCAGGGCTTTGGACAGGAATGCTACTGGTCTCCATTTTCCTTCCTGTTCTTGGGATAATACTGCTCCTATCGCTCCCTCACTCGCATCTGCTTCTATGCGGTATTTTCCCGTTCGGGTGGGTATTGCTAATACCACTTCCTCCGCCAGCTTCCTTTTGATCTCTTGGAACGCGTTTTCCTGTTGGGCTCCCCATGTCCATTCCGCCTTTCCGGTGAGTTGTGTTAAGGGCCTCATGTGTTTGCTGTAGTCACAGATGAACCTTCAGTAAAAGTTGGTGAATCCTAGGAATGATTGTAGCTCCCGTTTCTTGGTGGGTTGGGGCCACTCTGTGATTCCTTTAACTTTTACAGGGTCCATTCAGATTGATCCTTGGCTAATAATTACTCCGAGGTACTCGGTTTCTAGCACCTCGAATTCGCATTTCTCCGCTTTTAGGAAAAGGTTGTTGGCGCGGAGGATGGCTAGGACTTCTCGTACGACTGTACGATGCCTTTCCTTGTCCTTGGTGCAGATTAAGATGTTCGTCCAGGTATATGGTAACATCTCCTTGTGCGATCTGTTCCTTAAACAAGTCGTTTGTTACGGTTTATTCATTTTTCTTCGTTTTACTCAGCCTGATTACGCATATGCGATCCTAGCAGATCATTTCTCATGGTACTATTATTAGCGTATCCATTTGTATTTAAGTAGAGCCTCAGCTGGTCTAAACCCCAGCTTCGGCTAAGGTTTATTCTACCTAACATCGAACTCCGTCCTTCGTGACTATCTGTCCCATCGACTTACGTCGCCTTTGACTTGCTAAAGTGTCGTCTACCGAAGTGCGAGTAGCGACCTTAGTACGATCTAAGTCGATTTGAGTTAGTGGCTAACATTTAGCCGAAGCTCGTCCTACGTTGCTCAGCGTCGCGCTGCCCAACACATACGTCTTCACCATTCAGCCGATACACTTTTTCGTCGCAGTAGTCCTTTGGGTAGTCCCCTTCGACCTACTGCTCCGACTTATAGTACTCGCCTGGATCAGTCCACTTCCTTCTTTACGACCCATTCCTTGCAGTCTTAACGACTGTATTCTTCACCTTCGTCCTTATCGAACTCGGGATTTCCGCATTGCTGTTGGCAGGCCTGCTAGCCGCTTTGTATGGATTATACCCCCGCCTCGTCTAAGGACAAGACGAAACTAATCCCGATCGCCCTAAAGTCAGCATCACTGTTAGCGGTCCTGCTGCTGACACTGACTGACCCTTCCTTTGATACCGATACCGAATTGATGACTGGTGTCAACTACGACACTGACCTCAGTTTGATTATCGCAACTCTCACCACATTAACCATAATCGCCCTGACTGCTGCATGGGCTGTCATAGTCGCCGGGTTAACTCAAAAATAAGCCCACGCACGGATGCCCTTTGCAGACGCCATTCCCGCCATCTCCGCAATTTTTATTCTCTTTTTCTTATCCATCTCCTTGTACCAGATCAACCGTTGCTGTCGCCAGCAGAGGCGGGTACGAGCCCAACTCCCGTTCCACTACGTGCCGGCAACCCCGGCCTACCCACCACAAGTAATCTTCATCCCCGAGGCCTCGCAGCAAATTCTTCACGATGGCCGACCCATCACACCCAGAGGACCTGGAAGGTCCCTCTACACATCATCGCAATCCAGCTCGGGATCCTCAGGATCGAGCACCGGATCCTACAGAAGCGCCACCTGAGTCCGACGCTTCCGTCGACATCACCGATACCCAGGGGGTACTCCTCAACCTGAGGAGACTCGCCCCTACCAGGCCTCTTCGACGTCGCTCCAGTCGAAGGCGAGTCAAGTGCCGACGGAGCCAGAAGACAAGGCACCAGGCATCTGGAGCCACGTGAAGAAAGCATTGACACTGAGTATGAAGGCAATGAGCTCACAGAGCTTGAAAGAGTCAGACTCGAAGACCTCCTCAGTGAGCTCTATCCGGATGAGGAGGAAGATGCAACCGATACCGGAGACAACTTCAGCGGAAGGTCAGGAACGCGTTGGACAGACGCAGTCTGGAAGAGTGAGAGTAGGAGGTACCGGGTCGCCCAGGAGGATGACTACGACAGTGATGCCGGAGAGCTTGGCCTCGGAGCCTCCGCGGCTACCACCCGTGCAGCTGACTCACAGTCTCTTCCAAGGTCCTGGCCGACCAATAGGGGAGAGCCAGTTGCCTGGCACCCCACTGACCAGCTGGGTCTACGCCGACCGGGAAGAAGCTGCTGTGGCCGGAGTCGCGCCCAGAAGAGAGCCCGACCAGGTCTCTGAAGGGTCCGAGACCCCAACGCTCCCTACCGCCGTCCCCTCGGACGAGCCGACGAGTGGGGAGCTTTGGAGCGAGTTCCCAGATTACGACTCCGAAGAACTTGGAGCAATTACCTCTTCCGAGCGACTCGCCGGAGTCTCCAACTGGGAACCATCCGTCGCGGCGAGAGCCTTCGCCACTCCCGTACCGGCCTCTCAGCGTCCATGGCCCCTCCTCTATCACACGTATGTCGAGTCCCTCGGACTCTCTCGAGATGCCCGG